GCGAGCTGGCGTCCCCCAGGGGTCGCCACTCTCCCCGATACTATTTATCCTATATATCTCGACGCTATATGAGGAACTAGCGGAGAAACACCCCCTACTCTTAGTCGTAGGGTTCGCGGACGATACGAACCTACTCAGCGTGAGCACAGACACGGGCACGACCTGCCGCCGACTAGAGGACGCTTGGGCTACGTGCCAACGGTGGGCCGCCAGGCACGGGATGGAGTTCGCTCCGGACAAGAGTGAGCTGATGCACTTCACTAGAACCCGAGACCCCTCCCCGCAGAGTATCCGTCTTGGAAACGCTACAGTAACGCCGAAGGTCTCGGCAAGGTTCCTAGGGGTCTAGTTTGACCGCAAATTAACCTGGCACGCCCATACCGAGCGGGTTAAATCAAAAATGGCGACTCAGAAGCTAGCCCTAACAAAGCTAGTGAACATGGCGTGGGGCTGCGATCTTATACGGGCGAGACTACTGTACACGTCGGTTATTCGCAGCGCGATCGCCTTTCGGGGCGGCTGCGTAGCACACTATAAGCGAGGAACCAGCGGGACCAGCTAAGAGCCTAGTCGGGATACAGAATGAGTGCCTCCGAATAGTCTGTGGCGCCTACAAAGCGACACCGGTCCGACACCTAGAAATAGAGGCAGCTATCCCGCCACTAAACCTATATCTCAGGGCCCGGGCGGCGAAATTTGAAGAACGGCTACGGAATAACGGCAAAAGGAGCCTGCTTCGGAGCGCGAGCGCGAGAGCGTCACACATACTCCGACAGGATACGCCGGCGAGACGGAAGCGGGCGTCACAATCGCTCAGACCAGCGGGGTACACGATAGAGAAGGAGGCTAGGGGCTCCGAGTGGATAGGCAAGGCGAAGGAAGTCCCGGCCGCCCTCCTAGACCACTGGGAGAAGAGATGGCTCTCCGGGGCAGCACAACACGACCGCCAGCGACGCGCTATCGCCGAGGAGCCGGAGGGCCCCTCGATGCGAATGCCGAAACAGGGCAAGTACTCAGACCTAAACCGACAGGAGGCGTCTACCCTATGCCAGATCAGGACCGGAAAAATAGGACTATCAGCTTTCTTATTTAAGATAGGAGCCTTCGGTGTGTACTCGCCGTTATGCCGCTGTGGAGAGGCCCCCGAGACGGCAGAGCACGTAATCCTCTTTTGCGGCCTGCTGGAAGAATCGAGAGAGCGCCTACGGGCCACTATCGCACCATGGCCGCTGCATACACGTAGAGACCTGGCAACGGCGAGTGGGAAACCAGTAATCAGCGGGACTATCACAAGGTGGCTACTCAGGACTGGCCGGATAGAGCTTAGGCCCGGATAATATCGATCTTCTCAGGGGGACTTTGTTAGTAGGGTGAGAACTAACATAGTATTGTGGTGGACGTAACGCAGTCGCTAATAGAGCGAACCTACGTAGCAGCGTATGTATTTAGTCCAGCCATTAGGGCACGGTTTGACATACGGGAGCACTTGTAGAGGTACCGGGGGCTTCGAGCCTACGGCGTATTTAATAATAATAATAATATTTAGCTGCTAATGGTCAGTATTAGCTATTTAGCTACTGCTGAGCCAGCTTACTAAGCGTGGCCCTAGTACGGGGGCCACATATGGCGACGGGTACCCGTCGCTCTTCCTAAATAGGTAAAGCCCTTCCGCTATCGGAAACGCATCAACTTCGAGACATTCTCTGCGTTTCTATACTTGTAAATAACGTCTTTTGCTTTTTTAAGTAGTTATTCTTTTGGTGCAGCTACTTCTTGTTATAAATAAGCATGGATTTATCTCTAAATCGAAATACCGGGTTTCCTGACGACTGCCTCCCCCCTGAAGGCGAATACGAATCTCGAGATGCTGTATTTAAAGCGATTAATGCGTGGGCAGCTTCAAGAGGTTATGCGTTTATAAATGGGAGGTCAACGAAAGAGAAAACCGGCAAACAAACAATTACGTACTTATGTGATCGGCGTGCTAACCCTCCCGATACCTCAAAGGAGCGACAACGGAAGACAACTACTCGAGGGACTGGCTGTCAGTTCTCTGTCTTAGCTAAGGAATCCTTAGATAAGAGTACTTGGACCTTGCGACATCGTTTCGATCAACATTTCTCTATACATAATCACGAGCCAAGTGATCATCCATCTGCTCATCCAGTTCATCGAGGGCTTTCCGAACAAGATATGTCCCAGCTTACGAGCCTTACAAATGCTGGTATAGCTCCTAAGGATATCAGAACGTATATGCGGCAAAACACCACTTCTATCGCAACTCAGCAAGATATCTATAATTGTATTGCAGATGCAAGGCGAGATATTTGCGAAGGGCATAGTAGTATCAACGCACTTGCCAACCAGCTAGATCGAGAAGGATTTTGGAACCGAATGCAACTAGGCCCACATAACCGGGTAAAAGCTATCTTATTTGCTCATCCAGAATCACTGGCATACCTCCAGGCCTACCCAGATACCTTGATATTAGACTGTACGTATAAGACGAACAAGTACGGAATGCCTCTTCTTGATATAATCGGAGTCGACGCCTGCCAGCGATCCTTCTGTATTGCGTTCGCATTTCTCAGTGGCGAGACAGAGCAGGACTACTTCTGGGCCTTAAACCGCCTAAAGTCTATATACGAGGTATGCAATACTCGGTTCCCATCGGTTATCTTGACAGACCGCTGTATTGCTTGTATCAACGCTGTTGCTACCTGCTTTCCATCTTCTACATCGCTTTTACGTCTTTGGCATGCGAATAAAGCAGTCCTTCGTCACTGCCAGCCAACTTTTACACGTCAACGGCAAGAACGGCAAGAACGGCAAGGGCAACAGCAAGAACAGCAAAGGCAACAGAAAGGGCAAGGGCTTCAATCCTGGAGCGAGTTCTACGACTATTGGCACTCGATTATGAAATCGCCAAGCGAGGAGGTCTTCTACGAGCGAGTTTCCAAGTTCGAACAAAAATATATTCCATACTATATCGAAGAAGTCGGATACGTTAAGACAACTTGGCTCGATCTATATAAAGAGAAGCTTGTAAAGGCTTGGGTCGATCAACATCCTCATTTCGACAACGTTGTGACTTCACGAGTCGAAGGCATTCACGGGCTACTTAAAAGCCACCTTAAAAGATCTACGTTAGATCTATTCGAAGAGTTAAAATCTAACCAAGCGAAACAACAAATTCGGATACCCATCGAACTCTCTGGATTACTATACAGTATAGTACGTGGTTGGGTATCGCACGAAGCTTTAAGAAAGGTCGAAGAACAACGGAAGCTATTAACGAAAACTTGTTTACCTTATTCGCCAAACTGCACGGGCTCCTTTTCTCGGTCCCAAGGGCTACCGTGTGTTCACAAACTCGAAGTTTTACTAGCAGAAGACCAGGCTCTACGACTTAAAGACTTCCACCCACATTGGCACCTAATCCGAAATGGTACTCCGCAGGTACTTCTAGAGCCTCGTCAGTGTATCGATCCGATAGTTACGACCTCATATTTGCCACGGTCGAGTATCAGGCGAGAGCCAAGCGGGTTCGAAATAGTTGAAGCGGCAACAGTATTAAGAGCACCGCCAACATGCAGCAAATGCCATATGCTAGGTCATACAAGGAGCTTGAAAGACTGTCCTTTGAGATACTCGGAACTTAGAGCACGGCCAGCTACCGCTTTAGAACAGTTACAGGTACCATCAGCTATCACTTCAGATCCTGCCCCTCAAGCAGCCACAGACATAGAACCACCAATCCAGCCACCTATTCAGCCTCCTACCGAAGCTATTCCTTCGTCGCCTATTCCTTCGTCGCCTTTGCCAAATTCAGGTTCATCTCAGCCTGTAAAATACGATAGTCCAAGGGCGATATACCAGAGATATATCACAGCACGAGAGTCTTGGTATAAAGCCCAACCTCTTGGAACCTATGTGAACAATCAACGATACCGAAAAGCGATGGGTTTACCATTACGATATGACAAGACAAGCTACGAATGGTGTCTTAATTATAACCGAATGACCAAACGTTGTACTACTTCATCAGGCTCAAGAGACTGGACAAAAGAAGAAATGATGGCCTATTTGGACTGGGATAAGTCAGAAAATGATCGTATTGACGCTCAAGTATCTCGAGAATTCGGAAATGGTCTATCAAACAGGAGAGGTACAGGTGAAATTTGGAGAAGGATTGAGCAGGATATGGAAGAACAGGAAACTTTGTATTCAAAATAAGAACAGGATTATACTGTAGTTGATTTATATAACAACAGAATCACGATAGCAGTTGAGGCCAGGCACAGTCAGGTAATTCGAATGCTAGGGCAGATATGTACAGAGAAGGAAACTTGGCCCCTCACCTGTCCTCTGAGCTTCAGCTCCCCTTGTAGGGCGGACAGATCTGAAACCAATGATACGTCATAGATTCGTTCGCTGCCCGCCGAGCGTGGCCAAGCTCCCCGAGTGTGACGGGCTCACTGTGAAACTATGCAGCTCAACATGGCCAAATACTGTTAATTATCTAACTGAGGAGGAAAGTAAAATATGCGAGCTCTCCCGGGAACACGGACTATGTTTTGTATGCCCTCGATGGTTCCTTTGGTGGATCCGGACGCACGGTCCTTGCAGCTCCGGATCCCATATCAGGCACAGCCTGTCATACCGAGCCTAATTCTTGTGACAATTTATAGTATTATATTCTCCTAGTAAGGTAGCTAGTTATTCCCTAATTCATCCTATCTACGCCTGAAGAAAAAATAAAATAAAGACTCTCCAAGTCTCGAAGTTGATGCGTTTCCGATAGCGGAAGGGCTTTACCTATTTAGGAAGAGCGACGGGTACCCGTCGCCCTATGTGGCCCCCCTAGTACGCGATCAGAGGCGCAACGCCTAATCATCAGCCCCAAAATAGTACGTGACCAATCCACAATTAGCCGAGGATAGTGCGAAAACTTCCTTCAATTAGACACCGATTCCCCCGAACGCACAACAGAGACAAAACAAATAATTAACACTTCGTTCCACTCCGTCCGCACTTGAACCCGTACAAGCGAGGGCAGTATCATGCCCCGCCCGATGTTAGGGGCAACTGCTCCTGATTGCTAAGCTACCCCGCTTCAACCAGCTGCTAGCTTCAGTCATGACGCTCTATCTCAACCTTGTAGGTCCGATGCGGCAATTCAAGACGTACCAGTATAAAGAAGCCTATGCTGCTAGCTGGATCTCAGGCTCAATGCCTTGGAATCCACGGTTTCTTTCCAATCGACCCGAGCTAACTTATGTGATCACGACTGGCGACCATTCGCCCATTACTCAACTGCCTCAATACCTTTAATTGCCTCTTAAGTACTTCCATCACCACCACAATGCCTGTCGAATCCAAGTACCAGCCCCACGACATGGTGTTTCGTCACCTTGGGCCGACTGGTCTGTGAGTAGACGCGCTCTATCTTCCTAACGGTGACACACGAAGCCTGACTCTGCATGGTAGCAAGGTATCTGTGTTCTCTCTCGGCGGCTGGCTCACTTACGGCGGTACGCAAAAAGGAAGCATTGTGAAGGAATGCCTCCAGACAGCCTGGGACCAGGGTATCAACTTCTTCGATACGGCTGAAACTTATGCCAACGGCGACTGCGAGATCGAGATGGGCCAGGCACTCAAGGAGCTGGCGTGGCCACGCGACGAATATGTGCTCGCTACTAAGATCTTCTTCGGCACCGGCCGAAAGGAACCCAACACGAGAGGTCTGAGCCGGAAACACATTATCGAGGGCCTCAAGAGCAGCTTGCAGAGGCTGGAACAACCGTACGTCGACATCGTTTTCGCTCACCGCCCCGATCGGGCCACGCCCATGCGCGAGATTGTCGAGGGATTCACGCAGGCCATCCGCAATCTGAATATGGGTATGTCTCTACCCCCGATTCACGCCTTGTGGGAAGCGTACGCTCGGATCAGGGCGGGACTGACTTCACAACAGCGTACTACTGGGGAACCTCAGAGTGGTCTGCCGTCGAGATCATGGAAGCCACCCAGATTGCTGATAAGTACAACCTCATCGCCCCCGTCGTCGAACAACCGCAATATAACGCCTTCCACCGCGAGCGTTTCGAAGTCGAGTATGCCCCACTTTACCAGCAGTTCCAATATGGCACCACCATCTGGTCACCATTAGCCTCGGGCTTGCTGACGGGCAAGTACAACGACGGCATCCCCGACGATTCGCGCTTCGCCAATAATAAAGACTTCTTCAAAGACACGGTCGGCGCTCTAAACGAGACAGATGGCAAAGCCAAGCTAGAGAAGGTCAAAAAACTGAAGGCCATCGCCGAGAAGTACGGTGCTACCACGGCCCAACTGGCCTTGGCCTGGGCCGCCAAGAACGAGAATGTGAGCACCGTTATTTTGGGTGCCAGCAAACCCCAACAAATTGTCGATAACTGCAAGGCTTTGAAGTTGCTCGACAAGTTGACGCCCGATGTCATGGACGATATTGAGAAGATATTGTGCAATAAGCCGGTGCCCAGGGCGACCTTGGGTAGAGAGCGACCGGGCTGGTGCTAAACAAACCGTCTTGGAAATGATTTGCAAGGTTTTGTACTGCAGCACCAGTTATGTCATCTCAGATATATACATGCATGTATCTGTCACACAGCCTATCAAATTATCTCCGTCTATGCACACCGCCTATGTGCTGGGTGCTGCGGTTGAGCCACTTGCCCATAGATTAGCCCTTCCGTAGCTGCAGCCTTTGGGATTTGGTCACATCAACATCATACTCATTACCACCCACTTGCCTCTACTGCCTCAAGATTGCGATGCTTGGTTCATGTGGGTGAGTCTTGTCTGACGTTAGTGTATAGCCGTGCATGGTCGTGAGACAGTATGGTTTCTATCTTCTAGAGATGCTATATTTTTACTTAATTTAATTAATCCAACTTCTAAAATGGCAAAGATGAATCTTGAATTATCGGACATAGAATGATAAGGTTGTATGTCAAAAGGGAAACAGCCCAGTGGGCAATGATAACTTTCCGAGTCTCCGTATGCACCCATTGCGACATACATCATCTGTACTGTATGGGAAGGCCCTGCAATCCTTCCCGGCAAAGTTGATTAACCGCCAGCTCATCCGAGAGCGAGCCAACTGCATCATCCACACGTCCATGGCGAAGGCAACAAGGCGGGGGGATGACATCGACCACAAGTTTATTTCTCCAACGCATATCGGTAATTGTATTGCCTCGAGACTGAGGTAGTATTTGAATAGCAGCACGCGCAGTCCTCTCCCCTTCTTTACACCAACTTTAGCTTTATTGACTGAATCATCCTCAACAGTTCTACATATCCCCTGAAAACAGGGAACAGTCAAGGAAGATCAAACAATCTATTTATCTACCATGGCGCCTCCTCTTCATCCCCTTATTGATCACGGTATCACCAAGGGAAGCCCTAGCTTTTTGGGTGGCAAGCTGTGCTGCCACTGCCAGAACGATGCCGTTGAGGTTACAATCTCAGGGAACGTCGCCCACAACCATGCCTGCGGATGCTCCAAGTGCTGGAAGCCAAAGGGCGCACTCTTCTCCATCGTTGCTGTCATCCCAAGAGACCAACTCAATGTGACGGCCAATGGAGACAAACTCCATATCGTCGACAAGGGTGCAACTATTCAACGAAACGCCTGTAAGGAGTGTGGTGTGCACCTCTTTGGTCGAATTGAGAAGGAACATGCCTTCAAGGGTCTGGATTTCGTACACGTGGAACTATCGAAGCAGCAGGGCTGGCAGGAGCCCCAATTTGCCGCCTTTGTTTCATCCATCATCGAGCAAGGATTTGATCCCAGAGGCATGGACGAGGTTCGCACCAAATTCAAGTCGCTCGGGCTCGAGACTTATGATACTTTGTCTCCTCCTCTCATGGATGCTATCGCAACTTGGACGGCGCAGAAAGCAGGGCTGTTGCCTTCGGACTAGTATGGAAAGTAGCACATAAGAGATCAGATGGGAGGGAAGCATTGATCGGTACATCTCACTAAAGCACCAGAAGTGTGCGTCCAAATGTAAGAAACAGATTTCTTGCAGAACTGCCATCAAACTCATTACGTTTCTCCACTATGTTGTTGGTCTCACAGTGATGTCAGGGACCTGTCCTACTTAGCTCTTTGGATATACATCATCCCAAGCACGCAAGAGATTTTATAAAATAAAACTTGTTTATTACACTGTCCTATGCAAGCCTACGGCTTATGAAGACAGTAGGTCCTAAAAGCATAACCCTATATAGTAAATTTGTATCCTCCGTAACCATTGTTTTCCCCTCGTACTATAAGCTTTCTGAATTTAACCCTGAGGCTACATTCAATATTAGTGTTCATAAGACTTAATAAAGCTTCTGATACAGTTATGCTGGGATGTAGGGATATGTTAGCAACTAAACATGACTATATCATGGAGGATTGTGATGTTGATTGAGCTCAGTTAACCTACGTCAGGTGTAACGGTAGAATGTTACCTATCTAACTAGTGTACATTGTTACGGAGTAACTAGGGCTCCGCCAGTGGACTGTGTGCCACTAGTCCTCTGTTACTATATTATGCTGAGACACCCGCTTGCTCTATGACCTATGCTTTAAGCTCGTAAATATTATGCACTAGCTTAAAGCTTCCGATGCCCTTTGGACCCGTTTGTGGTCAAAATTATTGCATGGACTATGCACAGGAACTCTTAAGGGGACGATTACTATGTATGAGAGATGTGAGGTGGAGTCAAGTGTGTGATTAGAGTCAATGGTTTGTAGCAGAAGTACTATTGCTAGATAACACCTCCGATGTGTCAATTTATTGGAGAGATATTATCTACTTCTGATACAAAGTCTTTCTATCACTATTAGGATTAACTCTATTCAAGGCTTGTAACCAGCTTTGTGATTGTTACTTGACAGGTATATTGAAACTCGCTGCACAATAAGTACAGCAAGTTTCCTACTCAAATTTCCTCATTGGATACTTCAAAGTATACAAGTAAAGAGCTTGATCGCAGTTACGTAACTGACCACAGCCACACCTAACATGGCAATGCACAGTTCCTGACGTCAATACTTGAGATATTTGTATTCATGGATGAAAGGCAAGGCTGTTGGAGCCTTTGGATGCCTTGGCAAGGATTAGACTGGATGGAGCTGTGCTTTAGAAACGGTAAATCAGGACCCAGTAATCCCAGTAAGTTAGTTGTATTTTCATCACTTTAAATACAGAGCGGTCACCTCGAGCATTCACATATCCTACTGTCGGATTGCTACCTACTCAAAAAGTAGTTTCAGTTCCTTTCCGAAGTGCTCCTTCCCTTACCTTCCCATCGCCTCCTTGGGACCGCAACGACCAAGTGGCGCATAGTTGCCAGCGTAGGAACATTTCTGGTGGCTTACATGGTCTATTTCGTCGATAACTTGATCAGGAAAAGGAGGCAGTTGGATGGCCTGGTGAGTTTCTTGAGGCTTGAGGGACCTGGCAGCCATACACTCTGCAGCTGAAGTCCCTGTTGCTCAATATGCTAACTCTGAAACTACTTGTAGCCCCAACTACCGATGCAGAACAGGCTCCTGGGTCATCTTCACATAGCAGATGAGGTAACCAAACTCTTTCCACCCGGAGTTCACGCACACGTGTGGAGCGAGCACGTACGAACCAAATACAAGCTGCCCAAGGTTTTCTATCTTGACTGGTGAGAAGAAAAGACTCAGCATCTCGAGAAGTTGGAGACTAATTTGCAACACACTCAAGGCGGCAATTTGGGCCTTTGGGGTTGTACATTGGCGATCCCGTGGTGGCGTCCAAGTATGTGACGACGACGCAGTCTCTTCCCAAGAATCCGCTGGCACGAGTATACCTCGAGACTTTCCTAGGCCGCAATGACATGGTGACGGCCGAGGGTGTGCACTGGGATTCGCTGCGGTCTATCTTCAACCCAGGCTTCTCGCTGGGCAACATTATCACCCTGACGGATTCAATTGTGCATGCCCGCGTGACTTTCGGCGATGTGATCCACACCAAGGCTGAGACCAGCGAGTTGTTATGCTCGAGGAGTACCTGACGCGACTTACCATCGAGGTCATTGGTCGGGTTGTGCTCGATGCGGAGATGCCGGCGCAGAAGACGATCCATCCTATTACCGAGCTTTCCGAGAGCGGGTCAAGATGATGTCACCGTCGGATGCTGAGTTCCCTGGCAGGCAGTGAACCTGCCAGGCGTCCGTGGAAGCTGTGGTCCAACGGAAGGAGGCTAAATGCTGAGATTGGAAAGGAGTTTGACCTCAAAATCCGACGGCGGGCCGAGCAAACGGCACCTGGGGAAAAAGGGGCCATACATAAGAAGAAACGTTCCGTCATCGATCTGTCCCTCAACGCCTACGAGAAGGAGACTTCAATGTTCATCAACGATGTAAGACAATGCCCAAAGACTTGAGAGCCGACATCATCGACTCGGTCAAGACTTTATATTCGCCGGATACGACACCACCTTGTCCACTTTGTGTTACGCACATTACCTTCTCCACCGCCACCCCGAGGTGCATACTAAGCTCAAGGAAGGGTTGGACCGCTTTTTTCCACCGAGCACGGCAAGAAACAGCCGACATATTAAAGCAGGACCCCTACCTGGTCAACAAGCTCGAGTATACGACGACCGTCATCCGCGAGACGATGCGCATCTTCCCGGCCGCCAGCACGGTGCGTTGCCGCCCGACCCCAGGCAAGGCTGAGGCAGGGGTCCTGGGCTTCGTAATTGAGTCTGAGACACGTAAGCAGATCCCCATGCTCGCAGATGCCATGTTGCGGCCCGTGGCCCACATGATACACCGCAACACTCGCTTCTTCCCCAACCCCCTGAAGTTCATCCCCGAACGCTTGATTCAGTCACAGACGGCCTTCCCCGAGAAGAAGCTCTTCACCGACGCCGGTAAGGACGCCTTCAGGCCCTTCGAGAAGGGACCACGCAGTTGCATTGGCCAGGAGCTGGTCATACTCGAGGTCAAGGTTATCCTGGCCTTAACCGCTAGAGAGTTCGATTTCGTGCTAGAATATCCGGGTGAGGAAGCCGACGTACGCTATCCCACGCCTGAGAACATGGTCGATGAGTTGAGCGATAATACCAAGTATGGGAAGGCCATCCGCGCCGGCACCACAAAAAGGGACCGCTTCGAAGGACATCGCGTGTATCAGCGCTTGATGAGCGCCGCCAAACCCAATGGTGGGTACCCGGGTCGCATTTATTTTCATACTTGGTGATTGTCACCTCTATCCACGTTAGCCGGGTTCAAGTCTTCGCACATATTGTCGATATAAGGTAGAGCACACCCGTGGGGACTATTCTTCTTCCACAAATCTACAAAAGAATATCAAACGGTCAGTCAACCTTGAAAATCTGCCATCTTTGTTGCGGCGGGGGAAAAACCTCGTCGAGAATCTAAGGAAACTGGATATAATTCCCGAGTCTTCCTATATTGGCCTGCCTGTCAGGGGCTGAACTTACCGTGAAATGTCAATCGCCTTTGTCTTCTCAGATAGAAACTAGGTACTGCTGTGCATGTAACATAGAAAAATCCCGCGCCTCGTCTATGCACCTGACGAAGCTCGAGTCGTTAGTGTTGCACAGACATTAAAATCTCCAGTCCAAGATTTCTACTCTTACATACAGTCCAATCTCACACCATGAATCCTGACGCTGCTATCCCTTATCATACCGTCGTACATGCTACAACTGGCTGTCCCATCAAGATCGAGGCTTGAACCCAACCTGCCGATGGGCAGAAAAGAAAATATACGACTGAGACGATCCACAAGGATACCTGCAAGTGTTGACGGAGTGTAGGCGAAAACGGCCTTGCGGATACTCATGGAGGGAAACTGTGACAAGAATGAACGATGGCTCTCTTTGCAGCTCTGGTGGTACGTTCACTAATTGCCAAAGAGCTGAAACTGAAAGACGGGGTAGAGCAAACGGGTGAGGATAATCAGGCAGTGTAGTCAAGCCAAAGAACTAGCGGGCGAGAGCTGTCAAACTTACAATAAGTGTTGCGTGCCCCAGACACACTGCCTGTGTGCTGGGTGCAGCGCTTGGATCAATTGCCCATAGATAGCCCTTGCCGTAGCTACAGCCTTTAGGACTTAGTCCTATCATCATCATCATTAACACAACCCTCTTACCTCCATTGCCAACAGGTTATAAGCCCTCTAATGCTTCTGCTGTACGGATGTGATTCTTTCAACCGACTTTAATCGTATCTTCCATCGAAGTAGACTTTGCAGTCAATCCTACTATAGGAAGCTTGCGTTCGAGGTTAAGGCGATCTCAAGGAAGTCGAAGCTAACCTTTTCGTGATTATCGCCGGCCGGATTCGCAACTTCCGGCCTATGACCTCTAGATCAAAAGCCATGTTCCCTAATAGTCTGAAGCTAATTAACCGCCTGTTAAGCTTCTTCGACCGCTATATGCTGGGATGTAAGCACTTTACTAGCTACGTAAACTACTAAAGAGTCTTATAAGGGTTTATACTAGTAATCAAGTCCTGCTACGGGTCCTTTAGTAATATAGTAGGTATCTGACGTATAGAGTATAATATTATTATTATTAAATACGCCGTAGGCTCGAAGCCCCCGGTACCTCTACTAGTACTCCCGTATGTCAAACCGTGCCCTAATGGCTGGACTAAATACATACGCTGTGTCGTCGGTTCGCCCTATTGGCGACTGCGTTGCGTTCACTACCATACTACGTTGGTTCTCAACCTACCAACAAAGTCCCCCCTGAGAAGATCGATGCTATCTGTGCCTTGAAGCTGTCCGACCCGTCCCTAGCAGCCACCTTACAATAGTCCCACTAACTACTGGTTCTCCTGTTGCCGTTGCGAGGTCTCTGCGAGAGTGTAGTGGCCGTGGTGCGATAGCGGCCCGTAATCGTTCCCTCGGTCCTTCCAACAGCCCGCAAAAGAGGATTACGTGCTCTGCCGTCTCAGGGACGTCGCCACAGCGGCATGGCGGCGAGTACACGCCAAAAGCCCCGATCTTGAATAAGAAGGCTGCTAGTCCTATTTTTTCCGTCCTGATCTGGCACAGCGTAGACGCCTCCAGTCGGTTCAGGCCGAAATACTTGCCTCCTTTCGGTATCTGCATCGAAGGGCCCTCCGGTTCCTCAGCGATAGCGCGTCGCTGGCGATCGTGATGCTCTGCTCCGGTGAGCCATCTCTTCCTCCAGTGGCCGAGGAGGGCAGCCGGGACCTCCTTTTCCTCACTCATCCACTCGGAGCCCCGGGCCTCCTTCTCCATAGTGTACCCTGCCGGTCGGAGTAGCTGCGACGCCTGCTTCCTCTTCGCCGGCCTATCCTGCCGGAGTATATGTGACGGGATTGCTGCTTCTGCTTCCAGGTGGTGAACCGGCGTCGCTTTGTGGGCACCACAGACTACCCGGAGGCACTCGTTCTGTATCCCCATCAGGCTCTTAGCTGGCCCTGCCGGTTCCTCACTTATAGTATGCCACGCAGTCGCCCCGAAGGCGATCGCGCTACGGATAACCACCGTATATAACAGCCTCGCCCGTATAAGATCGCAGCCCCACGACATATTGACTAGCTTTGTCAGGGCTAGCTTTTGAGTTGCCATTTTTGTTTTAACACGCTCAACATGGGCGTGCCACGTCAGTTTGCGGTCGAACCAGACTCCTAGGAACCTCGCTGAGACTACCGGCGACACTGTGGCGTCCCCAAGGCGAATACTTTGCGGCAAGGGCTCTCGGGCCCTAGTAAAGTGCATTAGCTCACTCTTGTCAGGAGCGAACTCCATCCCGTGCCTCACTGCCCACCGCTGACACGTAGCCCATGCGCTCTCCAACCGGCGGCAGGTCGTGTCTGGATCGGTGCCGACGCTTAGCAGGTTCGTGTCGTCCGCGAACCCGACTACTAAAAGTAGTGGATGCTGCTCCGCTAGCTCCTCGTACAGCGTTGAAATGTATAATATAAACAGTATCGGGGATAGCGGTGACCCCTGGGGGACGCCAGCTCGTAGGGGGATTGGCGCTGACTCCTTGCCATCGAACCGGAGGCGTACCGTCCTATCCTCCACGAAGCTGCGTACCCACTCCTGAACCCACTCCGGGTAGCCTTTCCGGGCTAATATGGAAATCAGCCGTCTGTAATTGACCGTATCGAATGCCCCCTTGATGTCTAGCTGTAGCAGCGAGGCGATGCCCCCGCGTCTCCACGCCGTATAGACCACGTCCTCAACTATACGTATTGCCAGTTCGGTGGACCTCCCAGCGCGGTTACCCATTTGGCCGTTTGGTGGTAGGCCGGCCGCCTCAGCTACTTTGGTGATACGCTGGCTCATCGCCGTCTCTATTACCTTCCCTACCGTGCTAAGCAGGGCAATGGGGCGCCAGCCGCCAGGGGTCTGCTTCTGAGCTGTCGTTTTATTAGGCTTAGGGATAACAACCACCCTCGCTGAGCGGAAGCGCTCCGGGTAGTACCCCAGCCTAAAGCTAGCTGTTGCCAGATCCGCTAGGATCTCCCATAGGGGTTCACCGCAGGCCTTTAGCAGGCCAGTGGGGATCAGGTCATCGAGTATCTAATTTAGAGTAGTAAGGAGAAGTCGTCTACCCTAGACTATATCGTCAAGTTTAAGCGCCTAGTTAGACGGAAAGACGAAGTTAAGATATACCGACGAATATAGTATAACGGATTATAATATTCGTTAATAGCGTTAGAGAGAACGCTACCGACTAGGCTCATCGTATGAAATTAACGCTATACTAGGATACTCTCTCTGCCGACTAGGTCTACGCCGATTTTACTACTAAATTTCGCGGTAGTTAGGATTAGAAGGGTAAGAGGCTAATAAGTAGTTAAAGGCGTAGTAATAGCAGAGATATAAATAAGGTACGCTACAATACTTATAGTAAGAAGGGGCACGTCGCTAGGGACTATAAGGACAGAAAGACCGGCTTCGATAGCGATAACGACGGCAATGCTAGAGCGTATTACACGGTAGCACCCCCGGGACTTAGAAAAGTACTTTGAGAGAAGTTCTATTAAGGAATAAAAAGGATAGTTAGCTAGAAAACGACGACGAGGCTAGGAATAGCTTCATAAGTAAAGAGGTCTAGTAGTTAACCTAGGCTAAGAGGGCGTGTAGAATTAGTAGCCTACGGTCCCGTAAGACATACGCGAGATACTTTAGTGCCCTTGTGCGGCTTAGACCCCCCTAGCTGAAGATCGGCTTCTTTGGATTTACGAGGCATGTTGTGGGAGGGAAGAAAAGTGCAAGCTAAGTTAAAAGGTTGAAATATTTGAAAAAGTGCGAAAGTGACTTGTGTGCGAAAATGAATTGTGGATGACGTTACGCTTATATAATTTATCTTAAAACCAAAAAACAATATATGAAAATTCGCGGACGATACGAACCTACTTAGCGTGAGCACAGACACGGGCACGACCTGCCGCCGACTAGAGGACGCTTGGGCTACGTGTCGAATATCACGTGTGTCCAATGGAGTAGTCAGCAGTGCGTAAGATTGTATATAAATGAGGTGTGTTCTTGTCTGTCTGTCTTCTTGTCAGGGTACGGCCTGGACCGAAGGCGATAGTACAGAGTGAAGGGGAGAAATAGGCGTGTCCCCCTGGTGGTCACCTGGTGTTCACTGGCGGTCTCAGGTAGGGGTGCCCACGGTGATGCATTCGATCTCTCCCCTCTCTATCTTCCTCCGTCTCGACTCCTTACTTATAGCCAGCCGAGGTTCTCTGTTGGATTCTGGATGTTTGCTTCCGCATGTCTGTGTTCCTCCGACTTCGGCCAACATCTTGGATAGCGGCTCTTTATCTGCAACCAAGCGATTCCCTATCCGCTGCAAACGGCTTCAACAGCTCTCATTCGCCACAAGCGGCTCTCTAGCCGCCACAAACGGCCTCCCGGCTCCTCATTCGCCACAAACGACTTCCTTCCTGGTGGAAGCCGGCCCGCCTCGGATGACACTTGTGGCTCTGACACTTCTGTTCTCGCGAACTCCCGTTGCTCTGCCTTTTATAGATGCTTTAGAACATGTCGGTAACTTTGGTGTTACTTTTGAGAAGAGGGGTTCCTTTCGCCTTCTGAACTTTAAGTGACAATAGTCTTCTCTAGTGCCATATTATTTCTGAACCTAGGAACCAGGTGCCCTATCTGACACTACGTGCCAACGGTGGGCCGCCAGGCACGGGATGGAGTTCGCTCCGGACAAGAGTGAGCTGATGCACTTCACTAGAAACCGAGACCCCTCCCCGCAGAGTATCCGTCTTGGAAACGCTACAGTAACGCCGAAGGTCTCGGCAAGGTTCCTAGGGGTCTGGTTTGACCGCAAATTAACGTGGCACGCCCATACCGAACGGGTTAAATCAAAAATGGCGACTCAGAAGCTAGCCCTAACAAAGCTAGTGAACATGGCGTGGGGCTGTGATCTCCTACGGGCGAGACTACTGTACACGTCGGTTATTCGCAGCGCGATCGCCTTTCGGGGCGGCTGCGTGGCACACTATAAGCGAGGAACCAGCGGGACCAGCTAAGAGCCTAGTCGGGATACAGAATGAGTGCCTCCGAATAGTCTGTGGCGCCTACAAAGCGACACCGGTCCGACAGCTAGAAATAGAGGCAGCTATCCCGCCACTAAACCTATATCTCAGGGCCCGGGCGGCGAAATTTGAAGAACGGCTACGGAATAACGGCAAAAGGAGCCTGCTTCGGAGCGCGAGCGCGAGAGCGTCACACATACTCCGACAGGATACGCCGGCGAGACGGAAGCGGGCGTCACAATCGCTCAGACCAGCGGGGTACACGATAGAGAAGGAGGCTAGGGGCTCCGAGTGGATAGGCAAGGCGAAGGAAGTCCCGGCCGCCCTCCTAGACCACTGGGAGAAGAGATGGCTCTCCGGGGCAGCACAACACGACCGCCAGCGACGCGCTATTGCCGAGGAGCCGGAGGGCCCCTCGATGCGAATGCCGAAACAGGGCAAGTACTCAGACCTAAACCGACCGGAGGCGTCTACCCTATGCCAGATCAGGACCGGAAAAATAGGACTATCAGCTTTCTTATTTAAGATAGGGGCCTTCGGTGTGTACTCGCCGCCATGCCGCTGTGGAGAGGCCCCCGAGACGGCAGAGCACGTAATCCTCTTTTGCGGCCTGCTGGAAGAATCGAGAGAGCGCCTGCGGGCCACTATCGCACCATGGCCGCTGCATACACGTAGAGACCTGGCAACGGCGACGGGGAAACCAGTAGTCAGCGGGACTATCACAAGGTGGCTACTCAGGACTGGCCGGATAGCGCTTAGGCCCGGATAATATCGATCTTCTCAGGGGGACTTTGTTAGTAGGGTGAGAACTAACATAGTATTGTGGTGAACGTAACGCAGTCGCTAATAGAGCGAACCTACGTAGCAGCGTATATATTTAGTCCAGCCATTAGGGCACGGTTTGACATACGGGAGCACTTGTAGAGGTACCGGGGGCTTCGAGCCTACGGCGTATTTAATAATAATAATATATGAAAACCCTAACGTCACCCACAGGTCAATGCCCCACACGGGTCTTTGTCCAACTTTTCACGACCTGTCGAATATCACGTGTGTCCAATCGAGTAGTCAGCAGTGCGTAAGATTGTATATGAATGAGGTGTATTCTGTCTGTGGTCTGTTCTCGCGAACTCCCGTTGCTCTCCTTTTATAGATTCTTTAGAAAATGTCGGAGGTGCATTGTTCAGGTGTCTGACCCCTAAGTGGACCGTAACTTTGGAGTTACTTTCGGGAAGAGGGGTTCATTTCGCCGTCTGAACTTGAAGTGACACTAGTCTTCTCTAGTGCCATATTATTTCTGAACCTAGGAACCAGGTGTTCTATCTGACACTAAGTCGGTAATTTGATACGTGACCCATCCCTACCTTTTCGTATTAGTAATCTTACTTTTTTCCTTACGTTTTCGCTACTATTACGCTCTACGTTTAGCATATAAGCGCGTTCGTTCGCCTGGGATAATAAAAACTCTATTAGAGTCCTATCCGTTCCCTATTAATTACTACCAGCGCTTCTATTACGTTATACCCTTAATTCGCGTACGAGACGAGGTCGCTACCCGATATAAATACTTATTAGAGTCGGCTGGTGTAGTTGGTCACTTCGCTGGTAGATAAGTCCCGATTTGAGCCTCGCCCACTTGGGTCGGTGACGAGTCGCGGGTTCGAATCCCGCAGCTGACACACAAGGGGGTTTAGTCAACCCTTACGGCGCGCTGCCCACCTTGTTGACTTCGCCTACCTAGCGATAATAGGGAGATTGGTGCAGTTTAGGATTACGAGCATCCTAGCCAGTCGACCGTCAAGCACTACGTCGGCGGAATATAACTCGACAGCCGGTCCAGAATTCGAATCGTTAATCCGACCCCTTATCGGACCTCGCCTATCCGATAACGCTCGTCGGCGAACCCGTCCCCTCACGATAGAAGGCGCGCAGCACGCCCCCTCGCCGCGATTCTTGCGAGCGTCTAGACCACGTTACGGTCTATCCACTTGAGCGTATGGTTGAGATGTATACGCTCGACGAGAACCCCAATTAGCAGATACTACGACTTGTCGCGACAAAAAATAGTCGAGCATCTTCTGCACATCAGCAGCATCCCACCCCTGAGGACGAATTTAAGTGCCACATTACCACACTTATCGGTAGTTCAGGCAGGGGTTGTAGCACAGACTTAGGGAGGGACAGGAGGTTTAGTAGTCGTTTGGCTACAAGTTTACCTGTATAACGGCCCGACGCGGCTTAAGGGCCCGCTATATCATCTATAGCCCCTTAAGGGAGTACTTGTAGAGGTACCGAGGGTTAACACCTACGGCGTATTTAATATTATTATTACTTATTAGAAATCGATTACTATAACCGGCTTAAATACTATTCGAAGAAGTTATTAACGAAAGTGTAAAAGCTGAATTCTTGCTAACTATAGAATACTTCTAAAAATATTGAAAGGAAGTCTATGTCACAGCGCTAGCGATTACAGAGCCATAGAGTGCTGTATATAGCAGTTAGTGGGACCAAGTGTCAGTGATCCACTGGCAACCGGCTGCTGCACGCCAACGTTGTCTATATTCTTTTCCACAGGTTCCATGTTGTGGATGTTTGGTGAGTGAAAGAAAAGTACTTTCAGTATCCAGGGGATATATAGTCAATGTGCTTGCAAGCAGTCTTGGTAGATTTGAACACTGTCTTGCATGACGAGCAAGATATTGAGTATCTTGGCAGGGGAGTCCTGGGATTTTATAACCAGCGTGCGCCGCTTCAATTGACATGTTGGGTTATATGCAGTCAGATATTAGTCCAGATTCTATGAAGTACCTAGGTAACCTTCTCTTTGCTGCGCCACCCACGCGGCCGGGTAAGATAGCATGTATTTGATTGAGCTTTGGGCAGTCAACTGTACTACGATCCTGAAATCGATCGGTGGCAGAGTACTCAAATAGCTACTCTCGTAATTATGTGCAATGCCTTTTCATTGGCCACTGTAAATTGCGAACTAAGGAAATGCAACTGAGTTACAACCAGAGACAAGCAATAGCTATGGTTTTGCGAGAGCGAAACCCAAGCACTGTGCATTGTGCCTATACACCAGGGGGCTCTATACAAATACAACCTGGCTGCTCTAACTTCCCATCATTTAGCTCACGCGAATAAAGTAGTATACTGGCCCATATGTGCAAAACGTTATTAGTGTAGAATATTGCCCCCCCGGCTCGCCCTTTCTGTGCCAACAAGGGATCATTCTCGCCAACAGGCTGGTCGTTCACAGACGCAGCGACCTCGATAGCATCGGAATGCCTGCTCAAAACGGCCACCATCAGCAACTTGTCGATAAATATAGCTCTTGTGTCATCATAATGATGTAGGGGGCTCAGTCCGAACCCCACCGTCAGGGGATAGTTGGACCCTGTAGCATTATTATCCCCGATGACGGCCTTGGTTCCTACAAACTGTGAAGGGCTGGTGTTTCTGATCATCTAAATGAAGTACGCGGTATTCTTGGGAGCCTCGTTGCGCTCCTTGTGCTTCGGTAACCAGGGGTTTTTTTGATAAGAATTCTTTATCCAAAACAACGACAAACAGCTCAGATTGTTCCAGTATGCTCAGTATGCTGACTTATTCACAGGTAATTAAGCTCACAGCAGCTCCCCAGTTCTATCCATGATGTCCTGAGCACTAATTATGTATACAATGAGGTATATCCGAGCGAAGCTACCCTACACCGCCATTCACGCAACCCTGCTTCCACATCAGGCCGTCCACAACGAAACATGAGCACTAGGCTATATTTATATGAGCCAGACCTCCACAACTCAGTAGCATGAACTGTTCACTTGCCTATTGAATAAGCACCGGACTTGCATATTTGTCCCACAGTAGACCACAACCGCCCACCAATGCCAAGGACGGCTGTGGCGTTGGGCAGGGCAGATCACGCAGAGTAGGATGATCCCAGCTCACTGCAGATTGAGAAGACTATAGCATGCACCGTAGTAGACTTTGACCATCATTAAATCAAGCGTTGTTGCAGTGCCTAACACGCAGTCATAGTAGCCACAGCTACTTTCCATGCGTGTCTTGGCAACATCAACTTCCGCTACTAGAAACCTTCTCGACTGTGGTGGAGCACATGGCCGAGTACGCAGGAATTATACGAGCTACTCTACGTGTCATATTCCACACTAAATTTATCGGACATACTGAGCTAATTGCATAATATTCAATCATGGCTTGCTTGACCGCGAGTTGATAACGCCCTCATGGACTAGGAAAACGGAGCAAAGCCATAACGCCTGACATGCATACGTTTCTCTATTGTACACTATAGACAGAATATTTCCTAGCCGTCGGCAAGGCTCGCACCGGTCCTCTATAACTCAATGATACCGCCAAGCCGCATCTTATTACAACAGCATGCGCCTCGGGTCCTCAATGTACTCCTTGATCTTGACGAGGAACTGCACGGCCTCTCTGCCGTCCAGTAGACGGTGGTCATAAGTCAGGGCGAGGTACATCATAGGTCGGATCTCAATTTTGCCGTTAATAGCAACGGGCTTGTCTTTGATGGCGTGGAGACCGAGAACACCGCTCTGAGGCAGGTTGATGATGGGGTACCCATCAGCGAGCCGAAGACGCCTCCATTGCTGATGGTGAAGGTGCCACCGGCCATATCCTCAATAGTGAGCTTGCCGTCACGGGCCTGGAGAAGTGGATTAGTCTATGTCAATACATTAATACGGAGAGATGATGGCAAATACCTTCTTGCCTAGGTCGGCGATGGACTTCTCAATACCGACCATGTCCATCGCCTCAACGTTGCGGACAACGGGAGTAACGAGGCCCTTCTCGGTGGCCACAGCCACACTGATATCGACGTAGTCTCTGTAGACGATGGTGTCACCACCGTTTTCTCCCTCAATGGAAGCATTGACGGCAGGGATGTCTCGCATGGCCAAAACGCAGGCACGGGCAAAGGCACTCATGAAGCCAAGCTTGACTCCAGTCTTCTTGAGCACGTCGTCTTTGTACAGCTTGCGGAACTCCATCAGCGAAGACATGTCAACTTCGTTGAAGGTGGTCAGCGAGGCAGCCGTGTTTTGAGATTGCTTGAGACGCTCGGCAATTCGAAGGCGCATGCGGTTCATCTTGACGCGGCGCTCTTCCCGGCTGCCCAGAATAGGGCCCACACTTGAGGACGTGTCCTTTGCAGGTTGCGATTCCTTCTTGGGGGACGGCGAGTCCTTCTTGGGTTCAGGCGCGGGAGCCAGTTTTGACGGCTCAGGCTTTGACTCTTGCTTTGGCTCTGGCTTGTTCTGCTCTTTGGGCTCGGCCGGCGTCGCCTCCGTCTTGGCCTCCTCCTTGAATTCCGACTTGCTGCCCTCTGGCGGCGCACCACCGGCCTCGAGCTTGACTAGGTCCTGGCCAACAGTCACTGTGTCTCCTTCCTCGGCTAGAATCTCCTTGATCGTGCCAGCCTCGGTCGCATTAACGGCAACGTCGATCTGCAAGTACGTGAGTTAGTGTGTTACTAGCAGCGATAATTTTCGGGTCAATGTCCTTGCCTTGTCGGTCTCAATGCTGGCGATTTCCTCATCCTGTTCTACGTAGTCGCCAACTTTCTTGTTCCACACACTTAATGTACCTTCCGAGATGGACTCTGCCATCTGCGGCACTTTGATGATGGCATCGGCGTACGTGCGAGCTTGGTTTATCAGGGCGGGCAAAGGAACGCCTCGCAACGGTTGCCGCATTGGCCGGCGCAGCGACAAAGCCCGCGCCGCGGTGAGGATTCTTCGGGACAGCATCATGCTGAGCGTTTGAGGTTTATGTGGGACGGAGAGGAGTAAACACGAGAACCGGATGAAAAGGACGGGTTTTGCAGCCTCAAAGCGAGCGAATCCAAGCTCTTGCTATTTCAACGATAGGCAAGAATTGCGCCGAGCAAGTATCAACTTGGGAAAGAGCTGGAGCCTTCAACCCAAGACCTGCAATGGGCAAAGAGAGTCGATTATCGGGTAGTAATAGAAAGAAGTACCAACTGAAGCTTTGGGATTGTAGGTGATGTTTTATTTGACTCAATGCGATGCAAGTGCTGAAAGGTCTTGTTGGACAGGCTCCAAAAAACTTGGTCCCATACTACCTGTAGTGTGCTTTTAGTGCTGGATTGTTCCGGTAGGGGGCAAGGAGGTAGTCCTGACGACGAGCACCTGGGCATTAATGACGAATCAACGCTGCTGCCATTCAAACAACATACCCGAAGTACCACAGGTACCGACCGACTTCACCCGGCCACTGGGGAAGGTCTGCTCGATGGCTCCTCAAGCTGCAAGTGGGCCCAGCAGGTGGGCCCTCTGAAACAGCGGCGATTGCCAATTGCCTCAGCTAGGTTTGGCCGGCAAATTGTAGTTCCGGTCCTACAGAGCTCCCCATCCACTGAAAGGCACTTTGGACCTTCCTTGCTGTACTGCGGGTCGACTTGTCGCGATACTAAATGACAACATTTCCACTCCCAACGACCACACTTCGAATTGGAAGAGCCAAAGGCTCACGATAACCACCCAACTGTGACCAAGAAAGCCTCTATCGCTGCATCGAAGTAAAGCGAAAACGACAACATGTCGACTCGCCAGGCTGCACTGTAAGCTCATTCCGCTTCCACCAATAAAAGCCGAGTCTAAATAATTCGCCTCCTAGGTCGCTCTACCGACGAACTCTCAAACTCTCTCTCAGCTGGGCAGTGCACAGGCATCTCTACAGAGGCCAGGCGCTATATATTCGGTCTCTTTTCGAAGCGAACCGGCATGTCACAGATCCTCGCAAACAAAGAGTAAGTCTCACGATGGCAACCGATGGACGAGAAAGGAAGCCAGGCTGACATAGGACGCTGTAAATAGGCACTGCTGGGAGAGACGGAGAAGTTGCTAGAGACTTGGAAGCATCCAGACCCATATACCCCTCCTACAGCACCAGGAGGTATGTTGAGAGGCGCAAGTCTGGTAGAGGTTGCTGGGCAAGAGATGCTGATGTCTTTCGCAGGATCTAAGTACGAGAGAAACCTGCCAGTACACTCAACCGACCGTGAGTATCCCATTTTCCAATCTAGCATCACATGGCTGCATCCTACTGTGCATCCATGCATGTCTGTAACTGACAACTTTCACAGCACCGCCGGATTTGAAGTTTTAAATGGGAACATGGCTAGATTGAAGATGGGCAGCGCCGAGTTGTACATACAAACTGTAATTTGCGCATAGTCCTACATCAATGACGAAAAGTTGCCCAATAGCATCAGTTACACATTGCCTATATTTATCCTTTATGCCTGCCAAGCTCTCAGTTAATTAGAAAGTACTGAAACCCATTCTACCCTACTCACTGTCAACTTCCTATATCTTCCTAGTTGCAATGGGATGACGAATAAATGTCATGGGCATTGCTATCTTCGGTAATTTGTGCCTGGAAACTCATCTAAAGTGGATGTGATTTGGAATATCTCTAAGACATATGCCAAACCCCAAGTATAAAAGATGCAACCCATCATCACTGGAAAGTTGATGGCGAAGCCCAACCACCCGGTCAAACAGTTCACAATGCAAAAGACCGAAGATACCAAGTTTTGCGTGTTCAGAAATTCTCATTCGTGTCCATTGCCCAATGGATTATGTCTGTAATGTACAACCCATACGCATTCGCAATTGCGTGAAAATCAAACCGTGACCCAACCGTGACCCCATGGTTCATGAAACGTCCCAAACAGCCAACCAGAAAACACAAACATCACCCACATTACAACTCTTGGCTACCGGCGTTCTTGCCAGTCTTGCCAGTCTTCTTGGGCAGCAGGTCTGGAGACCAATGTTAGATAGAGATTCGATTATCATGCGAATGTAGAACTTACTCTGGTGAATGTTGGGCAGGACACCGCCTTGGGCGATGGTGACGTGGCCGAGCAGCTTATTCAATTCCTCATCGTTGCGGATGGCGAGCTGGAGATGTCTGGGAATGATACGGGTCTTCTTGTTGTCACGGGCAGCGTTACCAGCCAGCTCGAGAATCTCAGCAGCCAGGTACTCAAGCACAGCAGCCAGGTAGACAGGAGCACCGGCACCGACACGCTGGGCGTAGTTGCCCTTGCGGAGCAGGCGGTGGACACGACCGACAGGGAATGCCAGACCGGCTTTAGAAGACCGACTGAAGACGAAACGTCAGCACATAATGCCCCATGATCAAAGCGAATTAGATGAGCACTTGATAGACAGTTCCACATATCAAACGCGTCAATCTGGGTCGAATTTCAAGCCCAAGATGTAACCAATAAGGGATGAAAACACTGGAATGCGTTTTTAAGGCAATACTCACGACTGCGCGTTCTTGGCACCACTGGCCTTGCCGCCTGATTTGCCGCCTCCAGTCATTTTGATGGTTGGGTTAAAGTGGAAGTTGTGATTCTTTGGAAGGTGAAGGTCGAAGACGACAGATGCTACTGAAGCAGAAGATGCGGTGATGAATATGCGTTGAGTTGTTGTTGCGCAAAGATGGTTTGGGAGTAGGAGGGCGCTGAAGGTTTGGTGGGGGAGAGCTGCTTAAGTAGTGGTCGCGTCAACGTGCCGGAATCACAGATCAGACAATAAAGGCTGCTAGTCCCAATTAGGCCGAGATTTTGGGGAGGCGCCACCTTCGGTCAAAAAATAATTGAATAATGCACCTGCGCCCCGCTAACAAAGAAATCGTCTTCACTGACTGGAAAATCGCAAGCGCAATGATATACACACAAGCCTGCAAGGCACGGGTCATCACATGCACCTGCCTCAGGCTCCTGAGCAGACTCTAAGACAGGTACTTGCCTTTAGGTACTCTCTGAGGTTTGAATGTGCCAGCAATTCAATTCATCTCGCATCCATTTTCAGACTGTGATTGCATTTTCTCTCATTTTATTACTAGACCCGACCACCCACGTCCCCTCAACCTTTTTAATGTTCTCCTCTTTATTTTTGATAAAGCTGCTCCAGATTTCTGATGCTGCCCAACTCTTGTCTTGTTTACCTCCCGAGTTACTGATTTCCGATTCCTCTTGACGCGTCTTGCTCTGATGAAAATTTGATCTAGATCACACGCCAACCTCGTCATTCATTCATGTCAGACATTTATTTCTACTTTCATTCTTCGATGCAAATTATGATGTTGGTTTGGTGATGTTGAGGCATTCGTCGCATCTGATGGAATTGGACTTCCGCATTGGGCTATGTTGGTCTGATCCAGAGAACCCTGACAAGCGTGGACAGAAATGGTGCGTCCCGGAATGCTTTGGGTTTTCCTGTGCTCTTGTACTGGAGGCGCCATTGATTATGTCTTTTGGCTTTCTTGGGAAGTTGAAGATCATTGACGAACGGATGGATAGGAAACAAGGGGCCATTTGAATCTTCTGGAACACTTTTGTCCAGATCAGGACCATTTGGTACAGATTTGGGGGCTTATGCACCTTTTTGGGGGCCTTGGATGGAGGTTGAATATGGGATTCCATTGAAGCATTGGATCATATCGTGGGTCTGACATGGGTTTGGGACTTCAATACCAAGATGCCAGGTCGTACATAGTGGAATTAGATTTTGAATGGAGTCATTTATACCACTTTTGCTCAACTCACATGTAACCCGCTCTTTATGACTTCCCCGGATATCTGGGGGACACTACCGCCCTTCCCCGGTTTCTGGGACAGGGTCAACGAAGCGGGCAAGAGTCAAACTTCTGGCCCGGGACTGTGGAAGAGCGGATACCAAGGTGGCGATGGCTTCATTCGTGACTAAAGGGTACGCCTACGTATGATTTACGTAGTCTCTACCTTGTCCCATTGGCTGCTTGACAGTGTGTTCACGGCTGCAGTGGTGTGTACTCATCAACGCCCATGGCTGAAGGTAAGGCTGCAAGCCATTAGATAGATCTTCAAAGTCAATCCACCATGCCCGCTTGGGTACAAGCTCCAGGCTGCAGCTGCCAAACTGTGACACCGTCTGCACTGTCTGGGCGTCAGATGGATATATCAATTTGAATCCAGACCAGCCTCGTGCTTGCGTGATGGGAAAATGGAAAGATACGAAAATGAACTATTTCGAATTATCTGATTGGCCACTAGATGCCTCATTCCCCAATATTGCCTGATTCGGTCCACTGTTTTGGTCTTAGAAAAGGTGTGGAGCTCGATATATGGAGGCCTGTGCTTCTTTTGGGACGCGGCGCGTGTATTTTTTTGAGGTACCAGAATCGAGGTACCGCCTTTTTTTGCGTGCACCCAGCCTTCTGCTCAAGGCGTCGTGAATCATCCGCAATTGCAATCAGCACTGGCGCTAGTGCCCCTCGCGTCCAGCTACAAAAGGACCTCACCACCCCCCATCCAACGTTTCTGACGACAACCTTCAACTTTCATCAACAACCTCTGCCAGCAACCACAGCATTTGGAATTCATTCCACCTACATCAACTCACTAAACTCATCCTTTTTATCAACTTCACCAATCTTCAAAATGCCTCCTAAGGCCGCTGACAAGAAGCCCGCCTCCAAGGCCCCGGCCACTGCCTCTAAGGCTCCCGAGAAGAAGGATGCCGGCAAGAAGACCGCGGCTACTGGTGAGAAGAAGAAGCGCACCAAGGCGCGCAAGGAGACATACTCCTCTTACATCTACAAAGGTGAGTTCACTACTGGTCCATTTCGCTGTATTTCCAATATTCATGATCCTGATTGGCGCGTCTTTTCGCGCCTTGCTCACGCGATTTACTATTTGAATCGTATGGCATTGTACTGATTTTCCCGTTTCATCCAGTCCTGAAGCAGGTCCACCCCGACACTGGTATCTCCAACCGCGCCATGTCCATTCTCAATTCCTTCGTCAATGGTGAGTCGCACTGCAACGTGTTAGACGCGTGATTCTTCCCAACGTCACCCTCATACTAACCCGACACTACAGACATCTTCGAGAGAGTCGCCACCGAGGCCTCCAAGCTTGCTGCCTACAATAAGAAGTCAACCATCTCCTCCCGAGAGATCCAGACCTCTGTCCGCCTGATCCTTCCCGGTGAGCTCGCCAAGCACGCCGTGTCGGAAGGCACCAAGGCAGTCACCAAGTACTCTTCGTCCACGAAATAAGTGTTCCGTTTGGTTTGGAGTGGTTTCTTTTGGGCATGGGATATGCGCTTGCTTTTGGCATCATGATGAGATTTGGCCAGGGCGAGTTGACATCCCGATTGACATGACATCGATCTTTGGGAGTCTCAATAATGCGTTACGGATGGCTTTGATTTTAGGGGGCAAATGTCCTTGCACAACGGTATGGGGTTCGCGGCTGTACAATACACTTTCCCGATAGGGTACAGGAATGACATCTGAACATGAACAAAACAAAACAAATGCTCCTGTCTGAAAACCAACCATATCCAGATCTGTCTTGGGCGGACCACTTGGGCTGCGATCACCACTTTTATTGTCGGCTTTGCATCTGTTAGCACCGTTCGGCATTTATACATCTCTTCTAACACCAGAATCAATACTGGAATCAGCGCTGGGCCTGCAATTCTCGGCATCCAAACCCTGCTGTCTGAGCATCAACTGTGAGGTTTCGAAATGAAGCTGAATCTTGAGAGGGCGAGATCTCCGACAGTAGTGCAGTGCAGCATCGACTTGCTCCGAAGCGACCAATTTGGGGGATCCTTCGGGCGGTATCTTTGGCCGATTTATTGCGGCTAGCATCTATGTTAGTGGACAGCGAATCAATTGGAATCGGGAAACGCGACTTATATATGGGTTCACACAAGTTGAAGAAGGGTCATATTAGAACAAATCGACGAGGTGCTCGGGCGTGGCTCATGGCGCTCAAGTTAATCACTTCAGCGATGTCAACTTTGGTCCATGACAATTACATTCATACGGTGCTAGCAACTTTTGTGCAATGTGGCATCTTGGACGGGGAAACACATACTGTTAGTTTGAGGATATGCCATGACTCGAAAAGGACAGTGGGGTATCTCCATCTAGTATGGGGATACTGAAGAAGCGCCGGAAGCTTTCCAGTATATTTTTGGGATCCTACTACTCACCGGTGACTCATTGATCCGTGAGAACTTATTCGGAACGGTTATCTGCATTTCTGATGGAAGTCATCTGTGGTCTATTCCCAGAAATTGGGCAATACTAGACATTGCGTCTGAGCGGTTTTGTCTGGGTTTGGTATCTCGAGGAAGTGAGCGTATTTGAAATGCAAGAAAGACCCAGCTTCATGGTTTCTATCTCTGGCTATGTCAATTTCCGTCATCTATGGTATGGGTTGTTTTCAATGGCTAGCATCTTGGTTTTATAAAATTGTAATTCAACCATAGCTCCGTTCGACTTTTTGCGAAGCTTGATTCTGCTATCTGTGCAGGTGTCATCTGCCATATGAGTATTGTTGTATGAAATAGAACCGTTGACGTCGCCAAGTCTAGCACAACTCCGAGTTGAGAAACTCCACTCCTTTTTGCTTGGAAGTCAAGCTGCCTGGCCTTGTTCTAATTCTGATGCTTGGGATAGCCTCCCCCTATCCATTCGTTGACGACCCAGCCCAATTCTGGAATGTGGACACGACCTTCTATTTTCGTTGTTAGGCCTGTTCTGATGATAACCTTGATGCTGATCTTGGGCATGAACCTAGGTATCGCCCAAGCCGGCTTTGGTCTTCTTCACCACGTGCATGACAGGCACCATAATGCCCTTGTTTTCGCCGGTCCCGAGGGTCATTCCCTTAGACCAGCCCATCTTCTCCAGTAGTAGCCTGCCCTTGTTCCCTGTACCTAGCTCAGCTGCATGTTGACCAACCACTTCGCCTTCGCGGTAGCTGATAGCGTTGCGGCCGCGATCCATTGTGGTGGTCTCTTTGCGCGATCTCGACTTGTGTTCCTTAATAGCTTCCGCATCCGCATCAGCGCGGGCATAGTACGACTGGTTGAGAAAGCGTCTGGTTGCTGATCTGACGGCTTGGTCGTCGTACTGGATAGTTGCCTTGGTACGATACAGGATGGGATAACGACTGTTTCCTTTGCCAGCTGACTGCGTCTTAATGCCAAGTCGCTGGCAGGCCATGTGGATGAGGCGACGGGCCGCCTTTTCGAGCGGTGGAAGGATAAGCCTGTAAAAACTGTCAGTGCTGGCCGTCTGTGAGAAGAAGGATGGGGATCACTTACTGCTCCTTATCGCCTAGAAGAAACTGCTCCAACTCGTAGGTGAGGTCATCGGTCCTCATGCCCGCAGAATACTTGATTCGAAGATCATCAGGATCGACGTTCTTACCGAGTAATCCTTGGGCACGGAGAGCCTCTCGCTGCTTCTTCTTTTCCGCCTTCGTAAGACGGTCCCTCTGCCAAGCCAAATTCATCGCTTCCTCCAGCTCCGAGTCTGATACTTCCGGAGGACTGGACTTCCGTTTCTTAGTAGAGAAGTTGTTGAGAGCCGGGCGATTCCAATCCATAAGGTCCAATTCTCCGTCGATTGCGTTTGCCAACTGCGTTGCACTGGGGTATTGCCCCTTCTTCTGGATGATCTTAGCCTTAAATGATGCACCCTTCTTCTTACGACGAGGGCTGAGCTTCGGGGCAATCTGCCATCCGCCTTCTCCATCGTCGCCTTCGTCATCTGCACCATCGTAGAGCATGATATCATCAGCATCGAGGCCTAGCTCCTCTTGATTGGCCAGAATCCGGGCCATTCTCTCATCAGCAAGCTCGGCCTTGCGATGTATACCGACAGAATCTTCGTCGCCGCTAGACTTATCTTCACTGGCATCATCTTCAGATCCAACCTCGGGAACTGCGTCGCTATCGGTGCCTCCGAGATCTCTGAGCATGTGGAAAGCATGCGAGCCAAGCCCCGGATGCCCCTCCTCTTCACCTTCATTGTCCATGTTGGCTATATAATCAGCAATAATGGCCGCCTCCTCTTCTGACTGAGTATTTCTTCGGCGTTTTTGAGATTTTGACTGCAGCTTGTTCTCTTCGGGACGGACCTTGTCCAGCTGTGAGGGCCCCGAGTTAGAAGGTTCCTCAAGCTGAATCGTCTTCTCTACGACTTTGATCTCTACATCCAACTGGTTAAGTTTCATTGAGTCGAGACTTTTCTTGGGTGTATTAAAACCAGCCAAGTTCGTCGCAGCCTTTCCTCGAGCTGCACCGCGGCCTTTGAAAAGGATGACGTCTTCACTGGAATCCGTGTCAGGACCCTCGTTATGATCATCCGGTATGACAACAGCCGGTTGTTTCTTTGCACATAGTCCTTTGTCACCCTCAGTATCTACAGTAAAGAGCTGAGATGGGGACGGGCCGCGAGCATCTTTGGGCGTCATGGTGGTTTCCACGGGCTCAACATCCTTGGAGTGGATGGGGATTTGGTCAACGGGGTCCTTTTCGACGCTGGAGCTAACACTCGTGGTTTCAGATACTGCTAGTTTCGTCACAACCTGTTGCTCCTGCGGAATTTGGTTCGCTTCTTTGTGCTGGGCTTCGAGGTCTTTTTCGAGGTCCTTCAAAGGGTCCATGAAGCCTGCACTGACAAATTTGACTGGCTGACGTCTCAGCTTCGAATCTTGCCCGAAGAGGCCACGCGGTCTCTGTGCCGTGTTTCTAACCTCGTCGGCAAGAGTGTGACCTGGGAACTTGTGAGCAACTACAATCCTGACGTCAATAAGTGCGTTAAAATATACCACGACGACCTGCTCTGGAGGGCGATGCCGATGAAGCATTCTGGTTGGGTCCGTCTAGCCAGGGAGCTACAGGCCGCTGTACCTGCTGGGAAGCACCGTGGCATGACGGTAGAGGTTGTGAAATGGGCCCCTTCGAACGTTTTCCTTTTGGATTATTGCGATTTCGCGCCATTTTGGATGATGCGGTAGTAATGGTCGAGGTGAAGGTGAGTTTGAGGGATAATTATTGACTTAAACGGAAAAGAAGGACTCAGGGCGACCTGAGGTAACTCGAGGTAGAGATGAATGTAGTTGTAAGTAGACTCATGTGGTTGAATATGCCCTGAAAAAGAGTGAAAAAGCCAATGCAGGTTGATGACGACGTGGTGATTGTGGCTTATTCAATGAGGGCAGATGAATCCGCCAAACTCTCTCTGACGAGTCAGGATGTTAAAGCAGGAATAGTGATTCTATACACAGGCTATTTCCAACTTGGTCAAACTGTTTGCACCCGACGATACAGGATTCGGAATATCAAACATTCAAACGGGGATGTCATAGGGTAGCCTCGCACACTGCTCGCTAGCTTTATCGATAGCAAATGAGGGGCAAGCACGGCCCCCACTACTGTATCTTATTTGAGGTACCATGCTGTGGGGTCTTAGTAAAGCCTGAAGTTGCTACAATCCCCCAGGGTAAAGGTTGTTAGCGTGACGCCAGGCATGAAGATAGGTTAATCAGTATCCTGTAAGCAGTTTCCTATGTGAGCGTGACTGTTGGTCATATCAATTCTTTGCTGGGGCTATTGCTTCACCAAAATTTACTGCAAAAAAAGTTCATGCCTGGCGCGGCACTAACAACATCTACCCTGGTGGGTTGTAAAGCCAACGTTTGGCAACCCAGTGTGGGCAAGAGACAAGTCTTGCTGAAAAGACGATTCCACTCCAGCGTCAGAACCCAGCCTGTAGGAAGGGACCACTCGCTAAATCCGGAGTCAAGATGAAGCTGGCAGGCAGGCGGACAATCCACATGATTGACTCCAAGTCCCTCTGCACTGCCCGGTTCAACCTCCCAAGTAACAGACAGCAACTTCCTCATAATGACCTACCTCCTCTACTTCCTTTAAAGTATTTACCTCTCCGGGTACCAAGTTATCCAACTTCGAAGCTTCAGAGGGCGATCTACGTTATAGCTGGGAAGTGTTTCTCAGTGCATCTTACTTGAGTACTGTCTGTTCCAGTTTATCCCAGTGTGCTACCCACGTCATTCCATCCCCTCTCGCTCCAGTTGCTGCTTCCGGGGCTAACCTGGAGCAGCTGTGCTCAATATCGGCCGTGTATAGCTAATTTATTGGGAATCACTCGCTCTCGGGGTTCACTTGCTAAGTCGCACCCTGCCCTTCGTATCGCGTCACAATTCTAGAGTAGAACACTGCGGCAAAATAAACAAAGCTCAAAGCTGCCTCGCGAATCGCCTCAGACCAGAACCTTGACCTTGAACCTTCAACTCTTTCACATCCACAACCGCAACACAACAACTCGTCCTCATCGAAACGTCCGCGATGGATGCCACGTTGGATGTTGGGCGACGGCTCGTTCAAATGCTCTGGGATCCCGAGCCGACTAACGACATCGTTCGCGACCAGCCCGTGTGGTGCCTAGGCTCGTCCTACAAGCTCAACACCTCGCCTAGTCTGAAACCCGCTGCTACATCAGCAGCATCGACCGCATCCCCGGCTGCCGAAACCACATCCAAGTCCCCCGTTCAAGCGCCGACCAAGCTCCCCGAAACGCCTCCCGACTCGGCAGCTAGCAGTTTAGACTCGTCGCTCGCGTACGAGGAGGCCCCTCGCGATGGAGGCTGGCCCCCGGCCTTCCTTGATGACTTCGAGTCGCGCATATGGATGACGTACCGATCCGAATTCCAACCCATCGCCAAGTCGACCGACCCCAAGGCTCTTTCTGCCCTGTCTTTCTCGATGCGTCTGAAGCAACAGCTCTCGGACGCTAGTGGCTTTGCCTCAGATAGCGGATGGGGCTGCATGATCAGATCTGGCCAGAGCCTGTTGGCCAATGCTATGGCCATGCAGCTTCTGGGACGAGGTATGTGTTGGCCGCATCATGTAGTGGTGTAGTGAAGGTCCTGGCTAATTCAGAGGTGCAGACTGGCGCAGAAAGACGCGCGAAGACGACGAGAAGCAGCTCTTGTCTATGTTCGCCGATGACCCGAGAGCTCCCTATTCCATTCATAATTTCGTGCGACATGGCGCGATAGCCTGTGGAAAGTACCCTGGCGAATGGTTCGGACCGTCGGCCACAGCCAGGTGCATCCAGTGAGTCGACGTTTCGAGTTTGAGGTGACATTTTGTTTACTGACCATTTTTCCAAGAGCCTTGACCAATGCGAACGAATCGACCCTCCGAGTCTACTCGACTGGCGACGGCCCCGACGTTTACGAAGACAAGTTCATGAACATCGCCAAACCAGACGGGGCGGCATTCCACCCTACCGTCATCTTGGTGGGCACGAGATTAGGTATTGACAAGATCACACCAGTATACTGGGAAGCTCTCGTAGCATCGCTGCAGATGAAGCAATCAATTGGCATTGCAGGGTGAGTGTTGAATGCCATCTTTTTACGATTTCTTTGGAAATATGAGCTTTAACGTAACTTCGCAGAGGCCGACCATCATCATCACATTACTTCATTGGGGTTCAGGGTCTCAATTTCTTCTACCTAGATCCTCATAATACGCGTCCAGCACTGCCCTACCACGAGGATCCCGGAAACTACACACCCGAGGAAATCGATACTTGCCACACGCGGAAGCTGCGTCGACTGCACATTAAGGAGATGGATCCTAGCATGTTGATAGGCTTTCTTATTCGTGATGAGGAGGACTGGAAGGACTGGAGACGAAGCGTCAAACATGTCCAGGGTAAGACCATCATCCATGTTTCTGATCACGACCCCGTCGCGCAAATGGGTGCGCAAGATAGTGCCATCGCCCAGGTCGAAGCTATGAGCGACGACGACGATGATGCCGTCCAGTACGTTTAGCTACTAGTGGGTGGGTTTATGTTTTCCAACTTCCTTCGTCAGTATCGGAGTTGTCATGAATGGCGTTACTATGCTCCTTGGGGGGCAGGAGTGCTTCACATGTGAAATGAAGGATAGTGTACATGCTGTCTTTGACGAGGCTTTGAATTGATGAGACCTCGCAATTTTCAGGCTCACTCTGCTAGTCATGCTCGCCTGGAAGTCAGTCATGAAAGTGGTCAATGCCATCCTAATTACTGATATGACATTGCTATCTACGTTACGCATACTTTTTGATATGAATTCTGCCTAATTTTTCAAGTATTTTCTCGTAACTCATAACTGGTATCATTCTTGTCCCTTTTTGGGGTGGATATAGCCTTTCGCAAAGGGCATTTGTTCGACATCATGTCCTTGTCGCGTCGTTCTACCCAGCCACGCGACGTGCTAACTGCTCGATTCCGAACGGCAGTGGCATGGATGATAAGTGAGTATCCATGGTTGGAATCAATAGAGACCCGGGGTTCGGTCAATGTGATTGAATCATGTTGCTGTTGTCAATGTCGTCACTTTCTATTTTTGCCCGACTTGCCCGGCTTGATAAACTGGACTGCAATATTGCCCGAAAGAGGTGCTGCATGGCGTTCGGCTTTCAGATGGTTGAATAGGTTTGTTTTGGAGTTGAACGTCTCATTGCAGACAGCGCATTTATGAGAAACGCCTTGTTGGTCCAGTGCAGTTTGTTTTGCTGCCCTTTTCTCCCTCTTGGCTTTCGCCTTTCCTAATTTTCTGCCTGCCGTAGAGTCTTTTATTAACACATCGCCGATTCGGCCTGAGAGCTCGTTCAAGTCATCCTGATCGTCTCTCAGTAGGGGGTTGGATTTGGCCGATGTCAGGCGTTCTTCCACAACGGCTCTATCAACATAATCGTCGTTATCAGTTTCGGTTTCGGAACTGATATTCGTCGCTTTTGAGCTTGTAGCCTCTGTCGCTTCAGTCTCGGCCCTGGATTCTGCTCCAACGTGACTTGAGCTGTCCTCAAGTAGCTCTGGCTCGACTTCGTATTCTTTTGATATTGGGGCGGCAGCAGGTGAGATCGACGTGGAAGGCTCCTCGAGATCAAGCCCCGCATTCTCCTTTTTCATCTGCCACCTGAGCTGTTGCACCGCCTTGGCGTGTTTCTTGCTCTTCTCGTGCACTTCATACTGCTTTTCCGTCTTGAATGTCTTGTTGCACACGACACACTCGAGAACCTCAACCTCAGACTCATCCTCGCTCTCAGAGAACTCGCCCTCGAGCCCGTTGTCATCACCACGAGACTGTGCCCACTCGGGCATCACAAACTGGTTGGTTTTGTCCTGATTGGCCGCTCTAGACCTCGCGGCCTGGGCGGCGGCGGCATCTCTCAGAATCTTTGCTCGTTCGACTTCCGACTGCGTGTTGGGGACGTAGCGCGGATCTCGTTTCCGCACGAAGGCGACGAGTGATCGCACAGCTTCGCTGAACTCGGCTCTTGTGTCCTCGCGCAGCTTTTTGTTTTCCTTTTCCATGAGCCGACGTACCCTTCGGTCGGGGGCGTCTGAGAGCCGCCATTTGTTCTTCCAGCCAAAACTCTTCTGCGTCTCGAAATTCGTCCAGGCCTTGTAGAAGGGCTTTGCGACAGTGTCGAAGTCGTCATTGGCTGAGCCAAACGAAGGGTATTCAACGACATTCTGACCATCCCAATCGCAAGCCGCGACCTCCTGCTGTGCCAGTGAGTCGAAGGTTTCGGCCAGTATGCCAAAGAAGCCGGTTGGGGCATCAGTGAAGGGTACGGATTTGTTGAAGCGGCCGATCAGGTTATAGAGTTCTTCGGATGTGGTCATGCGGATGTTGTAGTACTCCGGGGTAGCATCGGCATCGCTGGGGTCAGCACCGCGCAAGATGCTGTCGCGATGCGAATCGTACCATGATCGTTCTTGGGCGTCGGAGAGGACTTCGTAGGCGGATTGGACTTCGGCAAATTTTACAGTTGCATTCTCAATATCGCCATAGTTGCGGTCGGGGTGAAGCTCCAATGCTTTCTTTCGGTATGCCTTCTTGATCTCGACGTCGGTCGCTTGGCGCTCTACTCCGAGGAGTTCGTAGTAGTCTGTCTTCTGGGGCGCATCGTTGTTGGTTGCTGACCCTGCTCCTCCTCGGCCAGACGACTGTTCGTTGCCCATCCCTAGTCAATGGAGAAGATACCAGCACAAGACTCTGAAAAGAATTAACGTGCACTTTGCACAGTCTCTGAAGTTCCTGTTTGCTATGATATGTGCAACGGTGTATATGTTATCGCCATGCCGTTCTCGACTTTTTCGCTATGACTACGACAAATCGCATTCAACGCCTGGCCAGACTTGGCTCAATGTCCAAAAGATATTAGGTACTTGTAGAACCCCGCGGTGCAGGGATAGCGATCGGGGTATTGGCGTCTGAAATGGCCGGGATCGGGCCCAACTTCAAACCTCTGGCAATATCACATCTGATATACAGTCACTGGACTTTTATAATTCAGAGAGCTTTTACAAATATTTGGGTAGAACTGAATCGCAGAAGATATATTTATACCTCTTAGAGTGCTTCATGATAGATTCAGCAGATATATTGGGTAGTGCAATACAGTGAACACCTCAAAATTCTAGAGTACCTATGTACTTAAAAATACCTTTCAACCATAGTGGACAGCCCTGGAAATGCCTAACATCAGCAGCAAAGCATGCCCTTCCCACTTAGGAATGCCAATGTGATCTTTGGCGTCAGGATAACTAGTATAAGTTAACATAGAATAGTCGTAAGAGAACGAGATATCCTTACCACTCCTGCAGGCGAGATCTCGTCATCTTCAGCCCTACCAAGAACATGGTATCCCAGCTGTCTGTAGCAGGTGATTGTGCGACGCTTCGGTCACGGGCCGACAACTGGATCACTGCGCTACCAACTGGAGAATCTAGAGTCGGGTTCGTTGGCCGAGTTCATCTCAATAAAACCTCGACCATCCTTTGTAACCGGTTCTTGTCTTGATAGCCTTACAAACATTTATGATTTCTGATATACTAGGTATTCAGTCTCTCTTTTCTCTCATTTTTTATTTTTTAAAACCCCCCTCCCCCATCAAGGTATCTGCGCGCCACCGACTTCTGTAAATCCGCAAGCCGCCGTGGGATTCGCCTCTCAGGTGTACTTTGTTGTCAACGCACTGCTTAGATAAGCTCTTCGTTGCTTTCCAAGACTTCGCAGCACCCAAAGCAGAGGTTTGTCGCCTGTCAGAAGTGGGATGAAGTTTGCGCAAGAGTTCAAGAGATCTCTTCAACGAGAAGGTAGGTCGACAAGGCACTTGTGGCCTTGTAGAGAAGCCATGAGAGAACATCGCTGCTAACCCTTCGTGATAGGATTCCCTCAGAAATGGATTGATTCGGCCATACCGTATGGCCAACTCAAAAAATGCTTGAAGAAAGTAACCAACGAGCTGCAGTACCTAGGCCTGGACAAAGATACTTTGGCTCAGCTGGCGGCTGGCGATGTGGGCTTTCACTACGAGCTCGACGAGGAAACAGGTCAATCCAAGAAGCATTTCCGGCCGCGTCTGACCGTCTTTGTTCATCTTCAGGATGGTGTGGCCGTTGATGCAAAGCTCTCGCCCAACACCAGGGATTTTCTGCTCAGGATAGCCTCCAAACAAGTAGGCCACCGGGAAGGGTCACCAGATTCATCCGCGCGCCGCAGTTTGACTCCCACGAACTATAAAGATATTAGTCACGGAGACGCGTCAGCCATCGCAGAAGGTCTCTCTGCAGTTCAGCAGGTTGAGGTCTCGCTTGTTTTTGATGCAGAATTTTTCGATATCCTGCAAACCGACGTTTTAATCCTCGACACGCTGCAAGAGGAAGAGGAGAAGCGGATGAAGGGGGAAATAACCGCCTTGGGTCAAGTCATCACGCATACGACCAAGCCTTCCCTAGGTGGAAAGGCGAAGGGTGATTTGGCCAAGTGGAGGGACATCTTCGAGCTCTACCTAGATGCCCGCATCTTCTTCTCGACGCGCGAAACCGACCACGGCGCGAGAACTAGTACGCAGGCCTTGAAACAATTACAGTGGTTCCAGGATGAGGTCCTCAAACGGAAGCTGGTACAAAACCTCAAGCTTGAGGCGAGTCGGGATGCATTTAGCCGTTTCCTCAACATGAACGCTTTCTTATTGCAGAACCTCAAGTTCCAGGAGATCAACCAAGTGGCCGTGAGGAAGATTCTTAAGAGTGAGTCTTCTAAACACGCAGGGGTTTCGTGACCAAGTATTGACTGAAATTTGCAGAATTCGACAAGAGAACAGCTTTAGGAGTGGCCAAGACGTTCCCCGTCGTCGTTCACTCCGATCACCTACTCGCCGGGAGCTTGGCCAAGGATTTGTGTGCCCAAGTATCTAGCGAGATTATTTCGACCGTTCCGCAACTCGACGACTACCTCTGCCCCATATGCTTCGCGGTGGCGTACTGGCCCATTCGGCTACACTGCGAACACATCTTTTGTAGCCGCTGTTTGGTCAAGATGCAGAGGAAAGGCGAAAGATTCTGTCCTCTATGTCGGGGTGACGTCATTATGCGAGCTGGTTTGGGTGAGACCGCTGCTATTATTCATTGCAATACTCGGAAAGAGGCTGACAAACTATAGACAACTTCGACACTAAACACGCGGCTTTCTTACGAGAATATTTCCCCAAGGAGGTCAAGGAGAAAGTGCGAGCAAATGAGTTAGAACGTGGAAAGGAGATCTTTGGACCCGATTACACCGATAGACCTTGCTCTGTGATGTGATGGGAAGCACCTGGGTTCCACACAGGCACGTTTGTACACAGTGGAGGGAAATTTGCGCCGAGGGCTGTTCTCTCAGAAAAGAGATGACCTAGTTTCCGGAGGCTACGAGTTTAACGAGTGATACCCCAGTACTGATTACGATTTCACTTCCAAAACGAGTTGGCATCAATGCCGCACGAACCTGCCATCGCGAGACGACAGGGATTGGGACGTCTATGCAGGCCTGATGTAGATTGCCATTCTTGTTATTGGGGATGCCGACGCGTTCACATTGATATATCCGAGTAGTCCACTACGAGGTAATTATTCCAAGCTGGCTCCTACATCCTGTATTCGTCACTATGTCACTGCGCGCACTGGTCTACATCATCCAACCATGCCAACCCATTGTGTCACATGCTTGCCCCCTCCGTCGCCTTGAGCGCCTCAAGGAATATCGTCTTCAACTGCTCCGTTTCTTCCAACCCAACGCTTATGCGGAGCAAGTTGGGATCTACCCCCATACTAGCAGCCCACTCCAGCTCTCCATAATGGGCCAGAATCACGTAGGGCGAGGTTAGAGTGAAATTTGTGCCTAGGCTCGGCCCCTTGGCCGTATGGATAGCATCGAAGAAAGCAATAGCTTGTGCCTTTTCCTTGAAAACACAGGAGAGTAAGCCACCGTAACCGCCCCCAGGCGATTTGCAGGCCTCATAATTTGGCCGGTCCTTGTTGTACTTGGGATAGTAGATTTTGGACACGCTCTGGTGCGTCAACAGGACCTCGCAGATGGCCTCGGCATTCGCGTTAACCCTGTCGATTCGATTGATGAAGTCACGGCTGTTCCTCTCCATGAAGAGAATATCTTCGGCCCAGTAGGTGTCGTCGAATTCGGTTTCCAGTGTTGTTTTGAGTGTCTTGTAATAACGGCTGTTGGGATTCAAGACAATGCTTCCACCCATAACATTACAATCTCCTGAGAATATCTTGGTCAGACTACTCACAACGACGTCGGCGAATGGAAGCACGTTGATGTTAACGAAGGTGCCGATCGTCTCGTCTACAACGACAGCGAAGTCGTATGCATCCGCCAACTTGCGGATCCGCTGCAAGTCCGGACACGACAGCATGGGATTTCCAGGGAACTCGCAGAAGAAACCGAGAAAATTTTCCCCATCCTTCAAACGAGTCTCGAGCTCATCCAAGTCCTCGGCCGCCCCATGACCATAGAAGAGACATCCTGGTCCCCATTTTTCCAGAATCTTGAGGGTGTCAACGTACGGAAACCCGAAGCTAATGCTCTTCCGCGGCTCCCGCGCCCTCAACAAGATCTGGTGAGTTTGAAATATTGCATTCATACCGCAGGGCAACAGGTAGATGTCATCCTCCCGGAAGTTAGAAACTCCACGGGCATTGGAATCCATGGCGGGTAGCTTGGTTGTCAAGTCAACGTCTCCAGTAAGCACGCCAGCAATACGACGTCTAACAGCAGATGTTGCATTTTCTACCAGAGAGATGTTGAGGTTCCTGCCATACCGCTCTTCGAGAAACTGAGAGCTCTCGAGGTTCTCGGTGGCCTCGTCGCTCAAGCCGGTCTTTTCTAGATCTTCATGACGGACCGTTCCGTTGGTATGATCGATGGAAGACGGGCGTTGATATCGTCGAGGACCACGGCACATCTTCTTGAGCCGCGGCGAATGTGGTGGCTGTTCCTGAATCAGGAGGCCGTCCTTGAATAAGCCGTGGCAGAATTCAGCTCGTCTGCTAGAAACGCCGTCCCCGGAGTGTTGCCAGTACTGTTTAAAAAAGGGGTGGGTGTCCGCTGGGTACAGAACGGCGGAGACTGCCGGCAAGACGTACTGTAGGACTTCTGGAGTGTTCTTGGTTGGGTCGAGGACAAGGTGAATTATTTCCACGTCGATCTTCTGAGCCGATCTCCGTTGTATGAACTCTAAACAGCGCTGAGCGATTTTTTTTGTTGGGAATAACATGGCTCGCTGGTTTATCCCTTTTCCGAATTTGACAACAATGTCATTGGCAAAAGCAATAATTCGCTGGTGAATAAAGAACCTGGGATACCCAGTGGTCATCTTATCCATGACCCATTGTTCCCCTTCCTCATAACCGACATTGGCCTCCCAAGTTGGGAGGGATACACTAACTGCCTATCAAAGTCAGTCAGTTTTTGAGCAGCTCTTAACGTGACGATGGCATAGACAGAGAGATTCAGCGACTAAAACAGCACGACAACCATGTCATCTCAGAACCCAATGGGCAAAGGTGGAATGACCACGGTCTCTCCTAAATGAATTCTGTTCCTTTACCAGCCGGGGTTGCAGTTCACTACAACGGCCCGGAACAAGACTTGTCCTTCACAGATTCATCCAGAGAATTCCGATTGGATTGTCTGATGAAATAAATGCACTATCATCCTTGCCATTGCCAAACCTGTTGTATCGGTTGTGATGGAGGTGGAATGGGCGTTGGTGGTCATCCCATATGTTCATGCCACTGATCCCGTCACCACATAGTTAGGCAAGTGTAACTCACATGGGCGGTGTCTGGAGGTATAGATTCACCAACGTCGAACATGCTGGCGAACTATATGAGTTGTCTTTGGAAATGAGTCTTGGTGGACTTTGGAAGGGTGTTAGACCACAGGGATCTGTGCTCTTCAGAATTCCGTACCCGCCACTGCTGAGTAAGCGCAGTGAACTTTGGTTCAAATTACAAAGCAAGGATGATGTTAATATAGTTGGAGCGCAATTAACAATGGATGTTGTTTAAAGGGGTCAAAATACGGCAGGTCTGGGGATGTCAATGTTGCTCACAAGCAGTCACTGAAAATTGATGCCGGGATCGGATGCATTGCAGAATTTTAGGCGCATGGCGCCATGCGGTACGCGGTACGGTGGTTTTACATACGCCATTGCCGTTCTGGGCGAAGTTTGGTTTTCTGGGGTGCCGCTTCGATGATGTCATTCACCAGGGCTGCCAAATAAAACAACCCGTCTAGACAGTATAGGCACTGACAGTCATTTGCATAATTTCAAGTCGGTCCAAGGTGATATGCAAGCCTCAGTTCAATACTTGTCATATCACAAGACATCAATTAATCTGCCAACAGAGTTAAGAACTACAGAGATCATACATTAAGAAACATACATGCATGCGAAACTCTCAGACCTGCAGAAAGAGGACACTGCTATGTTTCCATGCAACTTCTGGAGGAGAGTTGAGGTATCAAAAATTCCACTATGACCCCCGATCCTTCCAGAAGTGCCACGACATCAATCAACAACGTCATACTGCCCTGCCGCGACTCTAACACGAGATGGGACATCGAAGTGGCCCATGGTTCTGTGAAGACTATACAGCCTTGTGCTGATAATGGACCAAAATCCAATATTGTTCCCATCTTGCTGCCGGCGCTCTGCCATCCGCACATACATTTGGATAAGCCTTATATCCTCACTTGCAACCACACGCCTACACCCGCTCATCCCGATTATTTTGATCTCGCGCCGAGCTCAGGATCCTTCAGCGAGGCACTGTTGAATACTTCCAGGGCCAAGAATAGATACACCGCCGAGGACCTCTATCTCCGCGGCTGCCAGCTTCTGGCGACGAGCTATACTCAAGGCGTGACCTCAGTCCGTGCTTTTGTCGAGCTAGATCATGTCACGGGAAGCCTCGCCTTAACGACGGCAATTCAGTTGAAGAGGGAATTCTCTCATATTATTGAGGTACAGATATGTGCATTCGCCCAGGATCCAATATTCTCTACCATGTACGGAGAGAGAAATAGGTCCATCATCACTTCGGCGCTGGTTGAGCATGGCGCATGGATTGGAGCTTTGGGGACCACGCCCTATGTAGAAGCATCGCGGGAGGCTTCTGAGAAGAACGTCGAATGGGCTATCGCAACGGCACTTGAATATGTTCTTCATCTTGACTTCCACCTGGATTACAATCTTGAATCATGGTCCTATTCCACTCCACTGACGTTTTCCGTGATCGAGCTTCTGCAGAAGCATCACTGGCCTACTGGGCCGGCAGCACCGACCGTTATGCTTGGACATTGCACACAGTTGACCACTCTACCCAAATCAGACCTCAGCCGGCTTTCTGTGACAATCTTGTCGACCAAATTGCCGGTTCACTTTGTCGGTTTGCCAACCAGTGACTTGTTTATGATGGGTAGGCCTTCAGACGATCAAGAAAGCAGCCCATACTCGCGACCGCGTGGGACCCTGCAAATTCCCTCTATGATAAAAGATCTTGAGTTTTCAGCCTGTCTCGGTGTCAACAATGTCGGCAACGCCTTCACTCCTTATGGAACTGGTGATCCTTTGCAATTGGCTTGCTTCGGTGTCGGTGTTTATCAAGCTGGGACCCCAGAAGATGCGAAAACATTGTACTCGTGCGTAAGTTGGCTTGCAAGAAGAGCTATTGGCTTGCGGGCTCAGCAGGATGGCGATATTGCCGTGGGCGACGAGTGGCAACCAATGTTGCGGATCGAGAACAAGCCTTACATCACAGTTGAGGGAAAAGGAGGCCAGCCCGATCTAATCATACCTGCAAGGCAGCGGTTGGACTTCAAAGACGTCGTATGGGATCCTCCCGAAGTTGGGTTGAGATCCATCGTCCGTGGATGAGTCCCCGGGTCGGATGCATTATAATTTGCTTTCAAACAGTCAAGAGTAGAAAAACTGAATGGATTATGAATAACCGCTTTCCGGTGTCGGATGGTATTCATTGACTTGTAGATGTAATGGCGAGCCAGGATTAGTTCAGCATAGACACGACCTTAAATCAGTAAAAATACTACTCTTCACAGCCGGGACCTGACTGATATCCACATCCCTCGTTTATTCGAGCTCGTTGGTTATTCAACATGCTCGCTATGCCTGAGACGAAATGAACATTGGCATCGAGCAGTCTACATTGCTGCGCAACTTCTTTATACGCAGCCCAAATTTCCTAAGTCGGATACCCTACCTACTCCGTCATTATTCATCATGGCACCCTGCGCATCAAGCCAACCTTCATCTAGTTCTTCTACCAGACAGTGAACATACGCTGCCTGTCCACTCAATCATGAATTTCTGGTGATATACTTCTCGTCTTCAAACTGCTCTCCCAGTTCGGTATACAACTTATTAAGAGTGTGCGGATTATTCGTGCACCGAGAAGCCCCGAGACATCGTCTCACTGCCTGCAAAGATGAGCACCTACGCGGCTGTGAACATATCTTCGAGCGTAAACCCCTTTCGTTCTCGGCCTTCAGAGCGTACGACATGAAATCAGGGCGATCCGTGTCTTGCTCAACTCTTCTCTTGACTCGCTTCACGCCGAAATCATACTGCATTGTGGGCACCTACAGCAGCCGTTTGGGAATTATGCAGAAGAGGAGAAGGTAGTAGATAGGCATGGGAAAGCGTGGAGTCGCCCGAATAAAGGTGCCGGCCTGAAAAACCTCGAAGAGGGCTTTAAGCCACCAATGTCACTTGGCATCTCGCAGACCGCAGAAGGGTTCGCCAAAGGCCAAGTCACCGATCAGGTCGAAGGTGGTAAAGTTGTACCAAAGGTTCATGTCGACCGTGGTTGTATCCGGGTTTGGCCGTCTAGTTGCTGAATCAAGAGACTGTGATAGCCGGCTATGACGGATTTTTGGGCTTCACTGCCTTGTCCAAGAACGCGGGGTTCTGGAGGCGGCGCACTCGGCGGTGGCTCCCGTCGTTGGCCGTCAAAATTTTGTCCACACCGCCCGTTATCTTATTCCACCATTGGGGGGGGGGGGGGGTGGGGTTCCTTTTGGAAGTTTCTAATCCCGTCCTTATTGATAAATCCTGATGAATGGGTCAGTCCATGGCAAAAAAGGCGGCATGTTCAAGTCTGAGCTGACCATATTTGGTTGGCCGGACATGTCCATCTGTGTAAGACAGGTCCCGGATCTGTTCATACTACATGACCGTACTTTTTATGTCATTCCATTACTTCCCAGTGGCTCAAGCCGCGCAACGCGTGGTACCAGTAGTAAACTCGCGTCGCTCGACCAAGCCATGGGCCCGGATAATGTGACAAAGGGTGGAAGAAGAGGTTGTACATGACCTTGACAATGAGAAACAGGACCATCTATCTAATATCAGTAAATTTGCGTCAGGCGTATCGTGAGTAACCCAGGGAAGGGGGAAACAGTGGGAAACAGTGCACGTGCGGCGGAAAAGCCAAGCAAGAACAGCTTAACACACATATTGATAGGAGTGGTGATGTAGGAATGTTATCAGTGAATGCCAACTGCGATGGGTTTCGGGGCAGATAGTGGACAACGAGATATTATCACCTGTCGGCTGGTGTAGTTGGTCACTTCGCTGGTAGATAAGTCCCGATTTGAGCCTCGCCCACTTGGGTCGGTGACGAGTCGCGGGTTCGAATCCCGCAGCTGACACACAAGGGGGTTTAGTCAACCCTTACGGCGCGCTGCCCACCTTGTTGACTTCGCCTACCTAGCGATAATAGGGAGATTGGTGCAGTTTAGGATTACGAGCATCCTAGCCAGTCGACCGTCAAGCACTACGTCGGCGGAATATAACTCGACAGCCGGTCCAGAATTCGAATCGTTAATCCGACCCCTTATCGGACCTCGCCTTTCCGATAACGCTCGTCGGCGAACCCGTCCCCTCACGATAGAAGGCGCGCAGCACGCCCTCTCGCCGCGATTCTTGCGAGCGTCTGACCACGTTACGGTCTATCCACTTGAGCGTATGGTTGAGATGTATACGCTCGACGAGAACCCCAATTAGCAGATACTACGACTTGTCGCGACAAAAAAATAGTCGAGCATCTTCTGCACATCAGCAGCATCCCACCCCTGAGGACGAATTTAAGTGCCACATTACCACACTTATCGGTAGTTCAGGCAGGGGTTGTAGCACAGACTTAGGGAGGGACAGGAGGTTTAGTAGTCATTTGGCTACAAGTTTACCTGTATAACCGCCCGACGCGGCTTAAGGGCCCGCTATATCATCTATAGCCCCTTAAGGGAGTACTTGTAGAGGTACCGAGGGTTAACACCTACGGCGTATTTAATATTATATTTATTATCACCTGGGATGAAAAATGAAAGTCCTACGGTGATATCACCGGTCGCCAAGTTGGCACCACCAGAGTAGATGAGAGAACAAGCATACTCTCGCCGCAACTAATAGTTACCAGCGACGTCAGTAATCTTATATAGAATCTGATTTGACTACGATTCATTCTGATTGGGTTACGTCAAAACATGGTCCAAGTCCTTGGCGTCTTGGAGCCAGCGAGTCAAGATATATATGTGCGCTAGTCGGTGTGGAAGTCGGGGCGTAATCCGGGGGAGAAGAACCACAGATACTAACGTACCCCACGGTCCAATTGAACACTTCTTAAGACCTCGTACAATAAGATATAAGTTAATTCAACTATAACGTAAAAAATGATTAAAACTACTCGGAACTATCTTCTTCAGATATCTCTTTACTATTCTGACAAGTACGCATATTATGACCGGGCTCTCCGCACGTCCTACAGCGTTGCTGAAGTATCTCTGGCCTCCTCGTACGACTACGACTCCAGCGCGATTTATTATCTAACTCTCCGTTAACTAGCTTCTGAGACTGTAAATCTTCTCCAGCTTGTATACGAAGTGATCCTCCATACTGTAAACGTTTTTTTCTCGTATAACGCCGCCGGCTAAGTGTCTCATTTGCCTTTCGAAGCGCGGCGTTCTCACCCTCTAAAAGAGCAAGCCGGTGCATAACCTGCGTCGTACCCTTCGCAAACTGGTCAAGTGCAGTAAGTGTAGCTGTCGGAGAGCTATTTTGATGTCGTATAACTCGGTTTTCCACGTGTTCGGTCTGGGATTGTGCCTCAATTGGGTTATTTGGGGTCTTCGACTCCCAGATAATAGGAAGGCCAGACGAGGTACCCGGAGGTGTTGGAGTATGTAACTTCACATCTAACTGCGAAATCACATATTCCGGACCGTACGGTACGAGTCCTGCCCCTCGGAAACCTCCCTGGATATTTGATATCGTAAAAGTTGCCTGGAACGCTTTTAAGAACGCGGAGAGGAAGTCCTCCTTCGAGATATGGGTAATATGTGCCCGCATAAGATCCTCAATTTCTTTACCGTACGCTCTTTTCAGTGCACGAAAACAGCCGATATCGAGAGGTTGGAGCTTATGCGACGAATGAGCAGGCATACAGAGTGTGATAATAGAGTTCTCTTTACAGTAGAGCTCGAAAGCGGTCGAGTGGTGGCTCTCGTGGCCGTCGAGAATTAAGAGGCGATAAACACCTTTCGTACGAAGCTTCGTATGTTGATCGAAATGTCGAATCCAGTCCTCGCCTCTTTCATTTGTAGTCCAGCCAGTTTTCGTAACCACGATAACCCAATCCTTTAGTAGTAGGCTATTTTCGTACCACGAAGATAGGTGAGTTTTACCAGCAAAGATGATATACGGAGGGATAGTATAGCCGTCCGATCCGATGCCCTGGATAACTGTAACCCATTCCCTATTCCCTTGCTGTACTGCTCTAGGTCTTCCACGTCGATCAGAGGTCGTTACAACTATCTCGGATGAGATTTGACCCATAAGTCACCCAGTCTCGTCAAAATTATAGATATCCTCCTCTTGAATTCCATACTTATTAATTGTATTCCGTACGAGATAAAACCACGCGCGGTACGCGTCGGGATCTTCGCAGAGGACTCTCTGGTAGTCGATTCTTCGATTAAAACGCGTCCGGAGGTCTGGTTGTCGTCGTACGAAGCTCGAAGCCCAGTTAATACCAACGCGTCCTGCGTCGCTTGGTGGAGTAGTCGATTCGCCATATCTTCAACGCCACTTATTAGAGGAGGAAATGATCGTGAATCTAGGTCGACTATGTAGCGTACGATCGCGTCTTCTTCGGAATAGGTAAGCTTTTGCGTTGGTGATCGTATATCCTGTCGTGAAGTACCGCCGCGATATCGGTGACGTAAGGTTGTATGAGGGATATTATAGATCCGTGCTACGGATCGTACGCTTAGTTTGGGGTTATTTTGAAGCGCTTGAAGCGCTAATTGAATATCGCTTTCTTCCCAATTACGTGCCATTGTAGAAGGTGGAAAATAAAGGATAAAACCTAGGTTGTACGGAAATGCGCGAAAGTGTTCAATTGGACCGTGGGGTACGTTAGGGAAAGTTCTTCAACAGCCAATAGAGTACTTACTCAACCACTGGATAACTGGGCTGTGTTGTTGCCATCAGGCAATCCTGACTCAGTATAGTATCTTGCACGGGGTTCCTGCATTAGCCAAATTACCTAGATAGTATATCCGGGCACAGCGCCAGACTTATCTATATTGCTGCATGACTGAATTATCGGTTCATCCCATGATGGATATGCAACACGAATCTGTCACCGATAGCAGGATAACACGATAGCGTCACAAGTTTCATTCCGAAAAAGATCGACGGCATGGCAGTATCAGGGAGTATTCGTCTCACGGGGGATGGGGTTGGGGAATGATACCTAGACAGTTATGAACTATCCATCCCAGTTGTGTTTTAAGCAACTGCATTGCAATTTTCTTCTCCTGCGACAGATCAACTTTCTTAATCCGTTGTTGTGATATTTCGCATTCAAAATAGCCATGTGTTGGCAACCCAGCCCTTAGCCGTAGAGCATCATGATTTCAAGGTATATATCCAAGCGAAGCAGGCCAGCACGATTACGGTATAAGAGATAGAGACAAGGTAGCCAGTTCCACAGCCATGGGATATGGTTAACTATTTCCTCCAATTCCGGTCGCCAAACAATCAGTTCTGGTGGGACATGACAGGTCGAATGTGCGCCAAGTTGGTTCAACATACTAGTAACAGCACAGCCAACCAGTACAGAAAAACCTTCTTCCATACTGTCTACGTAGCGCCTGAGCTTGTATAGCCTGTGAAGTATTGACTGTAATATCGATTAGCCATATCGCAATAGGAAAGCCTTCCATGGAAATGAGTTGACCCAGTGATGGATAATGGCTGAAAGCCTCCAAGTCAGAATCCATGCCAGAACCGCACGATGATTTGCTCCGTTTCTTGGAAATCGCCAAATAAATAAAGGCAAGTTCATGGATGGAGCAGCAAGTACATTGACGTGACAGTAACCACTTGTGGAAACAAGTTTCCAAGCAGTGTCTGCAGTATAGTAAACGAAAAGCTCAGCATTTTGTTGTGAATTGTGCTCGAACGTTTCAAGATAAGTGGCCATCTCTTATTCACTAGGACAGCATGCTCAATGGGTTTGAATATGTAAGAACGACTGCACCTTGTTGAGTGAGGGTGATAAGACGGGTGCGAACAGCGTTTTCCGTCTCAGTATGTTGGGTGGTACGCGCCAGAAAGCAAGAGCATAAAAGGGCGCCTGTCTGGACAGATGCTTGATGCTCACTCAGTTGGGTGGAAAGGGGGGAAAATCGGTTAGACCTGAGAGAAATGCTAACTGCCTGGATATTCAACAGGATGCAATGACACCACGGGCTAGGCCAAGGTCTTTATAGGGGGCAAACGACCCTTGGCCGACTTGAACGTAGTCTCTGCTGATTTGTTAGGGGATTGATATTGTTCACTGTCTAAGACATACTGGGCCAAGCTGCCCATGTTACTGTTATCTGTCGGTTTGCATTGGTGCATCCTGGTACCAGGCAGGGGACTGTCAGCAAAGGCGGTAGCAAGTATGAATCAAAGTGAAAGTGTATAGACTCAAGGACGGTCTCAACAGAGTTAGTGAAGCTTCTTGCGTCAATAGAATGGAGTCTATGGGGGCACAGTGTTGGGGACCCAATCGCTCGCGGTTTCCACCATAGTACGTGGTAAAGATGCACAACAGTGACCGGTCGGGCAGCACTACTATTACAGATGATGATCCTTGATGAAAGTATATAGGTTTGAGAAGACGACCACAGTGAGGCAGACATCATCTCTATTGCACAGAGGTGAAGGACCGAGGACTAACAGTACCTATAGCCTTGCCGTTGGGCGGCATCAATGGTGATCGAGAGGTGCAAACATTGGCGAAGTTAATCAGCACTGCACGAGCTTGCTTGAACATTCTCTGCAGACATAAACCAGAACAGTAGATGTCATGGCTTCTGCCAAAGACACAAGAGACATAAAATGGGAGAACTATTGTATGGAGTAAAGAAGAGCAAAAGAGAGAACGAAGTTGACAGCCTTTGGTACATGATGGAAGAGAGGGAGAGCAAGAAACTTGACTCTGATGCCGAGGATGTAAAGAGGGCGACAGCTGGCAATGAAAAAGGGAGGAGCCATCCTTGACAAGACAGGCAATCACTCTTGGGTTGAAGCCCTGATCTAAGAGAGTATGTACAGAATTTGCAGTCTCTGGCAGCGAAAGGTACTTGGTCCAAGATGAAGAAGGCAGGTACCTGCTGAGAAGACAACCTGCCTGAAAGTTGTTGAGTCGGGAAACAGGAAGCCCTAGCTTCGTACGCGCCCCAATACGGTATACATCTAAGCAGAGGCCCTGCTATCCCCAATGCCTGCCTTCTGGATAACTTATAAGCCCATAATCTAGAATTTCAATGGTGTGAGCTCTCCGTCCCCCTGGACCAACTCCGGATAATTCCTGGCAAGGAATTCTTGAAGTCTTGTTGAGGGTGAAGTCACCAATACCCGATTGCCATTGTGACTGCCATCACCAAGCAGAACATCCACCACCTCACTTGCAATCCCTTGTTCCACCCCACAAAACCAAACCCCAGCACCTCCCGGTTCTCCCCTGCGCCTCTTGACATTGTTGGCTGATTCTGCACGTCATCTTCGGACACATCAGGTAAGTCTGGCTGGCCAATAGTCCTCGATACAGGAGCAAGCCTCCAAGCACTGGTTGCTCTTGCTATAGAAATTAACCAACACCAATAGTTGATCCAGCTCTCGAATCACCATCGTAATTGATCATCCAGTCCAAACAGTCTACCATGTCGGAGCCCCATGTCATCCACGATTGGGTTCGTGCCTGGTAGAGACGGTCAAGCCACTGCAAAGGTACAGACTGGTGGTCACCATCGCCCTGGCCACTGGTGCTGTGCACTGACTAAAGAGACGTCTGTATAGTCTGCCAACGAAACTTCAAAGCATGCTGACCGTGACAATATCCAGCAAGAGGGCAATCAATAACCCAAAATGAAGAATGTCAGTCTAGAGGAGGTGAAAGAAGTGATATTACACAAGTTCTACCACACCATCTTGCTGAAGCACAACGAACTATGTCAAATCAACCAGGAGATTACAAAGTGCCACATTGCCCTGGAGCAGCTCCGTCGCATCTACCTCCTGAACTACCCTTAGAACCAACCGTGATCGTCGAGCCTCGCGACTCAAAATAAGAGCAGTCGTGCCATTTTGCTGAAGCCAGGGTAGCTGTAACATCAACAACGATATTCTGGAGGTGAGGCTGATCTTGAGCCACTGAGCCAAGTTGGCCTGCACCAACATCCCTTGAAATCTCCGATGACCAGCTGCTGACCACCCTTGACAGATATTTATGCTCAAGGACAGGTTGCTCGGACACGAACATCCTCTGACCGTTGGCCATCTGTCACAATAGCAGATCTGTCAGCCTCCCATCTGTCGACGATGGTGACACGAGCGATCTGCTACTACTTCCGATAGCTCCAGTTTAAAGAACAATAGCGGCCTTATTCACATCCGAACTGAACATACTGTGACACAGTACAGCTGTGGCCTCGATATGCGAGCATTTGTGAAGACCCTGCATCAAAGCCAGCACATATGGGTAAGATGCAGCATTGTAGCAACGGACTGCATGGGAAACAATATGTCCTCTGACAAGTGTCACCGAGAGTTGACTTCAAGTCGACTCCCCGCTAATCGTTACTTAGGGTCGACCTACTCGCAAAGCTCAACCGATAGTGAATAGCTTCATGGTTTGACTTTTCTCAATTGTTGGATCATCGGCAATGCCCAAGTGGGTCTGCCTACCCCAGATTCCATGGCTGCAGAATATGGAATCATACCGATCCTCCAGACGGCCTTGGCATAAAGATAAGGGAAGTCTCACGGCATAGGATGCGCCTGGAAAAACCACTGGGTGATGGGTAGCTAACTTGCCGTCAAGCTGCTGTTATAGCTGGAGACGAGGTAAGTGGTTGGTGAAGACTCTTTAGGGGCTAACCTTGCCTTGTTCCTCATTGGTGGCTCTGCAGAAGTGCTGTTTGGCAGATACCCAGAATGCCGAGTTGTTGGAAGGACTTGGTGGTTGTTTCCGCCCTGTTAAGTGCTGCGGTGAAGTGCTGTGAATGTGTTGTATGGATCATTGAGACTGACGGTATTGACAGCCGGCTGATGGTGACATGCACGCGGCCGCCTCAGCTTTAACGCCGGTAGATCTGGAACATGATTGTCGAAGGAAAGGAATGAAACAAGAGAAATGCTTTTGGCATTATTAAAGCAACGGGCCTCGGCAGCTAGAGCGTCAAGGGCCTGACTCCGAGGATGTATTAGAACCAAGGCCGAATACATTAAATCGCCTCAAGGCCACGATCTCTGTGCGGCATTAGGAGAAGCCGCAAGTACGCATGTGCCTGGGCTACAATAGACCACAGGCCACTTTACCGATGTCTTGCATCGCGGCATTGGAGGCACGATGATACAAGGACAGTCATGGTTTTCATGCCCGTAAACGGATAAGGAGGGAATCTGTGCTGGCTCAGCGGAAGCAGAACTGGAGACATTTTCCCCAAAAGTCACTAGCGTAGCCACTCAGACATCTCCAACTGTCAAGAGACCCCCACAGATGCGGGTCCTAAAAGACGAACAGCAATAGCAGTGGCAGGAGGCTAGTGGCAGGCTAGTAGCACAAAGCACCTGGCCCAAAAACTTATCAATCTCAAGTACGTATTGGAGTCGAAGATTTTCTAACCCTCATCTCTGGCACCACAACCTCACGATACCCACCACCTGGACGCCGCCTCGCAGAAGCTCTTGTCGCAGCTGGAGAAATTTTCGCTTGAGTCACTTACTGGATTTGGAGCGCATCGAAGTTTCCAGCGAACCTTGACCACCTTCCATCTGAACCGCAGCCAGCTGCTGCACCTGCCACAAGCTTGCCGTCGCGTACCTCCCGGCCAGCGCGACCACCCCGAGACTTAACAGACGACGTAAACCTGGCGCTTCAACCCAAGGCCTTCGGCGAAGGCCCGCAAGCTGTGGCCAAGATGGCCCAGCCCAATGCTGAGCCGGCCGAGGATTACGAGTAGGTCTCCGCGTGCGCTCTTCGCAGGCCATGTACCACGGACTGACCCGGCTTTCGCGCAGCTACGAGTCCTTGCCCCCCAACTTCTCCCTGGCGCAGAACATGGCGGCCGGCGCTTTCGCAGGCATTGCGGTTGGTTTGCATGCTGGATTGTATGGTAGGAAATCAGAGCTGAGCTGATTTGGTTACAGGAGCACACGGTCATGTATCCCATCGATGCGATCAAGGTGCGCGCCATTCTTCTCGGTGAAGCGACCAATTTTGACTGACCACTTCGGACGCAGACTCGCATGCAGATCGTCAATCCCTCGCCGAATGCCGTATATAAGGGTATGGTTCAGGGCACAATCAAGATTGCGACGGGAGAGGGCATTCTCAAGCTATGGAGAGGCATGTCAAGCGTGGTAGTAGGGGCAGGTACGTTACAATAGCTCATACCAGGGGATGATCAGGGGCTGACGTGGCCTAGGACCTGCGCATGCAGTCTACTTCGCGACCTATGAGGCTGTCAAGCATGCCATGGGCGGCAACAAGGCTGGAGTTCACCATCCTCTGGCTGCGGGTAAGCTTTTGTGAAGGTGCTGAGAGCTGTTTCGGTGAAGCTGACATGGAACGCCCAGCCACGAGCGGAGCCTGCGCAACCATTGCCAGCGATGCATTCATGAACCCCTTTGATGGTATGTTCACTGAACAGTCGCTCATAATTGGTGCGGCGCATGTCTAACCCAGGTCGCAGTCATCAAGCAACGTATGCAGATCGCCAATTCGAGCAAGATGTACCGTTCCATGTGGGACTGCGCCAAATACGTCTACCGAAATGAGGGTCTCTCGGCCTTCTACATTTCGTACCCGACTACGTTGTCTATGACAGTGCCCTTCACGGCTCTGCAATTCCTTGCGTACGAGTCCATCTCTACAACCATGAACCCTTCCAAGCAATATGACCCCTTCACGCACTGCACAGCTGGCGCTATTGCGGGTGGCTTCGCAGCGGCTCTGACTACACCTATGGATGTCATCAAGACCATGCTGCAAACCCGCGGCACAGCGACAGACGCGGAGCTGAGATCGGTTAACGGATTCATGTCAGGCTGCCGTCTACTGTTGCGTCGGGAAGGATTCCGTGGCTTTTTCAAGGGTGTTAAACCCCGAGTTGTTACAACCATGCCAAGCACGGCCATCTGCTGGTCGGCTTACGAGGCGTCAAAGTAAGTCAATCTTCTCCAAACTCCGGCACTCTCGGTAATCTCTGATGAACTCGGATCGACACTGATATGATTGCAGGGCCTATTTCATCCAAAGAAACGATGCTTCGTGAACTTGATAGAGCTTGATCTCTGGTCTGTTATCAGATCCGAGACCGAGAGCCCGCTCGGCCATTGTCATCACACCCTGGACTCTTTGCATAGCTCCGAGACTGACCACCGAGGCCGAAACAATGTCTTGCCTGGGAGTATTGTTAACGTGCTGGCTCATCCTCACCGAATTTTGCAAGTTTTTCGCATCATGCCCGATTGATTCTACCCCCAGTCTGTGGCATGTTGCTGTGGATGACTTGCAATTTTATGCGGATCGAGCAAACCCCGATATTCACCCCTGTTCCCCGGCTGACCCCGCCACCAACTCCCACTAAGATTGAAATCGAATTCTCTCTAAAGATTTCACACGAGCAATCAAAGTCGTTGGGACGGCAAACAGGATCATTCTGACCAAGACACACAAAAACCTTAATGTACATAGCTTTGGCACGGGCATGTGGAAGATGGACATCGGGAATTTTCACTCAGATGGCGTTGCTTTTAAATGATGATACCGTTGATCCTGGCAGCAAGTCATACGAGAGGCGGCAGGCGTAGTGGATCTTTGTACACTACTTTGGCATTGCGATGAGGGAAATAAAAGTCAACTGGCTAGAGAATCAGCTATGCTCTACGCGTTGGTTTTGTGGGCGTATACAGCAACCCCAGTTGGTGTTTGTCAGCTTTTTTTTTTGTTTTGGACATGGGTCCAACGGCTGTTGCAGGTGAGGTTCAACCACCACAGTGTGACGATTTTGTGATTAAACACTGATGGATCTTGTCGCCATCTGAAGTATTGAGGAAGCTGACTAAGGTGCTTTCATTGGGACGTACTGTTTTGGTGATTTGAAGTAAACTCAATAGTTCAACCTCACCCACTGCGAACTCACTGAGCAAAGCCTTTACCCAAGTTTCATAATGTTTTGAGAACATGCATAGTCATCAGGCATCAGAATACTCATTCTACTTGCCAAACTGAGAGGTGCTTTATCGAAGCTTTTTTATGTGGACTTGGTGGGTCAGGCATGCTCAATTTGGCAAGATACAGCGGCGTGATTACCTCGTGTAGGGCATATTTACTGTTCGCATCTCTGGTGCATTTATCATGTGAACATCGACAAATCTTCAGTGAATTGTGTTATCAGTGTGTTGAGGATACCACTCCATGAAATAGCCAGTGGCCTAGATGCTCCAAAGACACCAAACATTTGGGCCCAATCTTCTCACTTCTAAGTACTCTGTCTTCCAAGTTCCAGACGGGGTGGCTGGCTTTTTAAGATGGTCTATGTTACAGATATGTTCCCATAAGGGTTTCTAGATGGATTATCACAACCGTTGGTTCTTTCGGGGACAGGGTAAATAATGAATATACTCAACATCTACCAGAATGCGCGAATTCATATCTTCGGGGCGAGGCTGTTATATACGGTGGTTATCCGTAGCGCGATCGCCTTCGGGGCGACTGCGTGGCATACTATAAGTGAGGAACCGGCAGGGCCAGCTAAGAGCCTGATGGGGATACAGAACGAGTGCCTCCGGGTAGTCTGTGGCGCCCACAAAGCGACGCCGGTTCGCCACCTGGAAGCAGAAGCAGCAATCCCGCCACTAGACCTCTATCTTAGTGCCCGGGCTGCTAAGTTTGAAGAACGGCTACGGCTTAGCGGGAAGAGAAATCTGCTTCGCAGCGCGAGCGCTAAAGCGTCACATATACTCCGGCAGGATAGGCCAGCGAAGAGGAAGCAGGCGTCGCAGCTACTCCGACCGGCAGGGTACACTATGGAGAAGGAGGCCCGGGGCTCCGAGTGGATGAGTGAGGAAAAGGAGGTCCCGGCTGCCCTCCTCGGCCACTGGAGGAAGAGATGGCTCACCGGAGCAGAGCATCACGATCGCCAGCGACGCGCTATCGCTGAGGAACCGGAGGGCCCTTCGATGCAGATACCGAAAGGGGGCAAGTATTTCGGCCTGAACCAACTGGAGGCGTCTACGCTGTGCCAGATCAGGACGGAAAAAATAGGACTAGCAGCCTTCTTATTCAAGACAGGGGCTTTTGGTGTGTACTCGCCGCTATGCCGCTGTGGCGACGCCGCTGGGACGGCAGAGCACGTAATCCTCTTTTGCGGGCTGTTGGAAGGACCGAGGGAACGATTACGGACCGCTATCGCACCACGGCCACTATACTCTCGCAGAGACCTCGCAACGGCAACAGGAGAACCAGTAGTTAGTGGGACTATTGTAAGGTGGCTGCTAGGGACGGGCCGGACAGCTTCAAGGCCCAGATAGCATCGATCTTCTCAGGGGGGACTTTGTTGGTAGGTTGAGAACCAACGTAGTATGGTAGTGAACGCAACGCAGTCGCCAATAGGGCGAACCGACGACACAGCGTATGTATTTAGTCCAGCCATTAGGGCACGGTTTGACATACGGGAGTACTAGTAGAGGTACCGGGGGCTTCGAGCCTACGGCGTATTTAATAATAATAATAATCATATCTTCGCCTCTAAAGAAGATAAGCCAGCCAGTGCATCAGCATCGTACCTTAGTCCAGTAACCGTCATAGAGCACAAATTTGACACAAATTTGACTATGAATACGTAGCTACATTGTTGATACCGCCACTAGCTATGTCAGCTACTTAACCCTCCTCTCCATCAGGCCTTACTCCGAGAGCCGACCTAAACAGCCTCGTTCCTCTCAAACGCTAACTCTCAATTGAAGAACCCACTGAAGAGATCCCTGCTACCCTGAATTCAGACCCCGGCTAGTTCATCATAAATTGTAAGTACTCAAACTAACCCCAATCCCCACCAAACTACCCGAGGGTGGTACATTCGGCGCCTTCCCCTGGGAGCCGCCCGTGCGCCACTTCACGGCATAAGTTTCGGGGACCTCAGTCTCGCCCAAAAAGAACCAATTGTTGATGCTGCCGTCCGACTGGATGGGGAACAGGAATATTTCGTAGCGGGTCCAGAACAGGATCTCGTAGTCAGGCAGATCGGCGGCCGTGTGGGCGAAGGCGACAGGTTCGGTGGCACCCGCGCTGTTATTGAGCACGAGGAAGGTTGGGTCTGGGAGAAGGGGCGCGGAACCAACAGGGAGGATGTAGAGGAGGTCGGCGCGGTTATTGGGTACTGTGGGTGGTTAGTTGAGTTTGGGTTGGGGGACAGTACCTAGGAGCGGAAGAAAGGGGAAGTGGGGCCGGGATATAGTATATTTTGAAGTTAAGCATTTGTGTAAGAGAGGGAACAGGAATATTGGAACTAACCGGTGAAATTGAATGCTACTTTGACGCTGGGTGGCACCGTGGGGCCGACGTACATCAGACCGTCGCCAAACCACACACGCTGCTGCTTGTATTGCCCGTTTTGCTGATAGTATATGGAGACGTTGAACGAGTTGTCCGCGGCGAAGACTGTCGTCACCGATGCACAGGCCACTACTATAAAAGTGTTGAAGAAACGCATTGTTGATCCGCTCCGGAGGAGACAAGTTGTTTGTATAAGCTAACTCTCCTAGTCAAGCTCAAGAGAGGAACTGTAGCAATTGGTGCGGAGTGTTTGTGATGTATAGGCAAATCAGAGGATCGACGCTGCATGTTCAAGACATATGGGCCTAGAGGATGAAGCAGGTATTGCAATCTATATATCTTCATATCGCCAGCTATCATGTACCCCACAAAGGGAGCTTTATTAGTCATCTACTATCTGCCAGCCGTGAGGTCGACTTCCGAGATACAGAACACGTACTCGATGGATGGGGAATGACCCTTCAAACTTGCGACACACCGGCCAAATCAATTTGTCACCGTTAGCCGGTGTGACAAACAGGCCTCGTCCAGTCATGTGGAACCTACGCAATTTATATTGGCGGCGGGCAATGTATGAGCAACGCCCGCGAGGCACAGCTCGTTGATGAAAAGCGATGGGTCGTGGAAAATCAGACACCTTATCCACAGCTTCGCAAACTCTGGGTCCTGGCGGGGTAACATACGGCGATGTGATAGTGGAGGCGGGGGGTGGGGGGTGACAGAGTAAGTTATTACCTATCTGGGGCAATGACAGGGGAGAGAGTAGTTCTGGCTTAATATCGTGCATCTCGCTTGTGGCTGTGATGCTTTGTCACATATGCTATTATTGGTGGTGTAAAGGAGATTCAAGCTTGGAACGCGCCAGAGAAGTCGATGCTGCTTTCGGTCGCTTCCGCAATGACTCGTTTTAGCCAGGTACGCGGGTAGGCACACTAGGTTTTCAAGTCTGACCAGCTCCCATGACTTGGCGCTGGTCGAGGTTAAGTTGGGGGCGTCCTGTTTTCATTTAGCCTAAGGTATGACTGGAGGAAACAAGCTGACTTTAGAAGACCTACATGCCCAAAGGGATCATTGTTTGTCAATGCCTCGATCTGTCACCCCGGACATTGAGTTGTTTGGGAGAAGCGGCCTGAACATCTGACCACGCAGGAAAGCCAGCCTATAAGTAGTGCAAAATGTCACAGCAGGACCAGCACGAACTATATCACCAACTAGTCATTTAGGAAACGCAGAAATGTTTTGAGAGTTTGGTCTCGTGCATGAATTAGGTATACGACTCGAATACCTCGATGGGACGCCATAAACTCCGCCTGGGCCTGTGTAATGAGTCCTCCCTGTGCAAATTATTGACCAAACGGAAAACCTCCAAAGCCGCCACCTGACCCAAACTTAAAATTGAATTGTTGACCACCACCCTGCTGGAACATGAATGGCTGGCCTCCGAATGGGCTGCCCTGGAAGGGGTGACCGCCTTGCTGCTCGTGCGAGTTGGGATCGTCGCCCCTGTCAAATCTTGCTCTCAATTCGGGGTCGCTCAGTACTTCATATGCTTCGTTGATGCCCGCCATCTTTTTCTCGGCTTCTTCCTTGGTTACTCCTAGCTTGAAGGCTTTGTCGGGATGGAATTGTTTCGACATCTTGCGGTAAGCCGACTTGATCTGTCTCTCGTCGGCGTCGTGGGCAACTCCAAGAACCTTGTAGTAATCCTTCTGCTTGCTACGCTTCAGAGCGATTTGGGCCTTTTGCATAAGAGGATTGATGAGGTTCTTCTTGTCAGGTCTAACTTCACCCGCCTTGTTGAGGGTAGCTATGCAGGCGTCCCAGTCCTCTGCCTCGAGTTGTGTCTTAGCTTTGTGCAGGAGACCGTAAATCGAGTTGTCGTCCAGATCCAAGGCTTCCTGGCAATACGTGCTAGCCTTCTTGCCGTTCATCTGCATTTACGTTAGTATAGAGTTGATTCCAAAGCAGAGTGGGCTTGGGAGAACTAACATCATAATAACCTTGGCAAGCCAGCTCCACTATCCTGCTGAGCAGGACATTTGGCGCCTTTTCCGGGATATAGCCATCTTGCCTCAACTCGTTGACCTGCTCTTTGACCTCGTCGATCAAGCCCTTGTCGCTACCAGAGGGCACCAACAACTTGACGCCCGTCATGGGTTGATTCTTCTCGAGGGCCTTGGTCACCTTGGCCATTGTCTTGTCAATGTTCTTTTCCTGCTTCAACAGCTTCTTGCATTGTTTAGAGTCAGGATCGGAATGCATGCACTTCTTGATTTGCGCAATGCCCTGCTCCATGTCTCCGAGTCCGTAGAAAGCGGTGGCGGAAATAGTGACGTGAGGTGCGGTGTCGCCGGGCTTCATCTGCAAAATATGGTGGAGATCACCCATACCTTCCTCTACCTCGCCCTTCTCGAAGCGACATTTCGCGCGCAGCTCTCGAAGGGACAGGGCGCGGTTTGCTGTGTAGATGGCCTCTCCTGCTTGGCCAATGCACTCATCCCAATTGCCACTCTTAGCTGCGGACTCGGCCAGGCCAGCAGCACCTTGAGCCTCTACCAAAGTATCCAAGTCTGGCGAGCCTGGCTTCTGACCGGCGAGTAGATATTGTTCCCTTGCGCCGTCCCAGTCTGCGCCCCTGGCCTTGATCTTGCCCAGCTGCAAGTGCGCACCTTCGAACCCTGGCTTTAGCGACAAGACCTTGTTGAAGTCTTCGGTGGCTTGCGACGTGCGACCGAGAGACAGGAATGTGGTGGCCCGCTTGAAGAAGGTCAAGTAGTTGGTAGGGTCCCGGGCGATGGCAGCATCGTAGTAGACAAGGGCATCGCTCGTCTGGCCCTTGGACAGGTGGGCCTGCGCAGACGAGAGCAGTTGCGACACTGGGGTATCGGAGGGGATATCCGAGGTAGAGAGGGCATCGATGAGACCGGACGAGGACAAAATGCTGGCCGCAAGAGCCAGAGTCGATAAAGGGACCAGCATCTTGGACTGTAGGTGGCGCAAACAACCAACTTTCGACGTCGACGACGAGGACAGACGGGATTGCCGTTGAATGTCGGCTTGACGTCTGGGCGGTACGGACAGACTATGCTATGTGTAAGTAACTTATGAATGAGCGACAACAAAGAAAGAGAAAGATTCCTCAAGCGCAAAGGGTGAGGTGGCAGCCAACAAGGATAAGAGCGACGGGATAATCGAGGCGATTCGGCAACCGAACAAGGTGGCCTGGGGTTGGTTTCCACGTCGTCTGATAGTTAACGAATACTTCAGTATCCTGGTGAATGTAGCAGGTCTACAATGTACTCACTATCTCCCTAATTCCGGCTTTGACAAACTGTCCACTTCGCAATCAGGGGTCTTTAGGACAGTTGCAGTGTCTTGGTCTTTTAAAGTCCAGCCCCGGCGCCACAGCCAACCCCACATTCTTGATGGCAGCCCCACATCCTCATGCAGCGTTTGACGCGACTTGCACCTGACGATAGTTGGAAAAGTAGTCAACAACGATGAAAGAGCTGCAATAGTTGACTCTCTTGCATGAATTTGTGGTGTGGTAAATATTCTATACATGCCATTGTAGCACTGAAGCCTGGATGCAACGTCATGCAACGTCATCGGTCAGTTTCAAGCCTAACGAGACGACTCTTGGAAAAGTACCCTTCCCCGTTCGACCATTCGAAGGACGCAGAAACCTGTGGGACTCTACATCAAGGAATACGAGGCTCAGCTCTTACGGAAAATTCATAGCAACTGACCAAGTAGTGGCACATTTCTTTTATTATGTAGCGAACCGCCACCCTATTCGTCGACCAGCACAGTACCAACATCTGTACTTGTTCCTGTTCGTACCATTCGGAGTACACTACCCCTGAACTACCCCTTCTCCCTCCCCTTCCAACTCCATCCAGCAGTTTTCATATCTACGCCCCCCTCCAAACACAAATATGGCACACCGAGCCCCCCACCTAGCATCCCAAACCGCCATCTTCTCCCCGTCGGTCGCCCGCGCCGCCGCCTCCACCGCCAAAGACTGGGCCTACGTCGATAGCTGGCTCAAAGCCAAGTACCAAACTTACACCCCGCCCCACGCCCCTCCCTCATTTGAGCGCAACCCCGAGACTCTCAGATGCCTGCTCGCCCTCGCATCTCATAACGAGGCCGCAGACGAGGAGCGCGACCAGCTGGCTCGTATACAGGAAGCTGCCCTTGCGGAGGTGAAGACCATCAAAGCCGAAAAGGAGCTCCGTCGTCGCGCCACGGAGGAAGATGGGCAGGTGGATGGGGAGCTGATTGTGGACCGGGTCATGGAGGCTCTCGGGGATGGACTTCCCCGGGAGGGCAAGACCGCGTTGGATGCTATGGCCAACATGGCTGTCGAGTTAGGCATGGCATACCCGACACCCGAATCACTTGGATCCAAGTTTGTGGGGCTGCAAGGTCGGGCCTTTGAGCTAGAGCAGACAATTGAACGTGTCGCCATGCTGCAGCGGTATCTGGATGCCGAGTCCGAGATCATGGATAGATTCGTCGACGACGTGCAGGGCGACGCCTACAGGGCCCCCGAAGACCTGGCCAAGCAGAATCTCGAATTGCAAAGGGAAATCAAGACTATGTCTGCCAAGATCCCCGAGCTAAAGCAGCAGGTTGCCTCGCTCCAAAAGTCGGTCGGTATGCCCAAACTAACGGTGGAAAATGTCAAGAAGGACGAGAACGAGTATTTAGAGTTGTTAGCCCGGAAGAAGCATCTCGATAACCAACTCAAGGCATTCGCCGGGCTGCCACCCGACGTGGATGCCGCCAGAGCAGTACTCGAGTCATTGCGAACCCAACTGCGCAAGGCCACTGAACGGAGAGATACAGTTTTTGAAGGGCTAGTGGAACGCGAGAGTCCTGTCAAGAATAGAAGAAGAAGACCTTGATTAGGACCAACGGCGTCCCTATTATATACGCTCCGGGTATTGTGCTGCGGATCATAACCGGTTCAAGAAACAGAAAACCCAGTACCAGTAGCCGTCGCAAGAACCAACCTTTACGCTCAACGCGCCCACATGCTATGAGAGTACTGTTCCTACGTCTTTCCCGATGATTGCTCTTGTGTCGTAGGTCGAACCCGGTGATACTATCCCTACGATCTCTTACCTCGACCGGCGACCGCTCCACCGAGCCTTCCAAACTGTCTGCCCAGACCTGAACTACGCTTCGTAGGTGCAATTGCTGGCGGCACGGCATCTTTCTGCGGCACGGGCGGACCGCGAGGCGGCTCTTTATGACCCTGGCTCTCCGAAATCCGGAAGTCACTAAAATCCGGACCCTCATCCAATCCAACGCCCAACCGCTGTGCCCGCCTGGCCCTGTCCTGCACACTTCGGAACTTTTCCAGAAGCTGATCCCACCGAATGAGGCCCTCCTCGCGTCCCTTCAGCCTGTTGGGCCGGTCATAAGTTGATGCGCTGGGTGTAGTGACAGAACTAGGAGATGAAGCATGAGTGTCATGAACGCTTTTGGAACGAGGGTTATGGGTTTGAAAGGAAGACACCGCCTCGGCTATCGAATTCTGGCGCGAGTGATGCGTCGGGGCAGTGGATGTTACATACGGTCTAGGCTGCGCAATATGCAGATAGCCTATTGAGCTGACGCTGTTGAGTCGATTTTTCAATGCGGCAAAAGCAGAGGATTGGGGAAGGAGCATCAGCAGCCCGTACAAGCACTTGTATAGGTACGGATACTTCTCCGGCTCAAGTAGTTGAAGGCGAAGATCTGAGTATCAAAGTCAGACTGCTTCAAGAGACTGCGCCGGTTCGTTGACTTACATGTGAAGACTGGTGATTCAATCAACTGGACGAGCTTGTCGATCTGGATGAGAATATTGACCGTCATCTCGAGTTCCGCACTGTAACTATTAGCATTCGGAGGTCATTAGAGGCGATTGTGAAACCATCTCACAATATCTGCAATAGGTTGTATGCAGCCTCGTATGCCTGCGCCAACAGACATAACGAGAAGGTAGCCACCGCGTTATAGCACCATGACCGAAAGAGTGCAACAAAGAACGTCTGTCCATCCTGCAATACTGTCAGTAAATTTATGTTTATATCATCTCTACTGACATAGGCTCACCTTAGTCTCGAGATTGCGAAGCCGCTTTCTGAGATCGGCAAGCTCTGGTGCCGTGATGAGGTTGTTGTTGAGGTTCTGCACCATAATGCTTGCAAACTCGACATCATCCTCCTTCTCGATGCATTCGGCCAGGGTGCGATAAATGCGTTCTGCACTCAGTGTCATACACAGTTGGCGAATGATCAAGTTTCCTCGCGTCTCCAACAGTTTCCTATCGGTCGAGAAGAGTTGCAAGAGATTGACCATGAAGTTGGAAAAGTAGTCCTCCTCACTGTTCCGCGATATTTGCGAGAGTAACTGGAGATCTTTGGTCACCACAGCCTCGGCCGGGTCCGACAGTGTCTTCAAAAGGGCAGGGAAGGTTCCGTCGTTGAAAGCTACGATTTTTCGGGGTGCTTTTCTATGCAACATGATGAGCCAAGTCAGAGCGGCAACCCGAGTCGCTTCATGGTCGTTGAGGAAGAGAAGTGTCAACGAGTTGACCGCCGCGGCGTAGTCTAAATCTGCTTGCGGCGAAGGCGTTGGCGATATCCTACGATTTTGGGCGGGCGTGGGACTGCGCAAATCTAGGTCCTTCGAGCTGGCTAGGGAAGCTCGATTACTAGAGGCGCCCTCCTGACGTTCAGGAGCAAGATTCGTCGGAATCCGAGATGGCGGTCGACTCAACGGAGGAGGAGGTGGTGGCCCTGGGCCCTCTGGCTCGTCGGACAACGAAACGACGTATTCCATCAATGAGGAGTTCACTCTAGCTGCGGCTTGCCGAATGGGCTCTACACCGCTGGCCATAGCAGGTAGCAAGTGTGCTAGGACCTTGGGCGTAAAAGGCAGTACCTCCTCGGGACATATGTCGAGAAAAGCCACGATCCACCGCAGCGCCTCCTGTAGACTATCTTCCTCTGCAACCTGTCAGAATAAGGGGTTACGTGGGACCTTGCTCGAATCAGAATACTACTTACCGAGTGGGGAGTCAAGAGTCGCCGTCAGAATCTCCAGTATGGCCTTGTAATTAATTTGAACATCCTGCCCGGGGACCCAATCGTCTTCACTGCTGACTTCGCCATCATCATCCGCGGCCGTAGTAGAGCCGGCCTCTTCCACTTCGTCGGGACCGAGCTGCACGCTGGCACTGTCGATAGACTCCTCCCGTTTTCGCTTCCCGTCCCCCTTAGATTTCTTGCTTTCAGAAATGCCTTTCTTGACCCTAGCAATACGCTTAATCTCATTGAGGAATTTATCCAAACAGGCTTGGGTGGCTGCGTGAACATCGGCATTGTGTCCGCCAAGGAACTTGAGCAGGCCATCCAGAAACTCGGGCAAGTACGTGACGAGCTCAAGGTCAGGGATGGAATCCAGCAGCGTAATCCAGCCAACCAGAAAGGTCCGGGTGAAGGGGTTGATAACATAAATGCGTTCTTTGAGGAGCGGAATGAACTTGGGCAGCGAGAAGGCCGTAGGAGGTTCCGATGAATCCTCCTGGGAATCCACGTCCTTCCCGTCGTATTCGGGATTTTCGAGAACGGAGACGTAAGTAGCGGCGGATTCAGACACAATATCCTTGATTAGCCGGTCGAGAAGCTCTGCGCCATTCTTGACCGACAGTTCCGAATCTGCACCTAGCTGGAGAGAGGAGGGTCAAATTTAGGCCAGCTCAGGTGGCTTGGGGGGAGAGGACTTTCATGACATACCCTACACAAGGCATCGAATATGTGGTTGAAGTATTTGAGGATCTCCCCTTTGGCGACCTTGGCAATGTTGTACATCGACTCACAAGCGTAGTAACGAACCCGCGCATCCTGATCGGTAAAGCAGGCTAGCACAGGCGGCACTATAATCTCGAGGTACCTAGGCAGCTCCTTCCAAAGTCAAGAATGTCAGGACATGTCGAGGACCAAGAGACGAGGGGGTGGGGGGGTGAGGGGTGTAAAACTGACTGAGCCGAGGGCAATAGCCGCGGCAGCCAGGCCGATTAGACCCCCATTCCGAGCATGAGGCTGATGTACAGCGTATGCATACTCGCTAACAAGCTGCTCAAGGATGGCCGTGACCCTTTCGTAATCTTTAGCTGCCGTGAGTTCCCGGATGATGCGTTCCAGTCTGGCCAGATCAGTCAGTCAGCCTGGCCTGAACATAGCCCTGATGTCATCATACGTACTCCAATGCGCCTAATTTTCTCTTGTCATAGAGCTTGTCATTCAAGAGACGTTGGACGTTGGGCTCCATGGCTTTGACTTCGATGACGGATGATCGATAACACAAAAGGTCGGTCTACTTTGGGGACATAGTGGCAGAGCGCAGGTGGGGAATTTTCATGAGCTGTGGGTTGTGAGCTGCGTGTTGGCCGGGAATATCTAAGCTACTAGTTAAAGAAGAAAGCCAAGGTGCGAGCTCGCTCCTTCACTCCAAATACTTATCGAAATAAGATTTAATAAATGGTTTTGGGAAGACCGAATGAAGTTGGCCAAGCTTGAACGAGGCTGAAGGAACCGCCTCAGGTTGGCTTGGGAACAGCGGCAGGGGTGCAAGACTGCGGGGAGGCGTGCAGGTGTCAGGGTGTGGCGTCACCATCATCAACTTGCCAGGTGGATGCTAGCAAGAGAAGCTAAGGTAGCTAGCTTCCAGGTCGATATCTCCCGTTGAGCTTTAAAGATGTCAACCACCAAACAGCGCTGCCATTACTTTTACTTACTGTCATTCGCTCTTTCTTTCAGGCAGGCTCGAGCACGGCATGACGTACGAAGGACCTGCTTAATTTGCCGAGACGTTGCTAACTTGAAGAGCTTTAAAAGGTATTGGGCAGCAAGTGGGGTAGAATCAGTTAGCGTTACACGGATTTTTCTCCGACTTCATACCTACTACACCTGGTGCCATTTTGTTCGTTTTTTTCTTACAAGCAACCTGAAACAAAGTAACTTGCATGTGTTGCGGCTTACGAAGACGGCTCATCGAAGCGACAGGTCGCAAGATTTGCCAAATCTAACCTGGATGTGGGAATGCCATGCAAAAGATCGGGGCTGCGCCGAGCTAACCTCACATATGTTCCGCTCTGTTGGGTCTTTTACTTACGAGGCTTCGTCTCGACAACACTGGCCTGAAAGACCACAACCTGTTACTCGGAGAATTTCACGAGCTTACCAAGTACTCAATACCTCCAATCTGACCACAAACCCACCATGGTGGTCAGTATACCAATACTTAGAATACTTGGTACACTTGCAGCGATCAGGGTACTGCGGTATCTCGTCGGGGCTATCGCCAAAACACTGTCAACATCAGATTCTGCCGCAAGCAAAGCCTCGTCTTGAAAGCGAAGGGAAATACCGGTATTTTTTGGTTACTTACTGTCTGGGGCTGGCTGGTTTCTTTATCGAAATGCCTTGCCGGCCTTGTCATGCACGTTGGTTTGCTTGAGATGCTGCTTGCTGCTTGCGTTTCTCAGCTATGCAGCTTTGCAACTATCCCGGCTGGCAGTCATCAATTCATCATTCCTCACATTCAATGTTATCGGATCGTGGAGCGCTTGATTGAACTCAAATCCCTCTTCGTTCCCGGATTTGTCTGGAAGCAAGGCCGTCCGATTTCCACAGATTTCGACGACTCTGTTCGTGCGAGTCCTTTTCCAAAATACCGTATAGTCGGTGAATCGGGATGCTCTAATGATCTGGTTACTATGATGAAGAGCGAAACGGAGGCATGTGCAATGGACATAGTGTTGTGCCTTCGAGACCTATTGCATTGGTACCATTCCCATCTGAAGGGTAAAAGCGTGGGACATTGAGTCCAGACCGCAGTCATTCTCCATTTACAGCACCGACTGTTCCTCGGCTCACCAGCACTATTGGGGCGCACTAGGAAACGAATGGATTACTTTTACCACTAATCTAATGAATGCTCCTAAAATATGAAATCATAATCTCGCAACCCCATAGCCAAAGATAGCTCCTAGACTCTGCCACCACGATTGGGAAACGTGTACAAATCCACCGTATCATCCCATCTTTATTCAAAGCCTGTCGGTGCTTTTCTGACAAATCCTTCGTCCCATTCCACATTGGCTTGTCGATGATCAGTATAGTCTGGTTTGTCTTATTCGGAAATATTTGAGACCATGCCCACGTCACGGCAGTTGGCTGCGATCATTTCTGCTGGGTCTTATTGTCCTCCTTGTTTTGGTTCGAGTCACTCTTACGCCAGGAAACATCAGAACCGCTCCCAGTCCGATCCCTGTTGTTCCGGGCGGCCATATCAGCATGCTTTGCAGTGAAGACAGATTCGCAGTTGATGTCTCACAGTTTGCTTGGCTACAGTTTCTTTGATCCCACTCGACAATGGAGACATGGCAAAGTCAACTGCCAGACATTTCTTCGGTCTTTGTAGCTCTTTGATAACCAACATAGACAGCTGACAGAAACATGCAAATGCATCGATTCGACAGCCGTGGCATGGGAGAATAAACAACGACAACACCACACTTCCTTTCAGGAAATAAAACTTTGGTGTGACTACTTCCCAGCTGAAACCAACAGCTGATGATTCTAATCCCGTGATTATACTCGTCATTCCATTCAAAGCAATACATATTGCCCCTGAAACCCCAACACCAGCCGGTAGCTTTGTACACCCGCAACGGGGACCCAGTGGCTTCCTTGCATGACTAGGGTGTGGGATCATCCTCTGAGAAAATATTAGAGAGTAACAAAGGAGAGTACTTTCCATGTACCGACAACCTCTTACCGCGAGATACATTACAACGTCTACGCCGCAAAGAGCTGCATATAAAGGAAGCTACTTAACCTCTCCAGGAGTTGAGTAATTCGTCACCAACACCTCGAAATCTATCCCGGGAGCTATTCAGTTCTCTCAGTAATAATCATCGAGCATAACTCTTGTTCAAAGATAGTAACCCAACCTTCAAACTTCCACCGCCATTACTCGTCAATCTCAATTCAGAGGAATGCCTCCAACCAAGATGGACGAGAAAGTCGCCGAGCGCATTGCCAAAGCACGGGGTGCAAACGTACAGTCCAAGTTAACATCAATCTTGCGGCAGATGGGCCAGACGCAAGATGCTTGCGAATCAGCTGCAACTGCGTTGCACATTGTGGATAGCTTCCACTGATCTCGACATCTCGCTTGATATTGCCAACCCCTTGTACTTCAGTGCATGTTGGTTAACCATTCATGCCACCGGCTCCGACCTCGACAAGCCTCACCGTGCTGCCGTGTTGGAAGTGGATATGTGGCAACCGCAACGCTGCACGTGCGGCATAAAAACGTGGCCAGCTGGTCTGAATCCTGCAACCCCTGCAGTAATCGATGCAGACCCCGGTCGACGAAAGGCGGGTTTGTCAATCGATAGCGTAGGTTGTAGAGATCTCATTTCCAGCACCTCAGATCCGAAACTAGACTGACTAGGCACTGGTGCTGGAAGAAGGTAGAGATCTGATGCGAAGATCTGAAGATAATCTCACCGTCACGAGAAATATTGTGGCCATCAGGGCCGTCGACCACTTAGGGGATTCTAGCGAGCGAGCATGACAATGCATCGACTGGGATGTTCTCCTTGTACAATGAGACAACAAGGGATGCAACTGTTCCAGTCCAGAAAAACGACTGGACAGTTGTACAGTTGAGTTCTATTGCATGATATAGGGCTTGATTGCTTTGCATTAATTCTGTTGTAGTTATTGTCTGCCTCGCACTGTGGTAATGACTGCATCCTCCACCAGTACGTGGGAACCGACAATAGGTATGATGACCCAATCATCAAGCTTGCCAAAACACAGCCGCCTAACATCTCGACATATTCAGTGGCTATGATCGAGCGGACTGCCGCCGTTGGCAAGTACTTTTTGACACTTGGCCAGGATTGCTGCTTGTCGAGAAACTTCACCGAGCCTCCCAAGAACCTGCTGATTCCCATCGACAAATCCGTATAATGCGTAAGGGATACCTACGTCGTTGCAGAATTCCTGCACGAGTTTCTGGGTACGGCGAAGGTTATGGCGCGGGATGCGCGGATAAAGGTGATGGATAGCTTGGAACTGCAAGCCACCGTGGAAGAAATCCAACCAACGGGGGCATTCGATATCCATCGTTGTACGAAGCATCTTCTGAGGGAAGGACTCGTGCGGTCCGAGATCCGCCGTGCTCATGGCAAAATGCGAAAGACCCAATTGAGCATGAAGCGGCATGACGGTCATATGACTGACCATGATGAAAATGAAGCGATCCCAACCAGTGGGAATAGACTTGTACACGATACCATAGCCATACCAGCTCCAGAAAAAGAAATGGCCGACGATCTCAAGATAGCGATGCCACCATGCTGGACCTTTGCGCGGGCCTTGCATGCAGAAGAGGTACTCATACGATAACCTGTACAGGTTGAAGCGCCCAAAGGTCAGCAGAATATAATACGAGTACTTCTGGATAGAAACCATGGCCTTGGCGACGCCGTCGTACTCCATTACGCGGTCGTAGTACGTGGATCGTAGATTGCCCAGGAATCGGTGTGAAAAGGCGAGGAAAGGCAGGTACTCGATGTCAGGGTCGTGCTCTGGAGAGTTGGTGACAATGTGATGGACGTTGTGGTTTCTCTTCCACCATCCAAGGGATAAGCCGCCAATGAAGTCTCCAATAATGATGCCAATGACGGTGTCCACATGGAAATTATGGGTGATGCCCATGTGGCCGGCATCATGGGCTGAGAAGACAAGCTGGTGCCAGAAGCAGCCCAAAGCGAAGGCGCTCAGGGCGTACCAACCCCAATGCAGGAAGAGCACTGATGTTCCGAAAAGGAGCGAGTACCGAGTTGCCTCGATGGCGTAGGATCGATAACTGCATTGATACAAGCCATCGGCCTTAATTCTGTCGTTCAAGGCCCGATATTTCTGGACGATGGTGTCTTGTGTCGTAAAGTCCAAGGCTGGATACTTGTCCAGATCCAGATTAATCTTCTCCTTGGTCTGGACGTCGAGGTAGGACATGCCGTCATCCTCCTCGACCGAGGATATGGAAGATACGGACGAAGGGCGTGGGTGTGCGTCTGGGTTGCGGCGGTTTCGCAAGGTGGCCTCGTCAGCAGCATCGAACACGGGAGAGGGGTCCCGGGAACTAGCCAGGCTCGAGTCTGGGGCACATGCTTCATCTTCATCGGGCTCAGCGGTTTCGTCGTCGTCGGCTAATAGTCTGAACTTCCCTCCTTGTATGGGCGGGATGAAGTTGGTCCACCTGCCATCGATCCTTCCAATGCGGTACCTGCTCATCATCTGGTCCTTGGCCTCGGCTGAATGAAGACTGGTTGAGGGCAATCTATGTCAGGGGCTCATGCTACAATGGACTCTGAGTCAATGGACGGAGGGGGTGGCACGAACACGGTGACTTCATCAGTGGCATCTCTGCCAACCATGTGCTTGATGGCTTTATCGCCACCTGGGTGGTATGGAAGCCAGGGGTCTGCCTTCAAGACATATTGGTCGACGATGAAGATATGTCGACCTCGAGCAATCATGTCCTCGATCTGTCGCCGCGAAAGCAGCGGATACGTCTTTTCGCGCATTTTTGCTCGTCTCAATTTCCTTTCAACTTCGGTGAGTATACCTTGTACCTGGGCTGATGAGGGCGACGACCAACTAATTCAATGGCTTGTTTGGTAGCGCCTTTGAAGATGAATTTTACCGCGTCGATGAGGTCCGGTACATCGGCAACGAGACAGATGCCGTAGAACGAAAAAAAAATTAAAATTATTCGCCAGTTGACTTGATAATTTCAAATGGCACTTCCAGTGCAGCCAGTCGAGACTCTCATAACAGTCCGTAATTCGGAAGAGGCGGTGACTTTGGCCGTTGAAAACCATAGGAAAGTCATCCAGTTGCCAACATGAAACGACAGGGATATGCCCCCGCATTTCCATCTCAACATCCAAATCTGTCAAGCCTTTACTAGCACCACTGTCTGTGCGTGGAGCCAGCACGGAATAATTTCTCTCAAGACGCGTGAAAAAGTCAATCCAGGTCAAATCATCAGATAATAGCTCGAGCCTATGATCTCGTTCGTATTCGTAAAAACAAGACAACATCGATCATAGCAGTATTAATAATCAATCTATCGAGATCTGGTTTCCTTGTACTCAACAGTTCTGCAGACCTCATACATGCTAAAACTATGTACCTTTGCTCAAAGCTCTTCACCGGTTGGTTCTACTGTAACCACACGTCATAGATGTCGCTTGAGCCAACATGTACAAGATTGTGGGCCACCATCATACCACGCCATGGCTCGCGGTGGGACAACTCGCCTTACTTTTGGAGAGGCTCGGGCTGCGTTTGACTGCTCATGTCGTACGACCAGGGCGCAGTCGCAAGTGAATCGCAACCCTTGCCCGGAATGTGCCGCAAAGGCTTCAGAAGAGTCAACAACCACGCCAGAGCCTCAGCGGTAATCCCGCTGCCGCTTTGCTTTTCCCCCACTCATTGCCCCCTCCATCTCGACACGATATCCTCGAGGCTTATACTTCGCACTTCCTGCGTGTATTTTTTTCCTTCGCCTTTGAAGAGATGTATGGTCATAGGTTTGCAAGCGCTGAAACCAAGCGCGGGCAACTTCCAAGCTGAAGTACCCGTAAACAAACGTCAGCCTTACTGGCTGTGTGATCCGGACTAATAGAAGTTTGCTCAGCTTTGCCCCCCTGGCCTGGGTGCTGTGACATTTGTTTTTATCATTCCTCTATCGTTAAACTTGGTAGAAGCTGTATCAATTCTCCGGCTCTCGGGGAAGTTCAAGATTGTCCAACATGCGATGGCCATCCGTGGTCTGCAGCGCATGTGAGAGAAATCTGGATCCGATTTCCAGTGAAACGAAAATATCCGACCCCGTATGCAGTTCCTAGAAGTTAGAGATACACAACATGATGATACCGAAAGTCTCACCATAGTGAACATGGGATCAGATTGCCATAAGGGGAAAAAATATGTTTGAGAAGACCGGCATAAGTGCTACCAAACTCGTGTCTTCTAGAGTCGTCTTCCGCGGAATTACAAACATGTGTCACACTTAGGCATCAAGATATAAGCATCCTGGTCTCAATTTCCAGGATACCGGGAAGGGGAGGCTCTTTTGGTTCCGGCAATATCCAAAGCTCCCATCCCCTTGCGTGTCATTTCATCTTTTCCCGCTCGCTTTCGCTTCTCGCTCTGGACATTATCCTTCATCCCTTACTCGATGAATTGCCTCTGCTTCAGGATACCATTTGGTCATGCCAGCGGCGTGGGCTACGGGGGTAACGTACTGATAAATCAGGCTGCCTACCACTCGGGAGCGTGCATGGCAGCCCGTCAGCATGCGTATTGTTGTGGTGGCCGTCAGTAGTCCCCTGGGCCTCCATAATTGGAAACTCGACAACTGATAAATCACCGCAGATGAACAACAATATCATCACGCCATGGGCCAACCCTGTATCGTGTAAGTGACTCCCCCTTGCATTGGCAGATTGGAGCATCATCTTCGGAAAGCAAATTTTCACCAAAACCACCTTGTACTCACTTCCGTCGACAGAAACTACCGCAAGCAGACACTGACCATAGTGAAGCAATAATATCATACAGCCCAACGCAGCCCTTTCGGTATCCAACTGCCTGGCGGATTGGTGTCCAGCATGCGTCCAGGCCTATTCGTCCTATCCCCTTGCCTATATGGATGCGCGCAACCTGCCCCTTTACGGCCGGAGACCGGAGGATTACCACCCCACCCCACCGCGAGGCTTCTACGTCGATGCCATACCTGGCTTATTTGGAATTGGGTCAAACGGTATTCGATGGATGCTGCCTAATACCCACCAGGCTCTTGCCACTGCCAACCGTGCCGTGGCTGCTGGATGGGACAGGCGGCCAAGGTCATGAGATGTATTCCACCTCCCTTTTTGCCCAAAAGCGACTGCCACTACGAGAGCCGAATTGAAGGGTAATTTTACGGCACTCGGTAGAATTCGAGCTCTTATCATCAAGTTGAAACCCCAGCAAAGCTGCTTCATACATGATGTGTACGTTGAACTCTATCATACAGCTCTGCATATGCAATGCGGATCACTTGGTCAAAACAACATCCCTCGTCAGCATGTGCACAATGAGCATATTTTATACATCTCGGAAACGAGTCCCATCCGCATTGCTTTTAAACCATGGAAAAGTGCCAGGTTTGTCTGCGAATACAGCAGGGTGGACAATATATATACCACCCCACACATACTTGCCTATACTTTACCTATGTCAATATGTTTCTCAATCTACCTAGGTATAGTTTATAGCACTTATTATATACACTAAATCCCAGTCACGTTCTGGTCTCACCCAATCATAACAACCCATAAAGACTAAGACAAGTCAGCTGACTTTCCAAACCCACAAGATGCCGACAAGCACAAGAACTGGCACTACGCAAAAATGCCAAAACGTTGAACATCGAGGATTCGCTAGTCGGCACTAACCCAACTCCTAATCTGACGGTGTAAGGGCTGGTCTGGATGCTACAGTGTTGACGACAACGAACAACTTTGGTGTATAAAAAAGGAGACATGGCATCTGACAAATGAAATGCATGCACGCGGTTCGTCATACATGGACATCCCAAACAGACAGTGATGGAGCACCTACAATTTCATGTTCTTAGACGTTCTGCCTCACATTGGATCTGTTCATCAAAATTTCGCTGAATTGCCGAGTTGCCGAATTCAATCTCGTCTTGGAATCTGCCTCTGAACAGCTTAGAAAACTTCACGATCTGTTTCTATACACCTTAATAACGACCATAAACGAAAGAAGTTCTTAAATATTCGATTTCAGGTTGCCTGCATAATTCATATTCCTGTAAGCTTGAAGGGCCATTTGTTGTTGGTACGAGGGAGTCGAAACTGTTGGCTAGGTGGGATGCCTTCATGAACTTTATACACCGGCTACTACTCTAGCTAAGCCCTTGCCATTCGCATCTGTGTATGCACAACGACCAACGCTTTGATACTGGTATGATTACATGACCCATTTCATCGAAAAGATCGGTACTGGAGAGCCTGATTCTGATCACGCCTCTGAGACTTGCATGTGCTGCTCTTTGATTGTAACTACCAAAGTGGCAGGCTCAATCGCAGTCATAATTACTAATTTAGACATCTGATGGCGAATCGTCTTAGATCTTGGCCCCAGATGAGACACACAGGGCCAACTGAGAACGTATGGGACTGGGTGAAAGATTGGATTGAAGATACCTATAGTATCAGCGTACTTGATTGACATCATATATCCATTCGTCAAGGGATAAGACAATACTAAAAAGGCGTCTTTGGAGAACGCGTATAGATATGGTTTAAGGACCACTGTTCTCCTTTATTGCAGCCTGCCATCTCCACTACTGTAGCAGTGCGCTGCATTGTTGATGGGATGAATCTGTACTTGGACGCTTGCTCATATAATTCGTCTCGACATAGATAACTGCTCACATTGTATACCAAGACAACACTTAGATAAAGGCGTAAAAGTACTGATTTTAGTGTAGTGCTGCCTCCACTAGCAGAGCTCGAGTGGTCATCTTAGACACGTGAGACCTTGATTCCTCACGATGTGTGGCTTTGACAAATTCTTGCATCAAATAACCACCTGTCTATACCATGCCTACTTAATGACACAAGTGGAGCCAGTCTTATTGCTCTCATGCGTAAATAATATACACCTAGACACCGATGCTCTGCTCACAATAAAATAAAGGTAGCGGAATGACTGGTGATGTAGCCGGTGGACTAGCTTTAGTTCATCTCACTAAGTCACTGGTTTTCCCAGTCTGTCACAACTCCCTTGTAGCAGCTATTTAAAAGTGGATGGCCTTCGAGTAGGTGGCCATGGCCGCCTCCTTGAATGCTTCTGCCAGTGTGGGGTGAGCGTGGCAGGTACGGGCAATATCCTCGGTTGACGCGCCGTACTCCAGAGCAAGCGTCGCCTCCGCAATCATCTCACCGGCGTTGGGGCCAATAATGTGGCAACCTAGAAGCCTATCCGTCTCGGGATCGGCCAGCATCTTTACCATCCCCTCGGTATCGAGGTTGGTCTTGGCACGTGAGTTGGCGCTGAAGGGAAAGGTGCCGACCTTGTAGGGGATGTTTTGGGACTTGAGTTCTTGCTCGTTCTGTCCAACCCAGGCAACCTCGGGATGGGTGTACATGACTGAGGGAATAACGCCGTAGTTGACGTGTCCGTAGCCCTTCTTGATATACTCGACAGCGGCTACGGCCTCCTCCTCGGCCTTGTGTGCAAGCATAGGGCCGAATGTGCAGTCACCAATGCATCGGATGTGGGCAGCCTTGGTGCGGTATTCGGAATCGATTACAACACGGCCGCGATCATCGACCTCGAGGCCGATGTTCTCGAGACCTAGGCCTGCGGTGTAGGGGCGACGACCGATAGCGACGAGGACGACATCAGCTTCCAGCTATGGCATGTCGTGTTAGCAGTTGTCGGTCAAGATCACCAGATGGTGCTCAGAACTCACAGTTTCAGGCTTGCCACCCTTGGAAGAGTCAACCTCGAGCTTGATCTTGTCGCCCGAGTTATCTCCGCTGTTCACCTTGGTGCCGAGCTTGAACTCCATACCCTGCTTCTTCAGCAGCTTCTGGGCCGACTTGGCAATTTCAGCGTCCATGCCAGGGCCGCCGATCTGGTTCAGAAACTCAACGACGGTAACCTTGGCGCCCAACCGAGACCAGACAGAGCCCATCTCGAGACCGATGATGCCGCCACCAATGACCACCATAGATTCGGGTACCTTCTCGAGGGCTAAAGCGCCGGTGCTGGTGATGACGCGCTTCTCGTCGATCTCAAGGCCGGGGAAGGGTGTGGCCTCGCTACCAGTAGCGATCAGGATATTCTTGCCTTTGACGCTGGTCTCGCCACCCTCGTTGAGCGCCACCTTGATCTCGTTCTCGCTGGCGAAGGTTCCGGTGCCCTTGATGTACTCTACGCCGTTTTTCTTGAAGAGGAACTCGATACCCTTGGTCAGACCGGTGACGGATGTGTCCTTTGCCTTCATCATCTCCTTGAGGTTTAGCTTGACATCACCGACCTCGATACCGCGGTTTTTGGTGTCGTGCAGGATCTGGTGGTAGAGATGGGAGTTGTTGAGGAGGGATTTAGACGGGATGCAGCCCACGTTGAGACAAGTACCGCCCAGCATGCCTCTCTTCTCAATGCACGTCACCTTCATGCCTTCTTGGCCAGCCTTGATGGCGGCGACATATCCAGCTACACCACCACCAATGATAACGAGGTCCTTCTCTTCGGACGACGACGCATACGTTCGTACTATCGCAGGCAGGGTAGACGGCCGGAAGGCGGAGCGGGCCCGGACGGCCGAGCGAGGTAGTAAACGCGAAGAAAGCATATCTGCTACAATCTGGGGCGGGGGGAGGGGGGCGGAGGGGGGATTGTGGAGGATTGTAGATGTGAGGGAGCGAGGGAGGAAATCACTCAATTGGGTATATCGCAAGAAATCTGACGAGCTTCTCTGAAGCTTCAGGTCAAGTTCTGGAGAATTTTGGAGATCCGAGCGCCGCGCCTCCGTCTTGAGTGGTTCGCGGTTTCCAACGCCGCTGGCTCGGAATTAACCGGGTCATTTGCTCCAACAGCTGTCGTCTCAACATTCTCCATAATTGAGCACCTTGCTCTTCAGCTGTTCCAGGGGCTAGTAAAATGCCACGGAATAATCCTCTAATTGACGGAACCTAGAATTCTAGTGGAAGTGATTGATTATTATGCTGTTTCGCTGATCAATTCATTCTACAGTCCACGAACAAGCTGAAACAGAGGCTGTTAAATGCAATCCGGGGTAATCAATATCGCCTGGAAGATTCCCTGTAACAGGCCTATACAGAAGCGACATCAGCATACCCAGTCTTGCCACTAAGCCCAAAGTCCTGATGCTATGAAGATAGAACCTCGCTTCCCCCCGATGATGCATTACCAGACTATAATGTGCAGGCTCATGACCTGAAATGTCTCGATAGACATGCGTTATCTCGTATCAGCGGTCACAGACGACGGACGGGTCGGCTCGTCTCTGTGGGATCCAACGTCCTTCTCAGATTTTCTTCCGCAACGCTGACACAAGCTTGCTTTTAAAATAACCCTATGTAAAATGGATATCAATGGATCTATCATGACGGCCGCGGCAGCCAGTTTCATATCGTCGCGGTTAACACCACAGCTACTCCGTAGCCGCTGCCGACAGTGACGCCTCCAAAACCCCGGCGGCCTCCTGGCACTTCTTCTTGACGAGCCTTTTCTCCTCCTTCTCCAGTAAATCCGTCTTTCTGATATACTTCTTCAGAAAATACTGCACCGACCTTGCCAAGTCCGTTTCCAAAGACCCAAATATTTTCTGCAGGGTTTCACTCTTGGACTCCTTGAGCACGGTGATGAGTAGCACCTCGACGAACAACTGTGATTTCTCCCGCAACGCGGCCAGGTTGCGGTACTTGAGGATATCGAGTCCCAGATTTCTGTTGGCCACCAGAGATCCATAGAAGCGCGCCACATTGTACAACCAGCGCGACTCATAATCCTCTTCATCATCGCCGTCGTTGTAATCATTGTCTCCAGTGTCGATATCCTCGCCCATCTTCCGGAAGCGAGTTGTCAAGCTCCGTCGGAATTGGAAGCCCAGCTCTCGATCGCCGCAGAATCGCGTGGCTACAAGGAAGTAGTATCGATTGTATATGCCCTGCCTCTCACCACTGCGCACAATGACCTCGGGCACCTCCTTTCTCTGGTGTTTGTTGAGTCGCAATTTGCGTATGAGCAGCTCTGCGTTCTCAAAATCCGTTGCTGCGTGGAGAGCGACGAAGATGCGCTGGCGTACATCGGTGTTGAAGCCTTGTTCGCGGGCGAGCTGCCACAGGTCCGGGATTCCAAAAAAGTCGTCATCACCCAAGTCAGAGACGTCGTCAGGTCCCTTGGTTGCATCTGAGTCCTTTTGCCCCGGGTCGTTCTCACGGTTGCCGGACCAGCTCGCGCCAACAACCCACCATTTTCCGTACTTGTCTGCGTTTTCAATCTCCTTGAGACCAACTCGAAGAGGTTGAGAGTCACTGTGGCCCTGCAAAATTCCGATTCGCTTCCGGATTTGAGTACGCTGCTCCGCAATGTCCTTATTACGGCCTGCTGCCTTGGACTTGTTGTTGTGGAGTTTCTTCATCTCTTCGAGCATGAAGCTCGTTCTGATGGAGATATTCTTGAAGTTGGATGGATTCATCTGGTTGACAATATCCTTCAAGGAATGGGGATCGTCACGTCTGAGAGAAGGACCACATATGTTCACAATGCGTAGAAGTAGCTCGGTGTTGAGCTCGTCCAAATTGGCCAGAAATAGACGGATATAATCGAACATCAAGTTCGGACCAATGACCTGCATGTTGTAGAGCTCGGCCAGCAGGGAAATCATGTGCTTTGATGCGGAATCCGAATGGTCTCCAGAGGCTCTGTTATGGTGTTCTTTGAAGACTTCGACGAGTCGCTGAAGCAAGTTGGCGGCAACATGCGTACCCAATGCTCTTTGGCAACCAGAAGCAAAGCCTGCAATCATTGTGAAGAATCCGTCTGGTCGTTTTTCAGGCGAACAGACGAGAGAAATGACCAGGTCGATCAACGTGGAGGTGACGCTCTGTCGAGGAAAATTGTCGTAAAGCCCCGACAAGTCTTTGATGATGCCAACCATACTCTCGTTGGTCAGTCGATTGATGAGACCCTGCACACGCCGTCGTAGCTGAGCGTCGACTTCTTCGTTCGACCCTGACTGTTGGCGAAGTGATGGCGGAACGTATTTGGCTACCCCCGTTGTGGGAGCAACATAAGGGTTTTCACGTTCATGAGGAGCTGGATATTCGGCAGAGTTTCGCTCTTCATCGTCATCAGAATCAGAAAAGCCATCGAACCCGCCGTCGTCATCTTCGTCCCTTGAGCTGCCCAGATCACCATCAGTGTCGTCGTCGTCGAAGTCTGAGATTGCTAGATCCGAGAATCCATCGTTCTTGTTATCATCTTCGTCATACTCGGAATCATGGGACTCGTCATCTTCTTCCATGGCAGCAGCTCTGGAAGCAGCGGCGGCAGCGGCGGCATTATTGGCTTTTCGTCGCTTTTGTGCTAGCCAATTATCATCTGCCTCGGCTTTGCGCTTATGCTTCCCCTTGGCTGGGGCTTCTCCGTCGTCACTTTCGCCTTCCAGACCATCCAGCAGGTCTCCAAGCCCGTCTTCGTCGATTGCTTTGGACTTCTTGCCCCTTTTTAAGCCGAGTTTCCTTTCCAAGGCGGCGATCTCAGCGTCTTCTGGCATCGATTTCCGTTTCTCTGCTTTAGATGATGCTGGTGCTTCCTGACTCCCTTCGTCACCCATCTCGCTTGCTCCGTCATCACTCCCGTTCCCGTCCAAGTCTGAGACAGAGTCATCATCGAGGTCATCTGCATTCACAACGCGGCCCCAATCCTCATTCGCAGGCTGTTTTCGATATTGCTGCTTGACATTGGCAGGATTTGAACGTGGTGGCTCTTGTGACTTGACCTGCTTAACCTGCTGTGGAGCACTTTGCTTTTGCTTCTTTTCGATTCTTTGCGCCTTGCGCTGCTCTTTTCTCGACACTTGTTTCGTGCTCCCCTTTCCTCCCGTTGAGGTCGTGGGTTTCTGAGCATCAAGTTTTCTCAATATTTCTATTGGAATTGACAACTTCTTTGGTGGCGCCATGATATATAACCGGGGTGACCAGTACCGGTTGCTTTGGGTGTAGATAAAATGACACAGAAATAACGTAGATGATGAATTCGGCAGTGTCGAAAGGCAAGTACAGCCCTAGAGGTCGTTCCTTGAAAGCTTCTTAATAAATAAGCTTCCAGGTTTACTCTTACTCTAAGTTGTCGAGTTTGACGCAGGTTCTTTGAAATCGGACTCAACTAACTGTAAATTTTTGGTGATGCAACCTTGCGCACCGACAGCCCCACTGCGGGAACCCACCTTTCAAGTTACCTTATTGCGACCACCTGCGGGGCGTTCAACGTTTGGCGTCTGCCAGCGTCCCCCCGCCAGAACATCTCCAACTTAGGAGACGGACAGCTCGAGGATAGCACTCAATCACCATGGGGGTACTCAGTAACGACGAGGTGAGACCTGACATTTAGAGGATATGGCCATCATGCTGACATGGGAATCTGTAGTTCTTCGCAAAGCTCGGAGAGCTCTTAGAGGGGTGCAAAGGCAAATCTAGAGGCTCGATATTCTTAACCCAGAAGAGACGTACGCGCTTTCGTCGTAACGGTATTTCTCACGGACATCTTGAAAACTGACATCGATGTAGTGTCCTACGAACAAGACATTCCAGAGCCGACGAGCGAGAACGTCCTACCCGACCTCCACCCGCCGCGGCCATTACCCGTCCTGATCAGAGCAACCAACGGCAAGGCAGGGGACAAGAGAAAAGAGCGAGTCAAGCTGTCGACCATTGTCGAGCCACATGCCATTCCTGAATTTTTTACCAAGTACGCCGATGTCTGCAAGATGGGTATGGCGGCACTGAAGCCCAGGGATCGCAGTAAGCGGAAGACGAAGGGCAAGAAGAAGAAGACTACCTTGGTACTTGCCTCGTGAAGGTGGCATCGCAGTGTGGGAGATCTTCAAGAGATCAGCCCGGCCATACTGCATAGTGTCTGCTCCAATTAAAGAAGTGGAAGGTAAAGGGCCCGTATCAGGGGCAGATAATTGCCAGAACATGTCAGGCATAGAACGACATAGAAAGAAGCACCATGCTCTTCTCGCGCTGGATCTATACAAATCACATCTTCTTAGAAACCTACATACCTGATGCCTAGGGAAGATAATCAAGGTGGTTGTCTCGCAAGCTCCTAAATTCGATATTGAGAGCCACAGTTATTGGAGCTCTTTATAAGCTACCTAGGAAACTAGGAGAAGCCTTCCTCAGTCGTGGATTTTAGGAGTTGTGGCCAGTGAGATCCTCAAGGTAGGCTGGTGGTATATCCTTGAATCATGTCGGTCTAGTAATGAAATCTGATCAGACTGACTGATGTTGCTGCCAAGGATATTAAAGTGGCATTAACTCTGCGTGATGGGCGTAACGAGATAATCTCGCCTGTATTCATGTCAATGCTATGCGAAGCGACCGATCGATTTGAGTTGGTAAGCCCATATCAATGGTGCCAGGTCTATCCCAAAGTGAGGAGTTGAGATAGATCTGATGTACTTCATAGCGTAACTCAAGGCTTGCTCGCACATTGCTCAAGATATCTGGCTCTGCATACATTCTCATATATCTCAAACCATCATCGCCTCAATATCCATCGTAGACCATGATTCCTCCTTATCCTCAAAACTATCGTGAGTTGTCTCCTGAATCGTACATATCAGAGATTTGGTCTTCTGATTTGCTAATGACAACAACAACAATAATAACGAACGATCGACTTACCTACTGGATCTTGAGAAGCTCACCCCTTGGTTAGACATGTTATTGACACACCGTGTATGTTTACAAGTGGGATTCAAGAAGAAAAGAAAAGTAGGTGTTCCTTGCACAATGCAGAAATAACATAGAATTCTTTCACGTTATCAAATAAGTACTGCTTACGCTCGCTTCCACATTACCATGTATTGCTTAACTTCCCACAGTTCTAATTACGTATACTCTGACATTGTTTCCCACTATGCCTCTTCAAACATAGTCAAAGCTTGGATTATGCCCTCTTCTTGGCCTTCACACTATCACCATAAATATCGTCCCGTGTCTATAGTGTTCGATCGCAAGGCTACGGCTAATCAGCCTTCATTATCCTCCTCCAAACTCTCCATCATCTCCCTAAACTCTCGACATCGATCGCACTCGCTCTTGGTTGGCTTCCTCGGGTTCCCGACGTACAAACGGAGACTCTTCGGACACAGAGCGTTATCATCCTGGCTCTCGCAGCTAGCTAGCTTCTTATGGGCCGTCCAAACGTGCTTGCAGGTAGTGCATCTCAGGGGGTGAAGTTCGCACATTCGTCCTGATATCGACAGGTGCGTTAATTGGTGTTGGTTTCGATATTGTATTTAAACTGGTGTATTTCTACAGGCGTTGACGTAGATGTGGTTGAGTGAGACAATATTCGCTTCGAACAAGGACTAGTCCGAGGCTTTCGAGTTGTTTTCTTTCGATGCGTAATTTACTTTGGCGTCGTCCTTGAACAGGAGTGGTTGGAATCGAGAGCTATTTTATCAGTTGCACGAAAGGCCAGAGATCTACGTTTACGCAGCATTGGTTGAGGATGTGAGTGAAGGGGAGTCGTGGGGAGGACAAGAAAAAGTCACCTTCGGCCATGACGAAGGAAGAGTCAATACAAATAACTGTTTGTTAGTAACTGAGACCCACAAGGAATCCTACTCGGGTCAGAAAAGTTGGACAGTGTTTCAATAGGCTTCCGCAGATACACAGACAAACAAGTATGAGATAGAAGCACCATGAAGTGGACTAATGACGTGATGGAAATAGTTATAGCCGAACGATGGAAACGAAGATTGGAAGGGCATTTCGTAATATGCTGAAGATAAGACTAGCCTTTTTGAAAATTAGTAGTGACGCAGAACCTCATACCCTCCCTGGTGATTTGTGATAAACGAACTTTTCAGTTGTGGATAATTCGCAGAGATCTACCGTCTGACAGACTGCTGTTTTACCTGTAGTCTTCCAAAACATCGGAGGTCTAGGCGCCCCAGTGTGCCCGACTGTAATAGTCAACAATACGTCCTAGGTACATACCGTATTGGAGTAAGGTAGTACTGGACATGATCAATGGCGAACCCTAGTAAAAACAATCAGGTTATATCAGCACTACTGCCTATATATTAAACTGCAAGGTTCCCAGGGGTATAGTGTCCTATCTAATTCGAGGAGTCGCTTATGTATTCAGTCTTCCACATCTATATTCCATCCACTGGAGAGGCATCTGGTCAAGGCATCTCAACGCACAAATCGCCATCATTGAGTTGCTATTAAATACTCCACACTGACGTTCCTTCGCATATGCTCAGTATTCCGATAGCAGTGCTCCCAGATCATACGCAACCCCGACCGTTGCCTTTCGAGAGCCTCATTACATCTTGCACATTACTATGTGGCAAACGCATCTGCGAAATCTAAGCTAGGATTGAAATCAAATACACTGATTCAGATTTTTGAAGATGCCAAAAGACCACGACGGTAACCGCTTTTCAAGGAACAACCGAATCTCGGTCTACCTGGGTCAACGACATTCGAGTACTTCCTGCCGAATTGCGACAGACCCGCGGAGAAGGTTAGCCGCGACGCCAGCCAGAAGAGCGAGCTTCTCGCGCCGGAACGATCCACTTCCCCCTAAGTATCTATCCGCCATGATGACTCTCTCAAGAGGAGGATCCTTATTGTCGATGCTACTTTAATATTTCGTTCAAGCCTTTGCTCCTCGCCGTCAAGCCCCTTGCCCAAAATGTCCTACAGGGAGCCACTGTGCAAAGATTTCACAGACTGCATGAAATTGCAACTGGGGTATCGGTCGGACTTCGTTGTGGGAAGCATAGTATGTAAACATCCAGCTCTCGACAGGGTTCATAGAGACCGCGTCTTCCATTCTATCCGGAGGCCCGTTAGAGTTGTTAATGACTCGAAAGCCATAGTGAAGTCAACTCTGCAATGTCCGAGATTCTTGCAATATTGGATACTTGAAACAGACAAATCTAGGATCGATATTAAACTATTCCCCATCTGCGAGAACTGGAAAATCGCAAACCCATCCAGAACTCAAGATCAATTGGATGCGACTCGCTAGTAATCTACATGGCTTCCAGGGGTAATCCAAACCGCGCACGCCAATTCAGAATGTTCCTAGTTGTAAGTAGATGCCCCGGAATATGGGCTAGATCTCTGAACAAGTTGAATGTTGTCTTCGTAAACTGGCCATCCTGGCCGTTATGGCCGCTTGAACCATCGGAGTAGATGCAGCCATCGTGTCGAAGTCGTAATCAATCCACGATCCACGCAGCACAACAGTCCTACGCTTTCCTACACAGTCTTCACCAAACGAATTGCCCATCCAACGCCCCAAGTGCGCCTTGTGATGAGCCAGCCACCAAGCCTGGAAAAAATCAGATGCTATTTGAGGCACAATCTAGAATAAAGCCTTCCGATTTCCCCTTTTTTCCTCCTCAGATGACCATCTCCATAGTATGAAATAAGAAAGGGTTGCCACATTTGGTCCGCGATGTAGCCCGTGGATGGAGCAAACGCAGAAGGTCCAGTCGGCGAAGTCAAATGTCCCAGCACCGTCCCATTTGCATGTATATAGCTCGGGCCCAGGGCTGATCGTTTCATTATGCCCCTGAATCCTAAGTCTTCCACCCAAGTCCTCGGAACCTTTTGGGATGTAACTGCAGTCCGTTCGAACAAAGATATTAACGACTGTCGCAAAGAAAATGTGGTACAAGTATGCAACACAGTGGCTAACTCCACTGAAACATCGAAGCCGAAACCTTGGCAATGCTGGTTCAACTTGAAGTATCCATCGGTAAGGTTGTTTGATGAAAGGGTTGTCGGGAAAGGCATAAAAGCAAGTCGCCAACTTTTAACGAGTATCCGAGCTAGCTTTCGCAATTTTCACCAGGAGAGCGGTCAGATCTACATGATCTGATCTTGAGTCAGACCACCGTGAGCATCCGTGTCCATGCTGTCACCTCCACCAGGCGTGAGATACTTGACGTAGCTGAGACCAAGCGGTCTGTTTCCATAGTTGTAGCCCTGGAACTTCGCAATGGCAGTGTCGGCGGTGGTTGGCGAGTCAAAGCGAACAACACCGGTGCCGCGGGATCGCCCGTTCGGTTCATACTGAATCTCCGCCTGCTCAACCTTACCGATCGTGGTGAACAGCTCGACAAGATCGTCGTTGCTCGTGGACCATGGGAGCTAGGCAGAGAAGTCAGCAAGAAAGTAAACAAGTTGATGGAAAAAAGAGAGGTCAAGGCTCACGTTTCGGACATAAATGATCTCGCTTGGGTCATTTCCAGAGGTGGCAAAGTCCGTGAAGGGGTTAGGAGGTGCAGCTGAGGCACTTGGGGCGTCATAGCCACCGGTGCTACTACCACCACCGAACCCTCCACGACCACCGCCATATCCGCCACCAAAGCCTCCGCGGCCTCCAAATCCTCCACGGCCACCGAAGCCTCCACCGAAGCCCCCACGGGGTGCGCCAAAGCCTCCGCGGCCACCAAACCCGCCACCAATACCTGGGCCGGCGAATCGATCTTCACGAACCTCCAGCTGGCGACCCTGCCAATCGAAACCGTTGAACTGCTGGATGGCATTGCGGGCATCATCCGGGGACTCGAACATGACGATACCGGATCCCTTAGGCCTACCATCTTGTCCCATATGGACATCAGCTCGGATGACGGCGCCATTTCGGGCTGTAGCAAGAGTCATTAGCGACGCTGCAACGAACGGTGTTGCCAGACAGAGGGATTCAGGCGACGTTCACTTACCAGCTTGTCTGAAGAGGTCTTTCAAATCTTGCCAGCCGACGGTGTAGGGAAGCTGCAAGAACATCAAAATCAGAACGAATATCCTAAGTTAGCAACGAAGTGAGGACGGGAGGTAACAAACGTTGGAGATGTAGATCTGACGGCCACCACCACCAGCTCCTCCACCCATCGGGGCCCCGTAGCCGCCGGGACCACCGGCACCACCACCGAAGCCGCCTTGCATTCCCCCACCGCCTTGGAATCCGCCGCGCCCGCCGGTTGCTCCGGTAAACCGAGGTTCCGCTTCACGATCCTATGCCCAGTGTCAACTCCAAACCTCGTCAGGCAGATCCGGGAAAGCCTTACTTCGCGGACATAGACTAGTCGTCCCATCAGGTTCTGGTTGCTGAGCGTCGCGACAGCTTGTTGTGCTTGCTCCCTCGTAGCATATTCCACAATTCTAAAGTGCGATTAGCAGCTCGTCGTTGAGCGGCCCCCGGGGAGGGGGGGATTTGGACTTACCCGCATCCCTACAAATCCCGCGGACAACGTCCCGACCCGTCAATCCATCAATTCCATCAAAAACCAGGAGAGAGAAAAAAAGAAACCAGCCATGAACTACGTGTAGACGCCCACCTTCGACATTCCATTAGGAAGTTGTAAAACATCGGCAAAGAGAACCTCTCCAGCTAGAACAGGCATGCCGTCAGCCATCTAACCCAACTCATCGGAATGTTCTTCAAGACCCACCCTGTCGCATAAAATCCTTAAGGTGGTGCCATTTGACGTCGTAGGACAGGTTGCCGACGTACACACGGCGATCCTGTTGCGAGGTCTCCCGGATGGTATTCATCATTTGCTCGCGAGCTGCCTGTCGTTCCTCGAAGGATCGCTGTGGACCACCGAACCCCTGAGATCCTCCCGACGAGGCTCCGGCGCCAGTCATGGGAGAACGTGAAGAACGTCTGTTCGACCTACGATAGTCGTCCCGGCTTGCAGACCGGCTACGAGAGTAAGATCGGCGGCGGACCGAACGACCTGGACTTCTTGATCTACCACGACGGGGTGAGCGAGACCTCTCGCGCTGTGATGTGTCAGTGTCTTGATGGTTCATGAAAGCTGACGATAACGCAAGCGCTAGTGGCTTGCGACCTATGAGATCAGTTTCGACAAATGAAAAAATGCGGATTATGATGAATCGATGGTTGCTCCGGTTCAAATTTTTTCTGATGTCTTTTGACAGATGGAGGAAAGTTCTCGGGAGCCTGACTTTAGCCAAACCTTGAAGCTAATCCGATGGCTTCGAACGTTCAAGGCCAGAACAACCATCGAAGCTTCGAAATTGATGGCTTGATGAAAAGATCCACGAAAAGCTTTCCTCTACACCAAACACGGCAGTCACGCTTGGAAACTGCCTCGGCGCCGCCGCGCGGGGCAATTGGCTGCCATCAGGTGGCAAGGGGGGTGGTGATGTATGCTGATATATCGAAAATCAAACGTGAATGTTATACTCACCGGACGGTACGTGTCTCCGGAATCAGCTATTGCAAATCTGGGTTAGAAATGTGCGACCCAAAGTAAATGTAGGGAAGTGGAATGGGTAGAAAGAGGTATTTCTAGATGGGGGAAGTCTGGGATGAGAAAAGGACAGCCGCAACTTGGCCGGGCCGCAGGTGCATACGGGGGAAAAGGTGCCAACGTGAGTGGACCAGAAAAGGAAGTAGCAAGGGATGGTCATGTGGGGGAAGAGCCTCGTTTTAAGGATCTAGAGATAGCCGCTGGCACAAACCCCCAGAGTGAATCAAGGGAACGAGGAAGAGGGGAGGGGGGGAGGAAAGAAGGCTGGCCGCCTGGTAGATAGCAGGAAGGGAAGAGGAAGCGGGTAATGTCGTGGGCTGTTACAAGAGGTACAGGCAGAGTAGGCAATGGCAGGCAAATGTGGTAACACGTCAGAGAGGCATTTGATTTATGCTTCCGAATATGCGGCGGATAGGAGAGAGATTGGGTAGACGTGGCCCGTAGTACCAGTGGATGGCGTCTGTAGGTGACGGGGAGTGGACGGCTGGATAGATTGGGGGCGATGATGGAATGGGCAGAGAGATATGGCGAAGTTACCGGCGAGGCTAGAGTTTGGGAAGAGGATCAGGATGAGGATGTGTAGCAAGGAGGTTGGATGTTTGTGTCGCCAAATATGTTGGAGATGACTTACCCATGGTATATCGCAAGTCGACTTGGTGCTAGAGAAGCGCTTTTGCGATGTTTTTTTGGTCACTGGTGGGTGAAAAGGTTGTGAGTTGCCTATCTGTATGGAGGGGGTAAGCTGTTTGGCCAGAGTAGAGTGTACGCCGGGACTGGGGGTAGAACAGGTGGGAGATGAGGTACTGTGAGCCAGTGCCCAGTGGAGTTGATGGAGGGTAGGTACGGAGCCAGGAGTACAATTGGTGCTGCAGCACACTCAAGGTTCATCAATCGTGGTCCACTGCAGTGGCCGTGGAGTAGCAGCAGCAGCAGTGGCAGTGGCAGTAGCAGTAGCAAAATGAGAGAGATAGGCGCGGTAGAGAGAAGACGAATGCACAGGCGCTTGATGTCGGGCGCCGGATAAGGCTGTTTCTCGTCTTCAGGTAGGCTGACTGGCTGGCGACCTGTCTTGCATCGATCGCACTGTCGGCTACGTCGACCTCTCTCTGCTTGTACTCTGGGCAAGGAATTCGCGGGTGCTTGGAAGTGAAGGGAAGGGCAAGGGGGATGATGATGTTGATACGCACACATATGCAAGCTGCAATGTACATACCTAGAGGCTGCTGCAGCAGGCGCCGTGTGTTCAAAAGGCGACGAAGGTGATGGATGGCTTTTTTGTGACGCGATGCGATGATTTGATGCGGTTGCGGAAAAGAGGAGCAGCGGCGCGTTCAACTGCCCAGGATTACTTCAATTCGTTAGGTAAAGGTCAGATCAGCAAAAGGTCCCGACACGAAGCAGGCTGGCAGGGGACTGCCACCCAATCGCCACAGTCATGTCCACTTCTTTTTGACAATGGGGCAGCGAAAATGAAATTCGGATTCACTTGTTGTTGGCCAAATGGCAACGCAAGTGGTGCTGCCATTTTCCCACAATTACCATTGTACCTGAATTTTTTTCTTTCATAGTTTCAAGTCCCGTGATGAGAGACGCCCGATTATGGGAATATACCCTCGCAAGTACCGTAGCCACCCGTTCAGCGCAAGTTTGCCCAGAACGACCTCAGAGAGGTCACATGTCGGTGGGTAGATCTCTAAGTCGTGCCTTCCCAGAGAGGTTGACAAGTGGATTTTCTCATCTATTCAGCAGTAACAAGTTGCATTGAATCAGTGCTAATAGTAGGCCGACTTGGTATTAGAAGGGAGAAAAGGAAATAATGCTTTTGCGAGCTCTCCTTGGCGAATGCAATGCTGCAACGATACGATGCGCAGTGGCCGGGTGACGAATGAGGTAGCAGTATTGGGACTGCCTGCTTGTGTCGAGACAAAAGGATAAGGGTGTACGTACCTTCTGCATGGTCATTAATGCAGCACTGTGTGGTTGCGCTGCGGGAGGAGGTTGTAAGGGTACAATATTGTTAAAGCTGATGTCACCTCGACACAATGAAGTACTTCTCTCGCTAAGGTATTCTTGACTTATTTTATTTAGCTGCAGGTGGTGAATTCGGCAGGCGGCGGTTGTTGGTCTATTATGGCATCCTCGCTAGTCCTTTTTGGGTACCCATCTAGATGGAAACTGCTTGCCGAAATTGCGTGCGTCCGCCATCCACCTGCTCTACTCTGTGCATTTGAAGTTATTAGAAGGTACTTGTTAGGTGTTAACGTGCAGACAGTGGGTCTGGGGCGTCCCATCTGGAGTGGATTGATAGAGAGACTCCCAAGTCGCGACACGGTTTTGCTCGGAAAGGGACTTCATACCCTAGTCGCACGCTCCGAAGACCTGCTTGCCTGCTTTCTGGAGGCAAAGGGGCCGTGAGAGCGGGGTGGGTCGTATTCCTAAAGGATCTCGCACAACTGCAAGCTGTACCACTCCAACGTTGAGAGGCATAAGCTGATAAGTCCCAGATCGGATTCAATTGTCGAACAATCGAGTCACCCTTGGTGGATTTTAAGCTGTCTGTGTGTTATCATGATCTGACTGTTCGTACTAGGGCAGCCGGTCCGCATTGGCCTCTACTTGAGTGAGCTCTGGCCATTGCAACGAACGTCTGAGTGAGAAGACGCATTCATGCCAGACGTTACGACGTAGACCAATCCACGATTGTCAGGGCGCTTGGGTTGTTATCGCATTACTGTGTTTTTATGGCCTGGATGCGATTATATTGATGACTTCAAGTGACAAGTAACGCAACAACTGTGCTCCCCTGGTCGATTAATATTTCAAGTCTCGACATTACTATTCCCCGGTTTTCAAGTAACCGCTAGAACTAGCTAAGTCCTGAGCAATTAATCACAAAAATCCAAACCTACCTAGGCAAGCATACCTCTGGCATGCGCAACTTGCAGTACTTTCAGTGCTCCAAAACGCGAGCGTACCACCAGGATTCAGAGAATAGGGCAGACGACGATATGTTTCATAGTACCCAAGTATGAAATCAGATGTGGATGATACAACCTGAAAGGTCACCGCATCCGAGTCTGCATGCATCAAGGACGGGAAAGCCCAGCTCAGCTGTAAGCAATCGGACGAGTCATCAGGCGAGCTGATAGTCTGAGTTTACGTGTTCATTGCAATGGGCAATGTATGATTGCCATATTCCATTGCTTCTAAAACGATTGAATTCTGAATGGACCAACTTGCAAAGTCTGAAGGATGGTGTAAGTTGTTCCCCGAGCATCTTGACACTCTATGTTTATCGTGACCGGTAGCCCTTCACGAAATTCGCTATTCTCATGTGAATTTCTGTAAATATTATAGTGTGCCCGTACTTATGGCACGGTTTACTGACGGCAACCAGTGGCTAAGGCACTGGATATAATAGTAGAGTAACGTGAATGTACACCGAGCTGGCCACTTTCATGCGCCAACGCGACCGGCCAACTTGATCTTTGATTTTCTCAACAACCAATTATGGCAAAGTCATACAACGAAGCAGACTTAATGCTAGCCCTTCAAGCTCTCAAAAATGACCAAAAACTTAGTCTCGGACAAGCGGCAAAAACGTACCAAGTCCCCCGAAGCACCCTCCAAACGCGTAAAAACGGCGTACCTTTCCGACGCGATATTTTGCCCAATTCACGAACTATGACAGAATTAGAAGAGGAGGTCATTATCAAGCATATACTGGACTTAGATGCACGAGCGTTTCCGCCCCGGATTGCTGATGTGGAAGCAATGGCAAATTCTATCCGCGCGACACGTAACGCAGGGCCCATTGGAACGCGCTGGGCCTCGAGGTTCGTCGCACGCAAATATTTTCTCAGCTGTCGACCAGTTTGCGAAGGGAGCAAAAATGATAATGCACGAGCTCGCCCTCGTACGGGCCGAGTGCGCTGAGCTTCGAGAGGCAAATAAGATGCTAAGCCGGCGCCGGAGGACTAAAAAATGCAATTACGGGAAGGAGAATCACTTATTTTCCAAGAAGGACAGGACCTACGGGACTCTAGCGAGTTGGCGACGCAGATACAGCAAGAAGAGCGCCGAAATGGTGGTCGCGCAAAGCGTGTTGAAACGCGCCCAAGGCGCTGTGGTATTTGCAACGGGACTGGGCATAATGCGCGAACTTGTAAGATCGCATTGCCATCTTCTGGAGAGGAAGATTCAGAGTAGTTTCAATTGATTTACGGCGTTGTGGTTTTACTATCGTAAAATTTCTATGCGAGGTTATGTAAGGGTGGCCAGCTCGATGTACTTCATATCATTCACTCCTACAGCTAATGAGCCCACATTCGAGATCAAATTCAGGTAACACATCGGTGTCAGTCAACGGAATCGCCAACTTATCTTTATCTATCAAACGGTCAGTAGTATACAATAAATAACTCGATGGCATTTTCATATGTGAATCTTGCCCGAAGTATGGGTTTAAGAATTGTCTATGAACCTGAATTTTTACAAGGCGGAGACGAAAAAAGCTAAAGGGCAGATAATAGTGAATGATTAACAGACTCGCAATTGTCACACAGTTCGAATCCGTACCAAACAGAGTGTGCGAGCAATGGCCCTTCAATATCCTTAGCATAGTAGTTTCTACATGCCTTCAATCTAGACAGTGAAGGGCGTCAAACCCGTGCTGGAAGGTACGCACCAGATTACTCATGTATCAATGTGGGGCACCCACCTATGCAGGTGAGAACCAGCGGGAACGTTAATAATTTGGCAGGTGCAAACATAGAAATGCGCACCTCGAGGACCCGAACCGAAGGTGGAAGGGTTGACCATCAAGCTAGATTAGAAACCTTGGAATTGAAAGTCCACACTCACTCGACGTTCGAACCCAGTTTATACTTATCTGCAATACATCCTGTCGGCTATTGACCCGTGGAGCCCTTCTGCCCCTGGAGTTGACCATTGGGACGCCCACTAATGCAGACTAACCGGCCCGCCTCTCCAGAATGAACAATCCCCAAGGATCTTGGTGGTCGCATGTGAGGTGGCCTCGGGACCGGCGAGATTGAACCCGGGATGTTGATGATGAACGGCGACTCCAATTGTCTTCCGATGCAGAACGTCCAGTACCGGGACGGACGAGAGCCGACTTGATGCTTGGAAAGACAGATATTCCTGACAATCAAGTCAATCGTAGCAACCCAACACCATGGTTGGCTTTTTAACTCTTTCTCCCTAGACTGGCTGTCTGACCTGTCACATCGATGCCACATGTAAGCCTTTCTCAAAAGACATGCCCGCATGAGAACCAAACCAACTTGCCATCCTTCCCTGGCGCCACGATGATGATACGCGGACTTTCGAGGATAGCATGAATTGCATCTCGATGAATGACAAAAAATGGCCCCAAGGTACAAAGCAGCTCGCTCTATTGCAATACTAACGATATAATCATGGAAGCTCACCAAGAAGGATTTCACCCTACGTGCTGCTTCTGCAACTAAATTGTGGCCCCCTTGCCCTCCCGCACTTTGCATAGGATCATCATAGTTACGTTCCCCAATTATCTCAGTATCTCAAGGACTCAAAGAACAGCCTGGCTAGCTACCACGGTTGCGTAGTGTTCTGGAGCGACAGGTGGAAGGGCTCATTCGCAAGGCAAAATGATCAGGAATCTTACTACGGCGTCAAATCGACAACGAGGACTTTTGATTCGCTATGTGGAAGAGGCAACGGGCCGTCTGCAGCTCTGTGAAAAATGGACAGATGATCTGAAGGCTTGCTGACACCGAGTTTAAAACAAGCTAAGTATCCTTATCTAGAGCTTTCGAAGATGATGCTGACGTGGTTGACCTGACAGGCAGAGCCTTGAAAGTTGAGCAGACCCAGAACAATAGCATCTCAATTGCTCGCAGCTGCCCGTGCGAGGAAGGCCGCAGCACTATTACCTGTGTCGCTAGCACAGCCCGTCGTCACTGCCGGAGATGCCATATCCACACCTCAAGAAGGGCGCAGCACATCATTGGTAATTTACCGCGCTGATGAGTGCCCGGCTATCAGGGCCTCAAGACCAATGCCTCATGCAAAAGAATTGCACTTTGTGGTCACACAACAGCTATAGTGGGCCGCTGTCCATACCCACTGATGCACCTCAACCTTGTTTTGCTATATCGCTGTTGAACGTCCTGACGAGGCTGCCCTTTAGCTGAAGTATACACACACCTGGCACGTCTAGATGTGCGCGAGGAACCCGGAGCCGTTATAAATCTGTGGCCTAAATACATTGCCCAAGCTAAGGGCTTACCTGCCTCCTAAGTTGGTCGCGAAGAGCCTTGTACGAACCACGACACGGTTGTTCGGAATTATTGAGCATTCTGGGCGGGTGGATCAGATGAAACCGGTATGCTAGCTTGCAGCAACGCCCTGCAGCCACGACCCATTGTAGTTGAGTCGGTCCTTCGTGGTGGTTGGTATGAAATGAAACCCGACTGTGCAACAATCACTTCCACCTCGCGGTTTTGATCCTTGCTCGCGGGAGATATTTAGCCCTAAATAACGTAGACGTTGTTGCCGGAGAGCACCACTGCTACTTATCGCAGCTCTTCAGGCAAGCTTCGGGGTCGCGACGGACGATACACCCATAACTGATCGATTCTGTATTAGTTTCCACTCCATCCTCCTCCTGCATCATGTACGGACACAGATTGCCCTTACGAATGGAGCCTGTTTCTTCATGTCTCTTATTATACGCCAGAATTGGCACCAACCAATGACAAGTTTGAACAAGGTAAAGTCTAGTCCTCGGCCCTTACCAGTATGCTTGATTGACCGACCAGTCGCATTTGTTCCTCTATCCGCCCATAATCCAATAGGAATATCCTCCGTTCTCGTTGAGCGGACGCCAAGAATAAGGCTGTTCAGAAAATCCGCGAGACAATACCGCCAAAAGCCACAACCTCGTCGCAGACTTGTAGGTCCTTGCAACCGTGTAAAAGAAGAATCGGGATATGCTTTGTGCGACTCCTCTGTCGTCGTAATCCTTGCGGAGCTGGCCGAGCCTCACTGACCCGTCTGCTCCTTGAAGCTTACACTTTGAAAATGACTGCAGTGGTTCGAGCTGATGAATCCATGCGGCCGCTGCCGATAAGTCTCATAGTGAATAGCTCAACTGTTGGTGAGTTCCAAGAGGCAATTCCACCCGAGAGGTATGGACCATAGTTTATCCGAGGACCCTGCATACGTAGTGCGGAGAGGAGGAAACATTTCGTCGCTTCTCACTGCTCTGGACATTCAGGCGGCTAATTTCGCAATGGCTCCTTCCAGAGCATTCACACGCCTCGCTGCACATCGACGGGTGCTCGGAGTCGTCGGCCGTCAATATCAGCTTCAGCGTCCGTACTACTCCTACGACCACCCTCCTCCCCCAGGCCCTTTCAACCAGACCGAACATGCGATCCTCTCGGCCGCATACACGCACGTCCCCGAACACGGCTTCACACAGCACGCCCTGTCGCTCGGCGCCCGCGATGCCGGCTACCTCGACATTAGCACCGCCGTCCTGCCCGACGGCCCTTTCAGCCTCATCCAATATCACCTCATCACCAAGCGCCAGGCCCTAGCTCCCAAGAGCCGCGCCATCTTTAATGCCTTGGACGCTGCACCCGGCGACGGGGCAAAGGGGCAGACGATGAAGATTGATGATAGGGTCGAGCGTTTGGCCTGGGAGCGTCTGCTTTCTAATGCCGATGTCATTCACCGCTGGCAACAAGTGCGTATATTTACACCTTCCATCCCAAGTTACCTACCTGCTACTCTCCAACCGCATTTCCACCCCGCTCCGCCGCTTTCGGTGCTATGTCCCGTGGTCGACACGACCACGTTTACTTATACTACTGGATGCTCAAGACCAATTATACACTCGCACATTATCTTATCACCTCTTCTGTTCCTCGGCAATCAAGGATGACAACTGACTAACTTTTCCCTAGGCCCTGGCAGTAATGGCCCAACCCTCCCACGTCCCTGCCTCCCTCCGCGAGCTCGCCCTGCTAGCGGATGAGATCTACCACTTGTCCGGCGACGGCGCCGTCGACCCGAGCTGGTACACCAAGAGGGGGACCGTTTCGACTGCCTACGTTGGCGCAGAGCTGTTCATGACAAATGACCGCTCGCCCGGCTTCGCCCAGACACGCGAATTCCTACAACGCCGGCTGGAGGAGAGTAGCAAGGTGGGCAATGCACTGGGCGGTGTGGCCCAGTGGATGGAGTTCACGGCTGTGGCTGGGGTTAATATATTGAGGAGTAAAGGGATGAGGATATAGTTGGAGATCGGTAACATAACAGACGCCTTGTGTATTAGTGTAAAACTACGTGTAAGAATCGGGCGTTATGCAATAATACGTCATTTGGGAGTATGGCAAATGCAAAAGGCTAAGCAGGGGGTTTCTGGACGCTGAGATTCTCGACACCGTTGTATTCGATGTATAACTGCAGAAGTAGAGTGCCATGCCGTTCAAAGGTAGCCACCGAGGGCGAGAATATAGCCGATTAGAGGATTGGGCAAAAGAATTGCCCGCCGAGTATCAATAAAGAAATAGAGCCCAAGCCACCAGCCCACATGGCTACGGCGGGAGATCACATATCGCAAAACAGGGACATGCCGCTCGTCGTCTCCCCGGTCCCAAAAAGCAAACTTGAGCATGTCTTTTTTTTATTCCAAATAACTCCCATCCTATCAACCTCAAAACACTAAACACGCCACCCTATGCCTGGTTGACAAGAACCGTTGGTATTCGTACAAAACATACCTTGCGACATGTGACGTGAGTATTTCAAGGATCAGCAAGACGTTGTTGTCGAGGATCGGTGAGCCTGCAAGGTGATGATTAGTTCCGCTACGAGTGAAAAGTGGAAGCATGAACTGTGGTTGGTGACTAACCGAATGATTTTGACATCCTTGTCAATCTTTCCTCTGCCCTCAATAGCATTTGGCGTGATGAGGATGAATTGTTTTCCAACTGACCGTCTTGCCGCTTGGATCTGGAGATATTGTTAGCATTGTTCTGTTCGTTGTGCAAGTTTGTTCGCAAACGTACCAACATGTTCGTGCTGATGGCACGGTTGACGTTGTCCATGAAAACATCAAACTCATCAAGACAGCGCAAAGGAGACCCCATGGCATCCCAGATAGCAAGAAGTAAGCAGATGGAGGAGAAGGATTTCTCGCCTCCCGATAGAGTCTTCGTGTTCCGACCCGACACGTTCTGCCTCGTCTGGTCGGGTTCCACCTGAATCTCCAGCTTCTTCTTCTGATGGTCAAGCAGCAACTGGCCTCGAAATCCTCGTTCACTCAAGAGGTAGGCAAAATTGGTTCGTGCATGGGCCGAGATCATCCGTTGGAACCATCTCCACTTGTCCAGGCGTTGAACGAGTGCCTTCTTCAGCCCGTGCTGGAGAGACCAGAGGTGCTTATGTGTCGTTTTGGCCTTCTTGTACTCTTCCGTGGCTTGCGTAAATTGACTGTTGATTTCAGCCTCCGACATGCCGTGTTTGTTGCGAAACTCCTTGATCCGCTGTTGGACGGTTGTGTACTTCCGTTCGATACTGGCGTACGTCTCACCTTCTGGGATGTATACGCGCTCGGGCGTAGTCTCACTGGCTCCTTCAATATACTCCTGCACACATTGCATTTGCCTATCTCGAGAGCCCTCTGCATGCTTCTTGCCCTCCTTGGCCATGTCCAGTTGTTCATGGGCCTCGTTCGTCGCGACGAGTGCAAGCCGCCTCAGTTCCTGGTACCGCTGAACCTTGTTCTCGGCCTTTGCTATGCGAGATTTGAAATCTGCCATTTCTTCTTTAATTTGTGCCAAGTCTGCTTTGAGGGTCTGGACAAGCTTGTTCTGGTTCTGTTTTTCAACCGCCATGCTACCATACTGCTGGCCGAAATGATCTTGTTTCTCTTTGACAGCCTGTAATGCTTCTTGGAGGCCTTGCAATCTCCCATCAGCACCTTCGAAGCCATCCAGCTCCCTCTCAATGCCCGAGACAGTTGCCTGTGCCTCTCGGTGGGCCTTTTCAAGAGTCGTTCTCTCCCTTTTGTGTCTCGTCACGGCCTGGCTGCATCGGACAGCAGCTTGTTGAAGACGTCTCTTCGAGGCCTCAAGCTCTCGAAATTCCGACTGCAACTGCGCCAGTGTTTCCTTCTGCATGTTGATCTGAGCCTCATCATCTGACTTCATGCGGGCTTTCTGTCTCGAACCGGGCTGAATCGGGTCCGTCTTTTTCATCTCGCCCCCTTGACGGTTTGTAATTCGGCAACCCTCGTCCCTCTTTCTATCGTGGAAAGTCAAGGCAGCGGCAACATTCTGCGGCGGCCGGCTGTTGTTGAACATAATATCCTGACCATCCTCTCTTTTTGGAACGAGAATGAGTTGCTCAAGACTGGTCAAGATAACCATCATGTCTCTGACACGTACGTCGTCAAACTTGAGCACTCTAAGCGCGGTGTCGAAAGCCTCATCTGGCTCATTTAATTTGTCCAGCAGCGCTCCAGAACGCCTGATGTTGATGCCGCAACCCCTAATACTTAGGCGATCCATATATCCTCGTAGTCGAGTGTAATCACTTCTGTTCGCAACAATGAAGCTATTGAGATGCCCGCCAAACGTGGCTTCTAAAATGGCAGACCACTTTGGCTGCGTTAGTTGAATATACATACCGAGGGGTCCGATTGGCTTCTGGTGAAACCCATCATCTCCATCAATCATCTTCAACAGTTGTGGTACACCCCTTTCGTACCCAGCAAAGATATCGCCGCGGTTCTGGGTTAGAGAGCGCAAGCGAGACTCAGCGCCGCTGACTTCTGCACGCTTTTGCTCAAGAAGACCAGTAGCTTCCTGTAGTTCCTTCTCGGCACTTTTGTATTCCTCTTCCAGCCTTTTAGTCGTGGCGCTGTGCTCCACAAGTTTGACGTTGGCAGATGTTACAGCTTCCTTAGCATCCTCTAACTCCTGTTTCTTCACGGCCAGGGCGCCGCCATTGACCTCCTCTAGACTTCTTTCCTCATCCTCAATCTTTTTCTCGTACTCCCGCGCGTTCTTGATGGCCTGGTGTAGCTTCTCGTTCAAATCTCGCTCCTGCGTATGCATTTCTTGAAGGTTCGCTTTGGCCGATTTATATTTTTCTTCAGCCTCCATCTGCTTGTCTCCCGGCGAATCTCCTTGCTGCAGAGCTTCTACGGCCTCCCTAGCATCCTGGATTTTGTTGTCATACCTTGATAGATTTTCCGTGTTTTGTTGCACGGCCTCCTCCAGGTGGCCTATCTCCTCTTCAGCAGCTGCAACAGCATTCTCCTTTTCCTGTAAAATCTTTTCCTGTTCGTAGACCTGAGCCCATGCAAGTTGGTTCGCATACACTCGGGACTTGTTCCGCCATGTCTGACTCTCCGCTGCCGACTCCATGAGTTTTCGAGCCTTTGCAGCCTTCTCCTTCAGGACGCCCACGGTCTCTTCGTACTCGACGAGTTTTGACTCATTCTGGTCGAGGTATTCGTTGAAAAGTAGCAGGTCATGATCGAGCTGCTCGAGCTGAGTACCTTGCAGGAAATACTTATACTTGGTGGCAGCGCTGGCAGCGTTTAGAAACTGCCTTGCATTGTCCTGTGAGAGAACGTTGAGCGGGTTGTCAACCTGTAGACAGTAATACTCGACCACGTCATCCACATCGGATTTCTTGTTCGAGATCAACCTCTCCGATGCAGATTTGAGTTTGAAGCCAGAAGACCCGGACTTGCTGAAATAACGTTCGACTATAATGGTGTCGCCGTACAGGTTGGGCTTGTAGGCATCAGATCCCTGATTCTTGATATTGACGACGAGCCGTGCGTGATCTTGACCCTCCTTGACGAAGCTACGTAGGCTGGCTCCGCGGTTGGTTGAGCTGGCTTTTCCACCGAGGCACAGGGTGATGGCGGTCAGAATGGCGCTCTTTCCACTGCCATTTTCTCCGACGATGAAATTGAGGAGGGGCCCTAGTTCACAGTGTAGGCGCGTATGACACATGAAATTGTAGCAGGTAATACTCTCAATCACAGCATTGGGGGCCACGCGATTCTCGCCCATGCGCTGGGCGTCGCGATCCTTCAGACGCTGAGTAGCGCGTTGATCATCGGCGTCGGCATCTTCGAGGTGCTGAAACCCATTGTCCCGCAGCATCTCGTATTGTGTGGCGGGAGGTGGGCTAGGTGGTCGATCCGGCTCTTCCATTGCTTCGTTCTCTTCTTCAGAACTTTGTGACTGGTCCTGACGTGAGCGACTTGAGGATGAGGCCTTGTTCGGCCCAAAATCAGAGATGCGGGCTTTCTTTCTTGTCTATATGCCGTTAGTAAAGCACTTTGGACCGCGCACACTGGCTGTACTGACGCCTTCACGGAAACTCGAGCTCGCCTCTCCAACAACCATACCATCGTCGTTGCCTTCAAATGCAGCATGCAGCGAGCGCTTTGAGGTTATTGCAGGCATATTGACCTGATTTTTGCAGGTAAAAGTCGAAGTTTGCTTACGCGTTGGTACAAGCGCGTTGAAGACAAGAGAGGGTGCTATCAAGACGGAGCAGACTGATGCAGGGAAAGCCCCAAGAGGTTGCCTCACAATAGGACATAAGACAGGGGAGGCAATTGAAGTTTCCGTTTCCTTGTTTGGGTCTATCTGTCCTAGAAGGAACTCAGGCAGGAATAATGGAAGCAGATTCAAGTCGACGTCGTCAGTTGTCACATGCAATGCGACAGATAAGACGCTACTCCCTAAAGCTGAATGCAGTTCAAGGGACACAGGCTGCTCCGGGTACTAAGGTTTTGCGCGTCTTCCCCACCACTGCCCCCGCTAGATCGATCCAGCTTCACGGGCACATCTTGTTGTTAGCAAATTGTTAGGCACTGCTCGGGCTGCACACAGACTGTCAGTGGGGATGGGCGTCCATTTAAAGTAGCGCTAAATCTCAAGTTGCCCGCCTCAAACTTTCTCAGGTCCTATCAAAACAAATCTACAGACATTTCACGTCAAGCATCAAAGATGAATTCAACAGACCAAGTTGATTTCTTTGAAGACAGCTTCAAGGATTTCCCCCGGCGGCTGCCTGAGAACTGTGTGGAGTACGTTCTCTTTGTCATTGATGGCCAGTTGGAAACCCGCAAAGTGCTTTCTACCCTTGATGGCGTCCGCAAAGCCGCACTTCAACTCTCCGACAAGCTGACCAAGGACTACATCTGGCAGCGAGATTCATTTCAACTTGACGTCAAACATGACAAGGGCCTCGTCTACCTCCAAGGCATTACGTATTATGGCGATTCGGTCGAGGATGAGTGGTTGATCGTCTACTTGCTCCGGGAGCTCACAAAATCTTTTCAAAGCCTATGGGTGGCGGTCTATGACAGCGATGGCGAATTCCTGCTCATCGAAGCTGCAAATGTCTTGCCAAGATGGCTGAGTCCGGAGATTGACACCAATCGAGTCTGGATACACGCAGAAAAGCTTTACATCATCCCCCTAGACCATAGTTCTCCGGAAAAGCGCCCTTTGGCTTTGGCGGAAGCTGTTGACTATCTCAAGACAAGAGCAACGTCTCTCGTTCATTCATCCTTCGTGGAAGCAGAGGCCTTCTACCGTTTAGAGAAGTATCCGGGCCAGATCAAGTCCGCCATGCACCGTTCACTAGTCACAATTCCAAGAAAGCTGGCGTATATCCTGCACCAGAAGCCCGGAGCCATTGCCCCAGCCGTCGAGGCTTTCTATCTCAGAGACCCTCCTTCTATGAAGGCCCTCCTCGCTGAAACTGGTAAATTCAGCTTTCCACCCGAAGATCTAGTGACTGCTAGTGTGAGATTCACCAAGGTCCTTTTCGCACAGTTGAAGTCACAGCAATTTACTCCACCGCCTGTTTGGCATTGCATTATTGAGGCAACGGAGAAGGTCTCCGGGAATACAGAGGAAGCCGGACTGAAACTCGCCAGGCTCGAAATGGGCATGAAGGTCACGAGTGGCTTCGAAATGCTGGCCACCAATGCCGAAACAAAAGACAGCCGGGTTGCACGAGAAGTTGCCATTCTCTTGAAGGATCTCGAAGAGGACGGTGCTGAAGCATTGCCTAGCGATATTACAATGCTCTCATGGCCAGATGCCGCTCAGGATGATGACGAGTCTTGGATGGACATAAACTACGAAGACTTCGAGCAAGAGCTACAAGGCCAGCATGGCTCGGGCAAAGGAAAGAAGTCTGGATTTGGAGACACTGCGGCCCAAGCTGATCTTCACAAAATTGTGGAGCGTTTTGAATTGTTTCTCAATGACGACACGGCAGGTGCGGCAGGCGCTGAGCTGGAGGATATGGATGATGATGATTTCTCTGACGAAGATGACAGTGAGGATGAAGACAAAGAAGTCAGTTTCGACGAACAGCAATTTGCTAGGATGATGAGGGAAATGATGGGATTACTCCCTGAAGAGACTCAGGCCACCCATGGAGCATCAACGACGGCTCCGCGGGGCCAAGCTGCCAAGTTCGTTGAAGAACTATCTGGCTCTGAGTCTGAATCAGAGGATGAGGTTGAAAATATCAAGCGCTTGGCAGCCCAGATGGGAGCTGAGCTGAATGAGTATAGTGCCTTGAGGCTTGATCCGACCCCAACCAAATTGAAAGCAGTAAAGGACAATGATGGGCAGAAGGTACAAACCAAAGGCAAAGGCAAACAGGCTGAACTAAATGATGAGGAAGATGTACAAGACGAAGAGAGTGAAGATGGGGAAGTTAATATTGACTATAACTTGGCTAAGAACTTGCTGGAAAGCTTCAAGAGTCAAGCTGGTATGGCTGGGCCTGCAGGCAATATCCTCGGCATGATGGGAATGCAGCTACCAAGGGATGATGAAGACACAGTCAAGAAGTAGCAGGCATGATTGCTGAAAGACAGACCAGCTCGATGTATATACTGAATTAGTTGACTAGTCCCAGCAGCATGTGAAGGCGGGCGATCCTGGAACACAAGCTTGGAAGTCGCCGTCACTCAATATCCTTTCACATATTTACGGCTGCATCTGACTTTATTATTGCTTTGGGTGAACCCATCTACTTAGGGTAATAATGTAATAATGTTGCGCATTTCCTAATTCTCCTTTTCTTAAGAAGTGATATTTAGAGTATGGAGATATCTGTGTGCATTGAGTGAACTGAGGAAGGCCTTGTCCACTTCTAAGCTGGACGTTAAAAGGCCCCAGCCTCGCTAACAGGATAGTGCCAGCTGCCCCACCAATACAACGACGTCACTCTCCGGTGTACCTTATACTACTCCATCTCCAACGAGCGACTCTTTGGTCATTATGCTTCCAGATTTTTGAGAACTGGAGCATAGTAGCCTCGGGCACTGCTCCATCGACAACATCTTCCAACAGTCATTTAGTTCCCACGAACCTTATCACGACCGAAGAGGTGACTCAAAGAAGCACTGTCATTCGAGACCTGTCGGGCACGTCTCAAGCAAAGGCCGAACGCGAAGTCACAAGGCCACCAGGCACTGGCAACACGGGGTAGCATCAATTTCACGCTAGCTGCTCAATACGACGAGTGTGCTGAATCATCCAGGAGCAAATAACAGTCCATGTTGAGGGAATAGGCTTTGGAAAAGCGACAAGCGGAACCAGCCGACAAACTACAACGACTCCGATCCCCAGCCACGGTGCTGACGGCAAGCAAGAACCACGACTATAATTTTTTGGTGTTATAACTTGTGATCTACATGTCCCGATCGCGGAGTCTTTGTCGCAAGGATGTGGGCGAGCAAGGGTTTTGCCAACCTGCAGAAAACATACGATGAGAGTTACTTGACATGCTCGACAGCCGTTTACTACGAAAGCCAGGGAGATGAGAAGGAGGCTATGCGATGTTGGAAATCAGCGCTGGACAAGATGACGCGCAATGGCCCGAACAAGCCCAACTACTCGCCTAGGACCGAGACTGAGCGGGCACTTGTCGAAAGCATTGAAAAACTAGAAATACAGTGCAAGGAGCGAATTGACTTGCTGGAAGCGTTGAGGTTATCACGACAAGAAGAGCCTACATTACGAAGATCGTCCTCGGGCGAAGCAGCTGACTCCCCGCTTGGGACACCATCTTCGGAGCGAGGATGGATAGGCGATGGGACTATACCAGCTTTGACTTATCCGGAGCTGTCGAAACCAGCGCTGCCCCCACGACCATCACTATCCTCAAGAAAATCGTCGGAGCAGGCCGTCGTTGGTCGCAGCCCCGGTACAAGCAGTCTCGATTCAAGGTTCCCCGCATCGTCAGCCAGACATCCACCGTCGTTACCTCCATACGGCACGATAACCCCGGAGAAGGCATCATCAAGATCGCAGAGTCCGGACAAGCGCACCATGCGGACAACGCTGCGATCAGGAAAATCAGAAAAAACACTCAGGCTGTCTCGAAAACCTGTATCAAAACCGGCTGATAGACCTGGGGCAAGCAAGGCAGCTACTCTGGCATGGACCAGTCATGGTGCGAAAGATGATGCTGATAGATCCTCGTCTGTCGGTGTTCCCACTGTTGGTCGTGCTTCTTACGATGGCCTTTCGAGATCATCCCTAGAGCAGCCTCGGAGATCAGCTGCTGTATCACAGTCTTCTTGGGACAGCCATACTAGGAGGTTAGTCAAATCTCCAGAGAATGGTGCATTTGACCCTTCAAGCCCAGATTCGCCCGGAACAAGACCTCTTGATGAATACGCGAATCCCTACTCCTCTACACTTGCGGTTGGTGCAGCATCTAGTGCCCTAAGTGGGCTGTCCATCCACGACAGGCGAGATTCAATATCTACGTCGAATGTCGCAGACCGCTCTTCGCGATCGAAGAGCAGCTTAACGATAGCACAGGATGCGGCTCGAGCCTCTGCGGTCGCTGGCGCTGAGCAATCTGGCTCAGGTAGAAGCTCAAGTGAACTCCCTGTGCGCAGGAAGCCTGCAGATCGTGTCGTTTCTACACCAGTACCGAACAGTGCGAAGAAGCGCATAGCAAGCCACAGGCACACCCCAAAGCCTAGCAGTGGGTCTACCTCCGAAGATGAGGAAGAACCGATCAGCAGCTCATCCCGGCGGCGAAGAAAAAGCAATCAAAAGGAGAGCAAACAGAGAGAATCACCACTCCCCGCTGACATCACTATACAGTCTTCTACAAGCTCACTTGACGATGAGGAGAAGGCGGCCAAGACTGTACGGGACAAGAAAAAGAAGGCGATACTAAAACATCTCCCTCCAGGCGTCGATGATGCGGCTGCCAAGGCCATATTCAACGAAATTGTCGTCCAAGGAGACGAGGTTCACTGGAGCGATGTGGCGGGGCTGGAAATTGCCAAGAATGCTTTGAGAGAGGCTGTCGTGTACCCCTTTCTGCGCCCCGATCTATTCATGGGCCTTCGCGAGCCTGCAAGAGGTATGCTGCTCTTTGGGCCACCGGGGACCGGCAAAACAATGTTGGCTCGCGCGGTTGCCACCGAGTCCAAGTCGACCTTCTTCTCCATATCGGCAAGCAGCTTGACGAGCAAATACCTTGGCGAGTCGGAGAAACTGGTGCGTGCGCTCTTTGCGCTGGCAAAGGCCATGGCACCGAGTATAATATTCGTCGATGAGATAGACTCGCTTTTGTCTCAGCGCTCTGGGTCTGGAGAACACGAGGCGACGAGGAGGATCAAAACGGAGTTCTTGATTCAGTGGAGTGATCTGCAGAGGGCGGCAGCGGGACGTGAGAGCCCGGGAGTAGGGAGGGATTTGGGAGGTGATGCGAACCGAGTTTTGGTTCTTGCTGCCACCAACCTACCATGGGCAATTGACGAGGCGGCAAGGCGCCGTTTTGTGAGACGCCAGTATATTCCATTGCCAGAAGCGGAAACGAGGAAGATCCAGTTGGAGACGCTCTTGGGTGAGCAGAAGCACAATCTTACCGCTGATGACATTGCTGAGTTGGTGAGGCTGACTGCTGGTATGTCAAAACCTCGATACCTGATTCGCTCAATGGATGGCCAAGCTAACATGTCCCTAACTAGGTTTCTCTGGCTCTGACATAACTGCACTCGCGAAAGATGCTGCCATGGGCCCTCTTCGTTCACTGGGAGATGCTCTGCTTCATATGACCATGGACCAGATCCGTCCGATTGAATTAGGTGACTTCCAAGCCAGCCTCCGCAACATCCGGCCCAGTGTCAGCAGGGAAGGTCTCAAAGAATATGAGGACTGGGCCAAGCAATTTGGAGAGCGTGGTGGGTGAACCTCGCCCGGTGGCTTCTCAATAGGAATGTGGAACCGTAAAAACAACATCTCTTCATGTGGTGTTGAGCGGTGTTTTGTGGATAGGCCGCTGATAGTAACAACATTGATACCTAGTGGCACACGACGCAAGTTTGGGTTTATTACATTTTGGGCTCGGACTTCTTCCCCTGTGCCACTGTACAATTGATATGATACATGGTAGGCATTTCATCAGACCTGCAAATGTGCCCTGTGCCGCTTGTGTTGTTTTTGTGTTGCGCCGACTGTTGCCCTTCCTGCACCCAGTCCCAATCCTACAATAATTTCACCTCCAACGCTCGGATGATTTAGCCCATCCTCATTCAATCCACATCATCGATACTCGTCTGTACTTGCGGTTCCTTATTCTTATTCATAAACGCCTCCCGCTCCGCCTTCTTGGCCAACTTGGCCTGCTTCGCCTCCACTGCCAATCTCCGTGCCTCCTTGGCCTTGGCCGCCTTTTTGTCCTCCATCTTAGCCCGCCGCGCTTGTTCCGCTACTATCAGCTCGTCTTCGTCAGGAACAGGGGGTCGTTCGTGGATACCCGGGCCCCATGGAGCGACGATATGCCGCACGATGAAGCGCTTCATCTTGGACGTCTTCCAGCCCGAGGAGCAGGCGATTACGTCGCCTTTGCGAACACTGTTGTTGGGGTCGTGGACGAGGTGGTAGGAGGGGACTTTGAAATACTGGGAAATGATGAAGCATGTTAGTCAAGTCTCAAACAGTAGTAGATCATGGATCGTTCTGAGATAAGGCAAGGTTATACATGAACTAACCTTGGACACTTTTTTCTCCCACCGCTTGCCCCAGAGCCGCACCTTCACCGTCCGGTCCATCAAGCCTGCCGACACCACCACGCCTGTCTGCCAATGCTTGAGTTCGCGTCCAGCGATGGGCACATATTTGGTGGCCTGAGCAGCTTGGTTGGCCGCTGTCGTGGCCACCTTGGCAGCTGTAGTATTCATTTCTTGCTTCGTCGGTTCCAATGTTCTGCAGTTACCTCCTCGTGGTCTGCATCGCCTCATACCAGGGATCCGAGAGTCATGTGATGAGTACTAGGTGTCGGGTGCTTTTGAGAGGCCGATCTTGAAATCTTGCAAGTCCCGGTCCCTTGGCCCCGGCTTCGCAATGGGTTTCATCGGATAAATCGCCAACCGTGGGGTGGCCCCACTCTTGATTTGATAGCTCCAACAGCCGTGTTCCGCAAGATGATGACCTCCGTGTCGCATTTAGTTGGTCTACGAACGTGGAGAATTCTCCCAAAAACATAACATAATAGAATCGACATCCCTAGAACCAACAGTGATGATCTACTCTTTATTGTGTGGATGACTCGCAGAACTATCGGTGTCAGATAGCTGCTGCTTTCTCATTTGATTAATGTCTAATCGACAAGAATATCCTGAGCATGGGTTAATGGGTACGGAAAGTCCGTTCAAGCTATCAATCTTACTCACGAGTTGCGTAATTGGATGTGCCCATGCAGGAATGTTCAGAGGCTTATGTCGATATCACTCGTTGCAATGCTTTGACAAAATCCATTTATATGTCAACTTTTCCACTTCCCCATTTGAGAGGCCTGTTATAGGGCTTTACATATTCATTTACAGCATATCTAGAGAACCAAGAAACTCTAAGAAGAATGTGAAGTGTACGGGTTACTCACTTGCGTACATGTAGAGGAGACTGCATACCTTGAATAACAGCGCTGGTCAATATAGAAACCGGGAGGTCTCCAAGAAGAGCAAAGGAAATTGCCGTACGGATGTTTCTCAAGTCTGATGCGACCTAAATATCAATTTGAAGTAGGAGCAAGGGGTCCAACAGGGGGCGATATTTGCACCAAGTGTGCTTACTAGGAAAAAGAACACAAAATCACCAATTCAATTGCAAAAGGCATTGAGCAAGTGAGCAGCTGTCTATGAGATTGTAGCAAAAACAAGATAAGTGGCCATGGGGCCCAGGTGGGGATTGAACCCACGATTACAGGGTGGTTAGCAGTCGGGATTTGCTGAGGTAGAGGTATAATAGACTTACCCTCTTCGATATCCCTCCAGAGGCCCAAACAAAGAGCGCTTACCACAGCGCCACTGGGCCTATTTCGTGGGTGTTCGGCCTGGCATATATTGGATGTTTTCAAGGTTGGGTTAGGCAATGCATTGGATGATTCTGGCAGTGATAGTATGGTGAAAAATACCTGTAGGAAATTAGACACATTGGCTATTTGTAGCATGCGTCATACTGGTCATCATAAACAGCGGTTTAGCCCCAGTTGTAGCTAGTGTCAATGAACATGCAGTACTCTTATGGCTGTTTCTTTATTTACTGATGATGAATAAACACGACATCTCATGGCCCTTTCATATCAGTCCAATGAGTCCCGTCTTAGATTAGTTTGTATGCTAAATTGCAAATATCACTGACAACAGCAGTGCTCTTTGCTGGTTAATTTCGAATTATATTTCCCTTTTAAGGCAGTTTTCACCCTGTCATTCATATTGAAGTTTTCTCATGGCCTCAGATGGCATTCAATATAATCATGCTTTCTCCTGCCTTTGTCATATTCTAAAGAGAGACCGTCTACCTCAAGTCGCCCCTAGGTTCAACCTACAACCACAGACAACACGTTGGCATTCCCCTCCCCCCGACCAAACACACCCAACAAACCAGTTGCAAGCTTAATCAACTCGGAGCAGCACAGTTTTTGAAAGCGAAGGCTGTGAATACCAATATAAATAAAAATACAAGAGGGCAGAATGCTTGGAATGTTGATCCTTCCAGAATGTGAAAATAATCATCCCGGGTTGCTCCAAGTATCAGCCACACCGCCATTAGCAGGTACCGTAACCAAATAGTTTTCTGCATATTTTCACATAATAATTCCAGTAGCAGAAGGACTAGTACTATTGTGAAGAAATTTTTAAAGAAATAGAATCCAATGCCTTGCGGATTATGGTATGCACGATATTGTTGTGGGGAAGCCTTGTTTGTACTTCAATTCTGATAACCACCGACCGTTCAGCTGAGGCGGACCAAGCGATGATCGTGTGCGAATGCCACCTTATAGGAAAGTCGTAACCCCTCGATAGGAAACACCAGCGGACGCTTTCAATCCACATGATGGAATCTACACCGACGACTGCGAGAGGCTACGAAACCGGCACATCGGAAGCCAAACAAGCATCCTAGGATTGCTCATCCAAGTGTGGAACTGGCACTGCACAATCCCCCGACCCACCACACCTTCTGAGAAGCAGCAGTCAGTCTCTTAACTTGCGATAACAGGCGACGCCAATATTGATACCCTAAGGCTCATGGGGCTACCTATAATAATATACTTATATGCGCTACTACTATTTCAACCTTCTTCACATGACACAAACTCCAAAGAAAGGCTGTGAAGCTGTGCTCTTTATACGTCATGGCCAATATTTATCGCTAGATAGTAGTCATCCAAACAATAAATCCACAGCAACAAAAGTATTGGCACAGCTATCATCTTAGCTCCTTCAAATATTCAGAGTTCACACTCCTCACACGTCCCCCAATAACCCGGTCAACTCATGAGATTTCAGTTTCATATACAATTAGTTTACCACAACCAATGCAAAACTCCAACTCCCTACGCCTGCTTGTGAACAAAATATATTGATCACGTCAAGCCGCGACAACAAGCCGCATTAATGTCACATAGATCCCTGACGACTTTGGAGTCTGGTTCGACTGGAGGTGCTTAGGCAACGAAGATTCGCTCTCCGAAGCGAAGGTTTCTGCGCTTGTTCCTGCTGTTCTTATTTTTGTCCTCCTCCTGCTGCTGCTGATCTTGGCCATCATCGAAGCTGCTAGAGCTGATCGTCGAGGACGAGTTTGAAGCGTTGCCGTTGTCGTCAACGATAGCTCCTGGGCCATCATTAACAGCCTCGGCAGCGGTATTGGCAGCCGCCTCGCCATCGGCGCCGTTGTTGGCAGCGGCGTTAGTTTCACCCCCGTCCCCTTCAACGGTAAACTTGTTGCAGTCGTCCTGGGATCCACGCTGGGCAACGGGCATGATGACCGGCTGATGATTAGCCGCCGAGTTCATGGTGCAAACTCGGTAGTTGCCGGCCGGGAGCCCTCCTGAGACGATAGCCGACAAGAGTCCATTGCCATCACCAGCGTCATTGATGCCTTTGAAGAAAGCGAATTGCGTCGGGTCCGGAGGTGTCGTCGGATTCAGGCTGTCGCCGAGATCCTGGACCGTGATGTGCGTGTGGCCAATCACCTTGCCATCCTGGAGATCCTGCGGCGCCGAATAGTAAGTGGTGTCGGCGTTTGTGAAGCTGCCTGCCACAAGGTTGCTGGTTTGGACTTGAACGTCGAAGTCCGTTCCGGCCGTGATCGTGTCCCCGGCCTGGGGATTCAGGAGAATCGACGAGATCATGGCCGACTTGGCTGGGATGTTGCCCATTGCTAGGGAAAGTCAGTACTTGTTGGAAGCGAGAAAAGGTTGTGTGGAATGGCATACGGATGCCGTTACATGACCCATCGGTGTTTTGGAGTCCGTTGGTAAGAGTCTTTCCGCTGCAGAAGTTGATAAAGTTCTCTTCCGAGGTCGCTGAGTTGGCTTGAGTATCCTGGGTACCGAGGCCATCGCTACCATCGAAGAAAGAGCCCTTCTGGATAAGATCAGAGTTGAGCGTAACAGCTATTTTAAGAGAGAGAGAGAGTTAATTATTGTCAATGAAAGAACGCTGTTCCACTATTGAGCCAGTCTTAGGAAAGGGTGAGTTTGAAAATACACACTGCCACCGCTGCTGCTATCATCTCGGGCTCTGTTCTGGCGAGCGCTTGTGACACCGAGAAGAGCCGCAGCCCAGATAAGGAGTTTAGATACCATGTGTCCTGATCTGTTGAAAAGAGCGAACAGAGCCAAGGAGGTCCGAAGTCGAGATTAAAAAGTGTAGTCCCAGATACACGGTCAACGTGATCTTCACTTGACTAGCAAAGTAGAAGTAAAGGAAAAGGAGGGAAGAGAAGGTAGTAAACGAGAGATGAACGGTTGAAACAAAAAAACCAAGAAGAGAAGACTGGATACTATATACCATTTAAAAGAATGGAAGAAGACCATGGCACCTTATATAAGGCTTGGCGCGAGCATAGTCGGCCATGGGGGACATAACCATAAGCAACACCCTCTTACTGGAGATCCAGAACACCAGGAGTATATGGAGATACCGAGCGCATACGAAATACAGTGGCATGAAACTTGGGACGAGTTGCAGGTCGTGCACCTGCTTACCCGATCAGGTTCTGACCAGGTTCTGACCAGGACCTGCCTGGCTGCGGGGTAACAATTTATACGAAAAAGGAAACTGACAATAGTATAGCCGTTATAGACAAGGGGACTGGATGGTAATGCGAGCGATGAACAGATCTCGGAAACACGGATGGGATGAATAAAGTGGAGTGCTTCACCATCTGAAGTTGGGAGAGTGATGAGATTCATGGCTTCGCCTTATCTCCAGCCAGCTCCTGATCCATACAAAAAGCTTGACAGGTCTTGGCAAATTGGTGGTGGACCAGCCCTAGACGTTGATCACGAGGGTTTGAGACACCAGAAGGGGGTTCATAATAAGCGGAAACACTAGATGTCGGAGTCGCCAAGGAAAATCAGAAACAATGCTCGCCGTCGATCATGGGGAAATGAGTGCTTCAGTTGCAACGGTGCTGGACAAGGTATTGATGGACCGTGCGAGAGTATAAGGGAGTATAGCGCGAGGCGACAAGAGCAAGTCTGGCGCGAGACGGTAAGAACCATCCGAACGACAGCAACTGGAGGCTCTAGGGTACGTCGGTAACTCAATGGTAGGTGCTAAAGTCGATATAACACCCACTTCTGTTGTGACATGCGAATTCTGTGTACCACCATTTGTGGGAGAGCAAGTTACACATGCCGAAACTAGCGAGGTGCGTGGGCAGATGTTGTCCCTGTAGTAGGTGTAGTACGCAGCATCGTGGGATGCCCACGGTAGCGCCTGCGTGTGTGTGCTGTGTGAGATCCGATACCGTCTTCTGCTCTAGCCCCTCGGCACGATTCCGTGTGCCAAGACAAAACACAGAGCGCCACATCTCGCGCCCCTTGATTCTAAGAGACCCGTACATCCTGATTGCACATGAATGCACCTCTGTCATTGATAGCTAGGATAGCAATGACTTGAAATGACACGACATCATGCCTTTTCGGAAAGTTGCCTATGGCTGTCGAGCCTGATGAAATGAGCCCTGGGAACGCAGGATTATAGCTGCTAGTCATGTCGACACAAACATGGATGTGCGAAGTAGCATGACGGCAGGTTTTCAACTCTCGGATGCATCTTATTGATCTTATCAACGTCGGCTTGTGGTGGCTTATCAGTGTCAAAAGCCGAGAAGAAGTGCACCGGATTGGGGAGTCGTCTCTTGAGCATCTGGGCGATATCACACTGTCCTACGCCCAGTTAAGACACTCTCATAACGTCAGTATCCTGCGAAAAGACAGGCGCATGGCTTGATGTTATTCCGTCAATGATGCATGAACAACCGCGGTGGTCACTGATGCTGTACGGAACAGATGGAGCAACTCCTTTTCTTCATGACCGATGACTGACCTGAACCGAGTCGTTGGACGGAGGTCAATGTCCAACCAGGGTTGTTGAATCAAGTTTTGAGTTTCGGCTAGGACCCACCAGACGAGGAACTTCGCAACTTTGACCAGCCTTGGCTTTACTTCGCAGAGGCTGTGTGAGTTGATTGACGAGGGTCGGAGTCCGAGTGAGAGGGAGAGTGAGTCTGTTTCGCTTCTGCTATTCTTCGTCGTAAGCAGGTACATGGCAGAAGGCCTTCGTTCCAGATAGGTAGGCTTCCGACTCTCGGCGTCTTTCAGTGATGAAAAGAATATATAGACATACGATAGACATACGTACGGAACGACCAGTCGAATCACCTTGTCTGCCACAATGCCTTGAGTGCGGACTTCAGTATTGTCCCACCAGGAAGGAAAGTCTTATACGTGAGCACTTCATTGCCGTCCGCTCAATGAACAAGATTTGGACGTGAACATCAGCTCGGGAATATTTAAAGCCTTGTAGGTAGAACATTCAATCAATGCTGGATGTTGGAAGAAAGTCTTGGATTTAAGTGCTACTGTCGCAATCAATATCAACTTCCAAAGTTTGGGAAATATTCGGCAAGCGCGGAACCGGAGAATTGGTCGGTCGCCAAGCTTAGCGTGATGGCGATGCAGGCTCTTGTCAGCACACGATTCATTTCATACAGAGCATAGCGCAGGCTCGGCGGGGAAGGTAACTTTCGGAAATTTCGACCACATTACTCGTCTCCCTGTAATCTGTACTCCCACTTATCTCATCCTTCTGAATCTTCTTTGTCCGACCTTGAATTCTTGAGACGTACATATATTTGGTAAGATCTCTACAAGTGCTAGAATATTGGATTGGAAAGAGCGGCCATCCACTCGAGCGTTACTTTTTTACTTTCTGCAGCACAAAGCCCCGCGAACCAGGCAACCCCAACTTAACAAAATGTCGTCTCCTGAGTACCGCGCCGGCAAGCGACCTCGTAAGTATAAAGATGAAAAGAGAAAAACTTCCCATTTGACTCTACAAGTCAATAGACTTTGCGACTTTGCGGGCTGCTCGCGGGCTGCTCGCGGGCTCCGACATTGTGTTTGGTGCATAATCGGTACTGGAGAATAAACCGCGACGAAGGACAAATTGCGTACTGGTTTGTTGAGCAGGTGCAAGCAAGCTATTTGCGCGGCACTATTTTTTCTAATACCACCAATTTCAACCATCTGCAGCCTTTCCCTGCCCAAGAGCAACCGCGCACTGCAGTCAAGATGACGTTCAACACGATCAACACAACTGACAATTTACGCGTTTCCACAGGCACGCAATCGCTCCCCCCTCCGGCACTACCTCAGCTCGTCGCCGAACAACACGTCCCTATCCCCTCGAGCGACAAGGACTCACAGAGACTCATCGTCGTCCTGTCCAATGCCAGCCTCGAGACCTTCAAGGCCACCCACGGCGGCGGGGGTCGTATGGGCATGCACCGTGAGGAGAAATATTCGCTGCTCAACAGCGACGAGCACATTGGTGTTATGCGTAAGATGAACAGAGACATCAGCGATGCTCGGCCAGATATTACGCATCAGGTCGGACGAATCCTGTCCTTCATTGTGTCGGGCATTCAACATGCTGACTGTGCTAACGTAGTGTCTCCTCACCCTACTTGATTCGCCCATCAACAAGGCCGGCAAGCTGCAGATCTACATCCACACAGCCAAGGGCGTGCTTATCGAAGTCTCGCCCACAGTCCGAATTCCCCGAACCTTCAAGCGCTTCGCCGGTCTAATGGTCCAGCTCTTGCACCGCCTGTCCATTCGGTCCACGACATCTCAAGAGAAGCTGCTGCGAGTCATCCAGAACCCCATCACCGACCACTTGCCGCCCAACTGCCGCAAAGTGACGCTGAGTTTTGATGCCGACCTGGTGCGCGTTAGAGATTATGTTTTTAGCCTAACGCCCAAGGAGAGCATCTGCGTCTTCATCGGAGCCATGGCCAAGGGTACGGACAATTTCGCTGACGAATACGTGGACGAGAAAATATCTATCAGCAACTACAGTCTGTCGGCTAGCGTCGCTTGCAGCAAGTTTTGCCACGCTGCCGAGGACGTCTGGGACGTTATCTAAAGCCTGTCCTCGCCGCGGAGGAGCAAAGAAGGGGGAGCAAGTCGTGGGAACGTGTCAGGTATGAACAATAAGCGGAGTCGTCTTGCAGAAGCCGTCATACAACATTTCGGCCAATGCAAAGCGTCCCCGGGGCTTGGGTCTACGTTTTTTGTCCAGTCTCTGTTTTTGCAACCAAAACAACAGGCGTTCAACATGGAATCCCAAGACGTTTTCACCGTCTTCGTGAGCTACTTCAACTTGGCCCACTTCTCTTTTGTGTTTCTTTGCATTCCTGCCTTCACCCATGTATACAATACTAAAACACAGTTTTGCCAAGGCTGGAAAGCCAAGGTTGAGGTCAGGCTATGATGCTACACCTCAGAAGGTCTGGCCTTGTTTTGGCTGGCCCACTGCCATCAAGAAATGGAGTTCGGAAACACCGTCCAATTGGAAGAATTGCGAGAGGCAGAAGGGTGGCTATTTTGAGGTTGTCGGGGCGGACAATGTCAATTGAGGAAAATTTAGTGGATTTCAAGTCGAGGACGTTGATGTATCGCATTTGAATAGGAGCGATTGGCTCAACATCAGGTGTCAGGCGTCAGGCCTCGCAAGCTTTGATGAAAGAAGCCTGACGGCGCGCCAGGAGAACGAATCCGGGTCGGTGGCTCTTGTTCTCGGTGATGGTGGATGGACCAAACCACCTAACATGACGAGACTAGGTCACACCATTGTCACCTCACTGGAACCTCAGTGGGCGCCACTGAATTATGCCCGAGATACCAATCCAATCAATTAAATGCCAAAGAGCAGGGTTCAAATAGACAGGGAGTGGTTGCCTCGGGTTTATGACCCCGGTCCCTGAGGCCTTTTTCTCGCCCTTTCTAGCCCGTTCTACGTGTAACCCTTAAGAGGCTGGAATCATGGGGGAGCTGTCAAACGTGCGAATGAACGGTGGCACTCTGAGTGTCATCTGCGGCTCTTAGACGTAGGGCATGACTCCTGGGCGTTGCCGTTGGTCGAATGCTGCAGGCAGCTCCACCAACGACGAGTGGACCCTGCAGGCCACCCGCAGACAGCATCACAGATGGACGAGTTCGCATCGAATCATTGGCAGGCAAGTATCAATGCAATTTTGGCCTTTCAGACCGCACCGAACCAACGTGGCAGTTCGCCTGTCGCCCGATGTTAGAAAAGGGGGGATTTCAGAGGGGCAGGGTCCATCGGTCAGGGCAAACACTAGGATGTTTTGCTCTTAGCACGCAAAAGTGCAAACCAGCGGTACGGACGGCACCCGTCCACCATTTTGGGCCTTTCCCTCCTGCATCTTTACCTCTTTACGGCCTCTCTGCCACTTCGCAAACACGTGGAGGGACAAGACACCACCGCATCGTTGTCTGCCGGGGGAAGTCTTAGATGTATTATGTGCGCCCTGGTTCTCGTTTCGGCGAACCAAGGTGCAAGTGGAGTCGTGCTCTGTGTCAATCTGCAGGCGTACCTAAACGGCACCTTAGCGGTGTCGTCTGAAGTTCTTATTTGATGGCGGTCTGGTTGTACAAGTGTACAAGGAGCGAGCCGGCGCCAGACACTTAAGTAGGACTTGCTTGGGAAGTCGGCTTCACACTTTATTTCGAAGTTAACAAGAACATACCTTTTTACCGAACAAACAGACTCCGGCAAGACGAACTGTAAGCCCGTCACACGAAAGAAACAGCGTTCGACGCACAAAGTTTGGGTGCAACAGAAGGGCCTTGACTCCTCTCCCGTCTTCGTTGATATTCTTTGCCTCCATTCACACATTTCGGCTGGATCGATCTGCCTCACGAGGCTGGCTGCGCATCTGTCACCTCTCTTCGCTTTCTTCCATAGATTGGGGATTGTGTCACCGTCGGGCGCCTGCAGTTATACAACACTCCAACAGCTCGCAGCTTGCCCCATTCTCTCGTTGCCTGCCTTCTTTTTGTTCTGGCTCAGGGCTTCTCCTTCATGCTTCCTTACATCCAAGTCTCTGATCTGCCGTCGTCAGCTTCATTCTACTCGGCCATCACCCAGCCCCTGGGACTCCGATACATAAGTGCTAGCCCGACTGCCATTGTGTTCGGGACCAGCTCCGAAGACAACGCTGCAACACCACCGCTTCCTGTGTTCGAAATTCTCGGCAACAAACTTGTTTGTGCAGAGGCCGGTTCCAATTCGCGGATCGTCCTGTCAGCACCGTCAGTGGCAGTTGTGTCGGATTTCCACGCTGCAGGATTACGTGCCAACCCAGACCTACAGGTGATCGGCGGGTCCATCATTACTGGAGACGCTACCAAGGGTGGCGAGACTCGTGCAAAAATTACTGATTTCGACGGCAATATTATGGAGGTCGTCTACGCCCCTTCTGCCAGCTATCCATCACGCCACGGAGCACCAGCAGTCCGTCGCACTTCAGTTAGCACGGACGAAGTCGGCCGCATCCTCGACTGGAACTTAGACGTGGCTACCTCGCAGGCTCCCTCAGCCGTCGCCGGCCCTGAAGCCCCTGGTGAATCCCAGCCCACCGCACTGACTTCTCGACGCCCGGGTCCCGTTGCCGTCCACTCCGACTCGCCTGAGCCGTACGCGGTGTTGCGTCGAAGTGTTACCACGTCGACTATTGAGGCGTCGCCCCGCGAGTCCTCCAGCGGCCTGACTGCTAGCGTCGTTCTTGGATCTGTACTAGGCGCTGTTGCTGCTGGCGCTGCCGTTGGTGGTGCCCTCACTTACATGAACATGCGAAATGAACGTGAGCGGGCTCAGCGCCAAGAGTTCGAGGCACCCGTTATTCAGCGCCGGTCAACCTTCCCGGACCCCTATCCTGATCATCGGCCTCGCTATGTCGAGGTCGAGAGGACCGTCGAGAAGATCCGGTATCCCGAGGAGCTACCGCCGCCTGCTCCCAAGAGTCGCTACTACCCACCACCCGCTTACATGGCTCGGTATTCCCAAGTCGGCGGCCAAAGCAGAGAGGTCGAGGAGCTTGATGACCGCTCAGGCCGCCATTCCTCGCGCCAAAGCGCCGCCGGCAGGAGTCGCACCCGCAGCGAGGCGGGCTCGAGTCGTCATCCTCTGATGATTGCCGATGCCGAATACAGGAGCCATGCAGGCTCCAAACATGGCGGCGCCCCCAAGATGCTCACCGAGGCTGAGCATCGCAGCCAGGCTGGATCGAGGTATTCCAAATACTCGACCCCACGGTCTGTCCGTCAGCCCGATGCTGCGACGTACGTCTCGGCCCGGACTGAGAGGTTGGAGAATACATCCAAGCCCGCACCCCAGTTGCTGCCTCTCAGGTCCAAAGCCCCTAGCACCTATCAATCGTCAGCCCCGGTTAAGGTGGCCCCGTCCAGGGCGCCTACTCATCACACTAACGCCACTGTAAGAACGGCTGCCCCGTCTAGAGCGCCTACACATCACACAGCAGCCACAAAGATGACGGCTCCCAGTCGCCACGCATCCGCCAGGAAGGTCCCCTTGCCACAAAGTCACGTTGGTAGTAGTCTCGTCGATTATGAGTTTGAAGAAGACAACGACAGTATTGCCCCTAGCGACAGTATCAGCTGTATTGGCAGTCGCAGAAGTAGTAGATCTCATCACTAGAGCTTCTCGGTCTGCAATGCCCGTTCTCGGCTGTCATCGTCATCTTATTTTGGACTCATCTCGCATCTGTTTGCCGATGAAAAACGTGAAAACATCACCATATCATCGTCCAGCCGAGGAAAGACACGCCAACAGGTCATGCAGCACGCGAGACGCGTAGATGCCAGAGCTCGGTGAAATAGAACGGATGCCCCAACAAACAAACCTCATAGCATCACGGGACTCTCCAAGAGAAGAGGAACCATACAGAGCAATCTGCAAATTCACACAAAACATGCATAGAGACAGACGGTTGGGTTTCAGGCGGGCTGGGTTTGGCTACTTCATTTGATAAACACAACGCATTTATGGACGGGGAATTCTTTGGGTATCGTACGGTCTCGTCTATGTTCATATCATGATCTTGTAACGATCTCCATTATATATTTCTTTCGACCTACACTTGTGAGCAGCATGGTCCTGGGGTCGTGCCATTCTTGTACATATAGCAGTCATGTCGGGATTGGAGTGCGTTGCATTGAGCTTGACGTTGTGCGTGCTGGAAGAATCAGCAAACGCAACTGAAATACTCTCTACCATTATGTGCCACTCTGATGACACTGAAATAGCCCACCTAGGTATCGTCAGTGTTGGTTGCAACCAAAACGCCCATCCTCTATCTGCATATTTGCGGTAGCAGAACAAACAGGGCAACCAATCGAAATTGCCCAATTCCGAGTCTTGATTCGGGTTAAGTGCTCTATTGCTGGGTGAAAATACAGTATAACTCAGATCGCCCGGAATATGGTAATTAGATTGCTACAGACACTGGTGCTTATATCGCCTATGTGATAAATCAGCACTAGGGCTTACCACCCCAAGATGATGGGTGACTCAGCAGTTGATGTATATAAGATGCTCACAACCTATTACCTACCTTCCAAAGCCCTCGGCAGTTCGCTTCAGACGGCGACGGCGTTTGGGAAATGACATCATGGGATCATGCGGACAAGCGTTCCAGGGTATGACAATCATATCACTCAACTGTGCTACTAGCGGCGGCATTTTCCTACGGTCGGTCGGTTGAGGAAGTTAGCCCTTGCTGGGTGAGATGGTCGTCTCTGATGGAGACTCGTCAGAGGCCCTGTGCAGCTTCCAATGAGGGAATATGCATCAGAACTTGCCCTTGCGTCGTCTCGATTCCAAATTCACGCGGTTGGTGTGGTTGTTACTTTGTTAGGCGGGTCTTACCAAGGCTTAATGTATAGGGTACGCAGTTAAGGAGAGGGCGACGCTGTTTGCATTTACATGTAGGTTGGCCGGATAGTCGTCACACTCACTCGCGTTCTCTCAGGCCGCCTTTTTAGGGGCTTGTTCTTATCATAGCGTTTTGGCACAACAACTGTCAGACAGTTTAACGGCAACCATGATGGCGACTGAGGTCAAATCGGAGCGTGGTCGGTGTCTAGTCTCCATCATAATAGACCATTGTGCGCGGCAGGATCCCCAGCGCATTGTATGCACCGTCACCCGGTCGTCCAACCTCCAAGATGGGTTCATTAGCATCACTGCGTCTCAATTTGCCAAGGCCGCGAAACGAACAGCAAATTGGCTCGAGTTGCCGCTTAGGAAGAGCGAAAGTTTCGATTCAAGTGGGTATTTGGGTCCTCGTACGTCCCAACCATATCTTTATTCATAATTTGCGATTTTAAATGAGTATCTGTTTTATTTGGTAGAGAGCTCAAGACAAACCCCTTCTTAAGATTGGGGCCATTAATACGGGACGACAATATTTTCCTGCTCTCGCCGGGTGACTCGCTCGAGGTGAATATTGCCATGTTGCAAGCAAGTGACTGTCATATGTGGGCCAGGCTTCAGTAGATCAACACAGCCGTCACCGACATACTGCAAACTCGGTAGATGAGGACTTTCATGATCCCGAGCTTCGTGGAGCTGTTGGATCCTCAACTTGTACAGCACTATAGTTATGATCGGACGTGGAAGGCAGGAAAAAATTACCCCTTTTGCTGTTGTCACTCCTCTGGTAAATACAATCTGGGATAATTTACCTGGGCGACCTGAGTATGTTACCGTTAGGAGACGACTCGTTTCTACCCATGGGCTTAAACAGATGGGACTAGTATCCCAAAAACTATTCTCACCTCCATGGGCTTCCTCGCTCCGTTTGAGGCCATTCACGAGCTCCTGGTGGGCAAGGGCCAATAGCTGAACGTGAGATGGATGGATATGCTAACTATCTTCAGATAGTTACCTTGGTTTCATGCATAGATTCCTCTGTCTTATGCTTGATTTTCCTTTTCGTCTTCTCTTCTATTCCCTGTAAGCAAACTGTGTGGTATAAACTCGACATAATAGTTGGCTAGATTTCTCCCAACTCTCCCTATGGGGTTAGGCCAGGACACAAGGCTCATCTACGTTCCACCCAGGGTCCTTCCCAATCTAGCTTTGCTGAGGCACGTGGCGAATCTCTTGGACATCGACAAATGTTTTCTAGCCCCCTTGGATCATGGAGGAGCTGGCTTTTAATCGAGCCGTGTTGGACAAAGTGACGGCAAAGTCAATGCATGCCATGTTTGGCGGCAGTACGAATACTTTTTGCTCCTGTCATTCCAATAATTATTCTCATCCTTTGAAACAATAACGGTGACATGTAAACATAGCTGGTATTTCTCCTGAGCTAGGGGATTTGTTCAACCAACTTATATCGATCGTCTCCATATGCGGGTAAACAGAGTGTCGAGAAATCCCTCTTATCATTCCAGAAGACCGGCAGGATTCAAACTAGTTATTTCAATTTCCAACCTTTTAACCAGGCCGAGTTTTAAGACATGTCTCGAGTGTATAAGTTTGTAAAAGTGCGAATCTCTTCGAATTACAATACATATCAGCTTGTTTACGCTTAATTCTGTATCTTGACGGGTTCTCGACTACAGATTGGTTCATGAAGTATCTTGTGCTGTCTAATGGGGGGAAGATACAGCTGGTGGATATGGAGGGTGCTATTGTCTCATACCCGGCTGGTTAAGCTGCCTTGATAATAAGTTGGAGACGAGTAATAGGGGAAATAGCTTACTTCATACTTGGCCAACGGTCTTCAAGTTGTCGTTAGAGGATTCGAAGTAACAGCTTATAGCCCTTACTGACCTTGGTCTGAGATCTGGAGAAGCTTATGGACAACATCCATGAGACGGTTTGGATGGTAAACTAGTCTGTACCTTTCTATGAAATAATCCACTGTGAATACCTCATGGTTCTGGATCTCGATAAACCATTCCTAAGAATGGATAAGGGTGCTGTGAGGAGATACTTGACGTTGAAATTGTATGAAAAGGAAATTGATAATTTCTATAATGCTCAAAGAATTGGAAAATCCCGACGTCTTGTCTTATTGTATTGATGTGATCTCGGTAGACACCATCGCAGAGAGTCTGAGGCAGGTTGTTAAGAAATTTCCGGAGAAAAGAGAAGAACTTGGATGTAGCTAGCCTAAACTCCTTAATCATTCCTAGGTTACTTGCTGCTATGCGTACTGCCACTGAGAACGAGCAGTTTAGTAATGGCGGGAAGAGAGCTAACGCCGAGATTAGGTTACGACAATCCGATCATGAAGGAGTTTGCAAAGGCTTCTTAGAACGCTTAACATCCAGACGGGGGCAGATGTTTTTATACCCAGGGAGCGCACTTGAGGGGAACAGAGTGTATACGCGAGATATACGACAGAGCTTCCGTTAAAATCGGAAAGGCCGGTAGACAAGGTTTCCGAAAGACCAAAAACACTCGTACTGACTGGAGTCACAGGACCCCTAGGCTCATACCTGCTCATCAACAACCTGGTTGAATTACCGGCTACCGAGTTCGTTTACTGCCCGCACAGGTCTGCAGATGGCTGCTTGCGAATACAGGGATCTCATCATGGCTTGGTCTGACGACAAGGCCCGTCATTAGCTAGACTTACGAGCGGAAGTCAGCATTGACGCGGACTGAAGCATGGGAAGCTAGTAGGCAGGGTAAGCCCTTAAAATCAAGCAAACAAGGATGGTCCATGAAATTCAGAATCATAATAATAGTAGAATGGTTTAAGTCAGTGCTGTCAACCACCTTGTGTAGACAACTACTTCCAAGTCCATAAGCTCGGTAACGAATAGACTGGTATATTGCATTTGGATTCGCCCTCCAAACCACCCAGTTCCCGAAACATCATGTGAAACCGTGTCATCACCCAACCATTCCATCGTGACCTCCATGTTGTCCTTCCCACCGCGAGTAAAGCTTACCCAATGACCATTGCTAAAATTGAGACGGCCCTGGCTTGTACCCGCCATTCCAGAGGCTATCCGAGCCCTGCTGTCGCCTACGACCCGGTCTACTGCGTTGATACTGGAGAACTTCCAGCAAGCAGTGCAACGTAATGCTAGGAAATAAATTGGATATACGCAATGAATGAGAAAGCCCACAGTATGCAAGTCTGTCGCTCTAGCCGTTCAACTCTCAAGCGTGAGTAATTGTGAGGCAGACATCTGTCCTGTTCCACCCCGAAACTCAATCTCAATAGGTACCAGGTGTAGCAACTGGAGTAGTCCTTGGATATTCTCCAGGAATATGCGGCGTACTATCTGTTCTACCTCCCACCGGTCTAACCCATTGACCGTTCTGAACATGCACTGCTCCCTCACCGCCTTTGGCATATCCGTTCTCTGCGTTCAGAGGTTGGGGCTGTTGCTGGTGAGGCAAAGGCTGGTCCTTCCTCTGCGTAGCCCCAAAGTCCACAGCAGTAATAAGTGGAGCCTGAGCATACACCAGCTGGTCGTTCTGGGGCGGCCCCTGTTGGCCCAGACCAGTCACCGCTGTGGGGTCGCTGGCATGCTGAGAATTGCGATGCAGGGGCATACCGCTGTACGGGTTGACACCGTCCTCTTTGGCCGCGTTGTGGATTATGGCTGCATGGCTCGGAGCTGTTTCCATGTTGACGCTTGGCGTGTTTCCGTACGTCTGTCCGACTAGCTGAGAGGACCTATTCCCTGGATACGGATCGCCAACACCACTTCCCGGTAGACCACCAGCAGCGGCGATGGCCTCGTAATAGGAACTGCTCCCGTTGGCATTGGCGCCCCGCATGGGGTATTCGTTATTGTCCAGAAACCCGGAGCTGCCACTGCTAGGGCTCACTGGCGCTACCTCGAGGCCCCTCTGCGCGTTGACCTGATAGATGTCAGTGCTTGTTCCCTCGGCTAAATCGTGATCTCTTTCAGGGGGCGGAAAGGCTCCACAAAATGACCAGTGCCCATCCCATGAGGTAACCATTGCTCACTTCATGGGATACCTGGATTGATTCCATGAAGTAACCAGTACTTATATCATGGGATAAACAGTGTATTTTGCGGGATAATCTACGAATTCTATGGAACAGAGGTGCTCATACTTGGATATCCGAAGGGAATCGCCCACCTGGCTGCGGCCTGTTACTGGAAATCGAGTTATTGCGAGATCCGGGGCTGGCGACAGCGGCCGCATGGGAATTGGAGACGAATGGCTCCTCGTCGGCCTCGTCGTCTATCATGCCATCACTGGATGTGGAACGCTGTGATGACCGGGACAAAGTGCGAGCGTGGCCGCGAACGAACGTGCTACGTTCCTCGGGAGATTTCTCCGTCAAGGTCTTGATGTCTTCATACCAGGCCATCATCGTATCATGGCTTTCAGCGCGGAACACCCAAGTATGTCCTCGATGCATCGAACCAGTCTGTCGTCCCTTGAGGATGAATTTGTTGGAAGAACCACCTTCTGTGGAGTGGGAGCCTAATTTCTGTTCTGGGAGGTAAAGGGACATAATAGGGGCCTGAGTCTTGTCTGCCGACTTGAACTCATGGAGATGGGTCGGCGAAAGCACATACCTTACAACTGTTAGTAGAGTATACTCAGGAAGAGGGGGTAGTATGCGATGATCACCTACCATCCCGCCGTATAGCTCTTTAGATACTTACTCTTGCGCTCAAGCAAGCCGGCCCTGATCTCCTGACTGGCGTAGTGATCCCGTCCAGGATAATGAATGTGCTCGGCTGAGCGAACCGGAATCTCCGGATCAACAAATTGGGCATCCCTGTGGATGAAAGATTGCCACTCGTGGTCTTTAGGCATAGCGATAGGTCCAACGCGAAGTTCATCAGTAGCATTATAAGCTGCGTCCGACTCGCGCTTGAGAATTCCAGCATAGGCGTTGTACGATTTCTGGATCTCGCCGACGACGATGGACTCGAGTTCGCGACCAGAAGATTCGAGGTTCAGATAGGCCTGGTGCAAGTAGTTTTCCTCATCGATCTGTCGCTCCACTTGACGGTCGACCGCCAGCCGCAAAAGATAGGGGTCCTGCTTGCCGGTGGTCAATGCCGAGTCCAGCTCGTTCTGACCGAGGACTTCTTGTAGGGAGTTGACAGCCTTGCGGGTGTTATCCATCTCCTTATCGACAGAATTCTTGAAGTCGCCCGATAGGCTCTTAATCTCCTTCATTTTCTGGTTCAAGTCGCTCCGCAGGCCTGTCAATGCCAATATGACATCCTCCTCAATCTCCCGAGCTTTGTTGGCCTCGATAATGGCGGTTTGGTGGTAGTTCCTCAAGATTTCCAGTGCATCATTCAGGCCACCCGAGCGGAGGTATCCAGCAGGGGTGGAAGTATTGTTCAGCACATTAGCCAACTTGAGTAGCGACTTGGATCGGTGTTCGTAGTGCGACTGTATTTCCCTAAAATAGGCGATGAGGTCCTTGAGAAGCTTGCGCCATGCTTGGAACCTGTTGGCCAGGGTTTCGGTAGGGTTTCCGGTCGTGGGGACGGGACAATAGAACGCGCTGTGCGCCTCGTCGATTTCGTGAGAGCTTTGCAGCGCTAGGCTCCTCACGCTGCCGGCCTTCATGCTACGCCGACTGCTGCTCCTTTTCAGGCTGCCGCTTTTTCGCAGAGACGATTTCTTCTTGAGGGTGTTGCCCCTCGAGAGAGAAATGCCTGCGCCGCCGTTGCCGCTTCCTGCGCCATCGCTAGTGGTGGTATTGAGCACCTCAGGCCGCGAGGATATGGAGCTTGACCGCTGCATCGATGGGACGTCGATGATGGAGCTCCCTCTTACACTCGCATCCCACTCTTCGGTGAATTTCGGTTGGCGGCTGGGGGGCTGCAGGCCTGCGGCGAAGGGCGACGCAAGATGCGAGTTGGCTACCGTGTTCGAGAGGGTCTCGTCGTCGACAACAGTTCTTTGTGGGGAATGCTGCGGTTGTGTTTGCTGATACGGATGGAAGTAGTTATTGCTGCCAGAGCTTGGGTTTCTAGACAGGCCAGCGTTCCCAGAGGCAGGGGCGTGAGCGTTTGCGAGGTTCGGATTTGGATCGGGTGCGGCGCGCTCGAAAGCGGAAGAGTTGTTGAGGATGGAGGAGATGTTGCTGTTGGTAGCCGTAGGATGGTGGAGCGGGGATTTGGCTGCCATGGTAGTGCAGTGTATTGACGCAATCACATAAGACGGGGGATGCTTGGATGCTCGGGCGGTGTGAAGCTCGACGTCACGGCTGCTGCTGCCGTCCAAGTTGCAGGAACAAGTCTCAGCACGCCTACGCCTGGACCTGTCGCGGGGGTAAATTGGCGACTTGAACTCTAGTAGTCTCACTTGGGACGCTGGGAACCCTTTAGGGTCAAGCTAGTCGACGGTAAGTTTGCGCTGGAACATGTCTATTAGTTTTAGATGGACTACATAGCACGGTACATAAGACAAGACAAGATGGTGGTAGAATAATCGCTGTGGTACACATGGAACCGCCTGCGACAACGAGTTGTCGGCAGGTTAGCTGCGATGATACCACCAGAATATACTGGTACGACGCTCTTGCTTCCACATGGAAGCCCAGCGAAATGACCTACAACGAGATGATGATTTGTCCTTTTTCTATGAAGTATCGCCCACTGCTTCCAGAGGCGGACGTGTAATGGGCGTTGAGTTCGGGGTGTCTGTGGCGCCTGCAATGCGTAATGTGTCGCTCTCCGTGTAACTTGACCGAGGTGGGCGCACCGAGTGTTGTCGCTTGGCTGTGTGATAGCCGTCGGGATCAATGCGGTGATGTGGTAGAGTTCAACAGTTGGAATAGTTCTTGGATTTCTTCACCGCTTTAGAACTGTCGCGCAATAGCACTGGATGGGTATTTGTTATTTAAAGGGGTATCGCGAGTGAAGGGTAAAATTATCAAATAAACGGTCGAATGTCGCTGGAGACGATGTCTCCGTCACCTCGCGGTTGGACTGTGGCATCTTCTCCGCAGTGACTTCGTGCTAGCAGCACCGAACACGCTGAAAGATTGAAGCAGTCGGCCAGTGAACGAGCAGGGAGAGGAGGGGCGCAGTGTAGGACCCGAAGCTGCCCAAGGCTGCCAATCAATGAAGCTCCCATCCGCTTTCAGCAAGTGGGTGGACAAGGGTCTTCTCGCCATGGGCCGCCAAGGGTACTACACTAAAACGCCTTTGACCGAGGGACCAGTGACGTAATAGCTTCTTCGCCGCGAAGACAGTAATTTCGCCCAAGCCACCCTGATTTTGCTGCAATGGTAGGACCCCGATGCAGACTAGAGTCGGCATAATGTCTTCTCATTTGGCTACATGGCAAATGGGTCCAAGAGCAAAAGTACCGCCCTATTCGTACAAGACTTGGCAACTTGGCTCCCTCACAGCAGAGTTTCTGGCTGCATCGTGCCAATGCGCCAGCTGCAGCGGCAGCAACGAACCCACCTTAGGGCGTGCCACAGACGCAAGGAAGCGCCGGTGCCGTCACTGCCCTGGCGATCATCATCAACGTGTCTTGAAATGCATCGAACGTCTCTTTGCTCCCCACGACATCTCCATGCAACAACCGTCAGCGCCAACACCATTCCGAGGCATCCTATTTGCCGACTTCTACCGACTTGACGACTGCATCTGTTCTTGGCATCGTGTCACACACAATTCGTCCTCTGGAACATGTCGCTTGTTGTAGATTGCGGTCCTACTTGAATGCTGTAAGAGTCGCAGGTAGGTAACAGCGAATTACGAGGCCTTACGACCTCGACCTTTCCGGCTCTCTCTTGAGGATGTTTAGTCTATTCCCGTGGTTCTTGATAATTGTTGGTGCCTCGTTTTTCTGCTCTGTCCTATTTCTGACGGCAAGAGGAAGAAGTGATTTGGAGATGAGCTCACATAGTGTACCATCTGGAGACTGACCGCCTTCATGGGCAGGAAACTGGTGATGTATGCCGGTATGTTCGACGAGAACTGTTAGTAGCCACCAACGTCTTCTCCATAAAAGAAAATAGGAGTGGTATGTTTATCGACCTCGGCGTAAATGATTTATACTTGGCTCGCGGGAAATCAAACATACCCGGTTTACTTCAATATCTGATGATTCTTCAATCATTTTCCTGATCAACGTGTTTGAAGAGCCGCATACAGAGACGTAGCTAAATCTGAAACTTCACAACAGTACTTTTGCTACCTCTGTCGGGCCTCTCTTTGGGCTAGACTGGAATTGGGGAGTTTCCGAATTTGGGAAGCTTAGTCCTTTGGCTCTTTTCCCGAGCCGGTTCCTCGAGCAACTGTAAATATCAAAAGACCAACTTCATGTCCTCGGCAGGCTAGTCGGGTCAATGCTCTACGTACATCCAAGGCCACGTAGTATAAGTGATCGAATATTGGTGTTTTGCATAGTTCCATTCCATGTGGTTGGGCTCAGTTAATTTATCGGTGTTAGACGCAAACGTGAATATCAGGGGTCACGGTCCGAGAGGGGTTAGTTACTAAACTAACTTACAGTTGCATGTCATCTTTCATTCTTCTACCTCAACCATATTACCGGCACGAAAACAATCCATGTAAGTGAGTCAAATCCAATACCACTCAGCCCGAAATCACTGTTTCCTCATTGCTCCCAGGTCCAAGCAGTCGAGATGCTGTTCCGGGAAATAAACCGAGCGCCTGAGGGTGAAGCACGTGGAAGTGGGAGCAAGTCAAGTCTGAGCGTAGCCACCCTCTTCTCATCACTTATTCCCCTTCGTCCCGTCCTCTAAACCACGTCTACGAGCCACGCTCTCCCCAGCCCTTGATACCCAATTCCGCACGGCTCCTATTTCTCAGCCCCTCAAACCTTTCCCATCCATCTCAAAGCGCTACTGCCACATTGCTGGCCATATAAGAAAACCCGAAGCAGGCCCATGTGAACATGAAAGGGCGCTGTTCAATTTGTCGATTCGTTCAGCGCTTGTACCGTCGAGAACGATACTTGATGAATCCAGTGGCCATTAACAACGACGTGCAGACCATGCTAAATGAGCATTGGGCGTCTCCTTCGCTGGTTACAGGGGAGAGAGTGTCGTGGTAATACTGGTTTCTGCTACTTTGACAAGGGAACAGACATCACCAGCTGGCCCGGTTGACTCAAATATTGAGTACTAAGTTTATAGTCACTATAATCTACGGAAATGTAGAAGTGTAAATCGTATGTCTTGGGGCCAGGAAGCGAGCGTGAGTACAAGAACCTACTGGTGTGATAGAGTAAACTGCAGGCGCCTTGTGAGGATCGTAAGCTAAAGTTGCTGAAATAGGGGCTTGCAGCCTGGACGTGAATTGTTGCATTACTTCTAGTTGTCTCTGCAATCCGAGGCGACAGTTGGAGGAAAGTTGATGTAACCTTGAGTTGAACAGAAAGAAGGAAATCAGTTGGAAAAAGAAAACCAGGAAAAAACCAAGTAGAGCCGTTTGAGCTGCCCCATTCAGCATCAAAACGGTATCTCAGGCCAAGGGCGACCAAATTAAATGCCGTAATGTCCTACTCCAATCACATAGAGCTATGTTTTTTCAATCTCACCATTCTGTAGGATCCATTGTAATCCACATTGCTCACCAAATTCAACTGCAACACCCAAGTTGTGTCAATCGTCAAATTCAATAATTCGGCCTATTCGGCTGTCATGCAAACCCCTAAGGCAAGCAAAAGTCACAAATCATTCTCTTTCCAGACGTTAAACCCCTACGCCTTGCCATGATTGTAAATGCCATAAATGCATCAGAGACGCTTAGCATGCAGAAAGCCGTCCGTTCCCATACGCCGTTAGCCCTGAGACAAATGTGCCAATTTGCCATACACCACCAACCCAACGCAAGTTGTCTTGGTAAGGATTGGTGTACCACTATGCCATGCCAATGCGCTCGCTCATGCAGTCCATTCGCTACCAAACCTCCATGATTGATATTTCGGATATTTGTGATGCCCAGCCCTTCTCCTCACGTCAGTAAGCGGGTGTCTAAGAGACAGGGGGAGGAGCCTCCGGCACTGAAGACGCGGCCTTGAGCCTATTCATTCGCCTCGGGGGAGGGGCCTTTGGTGGCATTTTCTTGACCACTCCGTTCCCATTTCCATTTATGTGAGCCGCGGGTGGACAGGAAATGGCAATACCATGTGTATGCCTTGGTACCTCAGGTAGTGCCTTCTTGGGTCGCCTCGGCGCCTCCTTCTGGTTGCCGATCGTGTGACTTTCTGGAGAAGATGCTGGATGTTTGACTTCGACATCAAAACCAACCTTTCGGCTCGGCGTCTGGATACCGGGCTTCTCGGTCACTACTGCTACGTCAACGACACTAACTTTGCTGGCAGAGTCGCTGGCCTCAAGGCTGATTCCCAGGAACCTCCTGGCAACCTCGCTGGCTCCGTCATCGGCTAGCCACCTGACCTTGGAAACGCGATCCACCAGTCTGACTGTTGTCTCGTCCGCCGCCTCAAAATGCATGTTTCCTGAGCCGGACAGAAGATTTAACACCCTAAGTATCTCTTCCCGCTTGTAGTGCGGTGGCTGGCTGAGCTGGGTGTGCGCCAGAAGCGGGTAGAGAACCCGCAGGTACGTATGCCGGAGGGCCATTAGCTCGTTGGGGAGGTCGAGCAGGTTGCGGATGATGACGTCGAGGAGGACGCGCAAGTCATTGGTGTAAAAGTACTCATATGTTGCCTTTGTGGTGAAGAGTAGGTATAGGAGTTTCAATATTAAGAGTTGTAGCGAGGTCTCGGTCTCGCGGTTGAGAAGCAGAATGATATTCTCGCCAAACGTGCGGTACTGAGGACCATACAGTGACAAGCACTTGACTACTCGATTTGTGAGGGGCACCCCGGGCGAGGTTGGGTCTGTGATTGCGGCGGTTGAGGTCACCATGTATTGTTCGTTCAATACCAGAAGGACTCGAATGATGGAATAATGGTATGGATCACGAGCGTCGTCTGACAGGCCTTCGATCAATTCGAAGAGATAATTCACGAAACCATCATCGACATGTATCAGATCTTCGACGCGCAAATGTTCGACACGTGACATCTCGTACATCAACTCCAGCAGCAGGCGATGTAAACCGGGGTCATGCTCCTTGCGCCCATTGATCAACTCGAGCAGACGGTGAAAACAGCCCTCGTCTATCATGTGGCGAAATGTGGCGTCTTCGGTTCGACCGTCAAGTAGTAGGAAGCTGGCGATAACGTAGAGCGGCCCTGCTTCGTCCTCCTGTAACATGCTGTATAGTATCTGCATACGCACGTAGTGCTGATTCGCATTGAACAGCCTGCCATCCAGCAATCTCTGGACGCAGCTGGCGACGTCATCTTCCGACTGGAAAAACTCTTCTCGACACTTGGACGCCAAGTGTAGCCACGTTCGCAGGGCGTCGTCGATAGTCTCGTGGGCTTGGGCAGGGCATTGGGTTGCGACGACTCGCTCGAGTTCTGTAATAATCACGTCTTGTCAGTACACTGGACACAGAGCGATGACACACGGCAATGCGCACCGTCCCATAATTGCTCCTCGGTCTCTATCGTGTAGGACGTCTCCGAATCGTCCATGTCGATGCCCGATCAGAATACTCCTATCCCACCAAGGAGGAGTTCGGCATCACGAAGAAGGATCCAGCTTGGAACAAATAAGTTTGAAATCATGGACCGATAAAGAGGATTGTACAGCGTGCATGAATGGACCTGCCCAAGGATGATCGCTTGCGCTTCGTGTAAGATGGTGTGGGTGGGCTGGTGGTTGGTGATACAAGCTTGGAGACTCAGATAAAGCCTTGCGAAAATGATACGCGACCAAGATCACCCCAACCTGCCACGATTAGAAAATGGCAAGGGCTCCCCAGTCCCCTTCCAGAAGGCTTGTCGTCTAGTCCGTAGGCGGCTGGGACCCGCCGGTGGCTGACTTTACCGAATGTGGGTTCGACAGCATGGACCTGATGTTTAAACGGCGGGGTACATTGTTCATCTGGACCTTCGTGAAGTGATGTCAATGCCAGCCTTCGAAATATACCTACCCCACCTTCATGTTAACGTTTGGTTTGGTATTGGGGCATGGACAATAGCTATTAGACACCTTTTCGTTCCACAAGGACCTTGAGGCAATTTGAGTGGATCGGAGCTTACGAAGTACAGAAATCAGAGATCATATCGTAGTACCTGTGATCAACTTCGTCTATGTCATCTGAACTTCAACGACGGCATTTCTTGACCTCGGCACTTCTTATAAGTACCTACCATGTCGATCCACTGCGTCAAACCAAAATACATTTTGTTCTTGGCATCTTGTCGCGGCTCCAGTGATACATCACTTCTTTACAATTGTCATCCAGATATACGAGCCGCATGACCACGTTGTGTACACACCTCACAGGATCACGAAAGGGGGCCATGAATCTTCTGAATTCGCTGGGTGAGCAGCGTAATCTCCAGCGCTGTAGTTACCTAAGGACCAAGCACTTTACCAGGCAGAGCTACGCAACCCACCCAAGGCATCATGACCAACCTCTGGATCTCTCTTCAAACGCTCGCTATCGTGGGCGTCAAGTGGGCATGATACAAATAATACACAACAAGTATGCAATCCTGTGAAGCCTACGCCTGCCGCACCAGGCCGAACCGTAACTCCATAACAAGCAAACCAGTCTTGATCAAGTAGTTGATCCAAATCACACTCTCGATGTTTCTTTTCTTCGCCATGCGTCTTCGTTGTTGTGCCTACCATGAACGAGATTTTCGCAGCCACGTTCGTTGACCCTACTCATTGAACAGGCTCGCAACGCCCTCCAATCCATCCTCAGTCTTGATCTGGGGGGCATTGGTCGACGTGGTCGATGGTGTTGGGGCTTTCATGAATTCCTGCGCCATCTTACTCCGAGCTGACTTCTTGACTCGCTTGGACCCAGCGTCGCCGAAACTCTTTTGAAGCTTGCCCATCTCGGAGATGCTGACGCCCTTCAGGTCTCGAAGAAGATCAAGCACGATCGCCCGCTGGCTCCGTGAGCTCAACCCGGGTTTAGAAATAGACTCGATGGCTTTGTCGACTTCACCCTGCTGTATGTTCGGCAGCGATAACAGCACGTCGCGTGGTGTTTGCGTCAGTGGACAAAAGTGTAGCAGGATCGTGGCAATCAGAACTGCGAGGTCCTTCTGCAAATCCACAAAGTAGGGTTCGTGCAGCGATGTGATGCAGGCCTTGAGAACATCAGACGAGATGTATTCCCGAATAACCGATGCGGTGGAGGCCGGGATGGGTGTGACGTCTACAATGCTCTTCTTCTCTGTTTCGGACTTCGACTCTATCGTCAAAGATATGGGACCGGCAGTCTGGAAATCTGGCACAATGGATCGGAAAACACGCAACATGATACTGCAACATCTGGTATCTCGCATCCGAATTGCGTGTGTGCAGAACATCAGGAGAGGCTCCACGATAGCTGACTGCATGAGACAGAACTTGCGGAGAGAAGGGTGGTTACGATCGTGCTGTTCGGAACTTGTGAAAGGAGGCTCTGTGGTCTGATTAGCTGCATTCGACAGTGGTCCGGTCAGCTGATGCCGGACAAATGAAGTCGAACACTTACCCGACCGAGCCGGATCCAAAAAGTCGGCCACTATCATGACGGCGGTATACGTCAGCTGCCTCAAAATACTTTCGGCTTTCATTTCTTCGGTCAAGGCATCTCCGCCTGCTTGGACGCCTTGTTGCTGGTCGAGCTTTTGCCATTCGGAGTTCACTTTGTCATCCATTTGCTGGAAACAGGCAGCGAGCAGGGGAGGAAGGAAGTGATCCCGTAGCTGGATGGGGCAGTTGTCCACTAAATACCTCACCAAATTCAAGAGATTGATCAGCTGGTGGGCAGATAGGTAATGAGAGTCTGCAAGCAGCGAGTGGGCCAGCGGTCCCGGCAGTTCGCTAAAGCCGTAGAATTGCATGTCCAGACGGCTCATGCAGTAGATGATGGCATAGCAAGATTCCCGGACGAAGCGAATCGTGCCTCGAATCGTCGAGGCAAGACCTTCCACCGTGTGTTTCTTATCTACAACCCGCGCATAGAAGTCATCCTTGCTGCCTTCGGAAATGCCAGCTTGCCAGAATCGATCGGTGAGAACGCGTCCTACGATGGTTCGCATCTCCGCCGGAAGCCCGACCCAATTATCAGGGGTGTGCGAAGCATGAGCATGGCTCAAGAACTTCAGTAGCTCTGGTAGGATGACCGGGAACCCATCCTGCCACAGCTCACAGGAAGTTTGGTACGGGGTTGTGTTTTTGTCAATATTCTCCACGGAGCATGTCAAGAAAGACTTTGTAGGTCGCAACGGCAAAGCCGCCTGTCTCTGTTCCATCTCGGATTGCAGAGCCTTCCCTTCATCGTCCAGTTGTACCGAGCCCCAGTCTCGGATTTCGTGGACTCGCCTTCGAGCGAGATAATCCTGAGCCTTATTAAGGGCCATCATCTCACAGAAGCCGGAATACGATGATAGGGCACTTTTGAGACTGTTATCTTGCCATTGGGTTCTGATCGGCACAATAAACTCCTCCAGCTTTTGAACCTTGGTCGCTTTGTCGAGACGACTCGATCGGTGCACAATGGTGAAGAGGAAAGTTTGATATGCAACCTGGCGCTTCTCGTCGAGCGTACCTGAAGCAATCATCTCATTGACTTGCCCTGCAATTTGATCGTAAACATCCAGCAGATGGTCGGGCATTTTCGACGCAAGCCTCTGCAGTTCGACCATGCTTTCGGCCTGTAAATCCTTAATTGCCTCGCTGTACGTCTTGTGCTGTGGCTGTGCTGCGGGCCATGTCACAAGGATATGTTCCAAAACCTTCAGCATGAAACCTGCATTTTTATCCAGAGCCGTTGTTGAGAATGCCACCAGAAGCTGTAAGATTCTCTTCCTGATTAAGGGGTCCTCGAACTTCATCACGAGCAAGCGGTTAGCCCAGCTCTGTAGGCTGTTCTCCAACGAAATTATCTCCTGTTCATGTTGAGCATTTTCGGTTTCGGCCCCTCTCCACTTGGTAATACCTTTGAGAGCGGCCTCAATCAACGTAGCCTGCGCGTCGACACGCAATACGGGCGCTGACGACTTTGTGTAGTTTGCAGGGTCAAATCGAGGCTGGCCGTCGTAAAGATGCTCAAGGATGTTCTCGGTCTGGCCAAGGATATGCTGGATGGCATCGACAACCTGGAGCCGAACAATATTTTCAATTACTTGTGAAGAGTACCGGCGGTAATTACCGAGGAAGGCATGTCGTTCTGGAATTGTGTCGGTATCCTCAAGAAGAAACAAGAACGTCGGATCTTGGGTGTCTTCCGGTAGGCTATCATATCGGAATTGTCTCGAGCCACATACTTCCAGCAGTGGGCCGATAAAGGCAGGCAATGCCGCAATGCTAGGGCCAATGGATTTGTGGCCCAATAGGCGAGACCATGTCACAAGGACGGGAATAGACACTATCAAGCTCTGACTTTGTGTAACTAGAAGCAGGAGTTGTAGGAACCCCTGGAAATCGACTCGCTCCGGATCATTTGGCAGGGCAGCAAATCGGCGGTCCATGTAGTTACCAAGGAAAGAGACCAACTCGGAAAGCTTCTTGCCACACTGATACTTATCGTCGTCGATGTCTTCAGCATCAACCGTAGACCACTCGAACAAGTGTCTGAAAAGCTGGATGTATTTCCGGTCGTATAGGGGCACCACCAGATCGAGGAACTCTTGTTCAATAAAACTCGTCCGAGAATATAGCGCATGCAAGGATTCCAAGGCAGCCTTTTGTACGGCGACGTGTGGAGCACGAAGAGCGTCGCATACGACGGGTACACAGCCTGTGGCAGTGGCGGCGTTCGGGATGACCCATGGCATCAAAGAGTGTATGACCGTAAGCCCTCGGACCGCACAGTTCCGGATCTCCTCATTTTGCAAGTCTCCTGCCAGACACTGGCCCAAGAAATCAGTGATGCGTCTCAGCCAGCCCTCGTCCCCACACCGCACCTCAGGCCCTGGTTGTCGTTTAGGGAAGGTTTCTAGGAGGACGGCAGCGGGAGTGAAGATCTCAACAGAAGCTTTACTAAGAACCCCTTCTCGGACCGCGACCACAGCATCGTCTCCGTTAAAGATTTCGTCCGAAAGGGTTTCCAGGATGAGTAGCACGAGCTCCTTGTGTACGGCCGAGTCGGGTACCTGCCACAACTGCACCAGGAGAGTGTCCATATCCATCCAGTCGGCAACCCAGCTTCGCTTGGCAACCTCAACCCACAAGACGGCAACCTTATTGCGAAGATAGCCAGGGTCTTCTCTCGAGACATTTCGAGAGAGCTCCAACACCCAGTTGCGAAGGGCGACCGCCTGCTCTTTTGTGTATTGCTCCCATTTGTGTTTGATCGCATGCTCGAGTAGTGAAAGCGCATAGTGCCGTACAACAGGGGCTTGGCTCTTGTCCGAAGCGAGAGTGTACCCGTGGGATGGAGCTTCGTTGGTGTTCTTGACGTCCTCCAAAAAGCGTTGGGCTTCCTGACGGGCTACATTGTCGGAGTAGGGATTGTGAATGAGTTGCAGAGCCTCGTGTATACGTGGCAGGACAGCTACACCATTGGTGTCGTTTCTGCCTTCACCTGCCATCCCCATATTATTGTTGTTGAAGTGTTGCGACATTGCGGGAGAAAAAGCGGCGGCGTGAACGACGATCTTAGAGGGGGGGCGCAGGAACCGTCCGTCAGGGATCCAAGGTGTCTTAGTAGTGATTCATCTGGTAAATCCTGGGGCTAAGGTAAAATAGTACGGGCCTGTCGCATGAAGTCAATTCTGGAAAAGGGCAGAGATTGGGCCTGTCTGTGAGTGAATGCAAAAGACGTCTCGAAGGGTTGTTCAGTGAGCTGAGCCGACGGTCACGTCTGTAACACGCGATTTAATATGGGAGGCCTAAGGTCAAGCTAAAACTTAGAAGCTTAAAGCAAACCGTCAACTGCTGCCGGCTTTCAGGTTGCAAGGGTCTTGGCGGTCCGCAGTTGATCCGTCACCAACTGGCATGCAGTAGAAGATGCGTCGAGGCCCCTGTCAGGTTCTGGAACTTACACCGTTTACAATCGTTCAATTTAATGCACTTTTCTTGCAACTCAGAGCGAATAAGACCTAAACCACTAGTCGACGAATGAGGGAGCTGAAACATACAAAATGCAACCTCTATACTAGCATCCATATATTCTATGGGACCCTCAGAAACTCATTGTGGACTCCGATCTGAAGCATACATAAGTATACCTAATGAATCGTGGTATTCCTAGCCACATATGGGAACATCCGGCAGCCTGCAGGGTCTTATTCAAATTCGCAATTGCCCATACTTTCTCGGCTGAACGTATTTCCATACTGACGAATGCAGTTGAGATTGTTGTCAGATTATCCCAGACTACTTTAAGAGTTCCATAAGCACATAAGCTTATCATAGAAACTGGTCGAGACACAGCACAAACTGCTTTCCAAGCCTTCTGTCCCTGGCATGAAATCACTTCCATAATTCATGCTCCGATGCTCATTTAAGTAGTCCAGAACAACAATGTCACAGTTTCCATCTGAGGCGATACCAACTTGTAATACCCGTGGTCCTGCATGCATGCAAGATGCGAGGATCGTGGCAGAACCTTTGTCTCCGAGGCGTACCAGTTTCAACCTCCACACGCCTCCGCCAAGGTCCAGCTCTTTAAGGAGCTTCGATCTCTGAGAAAGAGCACCCTCGTGTTGTTCGTACACTGCGAATACCCTGATGTAGTCGTCATAGCTACCGGTAACCACCACAGCAGCATCATCGTCAAGCTTCAAGTCCAATGGTAGAATGGCCGTAACCCCTGCACCATGACCTCTGATGCTGATCGTGGGATAAGGTGCTTCAATTGATGCCTCGTCTTCATTCGGGTTGAGATTGTAGACGCAAGTTGTCTGAAGCAGTTTTGAGTCGTCGCCTCCTGAATATATAGTGAAGTCCTTTCGATTGGCGCCCTTTGAGCTGCCCTTATTTGTCAAAGAGTCCTCTAAAAAGGGAGAAAATGCAACAGTCCATGCCTCGAGAGAATGAACAAGTAAAGGCCCCTGGCTGAACTTGACATTCCAGGAATCGTCTACCTGTAGTACGTGGACCTCAAACGTAGACGTGGTTATGGCGATGAGGTTGGCTAACCTAGGGTGCCAACAACACGACAGGAGAAGAACACTCTCGTCCTCACCCAGAGGTCTGTGTGTGGCGATGTGTGTCAAATGACCGTCACTGCAGGAAGGGTCCAACTTGAAAAAGGAAAGGTCGCCGGTGCTGGCCACCACAGCCAGGACATCTTGTTTCTCAGGATGAAAATGCAAGTCAAGGATAGCAGATGGGTGACGGACAGTTTGAACTGGAACCCTATAGATTGTCACAGCATTGGTCAGATGCAGAGCCCGAAAGAGATGGAACTGGCTTACATGTTGTTCGGCTCAAGCCGAAATACTATCAGACTGCCATTTCGACTCTGAGGCTGCTGTGTCTTTTCCTGTTGATCCCCATCGTTATCCTGATTGTCTTTTATATTGTCTGCATTCTCATCTTTTTGCAGGTTGTAAGTCCCAACGACAAAGTAGTCCTTATGCGCCTGACAGAATTCTATGCAGCTTGGAGGGAGATCTAATGCCAGTTGTTGTATTGACGACACATGCGCTTTTTGCTGGTCCATCATATAGGTTGAGAGAATTTGAGATCAACAGTAATTGACAAATTTGATGATAAATTTCAAGCAAAATTTGCAACATCAAGTGTTTTTGGTTGCTAACGTCGTTTGGGTTTAGCTTCCACTTCCAAAGACTCAATGTTCTGGACGTGGTTGATGGATTTTGAAGTAACCTCAAATTCTACAGAACGCTGCAAGGAAGCCTGCAGGGTAAGTTTCCTCACGGCAAACGGTGGGACCCACAACGCAAACCTGGAAGCACCATCCCTGCGCATCCCACCAGATCCCACACATCGAGCCCAATTACCCGGTAACGAACTGACGAGGGTGACATGCTAATAGTAGGTGGTTGGCGATGGTATATCCATTAACCTTGATTACTGCAAAAGACTATCCTACACTTCAAATAAGCACCTTGCTTACTCACTCCATTTTACTCGTTCTCAAGGAGGCTGGAATCGAGACTCTAGGTAGATTAATTGTGCAAGGTTATTCTGCTACTTCTGCCAGGGTCAATTCTGTTTCAGCTAGCTTATCTGGGCAACCGCGAATCGGCACCTTCCCCGACCTTCAACCTCAACGTCATGTCAATAACCATGGAGCTCATGGAACATCTTATCAACAAACAATCCGACATTTCACTCGTTTACTTGTGCGGAATGCCTGACTACCCAACTTGCATGCTTACAATTGCATGTCTAGTTTAGTCTCATTTAATGTCTTTCCTTGACCTCCATGTGAATTGTTTCAATGATCCTTAGTATACACATTGTATCATATAATTTTCCACTTTGAAAGCATCATCATGTATTCTGACTCAGATTCCGATTTTTACGGTAATAAATCTCCCCTTCCCATTCGCAGTCACAACATTCACTCACACACTTCTGGCAGGTGACGATGACCTGGTGGCAGACCTGGAATTGAGAACCAGCAAGTTTGACACAAACTCCTGGTGGCTCCGGCAACAGGCATACCCCACGCCACTCAGGTTGCAGGCCCAGAAACAGCAACAAGCAAAACAAACGACGCGTCTACACAACCCCTATGCAGACGTCCCGTACGCCTGGCAGCTCTCAGAGACCGTAGACGACTTCCTGCAGCGTCTTCCTCCGGCAACAACGGACGAAATACCTGGAAATTCCTGGATTTGGATATGCAACCCCTACATTGAGCGCAAGCCCAAGAACGAGGCGCAGAACCAGAACATTCGTGGCTGTGAGGATGAAGGTCCAGAGGAGGAAGGCACGAACCTAGCCCGCTTCATCGAGGGTGGTATGGAGCGACTGCACTTTGTGTCCCAATTCGTCGACCAGTTCAAGCAGTCGTGCAAGTCCAAGATGGTTCTCACGCGGGAGACTAATAAGGCTGGCAACGATGCCGCACATGCCATACTGAATCTGGCCCAAGCCCTGCGCGTCAGATGCGGCAAATGGATGTTATTCTGTTCTGTGCACGCGGTGAACGAGGTCTGGGGGGTCATTGCAAAGGCAACTGCGAAAAACGAGCTAGGCATCGGTGCCAAGGTCGCAACCAGATCTGATGTTGACCAGAGAACCGAGAGGCTCATCTGTGTCTACACCGCCGATTTCGGCGATATAGAGGACGTCAAGCGAGTGGCATTGAGACTGAAACAGCTGGGTCTGGTTCAGCCGAGAGGCAAATCACTGTACTACAAACCAGGTCAGTCAATACCAATGTTAATTGTGGAGATGAATCCGGAACAACGTAGCCACACCGAGGGCCATACCCTGCGCCAGGACAGGCTGTCGTATAATCTTTAAAGGGCAGTGATCATGTTTGAGGCCTTCCAATATGATCATGTCATATCCTTTATTCCAAGTCGTTTCGGCATTGTACTAACGATAAGTTAGACGCCTACACTTACCTCGGCATTTCGTCCCAGAACCCCTGGGGAGTTAGAGCGTCACTCTACAACACGACCGATATTTTGGGAAAAGCTTCGACGTGAAGCACCGGAAGTTGAGATGGGAAATACAATATGGCGTCACTTCGTCAGATGTTCTTAGGACTAAAGTTTGGCTCGCTTGACTCAATGTGTTCAAATACCTTTGCTATTTAGCTGCTAGTTGGTTTATTGAAGAGTCGGGTCGTGCACTGCAGTAGTACTAGAAGAAGCTTGGGTGATGGTCAGTATCCCAAAGGGAACCGCATGGTCCTCCTGATAGCAATGTAGACTCTTGATAGATAACACTGTACATCTGTACAAAGTCGATCACCAATATTTGCACTTGCTTACTTGCATGTTATGTCCTCCACAACTCCGCCAGACACGCCGCCAATGCACGAGTTCCTTGAAGGCTCATATCTTCAAGATGGCGGGCGGGAAAATCCATATGCTGATAGGAGATACGAACGCCACCATTTTGTATCCGTTCGCAAACCGGCCCTACTGCTTCCGAGTTGAGCTAGTGCGTGGATGGAATACTCGCATCAACGCTCGTCTTAATATGGACCGTTGCCCGGTCTGAAGCAGCCCCTTCTTCGACTAATCAGATTGGTGCTCTTCTCCAAGACTCATGGGTTTGAGTAGCAGCACGAGCCGGTAGGCGCTGTTGCCGTTGAGATAGTATCGATGTAACTTCTTTGACCGTAAGAAGCCTAATCGCTCGTATAACCGCATGGCTGGCAGGTTGGTCTCCTCCGTCTCCAGGACGATCTCGTCCGCGTTCCGCTCCGCCATGGCATCTATTGACATCTTGACCAGCGACGTCGCTATGCCGTGCCCTCGGTAGGCGGAAGACACTGCCAGCATGGCTATGTACCCTCGATGGGTGGGTGGTGAATGCGAGGCATGAGGTTCGAGTTTGCAGATTATGACGCCGATCAGGGAGTTATCGGCAGGATTGAGAGCCTGTAGGCAGGGGAGCTGGTCAGTCGCAGGTCTAACGTGAAAGGACGGAGCAACCCCACCATATAGCACAGGTGAGCCCATTGGTATAAGAAGTAGCGATACACATAGATGCTGTAAGGCTCGCTGAGGTCCTTGGATATCAATGCCCGGATAGCAGGTAGATACTGTTCCTCGAGGACATGCTCATATTGGATGTAGCGAAGCTCACCGGGCAGCTCTGTTACGCGCGCCACTTCCATAGGAATAGGCGACTTAGTGCTGACGGACTCGAGATTGCGGTGCGCCCCACTGCTGGCACTGACGGCCATCGCCATATCAAATTGGGGGGAGAAATAAATAGTCGAGCTGCCGAAAGCAAAAGCTGGGAGATGGGTGGAAATGGAGATTAGGCTGGGTTAATTGATTCTCACATTTCTCGTCTCCGAATGTTTTCCGTGGAGTAGAGGAGATGAAGAAGGCTAGGCGCCGGCCACGGCAGTGATGCCCCGTGAGACGACTTGGAGCTATGAATCTCAGACCCCTCCACAAGACTGCTCGGCCACATCTAATTGTGGAAGTAATAATTGACACCTGACTTTCTAGGTACCGGCTGGGGAACGAGCCCACTTTCACATGCAAGGAAGGCTGTTGCCATTGCTTGTGTGCAGTTCGTGGGATGTTTGGTTGTGTTTCTAACTTGTGGGAGGACCACAGGGCCAAAGCTTCTCGCGCTATGTTGGAAGGAGCAAGTCACCAAGACATTCTTGGAATCAACCCCTGTCGAAGCTGAAGCGGCTGACGTCAGTGTGCTTGAGCAAGCTCTGCACCGCCGACAACGCATTTGGAGGTGTCTGCCCCCAAGGTGGCTACAGGCCTCGAGCGCAGAACGGCATCTATCCGCTGTAGAGCTGCGCTTCACCCCTCGCGAAGTACTGTGCCATACTTCACTTCACTGCGCAATCCGACGAATCAACGGGTTGGTCGAGTGACGCGGTCCCGAAATGCTGGAACCAGCGTATTCGAAAATCGCATGTGAAAAGGTACTACCGCCAACAACATCCATCCTGTCGATCCTCTCTACCCAGTACCTTTCCAAGCTCCCTTCTTGCTTCCCAAACCCATCAGCTCATATTCTGCTGGCTTTGCAGTTTCACCAACCCCAGATTGACTGGTGGACAGTCATGTAACGGGCCTGCACAAGATGGCTGCTGAACTTCGACGCCGGGCCATCGGCGCAAACACGCCCTCGGCGGGCACGCCTTCAGAGTCATCAACATCTGCCCCGGCAGTAGCACAGGATGAGATTCCTACGAAAATGGAGCTGGGCGTGGGAGACGCGGTCAAAATTGTCCACCACACCCACAAGGATAAGACCAAGAAACGGAAAACCACCTTCATCTTCTTGCTTGGGAGTCTGTTCGGTATCATTGCCGCGGGCTTCCTAGCCAAGGAGAATGATCTAATTCCCGAGATGGGTGAGCTCAGCATGTTTGACACTATATTCGAGGCACTGCCCGCAGGTTTAGCAAAGGACCTGCGAGACTTAATGGTACATTTTGTCCTACTTATCATGTTGGACTTTCTGCGCAGATAGCTAACATCCGTCACGAATGTAGAAGGGCGAGCGCGAAATGGTCGACAGCGTTGATTCGTTCGCCGTCGGATACAAAGCACGAAGCGAGGGTCTCGAAGTCGACCACCCCGTCATAATGATTCCAGGTGTCATCTCGACTGGCCTTGAATCTTGGGGTACTGGGAATATATCGCGTCCCTACTTTCGAAAGAGGTTGTGGGGCAGTTGGACAATGATGAAAGCGTTGGTGATGGACAAGGAGGTGTGGAAGAAGCACATTATGCTCGATAAAAGGACTGGACTCGACCCTCCTGGTATCAAGCTGAGAGCTGCTCAGGGCTTTGATGCTACCGATTTCTTCATTACGGGTTACTGGATCTGGAACAAGATATTCGAAAACCTCGCGTCTCTGGGCTACGATCCTACAAATTCGTTCACTGCGGCATATGACTGGAGGCTGTCATATGCGAATCTCGAGACCCGCGATCAGTACTTCACCAGATTGAAGAACTATGTGGAACTAGCTCATGGGTTTTCCGGAAGGAAGGTCGTCCTCGTGTCGCACAGCATGGGTGGACAGGTTATGTTCTATTTCTTTCACTGGGTCGCGTCACAGAAAGGAGGCAAGGCGGGCGACGACTGGGTCGAAGAACACGTCGAGGCGTGGATTAACATTAGCGGATGCATGTTAGGAGCTGTGAAAGACATCCCGGCCATCCTGTCGGGAGAAATGAGAGACACGGCTCAGCTGAACGCATTTGCCGTATATGGATTGGACAAATTCTTGAACAAGGATGAAAGAGCTGAGATGTTCCGTGCGATGCCAGGTATCTCTTCCATGATGCCGAAAGGAGGTGAACGCGTTTGGGGCAATCTTACATGGGCTCCGGATGACCAGCCAGGCCAGAAGAACTCGTATGGATCCGTGCTTAACTTTCGCACCGGTGTCAACTGGACGGCCCCGGACAAAAACTTCACGGTAGCCCAATCTATGGACTACATTATGAACACCACCGAGGACTGGTACCGAGACCAAATGAAGGACAGCTACTCACATGGCATCGCAGACACGACAGCCCAGGTGGAAGTCAACGAGAACAACCCCCGCAAGTGGATCAACCCGTTGGAATCCCGTCTACCGTTGGCCCCGTCTCTGAAGATCTATTGCTTCTATGGCGTGGGTAAGCCCACCGAGCGGGCATACTATTACCGCACTCCAGAAATGCCCAGCTTGACAAATCTCAACGTCACCATTGACACGGCACTAACCGTGGATGATATTGACCATGGCGTCATTATGGGTGAGGGCGATGGCACAGTCAACTTGCTCAGCACGGGATACATGTGTCATAAGGGCTGGAAACTCAACCGGTACAACCCAGCGGGAGTGCAAATCATTACACACGAGATGGCACATGAGCCGGAGCGATTCAATCCCAGAGGAGGGCCGAACACGGCAGACCACGTGGATATTCTGGGTAGACAGAATCTGAATGAGCTGATCTTAAGAGTAGCGGCGGGCAAAGGGCACATGATTCAAGAGAATATTGTCAGTAACATCTCAGAGTACGCTGAAAAGGTCAAAATTTACGAAGAGGGCGAGGAGCCCCAGGATTGGGAAGCGGAGAAGCAAGAGGCGGATGGGGAGCCTGAATGACGGCATGATTGATTAGGTATATGTGGATGCATAGAGCATGATGGCGTTCAGAGTATTTACATTTGGCTCAAATGGGGCCTTCGGCGGCTTTAGCCAAGTAATTCTCGCGTGATGGGGAGGGGGTGAGGGCATAAGGCACATGCGTATACTACCCGATGGTGGGGTTTCGGCGATGTGGTTCTGATCGAGGCAATACCCCGTTTATTCATTTCTGGAAGCTCATATAGAAGGCAGTATGGTTGGGCTGAATATATACATTGTTAATTCTATGGCTGGTCTCATGTGCTACTGTGTAAGAGCCTGCCGTGCAGAATCACGACCAACTGACTTGCGGTGGGTAACTACACCAATCGCCAAAAGGAGGGTTTTATAACGGTCATTACCGCACTGAGGCCTGGCGTTTGCAGTTTTGAACGAGGAATTCGTCACAGGTTTGTAGGACACAATTTTTGCCAATTGAGTCGATGTCAATAACTTTTTCGATACTTGGGGTCTTAGACCGAATATTGCTCCTCATAAGAATGACCCCATGGTTCGTGCGTTCTCTTTGTTGTGTGCTCTTGCTTTTGGTAACAGGTCGCGCAAGACCCACTTTTCCCTCGACTGACTTCCACGATTTCCAAAGTCACAACAGCTAGATTTTCAATCCGACATATTTCATCCCAGCACTGCATTTGCGTATTTGCCAACACCAAAGAGCCACAGTCGCACATTGTCTCTATAATGGATTCTTCTGCAAAGAGAAAGGGACCGCCTGGAGGCGGTTCGGATGGTCGTCAGCTGAAGCAGCGCAAGGCAAGTCATTTCAGATGCTGTCGTTACCAGCCATGACCAAGCAGCGACGTGCACATGAAAAACACTAACTTTGATGTAGGTGGGCAACCAAGGAAAATGGATCACGACGCACCACAAGGCCAAGCTCGCGGCTTTGAAGGCCAAAGGTAACAGCCTTGAGATTGGTGGTATGGGGTTCTGGGTGACCTGTCAACGAGGCCAGGAAGCAAAGGCATTGGCTGAGATTGTCTCTCTGAGCGAGGAGGTTGGGCATTATCCGAAGTTCGTAACGATGTTTGCACCAACTGACGGGGCGAATAGTATGGCGAGAAGGTCTATGGCATCAAGCCCCAGGAGGTTAGCATAGATTCCGACGAGGAGGGCGACATCGAAGCATCGATCCAGAAGGAGATTGATTCGATTAAGCCTTCGAACAAAGCCCAAAGTGAGCAATCCGTGTTTGATCCAGTGCGGCTGAACCTGGACTGCCTGATCTTCATCAAGACCAAGCCCCCCGTCGAGCCATGCCAATTCGTTCGAAGGATTTGTAACGATGCAAAGCTGGTCGGTGACAGATCACACCGCAAATCCAGATTCCTTAACCGTCTCACGCCGATAACCTTTATGGGCAAGGCAACCGAGAGTGGGGTCGAGGAAGTTGCGAGAAAGGTCCTTCCCGATCACTTCCAGCTTGCAGGAGCCGAGGAGAAGAAGCCCGTGGATGGAGAGCCATCGGTAGGTATCGTGAAGGCGAGCCTGTTGTCTATTTCGGATGCTAATCTATTTCATGCAGTATGCTATCCGTTTCTCTTCCAGAGCAAACACGAACCTGAAGCGCGATGACGTAATCAAGCAGGTCGCCACATTGATCGGCTCTCGTTACAAGGTCAATCTTTCGAAACCAGACAAAGTCATTCTCATTGAGATTTTCCAGGTCAGTCTGCCCACCGCTCCTCGAGCCAACACTATCCCTGACTAAATAGTAATAGACTTTCTGTGGCATGAGCGTCGTTCCTGGTGACTGGGACGCGTTGAAGAAGTACAATATCCGGGAACTCTACGAGGCCGCCTCTAAGCAGCGGGAATCTGCAATACCGGCAGCCACTGAGCCCAAGCCGGCCTCTCAGCCTGAGCCGGCAGCTGAGACCGGACCGGTAGAAATCCACGACTCGGGAACAACTCCCGTGCCCTCGTAACTTGGCAAATGGGAACCAGGAGGCTAGTAGCTGTGAAAGAGGGATTACGAGGAAGCTAGGGTACTACTATCCGAGTTCACAGCATATCTGCACCAAGTAATGGCCGGGGCAACTTCCGTCGTCCTGGGCATCGATATGGGCTGTCAAACAACTGGAGGAGCAGCACCAAGCATTGATCTCACATTAACAATCAAAAATCCACCACGTATGCGGAGAAATTACTCTGCCGTGCACCACTGCGGAGCGACCATGTGCCATGGAATGAAGGTGCGTTGGGCGAGATTACGAATCAAGCAGCAGCCGATAACAACCTTGTATATTGCCTATGTCATGATGGTTCCGTTTCCCCTGCCATACATACTGCAAGTGATGTTCCTTAGGCTGGGTAATGTGCTTTGGGACGGCTCCCACGCTAAGCCCTATTGCAATAATTTTGACGAAAACGCCAAATGGAAGCCAAGTGCAGCCGCTCCAAGTATGTCCGACCAGCCTCTCACAGCGGCATGGCTGGATTTGTGGGTTACATATCAACTGTCAAATGATACTAAATATGCGTAATAAACATGGCTTGCCAAGGCCGCGTATGTGGGGTTTTTGTCTGCGGGAAGCGTTTGTTGATGATCGTTCTTCAGAAGAGATGGACGAATGGATAATGGAGGGTCTTTGTGGTGCCGTGCCGTCGTCTGGGAGTTTTTGAGACTCGAGATGGCATTGTAGACGGCGAACTCGAGACACACCGGGTCTTGGTTTGTGACGATCAATGTCGCTCGCTAGAATAGGTGTATCCCATTACACGGGAGAGTGATCGAAACAATACCTGCTCAAGTACTAGATTAGGGAATGTTGGCGCGGTCCAGTGAAGTAGTACATACAGAGCGTAGCACAGCTTCTAAGTTGGGGGCTTTTCGGGGCTGATATCCACGGATTATGAGCAGCAATCTATGAGCTGCCAACTATATTTTCGTCTTTTCTGAAGGGTACGCTCATTCCAGGATCTAAGTGTTATAGCATTAAAGAGAGTTCATACTTACGTACTCTAGTCATTGGGATTGAGTACTTCTGGAACTCCACCATGTACGCACCATCTCATGGCAGCTGCCCCTCCAATCTTCGACCTTGGAAGTTCCAGGGACCTTCTAGCCTGGTAGAGGCCAATATTCTGTCTGGTGCAGCCAATAAAGCGGGTCAGCCCAATTGGGTGGACTCGCTTGACAGCAGCCAATCATAAACTTTCCGGCTCGCTTCCCGCTGCAACCTCATCTCATCTCAGTAATATCATTTGCACAAACATCATCCTTTGATCCTCAATCCAAATCGTCGACTTTTCCTTTGCGTCTGTGGCTCGTTTTTCTAGCCACTAATAATTGTGCTCGTATATTTATCACACTCATACGGATGGCTCAGAGCGGCTTTCATCCTGCTGCCTGAGAATTGGAGCCGGACCGTCCGCCTTCGGTTGTGATGCCACACCGCTTGGCAGCTCGACCCGAGTGGACATTCAACCAACTGTTATGAGACATGATGGTGCTCATGCAGAGTCGCTTGGTGAGGCCAATGGTTTACCGACTGTCAGCCTCGTGCTTGATGCTTCGAGGGCGTCATGACCGTCAGAGTCCCTAGTCAGCGCGATATCAGCAGGCTTGATGAGCCTGCGGCCACGGCGTGGAGACGCGTTCTCACGCACCGTCCAGGCCTGGACTGCCAATACCACCATTGCAGAAGCCCCGGTGGCGTTGCGGCCAAGGCCTACTACAGCTCGGTCAGGTCCTGCGGTATCCAATACCTGGGCGTTCTTCAGCCGTGGTAGCACTCGCTACCGGCCACGGCGTCGTTGGTCTCACACTGACAGGTGACAGAATCGGTGGTATAACCATCTAGAAACATCTACTATGGTTATAGTTCCTTCGAGCCTGTTATCACCGAACCTCGCGATGGCAGATACATGCATGGAAACCCGCTGGTTCCCGCTTTTCATTATAGCGGAAACCCAATGATGGCATATTCGACATGCATGGCATTTGTCGTAACTGCCCGCCTGGCAAGTAGCCACGGCGTCACTAGCTACGCCTCCGCGTAGGCCTCGGCAGGCTTTGCTGTTCCCTAGGCTGGGGGTTAGTACGCCCCCAGTAGGCGAGCCGACCGTTACTGTATTTCATTATCTCTGTCCCGGAGCCGCTTGTCGCCCGTCACTATTCATGTCTTTCTTGGTCATGCGCGCCTCATTCGTCAATAAGCGGCTGTTGTAGCGCTTTCTCGTCATGACAAAGGCACCTGTCATCTTTTTTATACGACATATCTCGTGTCGTCCAATTTGCTCATTTTTGCGCCGGCCAATTCGAAGGTTGTTTTTAAATGACTTTAGGCTTTCCTTTTTTTCTGTTTTTCTTCTTTTTTTTACACTTGAACGAAGCCTTGTCCGGGTGTTGCTCTGAACCGTTTGCATCCCACACAGTCTCACCGGATACAGCAGAGCGTATTATTGGCTGTCCCTCCTCGGTTCCATGTCCTCTTCAGACAAGAACGGCCAGCACAACCACATTATCCTGACAGGTCAAGGTTCATCAGCCACCTGCAGGAAGACAGACCCGACGTTGGAAATTGCAGCAGCCAGATCCATGTCTCGGGCTGGTATCCGAGTTCAAACCCCAGCAGACAAGTGCATTCAATATGCAATGACTGCCCTTTTTATGATCCCTACTTAACCTCCGGCCAACGTTACCACCACACGCGAGGGAATAAATGTCGGTACCCAAGGTGTTGTGCCGGCCAGGGGTGGCATTCGCATCACCTATCCCCGATGCTTATCCACCATCCTCTTTATGCCTCCCCTTCCACACTCCGGATCCCAACGCTTCCCAAGCTCGCCTATCGCAAGGTGTCACAAGCGTGCAATGTCTCACAAGACATCGGAGCTCACGTCGCCAAACACTGTCTGTTCCACGAGCCGATCTGTGCTCACTTGTGCACTTTACTTCCATGCTCCCATCACCTTCCTTTGACTCTCTGAGAGCGGTCATTAACGATGCTGTGCCTGCTGTCTGGATTATATCTTGTCAACAGGTTGCAGGCCAACTCCAGAGAAGATTCGGGGTTGAGATCTCTGATGGCAGGACACTTATGTTGACGCTACCACCATCTCCTGGCCTGAGGTTACTCAGATCTGAGCAATGGCTTCTCCTATCCGAAGAACTGCTCATAAATTGGATACTGGAGACATCACTCGAACGTGCACCAAAGGATGCAAAGGTCTCTATACAGAGCCTCCTCGATACCACCACGGGGAAGGGCAGCCTATCGAAGCTAGCAACCAGAGATATGCACTCGAACCGATCGTCGGCAACTCGCAAGTCACCTTTACTTGAGTACATTCCAGCTGTGGTCTCAAGCTCCGCTTCGAGTCCCAAGCTGGGTTCAGCGTTCAACATGTTGGAGCCGACACGAGGAACATCCATGTTCGGGTTGGACAAACCTCTCACAAGAGCAGAAAGGAGGAGCGTCGATTTTCAGAAGGGTCAACTCATCCGACGCATCTCGAGCATGAAGGCGCCAAATGCCAAATTCGGACCGGTGGTTGCAGTCATTGGAGCACCTTCGCCGGTATCAACTCAACATGGTACGCCAATGTCCCTTGTTGGGTCTGGAGGGGTGGAAACGTGGACCCAAGCCTTTCTTTCCATGGTGGAAGGAATTTTGAGGGATGGAGAGGATATGGCGGTGATGATGAGTTACTCCCTCATACGTAGCCACGTCCAGCGCCTTTCCCATCTCTTGGACGCCGTAACCGAATCCCGGCTGGTGGTCTTGAGTGCCGTAAACGATGACAACCTTTTAGTATCGCGTGGAACAGCGTCCAGGGGCATAGATGAAGCCGGTACTAAACTTTCACGAGGATCGGCCGTGAATAGCAGCACCAGAGGCGGGGCACCTCGCAGAAAGGGACGAGACGACAAGCCAGACGAGCTTGGCTGCGAGAGCGAGAGCACGAACAACGAAGAATATGATGATCACCCGCCAGAGCCAACCAATCTCGCCGTAACCGGTCTCCGTGACTGGAGCAGCTCTATCTTTGGTGACCCCCTTCTAGCCTCCGTCTTCAGCCAAAATCCGTCCGCCGACTTCCTCCGCGGCTTCCATCAACCGGTTAAAGATGGAACCGAGCCTCCAGCCAATACAAGAAAACGGGATACGCCTCCCCTGGGTCATAGTCACGGCGACGATGGCATTATCCAAGATCTCGAAAACGCCCCCATCCGCTTGCTGCTGTACGAATGCTACCATGCCGCTGTATGTGTGATTAAGCAATTCTACCGACCAGCCGGTGCCGCCAGCACCAAGCGCGAGATGGAGGCGCGGAAGCGACTTGCGAACGTGCTGAGCCGGCTCGAGGATGTCGATGATATGGCTTGCAAAAGACCAAGAAGGGCGAGCGTTACTTGTATGGAGAAGTGGCCGATTAAGAGGCCCAAAAGCACTGAGGGAAGTTGACACTTCTACTCGAAGAGTAAGATGTGCCTGCAAAACGGATTTCTTGAGGACGAGGACAAGAGTTGATTTGGCGGTGCATTAGTGGTGTTGGAGGCTGTTTTGCGTTATGTTGCGTAAATGAGCATTGGCTGGCATGTCGGCAACTGCATAGATGCGCTTTGGCACTTGCTTTGCATCTAACACATTATCTTAGTCGCTGTGCTTCGACGATGAAAATTCCAAACTTCATCTGTCTAAAGTTAAAGTACTGCGGTTACTGCCCCCTTGCCCATCTATACTGATCGTCCTCGAAGCTGCGTCGTTGCTCAGTCTGTATCGTGTGATGTTGTCGTTGACGTATGATTCCCGAGGATAAGACAGGACTGCATGTGCGCCATTGTATCAGGTATAGATTCCCAGAGTATAGCTGGGTTTTCACTACACATCATCACAACATGGCTTCAGTTCAATGGGCAAATATTCGGGACGAATTGAACTTATGTACGTTAAATTCCCATGCCTACTGTAACTTGGTTCGTATCCATATTGAATGACCTAAGATTCATTTTTTAAACTTGCATGCAGCATGACAGGCAAGCAGTCAAATCGGCTTATGGCGACATTGGCTTTCCAATTACATTCGAATAGTAGAAGACACATCTTGACTGGAGCAAAGTCTTAAAATATTTCATCGCCAAGAATAAAAAGGTTTCCACTAGGAAGAATTCTTTGGGGTCATGTTTGTAAGCTAGTATGGTACCCAGGCTACGGGATTTTCGGCCTACTTAGTCAGTGGCAGACACAATATGTTCTATTTGCTTGCTGGGTGTCATGGTAGCCGTACTTGGACATACACAGAGGACTCAAGAGTTCTATTGTGGAACAAAACCAACATCATATCGAATCTTATCACTATCGGAAGTCCAATGTTCTCAGATGGGACTAACTCGATGAGCAAAACACGCCTCGCCTATTCCAGAATACCATCATCATGCGTCTATAATGCTCAATGTCCAACGTAATCCCAACGCCAGCTCTGATGACAGGAGCCAGACCAAAATGCACATGTGCTGTAGACAGGTGCTAATAACCATTCCCAAAGTGACCAACCTAACACCAAAATACAAGCAGGTTGCCACTTGTGAATGTCTCATCAAGACCACCTGCCTCTCTTCTAAAGGACTCCTCCACCTCGAGGATTCATATGAGCCTGCTGAAACTGCTTCAAGAGCTTGACGACACCAGGCCCGTCGTCGCCATCCATAGCAACGGCGCTATTCTCACGGCTTAGACCTTGTCCGGGTGAACCATCCCACGTCGATTCGCCAAGACGCGCTACACTTTCTTCGACTTCTTCGTCTGTAAAGGTGGTACCCTGACGCTGGAGTCTGTTTCGTGTTACTGTGCCTTCCATCGATTCCTCGGTAATACCTGCCTCGCCCAGATAAGGGGCACGCTGCTGTCGCGCACGCTGAGCACCCCGTGCCGCAATCAGTGACGCGGATGGCTGATGGTGAGGATCGAGGAGCATCGATGCCATTGGTGATGGCTGGGGCAGAGCTGGACCGAAGCGAGGAGTCTTGCCTGATTGTTGAGAAGCGGGTGGGGCACGACTTCGTGGGCGTTCGCTGTGGCCCAGTCGCGAAGCTCGCATGTCTGCTGCCAGCGTGGGAGAATTGAGACCTGGGAATGCGGGTGGGGGATGGAACTGATGTCGTCCAGCAGGGCCCAGCGGGTTCCCAGGCAAACCACTCCTGGGGTTATACACATAATTGTCTAAGAAACCATGTACAGAAGCCTGCATCTTGTTGTGTTTGGTCGCGTAATAATCCTCGCGGGCATCCATGGTGTTAGCTTGTCTGGCGTTTCGTGGATCCTTCTTGAAGTCAAACACTGCGAACGAACATACATAACCCAGCCCGTCCACGTGGATGGTAAATTCGCGGAAGAAGTCGATGATCTGATCGGCGCACTTGGGCAAGCTGATGAACAGGACCAGAGGCGTCACGAGAATGCCAAGAATTTCCTCTAGAAAGATGACAATCTTCAGCTTGTACAGCTCTGCGAACTCGATTTTCACATCATAGCTGTGAAGACGTCCTTGCCATTGTTCTGGCTCGTGATGGGTATACTCGATGACATTACGCATCGCGTACTCGGGATCGAAAACGTCGTTCTCTTCCGAAATCATGCCCTGAGCCACGGCAAACGTGGTGGTGCATACGGCAAGGAAGGCGAAGGCGTTGAAACCGGGTAATATCTCAAAGTCGACGAACATTTCAGGGTCCGAAAAGCCGACAATGGCAAGGACCGCAATGAGCGCTCCCGCAAAGAATCTGACAGTCTGTGCGGCCAACTCTGTCTTCATCTTGGGGAACTGATCGATGTAGTGTTTCGCATATGGATATGACATATTCAGTCGTTCCTTGAAGAGATGGGGTAGTTCGTTGAACTCTCTGAACTTCCACTCCGCAAGCGGCGTGTATTGTCTTGTGCCAGCCGAAGCAGTATTTGTTTTGAATTCCTATAGTGGAATGTCAGCGAACGAAAAGTTTGTCCATTGACAAAAGCACTTACGTGGAAGTACGTAAAGATGAAATCAATCATCAGGAACGCAGCAACAAAAGGAGCCAATATCAGGTTCATAGTTGCAGCAAATGCGAACCTAGTACGAAGCTCGCGGCTGAGCTGTCCTCGGTGATCCGACTTGAGAATGCGCTGATGCACCTGGTTGGATTCGTTGAACACCAGATCCAGAATGCTAAACTGGAGGGTCCACAACAGTGTCCGGGAGAAGAAGGGGCGATGCCGTAGGAAAGGGATACCCGCCGTTAGATCGAGGGTGTCCTTATTGAACAGGGCAATGATGTAGTTCTCACGTCTCATGAGCCTGTTCGCAATATCATGAGCATCAAGCCGTTCTTTGGCTTGACCCACCTGCCGCCCCGTTTGCTGGGATAGGAACCGGCGCTGAGAAGGCGTAAAATGAGTAGCCGTCCTGACGTTCTGATCACGCAGTCCAGTTATCCTCGACACAACATCCTGCCAAGAAACGGTTTGCATGTCCTCCTCCGGGATCTCCAGCAGGTGAATGTAGAAGTCGCGAATGTGCAGCAGCCGCGGTATGTCAAGAACGAACTGAATCGATTTCCAGATGACATAGAAGCTGCAAAGCCACAGGCCCAGATTCCAGATCCCCCACATGTTCTTAGTGCACTTGGGTATCATGATTTGCGACATGCTCTTGCTTTCGCGCAGCTTGCTGTAGTCGACGCATTGTGTGAGTAGCGTCAACAAACTGGCGATGAAGATGCCTTTCCTGATCCAAGTCAGTATTGCGGTGGTATAATAGCCAGCCGTGAACCCAAGATCTCGAGGCAGACATACAGCAGATGCAAGGCTCGGTCTAGTAGAATACACCATATACCGGCTCCCAGGTAGTAGGCGTATACATCGTTGATGAAAATGTCAAGATTGGAGACATTAGCCCATCTGAACATGGCCTTTTCTTTGGGATTAAAGACGCCCAGTCTCTGCGGGGTCGTTGACTGGGCCGTCTTTGGAATGCGGCCGTATTCATCATCTTGATGTAATCTCTGCTGGGCTTGCGCAGTCTCCCACTGCGCTTGCGTCCTTCGGTTTGAGGGTCCCGGCACGGGTTGCCTGTTGGGTTGAGGTCCAGACCTCCGTGGATTTTGCCTTGCCGCTGCGGTATTCATACCAGGTTCTACCAACAACGAAGCCGGCACTTCATTCTCACCGTCGTCTTCTGCGGCTAGCCATCTTGAGCCAGCTTCAGGTCTGCCGCGCTTGCCTTGTTGTCCGCGTCGACCGTCTTTCAGTGGAGGAACTACGCTCGCAGTCGATATGCGGCTGTCTTCGATGGCAAGATCATCTTCATAGAACTGATGGTTTAAGTTCTCTTCATCTAAGGCAAGGCCCGCGCGGTTCTCGATGTCAACATCGTCATCTGCCAGCTGGTCGTAGTAGGACCGGTCGTCGTCCCTGCCGGGCACGAGGCGAGAAAAAAGGTTTCCGGCCATGATCTCACGCCACCGGTCGCTCAAGTTACCGCGAGGCTTGTCGGAAAAGAAAAGATTCAGGCCTGTATGGTCGCATCGCGGAGAGGGAGAAAAGGCTCAGTCATGGGTCACAGTTGAGATGGATTTGTGACTGGGAAGAAGATGAGGTTTCGATTATTCCATAGTGTATGTGGCACGTTGTTTGATATACAGTCAGTAAGAAATTTCGGCGACGTTGATGTCTCAGGGAAACAGTCGGCTGCTCCTCGTCTGCCTCGAAGGCGAAGATCAGCTGCCTCTTTGCCCGATAACGTGGAGAGAGGCGGCAGCCGTGACCGCGTGCCAGTGAAGTCATTATGCCACCCCTCACCGCTTCATCCCTGCTAGTGCGGCACGTATTTGACATGGATCAAGTGGAAAAGTGGATCCAGTCACCGGGGAAGCCACGACTGCATTCTGGAATTAAATGTTGAAGTTGTAAGAGGTGGTTGTTTCCCAAATCCAATAGTGGTGAAAAGAACCATGGTGGATTCAGAGAATCTCCATCGGTCTAGATCGCACTTTCTTTGTTCATCATGGCCTCTCACGGCCCTGAGTCCATCGCCCTTCCGATGAGAGATGGGCTAGCCTCCGGACCGCTTTCCCCTTCAACGCCGTCTCCTCCAGGATCCTCAGCCCTTCGGGCCACAAATCCCCTATCCACCAAGGTCACAACAGTATTATCCACATCATATGCAGATGCGGAATTTCGGGATGCGCTCAGTCTCCTAGACGAGCGTGGTGTCAGCAACAGTGCTGAAACCCGAAGACAGCTGAGATTAGATGTTCAAAAGGACGTCATTGACAGCAATGGAGAAATCATCATCGAGTTTGGGAGGGTTGCCGAGCAACTTCAGAGGATTGGCACCACGATCGAAATTCTCAACAAGAGCTACCAGGAGATGAAGAGTCATGTCACTGCAGCTCACGAATCCACTTCTTCAACATTGCAAGAAGCTTCCTTGTTAATGGTCCAGAAGCAGAATGTTGAGACAAAGCAACAGTTGCTGAAGGCTTTGCGCGAACATTTCGTGCTGTCAGAAGACGAGGTTGCCTCACTGAGCCTGACATCTGAGCCCGTCGATGATCGCTTCTTCGTCGTCCTAGCTAAGGCGAAGAAAATCAGGAACGACTGCGAGGTACTCCTTGGTTTCGAGAATCAAACGCTAGGGCTAGAGATCCTAGAACAGACTTCGAAGCACCTGAATTTGGCTTTCCAAAAACTCTACCGTTGGATCCAAAGAGAGTTCAACACGCTAAATTTGGAAAATCCACAGATCAACTCCTCCGTTCGCCGAGCGCTTCGTGTTCTTGCCGAACGGCCCACGTTGTTCCAGAACTGCCTCGACTTCTTCGCTGAGGCTAGGGAACAGATTCTCTCCGATTCATTCTACTTAGCCTTGACGGGCACATCCGCTTCAGGGCAAGAGGACCGTTCGGTAAAGCCTATTGAATTGGTGGCGCACGATTCCCTCCGATATGTAGGTGATATGCTTGCTTGGACTCACTCGGCTACTGTCAGCGAGCGGGAAGCACTCGAGGTGCTGTTCGTCTCGGAGGGAAACGAGATCGCTAGAGGCATCCAGGAGGGCCGTGAAAACGAACTGTGGCGACTAATGGCCGACGAGGCAGACGCGCCTCCAGAATTCGACGCTGTGAAGGCACTTAACGATTTGGTTGATCGTGATGTTTCAGGGGCGGCCCGCATTCTACGGCAAAGACTCGAGCAAGTTATTCAAACTAACGAAGACACGATTTTGGCCTACAAGTTAGCCAATCTCCTCAACTTTTACCGCGTCACGTTTTCGAAGCTTCTCGGAGCAAAATCTGTACTTCTAGAGTCGATGATGAATATTGAGTCCGAAGCTTTACGACAGTTCCGCTCTTTGATGCGCGATCACATCACTACTCTGCAAGTGGAATTCCAACATACGCCGTCCGACCTTGGCCCGCCAGAATTTCTCCAAGACTCATTGAAGCAGCTGACAGCCATCATGAAAACCTACGAAACTTCCCTTGCGTCGTCTGGTGATCGCGAGGCTGACTTCGAGCCCATTCTCACCGAGTCGTTTGATCCTTTCATCTCTGGATGTGAGAACATGTCCAAGAATATCGAATCACCTTCAAATTCCGTATTCTTCATCAACTGCCTCTTGGCTGCAAGAACGTCTCTGGCACCTTTTGATTTCACCCAGACACGGGTTGGCATACTCCAGTCCACTATTGACGAGCAAGCTGAGCGCCTTGTGGACAACCAATACTCATACTTCCGCCGAGAATCAGGTTTGGAACCAATATTCAATGAGCTCGGCCGGCTCACGGACACGAAAGAGGACATTGCAAAGATTAGGAAGATGGAAGCATTGAGTCCAGAGGCACTGACGGCAGCAAGCCAGAACCTTGACGATTTCTTACCGTCAGCACTCATGGATGCCATGGAAAGCTTGCGTCATTTACAGGACTCCAAGCTGACCCGTGATGTCACTGAAGAGGCAGCTGAAAGGTTCTGCGTCGACTTTGAGCACGTGGAGGAGATGCTCATCTTTGCGGACGAGCTGGCTGAGCAGGAACGCATGGATGGGCAGGTGGCTGAGTCGGATGAATCCCATAGTCTGCGGGCACTTTTCCCCAGAACGACTGGGGAGATTCGGGTACTTCTCTCGTAGTGAAAAGCTTTGTTGACAATTTGGAAGGTATAAAAAAAAGAGAACAACTATCATGAACACAGCGACATCCGTGCCTGCCAATTTGAATGGCTTACCGACGTCCACCAGCTTAAGTCTACTGCCCATACACACACTCAGATTGGGAGGTACGTCGCAAGTTGAAATAGCTCTTCAGGTTGTTCTGCAGCTTCCATGTGTAGTTACTTCCTTGCCAAGTTGCTGAAGGGATCTGACCCCTCAGTTGTACCTTCCTAAGATTCTCTACTTGTAGGAATCACGCGGGTAGGCGCAGTCAGTCTTCGTTAGACTTACTTTTATAATGGTATGAAGTAGACCTGTCTATTGTCTCGCAACAATCGATTATTTTGGGATAACTCATGGCCAGTCTCATTCAAACTTGCTACCCGACTACTTCGTGGATTATACTAGCTACCTTGACTACCTTTATCAGTAGCCTGCCCTTTCGATCATCACCGCTCTCACACCACGGCGTGGTTTTCGGCTGAAAACGACATCATCATCGGAATTACCAAGTAAAACAACACGGATAGCGGTGGTATGCGTTCTATCTTTCATGTGCGTCGTCGCCGCCATCGTCGTCGCATGCACCTAGGACGGGAAGACGAAGCGAGACTAGTTACACACTGGAACTCCGCTCTAGCCTGCGGTGATTCTTGGTGAGCTCTTGGACGTCTTCAAAAAGGTTAGGCAACGATACTCCCTGACAGCATCGCCGTAGTGTGGTAGAGCACGTTGTACAGTAGAGCATCCCTCACAAATTTCCACAACATCTGCAACCAAGGGGATTGGACGTATGTCATGAAATGGTGGACTGCGGTATACGACTTTCGAGTGTAGCCGGTGGCGTTGGCAACCGTGCTGGTTCTCGTCGTCGTCAATCTTTCTGGCAGCCCGTTGCTTTTGTTGAGTGTACGGGGTGAGGTCGGCCACAAAGAATTTCACAAGGAGAGGAATTGGAACATCAGCACGCGGATTCCAGACAATGAGACCGGCACTGTTGAATCTATGTTGGCAGCAAGTCTAATACACAGCCCGGAACTCTAGAGGATTCCTAGGACTGGTACAAGTACAAACCGATCAGCAAACTATGGTCCAGGAATTACACTGACTATTGCGATACTTCTATAAAAGCCACCGGCATCGCCACAAGTTGCGCTTCTATCAATATGATTGGATCTTACAGCGCCGCAAAACGCTAATACTAAACTTTTCGGTATTGGCTTCTTAAGATTAGATGACTAGCATAGCACTCCTGTGCTACCTCTAGGGGTATCATTCTCGTCAGCTGTCCATAATTCTTGCAAAGTCAAAACTTACGTGGACAAGTGTGAGACCCGCTCTGTCCTGTTGTATTGAGACGTTGCACATTCTGGAACCAAGCTAACTACAGCGAGCCCTGAACATGTGCCAATCGCACACTCTCTTACAACTCCTCGGTTGGCGATCGGGGTGCCAACAAGGTCGGAAAGTCTGCGGGTCACGCGCCGGCCTCTATTGGTTTGGACATCAGCACATCCCTTCTGATGCGACCTTCACGAGGACGGATCTGATGAACACTTAATGGGGCTTCACAGTATTCGGCGATAGACTACAGGAACCAGGACCATGGGACTTCTTCTAACCTTGATAACTGTATTTGAGTGGCAAAATGCCACCGATGACCTGGTTTCTGACATGCACATTTTCATGTTAGGAATGACTTTAGCCTCTGGCAATGGTAAGCCCCTTCTCCTCAATAGTTGCAGACGGATATAAACGTGTCGCGGAACTAATACGATATATAGATGCACCGACTCAAACCGTGCAAACCCGCCTGACGAATTCTGCCCATCATCTGCCATTGCGACTGGTGAACATCGCAAATACTCTTGTCTTTATATCCTTCACGTTATTGCGATGCTGTGTTTGTTGTTGGGGTATTAGAAGCTCTCCAGACGAGCGTTGATGAACCCTGCTGAAACACAAAGGGCTCAGAAGATTCATATCGCAGCAAAGTGACAGGGATGATGAAATTGCACAGGCAAGCGAGTCTCGAGACCGATGCTGCGTAAGCACAGGATGCCGCGGATATTCCTCCAGGCCAGTATCAACAGGGGAGTACAGCAAGAAAGGGGATGGTGCCACAACTGGCCAAGCGATTGAGGGAATATGATGGTATTAACTTACATCGACTTTCGACAACAGCACTGGGGATTTAGGGGCCGACTCGGAACATTTGAAAGATTAATGTTTTGTGTACCATATCGCCTTCAACTAGGGGCACTGATTTGAATGTACGTTATTCTGCTCACGTCTTGTGATCGATCCATTAAAGTATTCTAATTTTTACAAGTCACTTGACGACTGGTGGTTCTTTCCAGTCCGAATTTCTTTCGCGCTCAGATACGGGGTACAAGGACAACTTTGCGACTTGAGGAAGTATTGCGTCAAGTCTCAACGAGCTCACGATCAGGACTTCAACGATGCCCGATCACATCCAATAGCTGGGCGGCAAAACATGTACACCATCAAAGGTAGATTTCAGATTAGGTAGATTTCAGATTCTCAAAAATGACGTACCGATGAAACCCGCTTCTTCACGAGTGTTCGTATAGACCTCACTGAGGACACCGTAACTCGTAATATGACGGTTTCGCCTTGCTATGGCTCTGGATATGATGGTGACTGTTGGCCCGCAAGAGTTGTCTTGGTATAAAGATACCCAATGGCAACTGATCGGAAGGCCACAAGGTATTGCTAGGTTTAGAAGGGCGCAGTACTTTGGCATAGGCCTGGAAGTTCTCGGCATGCTCATCGCGTTCACTTTGCTGATGACAACGTCCCGGAAGAAGCCCACAGAGGGGCCGGATTCAGCGACGACGCCGCTGCCCAAGGCGTCAGAATGTAATATTTCATCATAAACCCACCCAAATGTGGGGCTTCTTTCTTTCTTTCTAGGATTCAGCTCGATCCGGTTACATGACTTGTGTTAATATCATGGCGTTCGAGGAGTTGGAGCAAAGCCCGGGCATATAGTTTGATTTTGAGCGGACATATCCCACTCATACTAATTCTTTAAGTATGGATTGTACAACCAACCTTTTCCTGTATTCACAAAGACCGAGACCTGTTCATAATCAAGCCCGCCTCGCATTTTTTTTCTTGCCAATTACAGGACCGGGAAAGTTAGAGTAGACGCACAACATGTCCAGAGATCAATCCTTGAACGCCTTGGCCAAATCGTGACCACATGAGAGCCGGGACAAAATGAGAAATGCAACAGCCCCCTCAGCACTCTTTTCTGTCTTTAAAGAACAGCACCCCATCTCTGCGGCCATTTTGATGCATGCTCGGCCGGAGAATGGCGGATGTAAGCTGGAGTCGTCTGGGCATGAGCTTGATAGCTTGTATCCAGATGGAAACCAACTCAACCACGTCCCCTGCTGAATCCACCACGTCCCCTTGGAGCGCCTCTGCTGAAACCACCACGACCACGGTCACCGCCACCACGTCCACCAAACCCACTGCCACCACGCACTCCACGTCCACGGTCACCACCGCCACGGCCACCAAAGCCACCACCAAACGAACCCCTACCGCCTCTCATCGGACCACCGCGTCCACCACCACGTCCAGCAAACCCACCGCCTCCACGGCCGCCAGCCCGCTTGACGCGCGGCATGCCCGGCGGCGGCTTGGGCCTCGGCAGGAATTTCTCGAGCGGCAGGAGCTTCTCGGAGCCGATGAAGAACTTGTCACCGGGCTTGAACGACGTTGCCTGGATGCCCTCGGTCGGCTTGATGGTGAAATAGACCTGGTTGATGGGGCCGAGGACCTCGTCGACCTTGCCGACGGCCGTCTTGTTCTCGAGGAAGATCTGCGCGTTGAAGTGTGGCACCTTTGGGTTGATGCTCTCGCACACCATCTCGCCTTCGCACGCGTGCATGAAGCTGCCCATTTCGAGGATTTGCGCGGGCGGGCCGAAATCACGTTGTCCGAAGCCGCCACGGCCTGCAGAAATGAAATGTTAGCACTGCTCTCTCTAGCTATTCTTCAATGGTGATTGATGCATGGATGTGTAGTGGTGTGTTGTATTGTGTGTAGACTTACCGCCTCCTCTGCCTCCGCCAAATCCTCCTCCTCCGCCAAAACCGCCCCTTCCTCGCGGCGTACCTCGTGACATTGTGCTAGTTAATTGAGGTTGAATTGCGCCGTCAATTATGTTGATAGTGTCGCAGCTGCCAATTTAAGAGGCTCGAATTGAAAGCTACTTCTAAAACTTTTGATAATTTTTCTGGAGCTTGGACGGCCGGAAAAACCTTTTCGGGAGATATCTTTCAAAGCTCAACCGCTGGATACTAGCACTGTAGTATACTTTCTCCGATTCGGTTATTTTACACATAGAAACTGCATCATACATTTATTCTAGAACGTGTGGCTTATGAATCTCCTTTGGTGTTTCAAATACTCGACCTTTGGCACCCGTCAGTTGTTCCGCCACCAACTTTATAGCACTTGAACAAATAAATTGCATGAACCCGATGTTACCAGTTACTTTTACCCGAGTCTTGAAAAACGAGGGGCAGAATGGAGTGCACTGGCCATCTTGCAGAAGATCCCTGTCATGGAGGGGCACCGATTTCTAGTGCGAGTCACAACCTGACAAAGTGCCGTCTAGTCGAACACGCACGGGGTTTCAGTATTGCGTACAGTTCTTGCCCGACCGATTTTCGAATTGACTCTCGATTTGGGGTTACACACCCGTTGGTATATCTAATCTGACCTCCCCTCGAGATCAGCACGGCTTTAGGCCCATTTCCAGCCTATGCGAACGTAAACGAGTTCACCGACCTCATTCTCCCATACCCACCCAATATGGACGTCGCGAAGAAAGCAGTCGACTCTGTCGCCGAGGGAGTCAAGAATGTCGCCATCAATGACAAGAAGGGTGGTAAAAAGGAGAAGAAGCCGAAGACGGGCGGCAACGAGTCAGCAGGTCCTCTCGAGATGAAGCCCGCCCCCGACTTTCTCCAGCACCGACTCGACCTGTTTGATCGTCTGAAGAAGGAACAAGATGAAGAGCTTGCAAAGAAGCCCCGCGAGCCTATCACTATAACCATGCCAGATGGCAGTGTCAAGGCCGGCACTGCGTACGAGACCACCCCCGGAGACATTGCCAAGGGCATCAGCAACAGCTTATACAAGCGCACTGTCGTGGCAAGACTGGATAACGACAAGGAGCAACTCTGGGACTTGGACAGACCGCTAGAGAAAAGTTGCAAGCTGGAACTCTTAGACTTCGAGGATGAGCAGGGCAAGTTCGTCTTCTGGCATTCAAGTGCGCACATTCTGGGAGAAGCTTCCGAGAGACGCTTCGGCTGCAGTCTGTGCATAGGTCCTCCAGTCAGCGATGGTTTTTACTACGAGATGGCTCTGCCGGAAGGAGCTGCCGTCCAGGCCTCTGACTGGAAGCCTCTCGAGACTATTGTGTCCTCCATTGTCAAGGAGAAGCAAAAGTTTGAGCGACTTGTCCTATCCAAAGAGCACCTGTTGGAAATGTTCAACTACAACAAGTATAAGCAGCACATCATCAAGGACAAGATCGCAGACGGGACCTTCACCACTGTCTACCGCAATGGCCCTCTCATCGATCTCTGCCGAGGACCTCATGTGCCAGACACCGGCAGGATCGAGGCATTCGCCATCATGAAGAACTCCGCTTCGTACTTCCTGGGCGATAACAAGAACGACTCCCTGCAACGAATCTACGGTGTCTCATTCCCTGACAAGAAGCAAATGGCTGCGCATAAGAAGTTCCTGGAAGAAGCAGCCAAGCGCGATCATCGCAAGATTGGCAAGGACCAGGAACTTTTCTTCTTCAGCGACATGTCGCCAGGGTCTGCCATGTGGCTACCACACGGCACCAGAATCTATAACACCCTGCTGGAGTACATCCGGGAGCAATACTGGAAGCGTGGCTACCAGGAAGTGATTACCCCCAACATGTACAACTCTGAACTGTGGAAGGTTTCTGGTCACTGGAATTTTTACAAGGACGACATGTTCGTCATTGACATGGAAGAGGACCTCAAGTTCGGTCTGAAGCCCATGAACTGCCCCGGCCACTGTCTCCTATTCGGCCATCGCGAGAGGTCTCACCGAGAATTGCCGTGGCGGGTTGCCGATTTTGGAGTTTTGCACAGAAATGAGGCATCTGGTGCTTTGTCCGGTCTCACCCGTGTGCGGAGATTCCAGCAAGATGATGCACACATTTTCTGTCGGGAAGATCAGATCAAGGGCGAAATGGCTGATCTCTTTGACTTCTTGCATGAAATGTATGGATTGCTAGGTATGACGTTCAAGTTGAAGCTCTCCACCCGTCCCGAGAAGTTCATGGGCGAGATTGAGACGTGGGACCGAGCCGAGGGTATGCTGAAGGAGTCCCTGGATGCGTTCGCTGCGGCAGAAGGCGGTGTTCCGTGGACGTTGAACCCTGGAGATGGTGCCTTTTACGGACCCAAGATTGACATCACCCTTGTCGACTGCCTGAGCCGCGAGTGGCAGTGCGCTACCATTCAGCTAGACTTCCTGCAACCTCAGAACTTCGGTTTGGAGTACATGACGGCCGACAACTCTGCGAATGCCAAGGCCAAGGAGGAGGAGCCAGAGAAGGCCGAGAAATCTGCTGCCGGACCGCCTAGAATCAAGGTCAAGAATCCTCAGGCCATCATCGACTCCGCTACAGCCGCTAAGGAGGGCGTTCCGAACCCTGCCACTTCCAAGGACCAAGCCAGCGGAGCCAAGGAGGCCCCTAAGCGTGCAATTAAGCCGCTTAGCCAGGGTTGTGCTCGACCAGTCATGATCCACCGTGCCATGGCAGGCAGCATAGAGCGCTTCACGGGTATCCTCTGCGAACATTTTGCCGGCAAGTGGCCTTTCTGGCTGTCACCGCGGCAGATCTTGATCATCCCGGTCGGTGTGGGCTTTTACCCATATGCCGAGGAGGTCCAGGGCGTCTTCAAGAAGGCGAAGATGTTCGTCGACGTTGACCTTAGCGGCAACACCCTACAGAAGAAGGTCCGCACGGGTCAATTGGCCCAATACAACTTCATCTTCGGTAAGTCAAAACTCCCGTCTATGGAAGCCAGCCAAGCTAACCAATTGCAGTCGTTGGAGACGAAGAAGTGAAGGGCAGACAGGTCAATGTGCGTTGGCGAGACGACACCAACGCCCAGGACCGTGGCAAGCCAATTACCCTGGATGAGGCCGTTGAGAAGCTTACAAAGCTTAAGGAGGATCGTGGCACATACAACCCGTTCCCGTCGATCGTAAAGCCGGCAAAGGAGGGTGAGGAAGCCAAATAGATGCTGGACAGTGCCGAACCGAGTAATGACGAGATTACGGTCGATACCCACAGCCAACATGCATAGAGGAAAAGAGACAACCATTTGACATGACCATGACGAAGCAACTCCATAATGGCTAATCCTCTATCCTGTTCTCTTTCTGCCTGAAGCAAAGGTTCTAGTGCGATACTCTTATGTACGTTGGTGACCACAAAAAGCAATGTAACAAACACCGTCCCAGTGTCAGCAAACCACTCAGACAACTATAATACAAGCCTCGGCATAATAGGTACAGTGCTATGACATAGTCGAAACCAATAGCGGCTCTTGTAGTACTTAGTTAGCGTTGAGACGTCGATAGATGTCTTTCATAATACCTACAGTGGGCAATTATATACGTCCAGTTGCCCCAAACCATCCGTAGCAATGCTATGAGGTACAAGATGCAACTTAGACCGAAAATTATCCTATGCTTAATAAGGGCCAACTCGGCTGGAGATACAATAGCAACTTGAATGAACAATATGGCTTATCGAAAGTACGGTCCTTAGAGAAAGCCGGTGTTTCGGATGCTCAGCAGTACTCAACTATCTCATCCACACTATCTTTGCTAGAGAGCTGATCTGCCTGTTCGTCGAATAATCCAGAGGGGACGTAGGAGGCATTTTCCTTTGAAACCAACAGATATAGGGATTTAAGTTCCTTTTATTCAAATCCTATGCTCAAAATTTGAAGATTGCTTGTAGATTGCGATATGACCATCTCGGAATCTACTCGGATCTACCAGCTTCAGTCCCGGTGTCCATCTTCGGCTACTTTAAAGCAGAACACGGGTTGATATGTCTTCCCTTCTAATCTTCCGTAGGTACGCCTCACTGGAAGATAACACGAGGAGCGTTACATTAACCTACCTATTAGCGACACGCACCTCACAAAAGTGCAGCAAGATTTTCCCGTTACATACAAATCTAAATATATATAACGTAGTCCACAAGCGAACGGGTCACCCAACCGAACGGGTCACGCCAACTAGCAAAACATGGAATTCAACACGATTTCGCAACCACAACGCCGTAAATCAATTAAAACTACTCAGAATACTCTTGCCCAGATGATTCTATCTCTACCTGACAGGTTCGCGCATTATGCCCGGTCTTCCCGCATACGCCACAGCGCCGTTGCCGTGGCTGGCCACGATTTGATCCAGCGCTATTTCCACGCATTTCCTGCTGTACTTTCTGCGCAACGTCCTTTTGATCTTGAAGATCTTGTACTTCTTGTGAATTAAGTGATTCTCAAAGCCGTACTCGTGTTTCTTTGGCCCTGCGCCGCTTGCTAATTAGAGCATTTGCCTCTCGAAGTTCGGCGACCTCAGCTTGGAGTAAAGCCATCTTATGCATAATACTCCGCGCTCCTTTCGAAAACTGATCGATAGCATCGTAAATTGACGTCGGAGAGCTATTTTGATGCCTGGCAATTCGAGGTTTAATAAATTCGGATTGCGAAGTAGCCTCGGTTGGGTTGTTTGGCGTCCGAGAAGTCCAAGGAAGGGTTTCCCGCGCAGGGGGCCGGGAGGACGTTGGAGTCTGTAATTTCACATCCAGCTTCTCAATAACAGTATCTGGGCTTAAAGGCACAAGCCCAGCCCCTTGAAAGCCTGCACGAATATTGCTTTCGGTCAGGCTCTTCTTGAACGCGTCGCAAAATGCCGGAAGAAAGTCCTCCTTTGTGATATGCGAGTCGCGTAGCAGTCGGTTTGCCATATCTTCAACAGCACTTAGCCGAGGGGGAAATGCTTGCGAATCTAGCTCAATTATCCTTTGAATAATCGTATCTTCTTCTATTTTTGTTAAATTCCGACCGTTGGTTTCGATATTGCGACGTGATTGACGTTTTTGAAGACGCGCCTGGAGAGTAGTATTCGAGACTTTGTAGATTGTTGCAGCACGTCAGATACTAAGTGTTGAGTCATTTATGATAGCCTGAGTTGCAAGGAGTAATTGAGATTCTTTTTGAGCAGAATCCATCGATAATTAGTTGCGTGGTAAAGTTAGGAAGTTTAGTTCTATTTTTTGCTATGGGCGTGACCCGTTCGGTTGGGTGACCCGTTCGCTTGTGGACTACGTTAACTTAACGAGTTCTTTAGCTACCAAAATGAGAAATTTGTCCTTAAATAGCTAAAGTTTGGAAATTTGGTACTGATACCTGGTGGAGTTGGCCTACGGACACGAACTGCTTGAGGTTATGTTGTATACCTTGCGGAGAATTGATCATTGATTCTACTCTATAAGGGGGGGGGGGAGTAGCATATGGCGGACTCCATATTTGATACCCTCGACATATGAGTGTTTCAGGCAAGACCACATGTACATATTGGAAAGTTTTCCGTCCTAACAAAGTAATATACCAAAGGACATGTACTTGAGTATGTACATGCAAATAATGCCTACTCAGTGAAGATTTAGATATAAGCGAAAGTTCCACGCCTGCGGTGCTGAATGAGGGCTATTTTAGTTTTCCATCTTTTTCATTTGTTTTCTCTTTCATTACGAGTAAGTAAAGAACTCACACTATGAAAACTATACAACTAAATGTCCAGCAATTCCTAGGAAAAACCCCATTCTGACCTGGCTTAGTAGTAAAATTCCTGGGTCGTCAACGCTCAATTACTTCCGAAGTCATATAGCAAAATAGGAACCATGCTGATGTACTCGAATCTTTGCGTTCTACAATTCATTTAATGGATAGCACCTAATCAAGTTATATTGGCATACGTTGATAAGCTATGAGATCGTGCAGGATAGGCAGTTGACCCTTCCCGGAGCATGCCTGGAAGTCTAGCAATCAGATATTGTGTACTTCCTTAGAACAACTGGCACCTAAATCATAAGAACTCGTATGTTTCACTACATAACTGATCAGGCAGGCACCTTCGAACCGACGTTCTTATTGAACACGTACAAGCTACTCGACCATGTTGGCCTTTACAATTCCTATTTGTCCCTCGGAACAGTGGTTCACATACACAAACGACATCCGAAGCAAACCATCCTGACCGTTGATTCTAATGGGATACCTTAGCATGGTATATTTACACAGTGATATTCCTCGACCCATGTCGCCGACTTTTCCACCTAGTCTAGCAACCATGATGGACAAATTTCCTCCCAGAATCCTCTGATACGTCGTAGAACGAAGCCACAGGTTCCTGGTTGCACAAGGCGCGCATGTTTCCCGTTCTAAAACAATACTCCAGTAGCAATCTCATATCTGTCTTCTCTGTGACGCTGCAGTCGTCTATCGACCCTAGACTTTACGCTGTCAGCCTGGGCCTGAGGACGTGGTATCAATAGCAAGGCGCTCAAGCATGAAGTCTTTCTCAACCAACTTGTTGTCTTTGAAGCTAGCCCCTTTACAAAAGGCATTCATTTTATTCTCATGAATAGCTCCAGTAAGTTTTTATGCGGGACAACCTAGGAAGCGTTTCCTTCGACCCAGCGTTCCCCCGCAATCTCAAAGAGGCGCCGGAGATGGCTCTACGGGCCTCATGGGGCCATTTAACTGGAGGATAAAGCTAGAGACAAGGTCCAGAAACACGTGTACGAGCATATATGGGAAACGAAAGCATGTAGCAACCTCGGTTACCTCAGCTGTCACAGAGATCAACGACGGCGAGAACAAGACGTCATGAACTTGCGCAGTGAAGAGAATCGAAAGGGAGTCGCAAGCGTGACCAAGGTTTGCCACGAGACCAGCCCCTGAATATTACTTTGACTCTAACTCAAAGCCGATATATCTTCAATAAAGAAGATGCCGATAGCACAAGACGCGTGCGCCAACATGTAGACCACTAGGTCTAAGTGGAACCAGACACGCACAACTAACATAGCTTCTGCAACTTCCAAAACCCAGGCTTGCCGAAAAGGGGCAGTGGCGGGCCCGAATATCTGTTAGAATAGAAGAATGACTGACTGCTTGCTTATTGAATCTATAAATGGGATGAAAGATGGTTAATTCGACGGCAAATATGATCTTGAGTGCCAAATTACTATGTCGTGATCATATGGGCCGGTTGAGGCCTTTTGAGGCTGATTGCGAAGGTTTGGCCCCACAACCAAAACCTTGACAAGACCTAGACGACAACACCGGCCGAACTCTCGCTCTATCAAAAGATCCAGAAACTATACGGGAGATGGATGCGTCAAACCCCTGGTCGACTGATGCAATGCGAGCCGAACCTGAAGTACTGCCCCCTCGATCTGCCACAGTAACAGTCCACCAGACTGCGCTACACTGGTTGCTATCATGTGTCATGATAGTGACTCTTTTCCTTGTCCTCGCATCGCTGTATGTGAGAAGCGTTGGAACGCCATCAGCGCCAGCCGCTGCTGAACTTATACCGCCTAAGTGGATCGGTATCACACGTACACGTGTGATATGATTCCCGTGCCAGTGTCAGGACTTGCTTTGCTGAGATGGAATTCGGCATGATGCTTGTTCATTCTGAGTAGATCAACAGGTCCTGTAGGTCTTATGTCGCAATAATGAAGATGATGAACATCTACTGGTTATGGAGAAACAGCCACGGTATCTGGCGCACTTTGAACTAGCTAGTAATCAAGGACTCGGTAATATGCCTCTTATATCGCAAGACCAGGTATCCTAAAAAGGTTGAACTTCCTTCATGCTACATGATCTTCATGTAAGGAAGATAAATACTATCCCCACCACCCTTTTGGATAACCTTAAATACCAGGCTTGCATTAATTCTACCTCACATAACTCTTTGAAGAAAAGGGTTACAAATGAGGAATAAATTGTATATAATACTTGAGTAACAGCTTCATAATTCTGACATATAAAGAATCTATATATAGCTTAGTATATATAAAACCAGTAAAATTTAATACCAGCTTATATAACGATCTCCGTACCTTACATTACTTTTTTAAACTTAATTTCCATGCAGTGTAAGGGTTTTATTATGAAGTAAAAGCTACACGTGCGGTGGCTGAAGCTCAAGTCGTAATTGAAAATCCTACGTCTAAGGCTCATTTATGTTAGGTTGTTACATTTACATATAATTCCAGGTCTGATGAGGAAGAGGTCGAAATTCTCAGTCCTATGTCCAACCCCCCCTAATCATTAATCGTATGATGGCACGGCGGCATGGCGGCACTTCTCAGTCCGGCACACTCTGGTGAGTAGTGCGATCAATTCATGTCCCCTGAATCCCAATCTTGCTCCTTTTCATTGAAGTAGGCATGGGAAGTTACCCATTTGATTTCGAGGAACTCCCAAGTCAACTGTGAGAATCACAAGGAGGCAAAATGGAGGATCCCGGATGGTTAGTATTCTTTGGTATGCGTGGCATGAAGTGTATTTGCATTTTCTAACTGTTATGATGGGCAAACATTTGGTATCTAACAAAACAGAACGCATGAAATTTGACATATGCTGCATCAAATCGCACTTTTCAACGTTCAGCAAACCAGTTGGCAGACGACACTCCTCTAGAACCACATGCGATCGGTAGGTCGATATGTTGAACACTGCCGACTGATGACCCCTTCGGCATCACCCCCTATCCTTCCTCAACAGCGTCTATTCTCCTCGTCGCTCCCATACACCCCACCACACTCCGACGTTCGCTGCAACGACCAAGTCCAGCATCTTGAGCCCGTCATCCCAGATGATCAGCTTGCCCATCTTGGCTCTCTTACCCCTGTTCCCACCACCGGCCTTTTCCTTTCCTAGGCTGAGGTCATAGCCATAGCTATAATACTCATCATCGTCCACATCATCCTCAGTCTTATTGATCATGCTGTTGAAAATTCTATCCCTGGCTCGTTCTCTTCCCTCATTGGGCAGCTTTGTCTTCTCATTGGCGAATATTTCGTTCGAAGGGAGGTTGAAACGCAGCTCGGAGATATCGTGGCCTTTAACCTTGGATTCTTTCTGCGGCGTTTCGGGGCGTTCTCCGTTCGCATCACCACCGCCCACCAGCGGATTCCACATCCCACCCCCTGTGCCGAAGCTGGGCAGGATATGCCGACACCTCAAACTCCGGCCCCCATTCCCGGTCCTGAACTCGCAGCGGCCATCCCACGGGCTGGCGAACATGTAGCCTTGAGGTTTGAGACCCGGAGCAGGCGTTGTAATGACAGGCGCTTCAACAACGTCGAAAGGATCGAATTCTCCTCCCGAGGACAAGGCGCTGACAGCACTACCTGATCTCGAGTGACTTGGCTGGGAAAGTCGCGGCGAGACTGGTAGGTCGTCTGACGCACTAAGAGAGCTGTGGTGCTTCGGTTCGCGACGAAACGCGTGCTTCAAGGTTGCCGCAAACGACGGTGCGTACGTCATCTTGACCTGACGATCGAAAGCAGCTCCGTTTGTGACAAACGAACTGTGGTTTGGTTCCGGTCTGGTGTGTTGTCGATTGGGTGACTGATTTACTGATGTAGCCACTGCCGCAGATGCGCCGCCGGGGCGAATCATATCGAGGCTCTCTCTGATTTCCCTGATATCGATGGCCCCGCGCCCGACCGACGGCATGTTTCGAAATTTGGAGTAGCCAGAAGTTTCAAGTGAAATATTTATCGAGGGTGATGGTATGTGTTTCTCGTCTGGCAGTAGTAATTCCGGGTGTTCGAGCTGGAAGGACGAAACCCTGCCCACATTCCATTGCTGGCCGGAGCTTGGGTCCCGCCGGATCAGAGTTAAGGAGTATGGCGTGAACCTCTGGCGTTGCTTGGGCGAGGATGACGGCGAGCGATTGGGTGATATAGAGGATGGAGCAAAGGGCGAAGGAGGGCGGCTGTTTGGTAAAAGAGGAACGGTCAAGGGTGCGGAAGGGTTTGAAAGAAGAGGAGGATGATGATAATGATTTTGACTGGGTTTCGGAGGAAGATCTGGAGCAACAGGGGAGCGGGGGGTTTCGCTGTAGGTTGGTGGTTGAACTGGGGGTTCAGGTAGCATTTTGTTCAGGTTCTCCGAGGTCAAGACTCGAGGCCCCAATGGCTTTCTGTGAACAGGCGGTGGCGGCTTCCGTTCCGAGGGCACGGCACTCCCATCATGAGATGAAGTCATTAATTGTGCTGATGGCTGTAGCCAAGGACCAGCATCCTGATTATCTGCCCCATACGGTGGTACGGGAGTTCCCGTTCGGAATGCAGGATGTGACTCCGTCAACGCAGGGTCCACAACATCGCTTTTCCTTGCCGGCGGCGGCACTGGTTTCCTTTGGATCTGGGGGCCGCTTCTCGAGCTCTCCTGACTCGTCCTAGGAGACGGATTGCTTGTTTGCAGTTTAGAGGTCATAAGATCGTCCTCCGCGGTGTTGAAGTGGACATAGTACAGCGAACTTGCAACATCTTCTGCCGTCACATTTTTTATTTGAGGCTTGAAAGGTGACAGGATGATGTCTGGTGGATTGTTAGCAAATACCGCAAAGGAAGGGTGGAAGAGGGATATAAACCTCGTGTGCCGGGGACTCTCGAAATGTACAAAGTAAGCGGCTCCCTTCTTTGTTCCGATGGCTTCGTAGGATATTGAGGTGGGTTGCTCGCGAGGGCGTTTAGAGTAGCCAGCGAGTGCGCCTCGACGTGACCACCCATGTCAAAGCTAGTTGATGTCGCAGTATTGATGTAGACGGATAGTGTAGTAACGACCTACCAAATGGAATGAGGGGGCCAAGATCGTATCTGAAGAGTGGCTTGTGGTATATATGAACTACTGCGAGGCGAAAGTACCTTGCACGATTATTACCCGTTCGATCGGAATGCAGGGGGACCTGGCACCGACTCTTGGGCTGCCAGTGGAAACCTCCGGACGGAGGCGACGTTAGTTTAAAGGATAGAGGCTGAGAGACGGCCGCGTCAATGCAAAAGAAGCAGCCCAATGCTTGTACAACTCGTTTGGTCTAAGCCAAGTCCTGGACGTGTCGCATGGCAAAGAAACTGCGTCAGCGGTTGAGGCTGTGTTCTGAGCATTTGCTTTCTGGCTGCAGATGTCAAGAACCCCAGTTCAGTGGGCGACCAATGTCCAACATTAGAACGCTGCGCGCCAAGGACACGAGCTTCCAAGTTCGACTCTGAACACAAGGGAAGGCGGTTCGGTTTAGTTCAGGCAGGCCTTAAAAAGCGGGCTAGAGTTCTCAAGTGTTGAAGTAAATGACCACGTCAGGGGGGGGGCAACACAGAGAGCTACTGCAATCATGGCAATGAAAGATTTCAATGCAAACACAAGTCGCGAAGGGCAACTGAGGTGATGGTAACAGCCCTTAAGAACAGTGGGGAGCCGGGTCACTGAAGGGTTTCCCTGATTCAGTGCAGTTATGATCGACATTGGGCACAGCAGTTCAATGTCTGATAAGAGGTAGGCTATTGTAGACTTATTGGACACAAATAGATAGCAAATGGACTAGAACACCATGAACAACTGGTGATACATGAGCTGGCAAATTCTATGGTCGACACGAGCAATTATGCTAGCGAAACGGGCAAGGGGAGGTGCGACTTGGGCTCCTGAGTAACCGCCTTCCTCAAACACTATGGCGCCATGCTATGCTCATGCATCATAGAAGGAAGGTTGACGCGGGCAACGGGCCTAGTTCGCCGCAGGCCCCGCTGCAAAAAACGCCTCCCCGCAATTGCAACCGCAACCGCAACCTCGATGGCCAAATTAATTTTTTGGCGACATCGGGTTCGTGACGTCTTCTCTGTCACGTAAACAACCTCTCCGTTGCACCGCCAACGTCGTCAGTTATTTCCACGCATAGCTCGAGGAGCCATTGCAAGCTCAATGGCGACCGTGGCAGCTAAACAAGATGGCGTGCAGAAGCCCAAGAAGCCCAGCGCCATGCGGTCGGTCCTTGCGGGAGCCTTAGCTGGAGCTTTGGAAATTTGTGAGCTCCCAATCCCATTGATTGGTGGCAGAATGTCAATAGGGATAACGAGCTAATAATCGACAGCCATCACATACCCTGCGGAATGTGAGTTGCATTTGTGACAAGGTGTCTTGGTTTAAGGACACGCCAATGACTAACACCGAGTAGTCGCGAAAACACGATCACAACTTAACCGCAAGCTCCCCGATGGCCAGAAGCTGCCCTGGCCACCGTTCGGTTCGCAGTGGTACGCAGGTTGCACCACGCTCATTATAGGGAACTCAGCGAAAGCTGCCATTCGTATGTCTCTTATGTCCATTGTGCCCAGGAGATTTTTACTTGCCGTTCTAGACTAACAAGCCATGTCCAGGCTTCGTCTCCTTTGAACAATACAAACGCATGCTCGCAGACGAGAACGGCAAGGTTTCTGGGCCCCGAAACGTGATAGCCGGCTTTGGCGCAGGTGTGACCGAGTCCCTTATAGCCGTAACACCGACCGAGTCAATCAAGACGACACTCATTGATGACCGTAAATCTGCGAATCCGCGCATGCGTGGATTCCTCGACGCAATTCCCATCATGTACAAAGAACGCGGCCTGCGTGGCTTTTTCCAGGGCTTAGCGCCAACCGCCGCCCGCCAATCTGCGAATTCCGCAGTTCGATTTGGGAGTTATACCAGTTTGAAACAGTTGGCGGAGGGCTACATCCAGCCAGGCGAGAGACTGGGTAGTCTGGCAACTTTTGGATTGGGAGGTGTGGCAGGTTTGATCACAGTGTATGCGACGCAGCCTCTGGACACGGTCAAGACGCGAATGCAGAGCATTGAGGCCAAGCGGACGTACGGCAACAGTTTCCGATGCGCGGCCATGATCTTCAAGCAGGAGGGAGTTTTGACCTTTTGGAGCGGTGCAGTCTATAGGCTTGGGCGCCTTGTGTTAAGCGGAGGTATCGTCTTTACCATGTATGAGAAGAGCATGGAGATTATGGGCAAGCTGGACCCTGAGGAGAAGTATCTGTAGGGGAGACCTGACATGGGCGAACACTTAGATTTAAAGGGCATACCCAATTTGGAACGGGAAAAGGCATGACTGGCGTTGGGAGTTTGCTTTACTGGTGGCTAGAAGTACATGTATTATGCCATGTAAAATGTGGTGTACTAGGCGAACTCGGGACGAATTCCTTGGTTCTACATTCCTTTGCGCCAGTTCTATTGTCCCTCCGTAGTTGAGGCGGTTTGTCCATACCCCTTATTGTAACCGCACAGCACCTCCGACCCTCAACAGCATTCGCTGAAACCAGGACCGGTTAGGAGCTTCTTCAAGCTCTGTTACTAAATCGTTGAAATAGGTCGGGTTGCTCTTAGGTCGCAGCAATGTGCCGGTTATGGGATACTGCAAGTAAAAAATCAGCCTCAGGTTTCCCATTATCTAGCTCGGAAGATTGACACCAGAGACTGACCTTCTTCTTATAACGATTGTCCAGCAGTGAATACAATGCATTGGCTTGTTTCAACTGTTCATCCTCTGATAGACCCGCAGCCGGCTGTTCGAACCTTCGGCGCAGCACATCTTGGAACTGGATCTGTGGTCGAACAGTATCTTTGGGCCATTTGGCGAGAGCCCGGAGGGCGTGGATATGCGCGTTCTGGTAGTGGTTGTGTGTAAGTCGCCGATTCGGAAGCAATGATATAGGAGGTGTGGTCTGGAACTTACGGATGTTGGTTTGGCCATGATAAGGGTTGATTTGAGATGGTCTTCTAAGTCATCATTCCTCAGAAAACCCGTGCTTGCATTCACTTCTAAAGTTGCAGTGTACCCTGGCGCATTCAGAAGAGCGCCAGAGATTCATTGCAACTCCAGAGAAGCGATGACGCTCGCTTTGAATCAACTCCAATTGCAGTCTTCCCAACTGGCAAATCTTCGGACTTACAAAAGCTAGCTTGAAGGGATCTCACTGCCAAGGCAACTCTCGGCCAGGCAGCTAGGATGTTCGTCACAGTCCGTGCACTGACAAGTCCTAGACTGCATTCATCAGCAAGTTTCCTTTCCTTGCCCATCGGTAGCGGTCGCATTGACTGCAGAGTCTGGCCCCTTGAATTGTGTTGGTCACGCCGCCTCATCATCTTCGACCTCCTTCTCCTGAGCCAGCCCTAGCGCCCATCATTCGATTCATTCGTCATTCCACTTGATCACACTTGATCCCATATTACATCAACTTTCACCTATTTCTCGATATCCTCTTTTTCGCCCACCGGCTTCGCGCCTTCTCTCTTTTCCTTTTTTACCGGACCGCCTGACGCACTACACCAGTGGATTTTTCTCTGTCGCCACTTCTCCGGAATCCCACTTACCGATTGCCTTTTAGCGACCGCCCAACCTTGAGGAACGAACTCAAAGGAGGCGAAGCACACCCGTCCAAGACGAAACACTGCGTCTTTTCATAGAACCACTTTCAACCATTATCCAAATTTTGTGGCTACCATTAATAATAACACCACTTTCGTGCTTTTCTTTTTTATCGTATTCACCACAATGACTGGACGATACGAACGGGTAAGTTGCTGGTTATTGATTCCCAACGGAGGCCTCACTCTCCGCCCCACGTTCGTCCGCAGTCGGACAACCGGTAAGCTGACCAAGGAAACAGGTCAACACCCAGGATCACGAAGATCCTGATACGCCCTCAACGCTGGGTGCCCATGTGTCACCTCGCTCCCCACCGCCATCGTTCCATTCGCGAGCCTCGTCTCTCGAGCGACGGCGACAACAGAATGTCGACGCAGCACTCGCCGATGCATTCGACACGGAAGGCGACGACAGCGATGATGAACCGGACGACAGACAACGATTAGTACGAGGCAACTCGTTCCCTATATCGAATGGTTCCACACCAAATACAACAGGTGCCGACTCTAGACCAGCGGCCCCCGCCCAACAGTGGACTCAGTCGTCGCACCCTTCTGCGGCATCAAGTACGGCACCAATCCAGACGCCTTCTTCACAAGCACAACTTTTGGGGTATGGCGGTGGCATCCAGTCCGACGGCGTATTCTCAAATATGATGGCAAGGCCAGAACGAGGGGAAAAAATTGTAGAAGAACAGCCTCCTGTACGTCTCACAATTTTTGTCGTCGGATGCATATCTAACAAATTCACAGACGTATGAACAAGCAGCAGCAGATGCCGCGCCACCGTACTGGGAGACCACCATTCTGGCGCCCGGTCTTGGAGGGCCCGATGAGGTCTACATCGACGGAATGCCCGTAGGCTCCATCTTCAGCTTCATCTGGAATGGCATGATCAGCATGTCCTTCCAACTCGTCGGCTTTTTGCTCACGTACCTGCTGCACTCGACCCATGCTGCCAAGAATGGAAGCCGTGCTGGTCTCGGCATTACACTCATCCAATATGGCTTCTACATGAAAAGCGGCTCTCCGAATGGTGCCGGAGGCATGAGCGAAACGCCCTCTGAAGGCTACGCGCAACCACCCGATCCAAACAGCCATGACTTTGACCCGAATGCCGTTTCGAACGGGGGTGGAAGTGGAAGCGGCAGCAGCATCAGCGATATTGCGAGCAGCGAATGGATTGCGTACATATTGATGATTGTAGGCTGGTTCATTTTGATCCGCGCGGTTAGTGACTATATTAAAGCCAGGCGGCATGAGCAGTTAGTACTGCAAAGTCCGGATCGCGGACTCGGCGTCCCCATTATTGCTACGGGCGAGGCTTCTGAGACCGTGGTGTAGGCTTGGGCTGGTGACAGAATAAAGGTGGGACTGGTTGGAATCATGGCATGGCATGGCGTTGGGTGTGGAATATGGATTGTACAAATCCCAACAAGTTTGAGAGTTTTTCACGGGAAGAGGGTTCGCTGGGGCACGGGATGGCTCTTTACTTTCCTATGGATACACGATACTTGTACAGGACTTTGAAGCGGCCACTTTTGAGCCAGTGTTTTTACAAAGGAAGCGACTTTCGATGTTCTGCACGCTGGCATGTTTTTGAGTAGGTCTTCGTCTATCTTCTAATCAGCCCACTTAATTGCAATACTGCTGAACTACTTGTTTGTCCGAGATTTGTTCGAAATGCTGTCGAATTGATCAAGGTGTCTCGGCGTAGTAAAGTGACATGGTGAAGAGGGAAGTGACCATCCCATAATTTCATCATACTCGGCCTACTGAGCACACCCCGCAGTCACTACCCCACATTCACTATCGGAGCTTAAGATCGACCTTCAGACGTCACCTCAGCCTCGATATACACCACCCAGGTCTACGGCAGTTTTCTAAAGTTTCTCCATCTTCCTCGTGAATCGATATCTATTCCACTCCGTACAGCTTAAGAAGTCGTCAGACTTTCACATACCAATTCCGAACAAGCAAGCAATTGTCTTATTCAAGCTGCCGTCTCCTTCAACTGGCAACTTCAATTTCATAATAGCAAAACGCTGGACCACATAACTCATAACTTGGAGGAGTCCTATTGCATGCTGGAACGGCTGCTCTCCACCAAGGCCCTGGACGCATTTCACTTCAACCCAACCTCTAGTTATACCTACTACAACAAAGGCTTCTAAAGAACCACCAACATGGCCTGGCGCAGCAGCGGCCGCACCAATACGGCTCTGGTCGAGAACCTCTGGTCAAATGGCCTCATTCGCTCCCCCCTCGTCAAAGCAGCCTTCCTCTCCGTCGACCGCGCGCACTATGCCCCGGCGTCACCATACGAGGACTCGCCCCAGTCCATCGGCCACGCGGCCACCATCTCGGCGCCGCACATGCATGCCGCCGCCGTGGAGGCCTTGCTCGAGTACGTGGTCCCGGAAGGCAGCGCGGGGAAGGATATTCCGCGGGGCGACGGGGCTATTGTGGGAGATGGCGGGAAGGGGGTCAAGACGGAGGGTGTGAAGGAGAGGCCGAGACGGGTGCTGGATATTGGGAGCGGAAGTGGGTATTTGACGCAGGTGTTGGCGGAGCTGGTGGGTGAAGGTGGGGTTGTGGTTGGGGTGGAGCATATTCCTGAGTTGAAGGAGATGGGGGAGCGAAACATGGGGAAGAGTGCGGAAGGGAGGGCACTTCTGGATTCGGGTCGGTGTCGGTTTCGAGTGGGTGATGGGAGGAAGGGTTGGGCTGAACCGGCACCAGCGGCGGGGCAGCCAGCTGTTGGTGGGGCGGCGGATTCGAAGGCTGGTGACAAAAATAATGAGGGAGGGTGGGACGCAATTCATGTTGGTGCTGCGGCGGTGGAATTGCATGAGGAGCTGGTGAAACAGCTGAGGGCGCCGGGACGCATGTTCATTCCAGTCGGAGAGACAGATGGGTGGGATCAGTATATATGGACGGTGAACAAGGATAAGGATGGCAATGTGAAGAAGCAGAGAGGGTTTGGGGTTAGGTATGTGCCGTTGACGGATCCTCCGAAGGGGAAAAGGGTGCAGGAGGAGCTTTGACTGAAACAGGTTACTGCCGCTACAGATTGCACTTACAAGTAAACACCAGATTGACTAGAGCAAGCTTGCTTTCCTGGGGGTATGGAATCAGATTGGTCCACCGAGCCAGAGGTTGACATGGGCTACGAAGGCCTGTAGATGGGAATGATTGATCAAATGCTAGGTTTTTTATATCCAAGCACTAATGTTAGGACGAGTTAACAATGTCATACTTGGCTTCCTCCTATGCATGGTTGAATGTTTGGATCGCTTCGAAAAGGGAAATGGAGGATGCCGAGACCTATTTTGGTATTGGACGCAAGAAGGATTAAGCTATCAAGCAACACTAGCAGGACAACATGTTCTCGAGGCAGCTAACCACCATTATTTGCCTGTGCCCGGCGAAAATATCATGGCAAGTACGCCCGGAAAAGTCCTCCAAAGCCCCCGTCTTAAAAGCCTCGACCTCAGAGTTGCCCTCAGAGGATGCTCTGACTGGTCCGACCGCTGAAGCTTCCCCTTCCGTTTAGCCGGCGGGGACAAGTACCCGCCTCTCGCGTCACTCAAGCTCGAGGGGAACGAGTTCGGAGAGCGGACGTGGGATGACATTGCCTTCACGCCACCTCCAGACCACGGAGACGGGGTTTGGTGGCAAATCGCGGAATGTATCAGCTTCAACCATTTGGTGAAGATGTTTTGGCTGTGGTAGAACACGCCGGCTCAGCGTAGGCATATCACTAGTTTGGCGTTGTGGCTTGAGGCCATGGATTGGGGTCATTTTGACAGACTGGAGTTGCGCAATAGAGAGATGCATTACTGGCGGAGCTGGCTGCTGCTGAGCGTCCTGATTCTTTGAAGCATGTGCGGCTCTTTGGGGAAGACAACGTGACGACGCTGCAATTCTTTGAGAAGTTGCCTTCGCCGGCACGAATTAAAAGTCTTCAGTGGCCTGCTTGGAGAACCCATTAGATTGGGACGAGGATGCACTAGAGGCTGTTCTAAACAAGCCTGGAATTTCATTGAAGTGGCTAGACATGCGTGATTCCGAGTCGTTGGCCATTTAGGACGAGTTTAGACCTAGACCTGTTCGGACGGAGACGTAGATCGAGATGATTGGCATTAAGGCGCTTGAGCTACAGCACATTTCGCTCAACATCGACCGTAATGAGCCGCCATGGGCAAGCTTAGAAGCCCTGGCATCATCTATGGCTGCGGTCGAGAGCATGGATCTCTGGTTCAAGTTGACGAGCGATTGTCGACGGGGATCAATGGAGTCTGGTTCTCGTTTTGCGAGGGATCATCTGGAGTGCAAGGGGAGAGGCAATATCGACAACCGTTGGTAGACCAGAAGTCTGCGAGGGAGCTATTCAAGTATATGAGCGACAAAAAAGTTGGAAAAGAGCTACAAAGAGACACAAAGGACTATGTTCTACCTCGGCGATTGGTCATCGGCACGGGATGGGCGTATGGCCTATGGGAGTTAGGTAGAAGATAAGAAGGTCAAATGCAGCGTTCTTTGAAAAGACGGGGTTTTGAAGAAGGAACCAGATGAAGTCGTCAATCTTTCTGGCTGAAATATCCTACTACAATTAGTATCCAGAGCTTTTTTATGCAACCAAGAACACCAGGGGAGAACAAAGCTGGATTTTGTTTAGAGGAAGACAGCTCACATTTCACACTGTAGATGGCTTTGGGGATAGCCGCTTACAGGTTTGCTAACCTCTAAGGCCTTTCTATGTTAAGGCATTGAACACAACCTTTCTGACAAAGGATTGTGGCTCCATTGGGTTGCTGTGTCTCCATGCTGCGAGTTTTCGACATTCTGAGTTTAATGTCTGATAAGAAAGTGGGTGAACAAGGCCACGACAAGTATGGTTGGTGATTGCCTTCCTGCATCCATTCGATAATGATTTCATCAACCCAGACCAACAAGCACCGCAAGGCCAAAAGAATTTACATATGAAGCTCAGTCCCATCACAAATTGGCTTGCCTTGCACTTTTCTCTTTCCAAATCTTAACATATACAAGACCGGATCACACTAAAAGACTGCCCCCCTCCACTATCGTCATGTTCACCCTCTGGAAAACTTCCCCTCCGAGATGCAAGATATTATCTAGGACGCCTTCCTCCTCCAAGCGTATCAAAACTTTAAAATATTCGACGGGGAAGTGGACAGCTTGGCTCCCGACAGCGGCTATCAAGTCATCACCTCCGAGCACCTAGACTCACCTCTTCTCTGAGTCAACCACGAGAGTCGCAAATGCGCCACCGCATTATAATATCTCAAACTCGGCTTGTTGAAATACTGGAGCAAAGGACCTGGCCAGTAGATTGCGGGAAAAACCTCTTCGCCACACACAATACCATATGGCATACCAGCCACGAGCTGGAGCCGCAACACGGTCTAGCCACATCGACTCCATTCTCCGACGTCTTGAGACCACAAGTCCTGGCGCGTGTGCAAAGACCACTAATAATCATCGAGAATCTGGGCACAGAGAAGACGTTTATTCCTGCGATGAGAAACAGGCTGCTTCCATCCAAGATAAGATGGAGGGTTGAAAAGTTTCTTGGTGTCAAGAATCGCTACTGCGCATTGGACGACCATGTGAAGGATGATATTAGATGCGATTTGTTCGGGATTCCGGCGAGGTAGTATTTCCAAGGCACGACATTGAGGAGTGAGTTTGGGTCAATATCAGGGGCGAGCATGGCGAAAAAGGTGAGAATATATTGGTGAATTCTTGGTATACAACTTCAAGCCGTCGGTATTGTGAGGAATTCAGCCATTGTGACGAGAAGGGAGACGAACAAGAGAGGGGATGGAGAGGAGGTGCGCTGGGAACCAAAGCACACCATTCAGCTTCTCTACCAGAATAAAGTACAAGTATCGTAGACTGTAAGCGGTATTCTTGGTGGACGGCACAGTGATAAGAGTTCAGTCCGGCGTTTGTTGGTAAAGCCGAATGAGATTGAAGGATTTTGACCGATGAAATATTGAACAAAGTAGTCCTTGTCCTCTAGTGATATTATTAGATATCATTAACATGAAATTAACATGAAAACGATAACCTACTACTACAATATAGTAGAACATTCTTCATGGGTTAAACCAAGCTCTAGGGGCTTTTGGACACTGTGTAACAAGACGATTTTCGTGGAGAGAAACTTATCCAATACATATTACGTGGGCTTATTTGGCACGATGGGTATAGCGACAGTGAGTTTGCAATTTTGATCCTGCCTGTGGACTTTCCACTTCTCCCAATTCAACTTCTCAAGTCCATATACAATATAAACGCTTTCGACCGATCCTCAAGCACTTGCCTGAGTTTTAGGTCGGAAGAACGAGTTTGGCCCAAACCAAGTCCCCTTCAAGAAAGAGTTAAAGTACACCAACGGGAACGCGTCCTTCTTCAAGTGGTAGAACACACGTTTCGGCTTATCCTGAGACCCGAAGATGCCGGCAAATGTCTCAGCCGGCACACCACCGTACTTGAACTCGCAGAGCATGAGCTCGCCGTGGCCGGTAAGGAGGGGACAGCTGGCATAGCCCGAGTATCCAGCCTTCAGGTCGGCACCGCGCATGGCTGCGAGCAGGTTGTCGACGAGGACCGGGGCCTGGGACGAGATGGCGGCGGCGGTCTTGCTGCTGGGGAGACCGGAGGCGTCGCCGATGGAGAAGACGTTGGGGTATTTGGTATGTTGTGTTGTGGACTTGTCGACGTCGACCCAGCCTGCTGCGTCGGCTGTTTAATTATTAGTACAACTGCTGCACCTGTACATGAAGGGCGCACAGCAACTTACCCAGGGGGGACTTGGCAACCCAATCCCATGCCTTCTGGGGCGGGACCACGTGCAAGAAACCGAACTCTCTCTGGACCTCCTTGCCGTTGTTGGCCAGATCCTTGAAGGTCGCAACCTTGTTCTTGGCCTGCACGCTGACGAGGTTATGCTGGAAGAGGCCCTCGACGTTTCGCTCTTGACGGAGCCTCTCTAGGGCTTGGGAGTACTTTGGTACAGCAAACATTGCTGGACAGATGAAATTAGATATGATGGAACAAACCAGGCCGGCTGGCGAAACTTACCCGGAGCACCAGTCGCAAAGGCTGCCTGGATATTATTCCTTACACCATCCCTTTTCCACTGGGAAAGGGCCATCCACATAATCTTCTGTGGCGCACCCGCACACTTGATGACTCCAGCTGGTTGCGTAAAGATGGCCTGACCAGCCTTGAAACCCTGGATGTTCTTCCAGACCTGCTCCGCCGTCTTGTTGGAGTAAATGGACGAGACCAAGCTGGACGGATCTTGCAAGGCTTCCGGCAGGCCGGGAATACCGGAAAAGTTGGTCTCAAGGCCTGGTGCGACGATGAGGTAGTCGTAAGTCACATCGACGCCCTCAGAGGTCTTGACGACATTGTTGGCCGGGTCGAAGGATGATACCTGGAGCGGATAGTGCTGCACGCCTGCGGGAATTACGCTCGGCAGCGACCGGCTCATACTGCTCAGCGACTTGAGCCCGGAGCCTACTAGCGTCCATCCAGGCTGAACAAACCCAATTAGAATAGATCATTTTATGTCGACAATGTGAAGTATACCTGGTAATGGTGGTCTTGCGCAGGGTCCAATATGGCAATCTCATCCTTCTTGAATTCGCCTCCCAGGCGCCTCAACTGAGCTGCGACAGTGACACCGGCAGTTCCGCCACCGATGATGACAACGCGGTGATGGGCCCTGGCCGGTATCGAGGTGGCATAGTGTCTTACGATGGAGCTGGTAAGGGGTTTGAGAGAGGTCCCCGCAAGGGACGAAGCGGGTCTTCGGAGTACGGCTGCCATGATGGGATTCCCTGTATTGAGTAGGCGTTGTTTTGACGAAGAAGGATTTGATCGGGCAAGGACAACATACAACACAATATTTTCAAGAGTGACAATAACGTGTTATTTACTTGGACATCGAGAATACGTGTCGTTGGCACACTATCACGTGCGGGAATATCCGCTGTGGAGATGGGACCGTGTTACGAACTCTGCGGAAAGTCTAAAGTGATGAACCCGCATGATGTATTTATAGATTCAAGTTGAGCTTAACATGGCAGTTCCTCCCGTAGAACTTCCATGTGTTATATCCAAGTCTCTGTTTGCTGGGTGAATGTTCCGTGTGCATGTGGTGAGAGTTTGCAATCAACGTGGGCGTGGGTTAAGGTTAATCAGGTCTCAGGTCTAGTTTTGGGTCGGAGTTCATTACCGGGCTATTGGGGCCTTGTTTGGTAGCTGTCTATGGAGGCACCTGAACAGCTTCTAACAAGAACAACAGCGACCGTCTGGTCAGATTAAGCATCCTGACTCAGGCGCCCTAAAGGTCGACATCGGCAGCGGAGTTGTCTATGCGGAATTTGTGATGGAGGGTTCCGGAATTGCACTTGGCGGCTATCAAGTGGAGACACCGCAGCGGGGCTCTTCTTGGCCAGCTTGGCGTTATACGGTGTACGTGGACTTTATTTATTACTAAGCCCCTTATCGAGCGGAGGTTACAAGTTCAATGCTGAAGATATGTATCTGTGTAACAACTACAAACTTTCTTCATAAGTCCCGAGTGCCATGCTAGAACTTGTGCGTAATACCCTACGTCATAGAAACTACCTAAATGCTTGTCGTCATTGGGTTGATACTGCAAGAGCGTACGACAAGCCGTCGACTATGTCCTGGAGCGTGGGGACTGACTAGACGCTATATGAAATAATGCAGCAGTTATGCAACCACCCGTTGGGTCGAAGTCGAAGCAAAGCTATGAACTGCAACTGAGGACTAACACCGTTGCGCCGTTCATGTTCATGGAAATCTTGACGCCCCTTCTGGGCAAGATAGTCAAGAATTGAAAACTAGGCCAAGTTAGAGTTCGGCTCTGGTGCTGCTGTCGCAGGAGTACGCAAAGAGGCAAAAAAAGGTGGTATCACCAGCGTGGTATAGACTGCAAGACACCGATATGAATCCATGAAGTACTGGCAAGGCAGCAGCCTATGAACCCATGGAACCTTGACATAGACCTTCGGCGACATGTATCTTGGCCTCTGCATATCTTTTACAACCGGATGAGCTGTCCGCCGATCAATGGCGCTGACACGGATGTTTTCTCGGTTTCTCGCCTGAGATTGCATGGGAGAGTTCAGGTTGTTGGAGTGAGTAAAGCATTCCGTTGCAGCAAGCTGAAAAGGCTACTGGTCATTCCATGAGGTCAGATATCGCCCATTCGCATAGAGACCCACGACGGTGGTTTGTCTGATGCAGATGGGGGAACGGGTTTAGGTCTCAAGTTTTGGGACTGGTCCGAGTCAGAGGCGGAAGGATTATGTCTAGGTTTATGTCGAGTGGTCAATGAACGATTATGGGAATGAGTGTATTGATGCTTAGCACCATGAAATTTCATGTCGGCCATTGGAAGTAGCTAACCGCATTGACCACCTTTTTGCATGCACACCCATTTTGCAGGGTCTAACTGAATCAACCTAAATACTTCGTCCATATTATTTATATACAACCGGAGGCGTCTACCCTATGCCAGATCAGGACCGGAAAAATAGGACTATCAGCTTTCTTATTTAAGATAGGAGCCTTCGGTGTGTACTCGCCGTTATGCCGCTGTGGAGAGGCCCCCGAGACGGCAGAGCACGTAATCCTCTTTTGCGGCCTGCTGGAAGAATCGAGAGAGCGCCTACGCGCCACTATCGCACCATGGCCGCTGCATACACGCAGAGACCTGGCAACGGCGACGGGGAAACCAGTAGTCAGCGGGACTATCACAAGGTGGCTACTCAGGACTGGCCGGATAGCGCTTAGGCCCGGATAATATCGATTGTTACACGCAAAGGTGGTCAAAGATTTGTGAGGTTGTAAAAGCATGACATTCTATCTAGTCCTATGGAGCACGAAGGTTGGACTTAGTCCCGAAGGGCTAAGTCACGTGGTAACCTTGGTGGTCTTGGCAAAGCCCACCAAGGTTGCCTAACATCGATCTTCTCAGGGGGACTTTGTTAGTAGGGTGAGAACTAACATAGTATTGTGGTGGACGTAACGCAGTCGCTAATAGAGCGAACCTACGTAGCAGCGTATGTATTTAGTCTAGCCATTAGGGCACGGTTTGACATACGGGAGCACTTGTAGAGGTACTGTCACGACCTGGGTTGCATCGCATTGGTATAGACCTCGATTAGGTGCTATCGACGAAGATTCTACTCTAAGGAGCGAAGGAAAGAAGATGACAACTTTGGTTTGAGGGAGCGCGACTAAGTCATCCACGCTTGGCGGGGCTCCTACAAGGGTTATGATTGGCTTCCCATCTCACACTGCCACGGCAGGTGTTCCAGCTGTAAGTCACCTGGTTGTAGTGAGTCTGCGAGGGTTGACCGTCACAGGTACCGGGGGCTTCGAGCCTACGGCGTATTTAATAATAATATATTTATATACAGAACATACTTAATTTAAGTGTCCGAAGACTTAGATATATTCTTTCGAGCCCTCTTTTTAGGAGTGACCCTTCCTTCGAGAAAACTATCAATTTCTAACTGCTTATCCGGTAAAATAGGCCGTATTCGCTTATTTCGCTTGTCCTGGGCTGTTCGGATCGCTGATAAGTTAACGAATACTTTATTCGGGTCTGGCTCGACGGGCTGGCGTATATCTGGAGCGTATTTATCGAGTTCTTTATATAGTTGCTTACTCTCGGATGCCGCCTGAAATAGCGTACGCGGCCTTTTACAACACCCAGGTCGGCTGGTGTAGTTGGTCACTTCGCTGGTAGATAAGTCCCGATTTGAGCCTCGCCCACTTGGGTTGGTGACGAGTCGCGGGTTCGAATCCCGCAGCTGACACACAAGGGGGTTTAGTCAACCCTTACGGCGCGCTGCCCACCTTGTTGACTTCGCCTACCTAGCGATAATAGGGAGATTGGTGCAGTTTAGGATTACGAGCATCCTAGCCAGTCGACCGTCAAGCACTACGTCGGCGGAATATAACTCGACAGCCGGTCCAGAATTCGAATCGTTAATCCGACCCCTTATCGGACCTCGCCTATCCGATAACGCTCGTCGGCGAACCCGTCCCCTCACGATAGAAGGCGCGCAGCACGCCCCCTCGCCGCGATTCTTGCGAGCGTCTAGACCACGTTACGGTCTATCCACTTGAGCGTATGGTTGAGATGTATACGCTCGACGAGAACCCCAATTAGCAGATACTACGACTTGTCGCGACAAAAAAATAGTCGAGCATCTTCTGCACATCAGCAGCATCCCACCCCTGAGGACGAATTTAAGTGCCACATTACCACGCTTATCGGTAGTTCAGGCAGGGGTTGTAGCACAGACTTAGGGAGGGACAGGAGGTTTAGTAGTCGTTTGGCTACAAGTTTACCTGTATAACCGCCCGACGCGGCTTAAGGGCCCGCTATATCATCTATAGCCCCTTAAGGGAGTACTTGTAGAGGTACCGAGGGTTAACACCTACGGCGTATTTAATATTATATTATTTTATATAGTTGCTCGTTTTCGATACGTAATTTGGCATTCTCGGCGGCCTGGAGTGTAAGGGCCTTGCCCGCCTTGCCTACTAGGGTACGAATCTAACGAGATATCCCGCCCTCGGCTTTCTCTATCGACTGTAGTTGGCTAGATAGTTGCTGCGCTTTCTGAGGAGTAAAAGCAACTAAAGGTGGTGATATATGAGGCGGAGGATCTGGTGTATGAGGCTCCGGAGGATCACAAGATACGTCGACTAGTCCTTCGGAGCCTAGGGGCCATATACCAGTCTTCCGCCAGCCAGAAAGTCTCGGATCTTGGTCGAATCGGACGCTCTAACTTGGCTAGCATCTACGACGCGCCTAATTTTGGTACATATCTGTGGATGGCGGCTAACGAAGTGATCCACCCAGTGTTGGCCGAGTGTGTTGTTATCCCCTTGAGCAAGGAGGATTTGTCAGATAGGACACCTGGTTCCTAGGTTCAGAAATAATATGGCACTAGAGAAGACTAGTGTCACTTGAAGTTCAGACGGCGAAATGAACCCCTCTTCCCGAAAGTAACTCCGAAGTTCGGGGTCAGACACCTGAACAATGCACCTCCGACATTTCCGAAAGAATCTATAAAGGGCAGAGCAACGGGAGTTCGCGAGAATAGAACACAGACAAGAACACACCTCATTCATATACAATCTTATGCACTTCTGACTACTCGATTGGACACACGTGATATTCGACAGGATTTCGACAGCGAAGTCGGCCACATGACGCTTGCTAGGAGCCCGTCCACACACTTCTTCGTGTAGGATCCAGTTCACGATAACCTCCTCTTGCTCTGGAGTCAACTTTTGTTGCCTGGAGGCGGCGTCGCGATGCGAATTACCGTGACGAATACGGTAGGACAGTGTAGTCCCCTTGATACCGTACCGATTCGCTGCTACGGCCTGGGAAGAGCCCTGACGGACAAGCTCTTTAGCGCGTTCGATTCGCTGCTCAAAATCGTCCATAATATTCTCCATTGGATTAGCCATTTTGTACGTAGATAGGGAGCAATTGCGAGGTAAATTGAGAGACGTCGTGTTGTTGAGGCGTAGAAATTCCCTGCAAAATGGGGGTGCATGCAAAAAGGTGGTCAATGCGGTTAGTCCTTCTAATTTCCCATAAAAGTCCGTCAACTGTGATTGATACCTACGCGAGCCAAATCATCATTTCACCATTTCAACCTTGGCCAAAATCAGATAGCCCTGGACTTTCGAATTGAAAAGGAATCTACTCCTTGAAAAGAACCTCAGCCTCTGTTTCCTTATATAGGTGCGCTTATTTTGCAGTGCCGAATTCAACAACCGGCTTCTCCATCTTGGCGACTTCTTCCTCAGGAGACTTCTTGGCAAGACCTTCTTCTTTAGCGACTCTGTATAAATGGGCGTAGGAGGCAGTGTTGAAGCCAACATCAGGTTCGGCAGGTTTGGCTGTCATTGATTAGTCCAGAAGATCATATAATTGAGAGCGTCTACATACCTGCCGCTGCAGGGAGGGCATTGCTGACGGTGCTGAATGCAGCCAAGACGGCGAGAACGGACTGGATATGCATGATTGACAAGGAACAAATCTTTACAGATCTGTGAATGGACAAAATGGCAGCGATTACCTTTTAGAAGGGATGGAGACTGTCTGGCAATGTGTAGTGATGAGAAGTTCAAGAAAAAAATCGTTGGGTCACCTTTTGTAATTAAAGCATACCGGAAGTCCACAATCAAAGGTCCATCCAAGGAAATGACGAATGATAATGTGATTGGTGACAAACGATTCTAATGCGGCAGGTTGTTGTCATTGCAGTTACTCAACCTTCGCTCTGCTATACTTGAACTGTACCAAGCTGCGCGCAAGGGCGTACGGAACCACACAACGATGTAGAAGGATCTGCAGTAAGACAAGCGATGTGACTCCATACTCGATTGTTGAATATCCTTCTCATTTGAAGCAAAGATGGACCAAACAAAGCAGGGGCCAAGAGAATCAGAACTTACTGCTAGAGGCAATTTTCAATCCTTCGAATTCTCGAGTCGATATTGAGAAAGACCGGATAGCTCCCCGTTTGCCTTCATTAAGGATCACGAGAAGTTGCAAACGGTATGATTATCGTACCCCTCTATTATAAGTCGCTTAAGAGACATGCTCCTCCGGAGCGGATGATCCGGCGGGACAGAAAGTCGTAATTGGTTGTCTTGTATCCTAGTTGCAGCCGAAGTAATATCGTGCATGTGTTAGTGAGCCATTGTACTACCTGTTACACTACTTTCGATGCCTATCAGCGGGTAGCGATCACCGATCTTCCCCAGACTTCGGATAATTGGGTTACAGTCACTCGCAATCTTGATCGATTGCTGGCGACAGTAAGGGAGTCGATGAGCTAGTTCAAGAAAAGAAGGCATTTTCTCGCACCCTGATCGCCAACAGTAGAACCATCCTAATTCCATCATCAAACCTTCTTGCGTTTAATCCAGCATCTTTACACATCAGTTCAAAAGTCACAATGTTTCTGAAAGTCAAAATGTCTGAAGCTTATAGTTCAGTTTCTCAGGATGAGGAGAAGCTTCTTTCTTCGCGAGACTCCGATGACGTAGAGTCGTCAGATCCAACTATGCGCGAGCCGCACCGACGGCGCACGTCTTATACTCGTATTTCGGAGCCTTTGCATTGGATAGCTCATGCAGTCACCATATCTCTCCTGACTGTGCTGCTTCTGAAGACGCAGGAACACGACCCAAACAAAGCCTCAGCACCGGGAGGCTTTACTTCTCCACCAATCTATGGTTTGTGATGAGAAACGCGGGTGATATTCCCACAAGTCGAAAATGAAAGCAGCCCCTGCGTATGCAGACGACGTCCGATATCAACAGCATTTTGAGTGAGTCCACAAAATTACAGGACAGCACCAGACCCAGTGATTAGAGGCCGGGCTAACTTTAGGCCATAGAATATTTCAAGCGGCTTTCTGGCAGAAAACCCCTTTCAAAGGTATGTGGTTATATTTTGACGTATCGTGCCATCAAGCCAACTTACATGGCAGTTTCGTAGGCCCGCCAACCCCTGAAATCCTTGAAAAATGGGAACACATCACAACTCACCCCGTTTTGAATCTTACCGCAGAAGAAGTCACCAGCCAGGGTCTTTCTATAGACTCAGCGCAGTATCCCAAATCACTTGGCGGAGTAAGTGAAACGGTGTCTCCTATCCTCCATTACTTTGCAGTAAAAGCTGATGGCATCCAGGGATACATGGGCTACGTCGAATCATCGCACCAACTGCACTGCCTCCACACCCTCTGGGCCACCAAACACCTGATCAAGTACCCAGAGCTCTTCCCAAACATGCTTGCGAAGCAACAGGAGGACCCTGAGCTCGAAGATGCGCACTTCGAGCACTGCGTCGATGTAGTGCGGCAAAGATTGATGTGCACCGCGGACCCGGCCATCGTCACGTTCCAGTGGATCATGGGTTTGCCTAGACCGTACCCCAACTTCCACACTGGACACATGTGCACGGATTATGGTGCATTGAGGGACTGGACGGATCGGAGGGCGGCCGACTTGGATAAATTGGAGGGCTAGGATTGGGCCCCTCATACTGAGGAGGGTGCGGTGCTCATGGATAAACTACCTTGATTGAAGTTGAATGACATTGGTTGGGCACACTGTATGACGAAAATAGTCAAGGATATAACTGGTAGAACCCACAAGAATCCGAGTTTCCTCAACGTTGAGGATGAAACTGCCATGAAGAGAAAAGCATATCATATCAATGTTCATGCATCTGAAACCCCGTTGTGTATACTATCATTAGGTACCGATGCCACCAACTGTGAGGTTTCCACAACAGCAATAGAAACAAAATATCCCCCCAGCGCACCACCATGGCGAGATGTGTGGAGATAATTATGCGAGAACAAGCTTTTGAACTTGCATGTCTTGGAATTGGTACAGTAGACTGCTTTCAATGGACTCCCATGCGTGGCTCTAGTGTAACGTTTCGTTTGCGGTAAGTCAACACTAATGAAATGCGCATCTGAATATACTAGGATCATCGCGTACCACTAGTACCTGTTTGGTTGATAAGAATGGCGGGGTTTTCGACGTGGTTCTGCTGCGGCCTCGATTCTCCGCTTGTGCAACTATCTGTAAGTCGTACCCTTCACATATGTGCAAACATTCATCGCTCTAAATATAGAGACTTCAGCGATGTAACTCTTTGAAAGAAGGGTCTCTAGGTAATAAATAGGTGCAAGATAGTTGTGCTTGACTTCAATATGAAGACAAGTTACTGAGAAGGCAAAGTGTTGATACGAGTATGATCACTAACACACAGGTCCGGCATTTCACCATTTTAATCGCGCAAAAGAAAGAATTATACGATCACACAAAATAAAGCGAATAGGCATATGCTGAAGACAATCGGAAACTCTGTCGTCAAATACCATGTAGAGAGGGGCATGCAGGTATAACTTCACAATGCAACGACTGTCAGTATTTTATCCACGATTTGAGATGTAAGTCCTATTTCTAAGATGTAAACTAATACTCCGCTAAATATAAATCTATTTTTAATAAGCACAGCCATAATAATTATCCAAACCCAATGATAAGACACCTCTGTGGCTTATAATGTTCGACCAGAGACCAAATGATTTATCAAGCTGTGGGCTCTCTTAGGTTAGGAGAAGGGATGCTGTCATGTGTCTCATAAATAGGAAAAAAGGACTCAACGGGCCAGCCGCAATCTAGATCAGAAAACTTTCTTTAATGAAAGAAGAACATGACAGGTGAGTTCAACAAGAGTACCGGAAGTGTATGCACGCCAAGGTCTGGGATGCACGTGGCGCTACGGAGTAGCACTCGCCAACTCAGCCTAATTGCATTACGGACACCAGGACCAAAGGGGTTGTTGAAAGTAACTACAGTTGAACCTAATCGGGTCAAAGAGTTGGAACAGCAGTATAATCCATTCTAGAATGGTTCATACATGGCCATAGATTCTACATAACATAATTCAAGCATTTCTTCTCGGTGAACACAAGTTTTCGTGTTATTCCAATTGCCTGGTGACTAAGGTAAAATGAATACCAGTTTTTCATGAAAAGATTGGAATTTACAGCCGAGAATGGCAGCGGAGGTACCTGAAGATTCTGTATGTGGTGATAATGCCCAGACGGAACGGGGTAGATACCCCATACGATGGTCCGGGCATGTCACTAGACTCTTAGCACGTTGTGACACGTTTTAGGCTCGTGTTCTATTCAAACTGTAACCCTGCAGCTCCAAGTAAATTGTCGCGGGGCCACGAAGTCCTCTTGGCGTATGTGATGGCGTTGAATTCCATCCAACATCAGCAGCATATTCGGAAATCGATAAGCTGCCAAGCTGAACGAGGCTTAGGCATTTCTGCCCTCATTTGCGATAATGGGTTACAGATCGAGTCCAGGGTGGTTGCTTTCGGATACATGGATGCAACAAACGCGCGGAGGGCTCCCTTGGCAAAGCTATAAGAGCTGATTGTCGATCGCTCAGTTGCTTCCACTTCATCTCATGAAGTCCCAGTAGCGAACTTCTAATTATACTTGATAATATAGACACAACCATGGTTTCATTCTGCTCCGTCCTTCTTGGCGTGGCTGCCGTCGCGGGGGTCTTTGCCGCACCCAACAATGTGCCGGGCGATACCTTTGTCTCAAAGCGGGCCGGAACACCAAGCTCAACAGGGTAAGAACACGATAAGGTAGACGAAAACAATACTCGCCCCGCTAAGAAGCATTTATAGGACTCACAACGGATTCTACTACTCGTGGTGGACCGACGGCGGATCCGATGTCACGTACACCAACGAGGCAGCGGGCCAGTACAACGTCCGATGGTCAAGCGGAGGTAATTTCGTCGGCGGCAAGGGATGGAACCCTGGAAGCCGCAGCAGGTTGGTAGTGATCTCCCAGTACCCATGGCATTGACTTTCTAACAAAGCTCTATAGAACCATCACCTACTCAGGCACATATAGCCCCAACGGAAACAGCTACCTTGCCGTTTACGGCTGGACTCGAAACCCCCTGATCGAGTACTACGTCGTCGAGTCGTTTGGTACTTACAATCCTTCCTCGGGTGCTTCCAAGAAGGGTTCCGTCACTTGTGACGGAGGCACGTACGATATTCTTGTCAGCACGCGCACCAACCAGCCCTCTATCGATGGGACGAGGACTTTCCAACAATTCTGGTCGGTTCGTCAGCAGAAGCGGGCCGGCGGCACCGTTACGACTGGGTGCCACTTTGACGCGTGGGAGAAGGCCGGCTTGAAGCTTGGCACGGAGTGGAACTACCAGATTGTTGCTACTGAGGGGTACTTCAGCAGTGGCTCTGCTACCATCAAGGTTGAAGGGCCATAGTCGGAATGGACGTGATTTGCGGTGGCTCAGTGCTGTTGGAATATGGGAGGCAGAAAAGGAGTACAGGTGGAAGGCAGAATTTCCCTAGTTGAACAGATGTCTCGATAGGATCTCTTACTTGTTCCAGGAATATTGCGCGATGAAGATTCTCTCCATATTGGTACCTATTGTCTTGCACAAATCGCGAAATGAACATCCTTTTATTTTCTCCTATTACACTATGAACTATGATGATGCCAGCCACCTCAGGGTCCTGTTCCGGAAATAGGCACTCATTCACTGTAATAACCAATGATGAATTATAGTATAGGTTCGTCGTCTTCAGTCGCTAATGGGGGCCATACTTAGTAATATTCTCATGCCTTTTGGGAGGTTCCTGAGCTGTATAATTTGCACCCTTGCCACGTCCATAGCGTGGATACCAAGAATTTCCAACGCGCTCTCCAAGCGACCGAATCAAATAGCGAAGGACGATGTTTATGTTCAACTCAGGAAAGATGGCGATGTTGAACGATGGTTTCATGCCCTCTTTGACATCAATGCGGAATCCAATGATGGTTTGCATGAAACGGCACTGATGCACCAGCTCGTGGAAATAAATGCCAAGCGTTTTGCCGTCTTGCACATATACGATGACAAGTCCTTGATATGTGCAGTCGGTATGTACTCATGAGGCAGGGTGTAACTGGTGGTTGTCAAGACGCCTTGGTCTGACCGCCATATCTACAACGTTAAGACTGTCGAATGACTCTGATCATGATGCTAGTATACGAAAACGACGTCGTTTATGCCGCAAATTTGGACAAATGGTCCGCATCTGTGGGGACCACATTTGGCTCCGTCGTGGTTCCCAAGTCTCATCACGAACCATCAAACAGAGTCATTTTATGCGTCATGGAACATTGAGCTATGGATCCACTATCAATCGCTACGAGCTGTCTGGCGCTGCTTACAGCAGTAGGCAAGACGAGTTTCACCATTACCCACTTTGTGAGACGCTGTCGTGAGGCTCCCACGGATCGGACGGCTGCTCGGAGCGAGCAGGATTCCATGGTTCAACGCTATCTGAATTGTGCCACCAGCTACGCTGAGGACTCATATGAAGATCTCTCACATGCCCCGGCACCCGATTCCATACACGAAGAAGAAGGGACTGAGAGCGTCTTAGCAGGCAGAAATCTGCATGGTGAAACTAGCAACGACCATCAAAGGCAAAATGGACATGTGCTAAACCAGCCATTGACAATTAACAAGGAAGAGTCGAGAAACGTCGATCAAGAAACATGAGAACCGTTTCCTCCTGATGCCCCTTTCGGGCTGGGTGAGCCGGAGCCCCCATTCGCCAGAATTATCACCCGTGAACCCCAAGGTCCGCCTCCAAAAGCTGCAGATGGGACTCCTTGTAGACTAAGCGAGCCGAAGCCTCGATTCAATACTTACTAGCTTACTTATGCGCTCGATTTGGACCTGGAATCTGGATGTCAGGTCACGAACATTGATAAGGTCAGGGACTCCCTAGTGCATCTTGGTGGAATGTGTAACGTGGCGACTCCTGAATGTGAAAAAGGTATTCATCGATTGCGAGCACAGTGAGCAGGATGCCCTCACAAGTCGGATAAATAAAGATGAGATATATGAATGTTAGCCCTTGATTGTTGGCTAGATGACCATTACGAGCAAGCCACATGTCTGAGGGTGTTCAGCTCCGGCCTGGCTTCTCAGGGTTCAGTTGATGTACACGTGACTTTAACGCTGACTGGTCCAACACTGCAGCTTTAATGTTATTCGGATTGGAAGCTCCTTTGAACCTTGCCCTAATTTCAACCACGCCCGCTTGGTTAATCGTGAGGGAGCAAATAGAAAGGTTGAAGGTTACTCACCTCAAATCCGCATGGCACCCGAGAGCTATAAGTCAAATTGGACATCCAAATCGAAAATGACCGCGCAAGAAAGAGACGACAGCAACACCAAAACCACTCATCCCACGCCCCTAGCCCTCTTCTCCTACATCCCCCTATCTCCCAACCTAATCAGCCAAGTCCCGAAATATATGAGCTATAGCTTCTACGGCTCATTCGACGCCAACATCCTCTCCACCTCAGCCGCCTCCTTCGTTGAATCCAACTCAAACGCAAATAGCGAGAGTATAAAGCCTGTGATCCACAATTTTTTAACGCTCTCCCGCGACTATTGCAGATCCAGCGCTAAACCCCAGGACAGATCCCAGATCACACACTCGTGTTGGCTTTGCATCCGCATGGGCCCTCCGACCGACGAGTGGAAGGTCCCGCGATGGCACAGGGATGGGAGGATGTTTGAGTGCAGCTGCTCTTCCACTCCTGAAGGAGTACGGCGCCCGCACTCCAAGTATGCCATGGTGATCATCGGGACGGCGACGCGGGTGCTCGCGCCGAGTTCATATGTGGACGATGTACTTCAAAGTGTCAAGCGGTCGAACGAGGATCGCGGCCGCTCCGAGATTGCGGAAAAGATCGCAGGTTGTGAAGAGGTTGCTATGGAGAGGGGGCAGATTATCCGGTTTAGCTGGGGGCAGAAGGACTCGCCTGTGCATTCCGAGCCGGATTCTACGGGGGAGCATCGGGTGTTTGTCAGTGTGTTATATGGGAGTGAGGATGAGATTCGGGATATGTGTAAGTTAAGGAGGGTTCAGTATGTTCGTTCAGAAATCTGGGAAGCGTAGGTGAACGGAGATATGCGGGCCATTACTGGTATTAGGACTGTCGCGGGACCTGGGTTTGCCTTGATACGGAGATTGACAAGCATGTTCACTTGTGCATGCATGTATGCATATGAGATCCTCAAAAACATTTAGACTCATTAAATTTCCTCGTCCTATTGGTTTTACCTGGGAAGGCCCTTAAACTCGTTCATCCTGCCACAGCCACTACTCATTGATACCAATGGGCCTCCTCCCTAAACCTACGCCCCAGCAACTTGTCATGGTACAAATGACCCATCGTTTCTCATCATACCCGTAGCTCAGGCAACCTGAAAAAGGTCCGAAATACCGCGAGCCACGTGAACCCAGCCGCAGAGAAAGCCGTCTCGCTCTTCAAGTTGCTATAGGTGGGGCCCAACATATAGGCGCGACGATTGAGTTCAAAATGAACAAAAAGTAACAATATTCCTACTTAATACCTACCTATCGAGAGAGATGACCTTCACTCTGAGTTGAGTGGCATCGACCTTGGAGGCAATGGCGTAGGGTATGGGGCCAATGGTGCAGCCTGGACCATAAATTGTTAGCATGTCATAATAGTCACATTTTGACGGGAGGGGAGCTTATTATAAGCAAAGAACCACGAAGACAGTAGATTATGCCCATCCGATGGAAGACGAAGGGGCCAGATACAGGGACTTGACGAGAAATATGAGGGTCGCCATGATGGCAAGACCAGACAGGTAGATGGTGCGATATCCAAGACAATTTTGGATGAACCAAGAGCACGGCATGCCCAAAAAGGAAACATAGCAATCGCCTAGGAAAACCTGAGTGAATTAGATGTTGAAAATCCAGCCAGAGTGAAAAAAAAATACATCATGTAGTCCTGAATGGCAGAGTCGGGCAGGATCTGACATCCCCAACTGATCATTGCAAAATCGTCCTCCTATACGAACCGCCAATGTTCATCTTCCTCCTAGCTTCGAAAGTCTTAAATATCATGGCGATAGTGTCGCGTGAGTTGATGATGATACCATCAGGGGATGCGGTGATCCCCTCCAGCGTTGGTACAGCATCGTGGAAGAAGATCTTACGAACAAACCACGAGGGGGGAACGAGGACAGAGATACACACAATAGCCAGGGTAATGTCGACTTGGCGCCTACTTTCCTGGATTTTGCGGCGTTGCGCACGCCGAGTTAGATGCAGGGTGTGTCTTGAAGCGACTGTTCAAGAGGAAGATGCCAGATGACTGGCAGCAGGTTGTTTATCATCTATATTGGATGCACCGCGATATCACCCACGAGCTCTATGCGCACTACGGTGTGCGTGATCAGCAGTAACAGCGGACATGCTGGTACAACGAGGGCTTTAGCATTAAGGAGACACGAGCTGGTGGACAGAACAAGGATGGGGGCTTCACAGATACGCGGATGTGGTCAAAAAATGACCAAGGTGCTAGAGACTAAGATGGCTGAGTGTCAGGTGCAGATAAGCCACAGTGAATTATAGGCCTTAGATAGTCAATGAGCTCCAGTGGCTTGCAAGGCCCTAGCCTATACGAGGGTCGGAAAAGTCTAAATAGGCTGCTGTGACTCCCCTTCTCTTGAGGAAGAGCAGCAATTAACTTGTCGTTATTGAGTCCCCTACATTACACCACTGGTACCAACCTGGTGACTGGCAGCCGACTTCTCGTTAGCACTTTTGTCCGTCACTCTGTACTTGAAATACCCGTGACACTGAGATATGGGATGAACCAGAGCATCCTAAGGGGTCAAAATAGGAGTGCAAGGATGACACGTAGTTTGTCGCCGGAGCAATTATGAAATCTCAATAAGTTGTAATGGCTATTAAATTGTCTTGACCATTGTGAAATACAAAGTGGGAATGGATACAGTCCACCGTTGTTGGCAATCCTTCTCAGCTGTAAGTTTACCGCTGTGAAAGATACCTGCGTAGATAATAGGGGTAACTGGACCATCCAAAGTGTCCCAATCCCACTCATGAGGTTGAATAAGTGGTTTATAAAAAGTTTTATACATGCATACAGTTTTGCTGCACCAGAATTATCAAGTTAATGACATTGTGGTACGACAAGTCGTTGCCTGTGCTTGTGTAGACTCCCTCAACATCTCACGAGGGCGCCAAGACTAGGCATTGGCAAAGCGACACGAAAAGCTCATGGTTAAACCTTCGCAATGGCTAAGGTCTATAAATTTGTGTGCCTCGAGATCCAGGTTCAAATCTTGGGCTGGACAACTTATTTAACTTTATTGAATTCAATTTTTCTTATTTCTTTTCTGATGCCTTTCATTTAAACTTATTCGCATTTCTCTCTTCGAGTTTTCCTACTTTGTAAAAATGACTTTGAGGAATTTGTACCCATGTGGCGTTTGATATGAGTATATTCTGCTCTAACCTGGGACTAGCTATCTCACCGTCAGGCCTTGTTTATTGCGCCAGCGGGATGCGCTAGCTGAGATTCTGCGCGGCATATGTTGGGGGGCGACCGCGCCGCCCACCTGCTGCTGCAGCATGTTGCCTCTGTGTCAACAAAAGATTCAAGCAATCGGAGACGGTACGGCATCTTTCCGACCTGTCCTACGGGTGTCTATTTTGTACAGTCGCAAATCCTTGGCCTTTCATTTTATAGCTTTCTATACATCGCGTACCTGCCACAACACGTTCATGTGTCAGAGCCACAATCGATGTAGTCATATTCTCTACAAGACACACCCTGGAGAAACAATGAGGGGAAACTTGCGTCGGGATGATATTCAAGATGCCAGACCAGCCCGTCGAGCCAGGCGCTCAATGCTCCAGAGACAAAGCGACACTCCCGTGAGTTCGTCGAATTCAGCAGTGACGCTAACAGTGGCCGGTGCCAACAACGATGAACAATCAGGCCCATCAAGCTCTGAACATGACAACAACGAGAACGGCAACGGTGAAGAAATTGATGATGACGACGCGTGTCCCATATGCCAACTCATGCTCTACAACCCCGTGACCACAACCTGTCGTCACACACTCTGCAAATTTTGCATGGCGACCTGGGCCTCCGTCTCCCTAGCAGCACCCATGATAATCGTCGACGTAGACGAGGAGCCCGTCCCCTTCGACGCCGTCTCAGAGCTCGAGGCGCGCTGCCCTATGTGCCGCATGCAAACCACAGCCTCTGACAACGCACAGCGTGCCGCTCACTTAAAAGCTACATACCCCCAAAAATGGGCAGAGCGCGCAGCAGAGGTAGAGGCTGATCGCGAAAGACGAGCAGAGGGGGGAGATGGAATCCAGACGATGACGGTGTACATTGGCAATCGACACGAGACCGTGTCACCCAGCGGCGACGACCTCATGCAGAACCGTCACGAGTGGACGTTCTTTGTGAAGCCTAGCCGGACGGATATTGTGGAGGAAGTACACATCTTCCTGCACCCGACTTTCCGCGAGAACCACATAATTCGCCAGCGGCCGCCATACCAGATCTCACGGTTGGGGTGGGGCATCTTCACTATTACGGCATCCGTAATTTTGAAGGCGGGGTACGCGTGGGTGTCGGATGACGCGCAGGATTCGCCCGATGGGGCGGCAAAGGGGATGTTGCCGCTTGAGTGGACGTTGGATTTTGATGGATTTGGGGGAAAGGGATCAATGGGGAGGTGTAAGCTCAAGGTAAAGCATGATCGCGGGTGGCAGGATGATGAGGCCGAAAGGGATAATAGGGAGTGGAATCGCATGGTGAGGCAGTATGAGCGGGATGGGAGATATGAGCCTGGAGCATGACTGTTGGACTTTCTTCTCTTGCGAGGAAGAATAAAAAGAGAAAAGTGGATGGAAGCCCCGGGGTGCCAGGGATATCAAGGAGGCAGCTAGGTTGGACTTGTAGGACAACACCCTATTAGGTCCACGTTTGGGGTACTGATGAATTGCGGCCCAGAACATGCGAGGAAAATACACCTAGGAAACGGAGCCGTACAAAATAAACGTAGTGAGCATCCATCCACACTTGGTTTACGTCTCTGGACTGTAATCAGTAATCTGGCTACCAAAGTCGACTTGTGGTATATCAGTTTGACTGGTATTTCCGGCGTACCGCATTTTGACGTGAAATCTGTTCAGTTGATTTGCATCCAATGACAAGAGTAACCATTCTGTAACGACATGCACCTCACTATCACAAACGGTACATATGGTCCACTAGTATAACCAAATCCGAAGATTTTGCCTCCATAACGATCCCACGATCGTGTGACACAACTTAAAGGTAAAATCAGACAGTTGGCGAGTAACGGATACGCTATTTTCTTATGACAGCCCAACAATTGCTGTATATCGATTTTTTTCTCCTCTTGTCTTTACAAGCTGCACAGCGAATCCGCCATACTCTGCGGCTCGGGCAACTTCCAAGTATAATAGGTATGGCCCTTTTCCAGGGTTACTCAATTTTGACGTATACAGCCATAAACTCAGTCGATATAGTCAAGCTATGGAAATAATTTGCAGCGGCTGCGAAAAGGCAAGACTTCTCTTACCGACAAACTAGCCATGTAATAATGGCCGCTGATGAACAAGAAGACGCGTTACTATTGATCAAGTATTTTTATTATATTTTACTCTTTTACCTTTTCAGTGTCAACTCCGGCTTTTTCTTATTACCTGAAGATGTAAGAAGAGAGAGGGAGTAAATAACATGTAACACATAGATTGCATCAATAAGGCCGATATAACTGGGATAACAGCAACAAGTCATCTTAGGCCTATGGTTCCTGTAAACCAGCTAACTAGCATAATACAGGACAACAAGATCAAGACAAAAAAATGCGACCAAGCATAGTAAGACTAAGTAAGGTACAAGGGGCAGCTTACACTCGTGGAACGTCACCAACCCAAAAATGAACATTGCACTAGCCGCGAATCGAACGCGGGGCCCATCGATGGCAACGATGGATTTTACCACTAAACCACTAGTGCTTACTGCGGGAGTGACAATTTTGGGAATAGTGGGTACCTATATCGTGCTTGAGACAGGCCCACTCACTTCTTTGTTTCTCTCCGAACTTCTGCCGACCCCTGAACTTCAGTCCAGTCCAGGCTGGCCAAACCCAACTCCTGCAACTGAATGCACAAGTGGAAAATCCTCGGACTACTCTAACTTACAATGACAATGCGAACACCAAAAATAGTACACGAAGCAATTGGACAGTAGAGTACTGGGAAGGTGATGTCTAATCCTAGTCTAGTACGTGCTGTGTGTTTAGTGATTTGTGACGGTAAGTCAACTCTGAGCCATGCCCCCTTCTCTTTCATCACCATTACTATTGTCCTTCTCCCATTCCAAGATGATCCCGAAAATATCCCATGCTTCAAGGGACGTTCCCTTCAGCGTTGAAACGGAGCTTCCAGATACGTCTACCTCTCTCATCGCGTCCAACATCTTCGAGAAGGCCTTCCTCACCATCGAGCATCTTCACCACACGCTCTTCCCCGACAGGAAGTATCACACTAATTCCATTTGCCAACCAAAGTGGCTCAAAGGTTCCACACTTCTTAACACTTACACTGATCTGTATGTGTTTCTCTGATGCACCATACTTGATGGTAGCTTCGACAAGGTCTGCCTTCTCCGCACAGCTGATACCATCGTCTTCCAACCAGGTTGTTTTAAACAACTTGGTAGACCGAGGAATTTTTCTCTCAGGAGAATCTCTTTCTGCTGGCAACTCTGGGCTATGGATGTTAGGCGGTGGGAATATCTCAACCCCCCGCCAGTCATCCTTGGCCATGCTTGGGAACTCAGGGTCCTCGGTCGCCAAACAGGTGGTCGGTTTCGATTTACCAACCGGGATCGCAGAACCGATGCGTGCCAGCACTGGAATTGAACTGTGCCAAATTGACGAGATGTCGTGCCACTTTCCAGGGGCCAAGAATTGGTAGGGTGCCGAAAGATTGAGGAAGCCAACATCCCCGGAACGTCCCGGCAGGTAGACTCGCGCAGACGTAATTCCAGGCTCATAGACACCAGCGATCATAAGCGCATCTCCAAACCAGTATTGCGTGTCACCCTTCAGCACCTCGTTGGACCAAACGAGTGGATCGGACTCGTAACTCCAGCCTGTCCACCGCTGTGGCGGGGTAGCATCCCGGTGAGACTGAAGCATGAGAGAGTACGTGTATGGGACAAGTTCGTAACGGCGTTTGATTGCTGTTCGAATGATTGGAGCGACGGAAGGATACTGCCATGGTTCAATGACTTCGCCCACCAAATTGTCCGAGGGGTTCGTCTTGTAGCAATTAATTGCGAACCGCGGAGAATGGATCCCCAACTGGATCCATCTGACCAGGTGTTCAGGAGTCGGCTGAGGTCCTTCAAAGCCACCAATGTCATGCCCATAGCACTTTCTTTTGTCAGTTCGTATGTTGATCTGGTTCAACGGGGCGGCCTACCTGGAGTAGAGAAAACCCGGCATTCAAGGCTAGAGCATTAGCGCCTTTCATTCCTTCCCAGCTCGTGACATTGTCACCGCTCCAAGAACTGGCGCAATATCTCATAGTCCCCGCGGTGGCGCTGCGAGTCAGGACAAAGGGGCGAGTATCTGGCTCTGCCTCGACGGTAGCATTGTGGGAACTCTTTCCCATGAGTTCGGTGTGAAGCGCACGACCCCAGAGTCCAATATGTGTGGGGATGTCTTTCTCAGGAGCGTTGACCGTTTCCATAGCACACTGCCAGTCATCGTTCGGGATATTGTATTCGTTGTTGTCATTCCACATCGCGTCAATCCCGACATCCTTCAAAGCGCGAACCCCTTCATACCACCAGTCGAACCCCGCCTTGGACGTGAAATCAATGTGGCTACCTTCTCCACTCTCACCACCTCCAGCGCTCCAAAGTCTTGCGACCGCTGTGTGATTGGTGTTTGGGTCAGTGAAGAAAGCTTTCGATTTGGACAACTCTGGGTAGCTGGGGTGATTCGCAAGAACGTATGGCTTGATATTTGCAAGGAGCCTTACCCCCCTCTTGTGACACTCCTGAGTGAAGCCCCGAGGGTCTGGAAACCTATGTCGGTTCCACGTAAAGACGTTCCTGGTCTTGGGCTCGGTTTCAGCTACAGTGTAGCCAGAACTCATTTGGAACGCGGAGCATGGCATGTCATGCTTCTCGCAGTCCGTGATGAATTTCAGAATAGCGTCGCATCCACGAGGTGAATCCTCCATGCTATACTTCATACCGCCACCGACGTAACCCATCATGTACCGTGGTACCAACAAGGGGAATCCAACGAGCTCTGCATAGGCTCGGACGACTTCCGTAACAGTGTTGCCCACAATGAGATACTCCTCGAGTCCGCCATATGCTTGTCGATAGACCTTGAAGTGACCCCACAAGCCATCGATCTCCGAGCCAACAGCCCAAGTGCCACGTGAATGTGAGGTTGAGAAAATCCCGACACATCCCGTGGGAGTGACATTAATTAACAGTGGGATGTGCTTATAGAGTGGATCTGTACGGTAAGCATCATACCCAAAGGTGTCACTGGCGGAAATGATGAAGCCACGGCCACTCAAGTCCATCGGCGCTGACTTCTCCCCAAGCCCGACATGGAGGGTATCCTTCTTGTATGTCGCGTAATGAGCAATGCCACTAGCATCGATGGCGTATGAACGAAAGTGAAGATCCTGATGAATGGGCTTCTGTACACCCTCAAGGAATAGAGAGACGATGGGAGCTCCAGCCCACTCCACTATAGCTTTCACCTTGCCAATTTCAATAACACGGGAACGACGGTGAAGGTCAGTGCTCACATCCGGGGTCAAGGCACCGAAGCTGGGAGTGGGTCTTCTGGCACTTGGGTGTGGTGGAATAGGATGCTGCGGCGATGAGAAGGTGGTGCGGAAGACATTGGGACGAATAGCTTCGAAGTGGAAAAGGCAATTTCCATATGAAGCATCATCAGTAGTTCGAAGCGTGATGTTGGGAGAAACTTTCGGTCCGTTGCAGTCGTCCTGCAGCTCGTAGTGTTGCAGTACTCGTTCGCGTTGGTGCAACATCGTGTAGGCTATGCAGAACCAATTCTAGAGAAGTGTCTATTGAACGTAAGGTGTAGTAAAAATATAGGAAACACGGGCGGAGGTTAAATAAAAATCGATGCCCATTGAATGTTAAAAATGAGGGGAAAGAGCATGGGGCCATGTCCTGGCCGAGGGTGAATGGGACAAGGGCATCCTGGGGCCTACTACAGGCCTGTTGAATGATCCAAGTGGGCGTCGAACAAGAGCCGAAAGTTGCCTTTCTGGGAGAACAGACAAGTTGACGTCGATGCTATATCGTTAGACAGTCCTCAAGTTGCTTAGTTGGCCGTCATTATGCTTACCATTGTGGAGAAACCGGGGCGGGGACGGAGAACATACGAGGACCTGTCCTCCTATTGAGTAGGCACTTGCGGTTCAAGAACCAGTTTCGACCTCGATTCACCCCACTCGGCCATGCAGGCATGCTGCCAACAAAGGCATACATGGGCAAATCTACAAGGCTTCATGGTGAAGTCGACGCCCATGCGTATAGAGCGTCCCAAATACTGCTGTAACGACAGCACCCATACTTGAAGGTTGACAGTAAGTCGGCAGTCCGGGAGCCGCTGTGCACCGGTGCAGAAGTGGGCTGGAGCGTCAAGAAAGCCGGCCGTTCAGTACCAACATTCGCCGATTGGAACGATTGCAGAGGCGCGGTTCGGTCGGCAGGTTGTCTGATTGACCGACATCCTTGCATGCTCTGTCAATGATCCAGTCATCTTGTGCCCTTGAAATTGGCAGCTGACTTGACGAATTGGGTCCCAATGGGCAGACAATGCTGTATCGAAGCCGACGTCGGATGAAGCTCGTCTGAAGAGCATTGGCGATATCGAGATATGACACCGAAACAGTGCGTTGCGCTGCATCACAGCTTAGTTCGCCTTGGCCAAGGACCTCAAGTAAAGTTGGAAGCTCCAGACTACCGATGACCAACATGGATGCGGCATCGGGACGACACCGGACGCATGAGATCTCAACATGGAGATGGAAAGTCAGCATGAGCGTACAATTGTCATTTCGTGTTGGGGGCACAAGTTAACCCTCCTACCGCCCCACCTTCCCCCATCCCCATCTTTGAAAAAAAGAAGAGGAATAGGGAAGATTTTATGGATTTTGACATAAAATCCGGGGTAGAGCTAACTTCGACTCTACGCGGGGGAGATAATTTGAGCGCTGGGATGTCCAGAATTAATCGGGGCCTGTCGGGAAATGCCGGGAAATGCCGTAACAAAACAGACTAACCTTGTCACTCAACGCCCTAAGGTCAGGAACAATTTAATGTTTTGTCTCAGGCTAGATTTGCTTCATAGTCAGGCTTTAAGATCTCGGGAGTTGAAATGATGCCTGCCAGGCAAGTTGCTCGTAAGAATGCTTCGACAATGGTCTGTTATTTGACATGCCCCTCGCTATGACCTCATATAGTAGCGGGTAAAGTGTTGTCGATTTGGTGTTTTGGCCATTATATTCTGCAGGTTCTATAGTCTTGGTTGCGGTCTGTCTGTACTTATACTTCTTCAATCTATTTTGGTCTATGCATTATTCTCGTTCGATTAGCACTAGCTGTGTCTTAGCACCAAACCACTGCTTTACACTTGCTAACACAGAACCCAACATTGGTGGCCTTAGAGCACTATCAAATACCACATCCAGCAAAACATATCGAAATGACTAGAACTTTCACATATAATGTTGGTTATCCTGTGGGACTATTGTACTGTGCTACCTTCGACAATCAGTCATTTGAAGTGAATCCATGTAAATGCACACATGGTAGTGCGCATTGCTTGTTGGAATCTTCAGCGAGCAATATGAGAACGAGGTCATCTCCCAAAGCAACCACGTGGCAACACTCTAGGCACTCCCGCTATTCGATGCACGTTAATATGGTATCTGCAAATTTATTACAAGCCTGCCTGCTGTATGCTGCGAGGCTCAAGCATAGCATGATGGCAGCATGCTTCTCGACCGGGTGCAGTGCCCGCCTATCTTTTCATTATTCCTGCTTTGGCCTTACTAGCCTAACGACATGAACTTGTCCATCAAGCACGGATAATCCTGGGGTGGTTGATGCGTTCCTGGGTTAGAAAGGGGCTAACTTAAGCGGGGAACCATGCAGTGGCTTCGCCGGGGCGAGGGAATGAGTCGGCATCTTGGGCGATTGACAGCGGGATGCGGAGTAAAGGTCGAAGAAAATAGATTTAAGCGAGCCAGTTTCCCCATTCGATGCTGGGAAGTGCACATTTCGTACGGTGCACTTTGTGCGTAGCCCAATGTTGGGTAATGGCGACATATCGTGACATGTGAAACAGACTTGCCTCGGGATGTCGAATCAGTCCGTCGACGATGCCGGCAACGACGATTCGGGAGGGGCGCCCTCCGCTACCGGTCTCGCTTGCAACGGCTGCCGGCGAGCCAAGCTGCGGTGCTCGAGGGACCGGCCTACTTGCGAGCACTGCCGAAAGACCAGTATGCACCTTATCACTTGTCATGCTTATGCCTGATACTAAAAGGTCTTGGCAGGCCTCGACTGTATCTACGAGTTAAAGCGTGTCAAGCCGGGTCTGAAGACAGGCGCGGTAGAGAATCTGCATAGGAGAATGGGTGAAACATAAAATGATCGCCTGACCTTATTGACTGACGTGCTCACGGTTTTGCAGACACACTGGAACAACTGGTCCTGGAAGGTGGCCTGGATCAGAGGACAACCCCAACTTGCAGTGACCACAACGGCAACTGCACTGGCAGTAGCCACGAGTCCGCTGCATACAAGATACTCTCATTGCTCGCAAAAGAGCTTCCAAAGCTGGTCAATGCACCCAGAGCATCTCCACCAAGAGAGGAACCACATGCGGATCCTCGAAAGAGACGGCGGGTGGTTGAGGACGACGCCGTAGTAAAGAAGCCATCTGACACTAGTGACTGTCCACCACTGCCTGAAAATTCTTCTCTTGAGGCAATCATTACGGCATACTTCGCCAACGTTCAACAGTGGATACCCATGGTTCACCCATCGCGGTTCCAGAGACAATATCGAGACCCGGCCGAGCGGCCTAGACTTGCCATCATACTTCAAGCTATGACGCTTTCTGCAACCAAGTTCGTGACGGCCGAGAATATCGCTTTCAACTCTAGTGCACCGGCTTGGCCCTCTAACCGGGTTCGCAACTGGATAATATCCTCCGCCATGGACTCTCTGACCGTTGAGAGTCTTCAGGCCTTGACAATTATTGCCTTCACTGATGTGAGCTCCTGTTACTTCCCTTGGAGATGGAGTGCGGTCTAACATGGACAGATCGGGGACGGCAATGCTGCGAGAGCGTGGTCCATCGTCGGATCACTCACTCGGACTGTCGAGTACCTTCAACTGACTGTCGAACATGAGGATAGTGATCGCCAGCCATGTTGCCAACCTTTCACCTCCTTGAACACGACACAAAACTGGACAATACTGGAAGAAAGAAGGCATGTCTTCTGGAACATATTCAATCTGGACCGGTTTTGCAACACCAGTCTGGGTTGGAATACGAGCCTGACCTCGGATGACGTGCATCGCCGACTTCCTTGTGACGGCGGCCTCTGGCACAAGGAGAATCCAGTAGTAACCCCCTACTTTGGGATTTGGGACAAATCAGCAGGTAGGATCGGAAATCCCATCGCATTTATACCATCGCACTATCAATCGTCTCCAGGCCAGGCTGGTGCTGAGGCAGAGATGCAAAGCCTCCCTGAGTCAGTGTCTTCTGCCGGGGGACCGCCAACAACCGACATGTCAACGGTCGGTGCATTCGCGTATTGCATCGAGGCGACCGAATCCATGAGCCGTGTTACGAGCTACTTTTTACAGCAGAAGATCAATATGCGGGACCAGAAAGAGATTGGATGTTGGCTCACGCGGTTCAAAGAGTTAGACCTCCGCCTTGTGCACTGGAAGGCATGTAAAACTATCACTTCTTTGGACGACTCGAACTAACAGCCCGAAGATGCTACTGCCACAAAAATGGAAGTCGGAGATTGCGCGGCAGACAACCATGATGGACCCCAATCTAACTCTCGCCCATTGCACCCACAATGCTTCAATGATCCTCCTACACCAGCTTATTGCGTACCCGCCTGCCAGTTGGGCCTTTCGCAACCGCCTACCTAGCAGCTGCAGTGCAGATACGTGTTATTCCGCAGGTGTCGAAATTGCAACGATTACGGAGAACTACCTAAAGTATACACCCGATGCATCGCCAGTCACGAGCCAATTCTGTTTTTGCGTCTTTGTGGCAGGCAGGATGATGCTCATGCACTGGCGGTTCTACGTCGAGAACCGACTCGCCGATGAATTCTGGTCTCTGATTAGAAGCCTTCAGGAAATGTCGCGACGATGGGTGGCCTTCTCGGAAGAGCCCATCCTGGACTTGGCTGCTAAGTACGCGCTGAAGCTGAAAGATCTCTATGATATGTGCGAAAAAGACGAGAGCTATCGGATTGACGTCACGGGGTATACGAACGAGATCGACCATCAAAGCAAGTTTGAGCAGCGAACCGAAACAACTCGACAGAACATTCGACACAAAGCGCAGGAGCCATCGTACCTACCAAAAGAGCAGACCCATAGCGAGGTTAGTCAATGGGCGTATGGGTCAGCAGCCATGTCCGGCAGGCTCTCGTGTCTCGATATGAATACACCTGCACCTAGCGGTGGCCACTCTTTAGAGATGGCTCCTGACAGCTCGACAACAGCGGTGACCAATCGAATGGATATGTCAAACCCGTCAAGCGCTGGTGTTGATACGGGCGAGTTCAACACAATACCACAGATGATGCTGGATCAGCACTTTATGCATATGGATCGAATCATAACCTTCGATGACGGGAGCATGTTTGCAGCAAATTTGGAGGGCTCGGTTTGGTAACTGAGAAGTAAAAATCAAAACGACGCCACAGTTCTGGGTACGTGAATTGCGCAGGAGGAAAATAATGACGATAATGGGCCAAGAACTGCAGTCGACGCAAGGGACTTGTGCTCTGCGGGAGCGCATGGCATGCCCGAATTACTTGTAGAATGGAGCAATTCCACCATATTTGCACCACTTAGTCGATTATCTACGTCATACAAGCTATTCAAATCCCTCTATAAGCCTTGTTTTCAAGACCCCGTTGCGTGTTACCAAGCCTTTTCTGGCCTATATCGAGTTGTCTTTAATACTGCATCGGAGAAGATTAGGCCTTCAACATCTCCCAAGACTCTATTTTTGCCGTGCATTTGCAACGAACTGTCCCAGGATCTGTTTCGGTTTCGCCGAGACGCGCCAAAATACTGCAGGCCTGCGTGTAGCCTGTTATATGCTGCAAGAGGTTACAAAGTAAAGGCAGGAAATATCAACCTTTGGTGGAAATGGTGGGGTTTCTCGAAGATCAAACCATCGACCTGGAAAAATTTGTCAAGTTGTTGACTGGTGTCGATACTTCGAACCGAAAAGTCTTTAGTTGATTCGCCCAGCGTTGGTTACGTATCAAAATGCGAGAAAACCTGCAAATGTGTGTGTGCATGTGCGCGTTTGTAGAAGCAGATTTGCTGGGAACACACCATTCAAGTCATACAAGAACTGGTATGCGTCTCTTCTTTTGTCCATGTATTCGCTACAATAGTAAATATCTCTTGGTTTTGGCACCTCCAGCAGCATGGTGTCAGTCTCGACGCCCGAGCGGAGGTATTTCTTTGACAGGGGTGAAAGCCAGACTACGTGTATACGTCCCAACTAAATAATTCGATGAGCTTATAATAATGCTCTCAATAACAATGTTAATCTCAGACACATCTCCCACATTCTTGATCTTGTGCTAACACCCAACACCCAAGCCATGCCGACTCTAGGTACTCTTCGTGTATTTTACAGTTAGAGCCCGCTTCCAATCACATTGTACTTCCGCTCAGTCTCAAAATACTGCGTCCAATCTTTACACTGGCTTTGAATCGTCTGCAGCTGTTCAGGTGATACCACAATGTCCTTCCGCCGCACTAGTGCATTGGTCACAAGTCCTTCGCTTGCGTGCCAAGATATGTGGCAATGCAAGATCCAAGCGCCGGGCGAAGAGGTTTCAAACGCCATGACGGCGTACCCTCCAGCCGGGAGCATGAATGTATCCCGCCGCATGGGGTTGGCGAAGTTCAGCGAACGGATATCCTGGTTCCATGTTCCGTTACCAGATGCCAGAATGCGGAGAGTGTTGCCGTGCATATGAAGTCTGGAATCACAGGGTGAGTTGCTTGGAGACCTGGGTCGAACAGGGGCTTAGTTGACTTACGGATGTGGCTCCGAGAACTGATTCTGAACGTACCAGAATGCAAACTTGGAGCTTCCATCGACCTCGATCAAATTATCTGATGCTTGAAAATTTGGGTTCTTCTGAGAAAGCCGACTGATGATCGGTTGCTCCCAATTGGCTACCATGGTCGAGCTGCCAATTACCCAGCGGAATACCCGGCCTCCGGTGACGCTCGTGACTTGGAATGGACTCGACACGGGAACCTGTGTTAGTTTAAAGGCAGTCGTGTCGACCGACTTAGGAGGGATGGGCTGCACCTGGTCGAGTGCCTCATCGTAGCATCCCTCAACAATAGGGGACATTTGACTCCGGGGCAAACCATCTGGAATATCTGCCTCGGCTCCCGTGTACGAGAAGATTCCATTGGCGAGATTGCCTTTGCCGTCATTTCTGTTAAACACGCAGGGTTGAGGAACTGCGCGTATCCAGTATGACCCATCTCGTCCTCGTTGCCCGCCTGCATTGGCCGTCACTACTACATTTACTCGTTGACCTGATTCAGGAAGAAAATTAGCATTTCCCGTCCTTATAACTCACTCACTTAGTCTTGGTGCATACCAACGCCAAGTTTCACCCAGGTTGTCGTGTATGGGACGATTGCTTGCCCGTCAATGGAAACAACTTGTAGCTGATGGTTGTCTGCTTCTGATTAGACCGAGTTATACCCGAATCGTTCCAATGAGATAACATACCGATACCAACTTGATAAAAGTTGTCCACACCTGTGTTGATGAAACGCATCAAGTATCGCTGATTCCTCTGCACATTAACCTGAAAATGCCGTCCGCCGCCAGCAAAGTTTAGGTTGGTCCCATTGAAGAGAATATTGTCTGGTATGCTGACATTGGCGCCCTGTGTCATCGTGATGGTGTCCTGTCCCTGGCTGCCAACGTTGTGGTATCTGAAAATCCACTTTAGTATGGAGACTTTGAAACCGTTACAAGCCGCTTACACTTCCGAAATGGTGATAGGACCCAAATCCACGTCGTAGCCAGCAGCATGTGGCCCATTCACAATAATTGCACCCCAAACGCCGTCACCGTATTGGGATGAATGGTGGCTGTGGTACCAGTAGGTTCCGTGTTGAGTTGCTTGCCAGGTGTATACCCTCGTCTTTCCGGGGGCGAGAGGGCACTCGGTGACACCGTTGACCCCGTCCTGCTGACATATCAGCACCTTCGAACGTGATTTTGGATGGCAATAAGTAGCTTGCCTGGGTATTTGATCCCCGCTGAGGTATTCCATGCCAGTGGAAACTTGTTCTGCCCAACCCTTAGTCATGTTGATTCTGAAAACCAAGATCAAACTCACCCATTATCTTGCAAGCTGTTGATTACGGTTATTCTTGCCGTGTCTCCCCAGTCTGGAACTATTAGCTTCGATGATTGTGGACGTATACTGGTACTCACTTATAAAGACTGTTGGTCCAGGCAATTGGTTGTTTATTAGAAGGCAAGGTTTTGGAACCCCATCGGGGGCGCATGTAGTGTTCTTAACCTCAAATGTATACTGCAAAAATTTTAGTCTTCAATCAGAGAAATCTTGAAAATATCGACAGGATGTGACCAACATCTACGATTTTACCCGTGTTTGGAAATGCCGTCTCCGCGTCCGTAGTAATGTCAAATCGGCCCCAGCAGCCATTGGGTGACCCTCCACAGACACCACCGCTGCCTCCTGGTGGAACCTCAGGATCCAAAGTGGCTTGAGGTGTTGGAGGTCCTTGAGGCGGTGGTGATGGCTGCGGGTTGGGGTCGCTTGCGGGTGTCCCAGTCGGAATAGGAAACGTAAAGTTTGGAGCTGTAGGGAATGAAATCTGTCGAGAATACAGCCTCCGCACACCACTTAGATACGAGTCTAAGAACAACGCATTCGTCAATGGCAAGCACAGAAGCGCACCACGGTATGGGGTCTTCATGATTAGGAGGTTAGCGACTGTCTGTAAGAAGAGAAGGAACGTATTACTTGCAGAAAGATTAAGTAGATTGACAGTTCGCCGACGATATAAGGAAGAGTGTTAAAGTGCCGAGTATATCAGACGAACATGACGTTGGCTCGCTACGATGTGCCGTATGTCTCGACCAACCCTTGGCCGGGCTACGCCTTCGTCTGAAAGTCAAGCTTTCGATTGGCACTGTCCGATCTATGAGACGAAGCTGTCGCCGGTATATCCGAATATGAAATTTCTCACCGGCCTAATAGAAATGTCTGATGATATCGCTAGGCAACAGAGTCCCTGATTCTGAACCAATTCCAGGTTCAGCATATTCGCAGGCTTTGATTAAATCTTGGCTGCCCATTCTTCTAGTATCACACCCAGATCCGGATCTATGTTCTAAACACTCACATGGTCACCGATCGTCCGATCACCGTACCCGGACACCGTTGTTCGTCAATTTTCTACGCCGACGTGATGCTGTAAACTCCCCGCAAGGGCTTGGAAGTGAATATGAAACTCGAGAATCCTTGTCAGAATGTGCCTTTATTCTAGATTTGTGGTTTCGGGCCGGGTCGCCGCGGAAATCCGAATTTCTAAGCAAAGCTTAAACAGATCACCAGACGAACTACAGCAGAGCCCCAATCGCATAACAGTCACACATCTCAAAGAAGTTAGCACCTCCTAAGCGAAATGCAAGGGGAAAGTATGCTGATATGTGTGCAAATATTGTTCTCACTAGAAAATATTAGTTTGCAGACGGAAAATATGTTAACGCGACCCAGGTAAGTTCACGGAAGAAATATCTCCACGGAAGTCCGGACGCCGGGCATTTCTCACATATCCCTAATTTGCCCGAGTTCGGTTCGGTTTTTAATAGGAACCCGAATGAGAGAATAGGCTATGTTCGGTATTCAATACACCCCGTTGCCTTTTGCCTTCATCCCTATGTGAATTTCCACATTGCTCCTCTAACCGTGGTGATAATATGGGCGCGTAGTTCAAAAGACCCCTACAAAACTGTCAGCTTATACATGGTCAAAGGAGTGATACTGTTGCTTCCGACGTATGCCCAACCAGGATTATTACCCTGAGTCTAACCCTCACATGACCTTGCGGCTAACAGACTTCAACTTGTAGAAATAGAAGATTCCATATTTGTCTCATACCCCAATTCTGTATCCTCCATAAGATATATCTTCGCAGAAACGACCGTCTGATTGAGTCACGCCTCAAAGTTCGACGTTCACGACAATATCCTGCATTCTGGGAAGCTCATTAGTTGTGAATGAGAAAATTGCTTATATTCCCTTCACCGGCAAACTCAGGGAAGGTCACATTACAGAAGGTAGAGACAACAAGGTAGCTTATCTCGCCAAGCTTTGCAGACTCATCAGTGCTACCCTCAAGTCAGTCATCTTGACCCCAGATTCCAGACCTCCTTCTAGCGTGCCACTTGTTCCAAGGATCCACAACTCCACTATGTAGCTTTTGTCGGTATCGAATCAGCTCGTGGTTAACGTGCCCACGTGCGTAGTATCTCTCTTACAAGGCCACCATCAATCGGCCAAGGGCAGCTTCCGAGACGGTACTACCAAGTACGACGCTGTCGTGAGCGGTATAGCTTCAAACTCATGCAGCAGTCGCCATGACTAAATACGTCATGAGGCCTTCCGGAGTCTATTCCAACCCTTGACATCCTCCACTTCGCGAGGTCGATATCAGCCTCTCCCCACAGCGGATGATGAGGGTGACGAGATTGATAGCCCAAATTCATCCAATACCATGGCCGATGAAGCCAATGGTGATAAGCGGGCCACGGACTCTCACACCATTGTGAATACCTCCGCATCTCAACACGCCCGCGATGCCGCCGCCGAGTTCCTGCACAAGAATCCACAGAGTCGTATCATAATCAATCCCGCAGACGACAAGCGTCTGCTGCAACGTATTGATCTCGTCATCTTACCCATCATGTTGACCGTCTATTTTCTCCAAGCCCTCGACAAAGCCACCCTGGCATACGCATCGGTCTTTTGCCTAATCGACCACACCGGTCTCGTCGGCGACCATTACAGCTGACTAGGTAGTACTGTGTATCTCGCCCAGCTACTTATGCAGCTTCCGATGGCATGGCTGCTGGTGCGACTGCCTATTGCCAAGTTTAACGAGTATCATGGTTTGCTTGTGGGGCATGATGCTCACATGCATGGCTGCTGCGCATAGCTTTGGGCGTCTTCTGGCGACGAGATTATTCTTCGGCGCATTTGAGGCCAGTGTCGCGCCTAGATTCATTGCTATTATGCAGACGTGGTAGATAAGGCCGGAGCAGGCAGTGAGGATTAGTTATTGGTAGGCGATGAATGGCATTACGAATATGGCAAGTCACCAAATCATGGCAGCTTCTCATTGGATCTGCGGGTGAGTGGATGCGCTTAGTCCAGAAGTTTAATCACCTATGGCTTGGGGCATACAGTGTCCCACTTGCACTCCTACCAGGTATGTCTGCCTACCGAAGTGTATGACAAGATAGCATTCACAGTCATCGGCAGATCATATTAATATTCTTCGGTGTCATCACCGTCACCTTATCGTTCGTCATGTTGACCTTCACGCCTGACTCGCTAGTTGAAGCCAATTCTCTCAAGGACAACGACAAGCTCATTGCGGTTGAGAGGCTGAGGATGAACCAAATGGGTGTCGTTTCGTGTGAGCGGAAAAACGGCCACTTGAAACAATCTCACTTGGATCCAAGGCTTGGTTCTAGTTCTGCCTACTGTTCTCTATTAGCATTCCCTTCGGTGGGATCTCCACCATTGAACCTCTCGTCGTTAAGACTTGCGGCTTTGACAACTTCCAAACCATTTTGTTCAACATCCCGTTCGGGGCCGTACATTTGGTTACCACAGTCGGAGAGGTATTTCTGGCCCAGAAGCTCAAGAAAATAGGGTCATTCATTGCATTATTGTGCATACCCTCGATAGTCAGCTGCGCGGTTCTCGTGGTGTTGCCTCACGAGGCTTCTCACAGGGTCCCCTTCTATTCGGGTACTACCTTATCTCCATCTAACCTGGCACCCGTGAGTCTTTTACGAACCTCAACACTTTTCATGACTGAATAGCACATTAGCCCCTTTGATTTACTCGCGGTCTGCACAAAACACCCCTGGTGACACCAAGCCCAAATGCATCAACGCGGTGCTCTTCATCGGACATTCCACCGGCAATGTGGTTGGTCCCCTCTTGTATAGACAGAAGGAAGCGCCATCGTATAGTCCGGGTCTCAAGTCGAACCTCGCCCTCTATGTCGTCATAATCGTATTAGTCGTTGTGACCACACTATTTACCATTACTAGTGATGCGGATGGGTTGCCTGAGGGTGCTGACACTGGAACTGCCGTGGCTGGATAGATAGGTGAGCGGGCGTTTGAAAACTTGTTGGATTTGCAGAGTGGGGAGTTTGTTTTCGTTGTTTAATGCTGATAGATAGGATATGAGGTTTCACGTTCTGTTGGCGATGGCGTTAATGTGCATATAGTTTCAGACAATTTGGGTTGACTGGGAATTATGACACTCTTCGATTACTCTACAGGTAGTTATACCACCGATTGTTGCTAGTATTTACGTCATCTGCATATGTCAAAGGTCGCGTGGCCACCTGTTATAGCTCCACTGTGAGCACACTGTAATCAATGTTTAGCGATTTACAAGTTGAAGTTGGTGGATTACTAGTGAAAATCGGAACCAGTTAAAAATAGTCTTCCGTGAAAAGAAGGTATCAACCTTGGATCCAATCCAAGGTCATGGAATCAGCCGTCATTAATGACGGGTAAATGGTGGGGATATACAAAACACAAACTCCATCCCCCAGAAGGCCTTGACCCTCCGCCCCGCCACTGACATTTACTCGCGTGGACCCCGTCAACCCGCCGTCAGCTCTCCCACCGCAGCTCTCGCGTGGCAGGTCCAAGGGGGCCTAACGTCAATATTATCCTCTATGACTAGCGAGGCAGTCTCCGAGGGGCCAGGAGTTGGGAACAATGACAGAAGCAGAATGTGGTAGTCGGCAGTCTTCCAGCTCAACGCCCGAGCTACAACTCGCTATCGGGTTCCATTTCATTTCAGATTCTAGTGCTTCGTGCACTTCACTTGCCTTCACTTTCCTGGATTTCGCCCAAGGCTAGACCTATTCTCACTGCGCTATAGTACCGTGACTTTGCCATGCTCTCGTATGTATTGTAGCGGGGTAAGGCCGGACGCCAGGGAAAATAGGTGACGGAATGGGGAGGATCTTTTGCTTTGATGAAGGAGGCTTGTGGCTGCAACTTTCTTTTCGAGGACGGACCCTTTTTAATGACTTCTTCATCTTTTCGATTCGACAAGCAATAGTTAGCCATCATCGCACTCTTTTCAATGCATGCAATTCAGAAGCTTCAGTTCATGATTCACTTACACGTTCAGGGGATAGCTTCTAAGAATCCATCTATCCTTTCCATTTTAGCCTTGACAACTATGAGACATTGTGTCTTGCTCTGATCGGAGCAATCCAGTACTAGAGACAGCTTCAATTCGACTCCTAGGAGCCAGACGTCCTATTCTGAGAATTATCCCGACACGAGAGTCTCAGAGGCACATCCGACCAACTTGCGCACAAGACTTATAAGAGCTTCGCTCTTACGGCCAGCACCATGATCTCCGTCTGATCAGACCAACAGATGTGATCTGTTGGTACTGGAGCCGTCTGTTCAGTGTGTTAGGTGATAGGTACATCCTACCGACCGCCTGACCCCGTTTCAGTATCCGTCGTGATTGGTGTTTTCCCTGTTGCTCTTATGGCTTGCGCTTTGATGAACGTGAGTAAGGGATGAGGTGGATGGCATTTCTCAAAGTGCCCAGCTCGGTGATCATCTCAGACATCATCTGGACCACTTATCTCACGTGCTTCGCTGTTCCGACTTCATCCGGTTGAAGCTTGCGTGTACGGCCAACTTGGCGAGTAGTTCGTTATTGACTCCTTCGAATTCACGGAAGAAAGGTTGTGTGTGTGGGGGCTTAGTACCCCTTCTGTGCCCTCTGAAAATACGGAGACGGAATCTGAGGGCAGGAGAGATTCCCATATCATAGTGCTTGATGTACAGGAGAAGTCATTCATACAGCCATCTTCAAGTTCATATTTTACTAAGGATGATCGGCAAATATTGAAGTCGATAGCTCCAACTACCTTCGATTTGCCGATGAGTCTAATGACCTGGGAGGGATCATTGCCCGCTCTTTTCAGCTCCTGTAGTGGAGTTATATCCGCCGGGGTTGAGACTCTAAACCTGGAAATGATTGCCGCTGGCATGTTCTTTGACAGTAATTTAACAGTCTTGCTTAATTACCACCGTCTTTGTCGCTGTACCTGTTCCGATCTAGGAATTACTGTCTCTTCCGCTTAGTAATATAGCAAGGCCATGAATGCGGCGCCAAGGTGAAAAATGCATTCCACTTCCACTTCTGACTTGGGTCAACCTGCCGGATATCGTAGTCACGAACAAGCATGGCGGTGATTTTCGATAACTCGATTTTGGCCAGGTTCTGCCCGGGACATGCTGCGTACCCAGCTCCGAACTATGCAATCCAGTGAGTTTTAACTTATTAGTATACAGTTATGTGGAATCATACCGGCATCAGGAACTTTTCCAAGACGATACTGTCATTCCCTAGCCATCGATTTGGGTTGAACTGGCGAGCATCACTGCCCCAAATCTCCTTGGAATGGTGCATGACCCATGCATTCACGGATAGCACCGTACCTTTGGGAAATTCCCGATTTCCAAAGATAATTCCACCTTCAGGTGCCAAACGCGGAAGTCCCATAGGTACTGGCCCGAAGATACGTAATGTCTCTTTGATGCAAGCTTGTAAAAACGGCAGCCGTTGAGTGTCGACGTACGAAACCACACCGTCTTTGAGACCCGCAGCGTCTATCTCATCCCTCACCCTCTGCCACGCATTCGAGTGCCGTATCATATAGTATACGAAAGCTTGGAGAGCAGAGGATACCGTATCGAAACCAGCAGCCACAGAATTAAACGCGCCGGAGTCGATCTCATGTCGCTGTATGCGATCCGGGCTCTGCTCCAGCATACGAAACCAGTGGGCCAAAGCATCAAATCTTGCATCAGGGTTTGATTCACGCTCCTTGGTAGAACGCAGAGCAAAGTCGATTATATAACCGGCAGGCAAGATACCAAGCCAAGTGACAACTGGATTAGCCAGGAGCAGCACGTGTAGCCAGCGGAAGTAGCCAGCAACAGCGATATATGCGCTATGCGCTTCGGCATTGGCGACTGAGTTACCTATATCTTTTCCTCCCTTAATAAATCCGAAAGGCTTCGAAAAGATGGCCTCTCCAACTATGTCAGATATTGTAAAGCTGAAGTACTCGTTCAAGTTGATAGGCTTGCCGCTTTCGGCATATTCGCTTAGCCAGCCGAGAAGTGAGTGTATAGTTTGGTTGATTGCTTGTTCCGACAGGAGCATGTTTGACAGCACGAATCCCGGTGCGAGATGCCTAGATAGCTTGTTCTTGACTTTTGGATCGGTGGCCGACATGGGGTTTTGGAATCGTCCATCTGGAAACGTCACCACTTTATACCAGCTGCCCTTATGTAGAGGCGCCAACAGTAATTTCTTAACGGCGTCTGGGTGGCTGACGCTGACCTCGTTGTGTGCTATGCGGACGAAGTGGCCTGGGATGAGTTAGGCCTCTGATTGTGTTCGGATTAGTATTCTAGGAGTGAGGACATCATGCTTATCGTGAAGACGAATGAGTTTGAGGTTTTGATCTATTTTCAAGATGCGGCGGATGTGCCACAAGCGAGTGAAAGAGGCCACGAACGGGCCAGGAATGTCGCTGATGGGCGAAAAGAAACGTCGCCCTACGCAGATGCTGATGATTATTATCACCAATTGGGCCAACAGAAAAGACCAACTAAATAAGCAACCGTTGAAGACACCCATTTTTCCGACGATGGACTGAAGCCGGTCACGAGTGATGGATCACAGTTGAAATCGATAATAGCGAGGTTCAATGTTTAGTTTGCGTCTGGGATGGAATGACAGTTCGAGGACTGGCGAAGTTCCATGGACCCTCATTTGACTTCCAGCATGCATCAGGCCACAGTTATGATAAATTATTTTCTGAGGCGCCTGTAAAAAGACAATGTGTAACCATGGCAGGGTTCCAGATGCACTTCAGTAGATCGATGAGCTCATGAACTTGCCCTTGGCGAATAGTGCGTTTCTCCTCGAAAACAGTGGGTATCTATGCTGGGCCATATGTGGTTCTGGTATGCCCTACAGTCTCAAATTTGAATGTAAGATGGATAAAAGAATATCCGCCAGACGAGAGTAGTCTGAACAGACATAGCGATATTCCCACGAGGGCGCTCTATACTGCTTCAGGGGAACCAATCAATCACTTATGCCGCGATGAGTGTTGCGTTCACATTCGTATATTGCACAAGCTCAATGCAAATTGGTAATGGGCTTATATAGTCGGTAAATCCAAATCCGTATGAACACTTCCAGTAGCTATGGGCTTACGTAGGTCAATAAAGAACCAAAATGCACGGCCTCTGAGTCCTATCTAAGAGACAGCCTATGAAGTGATGACTGCCCAGTTCTAAAATAGTAATCCATGTACAAAATTTGAGTTGAAGATTGGGCCATGCTGGTTTCAAATTCTACTTATACATCTATAAATTGGAGCATGATCGGTGGCTGCATTAGTATACCGATTGGCGTGCGCTAACCGTGACAATAGCTGCCCCAGGCTGTGCCTCTCCATGTAACTTGGATGCGAAATACGAAGTTGCGAGTGGTACGCAGTCAACCACCGACATTCAATCACAAAAGTTGTTGTTAACGAGCAACTTTGAGCAGGGTACGTAAGTACTGTCTGCCCGCTGCGTAATCCGTCAATACCGGCCAGCAAGAAACTCTTGTTCCAAATTTTACCTCCTGATCCTTCTCTGCAGTCTTCCATGTCAAGATTTACTCGGAATCCATTGCCGGCAGGAATGGCCCCGAGCTACCAGGATCTTGGGATCAAATATTCTCAAAGATCAAGCCTGGTGAGCCCGAATCTAGCGGCAGCATGCGTTCTACTGGCCTCTTAATTGGAAATTCGGCGATTGCATGAACCCATGTCTTCAAATATCTGCACGAAGATAACGGTATCATTAATGATGAGACTCAAAGCAGCCATGACGTGGGTGGCAGTGATGGTAGCCAATAGTGAGAGTCCCAAGGCCGTCATGAATCATCCCCATGTAGATTTTATCGATATTGCCAAAGGCTCCGAGTCTCGGGATCTTGGAAACCATTACGAGAACCTGAAGACACTGGGCATATTCCACTGGCGGGTTTTCGTGTAAAGAGTTTGCGCTGGGTTTCATTCAGCAGCGAGAATTATTTTGAAGAGGACCAGACTTGAACAAATATCAAGCGTTGACGTGGCTCAAAGCCACGGACGGTTTTATCCTCAACTGGGTACTTATATTGCATGATAGTTCGACGAGGCCGCATGATGGAAGAATTATACCGTAGGATTAACAGACCAACTTCGGAACGTCCGCAACGGGTTTGCCCTCTTTGATCAACACAGTCGGCCCAAGCCCGAGTTTACGCAACACCCGGTTGTGAAGGGTTCCGGAATATGGGGCAATGAGCTCGACGCAGGAGACATCCTGCTGATTGGTGTAATCAAGGTTCAAAAGTTTCACCGTCGACTTGTACTTGGCAGAAAGGTCGCCGGGTGATCTTGGACAGAGCCCGCGAGTAGACCACTAATTTCCTTGCAATCGTCAGAACAACAGTTCTATATCGTAAAATCGAAGACGCAGTAAATAATAGAACTAAAGAGGAGTCTCTCGAAGTGGCCGATCGAAAAGATGGCATCGCCGTAGATTTCTGGCGATTTCTAGGGTTCAGAAGAAGTGGCAGGATTTCTCAGCTCGCGGATGCGCACGCAGAAATGTCTCATCACAACTGAAAGAGACTCTCGATATGCGTGACGGTGAAAGAAATTGTTTCGTCTAGTGGAATAATAACAAGCTAAAGTTCCTACCAGGACTCGTCCGCAACAACTTGCGAACCAACAACAGCACGAGGCAAGAGTTTACAACATGCTTGACCGTATCGTCGCATGTTTAAGAGAAGAGATGCTGCCGACCGAGTGCCCTGCGATGATATCGCTTAACAGACAAAGCGAGTCGCCTTTCGTAACAAAACACTACAAGGGGTGCGGTGAAACTGTGCAGGCCGTCCTGACGACTGCATTGAGCAGGGACATATACCAAGAAGAGTTAAGGAGAGATGGCCAGTTGATGGTGGTCTGCTGAAATGATCATGACTTTGGCTTTGTTTGTCGCATGCTAAGAGGCGACTGAATTTGCCAGATTCGGTATGTTCCGCATAATCCCCCAAATCGGAAAGTCAGTGAAGAGTACCAGAAATAGAATAAAAGGATCACAGGGCGCCAGGGGTGTTCAGGGAGTATGAGAGATGACCGGCAAGTTTCTTACTGAGCACGATACACCTATAAGCCCATTTTGTGATAAGTGCAGTTTCTCATAATTATAGACTTGGCAACACTGGGATCGAAGGGTGTCCTGGCGTCTCTTATGAGAGATTGGGTATTCTCCCGGTCGCTCACCCACCCCATGTGTCAACTAAGGAGATTGTCAAGTATCGGCAACTATTTGGAGTTTTTGATACCTGCAAAATAAGATTGGACCTCTGTAATCAATCCAGTGCGTTCTCACAGTGTGGTATCGAGAGTGACATGTGCTGCAGTCTCATATCTCGGCACAATCCAATCAGGTGGCCACAACTCGATGCCGTTCTACGCGGCCCATTGCATTATCTGACAGAAATTTACGGAAGGTTATCGGCTTGCAACATATATTTTTCATCATGTCGAGGTTCGAATCTGATCAGTAAGTTCTCTGATTGTGAACAAACACCGCCGTGGGTGGGCCTCCGACACGATGGTGTGACCCTGGATTCTTGGAAAGAGAGTGCTTCTGGGAGAAGTAGTATCAATTTTCGGAGACGTGTCTCAAGTTCTTGCATTCCCGAGCACCATGGCTCCCACACTTAGAGAAGAAGAATCCTCAAGTCGATTGATCACACTGCCAGCAATTGTCACCTCGAGTTAAGCCATCCTCGTCTATGGCGATGAGTACCGTACCACGCGAAGCGTCCCCTGTTCCAGAGATCAAAGACATCCAGACTAGTCTCGTCACACTGACCCTCACTAGACCATCTGTGATCATCACTACAGAACTATGGCTCGGGGATTACGGCCCTGACAGGGGTTCGGTAGCGACCCAACCGTCCGAGACACCAAGTTCTATGTCAAGTATCACGCCAACATCAGCTGCACCCGCTCCCGCGAACGGCGTCTCGACAACTTCCGTGGTTATACTAGGCATTATACTCGGTCTCTCCTCCGTGATATTCCTTTTCTGTTTTCTCTACAGGGGCACGTTCAAACGTGGCGTTGATAAGACAGCCAATAAACAAAGGTTCCGGCCGCGAGGTGGGGGTTATGGTCACCGCTGTCACTGTCATCCAGGGATACGCGGTCTTTCTGGTCCCTGCGGCCCTCAGGGCCCGCCAGGTCCACCTGTATGCGATATCCGGGACTGTTCGTTTATAGAGAGTGCTGATAACAGCTGGGACAGGGGATGGGATATCCTGGACCGCCAGGGGAGCCGGGACAAGCTGGTGCTCGGGGCGTCGCTGGGCGTAGGTCTTACCCATGTGGTTCCAAGCGAGTTGCCTTACTGACTACTCTTTTACCTAGCCCAAGGTATACCAGGTATAGCAGGCCCTGCTGGTGCTCGGGGCGTCGCTGGGCGTAGGTCTTACCCATTTGGTTCCAAGCGAGTTGCCTTACTAACTACTCTTATACCTAGCCCAAGGTGTACCAGGTATAGCAGGCCCTGCTGGTGCCCCGGGTATGCAAGACTGTTCTGATTACCCGCAATTCTTGTCGTGAACCCGGTCTTTGTTCAAGCTTGATGTGCTAATCTGTTGCTACCAGGACCAATAGGCCGTGCGGGGCCCGCAGGAGCAGATGGGCAGCTTGGTAGACCTGGGTTAGTAGATCAGCCCGCATTATTGGTGATTCGTCAAATTGACATCATGGATTCTTCACAGGGCCGCAGGCGTTGCTGGAAAAGACGGAAGGGATGGCTGTGACGGACGTGATGGACGAAATGGCTCTGATGGACGGCCTGGGAGAGATGGAGAAAGAGGGCCGCCTGGGTAAGTAATAGCCTCCACTAAGAACATTGCTCCTGAGGTATCAAAGATCAGTCGGTTCGTTCCACGCAGATTTGACTAACTTTTCCTGTAGCAGAGATGGTGATCGAGGACCTGCTGGACCATCTGGGCCTCCTGGGGCACCAGGTGTGCCTGGTCAACCGGGTGAAAGGGGCCTCCAAGGTCGTGGCGAACAAGGACGTCCGGGCCCGCAGTATGTTGGCTCTTCTAACTACTGACTTCGCAGTTCGAAAAGATACTTACATCAAACAGGGGCGACGAAGGTCCACCAGGGCCCAAGGGGGATCGAGGCCCCAAAGGTGACCCTCTTCTGATGATTCCGATGTAATCTAGCTGAACGGAATGGAGAAAATGTTCTTTCTCGCGGCTTGGAGATAATGATGACTTGCAAGAGATAATCTGATGAGCATTTGATACATGAACCATAGCGAATGACCTGACCTCATTCGTGGATCATCATTACGTCTCGCCCCTGGACTTCAAATGGGACAGTATACGCTCTGGGCCCCTCGGTGCAGTAAAGCACGGCGATTGATTCAGTACCGAGCCCTAGAATATCCCTATATTCCGCGCAAACTCTCTTCAACGCTGCAACACTGGCCGCTCCGCAAGGACCTGCCATAACCCCTTTATTTTGCAAGAGCACAACAGCAGCATGGGACTCTTGATCTGTCACCACCACGCTGGCATGTACGCCGTCCTTGAGAATCGGCCAGGCAAGCGTTGACAATGTCCCGCAGTTCATACCGCACATGATAGTGTCTTTTGTGACTATACTTATTGATCGACCAGCTTGAAGCGAGGCTTTCAAGGAAGCTGCAGTGTCGGCCTCCACTGCAATGATAGATGCAGGCCCCAACTTGCTTCTTCTCTGGGCGCCCTTGAAATGTTCGGTGACGGCCTGTGCAATAGAACCCGCGCCGCACGGGACGATAGCGTGCGTGGCGGATTTTCCACCCGTCGCTTCGAGAACTTGGCGATCTGATTCGGCAAGCATGGTGCCGTAGCCTTCGACAAAGTACTGTGCATTATGTCAGTTCTAACATGACCAGAAAGAAGTAAAAGTTACCTTTGGCACATCCTCGAACCCTTCAAGTCCAACATCCAAGACCAAAAGCACTTTCTCCTGTTCTGCCTCCTTCCTTATCACCGGGATCGTGTCGTCGTAACTCCCTTGAACTTCAATCACCTCTGCTCCCTCGCTGCGAATCTTGTTCCGTGTCTGCCGGTCCATATAACTTGGTACGAAGACACGGACTGGAATGCCGAGATACTTGGCCATTCGTGACACTGCACGTCCGCAATTCCCCTCCGTGGCCGTCACAATGGAGACACCTGCATCCGTTGCCGCAGAGCCCAGATCTTCGATAGACGGTTTATTATAAACCACGTCGATGCCAAGTGCATCGCCGACGACACGGTAGACACACCATGATGCGCCTAGGATCTTGAACGCGGGCAGGCCGAAGCGATTCGACTCATCTTTGAGCAGAACATGAGCGAGTCCAAGTTCCGCAGCTAGCTCGGGGAGGGCATGCAACTTGGTTTCGTTGTAATCGGGCAGAAGCTGGTGGAACTCGAGGATTCTGGACTCGGTGCTGGATTCGGATGATATGTAGATCCAATCCTTGGCGCTGGGGTTGATGTAGACCGGAGAATCCATTTTCAATGGCAACTTCCAGGCTGCTTTCCTCTCTGATATAGGAAACCAGGACAGCCAAGCGAGCTATTTTGGACGTAGCCGAGTAAGAGTGTGTATGCTATTTAAAGCCGAGCTCGAGTCACTGCGAGCATCTGTAGAATATTCACTCGAAGAAAATAGCTGTCCAGAGTACGTATAGATCTCGAGAGCCTAGACGCGATGCCACTTGTCCCCCCGGAGGACGTGAGATGCATCGGCGGCGGGGCTTTTTGCTCCGCATTCGGCCCTGTACCGGCAGCTGCGTTCATCAGTTTAGTCTCGTTGTGTTACAAGGAGATGAGTTGGTTGCTATAAATTTCCACGAAGTACCCCGCAGCTAAAGTCTGCATGCATTGTGTAGGATGGCCATTAAAACGGAGGAGTTGTGTAGCAAGCATTTCGGGTCTGCAAAAACGGTCAGTCAACCGCAAATCTCTTTGAAGCAATGCCGTTGGGGCCTGCCGTAGGGCGACGCTGGACTGCACTCCTCTCCCATATGAACTACACCCTATCCAGTGCAGCGGAATCTACAGCAATCACACAATGTGCCTTCACATTTCCCTTGCGCATCAGCGTCGAACGGGTGTATCACTAGGCCCATCGCATCTCGCCAGATTGTTAGGAGTGGTGATCGATTCGTTTTATTGGGGGTGTTGAATAAGCAGCACATCCTTTTTGTCCACATATTTGATACATATATACCACATCGAGCCCATCCTCTTGGTCGGATATCTCATCACGAGATTGAAGCTCGCGTTCTTGGTGCTTTGGCGGTCTATGCTGCCTTTGCTCTCTAGCTGCCATATCGTGCAATGCATCGGCTTGCTATTTCATCGAAATTCTACTGACCAATCTCTCAGAATCCCATGGTGTGGAGGAATTGTATAATTGCGTCCCGCTTGTGTCCCTGGAGTATGACGTTAGTAGTCATCGAGAAAGGTGTAGTGGACCTCAACCAACCTTGACTACAATGTGTTTCGTGACGTTGTTTACCGCAACATCCCTAAGCGTCAGATCCAACGCCTCTGCAACGTCATGCCTTAGAGCCTGTAGGTTTCCTTCTCCCTTCTTTAATAATGTGGTCTTGAGCGACCCACCTCGGCCGGAGCGTTGGTAGACGGACAGGTTGTTGAAGTTGTTGCGCGCAACGAAATATGGCAGTTGACGCTGGGTCAGGGTTTCTATAGTTTGAGCGGTTTCGGGGGGTATTATGGGTGATTCTTGAGGCAAAGCAACGGGAGGTTCCGAGGGTTGCGATGCTGCGATGGTCGTCTCGGTTGTTAGCAGTCTGCGAGCAGATGCTGGAGTAATTTGCCGCGCCGCAGTGGATATCCTGGGAGCTACTGCCACTCGCAGTGGTCGCAGAGCTCTAGAAAACATTATGATGGCGCACAATTGCTCTACAAATGTGATTTTGTGATGCTAGATGCGACTCCATGGATTGATCCCGACTCGATCTTTTGCCGCGACAGGCCTGATTGGAAAATCGGCTTGGGGAATAATCCGGGCCGTGCCTCGTCTGAAACATTGAGGCATGAAAGCCACTTTTGGGAAGCATCGCCAAAACTTGCCACCCTGCGGCGGCAGATTTTCGGAGATAGACCCCCACAACAGTGCTGCCCACTCAATTCTCATGTCGCAAATTTCCACGGATCCGCTCCAAGAAGTCTCGGTGACATCAACATTAGCAACAAGCTTCACGATACACACGAGACACGACAAGATGGCAGAATACGACCTGCTGCCCCAGCTCGTGGGCCACCTCGACCGACACCTGATTTTCCCTCTGTTGGATTTTGCCGCCAACCAAATCGCCGAAGATGACGACACGAAGGCCCTCGAGGTCACCAAGGCCAAATTTGAGCTCTTGAAGACGACCAACATGATCGATTTTATCGGCAACTTGAAGGCAGATCTGGAGGGACTGGATGAGGCGCCCGCAGAATTTAATGACTTGCGACAGAAGGTTCTTTCACGACTGGAGCAGTTCGAGCAAGATACCAGCAAGATTACCGATTTGTTGGGTCGCGAAGATGTCGTCACCAACCTGCGCAGCGACAAGGTTGCCAACTTGGAATTCCTGAAGAAAGATCACGATGTAAGTCATGATAACTCATTTTCGTTAGGCCGTCTACTAATGATGGAAACAGGTTACCATAGACAACGTGAACGCGCTCTATGACTACGGCAACTTCCAGTACAGCTGCGGCAACTACGGTGCTGCCGCTGAGTTGCTATACCAATTCCGTGTTCTCTCCACAGACAACGACAAGGTGGCTGCGGCAACGTGGGGAAAGCTTGCATCCGAGATTCTGACAACCAACTGGGAAGGCGCGGTCGAGGAGATTCTGAAGGTCAAGGAGAGCATCGACACGAAGCTGTTCAATAACCCCTTGGCTCAGCTCAACAGCCGCACTTGGCTCATCCACTGGGCCATGTTCCCTCTCTTCAACGATGATTCTACCCGTGATCAGATTCTCGACCTTTTCTTCAGCCCGCCCTTCATCAACACTATTCAGACCAGCTGCCCCTGGATTCTGAGATATCTCACAGCAGCCGTCATCACTGGTCGGGGCCGCGCGAGGAACTCAGGCCAATATCAGAAGCAGCTCAAGGATATCGTGCGCATCGTGAAGCAGGAGGCGTATGAGTACACCGACCCCGTGACGGACTTTGTCCGGGCTCTGTACATCGATTTCGATTTCGAGGATGCTCAACGCCAGCTGACGCTCGCCGAACAGCTTCTCCGTTCCGACTTCTTCCTCTTCTCCACCGCAGATCTCTTTGTTGATTCAGCACGGCATCTGATCTCGGAGAGCTACTGCAAGATCCACGCGCGCATTGACATCAAGGATCTTAGCACGCGCTTGGGACTGGGTCAGGATGAAGGAGAGAAGTGGATTGTCAACTTGATCCGCGACACTAGAGTGGATGCCAAGATTGACTACAAGGAAGGCACCGTGGTGATGAACCACCCGCCCAGCAGCGTCTACCAACAAGTTATCGAGAGAACCAAAGGAGCGTTCTTCAGGACGCAAGTTCTGAGTGCGGCTGTGGCCCGATAGAGCGGACAGGCAAGTGGAGCACGAGGGACGTAGTAATCCTGTTGAATTCCCCATGGATCGAATACCCTGGTATTCTGGCATGCATGCATGGCGTTTAGGGGGTTCTGGAACAGTCAAAAGGCGGTCGACTTGTGTATGGGGAACATTTGCTTTTGCGAAAACAAACCGCGCTTACGAAGTGATCATGGTATACTCAGATGTCCAAGTGCAAGTAGTGTCAACCGCTGTTTACGCCGACTAAGTTACGATTATTACCTCGGAAACCGGTTTTTAGTTTTCGTTGCGACTTAAGACGTTGAGCTGTTAGAGTAGCGGGGAAGCTCAAGCCCTTAGTCTCCCGTCACCCGTCGAGGACTGCTGCAGGTGCGAAGGCTGACGGTCCAATGACGTATAGATCACAGCCCCACAGTTGGATCCTTGTTGGACCCTGAAATGACCCTGAGTTCTTCTGTTGGAACCTGACTCGCCCAACCAAGCTGCATTTTGACCCCTCACTTTGACTCTGTTTCTGCTCACGGCGAGTCAATCATGACCCTGGCAACTTGCATACGGTAGCAAATGTCGTTCTGCCCCAATGGCAACAGAGGCGGACGACGACGGCGGCTTAGCACCACTCTGTGATTCCATACATCACCGAGTCAGATCAAGACCTGTAAGCTCCACTGTGCCCTCACCCGCACACCCAAGCTGACTCGGAACCCCGTTCGCAGCGAGGTCGGTTGCGATCCACGGACTTGCAAAATGGATCACAGGTCTCGAACCGCTTTGCCGGTAGAAAGGCGTACACGTTACTCTGTGTCGACGCCCACATTATTAACCTGAGAGTACGTCGCGCAATGCCGTCGTCTGCTGCATTGCCTGCAGCGTCCCCGATGTTGTTGTGTCATATTCGTGATCAGTTACTGACGTTCGTACCTGTTGTCAGTTAATGAGCAAAATCTGCGAGAAATGGGGACAGCCTTGCGAAACGGCCCGGAATGGTCAAGAGGCGGTCGAGATATACAAGCGCGATCCGGATCGATTCAGATGTATCCTCATGGGTAGTCAGCCTCCACCCCTGCTTGCTCTTGGTGGCAATGCTTTTACCCTTGCGGGTCACTGATGTCCTGTCACAGATGTAACGATGCCAGTGGTGGATGGTTTTGAAGCGACGCGCCGCATACGCGAATTCGAAGAGGACTCGTGGGCTTCTTTTATCGCCTCACAATCTCAAGACATCCCTACGAAGCAACCTACAAGCTCGCAATTCGAGTATTCTTCCTCCTCGTCGAGCTCATCAGCGCCGCAAGTTCCGAACGGTAAACCCGTCCGCCGCGTCGTCGTTATTGCCCTAATGGCATCCTTGGTTTCGCTATCGCCCGCCACGATCGCAGAGACGGGTTTCGACTTAGTCATGCGCAAGCCGATTCATCTCAAGACGATGGCCGATCTGCTATTTGGTGCCCCTGAGACAAACGTGGTCAGTCTGTATGGCGGTGTGAGCGAGACAGCATTACGGGAGGCTGGTTATCCGCTGAGGATGGGAGTCTGGCACCCGAGAAGAGATCCAGAACCTCGTGAGGCTATTCTCGGATCTTTTGGTGACATGTGAGAGTTAGCATTATCCCACTTATGCGGCTCGAATCCGACTGGGACATATGACGTGACACTTTATATATATGGGGTCGGTGGGCTTCTCTGTGCATACCCAAATGATACAAGTTGAAACCCAGTTTACCAGAGTAACTTGTCTGTGGCTGGAAGGTTAGTAATTCATCGCCCTGGAGTATATAATTACACGATTATTTGCTTCTTACGGGAATGGGTAGCTACTGTCGGATTCCGAGTATCGGGTGCTGTATCGGTACTACGAAGTTGCGTAAGGGACCAATCCAAAGTTGGCCCCGAGGAGTCCCTGAATGCTACAATGTACCTGCCTACCTCGTACCTCTCCACACCTGAGGCCATAGCTTCCCATAGCCACGGGCAAATAGCAAATAGGACTATTCTCACAATCCACACTACTAAACTTAGATGACATTGTGTAGCCTCTGGGATTGAGCACCACAGTTATGCCCTAGGCCGAAAGCGGTATAGTCAGTGTGGATAGTTAAGAGCACCTTACAGAGCCTCTAACGCTCACCTACGTAGCACAACGTGTAGAGCAGGCATAGCGATCGATACGACATCCATCCAGAGCCATCAGCAGAGGGCCGTTTCCCCCATAGCCTTTCTAAGTTCTCTACTAAACGTTCTAATAAATGTCTTCGTATCCGAACTCTCCAACTTTCACAGTTTCGATGGGCTTTGCAGACATGTATTAGCAGATAAAAGCCCTGCCCATCTGCTCGCGGCTTCCTATTCCGAGTACCCTCTATGCTTATCCATATTCTATGGGGTATGAAGACATGCCTTGGCGGACAGCCACTATTCCCCACTCGGTGTGGTTTCCCGTTTATCCTCGTATATGTATGTGATTTCATTAGGCTTCGAGGTCGTATCTTAGTGGACCCCGGCTCCCGCGTTTGACTCCCCGTTTCGAACTCTCCTTGATTATATATTTCCGAACAGGCTTCGCTACTTTGGAAACATTTCTTAGCGGATTCTAGCTCTCCCACCCGCGGGTAGTTTGTTCCTCTATACCAAGTATATGCCTAATGCAAGCGATGAATAATAGTAAATGGCTCGATCAACATTTTCTCTGTTCTAAATAAAATCTTCCTCCCCGTAAACCTTGGTATGGTCTTGTCCTTGAGGACTTTTGACTTCCGGTACAATCCAGATCAGCCCAACCTAAAGCTTGAAGCAAGCCGCTACATCGCCAACGACACCTAAGAGCGTGGTGAATTCCGTGGCCTTCTTGGCCGACTCAAAATTGATCGCGTCAGCCTCTTTCGACAAAACAGGCCGGGTCTGGTCGGCCGACACAGGCAAGTACGAGCACACCGTTGATACCGATTATGTCTCTAGCCTCATATTTCAAGGCAGAGGCCCGTGTCTTCACACTGATAATGGGATTGTTAGTATTAATCTGCTAGATATACCAAGAGCATCCATACATGCCTTTTAGTTCCCCAACTTTTGCGACACTTCCTGTTCAATCTCTAGCAGTTGTTTGTAATAATAGTCGAGTGGGGTTGTGATTAGTGTGACAAAAACTGCGTTACCTCATATGCAAAGGATTTGCTGATTACCGGTGGATTTCCGACCATGATGTTCGGCTGCGTCTGGCTTGAATGTAGTAGTCGGCTATAATTCAGGACGGGTTATTATCATAGAAATCTCCGAGAGCAGGCTATAAAACCTCTGGGTAAACCTGACTCGATATTTTGTCGTTCTACCTTCATCACTTAATTTCTTTTTAATTACTTTGCAAAGAAAGGTTGTAGCGTTCGATTTGAATTTATAACCTAAAGTCTACTTACGAGAAGGTCCGAGATTATTCTGTACGTACCTTACAGTACCCTTGGGGGCTACCCCGTGACAGGACCCCAATATAGCTTACAGTAGATTAAACAATAGCCACTGCGCCCTACTTCAAGACTTCGTGAGAGTCTTACGCAATGCAGGGGATTGCGGGCTAGTCCTCGCCGGCAATCAGCTTAAGCTGCTTCATGTCAAGACTTTTAATCAGGTAGGAACCCAAGGCCGTGAGCGGGCTCTAACTACCCTGGAGAATGCCCCATTTAGAATATCTCGGCGGCCATATCGACCAGGCCATCCAGGGACGAAGTTGAGGAGTCATGGACCCTTTCAGGAGTACTGACAGGCAAACCCACTTTGTCGGCCGAGTTCTTCCCCTCTGCTACCCACGCACAGAGCCGCAGCTGTTACAACTACGACTATCGGCGCCGCTTATTCTGTTGGTCTTCATTAAGGATAGAGCGGCTCATATAGGCACTATCGAGCCGGCTATTACTACTATTTTTCGTGTCTTCTGTGCTTTCAATGTCTCTGTGGGGATCCTTAGCAGCTGGCCGCCGGATGCTCTATCGTGAGGCGTCGACTACTTTGTGCCATAGCCCTTCCATAGTAAGAAAGGCCTGTATTGAGAAATAGCCCTAGCACTTCCTACTATGTGGCTTGAAATCTAAGTCTAGCGTCAGGAGTTTCAGGCTACTCGGGGAGTCCACACGAGATGTAGGAGTACAAGCAGGCTAAGTTTAGCCAGACTCGGACAATATTTGCCGCGCTAGGCTGGCCGTTAGGCCGTGAGATAGTAGCGAGTTTTGGAATTACCTGGGTGTGGTGTAGCCAAGGCCGGTCAGCATAGTCAGAAGTCAATCGCTATTCAATACTACAAAGCTAAATTTATTCCGATAGAGCAATGCAAAGGGATCTTATGCAACCTATCTGCTGTGTTGTATCCTACAAGTGTTGGCATTGTCAAATAATGTACATAAAATACATGAGCATTATTCATTTCAAGCATCAAATGCTATTGTCGGTTCAGATGATAACTGTACCCCCTTTTTGATAAGACAGTTTGATGACTTGTTCCCATATAACCGTCTTCGAATTTATGAACGAGAATGGTTGTTGGCTATCCCATTTGGTGGCGCACAAAGTACAAGTAACTGAACTTGTCACCTGAAACCAGGATCAAAGGATGATTAAACGCAATTATGACAAAGGCATGGCAATAACCCTGGACCTCCCAAAAATTCTGTAAACTCCCAATGCGATACGTGCAACCGGGGAGGAATGCCAGAAAGGAAATCCATCATTCATATATTCAATATTGTGGGAAGGGGGCCAAGATGACTCAACAACCCTTGAAACTCATGATCCAGTCAGTCCTAGCACTATCCCAATATATGGTCGGGATCTATAATTGCTGAGTAAACTACTCCGGTATCTCCTGCTCCTCACAAGCACAACACTCACCACACTAACATTCGTGCACTTCATGATACAACAACCAAAACGGCACCCAAAAGCAAGAATATATGACGCTCGTCTACGACCACACGATCTGCGACAACCTCCCGATCCTGGGAGTCGGCCTGAAATACCTGGACGCCAAGTCAGGCGAGAAGGCCCCGCATGGGGATATCAACAAGCTCTTCAGCCGCCATGCGGACGTTTGTGAGAAGTTTGGCCTGCAGCTCCTACAACACCACTTCACCATGGACCCGGACGAGATTCTTGTCGAGGTCGGCTCGACGTCGACCCCCTGGAAGGTCCAGAAAGACGTCAACAGCAAAGACCCGCGTCGTGCCGTGTAGCAGGCCCTTGTCCAAGTCCGACGAAGAGGAGCTCAAGCCCGAGCCTTACGAATTCGCCTTCCTTAACGCCGGTAAAACGCTGTCTACACCCGCAGATGACTTCGAGTTCGTCAAGCAGTTCTCTGAAACGCTGAAGAATCACGGGTTGAATGATATGGGACTGATTGCCCTGCCGCCGGGCTACAACCCCGGTGAGAATAATGTGAAGTTCTTCAGGTTCGAGAAGGCTTTAGGCCGAGCTAACGTCATCTTCTTCTTGACTGCGGATATCTTGCTGGGGGAACACTCGCGCCTGGCGGTTTGGGCATTCACGTCTGGTAGCAAGACGGCGGGGACGGCAGGACATTACTTGTTCCAGTAACAATTCAATGCGCGACCGGCTTAGATTGGTGGAACGTACCAGGATTGAGTTCATGAAAAAACGGCTCTTGATAAGTTATACTTTAGTGCACAGTTTTACTTTAGATAGTAATGACGATTTCTCCGTGCATAATTGTAATGTCTAGCTTTGCAAAGACGTTGTTTCAGTCTGCTATCCCCTCAGAAAACTTGGAGCTACAAATTACACATAATTGCATTCGTGATTATATACATAGCCCTCTCCATGTCTTTATGTGCGTATCAAATTATTTTTTGATATATAGTAAAAGATAGACTCGTTATATAAGAAGCAGAACCGAATCTATGTAGCTGATATAGTTATCGCGGCTTGGCGCATTTTAGTTCTAGTGAACGTGATTTCGGTGAGCTACATATATCTCATGTTCTTGAAGCTGCAGCGCAAATCACGCATTTCCTTTCAGTGGTCATGTTGTGGCTAGCATCTGAGTTTCCTAGAACAAGCCGCGACTCAACAATGTGAACTTGAATGGTAATAAAACCAACCGAAGCATCTCAATCATGTCCTTCTTGATATCAATCTGAGTCGCTGGGATGAAATAGGCCTTTAGCGAATATCTGCATCCTTTCAAGCAAAGAGCAGCGGGTGACCAGTTGCATTAAAGCAGCCCAGCCTGTATATTTATTAGGTTCCCATTGGGATGAACTCTTTTAATTAAACGCAGCATAGACCCATTCGTTGGAATAGATTATCATACCACCATTTCTGACTAATATCCCGAGCGACTGTGCCACTCGCTGCAGTAAGTCCTTAGGAATAATGCATGCTTCATTCCTAAATGAAAAAAGCTGCTAGGCTCACATTTCATCGAGATAACAATTACGATGATGGCTTGTGACCAGATTGGTACGTGTTAAAATTGTCTGATGTATTTCACAGCTTGTGACTCACTGTGTTTCCCGTGGGAATAGTTCTGTATCCATTTGTATTTTGCGGAACTGGAAATAGAAAGAGGCTGGGTTCTGATAAAGACGTGGATAGCAATGCTTGCGAATATCTCAAGCTAATGTGCCACCACAGTGATATTGATCTTGTCACTGTCGGTGTTATCGATGATCTATGGATAGAATCGAAAAAGCAGAGACATAGCCAGCCAGCGGAACATAATCAATGGCACACCGAGGTAGAATGATGTGGGGTAGCACGGTATTCCAATGCAGTAGTCGGGATTCATTTAATTATTCTGCCTACGGTGAGCTGTTTATTCTGTGCTCCGCTTGGCGAGGAGTTGTCAAATACAACACCGGGGCTAGAAGCTGACAATGCTGCCGAGCCACGTACACTCCGTACACCGCCATGGTCGAACCGGTCTCACTTCTTTCTCTCTCTTCGGCTTCATGCATTTCAGCATGTCTTCTTTTCTTCGCGTTCCTTGTTTCGATACCACAACAATGCCTATGAAAAGACAGCATCGGTGGAGAATTGCCGATACCACTTCGAGACTTCTGAATTGATGATATGACGGGTCTGGCGATATGGTTAATAGTATCCTACTTTGAAGCAAGGCTCTAGCCTACAATATGCACTATCGAAAAACCGAAAACGAGCCCGCGAGATGTCTAGACCTCAAGCCACGAGTTCCCATTTTCCAGCGTCAAAGCTTTCAGAGGGTCTATAAAAAGAAATTCCACCATTGCGTAGAAGCATAGATATTTGCACGTCGTCGGAAATGTGGTGACGATAAGCTTTTCTGGCGCAAGGTGTGGATAAACCTCAAATAACGACCACACCAGATCATGCAGAAATCTCTTGGGTAGGATGGGTCTTACTGGGCTTGTCCAGATTTGGGCTCAGGATCGGTAGGCCGATACCGAAAAGACTTAACGAGGATTTAGACATGGTGTTTCATCCAAATTGCTCGGATATGTCGGTGGATCGGCGGCAGGGGGATCGGCGCTTACCCGGGATAATAACCATAAAACAGACTCAAGAAGAGACATCGGGGCGCGTTTTCAGTCTCTGTTAGCCGCCGCGGCTTTACTTGTTCCATGGTTGCATTCGTGCCATGCAAGATGCAATAGTATCTTCCCAATGTGCACAGGACAGACGAAGGCAAAAACGGTAGCGTCTTTCGGCGGGTAGTTTCTCCTTATTAAAGTGGCTCACCGAACGAAATGTGGGAGCTTTTAGTCTACGGGTACGATGATCAGGTCAAGCGACGTGGGGCTCGCTAAGTGGGCTCCGGACTCCCACCGCAGTCCCGTCAAAGAGCCTCCTAGTCTATCAGATCTTACTTATGTGATAATGAGGTAACCAGGTTCATTGATAGGGTTCAATAAGAGTGCCAATTGGATTCCAGGGCTAAACCTGAGAGCAGTACGCGTCCCTCGGCTTATCGAGAGCTTGCAACTAAGCTACTTCAGTATAACTCTGTACCTTAGGCCAATCGGTTGTGACCGTGCCGAGGCTCAGCTTGCAGTGATTCTGGCAGGCATCTGCGTGGAGCTCAAATGTCGTTGAATATAGTGGTTGCTTCCTAATGCGGTATCAGTCGCAATGTCATTGGGCGCCAAAGATAGAATATTAGCTAACCCCGTTTCATATGTACTAGGATAGTTGCTTGCGCCCTACCGTACTGTTGGGTCTGGCAGTCTAGCTTACAACGCTCAGGAGATCCAAGAGATATATGAGGCTCTCGTTCGTCGTTCAATGGTGATATTTTCTTCTTCATCCGTCGATCACTGCCGTTCCACCTTGTCCTTCTTTTCCACATCCAGGCTGGCCAACTTGACATTCTTTTAAAAGCCCCACTGATCAACACAATATGTTTTGCAAAACACTTTTAGCCATTGCGGCCATGTCCCTCGGCGCCTCTGCCGTGAGCGTCACCGGCAAGGCTGAAGGGTTTGCTGCTGGAGTTACCGGCGGAGGTTCTGCCACCCCGGTCTACCCTTCTACTACCGCCGAGCTGATCGCGTACCTCGGTGATTCCTCACCCCGCGTCATCGTTCTGTCCAAGACCTACGACTTCCGCGGAACCGAGGGCACCACCAGCGGAACCGGCTGTGCTCCCTGGGGCACCGGTTCGGGCTGCCAGGTCGCCATCAACCAGAACAACTGGTGTACAAACTACGAACCCGATGCGCCTTCGGTCTCTGTGAATTACGACAATGCCGGAATCGAGGGTATTACCGTCGCCTCGGACAAGACCCTCATTGGCGTGGGCACCTCCGGTGTTATTATCGGAAAAGGTCTGCGAATTGCCAACGGCGCCACCAACGTCATTATCCAGAACATCGAGATCACAAACCTCAACCCGCAGTACGTATGGGGTGGTGATGCCATCACTCTGGACGGCACCGATATGGTCTGGATCGATCATGTCACTGTACGTACTCCCTTCTCTCATTATCCCATTGCTTCGATGGGAATTTGACTAAACTAACATTGCTTAGACCTCGCTGATTGGCCGTCAACACATCGTCCTCGGCACGTCCGCCTCGGGCCGCGTTACCATCTCCAATTGCAACATCGACGGCTCCAGCTCCTGGTCCGCCACCTGCGACGGCTACCACTACTGGACTCTGTACTTTACCGGCTCCGACGACCGGGTCACCTTCAAGGACAACTACGTACACCACTTCTCGGGCCGCGCCCCCAAGGTCGGTGGCAACACCCTCCTCCACGCCATCAACAACTACTGGTATGGCACCAGCAGCACTGGTCATGCCTTCGAGATTGGCTCGGGCGCCAACGTCCTGGCCGAGGGCAACATCTTCCAGAACGTCGCCACCGTCGTCGATGCCAGCTCGCAGGGCAAGGCCTTCACAAGCCCCTCCACCAACGCCAACACCGCCTGCACCGCCAGCCTCGGTCGTGTTTGCCAGCTCAATGGCTTCGGTTCTTCCGGTACCTTCTCCGTCTCCGACACCGACTTCCTTAGCAAGTTCAATGGATATACCATTGCCTCCGCCTCTGCTTATAGCTCCGTTAGCTCCGTCATTGACTCCTGTGGCTACGGAACCATTTAAGTGTGCAATCAGAGCATTTTGACTTAGTGGTTCTAATTTACCAAAACTTACTGCAGTTTTGCTCCTTGTTAATTCTGGCGGGATCTCCAGACTTTCAAATTGTGTACATAATTTGTCTTATTACATCCATGTAGTACCTAATCGTTCTCATCTTACAATGTTCTTCTCGTAATAAGCCATTAATTTCGACCCTAATTGTCCCAGGATGTAGTGCATTTAATACGCTAGCCAAACACATGCAATAAAAGGATAACATCTTAAAAGCATGTCTCAACTAGGGCTTAACCATCTTCTGGTCTGTTCTAACCCTCCTTATAATAAGAAGAGATGGATAATAAGAAAAGGGGGTATAAATGGAAGGCCTATTCTCCCTAATCTGTGGTGTCAAGTCCAGATTTTATTAAATCACTTGGGACAACTTGGCTCCTGCTATATAGGTAGTGGGTTGCTACAGCGTTTGTTCAACAAAAAGCATTTCGTATTGAACACTAGACCACTCTCCATTACCATAGGCACATTACACACCATCACTACCAAGGCTACCCACCTTCAATACAGACATGAATTTTTAAAATCGTAATATCAATTTTTCCTCGCCAAGCACGCCTTTCACAGGGTTCTGTTAACTAGGACGCTGCAACCCCCCTCTCGTTTCCCTCGGCAGCAAAAGCCAACGCGCTGTCATGACAACTGTAATTACCCCCGAAAATCACAAAGTTGCAACACTTTCCGCCTTGCTAGACGCCTCAATAAGCCACTAAACTCAGATAAGCAACCTCAAGATGAGGCCAGTGGCACCCATTCCAGCGCCACGGATAGGAGCACCGAAGACCTCAACCGTGCAGGCCGTGATGATGGCCCAGAGTGCATGCTGTAGGAGCAACAGGCCACACTCGAACTCCGGGGCTGCACCTCTCGATTTCGAGAATGGAGGAACCAGCATGAATTCTCCCGGAAACAGCGACAGTAGAGCGCCGGTACGCTTACGGCCCGGTAATGGCGAAGACTGAGACGGCAAGAGATACATGCTGAAAAGATATGACGTCGTCACAGATTTGAATATAACAGCAGATACGCCTTTGGTCGCCAGGTATAGGGGCAGGAACTGCTTCATAAGCATTCCCAAGCCGAGAGGACCAAGCGTCTAGTTGGTACCGCCCGCACTATTCATACTGAGACAGTTTCACATGCGACAACAAGGAGCCGCGATCGATTTTGAATATGCTATTTTTATGGCATAATTCAAGTCAGTTGGTTCCGCCCGTCTGCGTTGCGAGATGACCGCGTGTGTGAAGACCAGGGCGACTGTATCGTTCTTGAGACGGAGAGGGGCAGATCGAGGTGCAAACATACAGTGCTGGTTTGATCTTCAGGATAAGTCACACACGATTCTAGCAAAGGCGTTGAACTGAGGTTGACTATCTACAGGATGTCTTGAGTGCCAACGGGATTGTCCAAGTTCCGGATGGTTTTGGTCTCGAGGTTTCAGTATTTTTTCCAGTACTGATCCTAACGTCCACGACCTACAAGTTGGCGATCGGACTATGATTTTCAGCCGTGGCTCATACTCGAGGTTCAACATCACATTTGAAGAGCTCTGCGTCGAGATACCGGAAAGTCTATCATTCGAGGACGCTGCCACGATGCCCTGTGTATACGCCACAGCCATATACTAGCTATTCAACGTAGGATGCCTTCAGCGAGACCAAGTGAGTCACCTCTTAAGCTCAATGATGTTATAATCTGAAGATGACACAATTTTGTGGTAAAAGTCGGTCTATTATCACATTTGTTTAGCCTGCGCAAAGGGGATAGGGGTCTACACTTGATATAGTATTTACTATCCAAAACTCTCGCTCAGCCCGCGCCCTCACCTCCTTTTCTGAATGGCTGGAAGTGGATGTCGCAGGGCAGTCAACACCAATACCCCTTCCGAGACTTCGAGAAGTGACTAGACAGTCGTCGCCATTGTCATTTATAAGCGTTACATTCAGTTTGCATCCCTTTTTCTTTTTCTCTCTTTTGTCTGTCTTTCTTATATCCGTTTTATACCTTTTATCTATATCAGACCGGTCCTTGTTTCCGGGACGCTATGAGCTGTCAGCTTTCAGCGAAACTTATGACCGCACATGCCCAGTATTATGAAACCTGTTTTTATATATATTCAACTTCATCCTGTCGAGCCTCGCCTCGGGCTATAAGACCTTTCTAAGATATCTGGAGCACCGATAATTTCCCCCGATCTGCCATTGATACAGGATCTATGTCGGCTTTCTGTACGCACATGTTCCTGGAGCTACTCGATTGTAACGGGGGTCAACAGACTCCACATCCGACCTGCATACTCGTCCTGGACTGAATTTGCAAAGAAGTAATCCACGTCACTAATCTCGCCAGTTGATTGCAGACTCGAGGCATCGTGGGTTATAGACCTCCAATTCCCTGTCGGATTCATTGGGGGAAGGCGTGGGGTTCTGGGCGATGACCATGTTGCATCCTATTGTTCCTGTTTCCCTCTTCTTCGGCAATATCGCGCCCAGAGACCAAGTTATGAAATATTGAATAACGCGCGACAGATAATTTAAAAGCTGGGAGGTGTTTTATGCTTTGAGAAGGAGGTCCCGGCCTGCTGAACAACTTCACCTACGTTGTTATTCATGGGATCTACAACTATGTAGACGTGCACAAGAACAAACGGTAGCAACCGTACGTAGCAGCCACGGCTATGGCATGTTCCAAAGAGCTGTTATGGACCAACTCTATCGCAAGCTATAACAAAGCATGGATTGAACGTTTCTCTATACTTCTCAAGTAAAAAGATTGAAAGTAACTATAAGGGCCTGAAGGACAGAAAAATGTGCGTCTTCGCTGCAGAATTTGAGAGTGCTGATCACGTCTGCGCATAACAGTGGCTGATACCAGAGGATTTGGAGCACGGAGTCCAAAATCCTGTTAACTGGCTGTTGTAGCCGCAAGCGGAATAGCCGTTGGGGGTCACAGGCTGGTACGGTCCGACAAAAGGCTCATTGAGGATATTCAGCGAACAAGATTGCGATCCTACTAAGTGCTGGTGCGGGTTCGGCCACTTCCTAGGTGATACTTTCTACTGCCAAACCTGCAGGACCTGAAAGCACATTGTATGCTTTCACGGAAAAGACTATCATAAGGCTGCGCTAAAGCATCATCAGTGTGCTCGTGCTCTCAAGAAATTGCTGGCATCGAAGTCATAGATGACAGGAAGCTGGAAAGCAAGATAAGGCTGCTGATGCGCTGGCACTCAATCATGCTTGGGAACAAGTGTTACCTCTTGGGGATATTTGAGGAACTCACTGATCATGTCGACTTGAATGATTCCAGGAAGATCCACTGGCGCCAGCAGGATAATGAGATTGCCAGAAAGCTGCATGATGTGGCATATCAGATTTTTGGTCCTGCAAAGTTGTTTACCGAGCAAACTTCCGTGTGAAAACACCACCCTGCACCAGTCATCCGATTAGTTCAGTCAACTTTTCACCCATTATCCCAAACTTGGACCTACCGCCTCGTGACGTATCTGCGCTCGTCCTGGTGACATCCGGTCAGGACTTCGCCCACTGGGTATAGATCATTTTGGGGAGGTGCGAATGTGCACACACGACATGGTACCATTGACTGCAACCAACATCATACACACAAGTAGCAGGAATCCGCCTATTGTCTAACACTTCATCTCAGACAACATGGAGTTCCACACATTACTTACACGAAGATGAACTTATGTTGCTATCATTATCATTCATTCGTCAAATGCTTTTGAGAACCAGATGAGCGCCTCGTGACAAGTACTGTCACAATGCCCAGGTCATTGATGAACCCTTATTTCCGGTTCTAGTTCCTATATAGTTTTTGTTTTCAATCACTGCCTCCCGTCCGTCCGGCCAACCATACCATCCCCTTCAGACCTTCGACAACACTAGCTCTAAGCCAGCCCTCGCCGTCCCAACCATCTTCTTCATCTCCTTGCCCTTGGCTGACCCTTTCTCTCCGTTCAGCCTCAGATCGTCGCACCCTCCACTCGACCCACTCAAAGAGGCCCTTCAGGCCAATTAAGTCGTCCCGCCTGCCATTCTTCACACCTTCTTCCAGTACCAATTTGGCATCGACCACGCTTCCGCAACTTAGGCCTACATCGGGTCCGCCAACGCCTCTGTCGAGCACAATGCTTCTTTCCGAATGTGTAAGCTTCTTCAGACTTGGCACTGCATCAAACAGCCATTCAAGTGGTTGGCTCCCAGCCTCGGTTGACCCCGACGGCGTATTTAGTGACGACTGGCGACCCAGAGCGAGCATCGTGGCCGCGAATGGATTACCGCCCGTTGGGCGCCGCCTTAGATAGAGTACCTGGTTCTTGGTGAACTTTTCCTTCAGTTCGTCGCCTCCTGGCCCGGCAAAGTCTAGGTCAAGATTCCAGAACTCTAGACTGGTCGTACGAACACTCAAAATCTCGCTCAAAGGGGGCAACAGGCATGGTGTAGTCCGCATATCTTCGCTGGGTTGTCCCGGCTCTGTTCCCAAGGGGGTTTTCAGTTTGATAGATAATGGCACGCTGACAGGTGTGTTTGTAGCCACATCCTTCGTAACCAGACACCTGGGGTCAGTGGCCAGAACCCAGAAATGGCGGAATGCCTGCAGATGACTCTTATTGTCTTGCACCTGATCTGGGAAAACTGGATAGAATGCCACTAACAAGCTTGCAATGGCCAAATTTGATGTGTTGAAAGTCTGCGTGCCACAGCCAAGCGATAAGACGCCAATTGCCATGTGTGTGGCCATATGAGAGCCGTACGTGGTCTCAGGATCGTTGCGAGCGTGGAGAGATCGCAGGATGCGCAGAACCTGAAGATCGCATGTGCCGGCCATGACTGTAGCCGCAGAGAGCGCGACCGTGTCAAGACACATGCGCGCAGTGACTTGGACGGTGCGGTTATCAAAGTTGGCTTTCGACGATGAGGATTGACAATAGCCGTAAAACACGTGCAGATAATTGAGTAGCAGGTCGCGGACGTCTAGACGACCTGAACCAGCATAGCGGAGAGCAATTGAAAAGCAAAGGCCGGCGAGGATAGTGAGGAAGGGCAGGTGGGTGGAATTAAGAGGGCCCTGTGAGGAACTGTCGAACGGCTCAGAAGGTGGAGTGACGCGGGAGTGGTAGCGACGTGGGAGATTGCGTCGAATCCAATCGTGTGTGGGATCGACCTCAGACCAAAGAATAAGGTGTTTTGCGACGGTTCGGAGAAGGAGGATGTCAGGGCGAATGTAGTCAAACTGCAGTATTGCTTCTGGCACGTCGATCTTACGAGCCACAATATGATCTTCGGACTTCATGTAAATAAGCGCAACAGCTACAACGGCAGCGGCGCTGGATCGGTCCAAAATGTGTACAAGCTCGACCTTCTTCGTAGCCGAAGCCAGGGTGACAAGTCTCTCAGTGACGCGCATATCGTGCAGGCCCTTGAGATCAGTACCTTTCCCCAGGTTGATGAAGCCGAGCGCAAATCCTGCAGCAAGCCGATAGCATTCACTGCGCAGCGGTTCCTCGTCATCTTCCGTCTCGATGTGTGCAATTTCCGACATCATGATTTCGCTCATCCGGCGGTGCTGACTGTTGCAGTATAACAAGCCGATGCCCATGATGCCAGTGGTCTGTGTAAGGGGCGAAAGATTCAGCTCAGCTGCACCGTGAGGCAACATCCTCGTGACGTGGACAGAGAGAAGACGCGTTATCAAGGAGTCCATAGTGCCAATATAAGAAGCAGCCAGGCCCAGGAGAAGTCCAATAGACGTCATCGTATGCTTGGGAGTCAAGTACTTGAAAGCAACCCATTTGGCTACACCTTTGAGATGGCCGTTCAAACCCAGCGCGAGAAGGAACCCAGCGTGTCTGTTGTTGAGATCGTTGCCGGGCTTGTTGTAAAGGATCCAGGACGTATCAATACCCTGTGCTTGCCGAGATATTGACAGACCTCCGGCGACACCAGAATGGAAGAATCCCCAGGCAATCTCCTCTTCCTTGAAGAGGTTCTTGTCTACGCCGACTGTTGTATTTGACGGTTTGATAGTGCAGTTCAAGACGAAGCCGTTGATGTGGAACTTTTGGGTCAGCAGTGGGAAACGCAAACCGTAGTTCATCAAGGCTCTCCCGGCAGGAATCGACAGCGTGTTAGTAGCCAGCCGTGTCACAACTTCCTTCTGCTGTTCGAGATAGGTCTGTTCTGTCCATTCTGGAAGTGGGTCCAGCCGCACGACCCGTGGTTTCGTGGTACTGAGCATGAGCTTTGTCTCTTCCAGCCTTCGATCTTCCTTGAAGATGGCCCGGACAACGGCCTGTTTATCGCTCTCGGCGACATCATCAGTGGGAGCGTCGTTGAAATCCATGACATTCTGACATAAGGAGTTGAAGTCCCAAGAAGCTAGGTGCGAAGGTGCCTAGATATAGTTTAGCAGCTTGCCACAAACATGGCAAAATGAGTACGTACAATGAGATTAGAGGAGTGGAACCGGCTTCCATCTAACGGCGAGAGCACCACACCAACGTCCTTCCTGTCCACTAGATCTAGTAGGTCTCTCGACCACGCGGATGGCGGATGTGCTTGGCATTGAGCAATGGCATCTTGAAGAGGCACCATGACAGCTTCTGGGAGTAATTCCAATACCACAGATGTGATCCCGCTGCTGTACATCGATTCCACAAAGTCCACAGGTGACGCCTTCTTGGTCTCAAGGAGATTGAAGAATTTGACAAACATTCTTGTCCGTGGGATAGCGTCTTGTGAAAGTGATGAGAAGACCATCGGTATTGGTTGCGGATGAGCTGTATTTTTTTGAGTTAAGTTGTCTTGGATCCAGTCAAATACGTGCCAAGTGGGAGGTTCCTGCGGAATCCGAGCAAGCGAAACTCGTGTGTTGTCACTTCCAGACGTTGGCAAGTCTACGGGCATGTCTAATTCATATAAATATACCCATTGACTCCAGTTCATCCATCGGGCAACTTGAAGTAACACCGACCGAAGATTTGTTGGCCCGGGTGATGCGGAGTAAGAAGCAGTGATGTCAAGTTTCTGGTCTTCCAGGAGCAAGTGTAGCGCAACAAAGATGTCCTGGGCACATTGGACTCGACTGGACTCATCGTTGTGCAGAGCCGTGGGCAAGTACCCCTCCGGACTGCAAGCAGCCTCACCAAGCGCCGACATTAAGTACTTTTGAGCATGGCGCAAGTGAGAAGAGATGAAGTCCATGTCCTCAGTACCTTGTTTCTGCTGGAACATGCTAAATGAACTGTCATCTTGTTCCACGACCCATCTCCACGCCGTGTGGTCAACCCAAGGTGGGTGAGTCGATGAATTTGGAGTCTCGAAAACATTCATCGTATCCCAATCACTCGAGTCCGTGTATGCTCCACTGCTCGATCTGAGATGACTCTTGCTTCTCCTATGACCCAACGGAGTACCAACAGAGTAAGAATCAGCAGTCCCGAGGGCAAGGTACATCGAAAGTATCTGAATCACGGCGGCAGACCACTCCATGTCTGCAACATCCACCTGCTCTTGTCGAAGCCATGCGACGATTTGCCACCAGCCAGCCAGCAATCTGTCGCCAAATGGTTCAGGTAAGACACCACGAAGGAGCTGGAGAATTTTCGCAACTTGAGGACAGGTAGGTCGGAGTTGGATGCGAATCTGGTGAAGTTGTTGGGTTCCGCTGTCCAAGATGTCGACGACGCCATTGAGCTTCGGATGGCGAATTCCAGCTATCTCTCCTACTACAGGGGTTACGGCTCTTCTCATACCGACTTCATGGTCGATCAGACTACCACGGTAACCGAGGCTCCGCAGATCCGAAAGGTTAAGTTTTGTTGGTAGGGTTATGGATGTCAGTGGGCTCCATGGGGCCTGGAGGCTTAGCTCACGATGTCCATCACCGGATTCGGAGAGAAGAAGAATCATGGACAGGCTTCCATCCACAATTTTACACGAGTCAATGACGTTCTGAGCTTTTCTGAGCTGACCGAAATTTATGATTGTCTTGTCGGACTCAAATGCATGATGGCCTCTGGTTGTTGTCTGGAGGTGTAGCGTAAGCAACTGTAAACGCTTCTCCATTGTGTCTTGGATGCCGATCAAGACCTGGCATCGATTCTGATCACCAACAGCTGATTGTGGCCCAGGAAGACAGAACACTTTACAATGAGTCCTGGCCGGCTGTTTTGAGAGGGAATATCTGACGTTGGTATTATCCAATGGCATGCTGTGAATCTTCGTGAGCATAATCTCTTGTGTGAGGCCATCGAAGTCGTGGTCGTCTAGCCCCATGCTGTGGAAACCTTCGAAGTCGCCGCCAGCACGTAATTCTTCCAGCAGGTTGTCAACTGGAGCTTCCAGAAAACTGCCAATTGCATTGACGCTCTGCGTGACGGTGCCACTGAAGCTGACACCCGGGAAAGCGCCGCTGATTCGTGCCCGCGAGCTTCCATGTGATGTCTCCCTGCGGGCGCCCGCATGGTTTGCGATTTGTGCCTGATCACCAAACGCTGTCCGGTCCTGAGAAGCTGACAGGTCTGCGCGTGCAAGCATCGAGCTCACCCGACGTGATGTTCGTCGCGTGACGCCCGATTCCTTGTCGAGACCAAGTGACGACTCGAGCTTTTCAAGCGCCTTTTCATTTCTTTCAACCTTCTCGCTTTTTCGAGATTTTTTCCCAGGGAGAGTAGCCCCAAGGCTTTCTTTGAAGGTTGGCTGCAAAGGAGACGTAACGCCGCTCGCAAGACCCGGCTGCATTGAACTCCTACGACGGTCTGTCTTTTGCTTGGCAGGGTTTGGAGGGTTTCGAAGCGGATCGGCGTTCTGAATGTACGTGAACCTCCAGACACTATACATGCTCGTTTCTCGATTCATGGTAATGACCAATACCAACTTGTCCTTGCCATTCTTGTCTGACGTGCCACTTAGCCGTGGTAATTCTTCAATGTGCAGTATTTCTTCAGCTCGGTCGAGAAAGCATGGCACCTTTTCAGAGCTTTGGCGGGCCTTGCGCTTCGACGATCGATCCGGTTGCGTAACGACAAGTCCGAGTTCGAGGAGAGGATCAGTCAAAGACACCAACCGAGGCCAGTGAGACCCATTCTTCTCCGTAGGCATATCCCAAGCATCGTCTAGCGGGTTCTGCAGGCGCAAAGGGAGCGCTTTGGGCCTACCTAGGGTTTCGGTCGTGAATGTAGTCTGTTGGGAGGTTCGTATGGACGCCGGTGAGGACTGGGGGGAAATAAACGAGTTTGGCGGTACACGAGGAAACTTGAGGCTGGCTGCAAGACTGCTGTCGGTCCGTTGCTTTCGCTGAATGACGACGCCTTGCGGAGCAGCGCAGGCCGACTCGACTTCGAACGGCATGTGAACGACATGACTGGTGCCGTCCAGGAAGTAGATGTGAGCTTGTGTCTTCAGAAATACTACCAAGGCTTTCGATAGCGTCCGGCTGTCCGATAAAGACTTGCCAGCTCCATAGCGGGATGCCTGCTCCGACCCGGGAAAGTAAGTCAACAAGGCCTGCGTAACAGGTTCCCTCTCCAGTTTGAACCCAAAGCACTTGCGAAATATGCTACCGCGAGACCAGATGACGCTGTCTTTGGTGACGAGGAGCTCGTCTTCCCCCACATCATCTCCGTGATGATTTACGGTGATGTCCCAGGTGTAATCGGAGCTCGGCGCATTTTCCTGGATCAGCTGTTCTTGTATCGCATATTGCAGCGCTGTCGGTTGGTGCAGCCCGAGGGATGTCACCGAGGCCATAGTTGACGAATCCGCTCCATGAGTCACCTATGATAAAACGGTGAAGCTGGCAACAAGTGCAGAAACAGTTGTCGGTCTAGAGAGGACATTGATGGCAAATAGCTCTTACCTTCGACCGTTGAGAAACGCGTTGGTCGACAAGACGCGACTTCCAGGTTCTTTAATTTCAGTGAGGGGCAGACTACTGTCATCATTGGCCGCAGCTTCCCAAATGGAAGCGGTGTGTACAGTTTTCATGCAAGATGGAAACACTGTGTAAAATCCGGTGTGCCCCAGAATCTCAGCCCGCAACTGACCGCTTATCGACTGTGCACTGTGCGGTCAACTGACGTAACTTGAGTGTCTGCCGCGGCCCTAACAGCTAGCTAGCCTAGACAAAGCTCCAAGGTACCTTAGGCGACGATCAATAACTTGAAGCTGCTCGCCTCCTTCCGTCTTGTTTTCATGCCATGCCCAGCCGCTGTAATTACTGCCAATAATGACAGAAGGATCGCCCGACCTGGGCGATGACAGGCGTCGCGAGAATGACGAACCTGAATCTGAATCCAGCGCCGAGCTCGTCAAGATCGAACCGCGGCCGGTGGAAGACATGGACGAGCACAAGACGGACGACGAGAGTGAAGACATGGCAGACGAGGGAGAGGAGGTAGCTGAAGAGGATGGTGACGAGGATGACGAAGATGATGAAGATGACGAGCCAAAGCTGAAATATGCTCGACTCACCCAGCACCTGAGTTCCCTCTATAAAAATGCCGACATGACGAGCGCCTTTCTTGTCGCCGGTGACAAGATGGTCATAGGAACGCACAACGGCAACATCAATGTTATACAACTGCCAATGTTCCAGTCACTGCGAGTCTACCATGCCCACTCGACATCCGTCACGAGCATATCCATTTCCCCGTACCCGCCACCGCTCCCGCCCACGACTTGGAAGTCCGAGACTACAACCCGAGCAGCATCTATCACTGGGAACCGTGGACGAGCATCATCGAACTATTCTGAACTGTCTAAAGCCCGAGCTAGCGATCAGCGGAGAGCACGAGAGCCGCCGCAACTTCCTAATATCCCTTCGAACAACATCCATATTGCAACCTCTTCAATGGACGGCAATGTATGCGTCCAGTCCCTTATTGATGTGAAGGACGTTTCATTGCGGAATTTCGCCCGTCCGGTGCAAGCTGTCGCTTTGTCGCCCGACTACAAAAATGACAAAACTTATCTTTCAGGTGGGATGGCCGGAGATCTCGTCTTGACCGTTGGCCCTCCACCCGGGAAAAGTACGTCCACAACAACCGGCACGGCTGCTGCCGCCGCTGCTGGGTGGCTGGGGTCAATGGGGCTAGGATCAAATACTGGCAAGGACACAGTGCTGCACTCAGGAGAGGGTACGATCAACACGATCAAGTGGTCTTTGTCAGGGAAATTTGTCGTGTGGCTCAATGAGCACGGCATCAAGATCATGCGGACCAAACTTCATCTAGAAAATTCGGAAGTCGAAGACGCTTGGAAGAGGATAGGGCATATTGATAGACCGCAGACGGATGAGTGGGAAGAAATGGCCGGTGTCTGGAAAGGGCGAGCTGAATGGATTGATGAGCAGGCCATCGAGCGGGATGAAGATGCAAAGGAGCCCGAATCTGCCGCAACTACGGCATCGCCAGCCGCAACTAAACTCAAACAAATGGCAACGAACAGCGAGAAGAAGGTAGAACGGCTGATAGTAGGTTGGGGAGGCACCATATGGATCATCCACGTCCAACCAGGCGGTATTGGGGTTGGAAAGAATGCTGGCGAGAAGTCTCTTGGAAAGGCGGAGATAGCCAAGAAGTTCGTATTCCCTGCTTCGAACCTAGATATCTACTAACACCAACAGGCTTCGAATGGACTGTATTATTTCTGGTATTTCGCTATACACCCAAAATCTGCTTTTAGTTCTGGCATTCTGCAAACCAGACGAGGAAGATAAAGACGAAGATGGCATCAAGAAACATGCCAAGGGACATAAATCGGAGCTTTCTACTGCATCAACGGGAAGTGAGCCATCAGGCGGCCTAAGACGTCGCCAGAATGCTCAGGCACCCGAGCTGAGGTTGATTGACTTAACTTCACAAGCTGAAATTGACAAGGACAGTCTGACGGTCAGCCGCTTCGAGCGTTTATCATCAAATGACTATCACATCGGAGTGTTACCAGCCAACAATGCTGCGTCGGTAGTTGCATCTCGAGGCGTGTTGGATGCAATGGCTGGTCTCGGGACTGGCATGTGGAATGCGGCCATTAATCCAAGAACACTGTTCAATTCCGGTGCCAGTATTAAGAGCAAAGACAGCAACGACGACGCGTCTAGTATCAAGGTCGCCAGCACTGCCGGGAGCATTCGCATTGGGCCACGATCAGGGCCGCAGACAGTGCATCCCAATCTTGTCAAACCTGGTGCTAAGATATTTATCCACAGTCCGTATGACTGCATACTCGCCACGAAAAGGGACCTTGGAGATCATCTTGGGTGGTTGATGGAGCGTCAGAGATTCGAGGATGCTTGGAATCTCCTGGATGAGCACCCGGAGATCATGTCTGCTTCTCCTGAGAAGCTCCCAGATGCCATGCCCTCAAGCCCAGACAAGCAGTCGTCGCAACCGAGTAGTGATGACTTCTATGAGGATACTGCGTCCGTGATCGATTATCAATTCCGGTCTCAGAATTCATCAGCAGAGAATGAGAAACGACGAATTGGCGAACAATGGATTCAGGAGCTTGTGGAAGGCGGAAACTGGAGCCGTGCCGCTGAGGTTGCGGCAAAGGTGCTCAATACCTCCGACCGCTGGGAGAAGTGGATATACACATTCGCCGGCGCCCAAAATTTCGATGAAATTGTTGATTACATGCCAACGGAGCCTATGCGCCCGCCAATTCCCGGAACTGTGTACGAGGTCATTCTCGGACACTACATTCAGAACGATAGGCCACGCTTTAAAGAATTGCTGGATCGTTGGGACACCGAGCTCTTTGATATCCACACTATCGTCACTGCACTTGAGAACCTTCTCAAGTACCGAGATGTGCGAGAGGACAGTGTCGAAGACGGTGAGAAGGGGCGTGACTGGCGCATCGTGATGGAATCTCTTGCGAACCTCCACGAAGCCAATGGCCATTACAGAGACGCCTTGAAGTGTTACATTAAGCTCCAAGATGCAGACTCTACGATGCGGTTGATTAGGGATAATCACCTCGCGGATGCAGTCACAGACGACGTGCCCAGCTTCATCGCACTTAGGGTCCCGGATGCTCAGCTGTCCAAGATGACGATCCCGGAACTCGACGAGGCCACATCAGAGGCCATTACACTACTGGTTGATGAAGGCCAGCGCGGCCTCATCAAACCCGACACTGTGGTTCGGCAACTAGAAAAGAAGGACATGAATCTGTATTTGTACTTCTACCTCCGTGGGCTCTGGAATGCGTACCGCGAGCGACCCATGGACGAGTCCGTGTCACTTGTCGATGACTTCGCCGACCTGGCTGTTCGCCTCTTCGCCATGTTCGACCGCGATCTTTTGATGAACTTCTTCAAAAACTCTACCAGCTACACCTTGGAGAAAGCAGCACAAGAATGCGAGAGCCGAAACTACGTACCTGAACTCGTGCATCTCTACTCGAAAACTGGCGAGGTGAAACGTGCCTTGTATCTCATCATCGACCGCCTAGGTGATGTGTCACAAGCTATCTCTTTTGCCAAAGAGCAAGACGATCCGGATCTGTGGAAAGACTTATTGGACTATAGTATGGACAAACCGCGATTCATTCGCGGGCTGTTGGAAGAAGTAGGGACGGCTATTGATCCCATCACACTCGTGAGGCGGATACCGGAAGGTCTTGAGATACCTGGCCTCAGGGAAGGGCTGAAGCACATCATGAAGGAGCACGAAATCCAGTACTCTATTTCCAACGGGGTCGCCAAGGTGTTGAGAAGCGAAGTGGGCGCAGCTCAAAATATGCTGCGAATGGGTCAGCACAAAGGCATCAAATTCGAAGTCAAGTTCAAAGACCAAGCCCACGTCGACATCGAAGTACAAGATGTTGCGACACTCGCCACCGGGCCGCTGGCTTCCCCGAATGCCAGCGGCACACAGACGCCCACGGCACCAGAGGTCATGGACCCAACGGCTGCACACACCGTGACGGGCGGCGGCTTACACGGCGGCGCCAGACAGCAGCCTGAACACGACCACCGGCCGCCGCAGCCGGGGCACTGCGCGCGATGTCACGAACCATTTACCGAGTGGGAAATGGAGACACTCGTTGGGTTCGCTTGCGGGCATGTGTTCCACATCTCGCATTTGCTTGAGTTTCTTTATCCAGACCAGAAACCGGACCCGGTCATTGTAGACTACTGGGATGGAAATGAGGATCGTACGAGAGGCGGGCGTTTTGTCAGGAGGAAGGTCACACATGCGAGGCTGCTGCGAGACAAGGTCGCCGCGGGGTGTCCTGTGTGTCGGGCACGGATGGAGTTGGTTGAAGGAGGTGCATAGAAAGGAGAGATGTACAAATATATGGGTTAAGTGGCTCAAGTCGTTCGAAGCATTTGGGCGGCGTTCAAGGAGTAGTAATGGAGCGGTACGGCATTTGTTGAAACTTCGCCCTTACGAAGAGTTCATTTTCGTTTAGGATAGACTTTCAACCAAGTTTGTACATATGATTACTCATAACTCCAAGTCAATTGCCATTCATTGCTAATCTCTCCTGTGGTTGGGTGTTCATCAGGAATGTTTGAGGTCGTCCTGTAAACAGAGTCGTGGATGAGTGAAAAGTTTGCAAAATGTGCAATAAATGTGCAAATACTAAAAAATAAAATTTTACGACTTCATCTATCGTGAAATCCGTGCCTCCACGCGGAATTGAACCGCGGATCTTCGCATTGCCCTAGAATTACGAGTGCGACGCATTACCACTGTGCCATAGAGGCCATCTCCTATTGGTGGTTGAATCTCGTAATAGTGCTGTATATCAATATGGCCCCCTTCAAATTTGCCTCACCTCTTCTTTGGCCATGTGGACCTCTCTGTATCACAAATCTCAGGAAGTTACCTAAGTTGGTGCTCACCACCAACTTGGCCAGTTTTTCGACACTTTCAACTTCAACCTATCCTATCTTCGTCGATTCATTAGCTTTTTTCAATCGCAATGGACTCACAGCTACAGGAAGCCGTCCTCTACATGCAAGAGCATCCTCAAGCCAAAATTGCCAAGATTGCGCGAGAAAGCGGCGTAAAACGCGAGACCCTCCGATACCGCGTCAAGCAAGCTGGGAAGACTAAGAACCACGGAGGACTCAACAAACTACTATCTGAAGCCGAAGAAAAGGCCCTCTGTAATTACATCGACCGCCTTGATAGGATCAATCTTGCGGTTCGCGTAGAATTCGTTACCGACGCTGCAAATACGATATTACGTGAGAGTCAAGGTTCTACCAAATCAGCCACCAACAACAGTCGGATCAAACTGGACTACACGTTTCCTCAAGCGCCATAGCTACTTCCACGCTTCCCAGCGGAAGCTCCATTCAAACCGCCAGACTGCTGAAAACCTCGACACTATACGAGAGTATTTTACACGGCTTGAGAGAGTCCTCCGGGAAGAAGGAATCGATCCCTCTGATCTCTGGAATATGGACGAGACTGGCTTCCGGATTGGTGTTGGTAAGGATCAACTTATCATCACTAAGCGCAAGAGGGCCCATTACTTCGGCCTACCAGAAAATAGAGAGACAGCGACAGCTATTGAAGCTATCTCTGCTGTTGGCGACGTAATACCAGCTTTCCTCATACTCACGGGGACTATCCACTCGGCTCAGTGGTACGCGCAAGACCTTCATCCAGGTACGAAGCTACGGCCGGTCGATACAGGCTATTCGAATGACGAGATCTCTCTCGAGTGGCTTATGCACTTCGAACAACACTCTAAGAAAACGCAGAAAGGTCGAAAGCGACTATTGATCTTAGACGGCCATGGCAGCCACCATACGAAGCAGTTTATCCAGTACTGCAACGACCACGATATTATACCCTTCGGCTTGCCCCCCCATCTTACTCATCTCTTACAGCCACTAGATGTGGTTGTTTTTCAGCCATATAAGCACTGGCATGCGAAGTCCCTCGATCAGCTAATACGGGATGGATGTACCAATATAACCAAGCTAGAGTTCCTCTCAATTATCGAAGATGTACGCAAAAAGACCTTCAAAGCGATTACTATCCAGTCAGCCTTCAAGAAAACCGGTATATATCCATTTTACCCTCATCCCATACTACAAGAGATTGAAGAACGTATACCAAAGACGCCATCACCACCACCAGCCACTTCATCTTCGTCATATGAAGGCACACCTACTACTTTTCGACAAATTAATAAAGTAGCTAGCAAGATTACGAACTGTCTTACTGATCCAAAGCTTGGTATTAGTCCAGATCTAGCCTATCGACTTAGTCGCTTTGTTAAAGGGTCCCTCGTTAATGCGACCGAGCTTATACAGACTAAGCGCGATCTTAGCCGTACAAAGTATGCCGAACGTATATAAAAACAACGGCGCGCTACGAAGAACTATCATCTTCAATCTGGTGGAGTTTTATCCGTTGCAGAAGGTAGAGAGATGGTGAAGAGGAAGGTTGAAGATGAGGTAGCTAAAGCACAGAGAGTTCTCGCCAAGTATCATGAAGGACTACGTAGAGTAGCCAAAAAGAGCTTTTCTGATGCCGCAAAAGAAGCTAGAAGACGTCGATTGACAGGCCAATTACAGCCTACAGATGTCTTCGAGACAGGCCTTGGTTGGCGGTCATTACGTAGATTCTAATTGAAGGTTGAAATCCGTCGAAAAACTGGCCAAGTTGGTGGTGAGCTCAAGCGAATCCGTAATAAGTGGGGTGTGGCACTGGTACTGATTCACAGCAGACAGGCTCGTGGACGGACAAGGCCGGCATCAGCAGATCTTCCGCAGCCGGGCGATTTTCCGCAGTAGGACTCCCAGTCCTCTATGTAGGTGCCGCTCTCCCCCGCGATCTGTAACCCGCCCAGATCTGCGGGATGCTCCATATGAATCCTTCCTGGGAATGCATCTAATGCGAAACATCCAATTGGCACATGCTAACGGTAATGGTATGAAAGTTTCCTCACAAACAGTCAGCAAATTACCTTCCTCGTGACCATGATTGGATCCGCAGCTAGCCGGACGTTTCTTGGTTGGCTTGATTTGGCAACTCGTTGGCGCAACGATAAGCTCGAGGCCGCGTTAAACCGTGGCAGCATTAAGGAAGGTTGATAATGACCGTTGACTACGGATGCCATGGAATTCAGATGGGCTTTATTTGCTAGAAACAAAAGAAAATACTGTTTCCTGGATTCTTGATATTTTCGTGTGGCATATAGGCTAGAATCGAAACAGGCAAACAGTATGGCTGTTCTCAGTCTCCCTTTTCTGATCCTCAGCGTTGCGGCCGTCCAAGTCAGTTGTGTAAGTGTGGTGACCTGAGCTCGGTTGGTGCCGTCAACTTGCTGACTCTGCACACCGCAGGTTGTAGCCCTCGTCGTCTATCGACTGTACTTCCATCCTCTGGCCAAATATCCAGGCCCGTTGTTGGCCAAAATCACAGATGCGCACCAACTGTACCACTCCTGGAAAGGTGACCGACACCTGGAGTTCTGGCGCATGCACGAACGATACGGCAAAATCGTCCGTTTCAGTCCCAATAGCGTATCCTTCAACTCCAACACAGCGCTCAAGGACATCTACGGCTTCAAGTCCAATGTCCGCAAAGCCGAGTTCTACGATGCCTTTGTGCATCCGGCCCCTAACACGCACAACACGCGGGACAAGACGGTTCACTCGCGGAAGCGCCGCGTTTTGTCCCAGGGCTTCTCGGATAGTGCCATGAAGGAGATGGAGCGATATATCCTCGCCAATGTACGATCGTTCTGTGAACAAATCGGTATGGACGCCAGTGCGGAGAAGAAGGGCTGGACGGCGCCGAAGAACATGTCGGATTGGTGTAACTATCTCGCAATGGACATTCTGGGCGATCTGTGTTTTGGCAAGGCGTTCCATATGCTGGAGAGGCCGGACAATCGGTACGCGTTGGAGCTGGTATCGCTTGCTACCACGAGACATCTGATTGTAAGACTGTGTTGGTTTGATCTGCTCTAGGTCTGTGTTGCTGACATGAAATAAGTGCGGGACCATGCCCTTGGTTGGCAAGTTGCACCTCGACAAGGTGCTCTTCCATAAGATTGCAGCGGGTAGAGCCAAGTATATGGCCTACAGCAAGGCCCAGTTGACAGACCGAACAAAGTTGGGCGATGACACTGATCGTCGTGATTTCTTCTACCATCTGCTGAAGGCTCGCGATCCAGAAACAGGACTTGGTTTCACAACTCCCGAGTTGTGGGGAGAATCGAATCTGCTGTAAGTACGCTGCATCATAAAGCGAAAGCGATGCTGACTTATGACTCAGAATCATTGCTGGATCCGATACCACATCCACTGCCATGGCCGCGACACTGTTCTATGTTGTGCGAACTCCATCAGCACTGGAGAAGGCGGCCGAAGAAGTCCGAAGTAAATTTAGTGATGTTGAAGAGATTCATCAAGGCCCCGTCTTGAACTCGTGCACCTACCTGCGAGCCTGCATTGATGAAGCCATGCGCATGTCGCCCTCGGTTGGGGGAATCCTGCCTCGCGAGGTACTTTCAGGCGGTATCACCATTGACGGCGAGTTCATCCCCGAGGGCATCGTGGTGGGCACACCGCACTATACAATCCACCACAATGCCGCGTACTATCCGGACCCGTTCGCATACAGTCCGGAACGCTGGGTGGCCGGGTCGCAAAAGAGCTTCGGTGGATACGGCGAGACTGTCGTGAGGGAGGCCGACGTAGCGCTGGCTCAGAGTGCGTTCTGTCCGTTTTCTGTCGGCCCAAGAGGCTGTATCGGGAAGGGCTTAGCGTACGTAGAGTTGATGACGACGTTGGCGAGGGTGTTGTACACCTACGACCTCCGTAAATCAGGTGGTGTTGACCCTGCCGAGGGCCACGAGGGCTTGGAGTGGGGGAGGCAGCGAGTCAACGAGTTCCAGTTGATTGACCAGTTTACGAGCTTGAAGGATGGTCCGTTGGTGGAATTCAGGAAACGCCAGTAAGTGGCGCGTTTCTGCCGTCGCTTGTTCCTTGCATGGCCATACATACACTCGCTGTCACCCTTTCTCATGTATATATATATTAGTCGGGCCTAGGAAGAGTTGAGTGGTGGGGTTCGGTCCGTCACGGTCCGACTTAGGTTAGTAGGTTCGTGATGTGATAGACAGCCTCGGCCTTCTAGGTCTTCTCCGCTATATCTCCATCTCGTGATCTTCAAATGATTTCCCTCAAGTGTCACGAGTCTTGGGCTCGGTGTTTTTCAAGTTTCTTGTTTGTCTTGTGGTTGCAGTTGTTGTGGAGATAAGCATCGGGGTCGAGTTCTTTACAGTCGAGCGAGTCCCAGAGAGTTCCTTCTGTGCCACTGGTATTGTTGCGACCTTCCATATTCTGTACAGCTCGCTTTCCACACAAACAAGTGCTGTTCAAGCTTTCCAATTACCAAGCGACCTCGGCTCATGCCGGGTTCTCCTGGTAACGTATTGAGCCGAAATTGACTAGCAATATCAAAGAACCCGTTGGAGATGGGACGGTTGCAACGCGGGGAAGATGCCAAAATGCGTTGGAATCTCAGCGTTTCCCCGCCCTCTCCAACTCCATGCGAGTCCATCAAGCTACCATTATACGCGTCGATATTGATACTTCAATCCTTACTGGACACGTTGGGAGACAAGTCGGATGAGTCTTGGGTCGTAACTGTACCCCAAGAAAATCCACTAAGTGTTGGCATGGTAAATTTCGTTCCGTCGGTGAAATGATGTTTCCTGGCCAAGGTTTACCATCATAATGAACCTCGGAACCAGACCAATGGATTATGAGGGGCCTATACTCTATTCCGCTCCACTGATACAGTAGGCAGTTATGATATCGATGCTTAAAATGCGAGCAGTCGCCCCTCTGTGAGCAGTGTCGGTAAGCTAGTGGCAATATCCAGATCCTGGTGCCCTCGTATCCTTATCATGGCCAGGCGTTCTCTCGGAGCTTCTTTGCTCTCACTGCTCGCTGTGGGCAATAGTCTTTTTTTTCAGACTTCTGTCGCTGCCAGCTGGCCCTACGGACCCCTCGTCACCGAAGGACGGGACATCAAGAACACCGAGGGCGAGGATGTTGTCTATGCCGGAGTCAACTGGCCTGGTGCGGCAGACGTCATGATCCCTGAAGGTCTTCAATACCAATCAGTCGAATACATCGTCTCCCAGATCAAGAGTCTCGGCATGAACTCGATCCGCCTCACCTACGCCATTGAGATGATTGATCAAATCTACGAAAACGACGGCGAAGATGTTCCAATCCAAACTGCCTTCATCGAAGCTCTTGGTGAGACCAACGGCACCAAAGTCTACAACCAGGTCCTCGCCGCCAACCCTTCCTTCGGCGCCAACATAACCAGACTAGAAGTCTTTGATGCCGTCGCCGCGGAGTGCGCTGCTCAAGAGATTCTGATCAATTTGGACAACCACATGTCCTTGGGGGCTTGGTGCTGCAACACTGAGGATGGGAACTCGTGGTTTGGCGACACCTACTTTTCCGTCGCCAACTGGACCCGAGGACTCGGATACATGGCCGAGCACGGCAAGTCCTGGCCGGCTCTGGTGTCCATGTCCCTGCGCAACGAACTTCGAGAGCCTGACAACAACGCCACGCTCGCGGCAGCGTCGTACAATTGGCAGGATTGGTACAAATACATAAAGCAGGGAGCCGGCGCCGTCAACGCGGCCAACAGCGACGTCCTCATCCTACTCTCCGGACTCAGCTTCGATACCTTTGTTACCCCCGTGGTCCGGGGCACTGCTCTGACCCCCAGCACCAGCACCTTCCAGCTTTCCGACTTCGCCGGGTACGAGGACAAACTCGTGTTAGAACTTCACACCTACGCCTCCACGACCAACTGCACAAGTCTCGAGATCAGTCTCTACAATAGCGGGTTCCAGGCAATGCACCCAGAAGACCCGCAAACCGTCAACGTCTTCCCAATCGCGTTGACTGAGTTCGGCTTCATTCAGGATGCGACCCAATGGAAGGACAACGTGTATGCCACCTGCGTCGCCAGTTACCTGGCCCAGGAGAAGGCAAGTTGGATGCAGTGGGTTATTGCCGGTAGCTACTACATCAGGACCGGTGTTCAGGATTCCGAGGAGACCTGGGGACTGCTCACTCACGACTGGTCCACCTGGAGGAGCCCGGAGTACGTCGAGGGGGGTTTGGTCCCTTTGATCAACAAAACTGCCTCACCTTAAGATTTCAGTAGCCTAGATGTAGCGAGCAGATAAGCATAATGTATCGAAATACAACGACGTTCTCCACCATTGTTCAGTTCGATTAATGGACGATGACATGATGCATTGTCCCACGTCAACCTAGAAAAGTTGGTTGCGACAGCCAGGAGAAGAAAAGCCACCTCACGACCGAGGTGAGGATAGTGCAACTACTTCAAAACACATTACCTCCTTTACAAAGTGATAAAGATGTTAGCAGTGACAAAGCGCTTGCCAATCCATAGAGAAATCTCACCAGGAAGTACAGCTCTCTGCAGCACAGCTGTCCGGGCCGATGGTTCCAAGGTTGATGATGCTATTTCCTGGTTCTTTGAGCTGATGGTAGTATAACACCCAGTTTAATCAAGTCAGACAATCAGGTTCTCACGGGCATGGAACGCTAGGTCCGTTTCTGGTACAAATAGTGGGGCGTCGCGTCTTCTACGCAACTGCAAGGCTTTGTTCGAGGCTACGACATCTTAAACCTCGTCGCCAAACCGAGGAGCAGGAAATGGTCTTCCGCAATGGCGCCGCTGTGCAAGTTCTACCAAAATGGCAATTGTCGCAATGGTGGTATGTCTATATCTCTCCAGCTTGAACGCTGCCTTCTCCTACCATTAACTATCCAAAATCAACGGCCTAGAAAACACTCCGATACAGCATACTTCTCCATGCCTCTTCAAATAGCAAAAGCTGACCATGTCTTTCAATCGCTCTCAAGCGAACTGCAGATTTGAACACCCTGGGGCCAATAACAATCCATTTGGCGGTACCAGCAACAACCGATTTAGCTCTCTAAGCTCTGGCGGTGGAGGCAACAGCAACAATAGCGGAACGAACCCGTACAAGGTTACCAAGGAGTTGATCAAGATCGATCTAACGGAGGAGCGTCCATCTTGGATATTGTCATCTTACGGCCCCGGTAAGGATGCGCCAGAGCAGTTATTCGGGGGATTCCCACGAGAGCAGAGCTTCGAAGAGCTACGATTGCTTGTGGCTTCGAGCTCAAATCCACCCGAAGCAGTAAGATGGAGGTTCCAGTCTTTAATTCAAGATATATGCTGATCGTTTTCCAGCTCCAACATATAGCAACGCTCTACCAGAAAGCTGAACACCAAATCCTGACAACCCTTAATGACCTGGATGGCGCAGTCAACTTCATCGTCGGCTCTGAGAACAATCACCCAAACCGCAACGATATTTGCAAGCAAAATACTCGAGAAGGAGGCACAAATGGAACTTTTGCGGTTGGCAACACATCCGGTCCCTTTGGAAACCCCTTGAACTCGGCTCCTGCGGCGGGCCAAAACCCGTTTTCCACCACGCAGGCAAGTCCATTCGGTGCAGTATCGAATAATACCACAACAAATGCTTTCGGTGCTCCATCGACCACGGGAACCACTGGTGCATTTGGTCAGCCTTCAGCATCGGGGCAGAAGCCCAACCCTTTTGGCGGGGCTAGTGCGTTCGGGCAGCCCTCGACTCTTGGAGCTGCAGGAGGATCCGCGTTCGGGCAGCCTTCAAGTCTCGGTGCTACAGGCGGGTCAGCGTTCGGACAGCCTTCAAGTCTTGGTGCAGCGGGGGTTTCAGCATTCGGCCAACCTTCAGCACTTGGAGCTGTTGGGGCGCCAGCTTTCGGCCAGCCCTCTCAACCAGGCACGACCGGCTCTGCCTTTGGTCAAACATCAGCCCTAGGTGCAAAGCCGAATCCCTTCGGGGCTCGTACAGGGCCGTCGTCCGGTTTTGGGCAGACTGCTCCACAGCCGGCCGCATTTGGACAACCCGCCCAACAACCAAGCGCCTTCGGACAGCCTTCGTCGTTGGGATCAAATCCCAATCCGTTTGGTGCTCCTGCAGCTGCCCCCTTTGGCCAGACCGCGCAGAGCCAAAATGCTGCCCAACCAGCAAATCCATTCGGCCAGCCTGCCCAGACAAGTGGTGCCTTCGGTCGGCCTGTTGGTTCAAATCCATTCGGCTCCACAGACCAACAAATGGACACTTCGGCACCGGCACTTGCTGCTCCAGCAAATCCGTTCGGTCAACCGGCATCGAGTGGGTTTGGTGCGGCGAAGAACGACTTCGGTCAACCACAAGTTCAGGCGGCAAAAGCCCCGGCGCAAGCAAAGGGTACACCAGGACACCCCTACGCGCCGAACAGCACGAAACAGCACCCGCCAATCAGCTCTTACAGTTCGCGCAACATAGATGGCCGTCTGACGATGTTCAAAGGCCGGAGCGTTATGTACAATAACAATGGCCAACCAGGCTTACGAATGCCGGACGGCTCATGGAAGAAGATCTGGTTCCCGGACGGTCCTCCTGGGTACAATTCCGACACGGAACCGCCTGAGCCAGGGTTGTATACTGCCAGCATCAAGGCTGCGTACGAGGCAATGAGCAGAACTGGACGGTTCGCTGGTGATATGCCCGAGGTACCACCTATGAGGGAGGACTGCACATTTGATTTCTAGTTCACCAATTGTTATAAGCACGGACGAAGCATGGCATATGGCGTTTGGGAAACAAAATCCGGCACGTAGGTTTAGATATCCAGTGGGTAATCCTGTATTATTGGGAAGGGCAAAGCGATAAGACACTATGCTGTATCCCTTGTATCGTCTGTGGATTTGTTCACGAGCTCCAACCTAGGAGTGGTGATTGGGATTTACAGGTGGTCTTTCCGTTCGCATCAAGACATACTTTGGTACCTAGCTCAAGGGTTTCTCATTGATTCGTTTCGTTCGACCCATAAGCAGGATTTCTCCGCTCTTTGGCCTAGCTACGTGCCCATTTCCATACCCATACTTGGGTCACCGACTGAACACATTTATGCGGCAATGGTGACCTCGACCTCGACACCGGCCTCGATGTTGACGATGATCTGCTTGACGATCTCGGTGGGGGCGTTCAAGCTGTTCGAAAGTTGTCAGCTAGTTTCCTCTGGTAAAACCCAGGTAAGGGGGCCACATACTCAATGATGCGCTTGTGGATGCGCATCTCGAAGCAATCCCAGGTCTTGGAACCCTCACCGCAAGGGGTCTTACGGGTGGTGACCTTGAGGGTCTTGGTGGGAAGGCGGACGGGGCCCTTGATGCGCAGGTCCTTGGACTTGGCGCGCTCGATGAGCTCGGAGCAACTGCGCGGAGGTCAGTAAGCATCGCCAATATGAGTACAAGGTTGAAGGGCTCAACGTACACCTTCTCCAGCGACGCGACCTTGCGGCTGGTCAGCGTAATGCGGATGCGGTGCGTCTTGGGCGCCTCGCCGAAGTCCTTCTCGCCCTTGTTGTAGCCGGACATGATGACTGGTCTTAAGTTGAATGAGGTTTTGGTCGGTTGGTTGGGTGGATTGGCGGGGAGGACGACTTCCTTCACGACTCGAACGGTGGGTGCGTTACGGTAACGTGATGAAGGAAAACTGGTGGTGAGGTTGCTCGTGGAGAACGAAGACTGGAGTTACGATTGCGCCGCTTCGGCAAGGCTCGCGAACTTTTGTAACTTTTTTTTGTGGGAGCGGCATAGGGTTCGATTTAGTTTAGTTGGCAAGCTAAGCCAGGTGGGGTCTAGCGCGGGGTGTTGCCCCTGCCCCCGGTCCTGTCATGGATCCACCTGAGTAGTCCAGATCTACTCAACTAGTTGGATGCGTCACTCGGCGAAGACATTCAATGTTAAGAAAGGCGTTTGATCCCAACTGGAGATGTATTGAAATCAGTCCGTTTTTAAAGAAACCTTAAAACTCAATATTCGGGAGCTGTCCTTTATTCCTTCTCCCATCTGCGACCTACATTTGGCTTCGCATTTCAGCCTCCAGAAATCAGATCATGGCTGCTACCCTTCCTCCGTTTGCGCCGTTCCCAGAGGCAGCTTGGCGAGATCATCTCGCTCCAGAGGAATGGGAATCATGTCTCTCGACATGGTTGTTATTGGCTGAGGCCTATCTATCACTCTCAGAGGCCGAATTATCTAGAATATCTTCCAAGGATGAGTCTCTTACGCCCTACCTCGTCTCATTCATGAAAGAGACGGCAACCTCCGGCGTTGGTATTCTCGGCACGTCTCCTTCGGCATCGACACTCCTTCGCAAGTGTTTCTTGCTTACTTCTCGACTATTGAGGCTCTCTTCTGCACCTTCTTCACTCCTTCAATGGGAATTCTTGTCCCATTTCAGCCGAATTTATGGAAAGAAGAGAGCATCACCAGTCCTGGCTGCCGTTTTTAAGAAAACGGGCGAGACGCCCGAAACATCGTTACATGCATTGAAGAAGTATCTTATCATTTCTTTGGACGACGGTATCAAGGGTGACCTCAGGATAACAGAAATGCGTCTGAAAAGACTCAATCACCTTATCCACGTATCTCCTGATACCGCTTCCTTTTTCCTCGCGGGCAGCGACTTCCTGGACGGATTGGTCAGTTGTTACAAAATCATGAATCCACCCCTGAGAAAGACTATCATCACCACTGCATACTTATGCCTCATTGGACTGACAGAAGGGTCTTCTCCGATGTATTCGATGCTCACAGACCAGCTTTATTCCCTGAAAACAGCTGCAGATGCCCACAAGGCTGGACCCATCAATGCAAATGACTCCATGGTCGCTGAACTGGTCACTGTTACCCCAATCCTGAAACAAGTTCAGCATCGCCTTGATGAGTCTGTGTCAACTGCAACCAGGATGAAGTCAGTGATCACGGCGCTGGAAGGATTCCGCAAACCTGGTGGTAAGGTCAGACCCAAAAAGCTGGTCAAGCGCAAGATCGACAAGGGCAAAGGGGTCGCGAATGTGGAAGATGATGATCAAGCTGGGGATATGCATGTGCACAGAATGAGCCAAATTTCGCAGATTCAAGACCTTTTTCCTGATCTGGGCTCCGGATTTATCTCGTCACTACTAGATGAATATGAAGACAGCACGGAACAAGTCATATCACATTTGTTGGAAGAATCCCACCCGCCGCACCTGGCTAATGCAGATCGTACCAAAGAGCTGTAAGTCGTCCAATTACTATCTACCTGTTGCTATGCTAACGTGGATTATAGTTCGCAAGATAAGCCCCGCAGAAGGAGAAGTAGCCTCGTGCCGCGCTCTACGCCACCGCAAGTTCCAGTTCGTCATAACGTGTTTGACGATGACGAGTTCGACAGACTAGAAGTTGATGTCTCTAATCTACACTTTGGGAAGCACAACCCGAATAAAACCGCAGATGATATCCTCAAGGATAGATCCACCGCACCAAACAAAGCAGCCATTCTTTCAGCACTGTCCGCATTTGACGCGGATGACGACGAAAGAGACGATACATATGATGCCGCAGACTCCGGGTTCGCTGTCAATGATGCCCTAGCGGATGACGCCGATGACCAGAAACGAAAGGACATTGCTGAAAAGACTCTCTTCAAATCCTATCAGACAGATCCAAAACTGTTCAATAGAGATTCTGATACCCGACGCGGAAACTACCGAATGAAGTTAAAGCAGGATACGGGCATGACTGACGAGGCCATCGAAGGCTGGGCACTGATGTTGAGTCGAAATCCTCAACAAATAAAATCTTTTGAGATGAAGTACAGTGCTTTTGGTGGCAATCAGCCACCACTCGCATCAACTGCTTGGCGAGAAAGCCCGGCTGGCTCGGGGACAGAAGATTCGGGCACGGATGGAGGGGCCGCCAGAGGAGGTTTCCGCGGCCGAGGCAGGGGAAGAGGACGAGGTGGCGATCGTGGAGGGAATGTCGCTGGTCCCACCGGCGAAAAGGCGACAGAAAATGCCCGTCGACACAAGGAAACAAACAAAGGGTCGAGGGCGAATCACAACCGAAGAGACCAGAGGGCCCGGAAAATGGGGCGAGGAGGTTTGCCTGGTTAATTGTACTCCGTCCCGAAATCCATCGTTCAGCACACCGTTTCACTCACACCCGTGGCCGAAGAGCAATGCCCCCGCCGCGTAATCGACTGTGATGCTCAACGTTGCCTTTGGCTAGACCGGTGTTGCTTAGTTTGACTCATCTTGCAACCAACGTGAGTTGACCAGGTATTGAAATATTTGCGCGCCTCTCCAGATGTAGAGCTGGGGGGCATGCCGGGTTACTTTAAGATGTCGTGTGCAGAACGATTACACGATCCGACGCCTTTTGCCTAATTGTTGACTGTTGGTCCGGACAAATGGCACAGGAACAGGCTGATGTTTCCCCAAGACCACCTCCCCACGGTCGCCATATTTGTTCTCGTAAAGATCCTCATCGTTGAGAGCCAATGCATATGGACTCCTCATATCACTCATGCCTGGTGAGGCAGCTTGTGGGTTGACAAAGAATGTGCTCAACGCTGCTGGAGATGCAACACTGTTGAACGACGACCCCATCTCTTCCATGCCCGTATAGCGCCAATATGCTTGATCCCCATTGGCTTTGGGGGTTGCCAATTCGGATACTGAGGTCAGATCGTGGTCATTCTCTTGCCCAGGCCCAACGCCGGCAATCATGGACATGAGGGACTCCCTGGAACTGCGTCGAGTGTCCAAGTACTCGCGTAGGTCAAAGCAAGTTTTACAGACAGGGTAAACGGGCCAGCGATCTGCCTCATTGAGATATTGCGGAAGTTGTGGCCTGGTCTGCTCCCCGCAACGCTCTTGGATGTCGTCGAATATGTCAAAAATCGGAGTGAAGAACGTTTGCCTAGGTCCGGCACCGAAGTACTTATTTCTTCCCCACAAAGTGCCAACGAGTGCATTGGTGTCGCAATCCACAATGGCGGCGCCACTATCGCCTTGGACGCCGATGCCACCGCGAATCCAATCGTCTTCATTGTCATACGAGTATGGCTCCTCGATGAACCACTCGCGTGTGCCTTTTCCAGTACCGTTTGCGGATGGGGAGAGGTAAGCGGGGATATCACAAACTTGGCCTCGTTGGTGTCCTGACGTTCTGCCCGTGGAACACACTTCGCTGCCAGGCATAACACAGCTCATTTTCGTGATGGGCACCTCTTGCTTTGGTGTTGCCGTCGTGGGGAACTTGCGAACCAGGTTTGCTTGGCTGGTCTGAGACAGAGCTGAAATCAACGTCCAGTCCATTACAACAAACGGTGGCTCTTTGTTGCAGTCTTCCCAATAAGGATCGTGAGATATTCTCGTGGTCTTTAAGTCGTACCCGGAAGTGGCAGTGAGCCTACCGACTTTGTAGTCGACATTGTCCAATGCATCGTGCTTCTCCTTCAGACAGCGGTCACGGTCATCCGGCGAGGGGTGTTGAATCATTACTGTTCCCGCTTGGTTTGCCTCGACGAAGGGGTGGAAACTGGCCAGCCAGTAATCCCCTCCCCCAATTGTCAAACACGGGCCGAGAGTGGCCGACACATCATCACCATCTGGAAGGACTGCACCAATGCTGTCTCCCATACAAGGACTAATGTAGCAGAACGGGTTTCTGGGCGTGCAAACCTCGTCGGGCATTGCCTTGCTCAACCCTCGAGCCCAAACAAGACGATCAACTTCACCAACGGAAAACATGAACGTCACGTTAATTCGGTGGTTTTCAGGAAGGAGATCCTGCACATGGGTTGCTATCAATACTTTCCTCGCTCTTGACACCGAATTCTTCGTCATGAAGCAAACGCGCCTAGCGTCACGTTTATTTCCTCTCAGGACGCTGATCGTGTGACCCGGTCCACACCATTTCGGGATAAACTCAATTAAGAATGGAAGAACGACGTGCTCCCATATGACTGGGAAGCTTGCAGATTCGAGAAGCCTTGGGGTTACTCCTGGGCTTCCGCCAGTTTTTGGCGTGGTTCCTTAATGATGTTAGCCATGAGCAACGAGGGGGTCAATAGGACAAGCGGCGTTACAGGACAACCAACGCACGGCTTTGTAATACCTTGACCGCTTGAGCAGTCATCGAGGTAGGATCTAGCTCTCGGCATGGGCGACACTGAAAACACTCGACTGCATTTGTTGGGACTTACCGTTAGTCCGCCTCAGCCTCTTCTCGACGACATTCTTAAGCTGCTCCCGGCATCGTTTCTTGTAGATACCGATAGACATCTCCATTTTCAGCACTTTATCATCAGCCAACTGGCCCTTGGCGACCTTTATTTTCGCCTTTTCCGGCTTATCCAAAGAGTTCGATCGTGACATCGTCGTGGTTCCAAGCAGGTTGCTAGACTCGCAACTATTTCTCTGGGACCCAGCATCCTTATGCACCCACCTGATGTGGCAGTCTAAGAGGTCCTTATTGCTGAATAAGCTTTCTGCACATCCTAGAACAGGGCAAACAAGCAAATGCTCGCTTTTGACGTGCCAGTTGAGCTCTTCCCTGGTGGCAAAACCGCTGCTCTCGCAGGGTCCATTGTCACTCCAGAGACAGACATGCAAGTGCGACATCTTGACATGATAATCCAGATCTTTCTCCCGAGGGAACTTGGCCTCACATCCCGGAGCGAGACACACATACTCACCCTCCCCAGCGGCTTGCAAGGTCGATGCTTCAGATGGGGACGATAATGCCTTTACCGTATTTCGCAGCGGGCTGGGACCACGCGACCAGGAGTTGCCGCCTGTGTAGCTGGTGAAGACATCTGACTGCGAAGCAAATTCCGTCTGCACAGGTGACAGAGTTGACCCCACGGATGAGGTTCGTGAGACGGTTGACATGGGTGGTGAGATACTCAAGGGTGGTCCCCCGGACATCAGGGCCGAGCCGTACAAGAAACCGGATACTTCGATGTCGGGAAATTTCTCCATGCCGGTGTTGATTCCGAAGCCACTGAGGGGGAATTGATACGGGCCATAGCTATAGCTGCTGTCGGAGACGGGTTTGCGCTGATGGGGTGTGTAGAAGCCCAACTCCTCCGATTGCATGGGTTGGGTTCCAACTAGCTTCGGCACCTCCTCGCACGCAATACCGTCTGTAATAGGGAACACACATGATTTAGATGCCTGCGTGTGCCGGTGGTGGCGACTTGGCTGCGAACCAGCATCGTCCATTGTTCGGACGGTTGAAAGCGGAATGGCGCTTGTGGAGATGCGAAGTTCGACTGGAAATGAATGCTTATTTGGAGGAACCGATACATATAACACGGAAAATTTAAAGTGCTTAGAGCGAATCCAGGGCAGGTTCATAATGGGTTGATCTATCTGGGGACGGATGGATGGCCTTCTTAGCGGCGGCCTCCAGGCAGCAGGATTCTGCGGCTGCGGCGCAGCATGACAGGTCGGCGAACCACACACCTCTTGGGTCAGCATCGGTGGTTTCGTTCTCGACGATATCATAACACTAATCACGAAGTCCAACGAGAATGAAGTTGCTATTCAAAAGATCAAGTCCAGAAAGCACGCCTTGCTGCCCGCCCAGCAGATCTCATTGAGAAAGACAGAAACTCCGTGTATCACCTCGCCATGACTAACAACTCGTCAAAACACATTTACGTTTCCGCATCCATGCCGTAAAAAGCATGAAAGTTCGCCTCCGATGATCAAAATGTGGCTGCGTGCGGGACGTTGATGTACTGATGGACAATAATGTCTCCGCACCTCCCTGTGTTGCTGCTTGGCCGAGCACTCGAGCGAATCGTAAACGTATTCGAATGTTCCGCTGCCTGGCTGTTCACGTTTTCGTGCGAATTACCAGAAGGGTCATCGGGATCCTCACTGATACTGTTTAACGAGAAACGGCGCGTGCTGTTCATATCCACTTCCCCTGCATCATCGCAAGGCAGCTTCGGTCGGTCCTGTGTCGGCATGTTGTCCTGGATGTCATCGCAGATATCCGATATGGCTGTGAAGTAGGTAATCCGGTGTTTGTCACCGTGGTAGACGTTTCTCCCCCACAATTGGCCTATCAGCTTGTTTGATAATAATTCGATAATGCCAGCCCCAGAGTCTCCCGGTATGCCCATCCCGCCCAGGTTCCATTCGTCGCTTTCAGTCTCTGCAGCTTGCACCGACCATTCCCTGGTTTCTATGTTGTTGCCGTGGTTCAAATAGGCGAGAGTTTCACAAATCTGCGCGGCCGACCAGCCACTGGTGCGAGCGGTACAGCACACGAAAGTAGGTTGCTTGGAGGGGATGCAACAAGGCAGCATGGGGTCCTTCGTTTCGGTGATGCTTTTGCCAAAGGAGTCACAACGCCCTTCGATGCTGATTCCGCGAATTTTATTGACTTTCGACTCGGAAGTTGCCTCGAACAGGACCCAGTCGGTTGTAACGCGCGGGGTCTTGGGAAAGTGATCTCGTCCTTCAGCGGCGCACTTTCGAGCCATGGACTTGGACTCGCGCGAGGTGACATACATTTGACCAGAGTAGGCAACTGGGTTTCCGAGTCGGGAGTGCTGTTGGCCTTGAGTCTGTCGCAGATCATCCTCTGACGGATGGACGGCATTGACTGGAGGTGGTCGTAGTTCTTTCCACTTCTGGTTCCGACCTCTGTCATCGAATATATGCCAATTGAGCAGCCAATAGACCTTGTTACTGATCTTAAGCATGGGACCCAAGGTACCGCTCCCATCGAGGCCCTCTGGTCCCACCGAATCACCCATGACGAAGTTGCTGTACCGGCGAATATTGATAGGAGGATGCCAAGGATCAGACCTCCGCGACCATTGGCTTGACGAGTTGCTTGATGATTAACTGGCGGTGTCAGATATAGAAGAAAACTGGATTTCACCTCTCGTGAATTCCAGAACCGTTCTGTTTTTCATGTTATCCGGGAGGTATCGGTCTTTTTGGCACTCCAATGCGGCTTTCATCTCCTCCGCGAGCTCTGCACTGGTCATGATGTCTATGATGCGCTGGCCTGGTTTCTCCCCCTTGAGGACGTTGATTGAATAGCAACCTTTGATACCCCTCAATTCAGCCTTCAGCGCTGGTAGAAGCTGGACTTCCCAAAGTTGGACAAATAGGCTGGATTCTTTCCGGGTCTCCACGGTGGAATTCTTCTGTATATGGACGGCTTTCAACTTGATTGTCATCTCTTCCGGGGAGTACTTCTTCCTTGGCATTGGACCACGGTTGGTGATCAATTGGGTTGACCCAGGAGCACAACCAGCATCTTTGTCACGACCAGAAACTATTTGTGTGTCTCCTCTTGTATCCGGTTCTATGCTTCCAGATTCAATGGGCTTCAGTAACAACGCATTCAGGTTTCCGATAACGACGTCCTTCTTTCTCAATGGCCAGGTGGAGATGGATTTGCTCCTTGGGGAAGATTCCGGATGCCCAATGGATTCTTGTGGCGAAGTGTTCTGGTTGACGTTCGAAAGCGTTGATGCCGCAGGTGTGCTCGTGGTCTGCTCGGTAAAACTGCTCGTCGGCCGGTCCGGTTCTTTCACCACGCTTGGATAAGACGACCCAGGATTCGTCTTTGGGAATTTAGAGATTCCGAGTTCCCAGCTCCATTTCTGGAGTCTCGGGAATCGTTCTCTGTTTAAATATCAGCTTGACTGCAGCCACATTCCTGGGTGGGATGTTTGGGGGTACGAGAGCGCACTCACCTCGGACTTCCATTCCGGATCTTCGCTTTACGGATTCTATCCTTTGTCTTAGCTGTCAGTCGTGTCAGCTTCCCAAGGCCCTGCTTTAATTTGTCCATCTTCTTCGTATCGGACAAGTTGGGTCTCAATTGGTACAAATCGGCGACCAACCACGCTGGTGGCGCCGTGTCCACATATATTTATATGGTAAATGCCGCCTACCTCGATCAACCTTATTGGACTTGTTGCCTGACGTGTGTTTTCCAGCGGAAGAGGGAGGCCTGGCGCAGGCTGTTTTGCTTATCGTCAGTGAACTTGCAACTTCCAGCCAAGGCATATTTCGTGCATATCCGGTAAACTTACGAAATAGAGACGTGCCCCCAGGTCTGCAGGCCATGGCTTGACATGGAGTCCCTCATTCAGAAATGTATTTTCCTTGCGTTATCGGTTCACCGAAAAGTTGGGGGCCGGAAAGGAGGCCGCGACTGGTCGGCAAGTGACCATATCCACCGTACCATTCCTAACCATGTCATCCGACCTGGTGAGGCAGTGCATCGTGTGTTCACGCTAACGATCTCCTCTTTTTTTTCCAGTTCATGAGATCTGGTGTGGTTGCCTTTTCGTCACAAGGCAGATTTGAATAAGGCTCTGGCCGGTGGTTGGCGTTTTGGGAAAGGGTTCGCGATCATTGTCGACTAAAGGGGTTAGCTTTGGACCCCGACTACATGCATTTCTCAGCTTTACTGCCTTTAGACTCGATGTGCTAATCAAGAGCAACTCAATTCGTCATTTAGCTGGCCAGGATTTTACATTTAGCACTGCCCGAGGGAGGGGATCGGCGGTCATCCCTAGATGAACATGTTGACGTTTCCGGTGCGCAATATACCCACATTGGCTACCGCCCTAAGATTTAATTAATGCATCATAAGAGTAACCACGCGGACCCCTTTCGGTTTGGAAACATGCCAATGGTGGTCAGACCGATGAAGTGTGACTAAGGCGGTGCACTTGACAACATAGAAATTGCAATCACCGCACTGGAAACTTGTAGACTGAGAAGCATGCTGCGGGTTCTCACGGGAAGTAATAGGATTCAAGTCAACGAATTGCTTGTTAGCTCCAGTGTTCCTAGGTAAATACCCATGACTGCTCTTGGGAAAAGGTGGTCGTGTTATTGGGCCACACGACTGGGGTGACTCCCCCGTGATGTGCTATTTTTCTTCACTGTGATCTCTCCACTCTTTCCAGCGAGAATAGGACGACAAAAAAATGGCACGTAGGAATACCACAAAGAGATAGGCGGCCTGCCATGTATGCAATTCTGCACCCCAGTGAGTTGGATCTCCCAGTGTAAAACTTAGTATGGTGGCCATGATTTCTCTCCTACCGCAAAGTATTCGTGAGAAAAGCAGTATGGTTCGTTGAGCCAGGTCAGTGGGCTAAAGACAAAATATTCACAATTGATTACCCTAATATCTTATTCATGATGGCCTTTCTAAAAGTTGAGTGTGTTGCATTTTTATCGATTCTTACATGATTATGGATCTGCTGAATCCCGCTGCGGCGAGCATTAACAACTTCATCAAATGTAAGACGTTCAGTCGCCAAGTCACCGGAAACTGTAGCACTATTCCAATTGCGTATTATGTCTAGATTAGACATACTATTCGCGCTAACGAAAGCGTATAAGCAGTAAAGAAATTGTGTAGATAGTTCGGCCTTAGTAAAATACGAGTTAGAAAAGTTATGGCCTAGCCAATTCGTTGGTCATTCGTATTTTGTGGCAAGACGATGTGAATACGTATCTGTTGGTTATAGATAACCTTACGTTACTCAAGAAAGTTGAAAGCCCAAGGCGACTTCCGCGGATCTAATCAATAGTATTTATATTTGTGAAGAATCATTAATGCCGTTGCATTAGCTGTTAACAACGGCTGCTTAATTATAATGGTATACCTAGATCATGAGGCTGTCTGCTAGAAGCAACGTACTATAGAGACCGAACGGTCTATGTAGACCCACAGAAGTAGAGTGTCCATGGGGGGTCTGGGTGCCACATTTGGACCTGAGCCACGCCGCTTTTAGCCTGAGCCTGACCGGGGTTTCGCCTGAGCTTGGCCGAAGCTTGGTGTAACGAAACCTCTAATAGTCTAGCTGCGTAAACCACTAAAGAGTCTGTAAGGGTTTGTGCTAGTAAGTAAGTCCTGCTGCGGAGTCCTCAAGCAATAATATCGGGGTCTGACGTATGGAGTATAGGGCTCTGGGTAACTGAAGTATTCAAGTAGGGTAACTGGGAATAGAGTCGTCAAGGCAGTTTGCCTCACCAATGGGTTAGATTGATGCTTAGATTGATCACTGAAGTAGAGACTGTCTATCTATGAAATGCCTGGGAGTCCTGTCCCTTATATATCCGTCTCTCCTTCACTGATCCCCACTTGGATATGTTCTCTGCCAACATATCCTGTGGGTTGGATATGTAGTTGACCAACATATCCACCCCTGTAGGTCACGTGACCTGTCGGTCTTTTCCTTTCTCCGATGCGGGGTCCCGTGATCCTAGCGTCTGTATCCACCTGGCCTGCCAACGGGCCTGTAATGTTGGTCTAGGGCCAACGGTTCGTAACAAGGGTCACTTCGTATACAAGCTGGACAGGACCTACAGTCTCAACGAGAGGTTGATGGGCAGTTACATGACGAATTTCGTCAAATTGGTGGTCGTAGGAGGCGGCGAATTGCGCGTGTACGGCGCTGTAGAATCTGCGGCGAGCCCGGACATAATGCGCGCACTTGTGGAAATGATGTAGAGACGTCTGAAGATAACGATTCTGAGTAGTTTCAATTGATGATAGGCGTTGTGGTTGAATTAACTGATACATTGTCGTATAAGGTCTGCCAAAGTGTGCAATTGGACTGTGGACTACGTTATCCATAACCAGGAACCTATATGCTAGTCCAGGAAGGAGCAATAATTACTTTAGTATGGTAAAGGATCCGATTTTGGAGGCTGCAGGTTCATTAGCCTACAGATGGGCATCCTGACTCTAATGTTGACTTTCATGTCCCTATAGCAATCATGTAATAATCCCTGTTTATTGTCTTAGGTTTCGCTGACAAGATTGATTGATTCAATCCCCCGACTTAGGTCGAAGCTTATCCCTGCAATTTTATTATTTAGTGTAGTTTTACCTATCAAAATGAATGTGGTGGATACAGCCCTAGCCACACTAGGGCAGCACTGTAAAGAGCCAGCCACATGAACACGGCATGAGAAATATCAAAGTCGCAATGCGGTCATATCTTGTAAACATAGAAACTGTGCGTATTTAGACCTGGATCTCCCAGAAATTAACATTTCTTATCCATCTTCATCAATATTCATTCAGATCGTCACTGTTGCCAACAATGCTTCTTGGAACTGTCTTCAAGTTGACCACCTCAGGCGTCATGACCAACGCCACAACCACCATCGCACAGCGCAGTAATGGGCTCGAGCGTCTCAGATCTTGCTTCCGAAGTTTTCGCGGACGTTTTATCGATCCCAACTTTCACAAGCCGGAGGTCTTCATTTCACAAGCTCCGCACGCCTCGTTCGCATCATCGACTGCATCTTCCCAAGTCCTCAATAAAGGCGCCACAATGTCTCCTACTGCGCCTACGGAGCGTATTCATTCCAATGCCCCGACCTTCCTGGCCTGTCTTGTCACAGCATCCGCTGCCAGCAACCCCCCCCAAATGTCAACCTTTGGCATTACAACGCTGACACCTGCAGATGTCCCCCCGAATGCGAGCCAGTATGCCACTGCCTAGGAGGCGGATGGGCTGCGCGCAGAAGTCATGAATATGCTGAAAAAGGAAAACGTCGCCTTCACGACGGTGGCCCTGTGTGGTATCGCCAATGATAGCAGCACTGTCGCTTGCTTCGTAGGTGTGCTGCCCGGTACTTGCGGACCGACTCTGCCTACGGCCATTATCCATGGCATCTGGGATGTGTTCGACAGACGTGGTATTGCTGGTGACGACTTGATGATTCAAGTCAGCGAGTACCAGGTCGCCCTCTATTTACATGCGTTCTCGTTCCCCTTCTCTTTCGAGGATACGTATGGCAATGGTGCGCTTTTCCCGGGATGTTCTCTCGGTCGGCAGGGCGATAGTCGTTATGGGTCTTTCTCCTTCATGCTCGAGGTACGCGCCGAGGATTCTACTAAGCTCCTTGGTGTAACCTGTGGTCACGTTGGGAATCCCGGTAAGTACATCTATATATTTTATACGTACACAACTGTGCCTGACACCTCTTTTAGATTGGTATAACAACGGCTTTACCGGCACCACAATCGAGAGTCCCTCCGCCTTCCATCACGACATGTGGAACCAACGTCTTCGCAAGAGCCATCAATTTGTTAGCGAATGCCAAACCATACAGTCCTTCTCCTGCACTGTTGGTCAGCTGCGGTATGCTACTGCTATACCCGATACAACCTCGGGTCCGGACCCTAAATCCCGTCTCGACGTCGCCATCTTCGACGTGAATGGCAACGGTCGCACTAGTACCAATGTAAGTTTTCTACGGTATCGAGTACAGCCAGTCCTAATTGATTCACCTACGTAGGATCCCTACATCCGTGTAGCCGACTACTTGAACGATTATGGCGGTCTAGGCAACGACGTTGTCTCCATGGCTGGCGCCCGAACCGGTGCCACTATTGGAATCAAGCTCTCAACTTCGGTGGCGGTTGCCCTGTACCATGGAACCAATCTTATCACCGAGACTATCGAAAAGTGTATCGTTCCTTGCGATTCGGGTCCCGGCGTTTTTGCAAGGCCTGGCGATTCCGGTGCTTTGGTTTTCGATGCCAAGCATAAAGCCGAAGGCATAGTTTGGGGCGGCGGCGACAACAAACCTGCTTCTAACAACACGACTGTGCCCACCAGCACCGCTGCTGACGTGGCTCTCCAAGTCATGACGTCGGTCCCGGGCCTTGATGCCAGCAAGTTCGTGTACTATACAGAGCTCAAGCACGTCAAGGATTACATCCAGCAGAAGCTGGATTCTGAGTACGGCACTGGAAACTACGAGGTGCTTTGGGGTTCAGGAGGCCAGCGGTGGATCTAGTAGTCGCTGGGGACGAGTTATTTGCCTAGACACACCACCAGGCCAGGTCAATGTGGGGGTCGGATGGTGGATTCATCGGACTACTACCATCGTACCTGGGACAGATCGGTAGACAGGTAGTTACAAATCAAGCCCCTGCCATCTTCTCTCTGCATCAAGTGGTATTGATACGTGACCCCATGGGGAGTTACCCTGTAGCTATAGACAAGATAGATAAGAGCTATAAAAGAGCTCTGCCAGGCCAGAATAGCCGACCTGGCCATCCTTTCCCAATACAACAATTCACACCCCATATGCACTCGCATCAGGTATATTCAACTATGCTGTGTTTGCTATTTGGCAAAATCATTAATCATGCAGTATTTCATTTGACAGAAATGGCACTGATTCTCTCCCACGTTAAACATTCAGAAATAGAATGCCATAATCGGACTATTGATTTTCCTGCGATGCAAGATGGTCCTTAATATCGGACTATGTTCCTAGCAGACCTACGAGACGAGCAATATGATATCATATGATTCTATACCATTGGAATGGGACACGCCTTGAGCACCGTCACACGCCTATACAAAGCATGCAAGACCGACGGTACCGCTATTGGATTTGCTGGCTGGGTTCTCGAAGGCGAAACTGAGAACGGCGGCCAAGATAACCCAAAAAAGAGGTCAGAACAGGATTAGCTTCCAGACACACTTCACGTAAAGGCATGGGCGGACATATCTAAAACTTCGATGAACGAGCGACTACTTGCCTTAGACAACCTCGACAATGTATTGCGTGAGTGAGTAAAATGATTGCACCCCACATATCTTTTTATGCTGATACGTTCTCTGGGTTTAACTTTCATGTCTGTATGCCCAGATCACCAAAGACAAGAGGTTGGCTCTTTTCTGATGGAACAGATTTGGGCTGAGGCAGACCGGGATTGGCGGCATATATATGTCCTAGCATCGCCAGCAGGGGTACATCTGTATTCGAATTTGACTTTAAGACTCTCAACCAAGTAGAGACGGATACAGGGGTGATTACGAGCATGCTTCGGAAAGGTCGGCAGAGTTTGTGACCAACGCACCCTCAAATACCATTCGCTGGCGGTCTAGGCTAAGAAGTAGCCTAGAGTGCCCCTAAACTGAGCCGAGCACCTCGGAGGGGGTGCAAATAGTTATATAAGATATATACTTCGTATAGTCCTACGCTAACTGCTAAAACGCGGTATATCCTATTAGCTAGTATTAGCTAAGGTCTCGGCGCTAGTTATACCGCGCGGCACGCTAGAATCAGGTTTCTAGAGGATCCTACTTGATTTATCGGATCTGTATGCCCTACAGATCTCTATAGACCTCCACAGATCCTATCAGATAACCCTGTGGGCTATATCTATTTACAAGCCGTATATAACGTAGTCCACAAGCGAACGGGTCACGCCAATAGCAAAAAATAGAACTAAACTTCCTAACTTTACCACGCAACTAATTCTCGATGGATTCTGCTCAAAAAGAATCTCAATTACTCCTTGCAACTCAGGCTATCAGAAATGACTTAACACTTAGTATCCGACGTGCTGCAACAATCTACAAAGTCTCGAATACTACTCTCCAGGCGCGTCTTCAAAAACGTCAATCACGTCGCAATATCGAAGCTAACGGTCGGAATTTCACAAAACTAGAAGAAAATACGATTATTCAAAGGATAATTGAGCTAGATTCGCAAGCACTTCCTCCCCGGCTAAGTGCTGTTGAAGATATGGCAAACCGACTGCTACGCGACTCGCATATCACAAAGGAGGATTTTCTTCCGGCATTTTGCGACGCGTTCAAGAAGAGCCTGACCGAAAGCAATATTCGTGCAGGCTTTCAAGGGGCTGGGCTTGTGCCTTTAAGCCCAGATACTGTTATTGAGAAGCTGGATGTGAAATTACAGACTCCAACGTCCTCCCGGCCCCCTACGCGGGAAAGCCTTCCTTGGGCTTCTCGGACGCCAAATAACCCAACCGAGGCTACTTCGCAATCCGAATTTATTAAATCTCGAATTTCCAGGCATCAAAATAGCTCCCCGACGTCAATTTACGATGCTATCGATCAGTTTTCGAAAGGAGCGCGGAGTATTATGCATAAGATGGCTTTACTCCAAGCTGAGGTCGCGGAACTTCGAGAGGCAAATGCTCTAATTAGCAAGCGGCGCAGGGCCAAAAAAACACGAGTACGGCTTGGAGGATCACTTAATTCACAAGACGTACAAGATCTTCAAGATCAAAAGGACGTTGCGCAGCAAGTACAGCAGGAAATGCGTGGAAATAGCGCTGGATCAAATCGTTGTGGTTGCGAAATCGTGTTGAATTCCATGTTTTGCTAGTTGGCGTGACCCGTTCGGTTGGGTGACCCGTTCGCTTGTGGACTACGTTACCTACTTAATATAGTTTACGAAAAATATTTGGCACATACGACCATAGGTTATAGAGAACTCGGGATCCCGTCCGCTCTCCTATAGATAAACTGTAAACCGCTAGATTAGTAGTTAGGTAGGCGACTACTAGCGAATCCCTAGTGTTGTATGTTTTACTATTTTTAACATGTGAGGAAATATTACCGGAATCTTTTTATGCTCTAGCTTGAACGACATTGGAAGTTAACTGTATTTAGTGCCTCTTATCTGACTTGGAATTTGTCTGAGGCTTGTGTTCAGTCGTGACTGATCCCTACTAGTGTAACGTGAATGTACACCGAGCTGGCCATGACACCGAGCTGGCCGAGGACTAAAAAAATGCAATTACGGGAAGGAGAATCACTTATTTTCCAAGAAGGACAGGACCTACGGGACTCTGGGAGTTGGCGACGCAGATACAGCAAGAAGAGCGCCGAAATGGTGGTCGCGCAAAGCGTGTTGAAACGCGCCCGAGGCGCTGTGGTATTTGCAACGGGACTGGGCATAATGCGCGAACTTGTAAGATCGCATTGCCATCTTCTGAAGAGGAAGATCCAGAGAGTTTCAATTGATTTACGGCGTTGTGGTTTTACTATCGTAAAATTTCTATGCGAGGTTATGTAAGGGTGGCCAGCTCGGTGTACATTCACGTTAGGGCTAAAGATCAGTGCCGATACGTATACTTGGAGTGGATTACTCGTAATTACTGCACTATGAGATTAGATGAATCGTAGCGTATTATATACTATTTCAGCTAGCCGTACTACGTTCTCTTTTCCCTAGACTCTACTAAACCCCGAAGTAGTATATTGTGAGTGAATACGTACCTTAAGTAGGCGCCGTAGTTTGAATACTAACCCCTGCTGACTGTCCCCTCGAAATGAACTAATCTACTTATTCCTGACCCCTACCTGAAATTCCTAACCCCTGCTGACTGTCCCCTCGAAATGAACTAATCTACTTATTCCTGACCCCTACCTGAAATTCCTAACCCCTGCTGACTGTCCCCTCCCATCATTACACGTTTCCGGCCAAGTATCTCAAGAATATCTTCTTCCGATTTTCTCTTTTTACCCATCTTAGACAACTTCGACAATCGTTTATGTTTGACGACTGGTCGGAGGGCGGCAAGGTTAAAGTCGACGAGCATAACGCGCTGGCGCTCCCAGTTCCAGAGTATGTTAGGCTCGCGCTCATCATTATGATCCACCCCCTCGCCCCACACGGCTCGCGACGAGCGCTTCCGCTCCGTCGCTAAGTCCGGCACGTTTACATCCGCTGCCACCTCGCCGGCCCACGACATCAACATCATGTGAACGACACAGGCCCCGCCGGGGAGGACATAACCCCAGGGCCTGGCCAGGTTGATGATCCCTAGGTACACCGGGACCACCTCGCCTTGAAGCCTTTCAAGCTGCGAATAAACCACGCTCTCATGTTGCAAATATTCAAAATGGACCGACTGCGTCCCCTTGCCGACGAATGTGTAGCCATACTGCGCTAGTTCAACCTTGAAGAGTGCCCCTATCGCCCCAATTTTGCCTTGGAGACCGTAAGGGTCTAGTGCGACGCAGTCTCGATACGGGTTTCGGCGTAGCCGTTCCCCAACTAGGGAAGTAAGTTTGCTAGCGTTAATAGGGTGTCGAGTGCTGCTTGCGGCGGTGCGATGTAAGGACACGTTAGGGCAATTCTCGTCAAGATCCAATCCTCTCTTAAGACCTAATAAGCAAGCCTGCGTACAGTATTGCCTAGTAGGTGGAGAATCAGAGTCTGATGACGTCCCCTGATTATCGTCCTCGGAGCTGCTGGTCGACGGCCCTTCCTTCCGCTTGTTCGCACCGGTGCTTCCCGGCATTCTTGGCAGAGCTCGGGAGGGGCCGTCGTCTTCGTCCTCGTCATCGTCCTCGTCATCTCTTCGAATCGCCGTAGCGTCTTGGCAGGTCGATCTTGATCGTAAGGAGAATTTTCGAGCCGTGAGTTGTATGTTCGACTCATCCTCATCCTCATATAATGACCCAGCTGTTACCTGCGATGATGGCGCCGGTGATGAAGAATCCATGTTCTCAGCCTTGACATATTCCTCCGCTTCCTTGTAAGGTTTCGGCCAAATTTGTAGTTCTGATTTTGCTTTCTCGACAGCTTTGTTAAGCGCAGGTCCTTGGAGAGCGTCGGATCTAAGAGCCAAGAGGCAGAAGCTTGCTAGTTGAGCTACTGCGGTATAGGATTCCTTAAAATCTCTATTTCGGCCAGTCGCTTCTTCATCTGGCACACAAAGGTGATAGTATAATGTCCGTAGATCGTCTTGTCTGATATGAAGGAAAACTAAGGATTTGCCGGCTGTGATATAGCCATACGCAACCCCACGTTGAACCATATAATCAGACACCTGTGTCAAAGCCATAGCAACTTGTTTATCCGCCTTATCTCGGCCGTTTAGTTCAGGATCCGTTTTGGTTGTATCCAAGTTAACCCGTTGAACGACCTCCATAAATAGCTTCTCCTTGATAAGAGCTGACTTGAGATCTTCGACCGTAAGTTTATGAGCCGCCTTGTAGTCGTAAACGAAGACCAAATTCGGGTCACCTCCCAGGTGCTTGCGGATGCCCAGCCCGTCAGGGTAGCTTGGCTTCTCGAATTTCTGCTCGGACGCGACTCGTTTGCTTGGTCCAGATCGCCGTCGGCGCCCCTGTATTTCTTGGCCCTGCTCCGAATCTCCGGTCTGATCGACGTTGCCCTGCCGCTTCAATTCGCGGCTATTGTTACTGAATCATAGCTCGGTGAAGTTGAACGTCCTGCATATGTAGGGATCGGCTTCGACTAGCTTCTGGAATATCTCGCATACAGGTGATTCGATCGCAACTTTCTCGAAAATGTCGATGTCTTTTTCGATAGCTACCGGAGCCCGGCAGGCGACCTTCTTTTGATAGCGGGTAGCAATCGATGGAGTAAGTAATCTCTTGTCACCAAAGGCCCTGTTGATCTCGTCGAAATGGTCTCGCTGGAGGTCGGTAAAGTCGCTCCAACGACGAAGCCACATGGGGTAGCGCTTGTCATCGACTCTTGTGGCATGTCCAGTGGAAGATAAGGACTTGTCGGCGATCCGGAGAGCTTTGAAAATGTGAAAGTGGCAGTCGTGTAGATACTCTCCCAGCGTGGTCTCTTGGACCTGGAGCCTGAGCTGTTCCTCTCGCGCCTTTGCTTGTTCTAGCTCATGCCGGAGTCGCTCGATTTCTCCAAGATGTTCAGACATGGCAAGAACCGATGGGATGTGCAGACTTCGATCAGTCTCACGTACGTCGATTTCAAGATGAAGGGGAAATGGGAGTCATCCGGTAATGGCAATGCTGCGAAAGGCAAAAATGACCCCTCGGACACCACGTGATTTATCGAGGCTTGAAAATTATGGGTACTTTTTCAGGCACCAACTTCTTTGCTCTATGACAAACACCGACTCCTGCTTCTGCTATCATCACTTCACCAACAGCAATCCACTCCAATGTCGTCAACATGGCATCTGGAGGCAATTGCAGGGCGCTGCGGCTGCCAATGACAACAACGCAGGCGTATCGACTACGCGCTGCGCAGTAGCTCACGGCCTCTCTCTCGGCCTCTCTCGGCGGCGTGAACTACACGACTCCATACGACGCCGTGGTCGGCTATTGCTCCACGATTTCGGATGCGACCAAAGAACGTCCCGGCGATGTCGACTTTGCCCTCCGCGCTGTTCAAAGCTATCTGCGATTGTTTGACGGCTAGAAGCTGTTGAATCCGAATGCTGGAGAAGAGCCTAAAGTCTCGGCTGTGCAGATTCTCATCGACGATGCCAGCATTCCGATGCGGCCTCAGTTCGGTAAGCGTGCAACCTTGATTGAGTTTTCATCTCGTCACATATCAACTGACTTTTATTTGTAGCAGATTGGGGTCCCAAGAACACCGGCGTGGAGCTGCCCGAGCGAGTCGAGGGTCAGAATGCCATCCGTTTTACCTTCCGCGATTTGAACAACAACAACCTGGTCGACGAGCTTATTCCAGAGGCGGCCTATAACGTCCTGTGCTTTGGGATTAACAAGCCCGGTGCTACGGAGGGTGAGTCCGCATTCTATCTCCGCGTTGGCTCGGCACCTCATAATTAGGCAGAGGACCTAAGTTTGAAATGGAGCAAGGAATGAATGGTTTCGGTTGCCATGAATACTCTGTTGGTAGCTACATACTGCATGCTCAAAACAACCCCTGGTGCTCTCTTCCCATCGGTAGGTGGCTGTGACTTGCCAGATAAAGAGGAAGTTCCTAAATCTGCCTCATATGTAAAGGCTGACAGTGGTGGAAGTTTCGGGAAGGTATAGAATATCCTAGGGCTCTGGTTTGCTGCCAAATTTCCCATTTACTTGACGTAGCATCGCCATCAAGTGGGTGCACCGCCTGCCCCCTCATGATCTATCAGGTCATCAACCCAGGGATCACATTGGGTCAAGGATGCTGTTGGTCCTAGTGCTGCAACCAGTAACACGTCGTCGAGATCATCCAGGCCTTCACTCTATACTGGGAGCGCCTTGGGTCATTAATCCACCTAAGGAAACTAGCAGACATTCCAAAGGGTATTATCATTCAGACTGTAGACCACCTAGCTATATTTCCATCTTGGATATTTATGGAAGGCAATCCACCCCTAGCGTCCTCCGTACCAGACAGGTTAGTTTGGTGTAGCTTTAAAAACGTAGAGAGATTCGCTCCTCATGTGGCGAGGGATGTGCTAGGATCCTAGTCGGTCGATCCGAAAGGCTCTCCTGATTAGAAGCCCCCTATAAAGCACAATGTCCCCTATGCTTGCCCCCCCTTTCTCTTAACTTTCTTGGCTGATTTTAACGCAAAATGGCTTCTCTTGCACGTACGGCTAGCGGCCAGCCAGGTTTTAGCCTGTCTGAGCCTACCACAGAGCACAATCACGGGGACAAAGAACCTGACAACCACGATACAAGCCATGCCGACATCGAGCTGCCATGGAATTCCTTATTTGATCCACTCGTCTACCCACCCGTAAGTCCGACTGAGAAGAACAGTATCACCCGGTATCAGCAATATGAAAATGCTTCCTCGCAATGCCGTCCCAGGCGTACCACAAGGCAGACATAGAAAGTGAAGGAGGCGGGGTCATGGAAAGATATCCTGAAAAGAGCAGGCCGTTCATCCTCTGTCCAGAAGAGGAGACCTATAAGTCTTTTCAAGGTCACCAAAACCCAACAGGTAAGTGAAAACACCTTAATGTAATAACACGTGTATACACCTCATCTCTGACATTGCCAAAGTCCTAGTTGCAAGAGTTTTCTCGCGTGACGAAAGTAGACAAGAAAGAGCATAAGGTAGTTTCAAAGCCTTAATTATGATAGTAGACAACCACCGTTTCTTTTCAGGCCTTGAGGAGGACCTACGGGAGTGCTTTGGAATTCAAAGCTGTATACCACTTAAGCTATTTGGATTGGGAGAAAATTTTCATATGATGAGATATATTGACTAAAAACCTGCTTTAGACTTAGCCAGGAAAAGACTATTGCTGTGACAGTATAGAACTCATTTATGACATCGAACTTGTAAGCATCTGTTTCTCATTACCGGCGAAGTTCAGGTCTAGGCCCTCCTCGATCACGACCGTCCCATTCTGAACGCCCGATAAGATCTGAACATCCATACAACTCATATAAACTTCTATTCGGCCTTGAGAGATCGTATCGGTAGAGATAGTCGGCCATTCCTAAACCTAGTACAGCGTATAGTTATCACGAATGCTCGTAGAAAGTCGCAAATCGTTCTAGCACCACAGATCAGCGCCCTGAGGGTTCATAAGGGCCTTAAAGTAAGTTTCCTGGCGTGCCGAAGGAATTAGCTCATAATTGATCTAGTAACATCTACCGTCGTCGAAAGACCGGGTGGCCAAAAGCACACCACCCCTTTTATCCCCTCCCGTTCTAGACCTATCCTAGACGCGGTGGATAGAAAGGAGACGATCATACTCAGAAGGTGATGAGGTGCCATAAATCCATACCGTAGAGTTTCTAGGCTTATTCTCCCAAAGAGTGACATGTCCGTTCTCTTGATATTGCAATGCTATGAAGTCGCCCGGCCACGCCTTTTTAATAGAGGGTGACCTATGTTGAATTTACTAACGGCCTGCTGGGTGTCCCGACAAATAGGATCGGAAGGCAGAATGCCCAGACTGGCATTCTGGCCGGGAGGCGGGAGTAGATACTATTGTTTTAAATCACTGAATGCTGGATCAAGTCGCGAAATGGCGCCACGCATAAATCCCACATCTCCGATCATGGTTCCATTCAAACTGATGGGCCCTAGCAAACGGTAGAATCAAGAAAAAGATAGTTACGAACATTGTCAGACCTTATAACTACCAAAAATACCTCATTCTATAGCGAGTGGGTCCCTCGTCTTTTGACGGTCAATTTGGTCCAATAAACATATTGAATGTTTTTTTTTTCTTTTTTTACATTTTCTCATGAGTTTACGAGCATTTCTAGAAGGGAATTGATACAGACGCGGAATCTCTCAGACGCGGAATTTTTGCCAACTCTCATTGGTTCAATTTTAACTGGTAAGACACTTAGATTCTGCCAGCCTTTCCTAATGTACTGCCTAGAGATCCACCTTATCGGTACAGCTACTACTACCTTATGCGTCGCGAGGCTATTCGCGAAGTAGCTACTACGATCCCTTCTATTCTTAGGAATCCAAATATCTCTACGTATCAGATATTTAGATTCCTATGCCCTCTACCATGTCCCAGCCCACAGCACAGCGTCGTGCACGAAGCCCCAGTAGCAGCAGTCAATCGCGTCCCTCAAAGCGACAGCGTTGTCATCGATCCAACGATTCCCCGCGACCCCCTTCATCCTCAAGTGGCGGCACAAGCATCGGCACAAGCATCGGTAAATACTACGGAATTGGCGATAAAGAGAGTCTCGATAATATCTTCGCCTCGTTCCCGCAGACCTTTACAACAGTACCCGAGCCCCATGGCTCCCGTGGGCGTTATCAGCCGTTATGGGAGCTGCGTAATGATCACGAAATTTACCTCTCTAACGACCTCCTACCCAATAATCGGGATCACCAACGAGTCCGTACGCCGATCCCTGGCCCCGAGTCTCACATACCTCCTCCGGGGAGCAGAAACAGGTCGACTTTAACAAGGCTCGCGCAGCAGGCTAGACAGGAAGCCAGCGACGATCGATCTTATCGACAGACGCGAAGTCAGGTGGATACATTAGGTATTGGAAGAACAACAGGAACGCGTGCACGTGGGCGGCCGATGCAGCCTAGTATTCGGAGGCGGAGGAGTCAGTGGGAGATTTGTCTTAGTAGCGACGAGGAGATCTTGTGACGGTGACGGCCGTGTGACGCCGGTGTCACAACAGACCCCACCGACAGAGGACCTGAGGCACGGGCCATCTGAACGTGGGATTGAAGAATGTCAGATGAGAGCCAGGTAGTTGTAGTTTCTCTTTCCTTCCTTGTCTAGAATCGTGAAGTTAATATGGTACATTAGAGTGTCTTGACTCTTCAATTGTGCTTACCGTAACAGATCTTACCATATCGCACAAGGTCTAATAAGCAGTAATTAAAGTAGGATTAAGCCCGCCTTTGCTAGACCTTTAGGAAAGTAAATACTTATATACTGCTAGATGTTTCCTTTCTAATGGGTCGCGAATACGCTGGCTGCGCCAACAGGTATTAAATGCGTTGGTGTGTTGACCGCCTTCTATTTTGAGCGTTGTTAAGGTGTGTCGACTTACCGCCTTTGTGCAGATGTATTTGTGGGGCTTAGCCAATAAGAGTGCGTAAAAAATTCCGCGTCTGAGAGATTCCCTTCTAGAAATACAAATCAAGATAAAAAGGTTTATATAATGTACTGTCAATTCTGTCATAGCTGCAGCAAGCCGAAAATCGACAACGACGATACATGTGCTATTCACGGCGTGGACGGAGGCCGGATTTGGACGAGGCCAAAAGCTGCATTAGTCAATCAACAAGCCACAAGCCACGTTGGTTTGCGACTGTCGAAAGAAACCGTTTCTATTTGAAATCCGTTTTCTTTGCTTAACCGTGAATAAATAGTCCCAGCTCCGGCTTCTCAGGACACGTTACTGAAACTGGACTGAGCCGAGCCTGAGTAAAAGCGGGATGCCATGAACCACCACAATATTCGTATATTTGTCTGAGACCTACTTAGGTCATCAAGATATAGGTTGAATTGAATAATAACGCTCTTTCTTTTTGGTTAATATAACACCCTACTTTAGTTATCAAACCATCACCTTCAACCCGTCTATGTCATACCCTATACTCATTCAGTGACATCATGATCCTGTGACCCAGACGACTGATGTTAGGTTTGCTAGCAACTTGTAAGAATCACTAACCGCAAAGCTCCCAGTATTGGCGTCTGCTGTTTCGTCCTCCACGTCTCTGGAGTCACATTTCTTTTAATCTCTTTATTGAAAGTAAGTCCCGGCCCTATGCATAGTAAAAGCTCGCATGAGTCATTCGTATCCGTCGTGAATAACCCCCAAGCATTCAAATAACAGTGCTCAAAAACTCGCCTTGCACCTTTAACTTAGCCCAAGTCCTCGGATTCAGCGCGCCACTCAACCAATAATTCCCTCCATGGTCCTTCCCCAGCACAATCACAGCATTCCTAAACTGACTATTCTCACTCAAGGACTCACAGTGATGATACGAAATCTTCCCGCTAGGCGTAACCCTCCTCTTGGATGTATCCCCCGTCCTCACAACCGCAGGACTAAAGTCAATCACGTCAAAGAACCGCGCTTTCTGCCAATTCGTAAAAACGACCATCATAGCATCCGGCTCGGACACAACTAGAAATTTTCCCGTTCTATCGAGCTCCTGGCGCATCAGGTGGATGAATGCCATGAGCTGCGCCTCGGTCGACTGCGTAGCGATGGACTCACGAATCTTGGCAGCGATGACACCTAACGACAAATTACTGGCTTCCGACGCAGACAACAAAGTCACAGCGCCAAAGGCGAGGTTCTGCACGTATGCACTCCCCTCAGCAAAAACAGACTTTAGCCGACTGCGGACTTCGATCACATTGTATACCGTCAGGGGGCGAGGACGGGACTGCGCGCGGGCAATGAGTAGGGTCAGGTACGTGATGAGGACATCCCCCTCGCTGACGAAGGGGATTTCAGATTTCTCGCCGACTTGTTTCTCTAGGTCTTGTTTGGCTTGGGCTTGCAGAGTCTGTAAGAGAGAGGAGGGGATGCAGATGGTGCGAGTTTCGACGTTGGGGCGACGGAATTTGTCCCAGAGACTGCGCAGGGTGAAGTGGAAGAGTTTGAGGCCTTTGAGTTGTTTGGAGGCGAGGAGATACGGCTCCTCGGTGGCTTTTGCAGCTTTTTCGGGTTCGGACCCGAGGCCGAGGCTGGCTGCTGGATCCGAGGTGCCGCCTGACATGGGCGGGACTTGGTGTATCTTCCCCGCTAGGACCGCCGACCAGGCACGCACGCACATGTGTGTTCCCATGCCGTCGAAGAGGGTGTGGGGCCCCACAAGGTGGACGAGTGTGGCGTTGGTAAATGAGGTGACGTGCAGAGATAGCTGTGGGCAGTCGCTGTATAGCAGATCCTCGACGGTTCTGGGAGTACCTTCCCTCACAGCAAGGGGGAGGAACTTGTCGCTGCCTAGGGACATGGTTGGTTTATGACTGTCCAACGTCGCCTTGGGGAGCTGGCTGGCAAGGGGGTGGTCTCCGATGGGCACAGTGAAGGTAACGTGTGTGAAGCGTACTGCTGGGCGTTCAGGGGTGAACTCTTTGGGGATATGAAGTTCGAGTTTTTTGGATTCCTGCAGATGAAAGAAATCAGATTCTTTCTGTTCACACAGAGGGTAAATTAATCAGTGCTGGATGGAAAACGTGACGAACATTCATCCTCAAACGGCCGCCCAGTTTCCTCCAGCCATCAATTTCAATTAACCGCCATAGTGAGTCGTTGAGCTTGCTGGCGTTGAGCACGTCGTCGAAGCGCAGTGTCCACACCATCATGAACTTAAACACATCGACATTATCCCAAAATCCCAATGGCAAGATTTCGTCGGTCTCCACTCGTGGCGGACATGCTGGATGGGTCTTTGCTCCTGAGAAGCAATTGAATTTGGGCAACATCTTCACAAGAGGACTTTCGTGGGATACGCAGGTAATGGCTCTGTTTGATAAATCTGTTTTCACAATGACTCATACACACAATTATTCAGAGGAGATACATTTACTATATATGTTTTCAGAGCTGGTGTTAAAGGTATCAAGACAAGTTTGTCGGAGTGCTCGGCTGTGATAGATTGAGCTACTCCGGGATATATGCTATCCAGCACGGGCTGAAGGCATCCGCAGACACTTGAGGACATCAGATGAAGTCTACCGTCCGCTAAAGCTAAGGACACATACGGGTGATGGAGCCGCCGAACGTAAAAGCCCTCATCTCAAGTCTTGTTGTTTCGAACGCGAATATTTCTCGAGGTGAGCCTACCCATCGCTCGTATAGGGAGTGAAGTCATGAATCTATGGGATGAGGAGCTATATGGCCAAAAGACCCTTAGATACAGTGAGCACACAGACGGACCCTTAAAGATCGGCAATTGACGTAGCTCGCAGATTTCATATTCATGACTCGACTATGCAGAGCCAAACTAAACCTTGCTGCAGAGCCAAACCTTGCTGCTTCAATAATTCAGAAACTACTCCATATGGGCCGGCTCATGATGATTCTTTTACAGATACTCTTGAGATAGGGTGATTCTGAGTTTCCTATGCCAGACTGAATCAATTTCACAACAAGATACCTACACTTAAATACTTTGGAGTCTCACGCGGGTAATTCGCCCACAAGTCGGGACGAGTACTAACAAACTATTTCCATCAGATTGCTCACGGCGGGCGAATTTGCGAACCATCCGACAATGCTGAAGTTCTCTGTCGGTTCGGCCGAAAGCAGTGTATGATGGGAAATGTTCTGGAGCCGTTGCTTCCATAAAATGTGCTTGCATACTTCAATAAATGTTTTGTTTCCAGGATTCCCTTCGAACGGCTTTAGTCCGTATACAATGTACCTAACGCGCGTGATTAGTAAGGTGGGGTTTTCTATGTCCTCGGACAAAAATATACATAGGAGCTCAAATCGACATGTTATTATTCAAGTCAAGTCTACCTTCGCCTTATGCATAAACTTATCAATCTCTTCCCTAGACAAACCTGAAACATTTAACATATTCCACCTAATGCCGCGAAGTCCCTCGGCGAGGTTGGCCTGGGCGCATCGTCCGGCCAATTTCATGTTGATGTAAGTCGGCCAGAGGTTAAGGGGCATGTGTACTCTTTTTCTTCGACATCAACGACTGTAAGACATCGCTCAGGGCAGACACGAGGGAACTCGGCCCAGTTCTGAGGGATTGACGAGCCCGGCTTAGATGGAGCGGAGATGATCAATAAACGGAGAAGGTAACTGACGTCCAAATATGAGCAACCACTTTGTGTGTTGTTGTACTACCAATATATAGTGCCCTAAGCCACGGCGCCTTGAATGCAAATTTTGGACAAATGCTCAAGGGCAGTACCTGTGAATACACCAGCAGTGCAATATCTCCTTGGATCTAAACCCAATCAGCTCTTAAGCCTTACCGCAGTGACCGCAATCCATCGATGTGATCTCTATAGACTCGTCCTGGAATTCAATGTAGCACATCAGCTTAAAGTCGTTGAAAGCATGTCTCACCACTGTCTGAGGGCTATCGAAGCACGTGTAAACCAATTTGACGCGAAAATACGCATTCATCTTTGGCTTCATCTCGTTTGAACTCGCAGTTGGAGGCGCGTTGGGCGGCTGGATTTGGCTCCAGTCCATGCCAACTGCCTTGGAACTTGGACTCCGGTCAGCTGCGAGAGGTAAGTCAGGTAACAAAGTCTGTAGCTGCAAAATTTCAGGGACCACAGACATGATTCGATGGAGCAAATGCCCATCCCCGTCGAAAAATCCAACACGTATTCTGGATCCTTGGATATTGGGGCTAAATCAAAGTTTCCCGTTGAAAAGCAGCTTGAGTTTGGCGTGTTTCATATCCAAACGTCCTTGTTCGACCGTAAAAATGGGATAGTTTAGCCTGCGCAACCTCACCGCACAGTATAGTAGACTTACACCATATTTTGGCAAGAAAAGAATTGCCTTTCTTGTCGGCATGGTACATTATATCAAACTCGTCCAGAACGGCGGCTTCCTCAAGGACTGATTCACCGCTTTTGACTCTCAAGAACTCTTCAGAATTGTGAAAGCTATAGACCTCAAAGCTTTCCGGCACAACGAAGGCCCCGTAATTTTCCGTTATAACGAAATCCTGGTGCTGGTGCTCGATAATAAAGATGTGTGGGTGAATTTCAGGGGCGGCGATAAGGGTGGACGGAAGGGGCGTGTTTTGGCGTAGTTGGATCATCTCTTCTTGGAGCATCTGCGATGAGAGAACCAGTATTTGCGGCAAGGAGACCATGATCCCAGTCCGCGGTGGCTTGGTAGGAGGGCTGGTCTTGGTTTGCAATTGTGGTACTCCCTGGACGTGACTGGCGTCTCAGGTCTAGTGCTTTTGGCTTATAGACTGATTGGACTGCAAGAATGCCGGGCAAGGGTCCGAACAACCTCACCATGCCAACCTGGTGAGCCAGGGTTGGCGTATATTTACACCAATACCCTCACTATTCTCCGGACTTTGGTTTACATTGCTAATCTCACCGGAGGGCCCTGGTTGGGCAACCTGGTTGGTTTATAGTTGCCAAGGCTCAAATAGCTATATTGACTGTGCTGGGGGTCCCTGACAGCCGTATTTTTTAGGTAGTTTGAAGTTGCTAGAGGTCCCTGCCAGCCCTGCAGGACCCCCTGTAAGGCTTGTTAGCTTGCAAATCTCTACAAAATGTCTGGTACTTTGAAACTGAGCTACCATCTTGGTATTCTTCTGACGCTTAAGCCTGCCCTTATGCTATGGAGGGTCTAATCGCCCCCACTCCCGGAGGCTCAAGAGCACCTTTCCCAGTGTTTCCGTGCCTTCACTTTCTCCGAACGCGGTAAGGACCTCTCATCATGGGCGTGAGCCTATGGCCATAATATCCAGGATATGAATGTGAACGGTTATTTTCATCTGCCGGTAGAATGGTCACTTCACAGCGGCCAAGCCTTGACGCCGGTATCATAAGCATGTGTCAAACACTACAAAGTTGGTATAGAGCCGGCTTAATAAGCCAGCTAGATACTCTGCTTGGGACCCTGACGGCCGAGAGAGTTATACAAAATAACTGGCTGGATGAACCGGACGAGGCTACAGAGGCTATAGCCAACTCCGCCAGCATGTTCCCGGGGGACCGAACCGGTGTGGTTAGCGATAGCTTCATCTCTTAGCAGTAAATCCAACCAAAAAGTCGCCAACCTCACCTAACCTCACCCGAATCACTGGTTGATCAACATCACCAGCGTTTTGCTTACTAATTTGATCACCTACCAACCAAGCTGAGTTCCCTCGTTGAGCGGCAGTTGTTTCTTTTGAACATAACAGTAGTCCCATGGCCACTCTCACTGAGTCGCCCAAACCCCCCGTCTATAACTGTTATCATATTGGCGGGAGTTGGGTCCACCCAAAAAAGTTCCAGTCCAGGGCAGAGCAGACTCATCGAGCCTCCCGTTAGGCCTTACCTACCATGCGTCGTGGTACGAGAAGGGATGGAAGCTGTGTACCTGCAGACATCATTGAGAAATCTGTTTTCATGGCACTAGTATTACACATCCACCATTCACTTTAATATATTTCAAAGCTGCATGCAGCATCACAAGTCATCCCCCACCTATTCATTATCATCAGTCCATCCTACCAACCACCCATTTACTCAGGTTTATAATACCACGGCTCATCGAATACGTGGTATCTATGCCCTCGTACCCCCTGCCCCCTGAACAAAGCCGGAAACCTCCAGCCCTCAGGCACCTGGTCTTCACTCACTCTGCGGTCGCGCAAGCGCTGGTCAGCCTCCATCCTCGCCACCCCGGCCTTTTCGCTCTCGCTACTTGGAACCACAAACTTGGCAAGTTGCAACTCTGTATCCGTGATGGTATGGCGACTGACACGTGCATAGCCTACCCGTTGCAGGTTCTTGTACAGAATGTACTCGCACCAGCGATCCCAATCACTTGGCTCGACGTCATGCATCCCACTGATGTCGCTGACATACGTGTTGTAGTTGCCCTTGAGCGGTTGCGTCACAAGGTAGCTGAGCAGGATACTGGGTCGGGGGCTTGATCCCATCAATTTCGCTAGGTACTCGCTCTGCAGCCGTCGATCTTCCGGGTCTTCCTCCTGCCCCGAATGGAACACAAAGACATCTACAAGCTCACCGTAACAGTCGAGCGTGGCGTGTATAGCGGGTGCTAGTTCACCGACGGGCGATGGTAACAAATGGTGCGTCGAGTTTACGATGGGGAACTTGCTGAGTAAGGCGGCGCCCCATGTGTGCTTGTTCGGTCCCGGGCCGTAGTCAACGTACATGCCGAGATCTTCCGCCAAGAACTGCGTCGTGTCTCGATTGCCCATGATGATGCGCTGAAGATCAGACTCCAACAGGCCGATGACGTCGACTTCGAGTTCCTTGATCAGATCACGCATGCGATACTCAGACGACCACATGTCATTATCAAGAGAAAAGTGAATCGTCCAGATGCCCGCGGTGAGCACGCGCGAATCGGCGTGATATGGCTGGTAGTCATTGGTCGGGAAACGGAAATAGGCAGAAGCAAGGAATAGGATATTTATGAGCCCCAGGGCAAACGTGTGATATTTGCGATGCTGGGATACGGAATAACGCCTGCGGTTTGTTGTGTTGCGGTGGAGGGAATTGAAAGACGTCAGGTTGAAGACCCCGCAGCCTATCAAGACCATCATGCTGGTCATGACCCAATCCGTGTGCTCGCGCACAAGAGGTCCGCCCGGCACGAACGCATAGGCAACAACCCAGACGTGAAAAAGGACCATAATGTTGTAGATGAAGAAGCCGAGGCCAAACGTCATTGCGGGGTTCTCCTTAGCAGCTGCTATAAGAAGTGGTCCGGCGACGGCCATCAGGTAAAATGCGATGGTGAGGGCGCCATAATAGCCAAACCAGCGGGGATATGATGTTAGAACGGCCGCTCCAATACAGCCGACGCCGTACGCAGACCAGGTGCTCACCAACTTAGGTCGGAGCACACCAGTCAAAAGACCAGCCGACATGGCCGCAACAGTAAACCATCCATGAGGAGCAGAAAGGGGTCCGCGGACAGGGTATCCGTCCCAAACCCACAATATCATGGTGCTTGTATCCGAGAGCAATGAGTGCATGCCAAAGAAAAGGCCACCGATACCGAGAGCAGCCAGGAAGGACGGAGCACCACCTTGCTTGTCATTCTTTCCAATCCCACTGTTCAACGGGGCCTTGCGGCTGAATCTCAAGGTAGCTAGTACGGCTAGGGCTAGACCGATATCATTCTTCCCGCCGTTCTCAGCATGCATTATGGGCCATATCGGGTTATTGGTCCACCAAGCAAACTTCGCAGTCGAGGACACGACCAAACCGACCGTCCACGCAAGTATCTTGGACTCGAGGCGGACTTCATGAACATTCGCGGAGAAGAGTGTGGCCGCCCATGAAAGACAGGCCATCCAAACCCCGAACCCGACGGTAAATAGCCGATAGACTGGGTCCTTAACAAGCCAGGCGAGAAGTCCTGACAGCGACAGCAAATGGCACGCCCGGAGGTTGTTTATGACCAGTGAACGAACAGGCTTGATACCCAGGAGCAACGGCGAGATTGTCGACATGACGAGTGCTTCGTAACCCGATATACCCATGTACCAGAGGGGAAAGTACCAGATGACGACGCCCAAGCTAGTGAGCATGGACCAGAATACGAAGCCATGGTAGACCTCAGCGGCAGTGTCAAAGGCTTCTCCCCAAGAAAACTTGGCGTCAAAGACACCGACTGTGGCTTTCGCCTTTTCTTTCTCTAGAACCATGGTCGAGACTGGCAGTTTGTTCTTTCTACAAGGTACTATTAGTACATGATCTCCAGACTCTGCTGAGCAGTAGCCGTACAGGCATCACACTCGCTCGGGCTGCTTCATCATATGTTTCCCATGCCTCCAAATATGTCGATGAAGACAAGCAGGCCAATAATCAAGGATTTGCGGCCAAGTTGGGTGCGGCACAGCGCAAAGAGCACGCCAGACATGGAGAATTCAGGTCAAAATAGAGTGCTGGCCGCTCGGGTAAGAAAACCTTGAAAGACGACTTGCGCAAGTTACTGAGTCCGGTGAAACTGCCTGGGGTCAGGGGCGCCCATGCTGCCTTCCGACTCTGATCGCACGAAAAGATCCCGGCCACATGATTGCGCTGAATGAGGTCTGTATGGACGTGTCTGCGCGTCGGTTTGGACAAAGGACCACGTTGATGAATGGAAGCAGGCGATGTGGTGTGGGCAACCAGCCCAAGCGAGTGTGCACGAATATCTGCTTAGAGCTATCGAGGAAGCCATTGAACGTACCCCTGACTTAGACCCCCGATATCTTTGATCACAATCTCAAATGTGCCAAAGTCGAGGGCTGTGACGGCATCGAAGGCGACATCAAACAATATCAACGACCATTCGAAGAAAGAATATGTTGTATAGGCTGAGGATGTCAGTTTGACCCTAAAAGACCGGTTGGCGTTGCTGACTTACCTCCGGCAATGCGATGAACCTTGTGCTGTATGAAGAAGTATATCATGCCGGGGATGGCACCGAAGAAGCCCCCAGCAAGGTACTTTCTGTACTTAATTGCTTTTGCATTGGGTGGACTCAATGTGATGCAGCCATATTTCCAGGGTATCGTCGCAAGTAAGTAGGATATCATGAAGATATCGTGCCAATCATGGTCATCCGTCGAGGTGACGTAGGTCCACCCCCCGCAGGTCAGAGTACGGAATAGACCCACGCCGGCAATGAATTTAGGGAGCGCTTTGCCTGGCTTCGCCGTCAAAAGATACCAAAGTCCTACTAGAGCGAATCTCGGACCTAGAGAGGCAAAATCAGCACAAATGCAAACTGGTGCTGTAGAGTGTTTCTAGCTGTAGGACATTTCGCTCGCAACTCAAGTGTCAAAAGCTAAAATGTCCAACCCCACGTTCGCGCGAGCGCATCTCTCGGCAGATCCATGGTCCAATATCCACACACGCCTTATAACAACATACCCGATGTGATGGCAATGAAAAACATGAAGAACGATCGTTCAGGGTAGCGGTCGCCGATCGTTGCCGATACCGACGGAAACCATTCGTCCGGGTAACCATAATGTTCGTTCTTGACGATCTTGTGATAGTGAAGCGAGATGCCGATGACAAGGGCACTTATGAAGGCAGCTGTACAAGCATGACCAGTTAGCTCAATTCAAATGAGAAGGCTCGAAGTAGAGTGTGTAGAGTGTTCTATGAGTTCAGTGGCAGGCCAGGTGTTGCCGAGTAGCATGGTACTGACTGTATGCGACAATGGTGTGTGCCCACGATATCCATTTCCCATTGAACGAGATGAGCGCCCCGCTAGGCTTGTCCTTGTATGTGGGCGCCATCACAGTAGCGACAATTGCTCAGAAAGCTCCCATTCAAGGCCTCGGCAGCATTATCATGACAACAAGGTAGGGGAACGGGAACAAGCGCGCAATGAGGAGGATGAATGTGTGAAGAGAGGGAATTGTTGTGATTTGCCGTAACGCCTGACAACTTGGTCAACTACAGTGTTTACATTGGCTCCGGGTGCCTCGGTGGTAATTGTTTGTTTAACTTCGAGGTGTATCCTTGTTCACGGATCCTTGCTTGCAGCCTCCGCACTGGTTTGGCGTCCACTATGGCGCTCGTCCATGATCAATCGCTTCCCCGCATGCGATAAGACAAGGCTCAGACGCTCCACAGAAAAGTTGCATCTTTTTCTTTCAGCCTGGTGAAACTTTTCCAACGGTTTAGAGTAAACCAGCAAGACTGGCGAACCCATCACATCTTCGTAATAAGCCAATTCTCCAACCGAGCCTCGTTCTCGCAGTGCTTGCCGATACGAAAATTCACAATGGCAGGTGTCGCCGACAAAGCCCGCTACTACGCTGAGCAGTTCGCGCCCCAACTCAACGACTTCAAAGAGAAGGGCATCTTCAGCCCCGACGAGATTCGCTCGCTGGCGCACAAACACGATGACTTCGAGCACCTCGTCCTGTCACCGGGCAGCAAACCCTCTGACTGGCTCGCTTACGCCAAATGGGAGAGGTCCCTAGAAGCCTTACGAACAAAACGCTGCAAACGCCTGAAGGTGCAAGTCGCCTCATCCTATGCGGGACAGGGGCGTATCTTTGGTATCCTGGAGCGCGCGGTCGGGAAACACCCGGGAAGCATAGAGCTGTGGAAGGAATACTTGAAGTTCGCACAGGATGCCAAAGCCACGAAGCGGTGGCGAAAAGTCATGAGCCGGGCGTTGAGAATGCACCCTGCCAAACCGGAGATGTGGGTGATGGCCGGACGGAGAGCAGCCTCGAATGGGGATATGCAAGCTGCCAGGGGCTTCTTCATGCGTGGCACAAGGTTTTGCGCCAAGGATGCGACCGTCTGGGTCGAGTATGCGAGGTGCGAAATGGACTGGTTAGACAGGCTGGAAGCCAGGAAAACGAAGAAGGGCGGAGTTGATAAGGCGATCAAAGAGCAGGCCGAGTATGGCGACGACGAGATTCACTTCGACGAAGGGGACAGCGAGGATGATATAGACGAAGATGGTCGTCTGGTACTGCCAAATCCCGACGGCAGGACAGCGACAAAGTCAGCGGACGAGTTGGAAATTCAGAAGAGCGAGAAGAATCCGGCCCTCGAAGGAGCGATCCCCCAAGCCATTTTCGACATCGCCAAGAAACAACCTTTCTTCAACGCGGCGGCAGCAACACGGTTTTTCGATTTATTCGCCAGCTTTACAAAGGTGTCATCCCAGCCCAGGCTCGTTCAACACGTCTTAGATACCATGACAGAGCTGTACCCGAACGACCCCGCCACGTGCAGTTGTCTTGTCCGACAAGCACTTATTGGTGCCGATATCAACTCTCCTACCTTTGTCAAGGCTCTGCGGGAAGCTCTTGCGCAGCTGAACACAACACTGGCAACCACCACGAACAAGACCAAACTTGCCCAGAAGACAACCGCTTGGATCGAACCAATCCTCTCTTTGGAAAATGTGGACCCGGGTATCCGTGTCGTTCTTGAACACACCGTCCGGACACTTCCTAGGCCATGAACGTGACTATCTTTAGCTTGTTCGTACATAATGAGAATACAAGCCCGACCGCCTTAACGCGATGCGGCTGACTCGAACAGACGGCACAGCCCCCTTGGATGCTCGAGCGGACTGGGCCACCCACAATGATTCTAATGACAATTTTTATGCCAGGCAAGACAGAAACGCCGCAAGAGAGTTCAGCTCATGGTCGTTTCGTCGCGTCAATAACCTCTCACCTTACTACGTCTCCTTGCTAAACCCTCCTCGCTCCTCCACCACGCCGAGTAAATATTTCCATTCCGCGGCGGTAACCTTACTGACGCTCAACCGACTCTGCTTGAGCATCTGCATATTCTGAAGAGGCGATCCCGGTTTTCCCATCTCCCGCAATTCCTTGAGCCCAATCTGCTGCGTGAACTTGCCGCGAAATTCAACATGCACAACGCTCCACTTGGGATCCGATACCTTTGACGAAGCATCGTAGTACGGCGCCTTGGGATCGTGTGCCGACAGGTCAGGCGAGTGCTCGCGCACTATCTCCATGATACCGACGATTCCGGGTTCCTTGCAGTTGCTGTGGTAGAAGAACGCCAAGTCTCCTTTCTTCATGGCGCGGAGGTTATTGCGCGCGACGTAGTTGCGGATTCCTAGGCTCGGGGTTAGCTTTTGGTTCAAGGCTAGATAGAGTATAGATGTCAGAAAGCAATATCACATGCCATCCCAGGGTTCAGGTTCCGTTCGAGAGGCGAGGTCGTCGATGGAAAACTTGACGTCGGTTCCGTTCTCCAGCCGGGTTTCAGGCTCGGCTTTCAGAAGCCAATATGTCTTCTCCGGAGTGTTTATATCGTCTGCCTCCTTGGGGGGGATTGAAGCTTCGAAAGTAGTAGCCTTAGCTTTGGGTGTTTTCCTCTCCGTCGTCACGTTTTCTTCTTTTCCACCTTTCTCTCTTGCTGTCGACGTTTTCTTCTCAGCTTTTGGTGGTGCTTTTGTCGGATTTTCCTGTGTCGTCGCGTTATCTGGCCCTGAAGACTTCCGACGCGTCGACCTCCTCAGCCCGGTATTTTTTGCTCCGGCGTCCGCTTCAATGGCCTTCCGTTTGGGCATTGTGTTGATTTAGTTTCGTGGCAGACGGGGATGGGAACCAGAATCAGATAGTTCCTAGTGATGAGCGCAGTTTGCCGTCTTGACCGTATGTGGCTGGTACCTTTGGGCCCAAGTATTATATGCCAAGACGCAATTGACGTTCGACAATTAAAATCGACACGACCCTTGCGAATTGGCCCGGGCCCCAAATTGCCGGAATATACACTTCAGTATCAGGCCTGCCACCTTGAAGTCATCTCAACATCCCATTCGACCATGATTAAATTCGAGATTTGTCCGAGTCATATTATTTGTCCAAACCGTCTTGAAAAAGCAACTGTGGTATGTTGCAACGAGAGCATTCCCGGGATAAGCGGTAGACCGTAGACAAAAGGCTTTAAGTGAGTGACATCATCCCACTCAGGGTAACCTAGAATAGCCACCGTTAACTCGCATCTACTCCCGGTAGACTACCCGCAAAAAAGGTAAGATTATGAGACTATTTACTTCAACTAGCCAAGCTGGAAAGCCCCGTAAGCCATTCGTCATTGGGTTTGGGTACTCGTATTTTGTACAGAATGCTCTCCTCTACCTGATGCATCCACTGTATGAAGTACAGCGAGCGTGTTGTCTGCACCTCCAAACGCCACATAAAGCATGCCCGCTCGGTGCAAACGACCAGGATCAGCAGGGATCCGGGATTCTCGTCGATATTCGTTGGCTCATCTTGTTCAACGGCCCCGGATGTCAGTGGGCTAGTTGATATGTGGTGCCTTGACGATAGAACCTACGAAAGGATTGATGATGGGGTGAGAAAAAACGAGAAAGAAGTTGGCAATCACGATGATCGTTCGTGCTTCCCAGCCAATGCACAAACCCCGAATCGCCTGCTGATGCCCAGTCATCGCATCGAAATGTTGTGTCACCGCAAGCGAGTCAGGCCGTCACACCTTGCTTTTTCGTGAGAGTGCGCCGCCAGATGTGCTTAGCGGTTTGAGAGGGGACCGATAAATCGCAGATCCGGCTCATGCATTGCTTGCTGGAATTTGTCACCTCCGAGGAGAACTTGGGAGTGTGTTCCATCCATAAGGCGACGACTTCGGCATATGTACTTATGATTCTGCAGGGTGGTCGACCATCTTACGGAGTGGCAGGTGTGAGGTCAGTGCGTATGTTGTGCTAAACTTGCGTATTGAAGCAGAACCAGACCTCAGGGTGTGGCGTAGCAGGTCCACTACGCCTCCTGCTTTAGAAGCTTTATATAGGCTGCATGCAATAAGATTGCCTCAGGAGACTATCGTCTGCTTGGACATGATTTCCATCCTTGGGAGTGTTGTTCACGGGACATGCTCGTCCATGAGTGAAATGTTTGACATTGTAATCTGTGAAAGTGGTGGGTGTGGCCCACGGGCCTGTTTGACTTCGGCGGAGAACGAGGCCGTGGGGCAGTATACTTCGTAGGATATAGGGCGACCTGTAAGAAGTCGACGAAGGAGAAGCGGTGAGATGAATAAACCCTCAATGATGCCTCATCTTCATGCCGTCAAGGGCAATGAGCAACCGCTAGAAGCTATACGTATTATGGCATCCATCAAGATGAATGGAGACACATCGAAAAGCAGGGATGGACTGCGTGGTGAGCTCGCAGCAAATACGCCGTCCGCCGGGATCTCGGGAGCATACTGGGCCCATATGAGTCAATAAAATCAAAGGCAGAATTACTCTGGATTTGGCATGATTTCATGTGGGATTGCGGCGCCATTTCCAATTCGACCGACGAGGACAAGTGTCGAAGTGTCGACGATCTGGGACGTCGTCTGGACGTCGACCTGGCGTTTTCTAGAGTTTGTCTCACTAGAACTGCATATGACAAGGGGAGCCAGAAGCTTCATGGTGATCCCGGTTTGCCATGTAGAACCCCTGGAATGAGCAAAGATTGGCAGATGGCGCCCGCCGATTTAGAAGGCAATGGTCAAATGGATGACATGGGAAGACCGTCGATGCTGTTCCCTTTTTGCCGGCCAAAGTAATTGCATACGGCTGGATGAGAAGCTTCTCAATCAAATGTCAAAGCGGAGCAATTGTCATCTTCAAGCAAAAGTGACCCGTTAGTCGAGGCACATAAAGGGCACCTGCCGTAGAATTTTAACTTGGTCCCAGCTGAAAGTGGGAACTCCCATTGAATTCGATCGATGTACACATGAGATGTACCTGTCGACCTTTAAGAACCGCCGGGCACCCCTTCAATCTTTTCCCTTGTGACTCTCGTATTATCGCTCGTATTCTGCTTCTTTCCTCCCACCCATTTTTGTTTTCTATTCATCTTTGCAGAAAGTTGTCTGGCTGCTGTTTTCGTGTGCTTTGTTTCGCACTGCCGCTGCTACTCTTAGGTACGTAACCTCCCCGTATTAGCAACAATGACCGTTTGCTTCTCAGCTAGACCGGTATGAACGCTATCAACGGGGCCTCGAAGGAGAATTTCAACTCGACAAAATGATCAGAAAAGCGAAACCAGCATCTTTCATTCACCCCGCAATTTGTGCCGAAGAAATTGATTATGATGGGCGTCTTTTGTGGCAATGACTGGCTGCAAACGGAACTGGAGAACCAGTGCCGCAGAAAGCGAAGAATCCAGTGGGGCCCCACTCGAATATCCCGCTACCACCTAGGTTGCATTGCGTTCGCAGCCCAAGGTTCGATTTTGTCCTCGGGGCGGCAACACAACAACCAGATGGACGCTCTAGCAGCGAATTATCGGCATTGGGCATGACCGCAGGATGCAACGAATTGTCGATAGGAAACGTTGTTTTCAATGACCACTGGCTTGCCCTTTGGTGTCGGCACAACACCCGTTATCGAAGCGGCTCGCCACCCTTGTGGTCTACTCCGTACCAGGTCAAGGAGGATCTCTCTCACATCTGGTATGCAGGCTTGCATTTCCGTCAGCACTTCACAGCCTTCTAGCCATCTTACAGCTCGGCATTATTATTGGCACCGGTCACTGTCTATCTATTTTTCCGGTGCGGATTTTACGGCTCAAAACTTGTCCCTTATGAGTCCTGATTATGAGGCTCGTCTGATTAGTCGACAGACAATTCAGGCTCGTGTCACCAAGCCCAACAAGGCCAAGGGTTGGCCCGGCTGTCTGTTGAAGCTGTTTCGAGCGGATTCCCCCAGTTCCTCAACTTGAGCGTGGCCAGCTGTTACCTCGTCATTCGATTTTTGGATTCGACTTCGCTCCTGAGCGAAACTATCTGACACTTCGCACCCGCGGTCTATGGCGTCGCTATAAACTCCTGTCGCTTCGGTCGCCTTTCACGGCGCGTATTTTGACTACAGGCCAACATGGCGACCCAAACAGATCAACAATGGCTTGGGTTCAAGCTCTCCCGAGATTCCAAATTGTCCAATGCCGTAGCTCGTGCACACTTGAGCTAGCCATCTGGTTCTCAAACTTCGAATCTGGCGACAAGTAAACACTACTTTCAACATCGACTTGTGCACTTACTTGCATGACTCCAGGCTAACTATCAGCCCAGCTTTGATTTCAAGTCATTGAAGAGGAGGGCTTCTGGGTGCGGGAATGGACAGCAATGGATGGAACCCCCAAGTGGCCCGGTCGATTCTGCTGTACAAGGTCATTCGGCATCTGGTGACGATGGCATCTCCTAGTATTCAACGCCGTGGGATCCTGCCAATTATTGGGGCCAGACCAAAAGCGTTACTACCGGATTCGCCTAAGCAGGTACTTCGAAGTAACTTATATTGGTAAACCTGGCGAACGCAATATTTCCTATATTCACGGTATTCTTGCGGTTGATTGATTCTTTGGGCTGGCCATCACCATTACATACGCATCTGGCCGGGAAACCAAGAGGATGACAAACCCAACGGCAGTAACACTGAATTAAATGCCCGCTACTTCTATCCAGTCATGACCCTGGAGGGCAAGCAAAATTTCCTATGGACTGTTGTCAGTAGTTTCTCCAAGTTTGGTGCTGCTGTCATCAGGTATCTCGTCGACAACGACCTGCTTGCTGGCGGTGCGAGTTGCTAGTCAGCAATCGGAAATACTCTTCCTTGGAAGTCGTGCCAAACGGTAAAAGCCCGAAAGTCCGAAGCTTAGTGGGGCTTACTAGCGCCGGATGTCTCATTTGTCTTTTTCCTCCCACCTCCACCTTTTTTGACGCCCCAGATACCTCCTCCTTAACAATTTCTGCTGCAATTTCGCTTGTTGCGTACTAAACCTATTGAGGCTTAGACGGCTTGATCAAAGTTGAAAGTTGAAACCCATTGCGAATCTGGCCCTCTGGCCGCCGTGCCAGATCACTCCGACTGAACGTTTGGTAGGTAAGACCTCTCTCCGTCGATTTACTGCCACCCCTTCCCCTGGCCTGCCCGAAGTATCTAAAAATCATCAAGTAGCGGCTTGTCTCGTGACACTGCCTTCGTTGAACTGTGTCCGAGACGGATGCGCGCCGGCAGTCTGGTGTTGCTTTGCTTCCTTGGCCCAGCTGAAGTCACAGGAGGAACTTGCGGGACACGCTCGCGGGCACTGTGGCAAAATTCTACACTCGGTCGCCGCACAGCCTTTCCTTCTTTCCCCCGATCGCAGTCAGTCCAACTCCATAGACCCGCGACCGACGCGACTCTTGCATCGCGACGTGTCACTACCCATCCAATTTTTGTTGTTTTCCCATCTCAATGGATGCGTCGCTACACGTTTTTGATTGCTAACATCGCGCCAATCGCAGTCTGATGGGCTCCCACCTGTCTGTTCGTCAGTCATGAGCTCTTGGATGAACGAGGCAGCCGCCGTCCAGAACCATAATGGCAACGGCTTCCCACACATGAACGACCCGAACAACATTGGAGGACCAGCCGGCGGCATGATGGATCCTTCGGCATTCATGGCCAATGGCCAATTCAATCCCGCCGCCGCCGCCGTTCAATATCCCAACCCACAACAAATGGCTGCCGCGATGCAGAATGGCCCCATGCGCAACGCCTCGCCTTCCTTCCAGAACCCCGTATACCAGACCAACCCCGTCATCCCGTCCAAACGCCCGAGGCCGCGAGAGGACAGCATGGGCGCTTCGCCCCGCCAGAATCCGGGTATGCTACCGACGTCGCGCGCCGACACGCCTCAGCAGGCGCCGTATCCCGGCTTCCAGCCCACCGCCATGGGACCCAACTCGAGCACCGCTCAACAATACCCTCACCTCTATCCCAACGGTTCCGCTACTGCGTCACCATCCCCCGTCATGGCGGGAAATCAGCTGCGACCCGGAAGCGTGCCTCAACGCGTGAACACCGCGTCACCACATCCTTTCTCTCCTGCCTCGCAACAGTTCGGTCCTCAAGCATCACCAGTTCCTTCGGAGCATGGTGGCACGCCTCAGCCCAACCCCTACATGCAGAATCAAACCGTCCCGCAAGGGTACAACCCGAACTTCCAACCCTCCCCCTCGCCAGCGCGACCCCCTTCCGGCCAGAATCCGATGCCACAGCAGATGATGCCACAACCAATGGGTCAGATGTCGCAGCAGATGCAGCAAATGGGCCAGATGCAACAGATGCACCCTAGCCAGTTGGCCCAGATGCAGCAGATGCAAATGCATCAATTACAGCAACAGATGCAGGCAGGAGGACGCGGCATGGACCCCAAGATGATGCAGCAAATGCGCATGCAAGCTCAGGCCCAGGTTCAGAGCCAGATGTTGACGGCGGCGCAGATACAGCAGCAATTTAATCAAGGGCGCGGCATGATGCCCAAGCAGGGTGGTCCTATGCCCAATGGGCAGATGCCCCAGGGCCAGATGCACCCCCAACAGCCGCAGTTACCGCGGAGTACAAACCCTGAAAGTTTCATGAAGAATTTGAGCAACTTCATGAGCATACATGGCCTCCCGTTGGACGCGAACCCCTCGATAGGAGGTCGGCCCCTCCATCTCTTGCAGCTGTTTATGAACATGGGCAAGTTCGGCTATTATCGTATCGTTGCCCAACGCAACTTGTGGTCACAGGTCGCGGCATCAGTCGGGTTTCACCCGCAGCAGTTTCCGTCGGCTCCTGCACAAGTAAAGGCCATTTACGAGCAAAATCTATTGAAGTTCGAGGCTGCATGGATGAAGCAAAGGTCGGGCAACCAGCAGATGCCTAGCCCAGCTGGGGCGCCTGGAGGACCAGGTCAGGGGACACCGCAACGGATGGGTCCCCAAGGACAAATGCAGCAGGGTCAACATATACAGCCAGGACAACAGCCTCAACTCCAGCAGCCGCATGCCCCAACCCCGTCTAAGCAACTGGGTCCGGGAATGCCGCAGCCGAGTGTCAATGGCTTCTCAACACCGCAGCAACCGCAAATGGTCCACCAGCAATCGAACATGGCCCCCAACCACGCGAGAAACAGCCTGTCTAGGAGTATCGAGGCCACGCCTGTGGCAGGAGACATATCCATGCCGTCGCCTTCAATGGGAGTCAAACCCGGCCACATGGCGGTACAGCCTCGTCACACACAAGCCGAGGCGATGCCAACCCATGGGGTTGCTAGTGTTCCCTTCCCGGCGCCGCCACCACCATCCAATCCCGATGAATATGAACCCAAGTCCCGAGACATGACAGAGCACTTCTACGGCGGGTTGGACGTTGAATCCCTGAAAAAGCTCGGTGACGAGTTGGAACAGTGGCGACCGAACGTACCTCCACCGCTGGAGTTGGGGCTCATAGATATACACGCCCTAACTAAGAGTCTTCAATGCGGAATCCTTGGGGAGGTCCGCCTGGCCCTTGACACGCTGGCAACTGTGACACACGAAGGAGCGCGCAACCAGGGTCTACTCATCGATCTCAAGTACTGCGATGATCTTGTGGAGTCGCTCATCGATTGCGCCGAAGAACAGGTAGACGCTCTGGCTGATGGCTCAACCCCTATATCGGATGAAATAGATTTAGGTTCATACGAAGAGGTCATAAGGCTGTGTCGCGTTGAGCAGTTGGCCCTGCAGAGGGTACCGGTCCTAGGAGACCTCGAGTATGAGCTGGAGCATTCTGCGGATCGCTTGATCGCCATTACTACCATTCTCCGCAACCTCTCTTTCTTCGATGGGAACCATTCAATCCTTGCTGATGAGCAGGTCATCAAGTTTATCTGCGGCATCATCCGGTCGCTGGGCACTCATGAGAATCTTCTTCGGTCACCAAAGAACACGCTGGACTTTATGAAAGATATCATCATCTTTCTTTCGAACGTTTCGGGTTCTATCGAGCTTCCTGGCAGAGAGCAAGCATTCTGTCTACTGCAATTTTTGCTATCATTCGCACCCACACCGGCCCCAGCCATGTCAGCCGACAAAGTTGTTTTCCCGCCATTCGAGCCCGCAATACACATTTATCTACCCAATGCGGTGGACTCCCTTGCTAAGCTCCTGGCGCGAGATGAGCCTAACAGGACGCACTACAAGACCATCTTCGCCGCGGACGCATCGGCTTCCCCACCTTGCGAGCTCATGACGCGCACCTTTGCTCTTGCCATTGCACCCATACCCGACCAGAACAAGGAAAGCAGGCCCGCGAATCTCCCTTCGTTCGTCGAAGCGCGCAAACCCATCATGATGCAAGGCTTGCTCGCCGCCGACATCATCGCTTCCTTGGCGCCGGGCTACGAAAGTGGTGTTACTCGGGCCTGGCTCTCGTCTGGCGAAGGCTTTGCTCAAAACCTCCTCCGTTTAGTTCGCATCCTCTGCAATCAATCCGAGCCGACACAGCCTCCCACCCGCAATGCCCGTGTACAACAGCGTGAGGACACTGATGTACTTCATATCATCACATGGGGTGTATCAACGCTCAAGAGGCTGACGGAGAAGGCACGCGACCCCAACAGCCCCAGCAGCATACCACCGAACTCAGTTCCTACAAGGGAAGGCCTCTTTGATGCCCTGCAAATGAAGAGTCCGAAGTGGAGTATATTGCTCAACCAACTATGTGCCTATGCCGGGTTGGATTAGTGTAAGCTAAAACGTGTTGGTGTTTGCGGGAATTGGGGAAAGCACACGGCTGCGGCCCAACTTTCGGTGGGTAGATATTGAGGCAATTGGCGATATTGGGTTGGACCGGTCACAGGTGTAGACTATGTACATTGTTTGGACTCTCACGGGGCATTATATGAGCATGAAAGCGAAAGAGGCGTTCGAACGCGGCGGATGCCATCGAAGACATTGGATTATATGGCAGCAAGGCGTACCGAGATTAAAGCGTGGTGGGTCTTCTTTCACAATACAGTCTCTTACCCTGTGAATATGTTTGTTGCTTTTGTGAAGAGAAGCAGCTGGAAGTCTTGGTTCATACGCCAACAAAGGGTATCCCACACGTCCAGGTAGCGAAGTATGGTGCTCAACTGATGTGTTGTATAGGATAGGGGCACATGGATTTTGTCTGATAAAGCAAGTTCAGAAAATAATCTTCCAAAAAGAAACCCTTCATAGCTAGCTAGACCAGACGCGTAGAATGTGCTTTAGTCTAACGGGCCTATTCCCCATAGTTACATGCTTGTTAGGTGTCAGGTACGACAAGGGTTTGCTTGCTTCATTTCTGTCGGACTGCCTAGACAGATTTACTTTATGTAGGTACGCATAAATGAGTTCACTGTAGTTCCTTCTCCATAGAAGCAGGGAAATAAACGCCCCTTGGGAAGGACCGCAATGAGAGTTGGAAAAGAGAAGAAGCCGTAGTTGCGGTGGGTCAAGATGTTGTTGTTTTGGGTTGCTGGGTTGTAGTGAAATTAATATCATCTTGTACATCCCTGGCCTACATCTCTTCCCACCTAGACGACATAAGATAAAAAGGCGAAAGCCATTCAATGTAAGGCCACATCCTGACCGGGAAAGTCCGAATCTTCGCTTAGAATCAGCAGTATACTGGTTCTAGCCAGGCCAAGCATGGGAATATCAAGTGACTTGGCTGTACCTACTTACCCTGTTATTCTAATTGAAGGATTCTGGTAGCTTTTCCCCTATCAGATATTTTGAATAATGAGGATCATTGCACCTCCCCGAAGCACCAATATTCTGGTTGTCACATGGATTGGTATTGCTTCATGATTCCCGCTAGAGGTAAAAATGAAGGAGTTTTATTGCCGCAATGGGCTCAGGTAAGCCCTGCTAAATCCTAGAGGTAAACTGTCTAGAAGAATCAGGGTAGAAATACAGCAGTCTCCACAGTGACCCTCAATAAGTCTGCGTTCAGCCCTACACCCCAATTGAGAAATGAAAACAACAACTACCGCAATTCGCCATGGATTATCGGTCTTCTAGCACCGAAATAAGCGTTAGTCGCGGCGCTAATGACGCAGTAATTCCGGAGGCCAGAGTCGCCATTATAGCCGTCAGAGGATGCGGCAAGAGTCGGAGGGAGATGGCGGACACGTTTGGAACCACTCGGCTCGACACCATCATCAGATTACGCGTAGGGCTATTTCCACCGGTACTACACGTCCGGCTAAGCGAATTGGTGCACTAAGACGGCTCTCCGCTAGAGCAGAGAGGCATCTAGTTATCTGTTACCGCCGGTACCCCTGAGTAACGTACGTAGAGATAAAGCGTAAGGCCGGCATTACCATCTATACTAACATCGTAAAGGTATTTTATAACGCTATTGCCTCCGTAATTAGCGCGCGGTAAAGAGCATTATCTGAACCGACGAGGATGCGAGGGGGAGGCCAGGTTGTAGGAAAAAGGAGTCCTTCCGCATGTCTCGTGACTCTGGGTTTACTTTGCCCGTGTCAAGTAACAGTCGAACTATCTCACCCATCTTGTTGAAGCCAGTCTGACAGGCACAGGAAAGGAGTGTCCGTCCAAGGTTATCTGCCAAATCAGGATTGATATCTTTCAAACTGCAAAGTAGCTTGACCACGCCCAGTTGGGAGGCACTAGCAGCATAGGAGACTGGTGTACGCCCAATATCATCGCGTGTATCTAATAATCTGTGCGGTAATTCTTGAGCGCCTATGGAAACACAGATTCCCAGCCACTTTCTGCCGCATCCCAGAATGAGAAGTCTGCTTTCCAATCCAGGAGGACTGGTACGACTTCGAATCGTTTCTCCACTAATGCGTGCTGCAACGGTGTGCGTGATTTATTGTCCTTGGCATTTACATCCGCACCACGGTTTAAAAGCACTCGAGCCTGCTGGTGTGTCTTTGCGAATGACAAGGCCGTTCGCCCATCTGGGTCGTTTTCGTCTACGGGGTAGCTTTTCAAAGAAGACCTTCCATTGCCGTCACACAGTCAAACTCCAGGAGACAAAATAGCAGACTGCGGCAACGAGTATCGAATTGACGACCCGACTTCAAAGACTTCAAGTAAGTCTTGCATGGCTCATCAACAGTGATCGGAAGTTTTTCGTCCAGAAAGACGTGAAGTCCCAAGTCCTCAGCGGCTTCTCGAATACCATAAGCTAACGCAGCAAGCAAGGGGAAGCGGTAATTGCCCCCTTCAATTTCCCAGTGACGCTTACGATCAGGATGAATATGGATGAGGCTCCATAGGTTCATTTCTGCAAGGATGCACAAAAGAGGTGTGAAAAGAGGTGTGCCAAGCGGATAGCGGCGTTGCTTCTCAGGTAGAGCAAGCATGTTATATAGGTGTCTCCAGCTTGCTATCGGGAATTGCTTCAAAAAGGCTTCTTGTGGATATCCAAACGATTGAGCCTTGTCGCTGTGATAAAGAACATTGCCAAGAGCATATCGAAGGAAAGGATATGACGCTGTAACAGTCTTTCTCATTTGCCTGGCCTCCAATGACTTTGGTGCTGGCAGAGATTCCGAGTCCGGTGTCCTGCTTCCAATGTCTGTTTTCATCTGTCTTAGGCAGCAATTTGCTAAGACCGCGTGGCTCACCTTGTCATTCTGCTAGCCCGGATTTGCCCAAATTTTCTGGAGTCCCTTTTCTTTGAGCAAGAAATCACGGACGGATTCGTGTGTGAACTGCATGGTGGTTGGGCTCATTTTGGATCTAGTTTGCTCAACGAGGCCTTTTGAAATGCTGAGAAGCCATATGCATGGGGGAAGAACGATCCTTTGATACCAACATGACGAGGGGTAAAATATTATTTCCTGTTCAAAGCGAGGTTTTCTTTAGCTTTCCAGTTCGAACGAGACCTTTAACAACTGATCTGTAAGTCTCACTCGAGACCACTTTTGGGGTCCATAACGTCTTGGGTGGACCAGGATCTCCGAAGCTTTGTGGCCCCAGATCTCCGAATATTGGTTGAACATGATCTCCGAACAGCGACCGATGTGTTCAAATCCCCCAAGCCAGTTTTTTCCCTAATCCAATGCACGTTGAACACCGACCGATGGTTGATCATAGACCATATCGATCTAATACTGACTCACCCCATCCGTACTTGACCGTGACGTCGACACTGCACCGCATCCCCTGCCAGTCGAAGATTCGCAAGTTACTCTTCGGGTACATCTTGGAGCCGCAGATATCACGGCTAATGCCAAGGAGCAAAGCGCCGAACCAGGAAGGGTGATAGGTGATACCATCCCATCAATACCAACGGAGACAGACACGGAAGCATCAGATAAAATCTCAGAGCCTCCTGTGTCTGCTGAGATCGAGAAGAAGGAACCCAAAAGCTTTCGTTTCTACAGCATCATCGTCGCGATTGTCTTTTGCGGCGTATTAACCGCCTTGGAGGGCAGCATCATCCCTACGAGCTTGCCCTCCATCATTGCTGATCTTGGTGGAGGCGATATCTATATTTGGGCTTCCAATGGCTACTATGTAGCTATGCACGTGAAACCAGATGTTCTTCTCGTGTTCAGATATAATAGTGGAAATAACACCTCATATGGCTGACAAGAACGCAGGACTGTGTTCCAACCGCTACAGGGCCAATTAGCCAACGTCTTCGGCCGACGCTGGCCTATGATTATCTCGACGGCCGCCTTCGTCCTTGGCAGCGGCATCTGTGGCGGTGCTACAAACATGGAAATGCTGATAGTAGGCCGTGTGGTGCAAGGCATCGGCGCGGGGGGCATCAACGTGCTGATGGAAATCATCGTCTGCGACTTGGTGCCCCTGAGCGAGCGAGGTAGCTACTTCGCCCTTACGTTTGGCTGCGTCGGGCTCGGTGCCGCCCTGGGGCCGTTCTTCGGTGGTCTCATTGTCCAGCATTCAACGTGGCGTTGGGTCTTTTATCTCAACTTGCCTATCGGCGGCTTGGCCCTGGCGCTGCTGTTTTTGTTTCTGCATACCAACTACAACCGGGAGAAAACGTTCGCCGACAAGTTGACCAACATTGATTGGGCCGGAAACGCCATATTCGTTGCTTCGGTGACTTCAATTGTAGGTTCACCACGCTCCACGACGAAGTTTCAACTCGACTAACGCTCGCTCTTACCGTAGCTCGTCGGCCTCGCCTGGGCTGGCACCCTACACCCCTGGTCATCCTATCAGGCGCTCGTGCCCCTGATCCTCGGATTCGCCGGACTGGTGGGCTTCCTCTTCTTTGAGTCATATCGGCGACTTGCTCCTCAACCGATGGTGCCGATCCATCTCATGTCGAACCGGACATCAGCCACCGCGTTTGTCCTTGCTTTTGTGCAGAGCATGATAACCATATGGCCGCTTTTCTTCCTCCCTATCTACTTTCAAGGCGTTTTGCGGGCATCTTCAAGCATATCGGGTGTCATGCTGCTGCCGACTATCCTGGCGCTCATCCCTGGTGTTGCCCTCGGAGGTGGCGCTATGACCAAGATTGGCCGCTATCGTCCAGTCCAGAACGTCGGTTTCGCTCTGGCCATCGTAGGCTTTGGATTGTTCACGATGTTGGATGAGAATTCGAGTACTGGTTGGTGGATTGGTTTCCAGATCCTGCAGTCGGTTGGTGCCGGTTCTGGTACGTCTTCCCGCCTGGCTCGACCGGTTGACTGGGATGCGCCGCTGACGTTGCTCTTGTTTCCCTTATAGTGATGCCGACGGTGCTTCCTGCTATCTTGGCACCATTAGCTGAATCAGACACCGCGTTGGCTACAGCCTTGTGTGCGTTCCTGCGCAGCTTCGGCTTGATGGTATGTGTCTAATTCCTTACAACTCCACACTCCCACCTGGACGCTCAAAATATACATCTAATGGGATGCTCACACTGGCTTCGTTCTAGTGGGGTACCGCCATCCCAGCTGCAGTCTTCAACACGCGCTTCAACCAGCTCGCGCCAGGGGCCATCACAGACCAGTCTGTAGTGGGTGCGCTTATAGTTGGAAAGGCATACGAGCACGCCACAGCTTCCTTCGTCAACTCGCTGGCACCTGATACGGCCGCCCAGCTTACATCGGTGCTGTCTGACAGTCTGAAGCTGGCCTGGCAGGTTGGGATCGCCGTCTCGGGTGTAAGTTTCTTCCTTGTCTTCGTGGAGAGGGAGGTCCCGCTTCGAAAGAAGCTGGAAACCGAGTATGGCATTGTGGAAAAGAAGAAGGTCATGGCGGCTGATGAGGCTGCTGAAGCCCGGACAGCAGAATTGACGCCCAATGAGGGGGAGGCCAAAAACTAAGAACAGGCAGGCTGTGAAACACTCCAGAAGAGTTCCCATTTCTGTTGTATATAATCGAATCAGTACCCTGAGGCATGTCGACTGTCTCGTGTACCTCCGACTGTCCAGCCAGCGCTAGTAATATATTGAAATACCTAGGTGGCAGTGTTACCTATATCAATGCAATTGTGTACGCTACAGCACAGCACTGCGTGTTAGTATTGCAGCGCATATAATTGGCACGACTTGCAGTTGGTTGTCAGTTCCGCACTTGTGGGCAAAAATACACGATGATGGCAGTCTCTTGTATCCGTCTCACTCCGGCGTTGCTGACAAGCTTGTTTTACTTATTGTGGGGCTAAGTTGATCTCCGGCCGCTCGAGGTATAAATGTATAGTCGGACGAGGCTAGGGCTACGTAACTAGATTCCGACTCACTTCATTTAATTTCTGCCCATTTAGATTCACTTCTCATTCTACTTCAGTTCTACTCACCTCCAACTCGCAGATTCCCCGGAAAATGGAGCCAAACAAAGCGACGAGCACCATCAGGAGAGTTGCCGTATTCGGCGTGAGTACAATACAGCCAACTTCTACCACTACATATTGGACGACGACTAATACAACCCTCTTCCTTTGATAAAGGCCTCGGGCAACTTCGGAACTCCGATCACAGCAGCTCTGTCCCAAGATGGCTGCTTCGATGTGACCATCATCACTCGCGTGAAGTCTAGGTCTACTTTTCTGCCGGGTCTGGCCGTCATCAGGACCGCCTACACGGTAGAGGATCTTACCAAAGCATTGGAGGGCCAGGATGCCGTCGTGTGTGCCGTGGCTCCGTCCGGAGTCGAGCACCAGGTCGCCATGGTCGATGCTGCTGAGGCCGCCGGCGTCAAGCGCTTCATCGTGAACGATTTTGGCTGGGGACTGAGGACCCAAACACACGGCTTGCCAGAATTCCGCGAGACCATCAAGCGGTGCAATGTTGGCTGGGACTATGCTGCTAAGCGCGCCGAAGCCAATCCGTCCTTCACTTGGACGGGCATCACCACGGGAAAACCCATTGACTGGGTGAGTAGTTCCACCTTATGTTGCCTTGGCCTATGGATCAGACATGCGGGCAAACCACACACACATAAAGCTCACGTGGTTGCTTACACGTCTCACAGGCATTGAGAAAGTTCCCTGCCATGGGATTCGACGTTGTCAAGGGCACTGCCACTATTTACGATGCCGGAGATGAGGTGTTTACGGGCACAATGCTCGAGGGGATAGGGCAGAGCGTGGTCGGCGTGCTCCGCCACCCGGACGAGACGGCCAACCGCTTCGTCAAGGCGCGCTCCATCAACACGTGCCAGAACGAGCTGCTGCAAGCCTTCCAGAAGGTCACGGGCAGGCAGTGGCCAGTGACGCACTCGACGACCGAGGTGATGAAGATGGAGGGAGGGGCCAGGTACAAGGCTGGGGCCGGCGGTTGGACGCTGTACATTGCCGTGGCACAACTGTTGGATCCAGGCAAGGCCAGGAATGTGGTGGCGCCGTCGCGGGAGGAGTCAGATGCCGATTTGCTTGGGATTGTAGAGGAGACGCCCGAGTCTATTGCGGAGAGGGTCTTGAAGATGCGACTCAATTGATGGCCTTCAATTGGTGGGTGACGCGAACACCGACTATGGTATGTCCAGACTTTCGGTGTCAATTGCAACTTAAAAATCAATACATTCTATCCCTCTGATATGGCTTTACGTGGCCGGGCTCTTCAATTATGCTCACATGCAGTACTTACTAACTGCATTGACCACCTTTTTGCATACACCCCCATTTGCAGGGTCTAACGTACCCCACAAGCAAGTTGGCCACTTTTTCTTGGCACCGTATGAATAACTTCAATAACTTAACTAAATTAAAAAATAATAATTCAAACTAATCGGAATCCTCTTCCTCGTACGTATCTTTATCATTCTCACAAGTACGAGCATTATGCCCGGGCTCTCCGCAGATCCTAGAGCGCCGTCGGCGTGGTTCGGCCGGTCTAGTACGACGACGACTTACACGTATATCATCCTGTAGCTGCTGTTCAATATCCCGTTGAGACTGTAAGTCCTGAGTGTCTCGTAAACTAAGAGATCCTCCATCTTGTAGCTGTCGATTTTTAGTCCTTCGACGACGGCTTAGCTCTTGATTGGCCTTCCGAAGTGTAGTAACCTCATCCTCAAGTAAAACTAACCGATGCATAACAGCCGTCGCACCACGTGAAAATTGGTCAATAGCCGTAAGTATTGTCGTCGGGGAGCTATTCTGATGCTATACGATTCTGTTTTTAACGTATTCAGACTGGGATTGCGCCTCAGTTGGGTTATTTGGAGTCTTTGATTCCCAGATTAAGGGGGCGCCAGACGAGCTCCCAGGAGGTGTAGGCGTATGTAGCTTAATATCCAGCTGTGAAATCACATATTCCGGGTCGTACGGAATAAGTCCTGTCCCCCTGAAACCTGCCTGGATATTCGACTTAGTTATAGTCGTACGATACACCCTATAGAATGCCGAAAAGAAATCCTCCTTCGAGATATGGGTTATATGCGCCCGTATTAGGTCTTCAATTTCTTGACTAGATTGTCGAGTATCGCGTCGAGATAGTAGTCCGCGTTTTCGGTTAGCTAGAGTTGTACGAGGGACATTGTAGAGTTGGGCAGCGCGTCGGATGCTTAATTCGGGTTTCGATTGAAGCGCCTGACACGCTAGAATCATGTCGCTTTCTTTCCAATTGGATCCCATCTTGGTATGTGTAAAGATGTTAATTAAAAGGCCACTGGAGGAAGAGATGGCTCACCGGAGCAGAGCATCACGATCGTCAGCGACGCGCTATCGCTGAGGAACCGGAGGGCCCTTCGATGCAGATACCGAAAGGGGGCAAGTATTTCGGCCTGAACCGACTGGAGGCGTCTACGCTGTGCCAGATCAGGACGGAAAAAATAGGACTATCAGCCTTCTTATTCAAGACAGGGGATTTTGGCGTGTACTCGCCGCTATGCCGCTGTGGCGACGCCCCTGAGACGGCAGAGCACGTAATCCTCTTTTGCGGGCTGTTGGAAGGACCGAGGGAACGATTACGGGCCGCTATCGCACCACGGCCACTATATTCTCGCAGAGACCTCGCAACGGCAACAGTAGAACCAGTAGTTAGTGGGACTATTGTAAGGTGGCTGCTAGGGACGGGTCGGACAGCTTCAAGGCCCAGATAGCATCGACCTTCTCAGGGGGGACTTTGTTGGTAGGTTGAGAACCAACGTAGTATGGTAGTGAACGCAACGCAGTCGCCAATAGGGCGAACCGACGACGCAGCGTATGTATTTAGTCCAGCCATTAGGGCACGGTTTGACATACGGGAGTACTGGTAGAGGTACCGGGGGCTTCGAGCCTACGGCGTATTTAATAATAATAATTAAAAGGTTGTTCGTACGATGCCAAGAAAAAGTGGCCAACTTGCTTGTGGGGTACGTTATAAGGGATTCAATCCTCTATTAATAACTCTACGTAGATCCTATATTAATTGATCTGTCTATCTGCTCTGTTGTGTATTATATGTAGCTATTTTATCTACGAGGAAGGGTTTGACCCTACTAGTGCAATTGCCGCTACACCGCCTTTGGCCTAGGGCATAACCGTGGCGCTCAATCCTACATAACCGGACTAAGAACCTTGGACTGTGGTTTGCAGGTATACAAATAGTAACAAGTGATATTCATGTGGATACGAGTCTCATAGTTAGCTATGCTGGTCTTATTCATTCTGCGATTCAGGTCATCATGACTACCTTGATTCAGAGTGTCACTCTCGCCAGAGCAGGTGGTCTAGTCCCAGGTCCATCTGACCACTGAAACAGGGTCAGGCGGTCAGTAGGATATACCTACCACCTAACACACTGAACAGACGGCTCCAGTACCAACAGATCCCATCTGGTGGTCTTATCAGACGAAGATCGTGGTACTGGTTATAAGAGTGAAGCTCTTATACGTCTGGTGCGCGAGTTGGTCGGATGTGCCTCTGATACTCGTATCGTGATAATAGGATCTCGAACGTAAAGATAAGCTGAATAACTAAAATAACTAAATAACTGACTGAAAAGCGAAGGTGAAGATATAGATGAGAAGGAGATGATGATATGAAGATGAGGATGATGATGCATGAAGATGAGGGACTCGTGTCCTACTCTGCCTCTGTGCCTCTTAAAGAAGAGAAAATAAACTTTCTCCTAGCCCCGTAACCTATTTCCCTGATGTCCGGCCTTACCCCGTTACACTACAAGAGTGGCACCAGACACCCCTTAGGCACATTCTACCTTTCAGAAGGATCTAGAGGGCTTTCATCGGGATTAAATTGCGCTAGTATATTTTATAAAACCGTTTGTTATCTTTGCTGGGCGTATTCTGCCCTTGCAATTCTCCAAAGCCAGCGAGACAGTTGGAAAGGAGATCTCACGATTTGAAGACGACGAGAGTTCTCCGCATATTGGGACTGTTCTTTCTGATAATGCAATATATAAACGGTCGTTTTTGTAGTAGTTAAGTTTCAAACGATTTGAGCTATCTAGAGGAACATAGTATAAGGTAGGTGGGAAGGTACGGCCAAGTACAGGGCTACAAAACCCCACCTCGAACCAGACGTAACCATGATAGAAAAAGGGAAAAAAAAACATCTTTTTTTGGCCTTTATAAAAATCTAAGGTATTCAGAGGAACAAGGTGGTTTAGCTTACGATACCCAATATGACTACTGGGGTCCCTTATTGCCGCCCTCCAACTGGAAAACATTGGTCTGTGTGCACTTGGATCCATGGCCCGCAATCAATTCTCCAGCCGACCTGCGCGTCATGACGTGGTTGAACTTCAACACCAATTCCACATCACCGCCACGTCCACCCCACCACACCTTACCACAGCACAGCATACGCACCAGGTCACGTCAGGGACACCACAGGATATTCATATTCAGGAAAGTCTATCATTACTACATGATCAAGGCCAACAGCCAATTTGATGATATTTATCTAAGCAGTGGTTTCTACTTGCTGGCAGACAGTGTGGACTCCCTGTTGCCGTTTTTGGGGCGTGTCGAGTACGTGGAATATCCGTCAAGAGCGGTCGCGCAGATGTAATCCATGTGGAATCCACGTTAATATGGTGGCAAGAGTTACTATTGCTAGTGGCAGCACTTAATAACCAGCTCAATTCACGCTGGCATTTCCACTCACAGACTTGCTATCTATCCATCCCTGCAATTACATTTCATCCGACCCCACCGGCTAACTACACCTTAGTCCTTCAGACGATACCATTCATTCGCATCCAGACTTCGTCCGAGATCTCCAGCTTACAACAAGTCAACTTTGGACGCCAGCTCACTTCTTCCACCAACCATCGCAATGGCTGGTTCTGGTAACAAGCCGCGGCCCATGCCGGCGAGTCAGCCTTCCTGCTCTCGCTGATTGAGCACATGGAAGGTGTCCCCTCCATTAATTGGGACAAATTCGCCAAAGCGAACAAGTACAACAGTCCTACCGTCGCCAAGGTATGTTCTCCAACCCCCTCTTGACACCTATCCTTTTCAAACATACCTCTCATTAGATCACAGAACCGTTTCTACAACATCAAAAAGCGACTGGGCATCATGCGCGGTGGGAAAGCGGACGGTAGCTCCAGCACTTGCAAGGCGGCCAAGGTCACCAAGCCTCAATCTACCCGTGGTCGGCTCCCCAAGACATCGCAGGCCAAGAAGGGAAATGAGGTCGAGGATGAGGATGAGGCGGATGATGATGAGAGCGAACTATATGACTTCTCTCTGTCGTACAAGAAGAAGAAGCAACAGAAGCAGGAGTTTGAGGACGATGAGGATGCTGAGGCACAGCTTCTCCTTGAGGCATGTGCCGCTTAGGCCGATTCATACACATACGTTGACTCTTTGACATCTTCACCTTGGGGAAGGCACATCATCGCTTGATTTTCATCTCGAGGCATCTTGAAGGAGGTCGTTGCATTGGATGGGTCGCGCTCTGAAGGAAGGCACATAGTCAGGTGGTTTGTCGTCGAAAGGGTGCTTTTGTGAAGGGGCCACGACTGATTTGAGGGCACACAGAACTCTGCGATGGCTTAAAGGATAATGGCAGCTTCACCTGTGAGTAGTTTTCTTTTGAGTAGCAATTTCGACTCTCTTCACACCGATCACTCGAGCATTCATACAAAAGTGACCATTGATCTTAGCTTCCAAACTGCTACTTTGACCTGGTGAATATTCTCTGGTCAAAGACTCAAATCCAGTTGATAGAATTTCTGTAAGCTTTTATGGGCTGCCGCATCTCCTTTCTGTATGAGCTCACCGGTCTTACTAGAATCAAGGTTTATGCAATATTGACACATCAAGATCCGATGAACACAGTATGCTAGTTTGTTGGGTTAACTGGGATATCAGCTGACTTATTTCCAGAAGCCCAGCCAAAGTCATATGTATTACCATTGCATACCACAGCAATCTGAAGTACAGTGATTCGATATGGATCAAGGCCAGCCCCATCCAATTCCCATTATTTGCACATAGTTGACTCTGTTGTTACCGATGAGCGCTCCGGTAGACTGTATTGGTTAAGCCCGAAGTCGCCGGGGTTTCCTAGCAACTCTAGAACATAAAAGGCTGTTCAACTCATTCGATGCTTAGCTACCAGTATACTGAATCGAGCTCACCACAAATCTCTTGTAAAGTGACTGCACATGGCTCAATCTTATTTATGCTAAAGGCTTGGGTATACTGCAAGTATTATGAATATTACCCCTTTGTGGACTTAAACATGATCTCCTGTTTGCTCGGGTGTACAACATACATATCCAGATCAACACAACATTGGCTTACCATTGCACACGGACAATATGATATGGGATCGCGTCTATAACCAGGCGCATGGTCTACGCTAAAGCTGGAACCTTGTGGTGTTGAAACACCCCAGTTAATTGGCTCGAGAGTGGAGTTGACGACATAGAGATGCCGGTCTGGCACAGAAGTTAGAGCCGTCTCCAGTATGTAATGATCCAACTAATACTTCTGTTGATGCAAGGCTTATCAGATATTGCCAAGACACTTACAATGAGAAATTCTGCCCCGGAATTTACTGACGATTAATGATAGCTTATCAGGCTATGGGTTTCAAGAACTGATGATGATGATTGCGGTAAATGGTAGTATCTAACATTGCCTTTGGCTCCTGACGGCAGGAAGTCGACTACAACAATGTTGAAATTACGGCCAAATGACATAAAACCAGAAACTTATGTTTTCACGCACGAGCATGAATGAAGGTAAGTGATGCCACTTCCCTCACACCGCTTGAATATCAGAGCGGGTCTTATCAGCATGACTCGCAGGGTAGCATCCCATGTCTTTCTCAGGTCACGATACAAGAAGGGGCAGATTGGCTGTAACCGGCAAATTAGTTCAGCCGACTCCAACGAACGAGCTTACTGGACGATTCTGCCATGGGATTTTATGCTTAGGGGATTCGGGGATTCTGTAACGGCCTGATTCTTGGACAGCGGATGTGGGGACGTGTATAAGTGGAATCATTTCCGCATCTGAGCGTCTCGCCGCCACGATATCATCTGAATGAAGAGCTTGGCTTTCCTAGTTTCCTGGGGCAAATGACATGCAGGTATCATTGATGCTTGACCTCTGATAAGGCTGCTGTCTACAATGGTATATGTCTACAAGATTATATATCTTGACCTCCAGCTCTTTCTCTCGAAACACTACATCAACGGCAAGCAAATGCATTTAAGTACTTACATCTAGCGTTGCGTACGAATAAAAACCACTCACTACACCAATTGGTCTTTGAAAGCCTGAGCACGGATCCATTGATGCCTACCTGATCTGACTGGAGCTGTCAATTCGTCCTACAGGAGAGCAGCATTAAGCATTAAGCATTACATTGAAAATGTGCTTTTTTGCGTCATCCATGGCAGGGTTTTCAGCGCCTTGGGGATCATCCATTGGACAGTGACAGATCCTCAGCTCGACGAAAGGCTTTGTATGGTGAGTAAGAAGAAACGGGAGAAGCGTACGCAACCCAAACCGTCTGATCTATTTTCGGTGCGGCGAGCAATGCAGTCAGATCGAGCTGAAAGGCACTGCTGCGCGGACTCAACAGCTGATTGAAAGCCTCAACGACCATCGCAGGGTCATCCCGGCCGGGTAGATGAGCGGACGTCGTCGATCCGGTCACAGCTTCCTAGACACTGGGGAGGGAAAACATTGTTACTGCCGATATGTGGAATGCAGCGTGAAACGCCCCAACAGAAACCTCTCTTCCCGGCTCAGTAGCACGGCAGCACGGCAGTTGGGCTTCACAAGATGCAGGCATGCGTCCATCGGGGTTGAGGCGATCTGGGCTCGTTTCTTCTCGGTCACGATACCAAGCCTTTCGTCAAGCTGGGAATCTCAGTCACTTCCAATGGATGGTCGGCCAGCGCGGCCCCCGAAGCTGGAAGCCTCCCACGTACAGGAAGTGCACAGTCGCAAAAGGCAATTCGGCATTGAATGCAGCCTTGTGAGGAAGGGAAAATGTGCCTTGTGGAGACTATCAACCCTGGATGCGATAACGGTCGAAATGAGCGAAAAAGCAATGTTGGGAAATGCTGAACCAAGCAAAACCTACTAAAACGAGAAACGCTGGATTTGCAGGCATGTCAAGGACCTTCTCAGGGTTGCAAGATTGCAAGATTTCTAGGGCTAGTCAATGCAGGTTTGAGAGTTTCCGCACTTGGGCCCATGTGCAGTCAATCGGACCATTTGGGGGCAGCCTAAGGCCATGTGGGCCTGCAGGGTGCCAAGAAGCTGTCAGGGGGAGCTGTCAGGGGATGTGAAACGTCGACCGTTCCTCAGACGAACATCGCAACGTCACTGAGGGCTCCAAGGGTTGATCGACGTCCGGCACTCGTGACCCAAAATAGGCCTCCGTTTGCTTCACAACAGGCCATCTCGTTGCTCGGAACGGCGTCTTGGGGGCGGGGGGTAGCAGCAGCTGACGGGGCTGGGTTGAGATGATCATCAAAATGACCGTGACATTCTTCTTCTAGATCAATCGTGTCTTGGGAGCCTTTCACTTTTCTCTGTTCCACCAATCCCTATCTTGTCAAGCAATTCGACATCAGATGAAAGCAGGCTGAAATCTTGTCGCTCACTCCATTTTTTTTCTTTTTTCTTTTTTCTTTTTTCTTTCAGTTATACTCTATTCTCTTCGTTGAACCCGGTGTTCTATAGCAAGTTATTGTGATTGACTCATCTCTTCATAATGTCTGGCCTTTTGGGAAGCATTGGAGGACGTTTGGGGTTGGGCGCCGTCGCAAACGTCGGTGTAGGTGTTGGTGGAGGTGCCGGCACCTCCTCATCACTATCGCGGCCGGCGGGAGGCAGACCGGAGAAGACGGAGGCACCCGAGGCAACCGCAACTTCAGAAGTGCCCGAAGTTACATCAACTACCGATACCGAGGTGCCTACCAAGGCTACTTTGTACACGGCCCTACCAGTAGCCACGGACGATTCTATCGTTACCAACCCGGGGATGCCTGGTAATGATGATGACGAGGAGGATGATTCGACGACAACGACGAAGGACGACGAAACAAGGACGCAAGAAACAACTACAGCATCGGCAACACAGACAGAGACAACCGCCACAGATGCCGTTGATGCCACCACCACAGGCATCCCCGAAGCAACCCCGAAGACGACCTTGACTGCCGGTGATGAGCCCACTACAGCCACTGCTCTACCAACGACCAGCATCGAGTCAGCCGCTACATCAGTCACCAGCGCTCCTACCACTCTTCTCACCAGCGTGCTGTCAGCACCCGTTACCAGCGACCTCACCAGTATCGACGTCGCCGTGTCCGTGACTAGTCTCCTTAGCGAAATCCCAGCCTCACTCGATCCCACCACTCTAGTCTCTGTCACATCATCACCCCTATCTTCAGTCGCCGCTTCCGCCTCCGCTTCCGCAATAGCGGCCATGACGCCCACCAACAGCCTCAGCCAAGCCCAGACTTCGAGTGGCAACGGCGGTCTGTCCAGGCCGACCACTATTGGCGTCGCGACAGGCGGCGGTGTGGCCGCTCTCGCCCTCATCGTGACGTCCATTTTTGCCTGCCGACGATACTGGAAGAAGCACCGCGAGGCCAACGATGACGCCCTCGAGAAGCTCGACTCTATGTACGAGGCTGGGAAGCCGACTGGGTTCGAGGAGCGTGACACGGGGCGGTGGAATAGGGGGTTGGAGCAGTTCCATGATGTGACGAAGCAAGGTTAGTTGGGAGGTGGTGGACTGGGGACGTACCAGGGGGCCTAGATTTGGGGTGCCTTGGAGGCGTATTGTGCAAACATCACGTACGGTGATGCAAATGGGTACAAAGTGGGAAAGAAAGGTCGTAAGACATCTCAGATGGTCACGTCTCGGTATAAGTCGTATAACCGTTTATATATCAAATAGAATAGTAAGGTACTGAAATCACTCCCTAAAGATAATACATATTGCTCCGGCCACCCAAGTCTGCAAAGCTCTTTTCCTGTTGGAATATTGAAAAGTAATGTTTCTTGTAGCACTCAAGTGACTTGAGTTCCGTCCATGTTACTGGGTTGATGAGATGGCGTCTCCAGCTTTGGATTGGTTTGTTCTCACTTGATCTGCGAGTAGATTTCTACTCGGCTATGTTTCTCCAGTGTGGGTTGCGGCCAGTCACCACCAAGGCCATCGATGTGCCGCTTGATGACTGGGTTCCGGCACCTGATGTCTTTTCAAGCTCATTGAGTAGCTGCAATTTTTCACCAATGGGATGTTCGACATGAGCCAGGTCGACAAATACGGCTACACGACGCAGGTCATGACTGGTTCTCGCAACACCTCGAAGCGTTGTACAAAAGACACAACAAGAAACTAACCGCATCTATGAGCTTAAGGATTGGTGCATGGACTCATGGCTGTGGCCAGTGGCCAAGCTCACAGGTTTCACCACGATGCTGGTAGTTTTCGGCCTGGGCGCGCTCGCGACGGTGGTTAAGTGGTTCTTTGGGTCTCCGGGGATAGAGGGGATGCCAACGCCGGGCGGGACGATTTTCTGGACCTGGAGGAAGCCACAGAGGAAGGTGGTGTTCTCGGGGCAAGATACAGACCGGGGAAGAATGTCATGAGAGATGGCGAGATTGCGAACGCTGATTGCTTATATTGTTCCGGACTCTGGAGATGATCCGAGAACAGTGGCAGGCAGTGATTAACTTCAGGGGATATCAAGTCGCTACTTTGTAAGGGCCTCGTTTATAGTAGGAAGTCATGCACAAACCCATTGCTTACGTTACTGGACGTTCAAAGTTGAGCACCTACACAAAATAGACAAGCCTCGAGACAACCTCACCAACATCACCATGCCCTTCCGTTGGGTTGGTCCACCGGCCATCTACAGTAGGTTGGGTTACGTTGGTGACTTTATTGGTTAGCCTGTAGTAGGGACCTGCATTTGGCTCTTGGCCCACAGCTACGGCAACCATAACTCAACCAACATCATCAACGAAGTCCAAAATGGTATGGCTTGGCAGCTAAAGTCTAGACATTTAGTACGTGGTGGTTGTTCATCTACACCAACCCTGGCCAACTAGACTGACTTGGTGACGTTGCTTCAAGGCTTGAAAATGGGCCGGTGAAACAAGAACTAAAATTACCAAATACAGACGCCAAGATATCCAAGTTACTATCTAATTCTGGGTACAGAGTAATTGCTTTGAAATTGAAGAAAAAGGTGGCTTTGCCATTCTTTGGCCATAGCTATCATCCAAAGACTACATAATTGCACAACCTCATTGTGGTATAGAAAGCTTCACAAATATAATGCGCTAGACCCACATCTAGTTTTCATGGAAGGATGGGTCCCTCTTTACTATGGACAGATCGGGCCCCTTCTTTGTATAAACTCAACTCATTCTCTGTATATACTCAACGCCTTCTTTGTATATACTCAAACTCTTCATACCTCAGTTACAACCTATCCCCTCACCCGCCTACTAATTCTCTTCAAACTTAAGCTGAGCCAATGTCAACACCCCCTCGGCCTCCTGCTGCTGGTTGACCACCCCCTGACCAGCGAAAGCCTCCTCCCACAACCCTCTCAACTCGCCCTCGCACACAAACGGCTCCGAGTGTGCAAACGTCATGTACGTCCTCGCCTCCTCCCATTTATCTATGACCAAAATCTGACTTACGAACCTGACTCTCTCGAAAACCTGATCTCTCAGTCGCTCTATTTGCTGCGAGGGCGCATCGTCACATATTTCCAGCACGACATGTATGGAGTACAGTCCGTAGAGGGCTACAAGCAGCCACTCGGGTTTCGAGGCGTTGCCCTGCCACATGGCTCTCTGTCGTCACGAGGTCGAAGAGCGTACCTTCGAGCAGCCAGCTGAGGATTAACAGGTCCACGTCGTCGCGTTGGATGATCTCGAAGAGGTTGACACAGCACCAGACAAAAGTGGCTCGACGTAATGCTACTTCAGGTCGCTCGGGAGGTCGCTCGGGCTCTTGCTTGGGCTCTTGCTCGGGCTTTTTCTGAGGTTGCTCCGGCAACGGCTTTTCGACGAGTCGAGGATCAATGGTGCAGGAGTCGGAGTCGAAGTCTCCTTCTTGCTTCAACACTATTGTCTCGGGCTGTGGCTCGACGAGCGCGCAGGATGATGTCTTGGCCATGCAGTCGTGTTGGCCCCATTTTTGGAGGGTTTCCGTTTTGTTCGGGCCCTTGAAATATTGACTCCTAGGTCCATGTATTAAATGAGTCTCTACCTTGTTTTACCAAACATAGTTCTGGAAGAGCTTACATTTGCTCCAAACATTGCAAAAGATGACTGAACCGAGTTGATATCCTCGGTGTCGGTCCTGGGTGTCTCATACTCATAATCTGGGCGAGACCATTCAAATGCGCCTGTGCTGCTGCAAAACATCCCAGAGCGCTCTGTCGCAGCACTCTGTCAGTCACTTGTTCAATGGAGAGATTGGATGAGCGAGCTGAGTACCTCGGCCAAAGCTAAGCTAACCACAGTGGAGATGGTGGCATTGCTGGTCATCGAAGTCGGATCCTGGAGCTGGTTGTTGACAAAGCGTACCGCTTCCAGTCGGTGGTGGAGAGTACTGGTCCGGTTAGTTTCGCTTATGGAATGGGTGATCCACGAGTACTGGACGGCCGCCATAAGGATAGCGCTGGGGAGGAATTCGGGCTGGGAAAAGGCGCAACTGATGCTGGAGTTTTCGTCGTCAGCTGACACCAACGACGGAAGACGGGGATAAAACGACTCACAGTGGAGAGTCATAACATCCATTGTTGCCCATTGTGCTCAAGGGAGCACTGTAATGGCGCACTTCTCGTCGGGCATAGTTGTTAGCACACGCTTGTAACCACATACAGGTGTTTCATTGCGGAATCCCAGCAAGAGAAGATGGGGACTTACATAGGCCAAGCAGTGAACGGGACTCGTCGGTCAGGGTGATAGACAAGTCATCTAGGTCATGGGCGGTAACCATGCCGTGCAAAGGGAGAGTTTCGCTGTCCCAGTATTGCTTTTCAGTCGGGAGAGTTGTGTCGGGTTGGTCGGTGCTGGTTGTAGACGCGTCATTGTATCCACATTCACCACCCCTTCGTAGGCAGTAGGTGCTAGTGAGTGTTAGCATGCCCTATTGATCTGCTCCTGGCCGCCTCATAGACCAAGACTCGTACGCCTGGTCCACGGCACCATGCGGCCAAACTCTTTGCGGCCAAACCCTTCGGCTTACCAGAGGGGTCTGCGCTGATCACATCTGAGGTGCCGTAGCTTACAAGTCTTGCACCTGCAAAGTCATATATCGTCAGCCACTGCCGTGGGATAGATAGAAGAGGGAATGCTAAGAGAGAACTTACCCATTGCGAGACCTGTTGTGGCGTTTCCGCTGTCGATTCACTGGTTCTGGCCTGGGCATCTTGGAAGATGGGTTGGCAAATGCTGAGAGATCGAGAAGAGGAGCTCAGCATGACCATTTAAAGGCGACGACTGCCGTACAAAAGTCCCAATTTTAGTACAATAGTCACAGCAAGGCATAAAAAGTGGTCCCCGCAGTCAGACAGGGGGGAAGGGCAATGATGCCCGGGAGGACTCGTACTAAGTCACATTCAGTCTAATTCCAACGGCACCGTATTATGGTTATCTATCAATGGACGGGACCAAGAACCAGACTTCTGGACCAATCCCAGAAGATCGAGCTCGTTAAGCTTACCGCCACTGCGCGCGCCGTAGGGCTGAGCTGGGGGCAGTTGGGGTGCTTGTTCGCGTAGGGCACCAGCTATAATCTATGCATGTTGTTCTCCGCACTTCATTACGCGGGCATCGATTGGACACAGTTGGAGGACGCATGCAGTCAGATGCCTCTTTCAGCCTTAAGAGAAATTGTCCCTCGTCATTATCTAGCGTCAATCCTGCTTTGGGGGAGGCATCGACTGATTGTCGGGCAGTTCGGACTTGGGGGGAGGGAGATGGCGAGGGAGGGGGGTGATGACACCAAGTGATTGGTCTGTTCCCCAAAGAAAGGTGACAAGATGGGGGCCGTACTGTACAGAACTTTTGTGCGTATTTGGCCGGGTATTGGATGATTCCGCTGCAGGTGCTGGGGGCAGAGATGTGGCTCTCGTAAAAGTCTTGGCGTTTGTTGCAAATGGGATATCTAATTGGATATACTGTGCGCTGTACTGCAGCAGAAGCCGATCATGCCGTGCCAGGTGGTTTTTCTTCAGACGTGAGCCCTAAAGTGCTTGGCTTTGCGCCTCCCGAGGTGGAAGCAGAGTATATTCTGATAGTCTCCCGGCGCAGGATGCTTGGAGGTTGCGTCTTCACAACGATTCTAGAGTTGGCAGCCGGCCATGGAATGAAATATCAGGAGGAAGAGAGAGAAGCGGTTGGTGATACCGCTTCGGGTGACGGCGCCAATGCCGCTCCCAATGCTACTCCGAGTTGATGTAGCGCTGCTGACCACCTTCTCAACTAGCAATCAATTTGTTCTTGGCAACAGCTGAGTCCTAATTCCGTCGGCCCGTCATCTTCAGCCACACCCCCTGGCTGGTGAGCCGTGCATAGGCTATTACATTCGCTTGGGCGGTCAGCCGAGGTACGCCGGCTTTTGCCGAAGCTCAAATCCGACGACTGAGCTCAAACTAAGCTAGCTTACATCGTGAGTTGCGCGCTTGTGATAGTTGCACGCTTGTGATCGTCCCGCTCGTCCATTTTTCTGGCCATTTGACTGCCGTATCTTCCGGTGCGAACGGCGCAGGGTCTCTTCCTTCTCTCCTCCATCCGCCCACTCTTGAGGCCTGGTCTCTCTCCCAGCAGCAATTGGCAACATGGTCTCGATCCCCAGTAAGGCGCCTCGCCAATCTCTCACCGTAATCGACAACAGAACTGGCCAGGCTTATGAGGTTCCCATCACGCACAATTCCGTGCTGGCCACCGACATTAAGAAGATCAAGGCTCCAGCCGGCCAAGACCGCGCAGAGGATGAGACAGAACAGGGGCTTCGGGTCTACGATCCAGCCTATATGAACACTGCCGTCATAACGAGCCGCATCACTTACATCAACGGGCTTGATGGAATTCTGCGGTATCGCGGGTACCCCATCCAGCAGCTGGTCAAGAAGAGCAACTTTCTCGAGACGGCTTACCTGCTGCTCTATGGAGAGCTGCCGACCAAATCGCAGTACGACAACTGGAACAACGAAATCATGCACCACACCTTCATCCACAGCGACATTGAGAACATGTTCAAGACGTTCAGATACGACTCTCATCCCATGGCCATGCTGTCGTCTGCTTTCGCTACCATGGGAGCTTTTGCCCCTGAGGCCAATCCTTCCCTCGCGGGGCAGAAGCTCTACACCAATGCTGCGAAGGGCGATATGGAGGCCCTGAAGGTGCTTGACAAGCAGATCCTGAGAATCATCGGGAAAGCCCCTACCCTGGCGGCTGCCTCGTACCGGATGCGACAAGGTCGGCCGTTCAATCGACCGGCTCAGGGACTTTCCTACACAGGAAATTTCCTCTATCTCCTGGACTATCTCTCAGGCCACGAGTACCAGCCCCACCCCGTGTTGGAGAAGGCGCTCGATACACTCTTCATCCTCCATGCCGATCATGAGGTCAACTGCAGCACTGCAACAGTTCTCCAGGTGGGCAGCAGTCTGGTTGACCCCTATTCGGTGGTAGCGGCCGGCTGCTCCGCATTATACGGCCCCTCACATGGCGGTGCCAGCGAAAGTGCGATTCGCATGCTCATGGAGATCGGGTCACCCGAGAACGTGCCAGCGTTCATGGAAAAGGTCGAGAAGAGGGAACGCGTGCTCGTCGGGTTTGGGCACCGCGTGTACAAAAATGTCGACCCACGGTCCACGGCGATTCGCGAACTCGCCGAAGAGGTCTTCGAGGTCACGGGCAGGAACAAGCTTCTCGATACTGCCATGACCCTAGCAGACTATGCGCGAAAGAGCGAGTTCATGAAGAGTCGAAACCTCTATCCCAATGTGGACTTCTTTTCGGGGCTTATTTACCAAGCGATGGGGTAAGTAGCCGTTTCTCCACTACAACCGCAATGCGTTTTGAGGCTAACGTGGGTAGCATTCCCCTGGACGTATTCCCCGTACTTTTTGCCGTGCCGCGCTGTGTCGGATGGCTGGCTCACTGGAGACAAATGATGTTGAACCCGGCTGGTGTCAAGATCTGGCGGCCCAGGCAGCTGTATCTCGGTGAAGGCGAGCGGGACTACGTCGAGACAGCAGACAGGAAGGAAAACCCCAAGGCAAGCGTGTTTGATGCCCCGGTCCAGGTCAGCCATGGTGGAGACAGTAAGAGAATGGAGCTTGCCACGTACAAGGACGAGAGGGGGCAGACGTGGGGGAAAAGCAAACTTTGAGCCCAGTCTGCTGTGTGGCTAATATTGGAACTGTATCGGCTGTGTCGGAAACTGGCTGAGGGCGCTGTAAGGTTCAAACGCGCCATGTACTTCAGGCGGAAATTGTATATGTGCAATGCAACTCATAGATTAATTGTTGTACCGCACTCAACGTCCTCTATACCTAAACTTGTACTTCAAAGGAACTGGATACAAATATAGAAGTAACTGTCCCATCGAACCTTCTCCCACCTCCCACCAGATCAGTCGCACAAATCCTGCAAAACACACTACCCATTGGCTGCTGGCTAATTTCCCACTTGATGGCAAGCCGGGAGATTCGGTCGAGAGGGCGCTCCAATCGGCGATGAGCGGCGAGTTGGCGGTGTTCTCGTTGCGGTGCGTGCCGACAGTGCAGGCTATGTTGCCCGGTTGGTAGGTGACCATCCATAGTCGCGTGAAGAGCTTGTTTGGGTCAGGGAGGAGGTTTGGGGATTGCTGATGAGCTTGGTGGAGTGCTCGGGGATGGCTCCTGGAGCCGCAGAGGCGAGCACAAACCCAAGGGAGGTGAGCATGGTCAAGAGCTTTATGGTATCCGTAGCTGCTAGCAGCCTTCTCCCTAATTCCAACATTTTTTAGTATAATTGATTTTAGCCGTGCTTAGTTAGATATCTCTCGCCCTTGTTCTGGGTGATTCTATCCGAGTGCAAGGGAGTGTCTAGTTCCATATAAGCTCTACTAACACATACATCTGGCACATACGACCATAGGCTGCAGAGAACTCGGGATCCCGTCCGCTCTCCCATAGATAAGCTGCAAACCGCTAGATTAGTAGTTGGGTGGGTGACCACCAGCGAATCCCTAGTGTTGTATGTTTTTGCTAGCCTTGGACTCTAGGCCATATGCTAGATATTATGAATATCCGTAGCTAATTTTGGTCTCGCTAGAGTCCTTATACCTAGTTCTACATATGCTTCACTAACACCAGGTCTTAACACATACGACCATAGGCTGCAGAGAATTCGGGATCCCGTCCGCTCTCCCATAGACAAGCTGCAAACCGCTAGATTAGTAGTTGGGTGGGTGACCACCAGCGAATCCCTGGTGTTGTATGTTGTATGTTTTATTTTTGATATATTTAGTATGTCTTTTTGGCAAGATGTTACTATAATTCTTTTAATCGCTAGATTGAATAAAGTGGAAAGTTAACTATAGTTATTACCTCTTATCCGTCTTAGAAGTTGGCCGAGGCTTATGCTTGGTCGAGTGTTCCCTATTAGTAAACTAGTGTAAATTGATGAAAGCATTTTCTAGAAAACTTTACAGAGGTGAACAACCTTTGCCTACTTAACGTAGTTTACGATTCACACTTAGCACATACGACCATAGGTTATAAGGCACTTAGGATCCTGTCCGCTCTTTTATAGATAAACTGTAAACTGCTAGATTAGTAGTTAGGTAGGTGACTACTAACGAATCCCTAGTGTTGTATATTTTATTTTTAATATATTTTATTTTTAATATATTTTATTTCTTTTGGAGAAGATATCAAATCTTTTTACTCGCTAGCTGTCAGGGTACGGCTAGGCCGAAGGCAATAGTACAGAGTGATGGGGAGTAACGGGCGTCCCTCCTACGTAGCACCGGGTGGTCACTGGCGGTCTCAGGTAGGGGTGCCCACGGTGATGCATTGATCTCTGCCCTCTCTATCTTCCTCCGTCTCGACTCCTTACTTATAGCCAGCCGAGGTTCTCTCTTGGATTCTGGATGTTTGCTTCCGTATGTCTGTGTTCCTCCGACTTCGGCCAATATCTTGGACAGCGGCTCCTTATCTGCAACCAAGCGATTCCCTATCCGCTGCAAACGGCTTCAACGGCTCTCATTCGCCACAAGCGGCTCTCTAGCCGCCACAAACGGCTTCCTACCTGGTGGAAGCCGGCCCGCCTCGGATGACACTTGTGGCTCTGACAACTCCTTCCCTATCCTACTTCGAGATGGTCCTTATATAGATAGCTAGGCCGCCGCTTGGACCCGGCATAACAGCAGGGTCGGCGATGCCAAGGATCTTGACTCTCGTCATCCCAAAGCTTCACATAGATTGTAATCATGATTCGGGAGTCTTTTGTCCGAAACACCCCTCCGGCGGCCCGCCGGTGTCCTGCGTTCAGTGTCCTGACACCCACTGGTGCCTATGGCATTCTGTTCTCTGACACTAGCGTAACCGAAGTGGATAGTTAACTATAGTTAGTACCTCTTTTCTGCGTTAGAAGTTGTCTGGGGCTTATGCTCAGTCGTAAGTGTTGACCTTGGTGGACGTTGAAGAACTTCTTGAACGTGTTGGAACTTGTTTTTAGTATGAGGGATAGAGTGCTGTGGTGGAAGGGAGGAATCACGGCTTGAGGGAGACGAATAAGCCAGTTTCACAGCTGAGGGCATCTACCAAATCACACTTGTGATTGGTACCATGTCACATGATGAATTTGCATTTTTCCTGGTCACATAGCAGTAAGCCTGTAGAAAATGGTGATTCACCCTTTCAATGCTGCTTTAGACCACCTACTCTGGCTTGTGCAACATCGCGCAATGATGTCACAGCTCTTATATGATGCATATCTTGTACCTTATACGGTTGCCTGAGGGGTTAAGGGGTTATGCGGATAACAAAACAAGCTTATACCAAATAATCGTATTCCTTCGCACATCTCAGTTTCTCAGTGTTGTAAATGAAGATAATTTGACTATTCCAATGAAGGGCGCCGCTTAACTAGGGGAATATTGGAATTTCATGGCATACAAGTTCCTCACTTAGATTTTCCCAACCCCACGTTGTCCGGATGAAATATTGGAAGCAACTTCCCACTGTCAGCCTCCCTCTGCAACCTCTCAACCTCGGAAATCTTGAACCGCATCCTCTGTAGGTGCAACCACGTCGGATAATGCCTAGCCTTAAAGTAAGGTCTCTCCTTGACCTCAGCAGCTTCCATGCTTTGCACGTGCGCCTTGTCCTGCTGCAGCTGCATCTCGAGGTAATTCTTCACCCTCAGGAAGCTCTCTTCTGCGTAATAGTTTCCCTCTAGCATCAACTTCAGCTCCGGCGTCAGGTCGCTGATGGCTCTTAGCCGTTCCCAGTCCGGTCTGGGGCGTTCGGGGGTGACTGACATTGCGAATTTCCGACGACGGCGTGCTCTGTCTGCCTCTCGGCAGCTTGGGCAGGAACTGAGGAGGGGGGTTCCTTCGACGAGTTCTCCGCGGCTCTCGGCGGTGCTGTCGAGGAGAGAGGGATCCACCAGGTGCTGGCATTTGCTATAGTGTCTGACGGGCCGACAGCACAAGGGGCATACCATGTTCACACCCTGTATTTTCATGGATTTGCGTATGCAAGCCGTCATGAATCTGTGCCCACAGTGGAGATCGATAAACTCTCTGGAAATCTCTCGCTCGCGGCAGATGAGACATTCCTCGTTGGGCTCTGTTAGACGAAGTCGGAGAACCGGGAAAGGGCCATGATTGCGCGGAGGGGCCTCAGATTTGTAAAGAAGAACGAAGACCGCCGATGCTGGGGTGTAGTTCGGCATGCAGGGGCCAATGCCGACTTTGTCTACCAGATGGAACATAACTGATGTTTGGTCAGGTTCAACACTGTTGCTTCTCTTTTCCGAAATTGGCGTCATAGCAGAATTGGAATGGTCGTTTCTCTGAGGAGCTTCTTGACTCGATCGCATGAGTCTCCGTTTTATGAATTTGAGTATCGCTGCGATCGGCTTGAAGAGCCGTCTGAGGATGCTGAGGATGAGGGCTCTCATGTCTCGACCGGACTTTCTGCTCCTTCCATGTGTTCTGGGCATTGATAAAGTAAAGATATTTGTGTGATACTTTGTTCTGGCAGAAATTTCGTACTAATGACATTGCGATCATAGTCTAGCTTTTAGGTTCAGATCAAGACTGGTCACATTGGATCAACCTGATTATTAAGTTCAAAATATTCATAATCCTTAGCATTACTTTGGAAAGATGGTGGAATCCTTCAAAAGTTTTCATTTCTGTTGTGGTCAAGCAGTCAAAATTGTAGAATGTTAAGAACCGCGAGCGTTGAAGTGAGCACTTTGGCGCATCATATATCTCTGCACCAAATTGCTATTTCAAGTACTTCCAACTGTGAAAACTCCGAATATAACGAGAAGAGAAGACCGTAGATATTACCACAGAAGTCGAACAAACGAGTAACCCTTACCTCAACAGGAGCCTCATCACCCATTGATCTTCAGTTATCACAAGGACGACCAAAAGATGATGATACGAAGCGGAACTTCGAAAATATATCCAATAGGATGAATGTGGACTTTCAAGAACGATCTGGCAAGTTGTCTAAGGCTGCAAATAATGGCGATGGCCGCCTGAAGGATAAATACCACCGGAACTCCTAAGATAGCCCCCCACCTTTTATTCGATACTCTAAACGAATCTGTCAAGAAATTGCTTTCCCACCTCTGGGAAACGTTTGCTGTGTGAAGATCCATATCTGGAAGCGATACAACCAGATCCGCCGTATATTGCGAACTTATTTAGCCGGCATTTCAGCGTTGACATGTCGGTTGTTGCTCACCAGGCCTGGGATCCCCAAGATCAATTCTCGCGCGATATTGAGATTAGTTAAAGCCAACGTGCCGAAAAGTCTGCTCCCCAAAGAAAGTTGTCAGCGAAATGAAACAATTTACAGCAGAGTAGCATTCATCCTGCTCCGATGTGTTCAATGGAGTCGTTCGTATACAACCTGATGCACGAAATGGTCCACACGTACCTCAACATGTGCGCCCCATCTGTTCTTCCACTTTTGTACAGACGTGACTGCGCATGGGGGGCCACGGAGAAGTGTTTGTTCGGTTGCACCGATTTGTGTTTGAGGCGGTCCGCGAACGTATGCCTACATTGGCAGTCGAGCAGGACTCCCATGACCAGTGGGGAAGGATCATTCATAAATGACTGGGCGAAGCTCAATGCAGCACCTGTGGGGGTTGCTCCGAAGATGTAAGCAACGTTTCTTATACCGTGGGCCCAACATGGCGAAAGCATGGACACGAAGGTGGCAAGGTTAAAAGGGGAGTTGAATTATGGGTCATAGCCTCCAGTAATACCACGACGAGGCTCATTCCCCTTGATTATTGGGTCCACAAAACCATGGGGTAGCCAGTGTAGCGGGTAGGATAACATAGAATAGCAAGATAAGCTGATGTAATGAAAAGCAGTAACAGCAATGCAGAAACTCAATGAACAATATACTTTCTGGTGGCTTTGGATCAAACTCAAACACTTGTAAGGCGCAGGTGTAACCTCCGTTGCAGTCAGAAATGAATATCTTCTTGTAAAAAGCAACTATAATGTTGAAACCTTATGATCTTATTCGGGTTGCACTGCAAAGGCACAACGGAGACATATATTGACTTAGAGACAGGTTTTTTGGTCTTGCTTTTCGGGTTTCAGATGAATTATGCAAGTGTGTTGTCGAGGATATTTAAGGACCGGTGTAAGTAGTCACTCTCTGAGAAGAAAAGAAAGAAGCAAGCGGCTAAGCAAATCGTAATTGAATTTCATTCCCTTCGCCTGTTGAGGCTCCAGTTATTTTGATGACCTGCTGAGGCTTCATTCTGTTGTTCACCTGCGGAGGTGATTCGATTCAAGGACCTATTGAGGCCCTGTTCTGTTCATGCCTGTTGAAGCTCAGACGATTGCTTGTACCTTCTGAGGTGCTTCTGTTGGTCCAATCAGGACAAGAAGACTCTCAATCTGTTATTTTTATCACTCTCCCGGATTGCAAGGTCTTGTCAAGGATCTTGTCCGTTGCCCGTCGTCAACATACTGCCCCAAGGCTGTTACGTTCTGACAGTGATAGTACCTGGGTTTGTTGAACTAGCTCACATCAGCCACCCACCCTCTCCAACCCAGTCAAAAGCTCCTCAAAGGCCACTTGGACCTCTCTCTTCGACGCCGCGGCAAGTCCAGCTCCAGATGCATCCGCCTCTGAAGAATTACCTCCACCCACTCCAGATACCTCGTTACCGCGAGCTCCGCGCTCGGCCTCGAGTGTTTCACGCGCGTCCTCGAAGCTTCCGATATCGCGAACATTGGTGAACCCGAGGCTCTGCAGTTCCTGCAGAGCAATAGCCGAGCGGCGGCCAGAGCGGCAATACAAGGTGATTTCGTCGTCAAGTTGGACGCCGGGCCGGGTGGCGAGATGGTGGATCTGAGTGTACTCGATGTTTAGGGCGTTGGGGAGGAAGCCGGTCGCGTACTCGGCAGGGGAGCGGACATCGATTAGGAGGGTATTGGTCGACATAATTGATGTGTTTTTTCAGGAGACGAGGACCAAAGGAAGGGAGCACTGATGGTTAATTCGTTGGGGTTTGGCTGGCTGCAAAGCTTTTGGGTTGGTCAAATGTAGGGGTTGAAATAGGGAAAATATTCTGAGATTGTGCTCAAAACCAGGCTAGTTTGCAAGTTTGCAGCGGCGGCGAGAGACTATAGACATCAGCTGGCAGCAGCTGACAAGATAATTCCTATAAACTAAGAAGTATATAGTCATCTACAACGAACTTAGGGGCTTCAGGGGAGATTGAGTGGAGTGCAGCAGTTAAACAGCATAGTGTCATTTAGAGCATGACGCAGCTAGATCCATTGCCATCCGTTAATTCATTTGCTCAACCAGTTCTGTTCCTAAGCAGTCTTCCGCTTCTGATCCCACATCTCCATCAAAGTCGCAGCACGCTCAGCAGCACGCTTGACCTCTTCCGTTGATTCTCCCTCCGCTAGATTTCGGAACCGCTCGATCCAGAACATCCACCTGTCGGGATGGAGTCCCGACTTGCCCTGGAAAAGAGTTCCGCCACGCCACATCCTTTCTTCGACTTCGCTCAGCTCCTGAACTGCGCCGAGCTGCCGGGACATCACTGGACCAGCGTGCTCGATGATCTGGGCTGCGGTCATGATCTTAGCTTTGTTCAGCCCCTTCTGGTCCGTAATTTCTTCCTCCAAGGCATCGCGAATCATCCAGAGAGGATGGCTGAGATCAGTCAAGCCCGCCGTATACAGCCGCCCTGCGGCAAATGCGTTCCAGTTGATCCATGAATTCCAGATCTCGGTCTGCTCTGCTTCATTGGAGGACTTCTGGGGTCCGTTTAGATGCTCTCGCACAACTGCGCCAAAGACAGGCAGATCCTTCCATAGTCTCATCTTGATACGTTCAATATTGTCAGTTTTCCGTCACAGGCAGGGGTTTCTAGTGACTTACGTTCCAGACTTGCACCGCCGTGTCTGGAAGCAACGTGAGCTCCCTTACGAGCTTGACGAGCTTATCCTGGGCTAGATGATCGTAGGGTAGCTGCTCTGCGACCGCCGTGAACTCGGCCCAGAGTTGCCAGAGAAAGCCTTCCGCTTTGCCATCATCTTTTGGAGCTAATTCATCGATGGATTTTGCCGCTGCAGCCGCAGAGATAGAACTGCCAAGCTGAAGATAGTCATCGAGGAGTATCTTGAACGTCGTCTCGTGGACGCGTTCATCTCCTGGGTGAGCTTTTGGTTTGAGGATGAGCTTCTCGTCCATGATGATGATATAAAAGCGATGATAGAGCAGTGCGAAGTGAGTATTTGGCGAACCAACTCGGGAAAAGATATGCAGATGTGACACATCACACATGAAGGCAGGAGCCCGCCGCCTCCTGCCTATTGAGGCAAGTCCGGAACACTCTACGTCATGCACGCACGGGCCATCATGTGCATTTATAGTGCGCATTCTATGTGCTCTCCCTATGATAACGAAATCTACCCATACTATTCCTATTTGTAGCACTGGAATATCAGGGTTGTTATATGCTACTCCATCTGCTATACTGTACAGGTCTAGTATCTACTTAGCCGAGAGGCCGTTCGGCTGGAGATAATCATAGAGTGGACGAATCGGCAGTAATGATTATGACAATCGGACTTACACCGTTTATCTCGGGAACTTGGGCCCGTGACATCTTCACCTTCGCCACTGTAGACCACGCGAATCTGGTCACTGTCCTTTCCCAATTTTCTGCTGGTGATGAGAGTGGCTTTGAAATAAGTAACCATATCTTTCCTGTATTGACACCCCTCATGCGTCTCCAGCAAATGGATCACCCGCGCTCGCTTTTGGCCAGCAACTTCGGGCTCAATCTTGACGATGTCGTAACGGTACAAAATGAGGTCCATATTTGGTCTCATCTCCACGTACTTGGCCCACACTGTGGCTTTTTTGCCAAGTTTGCTTGCATAGCCAGGGCGCGTAAGAATTTGTCCTTCTAGGTAAGCTCGTCAAGATGAAGACTTTTACTGGCAGCGGACTGTAACGCATTCTCCAAGTTCGTGACAGCAGCCAAGGGTTCGACCACGCCTCCTGGAGGGCTGTAATTGGGTTAGCGTGCTAGACATCGATTGAGCGAAGATTGTTTTACCTGCAAGTGGTATCGTTAGCGGCGGCGAGGTTTTCATCTTGTCCGTAGTGCCGATTAGAAGAGCGTTAATGGTTTCCTTTGAATAGAATACGTGCAAGGAAAGTTGAGATATTGGGTGGCGCTGAGGAAGTGTGTTGACTTGGCAAGTTGGATATGATCGCTGCCAGTGTCCTGACTGTCTTGCCTTCGAATAGGCCAGCGCTCGGAGCAGTGGATTGACAAGTGCAAAGATGAAGGTCATATGGGTGGTTTGGAAAAAAGCAGATATACCTCCCACTATAATAGGATTCCAGTGATGAGAGAGGATTGGAATGTAGTATGATGAAAAGATATCGCGCCGAAGCCTGAAGTTCTGGAGGGTTGCTGCTTGCCGAAAGTATAGTAATTCCCTAGAGTAGTCATATGGCGCGACGGCAGCATGAGATTGTTACCGCAGCCGGAGAAAATAGTAGTAAAGCTGCTGGAAAACGCTTTTGATGTTTGAAATCGGCTTCATGTTGTTTGCTTCAAAGGTTTGCTCAGTTGGTGTCTGATGCAATCCACATAGGAGGACTGGTTTTATATTTGAGCTTATGTGCACATCGGGCGATATATTGGTCTGCGCCAGCAAACACCGGCCGTTGCCCAACCTTCAAGATGAAGGAGAAACAAGGGTTCAAACAGGTGCTATTTGTACCGTTCCTCGATCAAGCCAAATATTCAGTGTCCCAGGATAGGATAAATCAATCCTCTCAATGTTCCATTATTAGTATTTGTCCCCATTTGTGTTCCCCATGTTGTAGAATCTGGGCACCATAGTATCCCGATCGGTAAACATGATGCCGCTGCATCACGTCAGCGTCTGTCCATTGTTACCTTCGACAACACAGGTGTGTATCTTACTGAGCTGGACGTATGAATGACCCCATCAAGCGACGAAGCCCCCGATATACAGCCCGGACTTCCTCCCGAGGGTACACCGTATGCTAATCAACCGCCGTGGTCTCTTGAGCGTTGCTAACATCTCGCTCGGAAAGGATTTGGTATATTTAATTTCAGAATGAGTTTGACGAGGCAACATATGTCTTGATTGGCACATGTTACTTCCGAGCTATGAATATCAGCTGTAGAAGATGCTATAATGTGGGACACACCTCGGTTGGCAATGCAGACCGCATGTTAAAGCGGGAGTCCAACACGGGATAGGAGTGATGCGGGATGACCCTGTTATTACATGTTTGGAAAGCGGCATGATTCGTTTATCCTACGTAATAAGAATAAGCTATCGATTTATTGAAGTTACTGATTTAGCCTTGGAAGATCAGACAAATACACTTGATCTTATTTCTGACACGACGTCAAAAATCAACCAGTCAGCTAGCGCACTGGCCTTCGCAAATCTTCCGCAAGCTAACTAGGACGCGGGTGGAAATTCGGCCCTGGTCGTCTTTGCCGAGACTGAAGTGCTGTCGACGAGGGATTGATGGCTTCGCCGTACTTGGGCCGCGGTGCTATGAAGCCTGAAGTCCAGACCGCCAGTCCCTCTTGATGCTATCGACAACGCTAAGCCAATCTGGGTTGCTCACAGCATTGCAACCAGCCCAGACTTGAAGCACGCAGAATGAATATTGTGAAGACAGGCAGGAGAGGAGAGGATATCATTGACCTTGATGAACGGCAATGTAGAGCCAGCTTGAACCATTGAACCTCTTGGAACAGATGCGACACATGTGGGGCAAGGATAAGCCTGCAATGGGATCTGGAGAAGTGGACGCGGGACCCGAAGATCGTCTGTTGATCGCGGATCCGGGCCATCTCAAAACACGTTGAGCATGATTTGCATGACACAGTCATGCCGGTGGGCCAGCTCCATGACCAGAACGAAGCATTGCTGGTATAAAACGATGAAAACACTTCAGAGCGCTATGCGGGGCTGTCCAGGCACATTGGCAACCATCACGACGTGCTTCTGTCGACGTACGTTGTATGATCCGGCTCTAACGCTGCCAACGTCCGGAACCGACACCCAACGCGCCTGCCACTCCCAGTTTCAGCGAACAGAACGTTATCTGACGACGCTAAAACAAGGCCCACCTTCCCGGCCGTCAGCCTGGGATCACCAAAAACAGACCGCGCCATTTCCTCAGAGCCAACGCATTTCAAACAAAGCCAGCCGACGAGGCGGGTTGACTCGCATTCATGGCAAAAACGGGTCTACCATGGACAAATGGTAAAACGTAGCTCTCCCCTGCGTCTTGATGCATGCTGGACAGGAGCTATCGGGTCATTGCACGCGCATATTGCACACGTGCCAGAACGGTCTTGGGTCGGGTTGGGGCAGCGCTATGGCGGCGTCAACCGGTATTAAGTAGGGTGAGTGACCAAGTGGGAATAGAGCAGCGCCCATGGCAAAGCCAGCAGGGGTTCCTGCATGAATTTTTTGCTCGCGGCGGCCGGGACATGCAAGCATCACTCAAGTGCTGCTCCGTCCTGGCCCACCGCTATCCACAAGAAAGACGTTGAGCGGCCAATATGGCTGGCTGCCCGTGGCTCTGGATGCGAGCTCCGTCGTGTTGCAGAGAGGCTAGGTCGTTCTTAACTTGATCGAGCTTGCCCAACCCTGACGCACCCCACACCTCCCATGCTCGCCATGCTTAAGATACCCACACACACACACGCACACGAATCTCGCACCACATTTTTGCGGTTCTCGAACCTCGTGTCTTTTCCCCCTCTCCTCCTCCCCCATGCTTCCCGCCTTCTTTTTGGAAACTGTCTCTATTCCCAACCTTCTTGCTGGCTAATAAGAGCGCACCTCGGACAATCGTCCCATTCATTCCTTTGCTCCAAAGTCAATTCTCCAACATCGCACCCACTCATTCCAATTGCGACTCGTTACCAAGAAAACCCAATTCGGCTCATGTACGACACGACTCGACACAAAGACACACATTGCCCACGTCTTATGCACAGTAATCACGCGGAGTGCGGAGCGAATCAATTGGACAATCAAACTCCAACGCAGCCCCTCAGCATCTAATATTTTGGTCCGAAGTCTTTCTGCAGGTCAGTCCACGACAGAAAAGGATCGTTACACGTCGAAGCAGGCGACGCCACATCGAATCGCGAGTTAGCGCAACCTCGTTGCCCATCATGCCGAGCATTTTTGGAAAGATCCAAGCCAAGATCGAGCTCTATCGACTTGAGCAACGTTACACGCGCAACCGGAACCGGCGCTCGACCTTCATCAGCAACGCCGTCTATGTCGACGGCGAATACGTCTACAACACCCCCAACAACACGGGTTCGTCCACCAACAGCTCAGCCATGTCAGCATCCATTGAAGAGCAGCAACGCCGCAGTCTGGAAGAAGCCCGCTCTCCGCACCACGATATGGACATGCCGCCAGCGCAGAAGAAGCGATTGAACAGGTTCTCGTCGATGCCCGGCTTTGGATCCCTGTCAAAAGCTAGCTCGCGCAGCTGGAGACCAAGCGAAGCCGACGTCAACGAAGTGCGGTAGATGGATTGATTGATTGCGTAGGGTTGCGTGTGGACGGTTGCTGTATACAGACGGGGGGGATTCGGATTGGATATTACCTTTTTATTACTGGCGGGATAGGACAGGCATCGGGGCTCCGTGGCGGGGCGCTTTTTGCACACCATGTCGGTCGACGCATTCTTCTTTGTTTACTTGACGCATTTACGACGGCATCTGTTCGAGGTCTTCGGGAAGACCCATCGTGTTTCACGAGTTTTACTAGCGACTCCTTGGTTCAAGAACTGCGTTTATCGCCTCCAAAAGGCTACTACCGTTGATTAGCTCGGCGTTGCGCCGAACGGAGATGCTCTGACACGAGACATAATCCATAAAATCAATGCAACTATCAAATCAACAAATCAATTATGAACATGCGCGAGCCAGCTCTGGCTCTGGTAACGTTGGTTCCACGTCTTCGTACTCCGTGCGTTCGTTCATCTGTTGCTTACGAACGGACGACCGTACGGAACCGCTGCCTGGTCGAAGAAGCAGGTTGGCAGGTCTGCTTCCTCGCGTCCTCGCTTCTGTGACGCGGATAATCTCTTAACCACCATGCGTGGCTGTACTGATAACGGACATAATTTGTGGGGTTTACGAGAGGGTCAAGACTGGCTGAGTGAGGGACGAAGGCCCGTGGTCAACACCATGACGTGTCCAATGAGCCGATTGGCGTACACGACTTCGCAAAGAGTGCAATTACTCGCGCAATGTCGGCAAGAGAAGTCGAACGAGCCACTCGAAGTATAACGAATGCAATAGGGCAGTGGCACTATTGGGTGTGGCCAAGAGCAACCAATGTCGACTGCATGAGAGCGGACATATATATCGCATATTAGCGATGCGTATAACCACACCAAGCTCTTATCAACCCGTATACGTTTAATACCGTAGTCTGCAGGTGCCACAACCATGGCGAAATACTTACGATAGGCAGCAAACTAACTCAGCTCAGGGACAGCATGCTGTGCACAGACATGCAACTGCTCACTTATGCCGTACCTACCCAACAGACAATCTGATCTATTATGTGATATAGTCTCTCATGGCTCATAGGTATACACGTTCCAGGTTGCGCCGTTCAATGTTTCCCGCCTTCGTAAGGTGGGCATATGTCCTTGGCACGATGAGTACCGCAGGTCATGATCAGAGAACGCCATACTAAAAGTAAGTATTTCGTAACCAGGCCCAACATTTCAATGTACCGGCTGTAGCGTTATACCAGTGGTTACATGGTTCAAATTCCTACATCAGAGAATGAAAGGCTTTTCCGTGGTTGCTGTATGTGGCTGATGGATTCATTATACACCCGTATTTGACCCCTGGTTTGATCTTGTACACCGAACCTTAACAAGTGAATATACGACCTAAACATGTGTCTTTAGAGTCCGAAAGTGCCATGGCGAATGCACTTCAAGCCCTGCTTTCTTCCTATTTCCTATACGGGAGGGTGATAAAGAAGGTCTAGACCGGATAGGGTGGCTTCAGGTGCGTCGGCCGACATAATTGGACTGTTGCGCCATCCAATGGAATACGCGATCGTGCTCCCCGAGGTAGGAGGTCGCATATGCAGCGTAAGCGTAGCGGCCAGTCGCGGCCGCGGGCGGTCCGGTTCAGTACCACCCCTGTTGTATCCCAGAGTGCGGTATGCTTACCGATATACAAACCCTAATGATCGTAGTGACCACTTGCAAGCTACACACAACTACGCGACACCGAGAGATCCTGATGCGATCTCTACGGACCTAGAAGAATTGAATCGAAAGTACAGAACCAGCTTCATTCGTTTACTAGCGGATGAAGCGCAATCGACTGACGCCGCGAAGCGTCGAAGCATCAACCTCGAGGCTGAGATAGCCGAACGCAGTCCCATTTGCGTTAGTGGACACGGACTGGTCGGCACCCACATGGTACACCAGGTAAGAATGGGATCTTTCGGTGGAGTTTCATGTCGAGCCTTGCTCAGCAACTGAGGGATCTGCGCGTAGAGGCGTTACGGTCGGACCCAGATACGTCCACAAACGTATAGCAGCCTCCGGGACGTTGCAAATGATTTGGAGACGGGGATGAAAGCTGGAGGACAGTCGGCTGCAACCTTGAGAACAAAAGCATAAAATTAAGTACAAGAAATGGCAGGCATCCGACGAAATAGAGAGGAGTTCTCCTAATCAGCAGAATCCCATCCGCGGAAGCTACACACTTTCTGGATACCAAGGCCTATTAATCCTCGTCCAAAGTGATCGCTCCAAGGTCTCATCCTCTTCCCAAATGCCAGGCCGCAGAGAAACTCGCTGCCACGGCTCAACCTGTTTCCAAACGACCCTACTCCGGTACGGGCACGTCATGAACAGCTTGAACACCGGACCGAGATTGACATCACAAACGAGTTCCTGCAGCTTTGCGACGGCCAAACACAAGTCGTCCGCCCATTCCATCCGCTCGTAGCCTGACACGCTATCGATAATACATATCACTGGCGTATTATACGGAACATGCCTGACGAGCTGCTGGAAGGTGTAGCAGAGTGCCTCAAAGTCGTGGCACTCCAGATCGGCGACGTATTCCGGACTGCTGATGAAATCCAAGTTCGCCTGGCCGCGGTTGTAGAGGATGAGGAGCAGCTGTGAGATCAAACAGCGCATCATGCCTCGGGGCCCGTTGAGTTGGTCTTCGATGGCAGTATGTTGGCGGCAGAAGAAGAAGAGAGTTTCGGTTGGTTCTAGTCGAAGAAAGCTGGCGACTAGCTTTGCGGAAAAGACGGAAAGAGGTGAGGTTCGGCCGCCGGTAGATAGGTCCAGATTTCCGTCTACCAGGAGAGTTTCTGAGTGAAATGAGGATAGCCAGTTCCCGAATTCGTTGGTTCGTGACAGCCATTGGGCTTGGCCTTGATCTGGCATGTCCGATATGCGACCGTCGTTCAGGGTCTGGCGGAGATCATTGGTTGATACCATGTGAGAAACTGCGAGGACCTCGAGTACCCATTCGACTGATACAAGCGTTGGTCTCGATGGCATGACCCCTACCTGCGCCAAACGATTCTGTGGCGCTCCAACGGTGGTTTGGCTGGCTGTGGTATTCTTTAGTCATTGTGGATTTCACCTTGCTAGATAGCTCACCTTGACGCAAATGCACAACAGGATCCATCAAATGACCAAGTAGCGCATTGTGGGCCTGCACAACATCGATCAGCGTAGCGTTCTGCGCCTCAAACGCATCGCATAGCATCTTCTGCTCCTGCTTCATCTCCTGAATGACCTTCTTCAGATCATGCCCACCCGTTCTAATGTCTTCCACATTCTCGCCGAAGACTTTGAATTGCGTGTCCAAATTTCTCACTCCTAACTCGACACCAAAGACGTTTTCTCGGATGGCTCTCAGCTGGGTTTGGTTGCCTTCTGCGATATTCCTGATCTCGACTGTCGTTCTCTTGTCGAGGGTATTGGCATAGTCTCGAAGTGCTTGAGCAGAGCGCGTCACGTCTTCCAGAGTGTGCATGATTTTATCCGTTGTGTAGTCGACGGCAAACCTGGTCAACAATTTGTGTTCTAGGTATCAACCGTTAGCAAGCTCGTGATTCGCGTGTGTTAGTTGCCCGTACTCAGTTCTTTGGGTATTAGAGTGCCGATCAGGTCAGCGACGGCTTCTACCAGTTTCTTGTAAAGGTCGATCGTCTTTTCTCGCAACTTGGCGTCGTTGGTGTAGATATCCCTGGTCGCACGTGCTTCCTCGATGATTCCCAGGATCCGCTTGAAGGCCTGAAGTATGCATTCGCGGTTGAGTTGCCATTTCCTCGAAGCCTACCACGTAAGTCGGTTTTCGGATCTATAATCATGCAGGCATTGCACATACGCTGAATAGTACGGCGAGCCCGTTGCGTAGGACCTTCAGGCCGTAGTCATCCGGAATGAAGTCAAGACAGGGGATGACAAAGGGTGCAGCGTTTCCTGCCTTCCGCCATGCCTTTTCGTACCATTTCTTGCTTTTTGTGAAGTCTTCAGTCTCGGCTTTCGCAATTTGATCGAACACGTCTCCCCACGAGGAGTTTTGGGGGTCAAAATCAGTTGGCCTCTTGCTGTTCTGTAGGTACAAGCCCAGCGCATGCTCGAGGTCGCTGCGAACCACACGCCACGACATCAGAGCCGGGCGCTTAGTACATTCAGGGGATTGACACATACTGATGCGGCCGCTTTGCTATGTATTCGCCCCGCTGACTATCGTAGACTGCATCTCGCCCGAATGTAGGGTTGTTGAGAACATTCGCCACCCGGGTATCGATGAATGTTCGCGCATGATCAAGTCTGGACGTATCGTTGACTTCATGAACGTCCATTTTGAAGCCTCGGGATTTCCTTGTGTCAAAATAATGACATCAAGTTGTTTGTTCACGGTGTCCTGATCAGACGGCGATTGTTATACCACACAAGAAGCTGGCAGAGAGGATGACAAAATAAACGGCGCACCGGGGTTGGGATAATATGGGATAGCCCGATATTCAAGTGTAATAGACAGGCATACCTTTCAAATGCCTGGGCTTTCGCGCTGCCTAGCGCCACATCCAGGGTCGGACTGGTATCACACCCACTGAGCTTCAAGGATTATGTAGCATCCTACTCGCACATGCGCCATCCTGGTCGGGATTTCGCCTGGAGCTGACATGGTCGAGATCTCGTTGGGGGCCAACAGGGCTGCCCATCCTTCCGGTTTTTCTGTCTCGGCCGCAATCGCGATTTCTTCTACTTCAAAAGTTGTCGATAACGCTGAAGTTATTGCAGAACATTGGCCAAAATACTCCACGGTGTCTTTTTTTCATCTTGGCAAGTCTTCACCGCGTCCTCCAGACCTGCCATTGGTCTCACCTAGGTTCTACCAGTCAAAAATCGATTGAACTTCGCAAATCTACTGACGGGCTGAGATTTGCCATCACGCGCTGCGCAAATCTCAGGCTGAAGAATGAACCGGGCTCTTAATACCGACATGAAATTTAAACCAGATTCACCAGGAGCCCTGCAGGTGGAAGAGAATACGAAGATTGCGGTGCCATTCAAATCACCTATGTTGGGAGTCTCAAGTCCACCTGCAGAGCTTGGAAAGTGGGACGACCACGACACGACAGGTGCGGAGACAGATAAAGGGAAAATATACGAGAGGCCAATTGAAATTGGGAAATGGGATGCCAATGACGAGTTGCCCCCAGAGCCCGGAGAGACTCCAGAAAAGCCACCGAAGGACAAATACGTCAAACTCGGCTCAAGGCTAGGACCGGTAGCCGGAGTCAAGCGCATGGGCTTTCTCGAGTTCAAGAATCGCCACAATGAAGAAGAGAATTACTATACCATTGAGGTGCTCATGGCAGGAGCTGATGTCCACAAGGAAATGCGAGATGAGCAGCGGAGAAGAATATCCGGACGGGCCCTACCCCGAACCTTCAAGAACGTCTCAAACAAAGAGAAAGATGGCCCGGCTACCGATGAGCGGTGGATTCAGCGTGTGAGGATTCGGTCTCCATACATGCTCGCTCTTTTGAGCAACGCCGCAGGATTGGAGTGGAGTGAAGAGCTCGAGCCGCGTACATTCATGCGGCCTTTCAAGATATTCATTCACTTTCATCCACGGATGAGGATGAAGCTCGTCGAGCTGGAAGCCAAATGGGCAGATGAGAAAGCTGACACAGCCGAAAACGCGGCGAAGAGCACAGAGAAATCAGGGACTACCACACAATCCGACAAAAAACTTGACCCTGATAAGAGAGACAAGGAAGACAGGTTCATCAAACGTGTATCAACATTTGAGTCCGAGAATTCGGAGAGCGAGGCAGAAAGGGAGGTAGCCCGACAGCACAGAGAAGAGTCTCTGATCGATAGTCGTGAGGCACTGATCCACTTGAGATCATACATACAGTTTGTGGACTCGGAAATCATACCACTACATGAACAGTTCTATAAGGGCCCCGACTCCAAATCTCAGGCTCGCTGGGAAGATTTGTGGTATCTCTTCCGACTGGGCGAAGAAGTCTGCAAACCTGTGCAGGGGGGCTACTCCATCATCTCGTTGACGGACCGGCTACACTCACTATGGAGGGTCTACAGAGTGGACTGCCCCTCACTCGACTACAGAAGCCTCGACAATCAAGCATCCAAACGACGAAGGACTCGCCGTAAGGGTCGCCGTGGCTCCGACTCTCGAAGCAGCAAGTCTCACAGCAGTCGCTCGATGAGCTCCGATTCCGACGTCTCGAGTAGTTCTTCTTCATCCGGTGGACCAATCTCGGAGGATGAGGTCCTTTACGATTTAGACTCAAGTCAGTATCAGCAGAGAGCATGCAAAATCTACTGTTACTCGATCGACTTCGATGGCGACCTCTACGGCCCACAGAAACAGATTTTCAAGATATCCCAGTTCCGCGGCAAGCGCGACATTCGCTCCCTTCCGGTGTTCCCCTTGATCTTCGACGAAGAGCGACAGAAGACCGTAGATGCTCTGGCAGAGCAAGGCCGCAAATTCCAAGAGTGCACTAGGACCAAAAGGCTGTACTACAGTGGTTGGCCTTTCCGCGGCGGCCAGCATCCAATGCATATCGACAGCGAGGTCATTGTCGATGCCAAGGAGGCCATACAATCCAAGAAGATGAGCACCGCACCTAGAGCCCCCGGGATGCCTGGCGGGGGATGGGAATGGTTTGCTTCGGTTCCTTTTTCATGGCCCACGAAACGATTCGTGAGCAGCAGCTACTTCAAGACCTCACGCGACCGATTTCAGTTCCAGACTGGTCCGAGCATGCACAGCGTCACCGGCTTCCCTGCCGCTGGCTCTCAGGGAAGCTGGGACCTCGTGCAGATCGAAGAAGGCGTAGACGTCATACGCAAGAATGAGTACATCAATCATGATGAATTCCTCACGGCATTCCGCCAGCGACATCCCAGCGCATCTACCAAGGAACTGCATATTATCAGCGAGCGCGACATTCTTCTCCTGCCTCGGCGCATGTTCGGTTATGTACTCCGCGACCGCAAGTTCGCTAATCTTGACATCAGCCGTATTAGCACAGAATTGCCCTACCACGTCAACGGGTTTGAGGACCTCAAGATTAAGCATTCTCATAAAGAAATGTTAAAGTCGCTCGTTGCTACGCATTTCGTCAAAAAGGACATCGAGAGACTGCCAGGCATGCAGCTCATCAACCAGGACATTGTTCATGGCAAGGCTCGAGGGCTGGTCATCCTGTTACATGGGGTTCCGGGCGTGGGAAAAACGGCCACGGCCGAAGCTGTGGCTCAGGCCAACAACAAAGCTCTTTTCATCATTACTTGTGGGGACTTGGGGTTCGCTCCCGACAAGGTCGAGGAGTCTCTCACGGAGATCTTTCGTCGGGCACATATATGGGACTGCGTCTTACTCCTGGACGAAGCAGACGTCTTTCTGTCCCAACGGACCAAGACAGATCTCCAGAGAAACGCACTTGTTTCAGGTTGGTCATATTGTATACCCCTGATGAGGTACTCTCAAATACAGCCTCTTTTCGGCTTTACTAACACGTGTGCCAGTGTTTCTCAGAACACTCGAATACTACAATGGGTAAATACTCCTCAGATAATGCCAGTTGTGTTCTCAGAGTCCCTCAAGTCGAACGACTCTCTCTCTCTCTACTAAGTTGGTCTTGAAGTTTGGCTCTAGAAATATCATCCTCAGGACCATTTTAGATCCCAGTCCTTTCACGCATCCACAGGAACAATGACTAACGCTGCTCATGAAGTATTCTATTTCTCACCACCAACCGAGTTGGCGCCTTGGACGAAGCCTTCAAGTCCCGCATCCATCTCAGTCTCTACTATCCGCCCCTGAGCTGGCAGCAAACCATGGACATATTCGACATGAACATCGAACGCCTACGACAAATAGACGCACAACGCAGTGCCGCTTCTGGAGAACTGCCACTAGACATTCGCAAGGATGAGATCATCCGCTTCGCCCAAGACCAGTTTGATAACTCTCTCAACGTCCGGCGCAACTGTATGAAATCCTAGCTTCTGTCATTTCGTCCCTTGCCAGTCTGCTTCAGGAGTAGAAACTGCCAAATAAGAATGCATTAGGGGTTTCTGCTTTTGAAGATGGACTTTCTAGAAGTCAGATGTCATCTCCTAGTCCCCATTCAAGGGTAAATACTAACCCCAATTACCCAAGGGTGGTGGAATGGCCGCCAAATCCGCAACGCCTTCCAGATCGCCTCCTCGCTCTCCTACTACGATATGCGCAATAAAGATAATAACCACAACAACCGTCCATCCTCCCAGCCCGATCCCGGCCCGTCTCACCCCCAGCTAGGAGAGAGCCAGTTCCGCAAAGTAGCAGATGCCACCACCGAGTTCGACAACTACATGAAGGAGACGCACGGCCGAACCGACGCCGAGCTCGCCTTTGAGTTCGGCCATCGCGTGAATGACAGCCAGCCCCTGGCCCAGCTGGCTAGGATGCAGCATAAGTCGGAGTATTCGTACAGTAGTGTGCCGTATTCTGGTCATCGACCGCCGCCGCCGCCACATATGGGCGGCGGCCAGCATCATCAGCCCGGGGGAACAGGAATGGGACGGCCGGGGATGATGGCATCGCACATGTATGGACCGGATACGGCACCATCGCAGAGGGCCAGGTCGCCCAATGCAGGGATGAATTACGGCACCGCGACTGGCCAGGATCAGTACGCAAACCCTGGTTTCCCGAGAGGAGGAGGGGGTCCCGGATATGGCGATGCTGGAGATGGGTCCGCGTCAGGGCTGTATCCGGGGCCGAGCTATAGCGGCTCGGGGAACGGGTCACAGCAGAGCTTTGAGAGGTACTAGAGCTGGTACTACAGAACGCGTATTGCATCATGTCCAAAGTTACTTATGAACAGTGCTTGTGTAACGTAGTTGTCTCTTTCTGCTTCTAGTGTGTAGCATTTGATCTGCGGTTGGTAAGAAGAGAAAATTTACATTTATTGACAGCGTTGTCCGATCCTATACCCACTCAAGCATAGCTGCTTGTAAGCCTTTCCGCCCAAATCTTGGTCCCGGTCTCCATTACGTCAGATCCCCAATTGGAGCCAAGTCCTCGACTAAGCACTGTTGAAATGAGTAATGTGGCTACTTGGTCGACACGTACAAGAGGCAGTTGCTCTGTTTCATGTCTGGATCAATACTTGTAGTTGTACCAGTTATTGGGCTAATGCCTCTTGAAGGTACTGTTTGTGCCAAGAAAAGAGGCTTGACAGAAGGATCCGTTACGCACATATCTCGTACAGACAGAAATAGTTCATCACAACACATCGGAATTAGATTAAAATCGTTAATACGATGCGTAGGTCGCAGATCTTCCCACCGCCTCACTGCAGCACCGATTCCAGCTTTCCGCCAAGCACTGCAACATGTCATGGGATTGGGTAATCGTGCTTACTTGGTGCAGAAGGGCCAATTCCGAGCATCCATAACACAACATATGAAATGGCGTCATGAAATCAAATAAGCGCCTGTCTGCTAGCTAGATGGATGTCGCATCATCAATTACAGATTTCGCTCCCTTTTCTGTGCAAGATACTTCTCAGATACTCCTTTCCTCTTCTGTATTTGAGTTACGTACAACGTGCAGCCTCATAGTAAGTATAGCGTTAGCCCAGGCACGCCGCCTGTGCTGAGTGTAACGCTGGGGCTAACTGCCTATAGATACCCCTTCCGTAGCTGCAGATTCACTTAGTCCAAATCATCATCTTCATCACCACCAATACATTCTGTATTGCACACAGTAGGTAATACAGAGCCTTCACAGCTTGAAGATTCAGCCGCGTAGTATTCTGCAAACCTCAGTTCCGAGTATCCATTTAAAGAACAAGAGCTCCACTAACTCCTAACAAGCGCTCTCGTATCTGCAGGTAAGGATTTAGCCGGTAAGGGAGGCCGACGCGCAGCCAACAGACTTTCGTTCAATTCAATGTTGTATGCTATGTGAATCACAATACTAGCCTCGACGTCGTGAAGAGGCTTTGTCCTGTAAACTACAATAAGTACCCTCTCATTGCCCACCTACAGTCAAATTCCTGTTGGATAGGCTTTCTCGACATTTAGGTTGTGAAAGAAAACGGACACGCTAAAGTCTTCTGAACATTACGATGTTACTCACCACGTTACTCATCACGTCTGGGCTGGCCGTCGCCGCCCTAGTTTCCCAAGCATCTGAACCTCAAGAATTCCACATCCCACTAATAAACGTCATCCACCCCAGCGGCCGCCCCGGGCAAAGCACCTATTGTACCGTCCGCAGTACGTCTACACTTTCTCCTTCTCACAGTGGCCGTTCGAAAGTCAAGAAACTAACATTGGCACAGTCAATGCAACCGATGCTAGCACCAATACCAGCGCACAGTGCAATGCCAAATTTGGCCCCTGCGTCGGTTCCTCGTCAACAGATGACCCAGAGCCGGAAATTCCGTATCCCAATGCCACGCACCCGGAGCCCTGCGATGATCCGAGTTTCCGATTCTATTTTCCAACGTATCAGTCGATCGGCAATTTCAGCGTGCATATAACACATGCCTACGAGGATGCTTCCGGAGAGGAAGCGACGCATGAGGGGGAGACGGAAACGGTTACTCGGGATAACTATCCAGATGGGTATCTCTATGTCTGCGGAGGCAGTGGTGTCTGCTCCGCCACCTTTTACAATGACGACAACCCTATTGTTCTGCCTTTTCTGGATCATTGAAAGGTGGATGGAGTTAATAAGGTAGGTGGATTGGCGGGACAATACTAGGCGGACTAAACGTATAGCCTATTTAGTAAAAAACTCACCCCAAATAACAAGGAGCTCCTGATTTGTCCACTTCGTATATAAATCCGGATTATGGACCGTGACCTTCAGAGTGGACGCTAGGAAATGTTTGCACAATTCACAATTCAACATTAAAATTCGCCACCATCATAACAGTTTAGAGTCTTCAATATACAGTGGAAGATGCTGAAGTGGCGGACACAGTACAGGAGAGGACGTAAGCATAACAAGTGGTGCATCCACATGGAACGAACCGGTTATACTGGCAACTATGCCTTTTTAGTGGACTAGGATATCATAAATACTAGTGCACTCCCAGACTTACTGTGTTGGCTGTTTTGAAATGACAAAACCCTGGCCAACTTCATCATTGCCTCTCTCCAAGTCATTACTCTTAAGGCTTAAGTGTTTTCAAAGGTCGAAGGAATATAGATTGCTTGCCATACGATCTGCAGTTCTGGCTAGCCAAGATTTGGGGTTCTCATATCACCTGGCGCTCCTAAAGCGACCGACGCCGGTCAAGGTTGTAGTAAAGCCACCATATGAATATATCTTTACTTAACATTGGTTCCATCGTATTGATATCAAATGGACAGCTAATTTCGTCCCAGCATCTCTGGTACAGACTTTCGTCAAACCAAACACAAAAGTCAAGGACGTGGTAAAGTGGTTTCGCGCTACATGGCTATCTCGAATCCCTAATTGATTTGGTTTTAATGAACGTTGAAGGTAACCTCTGACCATTAAAAGCATTCCTGTTGATCGCACTTCTCAAGGTAGCGAGACTCCCGCAGGCAACGTGGCCGCCAGTGGACAAAATGTTGACACGGCTGTCGCAGCTACCAAGGCACCCATCAACGAGAGAGTATAGGGGTGCCACGATCCGTCAAGATGCCTCATTACTAACTTGACTCAGGGCTCCTCGAGATTTCCTGGGCACCTTGTTAGGAAATGGCTACATCGTCCGCAGTCAAGATGGTGGACTTCACCGAGATGACGAGTGCAACCCAATCGTGCACTTGACGGATACCACACAACGGCTTTTCAGGATCAGACCCAGATCTAGAAAGAATATTGGCCTTGAGACCTGGGCGCCAGAGACGCCGCCGGAAATGACCATGGATGGTTAGTCGTACTCTGGAACGCCAAAATCGGCACTCATTGCCTGTTTCTTCCCTCCTGACGACCAATCAGAGACCATCCATGCCGGCGAGTGGCTCGATAGTCTCGGACCCCGTGCGGCGTTTATCTTCACTCACGTGAACAAGCCATGGGCCGGATGTCCTGCAGGGATCCAAGCTCGGCTATCGCTAGGATGACGAGTGTCCCACCGAAGCCTTGGTTCTGGGCCGTTTGCGAGAGGAAGGATGGCTCAATGAGGTTCTGAAGGAGGAGGAGGACAGCAACTGGATGGATTGCCTGGGCCTTTGAAATCCGTCCAAGAAGAAGCTGGCACCTCGATGTTGATCAATGCCAAGTCCTAGATGGCTTTCTTCACCTGCTTAGCGACCCCGATACCTCAGGGAATCAATTGACCGCACTGCAAACCTGATGATCACTCGGAAAAAGATCTGATAGACTCACAAGGTGAAATGAAGTCAAATGTGCGTAAATTAAATTGATATTATGGATATTCCACGGCATAGGAGTGTTTATATCACTTTTATAGCGATGCCTTGTGCCTTCAACTTAGTGGTTATCCTGCAATGAAGAAACCTTACTCATCATGCAACAGGGCTGCGAGTGAGATTGAATGGCATTGCTAAAGCAATGAGACACCTACTTACCTCTCCAATAATCTCTCGGTACTCCGATCAACTAGGCGCATAACAATGCATCCGCAGAATGGGAGTCGCAAAATGCAGAGGTGTTCAGATACTCAGATTATCATTTCTTAAGTCCAGTATTTCCGCTTTTCGAGGTCTGAGGGATTGTATCTTGGGGGACCCAGGGTTTAGGTTATGGTTAGGGTCCAGATTGGGGTACGTGGTCGTGAAGTCTGATCGAAATCATGCAGGCAACCTAATTTACAGCCCTTTACCGCGGAAGGCAGCCTTCAATCAGCCTTGAATCTGTGCGTAACGAAAAGCGAATGAAGTTACTTGGGTTGACACTGCCGCCGAATTATTCACGTGTTCTCGCGTCAGTGCCGTACCGTGGGCTTGCACGGTCGCATCTTGCCCCGCGTCACTCCCTCATCATACTTCATCCCAAGGCTTTGCATCGTCATAATACAACATCTCGGCGACTATGGAAGGCTCAGATCCATTTGATGGCGATGAGGACGCCGCTCTTCGCTACGCAATCGCTCTTTCACTGCAGGATGCAGAACAGGACAAACCCATTGAGCTGAGCTCCGACGACGATTCTGACGATTTGGACAAAGCGCCTGTCTATCACCAACCAAAGCTGCAGAAGGCGAGCCAAAGCAATGCACCAGCCAAACAGGTTTTCCCGGAGCAGATTACAACGCCGGCGATGGGCGGTCTTGCCGCTCTTGACCGGAAAAAGATGGAAGAAGAGCGCCTGGCCAGACAAGGCAAGCGTAAAGCACCTGATTCCGAGCAGGACACCCAGGGTGACAGACAAAGGCTCAAAACCGGGCCATTGCCAACCATTGAGAGATTGGGCATGACCAGCAAAGCAAACCCGACCTTGGCCAACCCAAATTCACAAGGCCTCCCTTTCCCCAGGGGGGTGGTGAAGAAGACCTGGGCGTACGGCTACCCCCGAACAGGCGACGACATCAAAATCGAAGAAGTCTTGCAGAAGAACGAATTGGAACTCGCCGTCATCAGCTCCTTCCAGTGGGACGAGGAGTGGATGCTTTCCAAGATTGACATCAAGAAGACGAAGATCGTCTGCATCGCCTTTGCCTCTAGTAAGCAACAGGTACGGTCTTCGCTCGCCCCACCGCCATGATATCTAGCTGACATTCCGTGGCAGCAAGATGAGATGACGGAAAATGTCCCCAAGGGCTCTGCTATCAGATTCTGCTTTCCGCCAATGTTGCCGTACGGCAATATGCACTCCAAACTACAGATTCTGAAGTACCCCAAATATCTACGACTCGTCGTGCCCAGCGGCAACCTTGTGTCTTATGACTGGGGCGAAACTGGTGTCATGGAAAACGTTTGTCCTGACAATCTTCATACCGCGCTGACGCTACCGTGACGTTGACTTACTGGTTGCAGATTGTCTTCATTATTGACCTGCCACGAATCGAGGACCCGAAAGCGCGAGAAGAAAACCAACTTACCATGTTCGGCGACGACCTGCTGTATTTCCTGGAAGCCCAAGGCTTACAGGAGGGTCTGGTTAACAGTCTCAAGAATTACGATTTTTCGGAGACGAGCCGTTATTCTTTCGTTCATAGCATGTAAGTAGCTCATGCTTAATTGGCGTGTGCACGTTGCTGACACGAAGGTAGTGGCAAGACCCACACTGGCGACAGCTGGAAACGCACAGGTACGCTGGCATCCCGCCTGTTGTAAGATTCTGCACTAACAGGGAAACAGGCTATTGCGGACTTGGTCGTGCGGTGACTGCCCTAGGACTCGGCACCCAAGAGGATGTAGAGATCGATTTGGTCACGTCGTCACTTGGTTCGGTCAACAAAGACCTGGTGGCGGCTATCTACTACGCTGCAAAAGGTACGTCAGTAAACACGCGAGTGCGAGTCTATCTGCTGACTTTGAATCCTAGGCGATGATGGCATGAAAGAATATGGCGAGCGAACCACGAAGACTGGCAAAGGAAAAGCCGAAAAGCCGTCTGCCTCGACGATATGGGCAGGATACCGGGACCGTCTTCGGTTGTATTTCCCCTCTCAGGACACTGTGGCCAAGAGCCGTGGTGGCACACAGGTCAGTCATTTCGGAAGTGCCTTGCCTCTTCACGGTCTTACTGACGATCTTAGTCTGCGGGCACCATCTGCGCTCAGTCGAAGTGGTGGGACGCTGCAACATTCCCGCGAGAGTTGGTCCACGACTGTAAAAGTGTAAGAGATGGTTTGTTGATGCACAACAAGATCATGCTTGTGCGACTCCGTCAAGCTGGTAAGGGGCCACCCGCCTGGGGGTACGTTGGAAGTGCGAATCTTTCCGAGAGTGCTTGGTACGTACGATATTATTCATCGCGAAGCAAGCCCATACGTGACTATCTGCATTGCTTCCATTCAAATGCTAATATGCCGAATCTTAGGGGTCGCTTGACCAGAGACAGACAGACTGGCAAGCCAAAGCTTACGTGTCGGAATTGGGAATGCGGTGTCATCATCCCCACGGCTGATGGCGGACAGACAGCAACGGGAAAGGGTGATTCCAGCGTTGGAATGTCTGTGTTCTTGGGCAGCATTCCGATTCCCATGGTTGTCCCTGGTGAAACATATGGGCAGACTGGTTCGAAGCGGCCCTGGCTATTCCTCGAGAATTGAGCTGTTACCGATGACCGTGTTCCAGCTTCCAGATGGACGGTTGATGGCCGCCGATAGAAAGGGACCTTGGACGAAGCGGTTTAATTGCCATTCTTAAGTAGAGTCAGACACGGACGTATCAGCAATTAACATTATGTTGTTGTAGAAACAGTGGTAATGTCGGCTTGCGAGGTTCACTGTAGGATGGAAGTGGGGTGACGGAGTGAGAGCTCTGGCAGCTGCGCGATCCAAGCTCCAAAACTCCATCATCGCGAAATCTGTAGCCATTCTGACATCAGACCCCTCCATAAGCTCCAACCAATTCTTGCGGCTTAAAGGCGCAAGCCTTTGCGCATTACTGCACCATTAACAAAACCTTCGAACGCAAGGTGGAGCATCCAAACCTGACTTGAATTCTCACAATTGGAATACTCTCTGGCGCCCTAGCCCCAGCGCTCTCGGTTCTTCGCCGTTTCCAGAACATCTGCATCGAAATCGGCAGTCCACCATGACTGCTCGTGAACCAAAGCCGACGCAATGATTCTGAGGGGCCTGACGAGGACTCCTGTCCACCATGCGACATGCATTGGCTTGGCCAAGCCCCGACTTGGGCTACACTTGTCCATCCGAAAACATCCTACTCCTCTCTCCACGAACTTTCAACGCCTCTTCGGTCACTATAGCTCGAAGACCGAACCGCCCAAAAATGCCTCCACGGCGCGTGACGATAGCGCGAAGAAGGCGACAGGGGCACAGAAGTCGGATAACCCGCTCGCTGCAATAGAAAAGACCGCGCAAGAGCAACGGAAAGCGGACTGGGCCATTATGAAGGAAATGTCGCGATATCTCTGGCCGAAAGACAGCTTCTCGACCAAGATGCGCGTGGGTTTGGCTGTGGTCCTTCTAGTCGGAGCCAAGGTGTTGAACGTACAAGTGCCATTCTACTTCAAGAGCATTGTCGACTCGATGAATATCGATGTCGGAGCTACGGGTGGCAACGTCGCCATGATCGCCGGGAGCATGATATTGGCCTATGGTGCGACAAGGATAGGCGCGACTGTTTTCCAGGAGTTGCGCAACGCTATTTTCGCATCAGTGGCCCAGAAGGCGATCCGAAGGGTCGCTTGCAACGTGTTTGATCATTTGCTGCGCCTGGATCTGGACTTCCATCTCAGCAAGCAGACTGGAGGTCTCACGCGCGCCATCGACCGAGGAACGAAGGGTATCAGTTTCCTGCTGACTAGCATGGTGTTTCATATACTTCCGACGGCCCTCGAAATCACCATGGTTTGCGGCATTCTGACTTACCAGTACGGGGGACAGTTTGCCGCCATCACCGCCATCACCATGACCGCGTATACGGCTTTCACCATATGGACCACAGCTTGGAGGACAAAGTTTCGCAGACAGGCAAACGCGGCAGACAACAAGGCATCGACCGTGGCAGTGGAATCGCTCATCAACTACGAAGCTGTGAAGTACTTCAACAACGAGAAATTCGAGGTCGCGCGGTACAACAACGCTCTCCTCGACTACGAGAAGAGCTCGATCAAAGTTGCTACATCTCTGGCTCTTCTAAACAGTGGACAGAACATCATCTTCTCCAGTGCGCTCACGGCCATGATGTACCTTGCCGCCAATGGGGTCGCAGCTGGCTCGTTGACGGTGGGGGACCTTGTTATGGTGAACCAGCTGGTCTTCCAACTTTCGGTGCCGTTGAACTTCTTAGGCTCTGTTTACCGCGAGCTGCGACAGTCCCTGCTAGACATGGAAACGCTTTTCAGCCTCCAGAAGGTGAACGTGTCCATCAAAGAGCCTGCCGATGCCAAGCCATTGCAACTGGTCAAAGGTGGCGAGATCAAGTTTGAGAATGTCAATTTCGGCTACCACTCCGATCGACCAATTCTGCGTGACCTCACCGTCACAATTCCCGCCGGTAAGAAAGTAGCAGTAGTCGGGCCCAGTGGATGCGGAAAGTCGACGCTCTTGAGACTTCTCTTCCGGTACTACGACGCGGACAGCGGTCGGATTCTCATAGATGACCAAGACGTCAGAGACGTGACGCTGGATTCATTGCGAAGATCCATTGGTGTCGTGCCACAGGACACCCCCTTGTTCAACGACACGGTAGGACACAACATCAGGTATGGCGATTTAGCAGCACCGGAATCTAAGGTCATCGCCGCAGCGAAGCGCGCCCGCGTTCACCACATCATTTCGAGCTGGCCTGCTGGGTACGAAACCAAGGTCGGAGAGCGAGGGATGATGATCAGCGGCGGCGAGAAGCAACGGCTTGCCGTGTCACGACTGTTGCTGAAGGATCCGCCGCTGCTGTTCTTTGACGAGGCCACGAGCGCGCTGGACACGCATACCGAGCAGGCCCTCATGCAGAACATCAACAGTATCCTCCGGGAGAAGGCAAGAACGAGTGTCTTCGTTGCGCACAGACTACGCACAATCTGCGACGCGGAATTAATCATCGTGCTGAAGGAAGGTAGTGTGGCGGAGATGGGTTCGCATAAGGACCTGATTGATCGTGGAGGCTTGTACTCGGAGCTCTGGAGCGGTGAGTCCAATCCATACTATTCATGGTTCTCAGACGATGCTAATATTCGCCAAAGCTCAAGAAACCCTCTTCAGGGATCCCGGAGAGAAGGAGGTCATCGTAGGTGACAATGTGGATGACGGGAAAGCAGACCCGAATGACTCCTGGCCACGCGCTGGTTGATGCGGTCAACGGGCAGGTGCGGGCCGGTTTATTAGATATTTGGACATAGAAATACTACGAGTCGCATTCAACGCGTTACTGTCGTCTTCCCATGCCGCGAGGCTCGGCGTTTGGCTGATGGGCTGAGCTACACCGACACTAGGGTGATCATGTCTGGAGGCATTTCTTCAGTATCGCTTTAAGGGTTGGCGAATTCGCGACCGCGCTGCCGTAAAGCGAGGACGCCCATTAGACTTGCTTTTCTTAAGAAATGAACCGTCGCACCGATCAGCGATGATCCCAAATCCGAACCCTCGGTTATTTCCGAATATCACGAGTGGGTCATCAGGATTAATGTAAGCCAAGCCGGGCTGGGCCCCCTGATACCAAATCAGTTCTACCACTGTTCATTGCTTCGACACAGCAAGCAACAGTGCCTGGCACAGGAAATTAGTCATGGAGAGATTGCCAACTTTGAGCTAGCCTCCTGGGCACCGCGGGCACCGAACACGACCTTGAGCAACAGTCGTTATCTTGTGCATCTACAATCCGGCTCTATGACCTGCGGCCTACAGATTACGATTGGAGTAAAAGCTTGTCTATCGCGGAAGCCGGGTATCTCCCTAGTGGATCAACTAACTAACTCCAATGTGAAGCGTATTCGGCAACAAGCAGCCAAGCCTGTTTTATATACCTGAGCGGCTGAGTCGAAATTTGTAGACGAGTTTAGAAGCGAGTCATGATGCCTTTTCCTCAATGCTCCAAGATCTGGAAAATATACGAAGCCCCAATATAGATGAACGTCATTCGAACCGCTGACTCGGGTCTCACCGTTCCGAGGATGGGATGAGCCATCACGTAAATCTTACAAGACGCAAAATGAGTTGTCATGAAGACTTGAGAGCAATGCGGTTGCCATGATAACAAGGCCTCGTCATGCTAATCTGGCTCCGCTTCCACCGGCAACATGTGTACTGGCACCGCCGCTTATTGGACAGCTCCACCGGCGGAGAATTCTGCATTGGGTATCGTTTTCACATTGAATGCTTGCCCTTGTCAATATTATGACGGTGAGAATACTCGTAAATCGGAAGGTGGAAAGAAATCTGGACGCGTCTATCGTGTCGTCCGGGGTTAATAAGGATTTTGTATCTTGGCCATGATGGCTGAATTTTCTCCTTTGTTTAGTAGCCGTGGTTCTTGGTTCGTTCGTTAGCTTGCCAAACACAAGTCAAAAATGAAGAACATACTGTCCTTTGGTTTGACTTCGCTGGTGTCTGTTGCGCTCGCGCAAGTTGCCCCGACGGTCGACCTCGGATACGAAATTCATGGGGCTACCGTCAATGTATAAGATTCCAGTGTTTATCTTACGGAGTGCATCAGTTACGATACTGACTGTTCTCAACAGACCACCGGGGACTACTACCTGTTCAGCAGCGTACCCTACGCGCAACAGCCAGTTGGAGACCTGCGGTTTCAGAAACCCGTCGCTCTGTCAGAGAAGACCAACGGTACCGTCAACAATGGCTCGACGACAACTATGTGCATGCAGGCATACCCTGCGTGGATCCTAGCACTGCAAGCTCAAGCCTATGGCGTTGACGAAGCCACTATCGAGGCTATTCTTGCCAGCCAGCCCGGACAGACTGAAAGCTGTCTTGTCTTGGATGTCTATGTACCGGCAGCCGTTTTTAACAAATCGGTGGCAGAAAGTGAGTTCGATCGAAGTTCCAGTCCTCCAGTACGGATGCTGACCGAATAAAGCGCCCGTTTTGCTCTGGATCCATGGTGGTGGCTTCACAAGTGGATCGAAAATTTCAAGTGGAAGCCCAGCCGGCCTCATCGCTCGGTCTCAGCTCAGTAATGAGAGCGAAGTCATATTTGTCTCCATCAACTATCGCCTGGGCATGTTTGGTTGGCTAGCGGGCGACGACGTCACGCCGAACCTAGGGCTCTACGATCAACGGTGAGTCCAAGTCCTTGGACGCAATCAATTTTGTGGTTTGATAAAGTACGTGTCAATACTAACGCATCACAGAATGGCGATGGAATGGGTCCAGAAGTACATCAGCCGATTCGGCGGAGACCCGAACAAGTTGACAGTCATGGGCGAGAGTGCCGGCGCTTCAAGCATTCTTCATCACATTACAGGATATGGAGGCGCTGTCTCCGCCCCGTTCCAAAGGGCTATCTCTCAGTCGCCGGCTTTCCAGTTCAACATCAACACAACGAAGACATACGACTTGACTTTGGACGTGGCTTCCAACGTGACGGAAATGACGATCTCCTCGGTTGAACAACTGAAGTCTCTGGACTTGGCGACACTGCAGGCTATCAACCAACGGGTCGTCATTCAGGCGATGCAAGGTACCTTCAACTACGGTATCGTCACCGACGGAACTTATGTCCCCAAGACGCCACAAGTGCTGCTGCTCGAGGGTAAATTCGACCACTCAGTCAATGTAAGTCCTCCCTGTACCATGCTGTTATCCCTTTCAAACACTAACACCACTCAGGTAATGGCAAGCCACATGTCCAACGAATCCATTCCCTTCATCCCCAGCAGCTTGACCACAGCGGCCAACATCCAAGCCTACCTCACCTCATCTCTGCCCCAAGCCACCCCCGAAACCATCGCCTACATACTCCAAACCGTCTACCCTGACGTCCTCGACGGCACCTATCCCTGGACGACCGAGTTCGCCCGTGCAGCCACCATAGCCTCCGAGATTAACTTCGCCTGCAGCACAAACTACCTTGCCACGGCCTTCGCCAACAAGACCTACAACTACGTCTTCTCGTACCCGCCGGGCTACCACGCCGCCGACCTGCCGTATATTTTCTTCAATGGCGATACGACCACGGCTGATGATGGGCTCCCTGTAAATGAGACGTTGGCGCATGCGTTGCAGGATTATATTGTGGCTTTTGTGCAGACGGGGAAACCACAAGCAGAGGGGCTGGTGGACTTCCCGGAGTATGGAAGCGAAGCGGCCGTGCTGGATTTTACGTATGGGGGTGTGGTTAGGGGAGTCGATGACTTGGCGAACCCAAGGTGCGATTGGATACAGCAGGCTATGGCTGAGGGGTTAATTTGAGTGAGAGCTACTGTATAAATACTGTAACACTATACCACATAATATATAATCTAAATCATATTACATCCAGTCACTTTCAGTAGTGATATCTGTGTATATTTGGTGTCCTAAGAATCTGGAACACATTCTTTTTGAGCTGAGGCTGCAAACGCCTCGTGAGTGCTTGTCGCAGAAAGAGTCGATATCCAGGCCTGTCCTTGATGGGTTTCAGTATGTAGAAGCTCTTGGCCGTGGAAGACCACATGCGTAATAACATTGAAAATGACATAAAGACTAACCGTTACTTCATGAAATAAAAGAAAAACAGGGTCGGGGTTATGCGTATCTCCACCTCGAGGTGTTCCTAAATATTCCTAAGATGAATTTGGAGTTTTTTGCTATGGCGTGCAATCTAAGCCGTATCACACTGGTTGAGACGTCATGCAGTCGCACCGGAAGTCTTTAAGCACCCACTTTGATAAATCATACTAGATCTGAATCTGCCATCGTGCTCTGATGAACTCGACTTCGAAGATTTGCCATTTTGTCAACACCAATAACTAGTTCTCCTAATAATGAATAGCGTCCCTTTTCTATACAAACACGGGCCCCTTTTGAATTCTGTCTCGCCACAAAAGGAAGAAACATCCAGACTGCAGAAGTTATTCCCCTCTGTCATTTTACATCCTGCCCTTGATCCTAACATTGGCTGGTTTATTAAATTGTGCCAATAATGAAAGGCTCTGCGGGATTTCGAAACTATAAACACAGGATGGCCGCTGTCAATGGTGGACCTGGACAACACCCTGCCCAGTGGGTCAGGCACCATTGGTGGCTGGGATGAACAGAGGACTTTCAATGCTGCCTGTAAAGCTACCTATGGCCGGCGCACATGGGGTACCTATGCTACAGCACGACGTTCGAGCAATGGCGCTGACTTAGAAGACCGGGTTTGCCGCGGCGGAAGAGTTGACGAAACAAAATAGTCAGTAGCAGTGGCCTTAGAAGCAACAGCAAAGTCTTCAAAAGCAAAAAGAGCCTCAGAACTAGTGGTGGTGGGGTCAGTAATACTCTGTTGGGTTTCATGGAAGCGAACCAACCAGTAATGCTGCAGAAATAGATGAAAGTGGGGAAATAATATGTCAGGAAGTATTAAGGAGGTGCAGACACTATAGAATCTTGATTTTTGTAATTTTTGTATATTTTGCAATAGGTAGATAGTATGCTCTAGGTAGTCAACTGGGCCCGCGACAGCTGCTTTGAAAGCCACTATGGACCATCAGGTGGATTTAGTCCGTGAATCAAACTCATTGCCTCCTTTTCGACTATAGCCAAAGCTCATCTAAACCTAGCCCAAGCTTCCATGTAGACCCAGCGACCCCTATTCCTCATCCCAAGGCAACCCCAGGAACCTCAAAACTAGCCCTCCACAACCTCCCCGCATCCCCCTTATCATGAGCCCACTCCCCATACCCGCTCTCCGCCCCTCCCTCTTCCTTGGCGCCGTACCGTGGCTCAATCTCGCTTGCCATGTAAACTCGGGCGAGTCTGCTGCGCCTGTAATCGTTGAAGACGGAGTGTTTGGTATGGGTCATGTGCAGGTCCTTCAGATTAAGGCGCTCAACTTGGTGCGCTTTGCTGCTGACGTTGAGGACGCGCAAGGGGAAACCGGGGGAACTGCTTGAGAGCAATGCGTCTTTCAGAAGCTGGAACAAAAGGAAGGGGCCTCAGTAGTGCACTGCCAGATGTGACCCCAGTCTGTCGGCCGTGTAAAAGTTCGGGACGGCCAAGACGCCCGAGTTGTTGAAGAGCACGTTCAGTCTGTTTCCCGGCAAGGTAAGGAGCTCGGATGCCGCCTTACGAACACTTCTCAGACTTCTGGCATCGATTTTAGGAGCCGGACTTTGGGGCCGAGGATATTCGCGTGGACGCGCTGTGCTTTCGCGAGATCCTGGACATTGAGGTAAAGCGACGCTCCAGATAAAGAAGTTGTCTGACGCCAGCATGCATGCAGGCCGTTAACACTCAACCCGATATGTCAGTGACTCGCTAATGAGTCAAAAATCCTAGAGAAGACTCGGGGGTGATGATCAAGCGGACATTTATTGTTCTCGACAAGAATCAGATGCATTGTTGTGTCGAATTCCTGACTTTTTGGGCTTGCTATTCCCTTGAAAAAACTCATCCTCAGCAGCTAATGCGTATCCCAGCTGGGACCCCCTATCCTTCAGTGTTGACCACAAACCTGGAAACATGGGGAAGGTTGGTGGTTGTTGGAAGTGGACTCAACGTTTTCACACATCTCAATCTACGAATGTTGGCTGAAAGCTCTCTTTCAAAAGCGCCGGCTTCCTTTGATTCAGATCGAGAATCATCTGGGCAAAAAGCCCATTCGCCCAAGTGAACCTAGGAATGTCAGCTCAACTTACGACTTGTCAAACCCTGAGGTTCACTTACCATTGCCTCGTCCATGTGCTAGCATCATAGCTATCCACACTCTCATGAACCAACCCCAGCCCATCCGTACTCATCAGTACCGCTTTAATATTCGAAAGAATCTCCTGATCATCATCACTCGTTATAACCCTCATGATACTCGCCATCGGCCAAGCCGCCCCAGGTCTGATATGCGGGGACCCCACCGCGTTAATTACGGGCCCAGAGCACCAAAACGGATTACCTCGACTGAGCACAAATTTCCTCGTGTTCTGGTACACCTCATCCTCCCTGTTGCTATACCCCAGAAACGGCGCCGATAGCAGCGAGGGCACATTGGCATCGTCCATGAGGTTCTGCCCTCCGTAGCCGTCCACCTCATAAGCGTAGATCATCTTGCCGTTGGGTGCCCTGACGATACCCCAGTTCTGGATCGCGGCACGAATTTCGGCGGCCATGTCGCGCATTTCGTCTGCAAGACCTTTCGGGGCGCTCGGAAGTTGGTCCATGATGTTTGCGTTAGATTCGAGATACCGTGAGAGCATCATGTTGGCGGGTATGAGGAAGTCGTAAGTGGCAGAATCATCGCTGGGGCGAAAGGGTGATCTCACGAGACCTGTTCGATTCACCGGGTTGCCGATGCCGTTGTTTGATAGAGTCCCGGAGGAAGTCATGGTTAGCGATTGACTGCGGTCCCTGCGTTAGTGACTCTCACTCCGCAATGGTTCCAGAGTATGGTGTTCCAGGGGCAGAAACCCCCTCTCCAAACCCCAAGCCTCTCGACGCCAAAGTCTCAACTTACAAGGTATAAGCCGGCCTAACCCAACGTCCATCATCATCGTAAGTCGGCTCCTGCATAGCTCGCGACGCACCCATGATGGACTGTACAGCGTAAATCCACTGAAACTTCCCAAAGAACGCCAAATCTCCTGTCGAGTTGTAGTAATCATGAGAAATCTGTAAGAAGGCGCCAAAGTCGTCCAACTCGAAATTACAGGTAAACACCACGTTCTGTTCGTACGCGGGAATGACATTGTATTGCCCGCCATTGTACTCTGGCTGGATACCGCTCTCTGGCGGGGGCTGGAAAGAATTGCAATAAGGAGATATAACCAAATACCGAGCCTGCAGATTAATCACGCCGCGGAAGACGGACGCAATATCGTCCTCTGCGTTTTGCAGAATTGGGTACCGGTATGGCGCGATTTGGTTTGCTGAGTCGCGTATCCACATGGCGTTTATATCTCCTCTATCACAGAACATTAGTGACGGCTGCCCTAACCGATCTCAGACCCTACGTGTTTCTCACGTTATCACAAAGGTCAACTCCTCGTTAGAATTATTCGCTGCCACGCCCCGCCATTTGATTGCCGTATCGAGCGTATTTGGGAACGTATTCTCAAACAACCGGAACAGATCCGGGTCGTTGATGGTTTTCTCCATTCGTCTGATCTCGTCCTCGACGATGGTCGAATTGAAAGTTCGACAGCGCGACTCGGGGCGTTGGGAACTGAGACGCCATGCTCCTGAGGAAAACGGTTCATGGTGCTGTTGGGAGAAATCGCCGTAGTTCGGGCAGTCCGAAGCGGGATCGGTCAGTGACAAGGGCAATAATGATACAACAGCCACCGCGGCGATCAATCGGGTAACACTCTGCAGCATGGCGAGTCGATGGACTGGGGAGCGCGATGTGAAGGACTCGAGAAATGCAACAGAGATAGATGATCACAAGAAACCATAGACAATTAGAAAAAATATTTAACGAATATGACATGTGAGTTTGGACTTGAAAACCCCCGTGTCATGATGTGCATTGATATAACTTGCGATGCAGTTGGAGGGTGACTATAGTGCTTGGCACGCTGGGGTCGGCTGATGTCAAAAACACGCAGGTGGGTATTCCCTCCGGAATACACTGTTCCGTGACAAATGAGGTTGGTATAGGCTATCGTACCCAGTCCCCCAGCTGTTTGTGTAGTCTTGGCGAGTGGGGGACCTGAACAATGGCGTCTAGACTATAGAGTAGATACTGACATGTTTCGACACTGGGTTGAAACGAAATGACCATTGTCACTAGGCATTATGAGAAGCCTTCCCAAAATGATGGGACGACATGTTCATCTAACTTTACAACTTTGAACAAGTTTCATGGGATGCGGAATGGCATATTTTGTCGGGTTGCCCCTGTCGGATTGCCCCAACTGTTAATGCTGTAGGCCGGACGAATTATTGACGCAAAACCTGGTGATCAGCTACTCATATGATAATAACCACTCCTATAGTCTGTAGCTTACACACCCGAAATGCACCACGCAGTGCAAGGAAACTGGCGACTGAATACGAGCATGGCACTACACCACTCTGCCTTGCTAGTGTCCCTTCACCGCGCCTTCAGCCTTTCACCACAGCTGGATACCATGCTGGCACCTGAGCCTTGCACCAATCAACTGGCTAAACTAGTTCCGATAGTTGACCCCATGAAAATATGGCAACTTTCATATTGATGTACAGCCCCTGGCATGATGTTGAAGCTTCTTGAAGTACATTCCGCTTCATCTGTACTCCTTGTTTGCGGTGGCACTAAGAAAAGATCGACGGCCATCTCTTCACAACACCAGCAACAACCTCAGCCAAGCCATCAGACGGAGCGGATAGACTCCCATCACCTGCCTCATCATCCCACTTCTCTAGACACCACCCCAGACTGAACTCCGTCAACGCCACCGCAAGCCCCTCGTTCACGCCCTCAGGAGACGTGGTACTATTCAGCGTATACTCAACAAACAACTCCCACCGCTTCCTGTAATACGATCTCACAAGACCAGCCCACTGCTTACTAGCGTAATCCGGAATCTGCCCAGTTGGGCCCCAAATCGTGATCTGGTTGCGGGCTTGGTATTCGTAGTAGTCGGCAGTTTGGCTCGTGGACATGTTAGCTCCGAATGCTGGCGATCCTGGCTCGACAGTATCGCTGTTGTTTCCAAGCAGAGGAGGTGAAGCCCAGGCTCTTGCGGATGCGATCCAGTCCGAGAGGCTAAAGTGTCTCTGCCCACTCGACAGAAGAACGGCGTCGAGGTCGTCGAGAAGATCTAGCATTTTCTGGCCGGCAGTTCTTGATGTGCTGCTGTTTCGTGACACATTCGCCGCGGTCACGAATGCGTGGTAGAGCTGGTTGAAGGCGTTCGCAAGTACTTGACGGGTGATATCGGTCACGTCAAAGATGTATGCCGGGTTTTGCCATAACGACTGGTCATCGTTTGCTGCGCTGTAGAGGTGCATCCAGGCGGATAAGAGGAGGTTATGGTCGTAGAGCATGGCATCTGGACTGTGGCCCAAGATGTCAAACATCACAGATGTATTTGGTTGTAATTCCAGAATTGATTTGGGAACTGATATCGCCGCTGTAAGATTGGTATTGTTGTACACAGTCTGTCTCATGATATCCCAAGCCCTATACAAGCCTTGCGGGACTGTAAGTTGCGGCCCATATCGACTCGTCACCCAATCCTCAAAGTAAGTGGTTGTGTCAATGGGCTTGCTAGACCAGGCCTGATCCAGCACGAGATCGTAAAGTACTTCATTCCCCTCCTGGCCCTCCATGGTGAGACCCATACCGACCATAGTGCTGCTCTCGTTCGCCAAAGCTTGGATTGGGTTGACCGTTGAGTTCTCGACTTGTCCGTAGAGACTCATGCTCCCACCGAAATCATGCAACATGCACCATATCCAAGGCTTGCCGAAGTAGTTGTTTGTTCGCTGCCACTGTGGTTGGCTTTCGCTGAACAGATCCAAAATGATCATGTTCTCGTCTTCGACACCGGATAGGTACGTTTCTACCCGGGTATTTGACCAGAAGTCTCTTGCGGCGTAGAATACCCACCCCTGCAGCATCCACACAGCTTGCGGATCTGCAGCCCGCAGAGAGGCGTAGGTATTGGAGGAGATGTTTCTTAAGTAGTCAAGATCTCCCGAGAATGGGACATTTTCGTTGTATTGGTCCAGTGTATAGATGTGGCTGACGTTTCCATACGCTGCTTTTTGCTTCGCTATAAACGATTTCTGCATCCTCCCGAAGAGAGGATTTGACGGGCTGAGGAAGGTGACATTGGTGTTGCGTCTGGGAAACAGCCCCTCGTACCCATAGGCACTGCCATTCACTATGGTAGCATTTTTATAGAGCGTGTAGATAGCCGGAGGCACGAAGCCAGTAAAGGACGGCATTGCAGGTTTCATGCCTAGCTCCACCATTCTCGCGACAATCTTTTTGTTCAGCTCGAATTGGCTGTTGATCCAGCTCAGGGGAAGCTGTCCCGGTCCCCACGAACCTTGGAGATTGCCAAATCGGTTCCAAGCCTGGAACGCCGGACCAGACAGGAAATCTGAAATATCCGTGTCTGCGAATCCTACCTCGCGGAAAACGTCGACGAGGATCTTCTCGTATCCAACCCAGGCCAATGGAAGATTTATGCCGCGCAGGGCCATCCAATCCAATTGGAGTTCCCAGTCTTCCCAAGTCCAGAAGGCAGTCGTGTAGCTAAAGGTTACTGTGTTGAAGTGATATCTCCATGGGACTATGCTATCTCCCAGGTAAGTATTATTGAGACGCGGTAGAGGTCTAGGAGCGAGGTGAAGGTGCGATCCGATGAACCAGTAGATATCAACGTGGGCTACATTGCTGAGATACCAATGCAAACCAGTCGCAAGCGCTATGCCACTATTCCCTTCAACATGAATGGTCCCGTTGACACCATTGGACACGGTGAATGCATCGTTTGGCTTGCTGACACCCGTGTCGGTGGAGGCCGTGCCATTGACTATTGCAAAGGAGAAAGAGCCCGTATGGTTGGGTAAACGTCGCTCAACTAATGCTTTGACTCCTTCCACAGTGGTTGTTGCACTAGCCGCCGAGTACGACAGTGCGAAAGCTATTGATAAAACATAAAGCAGATGCATACTGCTGAATTGACCTTTGAAGATGAGGAGAAAACGCCCGAAAAGTTGAACCGAGTGTCAGCTTTCAGCTTATATAGGAATAGTCGGAAGGATCGACTATTTCGTGTCGATAATGATCCTAGGTGCATACCGGTGTCATTTTATCCGAAAAAGGCAGGTGCACCATTTTGGGTGTAAGAGAGAAGTCGTTGCACTTGCTGGGTTTAGCTCCGTTCCCGATCGCGGATCGCGCGGGATCCAGACACGCATATAACTCTGTCTCTCCCGAATTCCACGTCATATACCCTTAACTTTTTAGGGATAAAATACCTCTTGCAAGGTAAATTAGTCTTTTGTCGGAATAATCAAATATAGCGTACAATATCAGGCAAGAGGCAGGCAGCTCAGCTAGAAGCTACTCAAGGCAGCGACAGGTAACGTCCCACACCCACATCCGGGACACCCCCACATGTGGGACACCCAAAATGTAAGGAAAGAGCCGTTGTGGCGGGCCGGTCTCAGCTGACAAGCTGAGTCGGGAGGGATTCGCCCCCCGATCCGGTAGAACCCCGGAACCGTCCAGCTTAAGAGGAGAACTCGAGACGCTCGCACCTAGTTTAGATTCTTCAAGAATCAGTCTTGCAATATACGCACCCATACACTGGCCTACTTCTAGCTACCCTTTGCACTACCTGACTATTATATTGTGAGACGTGTGGTATCCTCGTTACAGTGTATCTCTGCGACTGGTACTGCACTACCCCCACTTGTGATAGACAAGGGGAAGTCTGTCCAGCAGCAGTGGTTTCCTCTGGACTTGACTCCATACGAAGCCTGGAGGTTTACAGCAACAGAGAATGGGTGGACGTCAGACTCTACGGCTATTGAGTGGCTACAAAAGATCTTTATTCCTTTGACTCAACCAGAGGACCCTGAAGAGACTAGGTTACTTATCCTAGATGGGCATAATAGCCACGAAACGACAGAGTTTATGTACCTCTGCTTCATAAACAAGATACACTTGCTTTTCTTGCCGCCACACACATCCCACGTTCTCCAGCCTCTCGATCAGTCAGTCTTTGGACCCCTCAAGGCAGCCTATAAGAAGGAGCTTGGTTACCTTGACCGATGGGATACTACTACTGTCGTAGGGAAGAGAAACTTTCTCCTCTGCTATAGAAAGGCACGTCTAACAGCATTGACCGCTAAGAACATTATCAGTGGATGCAAATATACTGGTCTCTGGCCTTCGAGCATAGCTAGACCCCTTATGAGCCCCCTGCTCCTTGAGAATACGTCAGCACTAATCAGACAGCCTAGTCAGACTTGAAAATGGTACTCTGATAGTAAGGGTAGTCAGGACTGGGCGTTAGAGACATCAGCAGTAGCCTGGTCAACGCCTAAGAGGAGAGATGAGCTCTAAGATCAACTCAGCTTATTCAGCAAGCTTGATAGTGATCCAAATACCCAGCGGCTACTCTTTCGGAAAGTTCAAAAGGGCTTTGATGAGAAGGACTACCAATTAGCTGTCGCACAGCGAAAGATTGAGGCAATAGAGGCAGAGCTTGAGGCTAGTAGGGCTAGGAAGCGGAGGAAGGTCAAGATGAGCCCAAATTCGAAGTTTACTAATATTAAGGCTATTTGGAAGGCTCAAATCGAGGCTGGTGAAATTGAGGATAGTACAGATGAGTCTAGCGAGTCTGAAAATCCTAGTGACGGTGAAATCTGTATTGTAGTCGCATTAGAATAAGTGTAAAAAAAGGTTGAAGTTAATGGTTATAATATACAGTGTCATTTTTAGGGCGTCCCACATGTGGGGGTGTCCCGGATGTAGGTGTGGGACGTTATACTAAATCTAGACCTGGGTATGATTTGACTCGGATAATAAGACCGTCATATGTACATTGAAACGAGGAATGAATATGAGAATCATCAGTACATGGACATACCTAGACTCTACTGGGGTCTAAGGCGTCGCTTCGTACGTAGTGCCCTGCCTAAAGTAATCCGTGCGTGCGCATTGCGCCTATACAGTATACCGTAAAACGTAACCCAATTTCATTACACGCAACTGCGCAGAAGCGCAACAGCTCATTAAACACACCCCGCAAACTACACGAGCTAACAAACCCGAAACTGCGTTTTAAAACTGAACACAACTGTGCAATAGCGGAATATCACAATTGATCAGTCCAACAGAATCTCCAACATGCTCGAATGCGCGACTGCGCGACTGCGCGAGACGAACTCACCCACCCAAGGTAACCAACACGGGGGGTATAAAGTGATTCAATAGCGACCGTCAATAGAGCTTTTGGTAAGAGCACAACCCAAACATAGGACACTACTCTTACTGGAACTCAAAATGACTCCCTCCTCATTCCCGAACCAAGGCGGCGCTCTAGCCAAGAACCCAGACCCTGAGCCTCAACCCCACCCAATTGATCCCGGTAAGTTGATCTTGGTGCTGCCGAGTACAGTCGGATGCCTGTGTATGGAGCTGACAAGTGACAGGAATGGGAAAATAACGCGAGACCGGTCGGGCTGTACCTGTGCGCGAGATATCGGGGTGTGCTGGAGGAGCGTGTGCCAGTGTGAGATGCTCACACGTCAATCTGTTTGAGTTCGCATTCTGGCTGGATGCTGCTGCGAGCCCAGGGTGGGAATCTAAGAGCAGTTTGTGGGTTTGGATCGACCCAGGGAAGGTGCTTGAGATTGGTTATACGGGGTTCTGTCTTGTGGGGGCACTTGACCAAGTCAAAAGATCTTGAAAACTTGGGCCAGCCGGCTTCTAGGTTACTGCTAGCTTATGCAGGCTATGGTTAGGTTGGAAGGAAAGGCCGAGTTGCATTTCCCCTGACAAGTGCAAGACTTCAAGGTTACCTTCATGTCACACGCATGGCGTGATTTCTCTCATTGAAGAGATATATCATTTATGTCTATCACATATCCCTTTTTACTTTTAAAGTACACGCAGTGGTATCTCATTCAATCGTACTTATTCCTCAGGCCCGTCCATGCCGGGGCCTGGACCACCTTGTCGTCCCATTTGCCGTGCCTTGAGAAGCTCGTCACACAGCAACAAATTGGATGCAATGCTCGAGGATGATGCAACACAGTTTCTCAGCACCCTGAACGAATCGAAGACACCTTCCAACACGGGATCCATCGGCTCCCCGAGAACCAAATCCAAGCCGACGATGTTGCCGTCGGCATGCTCATCCTGAAGCGCCGCAACTGGAGTGGTAGTAATGTTAGCAAGGTGTCAAACCACGAGAGAGAGGAATAATAAGCACTCACGGGCATCTTGAATGTCATGACCGGCGTTTGCGGCAAGCGTCTTGGGAATGATCAGCAAGGCGTCGGCGAATGCGTCTACGCCCCACTTCGCCTTGCCCTTGACCGTCTTCTTGAAAGCATCGCTCTTCAAGTGACCCGCACACGCGACCTGGAACGCGCCGGCTCCCGGAACCACACTCTTGTCGACAATCATGTTGTAGACACTGCGCAGACCGTCCCGTACAGCGTCCGTGATCTGGGTGATAGTGTGTTGATTGGGTCCCTTGACCATGAGCGTCACCGACTTCGGGTCCTTGACCTCCTCGATGAATGTGTACTTCTCCTCACCCAGCTGCTGCTCATACACCAGTCCAGCCCAGCCCAGAACGTCGGGGGACAGATCCTCAACGCTATTCTGTGCGGTACCACCACAAATCAACTGTAGGCGCTCCATGTTTCTGCGCTTCGCTCTTCGCAGGGCGAAAATGCCGTTCTTGGCCAGAACGTCCAGAGACAGGGGGTCGATACCCTTCTGGTTGATGATGACAAAGCTCTTCTTGGGATCATTGCCACACACTTCCTTCTTCAGGTCCACGATCTTCTTCAGCTTCGAGTCCACGAATTTTCGCTCGCTCTCGACCAGTTTGTCTCTTTGGTCTGCGCTCGAATAGAAGAAGCTCGAGTTAACCTCTGACTTCTCGTACTCTAAGCTCACGTTTAGAACTAGGATATGTGCGTTTTCCACCCGCTTGGGCATATCGGGGTGTCTTGCACCGTGATCTAATGCCAAACCACGAATGAGCTGCGTATCGGACGCGCTGCGGTGTTGCATCTTCATGATCTCCACCATGTGCAAGTCGGGCTTCGCGGGGGCTTGGTAGATGGCAAGGACGGCGTCGACGATGTCGGGGGTCAGCTTGGAGGCCAAGGTCGAGTTGAGCTTAGTGGACAGGGATGTGCGGGCGACGGACAGGAGAAGTTCTCGATCGACTTCCTTGGTCAGCTTGAAGGAATCGAGGAACTTGAGCGACTCGTTTTTCGCAATCTCGAAACCTTCGGTTATGATGCGGGGATGCAGTCCCTCGGCAATGTATCGGTCTGCCTGCTTCAACAGTTCGCCCACCAGCAGCACGACCGAGGTGGTGCCGTCACCACAGATGTCGTCTTGCGCGGTTGCTGCTCTCGCAATCATGACTGCGGTCGGGTTCTGAATTTGCATCTCTCGGAGCAGAACGTTGCCGTCCTTGGTGAGCTTGATCTGTCCAGCGCCATCCACCAACCTTGGTTTAACATTAGCAACGGCGTGCTAGGGAGGGAGTGTTCGTGAATGCGCTTGACTCACATCTTGATGGTGCCTAGGGGCCCCAAGTTGGACTTGAGGACATCTTGTAGACCCTCGCCAGCACTGATGTTGACTTTGAGAGCTTCACCCCGCCGCTTTGGAGAATATTAGCTTGGATATGGGCCCTGCCACTTTCAAAGGCATACGTACTCTGGATTCGGCCTTGGGGTTTAGGAGCTGCGCAGCTGACATGATGATTGAGGTTTATCTGCTGCGTAGAATAGGTTCCAGGGTATCTTGCCGCTGAAAGGTTGTCCTATCGTAGTTGTGCGGATTATGGAAGAGGGACACCAGGTCAAGCCTCATCAATCTCTACCTGGGCGTGATCGAATCTGGAGCTCCAACTTTTTTTTCGGCTGCAGCCTTGTCGCCCCGGCGGGAGGATTTGTCAACTGCAAGCCGTTAACGCACGGGCCAAGATGATGGCTTAGCTTCTGGTTCTCCAAACCACCAACGACGTTAGGCCTTCCAGTTGCTAAGTGCCTTTACCTCAGATTCGAAAATTCATCTGAAGTTTTCCAAGTTCGAATCATTGGTGGCCGAGAACGTCGCTTCTGGTGATAATTCCCTTGTATGTCGACTCTTCCTTCGCTTCAAGCCAAAGACAATGTGCGCCAGGCATACACGCAACTGCTGTGCCGCTGTGCTACAGGCCCTAGAGGTTGAGACAGTGATTGCTTCCACCCACGCCACCGCCTGTCAACAGCCAATGGATGGCCCAATCGCATTTGCGGCATGCTATCGTCCAACAAAATCTATGAATAAGCACCACAACCATCCTACCGGGGACGAGTAGTAAGTCGACCATGACCCGTCGGCATAGTAGAGTGCGCTCGTCAAGGTGCATACTGCCCAGGCCTAATTCACTCTCATTGCAAAGATCGCAGGTATCCATATACCAGCCGCAGACTTCTACCCATCTTTGGGAAACATAACGGAGCATGGTGCACAAAGAGATCAGTGGAGGCAGGTGTGCTCAGGATCTTCCCGCTTCTACTCAACGCTGTATCTGCCCTCGGTGCGCTATTTGCGTCTACAGTAGTAATTCGGGGATAAAAATTCCTCATCGATGGACTCCAAAATTCGACAGTATCGCCCACCAATGTCTGGGAGAATAAAGACTGGGAACAACTTCGGGAGGTTATTACCAACCTATATATCGACCAGGGCAAGAAGTTGAAGTATACCATTGTGGCCATGCAGGACGAGTGCAATCTCTACGCAACGTATGTTTCTTGCACGTTGCTTGCGCAGAATTTCTCGGCGCTCGTCTTCAAGACTAACCCAGGGGAGTGACAAGATATACAAGTACCACTTCAGACGATGGGGTCTGAAGAAAAATCTCAGGCGACGAGAAGTTGGTCAACTCTGCCACAAAATTCACGCCCAGGCCAGCACCCACCATGAGCGATCACAGCGCCTGGCTTATACTCACAACTTCAGTTGCACTGCCCCCAATAACACATGGCAAGCAATTAATCCACGAGGCACTCCTTTGGCAAATGGTGGAAATCACCCATCTGACTCCATGACATGGATCCCACGTCGTCTTGAAGGACCCGATGATCTGATAATGACGTAACCATGGTAAGCATCGCTCAAAATTACTTTTCGACTGCATTCGACTCCAGGCTTTGGGAACCATCGATGGCAGAAGCTTTGCTGTAGGCAGGAAGCTCTCCGAAGGTCCAGGGTGGCCGGGTGCACAACTGGCAAGCTTAAGAAAGTGAGGCCATTCTGGAATACGTAACTACCCGGCCCAAACCTTGCACTGCTCTTGGGACACCATGGGAAGTTGTGTGAACCACAACATGGATAGTCCAGGTTTCCGTATGTCTCAGGTTGTCGAGACGTATACAATATTCAGCGCAGTAAAGTTGGAAACTAACCTTACACAGACTGGCGGTGAAGATATCGCTTTGCAAATTGCGGCGGGCAAACATCTAGTGCCCTTGCCGTGGAGTGCTGCCCAAGGTACGCTTGGGTGGCTATAAACAAGTTCAGCGAGACCTAAGCCACGGCTGCTGGAGAAGGTGTGGGGCGGCGAGGGAAAGAATGCACCAGCCGAGTAAACAAGTATTTTCAATTGATCTGCTATCAGCTCTTGATCTAGGCCGTTCGTGACAGGAGAGACCACCGGATGGCTGTGCGGATAATTCAGGAGCAAAGCAGCTTTTGCGAACAAGTACTCAAATTACTTGATCCCACCATGGTAGCCGTCTATGACTATTTGGTCGACTGCTGCCTTGATCACAACGGTATTCAACAAGGGCACAACCTCTTCCAAGTTGCGTTAGAAAGGATGTGCGATATCCTTGAATGTCCTGTATAACAATTCTAGACAACAGCAGCCTTGGTTATTGCCGCACAATATTCAAAGAACTTCTCCAGTCATGTTCCAAAAGTATGGGGACCACCCCGCTAGAACATCAAATTCCTACAGGGCACCACAACTGAGGGCTTCGTCGAAGGCGGGTAGGTACGCCGCAGGGACAGATACGCCCTATCGTGTCTTAGCCAGGCGTTAACCGGCCTTTTTCACCTTATTAGGTCCGTCGAATAGCCTTCTAAGGTAATTAATATACTCGTTAATACCGTAATTATCGGTCTGCTGTGCTGGGAGTACGTAGGGCAATAGCTTCGGCTTAACGTAATTGTCTGCGCTACCGTACAGGTAGTAGAACTAAGCTTCCTTACTACCTGTAGCCACGCCGTTAACGGCGATCTTGGCCTTAGCCTCGAATAACTACTCGTTAAACTTATATCTACCACGTAGTTTAAACAGCTCTCATAGTAATCAACGTGACCTAGCATCTATTAGGGGCAAGTCGAAGAACTAGGCTCCTTTTCCGAGGGACCTGTTGGACAGCAGGTAAAGCCGCTGTTATTTGAAAGATGAATCAATACAAATGTGAAGGGTCCAGTGCAATATAGATGCTCAGTGGAAGGGCTCAAGTGTATGTTATTGGATTAATAATGCAGAGCAGAGGTAGACAAGGACCATAGCTTAGACTACGGTATTTACATACAGGATATAGACCCTTCAGGCCCATGTCGACCTATAGGGGCCTAGTCCCATGACATCACCTAGATGATGAGCAGATATACCGTAGTATAGGCTGTCCTATCCGTATGAGCCCGTTCTCCGTATAACAGAGGAATGGCATCACGGCGCTGGTGATGACATAGCCATAGAGTGCTGTGTACAGTAGTTATTTGGACCAAGTGTTAGTGATCCACTGACATTCAAGATCTGTTGGTCTCTTGGCCGAGGGGTTGGGTACCCTTTAAAAAATGGACAATTGTACTCGCAACTCTTGCTCTCTCTTCTTTAGTTTAGTATTCGGTGACAGAGATAGACTAATATCGTAACCTCGATTCGTACTCGCAGTACCTCTGCTTCGTTATATTATGTTAGCTAGGCGATAAATTCGGTCTAATTTAAGCCTATGGTTAGTATTAGCGTAAAGTAGTACCTATACTGATGCGAGTGCGTATGGGGTGTGAATTGTTGTATATGGGAAAGGATGGCCAAGTCAGCTATTCTGGCCTGGCAGAGCTCTTTTATAGCTCTTATCTTATCTTATCTATCTTATCTATAGCTACAGGGTACCCCCCCCCCCCCAAGAGGTCACGTATCATATACTCTATAATTTATTATACGAGAAGCACTATGGTTAATGTAGAGGTTATGTGTATAAGCAATTTTAAGTAGTACTCGGAGTAAAGTGAGCCCCTCAGGTCGTGTTCATAGGGAGATCCCAAGGCCCGTGCTCAGAATAGTTTTATTATTTTCTCCCCTTCCGCAAATTCAATGAAGGGCTCCAAAGCATATACGTAAGTACGCATTATCCCACTATTCCAACTTCCTGAGCTGATACTGAAACGGCCCACTAGGTCTGCGCAAATCACACTACATTGTACCCCTCTCAGTTGCTGCAAGGTCAGACCAGGGTATAGAAGGTGGATCACGGTGGCAATCTGTGGGCCAAACGCATCCGTGTTGTGAGACCTTTAACGACTCAGCGGTCACCTCAAGTCTGAGAAATCATTGGGTCTTGACGCGGCCCTCTCCACAACACCACATACCCTACCTCGTGTCTCTCCAGATGGTAATACTACCACTGCACGCAAGATGTTGGCCGTCTCCTCGGTTCGCCTGCGGGCGCTTCCACGCAACCTCAGCATCTGCAGCGTCTCGCAGGTTCGACGACTCACCATGAAATTATCATCACCACAAAGCTCGAAAGTCTACGATGCCGTCATCATCGGAGCTGGCCCGGCAGGCCTCACAGCCGCGTCCAGCCTGATTGATGCCGGACTATCCCGCATATGCATGGTGGACCCTACTTTCACCGCAGGCCGCATTCATGAGAAGTACCGCGAGGTGCCCAGCAACACCAAGACCGGCTTGTTCGTGCAATGGGCCACTGGAACCAAGACATTCGCTCATATCATCAAGTCCGCACCGGGGCCTAACGCATATACTAAGATGCTGGAGCTCGACCAGGATACTACGTGTATGCTGGGTGATGCCGTGAACGTGGCGCAGCTGCTGACTGACGGCATGAGGAAGGTCCCTGGTATCGATAGTTTGGCCTCCGAAGTTCGGCATCTCGTGCGTGAAGGAGACGTCTGGAGACTGCCAGAGCACGGCGTCACTAGTCGGAAGGTGGTACTGGCGCAGGGGTCGCGGCCGAGGCAATTTGGGTTGGCAGATCAGTATCCGAATCTGCAAGATCTGGATTTGGATACCTCGCTGAAACCGTCTGCCCTCAAGGGACAGGTCCCTTTTGGGTCTAGGGTTGGCATCATAGGGTCTAGCCACTCGGCCGTGTTGGCTATGAAGAACTTGTATGAGTTGGGCGAAGGGGTCAGTCTTGTCAATTTTTATCGGTCGCCGCTGTTGTACGCCGAGTATAAGGACGGTTGGATCTTGTACGACAATACGGGACTCAAGGGCGTGGCTGCAGATTGGGCGAGGAAGGTTCTTGGGCCTGAGAAGGATCCTAGAGTTCGCAGGATACACCTGGCGGCGCCGGGTCGGAAGGAGCAGGGGATTTATGATGCTGAGCTGCCCCAGTGCACGCATTTGGTCAGCGCTATTGGTTATGACAATAACGAGCCGCCAAAGGTCGAGGTTGATGGGCGGCAAGTCAAGCTGGATTTTGATCCGTTGACTGGCCGTTTCAAGGGTGTCCTGGGGCTGTATGGTTCTGGCATTGCGTATCCAGAGCGCGTTACTGATCCGGTGGGGAATGTCGAGAGTGCCGTCGGCTGGATGAAGTTTTTGAGGTTTTGCAGGAGGGTGGCTCCGGAGTGGGCGGCTGAATAGGGCCAGCGTGCCGTCTTCTTTCAGATAAAAGGAGTTGGGAACCAGAAGGGGGAAGTACAATATAGATTCCATGCGTTTGGTACTATATACTGAAACAAAGAACATTAAGGCTATATGCGAAAGGTCCTGAAGCTGGCCTCCTGAGCTAGACAATCTGGTATTTCCAGTCTTCACTCCCGCCAATTCTAAGTAATGAACGTAAGTATGAATAAGATGTATTCCGCATGGGTATTGTGTTGATGCGCTTCTTGGTATACAAGGTACCGCACATATTCGATCAGCGGTGGCCAGATAAGCCACTCCGTTGGAGAACCCCGGACCTGCATTGACATATTCGGCCACATTGTTGAATACAACTACGGCTGGCTATACATCTGTGTGATCTGCAGTTAAGTACCTAAGTACTCCGGTAAGCTTTCAACCCGTGGTTGGCTCTACTACCCCGCCTCTGCCATGCAGGTGTGGCTGACTAAAGGATACCTCTATATAAATGCCCCTAGGACATTAAGATACGCCTAAAGATGTTCGTTCCTGGCTGCAACGAAGGTTGCAGGTGCTTTGATATCCAGTAGCCACACGGAACATCATGGACTCCGCCGGTATGAGACACCACGAACCCCAAAAATGCCAGACTCTAGATGACCCTACCCAACCCCCAAAATACACAGTGAATCTCTCACTTCCTCCTGAAGAGCGATACAGGCATATCGCAACGGGCTTCAAGGACCGTCTCGAGGGTCTTTCCCAGCTATTCGACGACATCTTACTCTCCTTCCTCCCAAGGCCGATCGCGAAGCTCACCCGCCTACTAGCCCAGATCATGCTTCGCAGGGTGTACTCAACAGAAGAGACCGCGGAGCTGCGGGGAATAAGCCAGTCAACCGGCATCGGAATGTGGCTCCTCGTAGCTTTCAACGTCCTCCTCGATCTGCTCATGGGATGCACTTCCGGTGGTGTCCGAGTGAAGGATCCAAGGAGCGATAAAGGACACAAGTTGGTGCATTTCAGGACGTTGGATTGGGGAATGGATCCACTGCGTCGTATCGTCATCGAGCTGGAATTTGTTGAGGAGACGGGCGGTGCAGTCGTTGCGAGGTCCATGACTTACTTTGGCTATGTCGGTGTGTTGACGGGCGTGCGGCGCGGGCTTAGTTTGTCGCTCAATTTCAGGCCGCATCATGACACGAGTTCGTGGTGTAAGAGATTCAGCTACGCTTGTCATCTTATCCTGGTCCTACTGGGACTGCGCCTTTCCATCTCGAGTCATCTCAGGGCGATATTGCTGCCACCCAGACACCGGGGAGAGAATCCGCAGGGCAGAGAGGAATCCGAGACAGCACGAGACCAGAGAATACTCGACGAATTCACGACCGCGCACTCCACTGCGGCGTACCTGGTCTTCTGCACCGGTACTGAGACCATCACCATGGAAAAGGACAACGGGACCGCCCTTGTGAGAAGAGCCGAGGACTTCATAGTCGTGATGAACCATGACGAGCAAGACGAGCAGGAACCCAGCAGAGCAGAAGAATCGGTTCATAGAGAACAGGTAGAGATGGAAGTAACCGGCCTGGCTGATCTAGTTGGATTCTCAGTGGAACGTAAACAGCGTGCTGTTAAGCTTTGGAACGCAGACACCCGGAGCCCGAAGAAGCAGCGAGCCCGTCGCCAAGTGGGGTCTATATCAGGGCCCATGGTTCGGCTGGAAGATGTTATCAGATGGATGGATCCAGATGTTAGTGATATCTCCAACGAGGAGACTCACTATGGTGTAATCATGGAGCCCTCGACCGGCAAGTTCATCTGGCGGCAGAGATGGCTTGAGCCAAAGGAAAACAGCGACATGGAATAGCGATCCTGAGAGTAAGTCGTTACTAGCCCTATATGTAGCCAACCTCATGTGGTTGGTGCACTACATATTCTGGGAGGCCGAGCATTGCATTGTAAACTTTCCACAACTGGCAACCAGATGACAAAGTGGTGGCGCGATACGTCGTATCTTGAAATTGAGGCAGACAGTCGGCTAATTTAATACGAGAAACATGTAGATGGACATAAATTCTAGTTAAACTTCATGATTTTTGTAGTTATGCCTGAGTACCAGAGGGGAAAGTTGATCTATTCCATACCATCCCATCTTGATTGTGATCCGTTGTGTAGTGGAGATTGGAGTCTGGAATCTAATGTGGCGTTACGTTCGGGAATCACCAGCCTAGGTAGCTACAATATGTAAATTGGCCACTATATAAGCATTAAATCGTGTGTACATGTACCACAGAACTCTTCCGGCGCTACTGCTGTGTATTTCCGAGGAACTCGCACGTCAAGAACTAATTAGGTTAATGGCCAAAGAGCCTTTTTATTACTTGAAATTGGTCTACATAATACACAGGTGGAAATCTGGCCGGATTCATAGGATACGTGCTGCTTTCAGATAATAAGACCTCTGACAGAACCGAGAGAGTGGCATTGCTATGAATTCTACCACCCTTATACCCAATGAGTTGGAACGACCACATCAATCCTGTTTCCTGAGCTGTATGGGTTATCCTAATTCCTCGACATATCCTAAATTACAGCTCATCAGTTCCAATGGCCTTCTGCACCTGATCTTCACCCATGGCCTTCTGCACCTGGTCTTCATCCACGGCCTTCTGCACCTGGTCTTCACCCACGGCCTTCTGCTCCTGGTCCTCTCCAACAGCCTTCTCTGGCTGCTCCTCTGCTGGCTTGGCCGCTAGGTAATCATCCACAATCAGTCTCGCCACGTTTTTTCCCATGAGCGCACTAGTTTCCATTGTGGAGATGAAGCTCTCAATACCCGACGTATAATAGAGTCCCGGCCCCAAAACGGGGTCTTGGAACGTGACGCGCGGGAGCTCCTGGGGGTAGGGGTGGAACACGGTAGGGTAGTACCATGAAATTGGATCGACCACGTCGTATTCCTTTTCATCCTCAGCTTCGGTCGAACGCGTGAACGTTTCGGGCACCTTCACCCCGAGAAGCGACGACAGGAACTCGGGCGTGAGCTCGTTGGGTGAGAATATCTTGTAGATGTATTCAGTCTGCGTCGTCTTGGGGTTGGTGGCTTTCTTCACTAATGTGGCCGAGTAGAAGCCTGCCTTTCCAGCGCCTGCTGAGCCAGGTTGCGGCTCTTCGCCCTGGCCAAGCGTGGTTAGGACAGAGGTGGGGGTTTCACTGCCTGGTTTCAAGTTGAAGAACTCGGTACTAAAGCGGAATGGCGAGGCAAATAGGGTGACGTGCAGGGTTGCATAGGGGATTGTGTCAATGGGGCGTTGCATCACGCCGTTGCCGTGGCTGATGTTGCTGAACTGGTAAGGGGTTGCAATGACCACATCGTCAAAGGCGGTAGGATACGCCTCCGAGGTTGCGGGATCCGAACCAGCATCCGCTGTCTTCAGGATGTATTTTGGCTTTGGCGCATTTGGCTGTTTGCTGGGCTTCAAGCCAATCGACGTCACTGAGGTTTTCAGGTAAACATGCGCGTTGGAGGACTTGACCATGTTGGAAAAGATCTGCCAGTTGCCGCCCGCAATTGCCATCGAACCTTCAGCAGCCATAGAAACCTAGGCCGGGTCAGCGTGGTCTCGCGCGATGATGAGCATGAAACGTACCATGGCGCCCATTCCGTGGATGTAAGCAAGATTTGAGGCATAGTTGACACGAGTGCCAGTTTGGACGATTTCGTGTGCGAAAGGGCCGTCAAGCTTGAATGAGTTCAGCTAATTGTAGCTCTGGCTTCGAAGACGTGGGCTTACCTTGTTCTCCGCCAAAAACTGTAGCCCGGTCACTCCGGTAATCTTGACGAGGCCGAGTTCAAACACCCTCGTGGTTAGAGACCGGAAGGGGAAGTAAGGTGCCTCATAGAGCTTCAAGAACGACGCGACAGTCTGTTGCACGAGCTTGTTGGTGTAGTACGGAGCTGTGCCGTACTGCCAGAACAGCTTGGCCAGGCTCCACCATTCCCAAGATTCCGAGTCCTGCTGATACACGAACTTATCGCCATCCCAGATGCCTAGAAGTCCTGCTTCGTCGGTGCCAGGTTCAATGACGGAAAGATTGAAGTCCTGAGTGGCCTGCCATAGGATGTTGTTGACCTTGACAAAGATGGACGCGCCAAGCTCAACGGGCTCGATTGGATTGTCATAAACATTCACGGTGAGTGTGCGACCACCGATGCGATCGGTCTTCTCGAACAACGTCACATTGATGGTGAGGCCTTCTTCTTGGGCATACTTGTGCAGGGCATATGCCGTTGAAGACCCGGCAGCTCCGGCTCCAATGATGGCGATTTGCTTGACCGAGTTCTCGATGGGTTCATCGTCACCCGCGACGCCCTGACTCCATTGGGCGACGGTGAGGGTGGGCAACAGACGATTGAAGAATTCGGGAAAGAGCATTATGAGGTTCTCGAGAGATATCAGATGAGAACAAGATGAAATCTGATGTTCATAGCATCAAGTGAATGCGGTTGTCGACATCAGTACCGTTACTGCCTGCAAGCTAAACGCGCGATGCAGGTCACCAATTGCCCCCTGCGCTTACCCCTAAGTCTTCCAATTTTAGGGTTCATTTGTTGTCGTTTCAGCGCCGAGGTCGAGCCAGGCGGGCCCCGCCGACGTGCCATTGTCCGTATTGTCACAGCTCCCTGTCCACCTCCATCAGTTTTAAGATACCCTTTGAGTTCTACATTGCGAGCTAGATAGCGTGAGAGAGATACACGTTAGGTCTTGCTTTGTGAGACATCGGCAACATGTTTTCAAGCTTGATGCATGGGAGGTCTGGAAAGTACGTACAGATCATCACGTGGACTTGGATCCGCTTTCCTAAGCCAAGATCGACAGCAGCACGGCGGATGTTTCCTACCAGAACATCTCAGTCTTCACAGAGACAGGGTCGTGTATCTGATACAATTTGGAACGGGGCTCTTCCACCTGGTGCCCAATGCGCCCCGAGTTTTCAGTAATTGGTCTTCTGTCTCGGTGCATCCCTTCTTCAGAGGAGACCCAAGGTTAAAGCCCGGACGGCAAAAGCCGATCCGCCCATCTGACGCGTCGTCGTGGTCGGTCATAAACAACGTTGCAAAGGAGATGAAACGTCAGGAGGGCCAATGTTACCGCATGCAATCGATGCCGGAGCAGGAAACAGAGGTGTTAAACTATGTTGCTCCAGCCATATGAATTGAGTTGCTAACGTCGCAAATTGATTCCAACGTCCCTTCGTGCGCCAACTGTGAAAGGCGCGGAGTGCCCTGCGTTGGCACTGATATTGACGGTCGCGTCGCTCCTCGAAGGTATCTGTTGTTCCGGTGGCCCAGTCCACTCACTGGCTGCATTCTGATTATCTTACGGTTACTTGAAGAGTCTAGAAGACCGCATTGCGTATCTAGAAATGCAGCTGGCATCCCACGATATCAGCCACTTCGAATCGCCCGCAGGCCCGCATGGAGATGGCAGTCCGCACGATTCAAGTGGCGCACTCGGGCCTACCCAGCCCAGAGGTCTACCGTCAGTACTGCTGCCCTCAGTTGCGCATACAGCCGCGACTGAGGGCCCTTATGTGATGGATGGAGGGCACCAGTCTCTCATCGACAACCTGCCGTCTGAAACACGGTCAAATTACCAGCAAAGGAGGTTGCAGTAAGACTTTTCGAGGCTTACTTTGAGCACTGCGACTTCTTTTCGCCGATCCTAGCCAAACCGCAATGCCTGCCGCTGCTGGCTGCCCTGTATGATGGCCATCGTAACGTAGAACGCCTTCTCGGGGCAAGGATTCAGACCGATGATGATCTCTACCGCCATCAAGCTCCTGAACCGTGCGCTTGTGTCTTTCCAATGTCGAGGTCCGAGGCATATTATCGTCATGCCGTGCGCATCATTACGAAAAATCCCGAGTTGATCCGCACCTCCAAGTTTGACCACCTTGAGAACGTTTTGCTCCTGATTCAATATGCGTTATTTACCTCCAACATCACCACTTCATGGTATCTGCTAGGTCACCCGATCCGCCCAGCCGTCGAATTAGGCCTTCACAAGAAAGGGGCAAATTTCATGGGGTTGGATTACGGGTTGATGGGCCAGCGCCGATGGCTATACTGGTCCTTGTGTGCCTTTGAGAGGGCTGTATGTCTTCCAATGCGGCATCGCTCTCATTCACTGTGCCAAGGTGCTTGTGGCTCGGCCTAGGCTTAACCTGTCGCTGCCCAATCTCAAGGCATCCATCACCATTTGCTCAACTGTTCTATGGGGCATGGTAGAACGTCACCATGCTGGTAAGGGATTTCGCGATATGTGCAAGACCCTCTCAGCGCCAGTTCTAGCCATGACGGAAACAGCACTGAGATGCCGATTCACAATGAATTGGCCGGCTTCGTGCTGGTTTTATGGTTTATGGCACCTTACGATGAATCCACCGTTTTTTACCATGAACGGTCTTCACTGTTGCCCTTAGCCGGACACCGCTTGTACTGTCCACCCGTGGCACAATCTGTGGCACAATCTGGGACACACGACCATCATTTGCCCAGCGCTCCGTGGCATCGAGTACACTAACCTAACATTGCTGTATATTGCCGAGGGATTGGCTCTTCTAAACTTAGTCGATGATAGCATGTCGCAACCTATCGACTATTTCGTCTTGCGGCTGGCCATCTCTGGCATGCTAGAACGAACCGGGCGTGGACCCGGCGAGTGGATTCGCGGCTTCGGTTGATGTACTGGGTCTAGACCCCATTATAGCCTGCGTATAAATTTCTCGATATTCCCACAGGTCTGGTCGACAAACATCATTGCTAAGTATGGCTAGGTTTAGCATACCAGGCATGGACGAATCAATTCTAGAACTTAACCGACTTGCCACATTACCGTTCAAGAGTATGCTGGCCTGTATGCTGAGGATTTCTGGTGTCGAACCAATACAGCAATGTCCTTTACCGGCAGCTGACCCTTGCGATGAAAGGTTTGATCCAGAGGAGTCGAACTCTGATACTCATGGATCCGTCTTACAGGAGTCCCCAGGTACGATCCCCACATACCACTATATATACGTCTAGCAGACTCGACTCGAGCTGCATGATAATTTGAATCCATCGTCTCGATGAAGATCGTGACTATCTACTTCGGCAGCCAGGGACTCACTTACCCCGACTCGCATCTTCTGCGGCTGGCAAGTTTTACGAGTGGAGCTCGATTTACCTGGATGGATCAACTCTTCCGCACTTGACGACGGATTATATGTTAATTGACTGGGTAAAGAGTTCAATATATAAAAAGGCAGTCCTACTAATGCCTAGTTTCAATTATGCCTCTAAGTCCAGCTTGTTTCAACTGCAGGCTTAGCATTTCTAACACTCCGTCATCTACACCCCTTAAATGCTTTCACCTATCTGGTTGACAAAAGGCTGCTGGTCCTCGTCTGCTGTGACATGGTTTTGGCAACCCCAAACAGTGCTAACATGTTCTGAATGTAGGCCAAGTCACAGTGTAAGCGCGATCTAGAGAGGGTGCAGTGGATTCGGGATAATATGCCCGAGTTTATGGTGGCTGGAGTGTATAGAGAAATTATTCCAATATTATGGGTCCTAAAGAGGAGGATATGCCATGGAAAAATGACAGATTGACGGACATGCTTTCGGGATCTTGACGTGTGTCTCTCATTTGTACTAGTCCGAACCAAAGATCTTATAGCATAACGATTCCACGTCCGTCATCTTCATGCCATTTTAATCTCTGGCCGTGTAAACCTACAATGCATATTCAAATTAACTCATTCATTCTCCTAGTATTCCTCCAGAGGGTCTGGCGGCGCCGCAAGCTCTTCCGAAACTCCTCCCTTAGCTTTAAAAAGGGTTGCAACGCCCAATTGTAAGCCAATATATTATTATTATTATTATCAAATACGCCGTAGGCTCGAAGCCCCCGGTACCTCTACTAGTACTCCCGTATGTCAAACCGTGCCCTAATGGCTGGACTAAATACATACGCTGCGTCGTCGGTTCGCCCTATTGGCGACTGCGTTACGTCCACTACCATACTACGTTGGTTCTCAACCTACCAACAAAGTCCCCCCTGAGAAGATCGATGCTATCTGGGCCTTGAAGCTGTCCGACCCGTCCCTAGTAGCCACCTTACAATAGTCCCACTAACTACTGGTTCTCCTGTTGCCGTTGCGAGGTCTCTGCGAGAGTATAGTGGCCGTGGTGCGATGGCGGCCCGTAATCGTTCCCTCGGTCCTTCCAACAGCCCGCAAAAGAGGATTACGTGCTCTGCCGTCTCAGGGGCGTCGCCACAGCGGCATAGCGGCGAGTACACGCCAAAATCCCCTGTCTTGAATAAGAAGGCTGTTAGTCCTATTTTTTCCGTCCTGATCTGGCACAGCGTAGACGCCTCCAGTCGGTTCAGGCCGAAATACCTGCCCTCTTTCGGTATCTGCATCGAAGGGCCCTCCGGTTCCTCAGCGATAGCGCGTCGCTGGCGATCGTGATGCTCTGCTCCGGTGAGCCATCTCTTCCTCCAGTGGCCGAGGAGGGCAGCCGGGACCTCCTTTTCCTCACTCATCCACTCGGAGCCCCGGGCCTCCTTCTCCATAGTGTACCCTGCCGGTCGGAGTAGCTGCGACGCCTGCTTCCTCTTCGCCGGCCTATCCTGCCGGAGTATATGTGACGCTTTAGCGCTCGCGCTGCGAAGCAGATTTCTCTTCCCGCTAAGCCGTAGCCGTTCTTCAAACTTAGCAGCCCGGGAACTAAGATAGAGGTCTAGTGGCGGGATTGCTGCTTCTGCTTCCAGGTGGCGAACCGGCGTCGCTTTGTGGGCGCCACAGACTACCCGGAGGCACTCGTTCTGTATCCCCATCAGGCTCTTAGCTGGCCCTGCCGGTTCCTCACTTATAGTATGCCACGCAGTCGCCCCGAAGGCAATCGCGCTACGGATAACCACCGTATATAACAGCCTCGCCCGTATAAGATCGCAGCCCCACGACATATTGACTAGCTTTGTCAGGGCTAGCTTTTGAGTTGCCATTTTTGTTTTAACACGCTCAACATGGGCGTGCCACGTCAGTTTGCGGTCGAACCAGACTCCTAGGAACCTGGCTGAGACTACCGGCGACACTGTGGCGTCCCCAAGGCGAATACTTTGCGGCAAGGGCTCTCGGGCTCCAGATGGAATTCGTGACCTTTAATGGCCATGTGCAAGTTCCAGGTTCCCATCCATTTGAGCTGAACTCCCGTATGCCAGGCTTCGTGCGATATGCGGCTGAATAGGGATTCATGGAGTCCCATCGCTGCGTGGATAAGACCACCGACGGGCTTGCCTGTTGCTAAGCTGGCCTGAACCAAAGCTTTACAATCTTCCAGAGATGTGACATCTCCCCGGATGACAAACACCTTGGCGTGGTTGCTCTCAAGATGGTCAACCAACGACTTTGCTCTTGGTTTGTCTGCACCTGAACGCCCGATGAATGCAAAGTTCCTTGCACCTTTTTGTAGCATCCAACGACTTAGACTGCTTCCTAATCCGCCTAGCCATCCAATAAGCAGGTAAATTTTCTCGGGGTCGAATACAGTAAGATACCTTGCAGGCACCATCTTTTACCAGTGAGCATAAGAAATGACTGCGGCTTATGAATCGATACTCACAGGGACCATGCTGTTCTTGTCACTCAATGACACGACGATCTTTCCGATTCTATCTTTGGTCGAGAAAGCACGAAATGCTTCGGAAATGTTCGAGACGTCGTAGATTTGGCTCGACCCGGGCTTGACTTTTCCGCTTCGGTATAGTTCAAGCGCCTGTTTTTTTCGCCTGCGTTCCTTTTTAGCATTGCTATTAAGGGACCGTAGCCTCATAAGAGGAAACCTACGTAATCCAGATATCTCGATAGTGCTGATCTTCATGATAGAAAAGATCACTCAAGTCGAACGCTGTAAAGGTGGTACCCTTTAGGAAGATTTCCACTGCAATTGGCGTCAGTTTCATTGTTATTAGACAATAGTTGGGGGGCGGGGGATGGTAGCTGTTCTGATCCCTTGAACGAACGAATCGTCGCGGGAGTTGAAGATGTGACTGGCAGGCACATCCAAGTCGTTCATGAGATAGTCACGTTTGGCCTGAGAGCTACAGGTGGTGTATACGATGGCTTCGATTAGCTTGGCCAGAGCAATGGCTGCTGTTCCCATGGCGCCGGCATGAATTAAAACGGATTCTCCAGCTCTAAGGTTCCCTCGGTTGTGCAACGCGTATAGAGCTGTAGCGTAAGCTATGGGAATTGTACAGAGGACATGGTCTTGCTCGCCCGGAAGCAACTTATGCGCTGACTAAGCAGGAACTCGCTAATTTGTTGTAAAGTAATTAGGGGCCATGACAGCAACTCATCCTCCACCTGAAGGCCGCCGACGGCTGGCCCCACGGCTGTGGCCACACCGCAGTGCCTGTTCTTGTCTCTACATGGCCGCCCATGGTGTAAATGTCTTTGGCGTTGAGACTGACGGCCTTGAGATTGACGTCAATTAAGCCGGGTGGAGGTGAGGTCGATACCTCTCGGATCTGCTGGAAGTGCAAACTGCTCGTAGCGCCGGGTTGTATAATTGCTAGACGGGCAGGTCCACTCATGGAGAGCATCTCCATCTGGATGTGGTACTTTCCTCCTTCATGCCTTCTAAACTGCTTGTTCATTTGAAAATCGGGCCGGAATCGACTCGTGTAGAGGATCTCATCTATCTGTATAAACTCCTTGTCGTCGATATCGTCAAAGACTGTGAGCGCTCTTCCGATGTTGGAAAATGTAAACAACGGTTCGATTTTGCCCAGGGGACCGATATCCAAGACATAGAAGCGCAGCGACGGTTGTTCCAGCATGAGTGCTCAGACAAGCCGTTCAAGAGTGTAAGATCAGTGTCGGGTTCTCCTGGAATATTCGCACCTGTAAGCCACAGTAGGCTCTCTACAGTGTCCATTATCAAAACAAAGAGCATTCATATCTTCAGCACTAGGCGTTGTGAGAAATGCCTGCTCTATCTCGAGCAGAGAAATGCACACGGTCTTTGCGGTGATCTCAGACTTGGGAATAGTAATATCTTCTCCAAAAGAAATATAATATATCAAAAATAAAACATACAACACTAGGGATTCGCTGATGGTCACCCACCTAACTACTAATCTAGCAGTTTACAGTTTATCTATAGGAGAGCGGACGGGATCCCGAGTTCTCTGCAACCTATGGTCATATGTGCTAAAACCTGGTCGTAAAGTACATTAAGTAGGCAAAGTACACTGACGACTGTAATATTTTCTTGAAATTTCTTCTATCATTTTATAATAGTCCACTGGTAGGGAACACTTACGACGGAGCATAAGCCTCGAACAACTTCTAAGGCAGATAAGAGGCACTAAATATAGTTAACTGTCCACTTCGTTCAAGCTAGAGAGTAAAAAGATTGTAGTAATATCTTCTCCAAAAGAAATATAATACATTTAAAATAAAACATACAACACTAGGGATTCGCTAGTGGTCACCCACCTAACTACTAATCTAGCAGTTTACAGTTTATCTATAGGAGAGCGGACGGGATCCCGAGTTTTCTGTAACCTATGGTCGTATGTGCTAAATGTTATTCGTAAACTACGTTAAGTAGGCAAATGTCACAAGGGAGGACCTGTCAGATAGGGCGCCTGGTTCCTAGGTTCAGAAATAATATGGCACTAGAGAAGACTATTGTCACTTAAAGTTCAGAAGGCGAAAGGAACCCCTTTCCCCAAAAGTAACACCAAAGTTACTGTCCACTTAGGGGTCAGATACCTGAACAATGTACCTCCGATATGTTCTAAAGAATCTATAAAAGACAGAGCAACGGGAGTTCGAGGACAGAGAACAATACACCTCATTCATATACAATCTTACGCACTTCTGACTACTCGATTGGACACACGTGATATTTGACAGGACCAAGCCCCTAGGCCAATAGACCAAAAGATCTAGAATGCCAGTGGATCTGTAACATTTGGTCCCACTAACTGCGACATACAGCGCTCTGTGGCTCTGTAATCGCCAGCGCTGTGACAGCAAAGGATGCTCACCTCTGTTAAATTTTCTAGAAAATGCTTGCATAAATTTACACCAGTCCACTAATAGATAACGAACACTCGACTGAGCATAAGCCTCGGCCAACTTCTAAGGCAGATAAGAGCGTAATAACTATAGTTAACTTTCCACTTCATTCAAGCTAGCGAGTAGAAGAATTATATTAATATCTCCTCAAAAAACACAATGTATCAAAAATAAAACATAATATCTCAAAAATTTGCAAAACATACGACACTAGGGATTCGCTGGTGGTCACCCACCCAACTACTAATCTAGCGGTTTGCAGTTTATCTATGGGAGAGCGGACGGGATCCCGAGTTTTCTACAGCCTATGATCGTATGTGACTGGAAGCCCGTACAAATTAGTATATATCCTAGGCTCACATGTGGGAGTCTACAAGATCCATTTACATGCATGCTTGGATGTCCTAGGGTTCTAGCACTTGTGGGAAGCTGGATATTAGCATTTGGACACCTCAAAGCGAACGAAGAATGAAAAGTTCCAACTTTCCAGTTGGAACTTTCAGACGTCATTGGATCAGACAGACCATGTGTGCATTGTCCAGTCATGCTCTACTGACCGTGGATATCGATGGTCAACTTAATTCCGTATAACCTTGGATTGGTGCGATTCATCTCAGTCATCATTGGATCACACATATAATACCTGTTGAGGTCTCGGTGTCGCCGGCCGACAATTCTTCGTACCTCCGTTTCTATCCCCTGCATCCTACTAATAACCGGCCGACCTCGGTCGGGGTATACGTAACGACAATAGATAATATTTCCCCGCTAACGTCACCCACAGGTCAATGCCCCACACGGGTCTTTGCCCAACTTTTCACGACCTCCCAACCTTTAATCTTAGATAGATCAACAACAACCCGTATTCATCCAAGAAATTAATAAGAATTATTTTCATTATCTGTTTCTACATCTGCCTGACAAGTTCGCGCATTATGTCCAGTTCCTCCGCAAATGCCACAGCGCCTAGCACCCGTTGCCCTCCTCCTTGTAGGACGACTACTTTCACCCTCTTCCTCACTTTCCAAACCCGTATCACCCCTAATAGCCCGTAGAACTTGTGCATCTTCTATATTAAGTGGCCCACCATACTGGATTTGCTTGTTTCTGGTTCTGCGACGTTTGCTTAGCACATGGTTAGTCTCACGAAGCTCTTCGTTCTCGCGACGCAAGATAACATTCTCTTGCATCATTGCATGCGTAGCCTTTGCAATCAAGTCAATTGAATGAAGAATATGCGTCGGAGAGCTGTCTTGATGCCTCTGAACGCTATTCTTAACCAACGTTGACTGCGATTCGGCTTCAAGGGTGGTAGTAGGTGTCTTAGAAGTCCAAATAGGGGGTTGGAGTTCTGGGTCGGCAGAGGGTGTACGCGCGACTTCTGCGACATCCAGGGCAGATATAACCCTTTCGGGGTCAAAAGGGACAATTACAGCTGCTTCGAAACCAGATCTGATGTTTTGTTCAGTAAAAGTAGCGCCAAACGCCTCCAAAAAACCGGCAAGGAAATCCTCCTTCGTAACGTGGGTATGATGCCGTCGCATCAAACCCTCAACAAACACACCGTACGCCCGTTTCAAAACACTAAAAGGCACCAAGTCGAGAGGCTGGAGCTTATGGGACGAATGGGCAGGCATAGGAAGGGTAATGATGCCATGGTCCTTGCAGTATTGTTCGAAATCCATCGAGTGATGGCTTTCGTGACCGTCAAGGATCAGGAGGCGTTTGACACCCTTCGTACGATCGCGTGTGTGCAGATCGAAGTGAGCTGCCCAGATGAGACCAATATCATTCGTTGTCCATCCGTTATGGGATAGATCAACGACCCAATTGCCCGGTAATGTGGTGTCGCGATACCACGAAGCGAGGTGAACTTTGGCCGCGAAGATGATGTACGGCGGCACCGCCCAGCCTTGGGAATTGGCCGCCTGAATGACAGTAACCCATTCCCTATTGCCTTACTGGGTTTACCTAGGCCTTCCACGTCTTTCGGTACTCGTAACGACCATGCCGGTTGAGATCATGCCCATTAAAAAGCCCGTCTCGTCAAAGTTGTAGATATCCTCCGGCTGGATGCCGTGCTTCGCTATTATGTCCACAACACGCTTAAAATAACAGCGATACGCGACAGGATCTTCGCAGAATGCCCGCTGGTAATCGATTCGACGATTTAAACGCGTCCGGAGGTCTGGTTGTCGCCGTACGAAGCTCGAGGCCCAGTTCTTGCCGACGGGTGACGCGTCGCGGTCGCGTCGGAGGATATTCGCCATTTCTTCAACGTATCGAAGCCGGGGAGGAAAATTTCGCGAATCTAGCTCAATTACGCGTCGGGTAATCGTATTCTCTTCGGTTTCGGTCATTTTCCGTTTGGACATGTTAGTAATGTGTAATGGTTGTACGCCTTCGTAACGGCGCTTCAATGTCTTATGGTCGACTTTGAAGATTTTACCAAGCTTGTTCCAACTTAGGTGAGGATCGCGTCGTTTAGTTTGGATGGCTAATTGAAGATTAGCTTCACTAGATTTGCGTGCCATGTTGTGGAAGGGAAGAATTGTATAAGTAAAGATGGAATGTCAAGATTTCTTGAAAAGTTGGGCAAAGACCCATGTGGGGCAATGACCTGTGGGTGACGTTAGCTAGTTATTCTTTATGATACAGCCTTTTAACACCCACCGTTAGATAACACGAGATAGGATGACAATATCTGAAGGTAGGAAACTTAGATCATGTCGATTCCAGGCGGCGCATAAGGAGGTACGTCATCGAAAGCGTTCGGCAAAGCAATCACCAAATTTGATGCCTTAGGCAGACGGCTGGTAGCGCAGGGCAAGCTCAATATCCTCATTGACTTGATAAATATGCCTCTTTACATGTTTATATCTCCTTTTAAGCAACCGTCCCTTTTTCTTGTCTATTATATCTTTACTCTGCCTTTGGCGACCCCACACTAGAGAGCCTGATTCAGCCTGCGTAAGTCAATCCGTCGTAAGTTTCGGAGCCTAACGTATTTCACCCCCATTCCGACACGCTATAAAACAAAACACCACGAATAACACTGCAATTTCAAACAACCACCACAAATTCAATTCTGAACAACTATACAATCACTTTCGACAGTAGATACATTAGATATTTCTGAACCCGAATAATCAACAAGAGCTTCATTAGATACTTCCCTCATCCGCCGTACGTCCTCAATCCTTGCGAATTTCGCGTTTGGACTTATTTGCACCTTCTTTTTTTTTCCGTGGCTTCATAAGCTCCAATTGCTGTTTCAAGCCCTCAATTTGTAATTCTGCGCTTACTAATAGATAATTCTTCTCATAAAACCCTTTTTTCATCTTTCTAAATAGCTGGCGTTGTGTAGTCATGTTAGTTTGTTGGAGTCGATTGAACTCCCTAAACTGGCGCTCTATATCTACGCTCTTCTTTGGCGTTGACCATACAACATTGCCCTCTGAAGGCGTCTGGAGCATTTTCTGGACTTGCTGGGTTGTAATAAGAATGTCTGGACCTTGGTGACGTGTGCGGTTGCTATTTTCAAGCAGAAGAGGGCTAGTAAGGGGCCTAGCGACATTTAGGGGCCATAGACCACTTGTACGCCAACCAGACTTGATATTTTGAGGCGTTAGGGCCCTCTGGCGTGCTCTGGCGTAACAGCGCATAAAATTCCGTTTGCCAATAGGTGCTGAATCAGTTAATAGGGTTAAAAACCCGACCTCCTTGCGATATGCCGTTTTCATAGCTGAGAACACCCCAACATCGAGAGTCTGAAGGACATGAGATGAGTGTGGGGGTAAAAATAATAAGTATATGTTGTTTTGATAGCAAAGAGACATAAAAGTATCAGTTGTGTGACTACCGTGACCATCCAAAATAAGTAAACGAGTGTCTGAAGGGTCCTGAGGAAGCGTAAGGGGTATAAAAACGTCTTCAAGCCATTTGATAGCTATCGTATCGTCTGTCCAGCCCTTGGGGGATGCCTTGAAGCGCCAGTCCTTGAAGTCCTGAAGATTTTTATCAGGGAACCACTGCTCTTGGACGTCCTTGCCCTTGAAAATAACCAGGGGGGGTAAGGTATTGCCGAGGGCATCCACACATTCCAAAATTGACGTCCACGCCCTCGAACCAGGCTGTTTCTGGTGTATTGCGTGTAAGGTACCGCTCCCGACAACTAGCCCAGAGCCCCCTTGACCCTCCATAAGGCCATGCTCATCCATATTATACCTGCATTGCGGCTTAATCACTTGAATTGCAGGAATACGTAATTTTGAAGCAAACCAGGCTTGGATTACCTCGGTAGACGCGCCATTGATACGCTGAGAGTCGATACGGCGTTGCTTTTTAGTCTTTAGTGCTGGGTGACGCTTTAGAAAGGCTTCCAGCCAATTTTTGCCGAGTGGTTGGTGGTCACCTTTGAGGGCTAGGACGCGCTGCGCGAGCTCCTTGATTTGCGCGTGCGTTGGGGCTAGTCCAAGGGCTTCCTGGACCAAAACCCAGTCTGCTAAGTGTTTTTCTTGCACTGGAGATAGCCTTTGCTGGCTAGCAGAGGCCTCGCGACTTGATTCAGCGCCTTGAAGTCTGTCGATAAGTGTAGTCCTTGGTATACCCCAATCCAGGCCAGCGCGTCGCACAGATTTACCATTTGCGACGTCTAGAACGGCGGCAGCGAGGTCTTCTTCCGTATATGAAGGCATTGATAGCAGATCAGATCGAATACTTGGAATAAAGTCAATTGAAGCAAAAGTGGTTGAGAAATAAAAGGATAATGTAAATAGCGGTGTGGTTATTGTTGGGGTTTACAGGGGTGTCGGAATGGGGGTGAAATACGTTAATCTCAAGATAGTGCTAGGTCATTGATTTCTTGATAGCAACACTAAGCAAATTCTGCCAGGATCATATTGATACCCACTCTTAATTACGGACGGTGCTAGGTGTCTCTGTCCACCTGTAAGAACTTTCTAGGCTGTTGGGCTCAAGATTTGACTTAGCACAAGTATGTCGGTCGCACCCAAGGAGGAGCAGCAAGCCCACCCCATTAGCAGCCGTCCAAGACAACAGCGCTGAAGCACAACAATAGAGAACCAGTTGATGAAGTTATTGGAGGTGAAAATCCGTGAAATGGCGGTGAATCTAGCGCCTGGCATGAGCGCCCAAGGTACAAATCCTTAGCAGCGGTAAGCAACAATAATAATTTACACTTGCCTACCTATTGCTACTTCCGCCGGAACATCAGGCGCATCCAGAGCAAATTCATCGTAAACAATGAAGTGTATAAATGCTTGGGGTCGTCCATGGCTGGGCCGTATATCGTTGCCAGCGTCCTTCGCGCAGGTGTCTTATGTGCTTTGTAACGCTGACGGCAATTACATTGACAATAGAGCCGAGATTGCTGAGGCTTCACTGATAGGAGCACGGCGAGACGCTTGAGCATGTTTGCACCTGTGTTATATACATCCTTTGGTTCCGGAACACACACTGCCTGGGATACTGACACAGAGAATTTAGATACTTGAAGCTATAGAAACCGAGAGTTGAAATATTCCCGTTCAGGGTGAATGGAGAGGTTGTGTGACGATCTCCCTTTCTTCTACCCAAGATGACCCTGAGACCCGAACCCAGCTAAATTTGAACTTATTACTAGCAAATTCGTGAATGAATGCATGTGATGGAGAATGTACATCAGCTATGGGACTGCGACCCAGGTTTGTTTATCCACCGAGCGTCAACAATCATTGTGATTCAATCAATATTTGGAGAGGGGAAGAGCAAAGAAGCCATTTTTGCCACTGGACTAACCTTTCGGTAAATAATCATGGTTCCATCTCTTGAATTTTGGTAAATCGTTCATAAAATTTTGCATGTGCGTTCAGAGCCGAGGGTGTCAGGTCTTCCGGGAAATGCAGGTTCACGGTCGCCGCCATGTCATCACAACGCCACCAACCTTTGAGTGTATTGATCAAATCCCAGGCATTCCATAGTGTTGGCTCTGTGTTACTGGGATCTGGTTTGATAGCTGGAGATGCTATGTTTCGGGAAAGATGCATTCGAATGTTGCTTTCCGGCGTACCCGAAGAATCCCGAAGAAAGTTGTACAGGGTTTGGTTATCCATCTCCTGAATTGAAGCCTTCGGTAGAGAGTGTTCAAGAGATGATTATGACTCCGCTGGCTGTTACACTTTGCTGGTGAAAAGGTGTGTCCGACAACCTGGATCATGCCCGTTCTTTATATTAAGTCGACAAGCCAGCAGACTGCATAGCGTACCTCATCTGGAAGATCGTTACACAGACTAGTCAAATCCATGACCCTGCCTTCGACGTTCACCGAGAGAGGGCGGGGTTTGTCACGGATGAGGTTATCTGCGGGGGATCATTTCTGAGGCGCACCCTGGATGATAGCTCTGAGTTTTGGTAAACACCATTGGTGCCTCCCATTACATGGTGTCGAACAGCTAGCTAGCAGAGCTCCCTTCGATGACCTCTTTGGTTGGTGCTTTGAACGGACTTGCTACTTACCCCAATCCTAGTACCGCATAATGCCAGCGTAGCTGTCATCTTTTTAATCAACTAGCAGTTACCTGAAACAGCGAATAAGCGCGATGATGTTGGGTAGCATTGCAGAGGTGTGTGAGACCACATAGGCCGACCAGGGGCCAGATCATGTACGATACCCACGTGCAGCTGATGCGTATCAGAGACTGGGGGAAATTTTAGATGCTCAGACTTGGCATCGTTGAACGATGAAAGGCAAGTCATATGATCTAAAATGCGCCATTTTATATGGTGACGTGTCAAAGTAGCCTGCGGACGTTGTATATTATTCACTTCCCTTTGCAATGGTGGCGTTGCCCACCTTAGATGGACCATTCGGCGTGCTGTTTTGTCGCGACCTCTGCGTGAATGCTGAATTCAGCATGCGCGAGCACCGTCATCGGTAAGTGGGAGGCAGTCAGCCGCACGCCGCATGCCACGAAGGCGATTTACCTTCGAAGATTTTCTTCTGATAGATATTGCTTCCAATAGAACTAGATACATAACTTGGCTGTAAATTTTGGGATCTAGGCTGGCTCAAAGAGCCCAATCGGTTGTGGGCTAGACTTTTGTATTACAAAAGTTCTTGATAGTTGAACTATCAAAGGCGGCTTTCTGCAAGAAATTCTGAAGGTTGCCACGATGAGGCTTTGTGTAACGTTCCTTTAGACACCATTCCCTTCTGGCCTTGAGACTGGATAGATAGCCATGAACTCACCATTAATATTACTTGGGGCTGTTGCCTGCGAGACAAACTTATTCTTTGTGTATGATCATTGTACTGCATCTCACGCATCTGCCCGATAATATGCCCGAATCAAACAGCAGGGCAGAAGAAGAACAACTCAATCGCGAAACAAGAGAATGGCGCAGGAAATACAAGGCCTCGACACGATCATTTTGCGTGTCCGGTCTCCATATAGCAGAGAAATCACTATATCTGACTCCTCAGGACGATGCGCTTCGTTGGGATAGGCTGGCAGAAGTTGGAACCTGGAGACACCGTCTGTTCCAAAACCATTCGCAGGATATCGAAGACCTCAATAGCGCCATATAAGCGACGAGAAAGGCTCTGAGCTTGGTCGCTGAAGGCAAGGAAGACCAACCATGGCGATGGGCTCAGCTGGCCGAGTACTTTAACTGAGGGCTTCCCGAAACGCCATGTAGACGATATTGACGAGGCTATGGCATTATATGATTTCGCCGACGCGTGGCGCTGCGAACAGAACCATTACGCTTATCCCATAGTGCTCCAGTGCCTTGCCAAGTGTCTTGATGGACGATACAACCTTACTTCCTCTACGACTGATCTGGACCGTGAGATCCAAACATACCAGGCAGTTCTACAGATCACACCGGATGATGCCTTAGTGCACGAGACTTTGGCCATAGGCCTGCGCAAAAGAGATGCTTTCATGAGAAGCACCACGGATCTCGATAGCTCAATCAAATTGCTTGAGCAATTGATCTTACTAGCGCCTGACTATGTAGAGGCGTTGTCGGAGCTCGGTGCAACGTTGGGGCTGAGATATTTGTTAAGCACTGAGAATCAGGATATAGAAAGGGCTGTAGCTTGCGGAAGGCGGGCATTGGAGAAGACCCACAGCTCTGATGACATAACGATGCCTCACGCTCTGTACAGTCTTTCTAGCTCTATCGGTTCAGATTCGAAAGCAGTGGCACTTCAGATGACCTAGAAGAGGCTGTTCGACTCGCAAGAGATTCGTTCCAAGCAGATATTCAAGACTCCCACAGGGCTTGCCGGCTACATAATTATCCAATACGACTGTTGGATTGGCTTGACCACTGGGGCAATATTGAAGATCTCAATATCGCGATCCAAAGCCTTGAGACCGCTCGAGACCTCGACTGTGGCGGGTTTGAGAAAGAGGACTTTGCTGGCACAGCTACGCAGAATATCCTTGCCAGTCTATCTGTTTTGCATTCCCGCCTATTCAACCATTCATGTCATGTGGAAGACCTGACTGGATCCGTTGAGTGTCTGCCGAGTGAGTCAGCGTCCAGAGGGCGAGTTCTGGCTCGGCCCAAGGGTCGCGACGCAGCTGTTGGTTCAAAATGGAGGGTAAGGCGCTGTCGAAGATATTGCCAGAGCTATCGGATAAATTGAATCTACCCTAGAGTGCATACCGCCGACCGATCCGAGGAGAGTCCCTTACTGTGGTTTGCTTGCTGAACTCTATGGCCGGCGAAGCATTCGACTTGACTCTATGAGCGACATGGACAAGGCTATTCGATTCATGAAAGATGTCTTGAATGACATTCCGTCCAAAACCAGATGTCGTGTTACTGCCATGGCAATAATTTCAATACTACTTTCAATTACGCCACCGCTGTTTTGGGCAAGTGTTTGTATGAGCGATCGAGGCAATCACTTCATCCAAGACAGCAGACAAATGACATTGAGCGAGCTATTGAGCACCTTGAGGAAATCATTGGCAATGAGAAGCAGAGCGGCAATCCTGGAGAGTATGCTGGCTTAGCCTACATCGAGAACTCCCTGGCGAATCGAGATCTTCTTCCTTACCACCTTGGCCATGACTTGGATTTTATGTTCCCGTTGAAGGAGCAAAAGGAGGGCACATATGCCTAACCTGTATGTATTGTAGCTAACTCTGGTCCTCTCTTCGAGGGTCTATGTATGGAAACAAAAGGGTTCTTATATAGTCAATGAATGGTAGACTTGCTGATTAATTCAGACAAGTTGTAGAAGCATATAGATAAGTAGGGAATGTTCTATCCTCGCCACATTTCTCGTAATAGAGGTATGTGGGGATGGTCGCCGTTCTAGGTGGCGATAGTGGCAAGTATAGGACCCACATGGCCCACAGGGCCCATATTGTCCAACTCCATGCTTATATCGCGCCGGCAGAATATCAGGATTCTGAAGCGAAGCAGCGAGAAGACTTTGATCATGCTATACATGCATTTAAGCGATGTATCACTAGCCCTCAATTTGCTTCGCTGGACAGACTATTGGCCGCTATGTGTATTGCTCGTCTTCATTCAATTTCCGGACGGTCATTACCTCCAGTCAGCGTATAGACAGACTTTAGCTGCTTTATTAAGCTGTTCATCAGGTCTTGGAATATCAATACCCTGTCGTTGCCATCTTTCTCTTTGCAAAACACTGCTGCAGCATTTTTGTCCCGGGTTAATCCATCATATATTCTAGCTACTATAATACTGTATATAATTAGCGAAATCGTATAACGTAGTCCACGGTCCAATTGCACACTTCGGCAGATTTTCGTACGCTACCACTTTGACCTGCGGTGTTTCACCATATAACTATGGCTGGTTCTTGGAATGAAAGTGATATGATTCTAGCATTACATGCGCTTCAATCTGATCCAAAATTAAGTGTACGTCGCGCTGGTCAGATCTATAACGTACCTTTTAGAACCCTTGCGTATCGACGCGACGGTAAAACCGCTCGAGCGATTACGCGATCGCCAACGCAAAAATTGACTCCTTCCGAAGAAGAGGCAATCTTACTACATATAACCGACCTAGATTCGCGAGCATTTCGTCCCCGATTGAGTGGTGTTGAAGATATGGCCAACCGATTACTTCGAAGTCGCGTCGGCGTCAACTGGGCCTCGAGCTTCGTAAGACGACAACCAGACCTCCGGACGCGTTTAAATCGAAGGATCTACTATCAGAGAGTCCTCTGCGAAGACCCCGACGCGTGGTTTGACCTGGTACGGAATACAATTGCGAAATACGCGATCCAGGAGGAGGATATCTACAACTTCGACGAGACCGGTTTTGTGATGGGCCAAATCTCGTCCGAAATGGTCGTGACGACTTCTGATCGGCGCGGAAGGCCTAGAGCAGCCCAGCAAGGAAATCGGGAATGGGTTACAGTTATTCAAGGCGTTGGGTCGTCCGGTTATGCCCTCCCTCCGTACATCATTTTCGCCGGCAAAACCCACCTCTCGTCATGGTACGAAAACAGCCCATTACCGCCTGATTGGGTTATCGCAGTTACTAAAAATGGCTGGACTACGAACGAGAGAGGCGAAGATTGGATAAAACACTTCGATCATTACACCAAGTCTCGTACGAAAGGTACTCATCGCCTATTGATCCTTGACGGTCACGAAAGCCATCGCTCGACCGATTTCGAGGTATATTGCAAAGCTAACAATATCGTCACGCTTTGTATGCCTCCTCATTCGTCGCATAAGCTCCAGCCTCTTGATGTTGGTTGTTTTCGCGGGTTAAAAAGAGCGTACGGAAAAGAAACCGAAGATCTCATGCGAGCACATATAAGTCATATCTCGAAAGAAGACTTTTTACCGGCGTTTTTAAACGCGTACAACGCAACTTTCACGGTTTAAAATATCCAAGGAGGTTCCGAGGGGTAGGGATAGTTCCGTACGATGCAGATTATGTCATATCACAGCTCGATGTGAAATTACATACGCCAACACCTCCGGGTAGCTCGGCTGGTCTCCCCGTCCCTTGGGAATCAAAGACTCCGAACAACCCAACCGAAGCCCAATCACAAACCGATTATGTGAAAAATAGGATTGTACGACATCAAAATAGCTCACCAACGTCAATTTTTGCTGGAATAGATCAGATTGCGGGAGGTACAACGAAGGTTATGCATCGGCTTGCCCTTTTAGAAGGCGAGGTCGAATCACTTCGAAAGGCAAATGAGACCTTAAGTCGACGTCGCCGTGCGAAGAAAAAACAGCTACAGAGTGGAGGGTCACTTCGTATACAAGCTGGACAGGACCTACAGTCTCAACGAGAGGTTGATGGGCAGTTACATGACGAATTTCGTCAAATTGGTGGTCGTACGAGGCGGCGAATTGCGCGTGTACGGCGCTGTAGAATCTGCGGCGAGCCCGGACATAATGCGCGCACTTGTGGAAATGATGTAGAGGCGTCTGAAGATAACGATTCTGAGTAGTTTCAATTGATGATAGGCGTTGTGGTTGAATTAACTTATACATTGTCGTATAAGGTCTGCCAAAGTGTGCAATTGGACCGTGGACTACGTTATATGTTTGCCCATATCGTCAGATTACAGCATTCGAATAACCACTTCTGGACTGGACTTACTCATCTTGTACCTTTATTCCCAAAAGTAAATATACTCTATAAAATTCTCACTTCAAGAATCATTAAAAAACCTTTACAGCACCCTCACACCAGTCCCAGAATGTCTCTGATGCGCCAGTGCCACCCTTGGTCTTCGACTTCACACCCGCGGCTACATGATCAGGAAGCGAGCCCATCCTACCCCAAGGGATGATAAAGGCCCCGTTATTCTCCGTCTTCACCTCGGGCGAGTACCCAGCAAAGATCTCAGTGTAAGCACCATTCTTAGGACCCTTCATCACAGCTCCCTGTGGCGGGGTAAGATATTGGGGCGTGTTTTAACAGCCAAATATATAACTCACGAGGACTCCACGCACGGGTGCAGACATATGTCTTTGAAGCTCTGTCTTCATGATGCCCGGATGCAATGACTTCGATTTCGTCAGCAAGTATTCTCATCAGTCTCAGCCGCGAATTGACGTACCATACTCAAGACTCCTTCCTTGCCCAGCCGTTGCGCGAAGTTATGGGCAAGAAACACCATCCCGACTTTGGACTGCATATAATTGTCAAGCGTGTCCGGGAGCAAAGTCAGTTGCTTGGCCTTCTCGTCCCAGACGATACCTCCTTGCGGAGTTCCAAGTCCGACCATAGAAGAAACCCAGACTATCCTTACTCTATCCGTTGGGGACTTCGGGCCGTGCTGAGTAATATGGGCTTAAGGAGCCTTGTCAAAAGGAACGGACCTAGGTCGTTGGTGGCCATCTGGAGCTCATGACCCTGTGCGGACTTGCTGCCAACTGAGGTTGCCGTAACGCTGGCATTGTGAAAGAGAACGTCCAGTCGTGTTTCGGATGCGAGGAATTTCTGCGCAGCTTTCAATGGATTTCAGATCTGCGAGGTCCAATACAAGTGGCATCATTTTCCCGTGGCTTGTCGGGTGCACCTGCTGGATTTGATTGATGGCACGGCTGATCTTTTCGCGGGATCTTGTCGCGATGTACACGGTGCCATTCTTCTCATATAACATTTTGACCAACTCAAAACCAATGCCGACAGCGCCTGGTTTGTGGTAACGACATTAGCATGGAATTATTTGCGCAAAATGGGCGTTAACTTACCTCCGGTGACTATAAAGACTTTGCCCATCTGATCTGGCAGGTCCTTCTCTGTGAACTGCGCGCAAGGCGGGAAGACTTAGCTGAAGACAGACATAATTGCAATGATTGGGTGTTCAAATAGGAGGAAACGGGTTGACGTAAATGACAAAGGGGTATTTCTGGTTAATGATCGCACTTGAATATATATGATTGCTGTGTGACTGAATGAATCGACAGGAAAAGAGAAAGCGGGATCTACAATTATATTCTCCGTTTTCCCTACTTGAAAATCAGGGACATTCGCCCAGATAGGCATATGTCCATAGGCACGGAACCCGACAAGGTCCGCGGGCCACGATCAGCAAAGCCGCTTGGCTTATTCCATAACGATTTGAATCCTGCAGCCCAATTTAAACGGGTTGTGGTCGCAGTTTGAGCAAGGGGGAAGACACTGCTGGCAAGACCGCCGGTGTCGGGTTTGGAGTTGCGGAACGAGAGAAGGGTCCTCGGATTTGTCGTTGAAATTGAGAGCTGTAAAGCCGAATGCCTAGACCCCGCCCCGTCGGCCAGTCGAGGTCCATTACATCTTGACAATTAGAATTCCGTGTAGTTAATCATCATTTCAAAAGAATGAGACATAATTGGCGCTTCGTTCTTGAGCTTTGATCTTGTCCAAAGTAAACGAAAGCGCTTATGTAATTTTTCGATGAGCCCCTTTGTATAATAGGAACCCGCAACTGCTCTCATGTTATCCCTGAATCCGTGTACACGCACTAGGTTCAATTTTCATATATATCGAAACCTATCCCCTTCGTTGTCCACCTTTGGCATCTAGCAAGTCGATTGGCCATTCACAGTAAAATTACCTGGTTGATACATGCCATCCACATCATCCAAACACTCAGCTACTTCAGTTAGCCTTCACCCTGTCACTGATCCATACTGCCAGAACACCTACCAACAGTCACAATCTTGAGATTGTTAGTCTTAGCCCAGTTGATCAACCATGGCACCAAAGTATTCACCGTCGAATCGTAAGTCTCGTGCATCAACGGAATATGCCCGTTACCGCTCGCACCCGCATTCTGGAACTTCTGCTCGCTGGACTGCGCCGATTCGTGGTTCCAATCGCCGGCATCGATGTCGTCGGTGATGACGACGTAGTTCATCTGCTTCAGGACCGAGAGCATGTTGGCACTTGTGGACAAGTTGGGCGGGCGCATGTAAGCGGGTTTCCTGCCGAAGATATTGACGAAGGCTTGCTCGACTCGGGTCATTTCCGTTTGAATTTGCGAGGCGCCTAGATTGCCAAGGCTGGTGTGCGTCCTGGTGGGAGGTGAGATTAGACATGAGGCATTGGCTTTTGTGTGAGAGAAAAGAAGGGGTTACCAAGTGTGGGAAGATATCTGGTGGCCAGAGTCGTAGGCATTCTTGACGGCGGTCTTTTGGTTATAGATGCAGCCTTACACAGTAAGTTGCATGTATATGTAGTGAAGGAGGTAATGCATACCATAGAGAGTGCCAGTGAAGAAGAAGGTGCCCTTGGCGCCAGCAGCGTTCAACGTGTCGACCAGCTTCTGGGTGTCTATAAGACGTATAAGTCAGTCCTGTCCAACGAGGGACGAAGGCTAGTGGCTGCAACTTACAGGTATATGGGCCATCATCGAAAGCCAATGCCAAGACTCCAGGAATGGCACATTTCGTAATCACAGTCCCAGTGGTATGGGCACGTCGAATGACCTCGACTGGGCTGGGAATGCTGGCAGTCGATGTACAGACAGCCAATAACAACGAGCCGATGATGGGTTTCAGCAGCATTTTGGGCGAGTGGACATCAGATCGCAACGCTTATGTATGGGAGCCTGCCGAAACCTGGTATTGATGAGCCTCTGAGAGATCGCTGGCATTTTATACCATTGGTGTCCCATCAGACCGCTTGGGTCAAATGATAGGACTTTCCATGTACCGGCACCTAATAAGCAAGTAATATAATCCATATTTGGACGCTCAGCTCCAGGGACCTCCTACGCCGTAACTTGAGCTTTTTGGAGACGGCTGGGATGAGAACCTGGGGTGGCTTCCAATGTCCCGGCTGGGCATTGAGGGGCTGTAGCAGGGGTTCTCTGGCCGATGGTCCTCTGGTTGAATTATTTCGATGCTAGGTGGGCTGCGCATTGTTTAATTTCGTCGAGTTTAACCGGTAGACGCTAATGCTGAAATACCGGAAGTCTTCAAGTTCCGGATTGAGAACGATAGATACTTGGAAAGAATTGAGGCAGAGAAATAGGAGAGAAGTCTTTCGTTGTAGTAGAGCATACGGCGTTGTATCAAGAACAAGACTCCGACCACATAATGCCATGGTAAGCTTTTTTTGCTTTACTGCGAGCCGTGGAGTTAGCATACAATAGTTTGAAGTCATTGTTGGACTTGGGACTAAGAACAAAGATATCGGAGTTGCCGGATACAAGATGTTGTGCAAGGGTCCCATGTCCAAAGTATTGAACTTCAATGCGTTAATCGCGACTACGCTTCCCAGTAAGTTTTGGCCTTCAAAATACACTTGTGGGATACATTGATAGCAGTTTAACTGACGCAAAGCCAATATGACTAGCATAGGTTCAAGTGAATTCCCAAGCCAGCCGGACACATACATCAGACGAAAGTAAACTCTTGCTGATCTAGCTGCGCTGGTGACTTGTGCAAGTCCAAACCGCAGCGTCTGTCAAACACGAGCTCCCGCAGTGCGTGCTCTTTCGGTGTCTCCATTATTATTGTCTCTAATATTGAGATGTGGTTAGATCACTACGTCACGACCTAGATTGCGAATTTCCATCCTGATCGTGGGTTGTTGCGGATACCAACGATGGCATCGCAGGCAACCACCCACTCCCCACCTAGACCCCTCACCGTCCGCTGCCAATGTGGCTCTGTCTCCTTCCCGACCCCGACAGCTACTTATCTCGACCTCTTCCACTGTCACTGCACCGAATGCCAAAAGCAGTCGTCCAGCGCCTACGGCACGTCGGCCATCTATCCCGCCGAGGGCCTGTTTCCGCTCTCCCCCGCCCTCGAGGCCAAGCTCAAGGTATACACACGGCCCACGTCGAGCGGAGGCACTATGCACTGTTGGTTCTGTCCAGAGTGCGGCTCGCGTTTGGTACACCGCGTGTATGAAAAAGACGGGACGCCGCGGTCGACAGTCAGTGTGAAGGGCGGGTGTGTCGAGGGGTTAAATTGGGAAGGGGCGAAGCATATATATGTGCGTAGTGCAGTCATTGAGATTCCGGTGGAATGGGAACAGTATTACACTGGGCCTGTGGATATAAATAGGGGGGAAGTTCGCAATTTTGGCAACTTATGAGGAACAGGAGTTGCGTTGACATACGCGCTGGATTGGTATTGACTGTTTTATATGAGCCTCTGATGGATCTCATAACTGTTCAAACCTTCTTGTAACGGCTTGACTTTTTCACATTTATGGTGGCGGGCTTTTATTGTCTATCCATACGTCCTTGCACCAATTATGAGCAACACCAGATCGAGATCACTCCTGCTGTTTGGGACATGGCGAAGACATGTTCTGGCTTCAACTGACACCACTTTAGGCCACTACTCGGTCCAGGTTAGCACTGAGACCGAACTGCGAGGCCATTCATTACCTGCTGTGTCAACATTACAGGTGAAAGAGGCCAGGGTGACATCGCTCCAATGGAGATGGCTCTATTTGTGTTTACTACTTTATTATAAACATGATTGTAGGTGCTACTATCCACCTCATGCAAGAGATCCAAGTGCCTTCCTTATTATGATGCCCCGGCGCATTTATCGCAATTCCGCGTCGAGCTTGATCTGATTCAATGCACGTTGCAGAACATGCTTCGTCTCGACCCAAAAATAAAGCCGAACGCCAAATTTTGAAGACCAGAGCGATAGCTACACACTGGTCGCAGACACAGCAGGCAATGGTGAACAAATAGTAGTCTCGGCCACTTTCGCACTACAAGGCGCCTGAGCAACATTGTAATCCAACTTCACTGGACCATGATAGCTCAGAAGGACGTTGATGACCTTCGAGGAGTATCTATTCCGAGATGCTTCCTATCAACATATTACTGATTGTCCAGCAGATTTACGAGTGACCTCCACTCATGGCCCGAGTTTTGTATTAGTCTGTCACAAATGCAGATTTCGGAAAACACAACTTCATCATTTGTCGTGCAGCATTCCACTGCCTTCGTGAAAGATACATCCGCCATCCTAAGCATAGTGCCGGAAACACATAGAATGGTCGCCAATCTTGCATCTCAATTAACCTCACAAGCAGATGAATATTCCAAGCAAGCAGAATTACTGGATCACGGGCTAGCAACTGGCTCAATACAACCGATGCTTCCGCCATGATCCGTCAACATGCGATTCCCATAAGTCGCAACGCCAAGGCATTATTTACTCTGATGGGGGACATCAATAAACTCTTCATCGACTAAGGGGCTCCCTGAAATCCATCGTCTGCCAAATCTAACACCGTGATTTCTGACTTATATGAATTTTGGCAAGGGCTTCCAAGGAGATACTTGAAGCGATTGATTAAAACACGTAAGCTCAACAACTCTTCGGGCCTTCGCCTTCCATTTTTTTGGGTTCCATCGTCTCAACAAATTGATAGAACCACGTTTCTACATGTAACCAACCAACTAAAACGAATTTTAGTTTCTATCGATGCTATTCTGCTACACCTCAGCGTTGATAGCATCCGGTTATACAGTGCCCTAGGAGAGAGCTAAGGCTTACCCCTGCAGGTCTGTACCATATTGGAGGCGAGTTGTTCATTTAGAACGAAGGAACGGGCAACTGTACTTGTAACCATTTGTCTATTTTGTTCGGTTTATTATTCTGCAACAGAGATGAACCGATATAGCAACTTTGATTGGTACTCCCATTACTTCTGCTTTGTCAAAACGTAGTAGTCACCTAAAGCATTTGACTATTCAAGTTTTAGAGCGGAAGGTACTCAAATAACGTATATAGGTGTGACAAACGCTATTCAGAGTCTGATTATTAAACCACGGAAGCGTGTCTAGGTGAGGTTGTGCTAGCAAGCAAGTACTGTTAAAGGGTAACTAAGCAATATGATATGTATAGAGAATTAACTATAACGATACGGTGTAAGAGAGAGCTAAGATAGAGTAGTTAAGGCTTAATAGGCCTTACCTGTAGGTTATATAGATTCTTAGATTAATTACTAAAGCAGGGGCTGTTTAACTATGAAATAAAAGTTATTCCCGTGATCGATCCTTGTCCCGTGACCTTGGACCCTCTGTTGATATTTCTGTGTTCCTATTCCCATTTCCTATGGGGTCTGTACCAACGGATCGCAAATCTACAATTTAGGCCAATTAGGACAGGCAAGTCCTACTGGTAAGTGCGATATCTAAATATATTACCACTACAGAATGTCCACGGAAAGCTACTCATTACAACCTACCAGTTCTCGAAATAGGATATTGTCTCCACAGCAAAATCATGAGACTTGGTGGGCTATGGTGGTGATTAGTTCAACTAGTTTGCAACTGGTAAATACTAGTGTGGTGGATCCGAGGCTTGGCGAGGTGTATGTCCTGGTCAGCGGTCCAGCCTCAGTCGGTGGAGCGTCCTGCAAGGTACGTATCTAGGAACGCCAGTAGGAGAGTGCGATATCAGGGCGGAGAAAACTAGACGGTGGCAGCCGGCCAGAAACGAGAAGACCCTCCGCCATCGCCAAGGCCGAAGCCGGGGCATAATGGTGGAGGACCTCGCACGGTTAATTTGTGATAGATAACTCTCACCAGCTTCATCGATATAGTCAGGAGCAGTCGTTCAAAGCAGCATCTGCGGGGCTGGCTTCAAAGTATTCGTGGTTAGAAGAGACTCGCTAAAGCATCTAAGTTTAGCACCTGTTACAACATTGGCGGTTATCATGAAGCGGAGGACCGGGTTGTTTTCCTTTTTAAAAGAAGAAAAAACCCTGAGATTTTTCCTTATGGTGCAGGAGCTCGAACGTACCAGACTACTCTCCGATATGGCGACAGCTCGTGCAATGAATCGCTTTAGCTCTTCCTGGTTTCGTTTGTACAAGTAGATTCTGCCGTCTTCTACGAATATTGAATTGGCCAGAATCAACAAGTAGAAAGATGAGGTCTCTATCCAGACTGCCGTTTATGAGTTCAGCCGATATTTGTTTCCATGAACAGGGTTTGTACCGTTGATTTGCTAAACCAGGCTCGAGATCAATATTCGCTAGACGAGTAATATTCTTTCATGTCTAGCAAAGCCCTTATATTCAGATAATATGTACGTTAATGGAGATTAACAATAACCAGGCACTTTACATGGGTTTATTTTCTTCTTTCTCGGGAAATACGAAGAAATGGCAATAGGAATTCTCCACTCTGTACCGAAACATCCGATGAACATGCACCCCATACGCGAGCACACTGCCCTACGCTGCCAGACGCATGTATTCATTTGGTCTACGGGAAATGAAATTGATATAGTATATACGGAACATGAGTCATAACAAGGAATTGCCAGCTGACAGTAGGAAAGTCGGCAGACCCGTGCAGTGCATAAGGTGAATCCTAGCCTAATAACCTTTCTCCCTTGTCCTTCTGAATCTCGTCCGCCGAGAACCCCTCATTCAGCTCTTTGATGTAATCCTTCATTGATCAAATGTTTCAAGTGATCATACCCCATGGGCTGATTTCGGTACTTGGCCAACGGCCGCGCAGTCGAAATAGCATTGCGGGTCTCTCTTCCATCAAGATTAGGCGTAGCTGGTTCGTCTAGATGCTCACTGATACCTCCTTTGGTGTTGACTCCAAGGCTGACGCTTGTGCTGGAACTATCAAGCTCTTCGAGGCGGTTGATGGCTAGATGTAATGGTTCGCAAGGTACACCGCCAGAGTCAGGAATGGCATTATTCTAATCGAACACGATACCTGTCACGGAATGAGGTACACGACTAAGTTTTACAGAGGGAATCAGGCAGCTCTCGAGGACGCAGGAGAGGCTATAACTCTTTCCAGAACCCTGGCTGCCACAGATATGAAAGATTCGCAGTCCTCGGACGGTATGCGTTGGAGGTTATCTTCGTCTCGGGCGAAAAGGGGCGTCCTAGGCAAAGGGGGGCTTAGACGATACAGTGGCCAGAATCTCAGCGGACTTAGAGACTAGGTACGTAAAAAGCAAGGCGGACATGATCTCATTCAGCCAGTCCTTATCCGGGAGGCGCTGGAGAATGCCAACCTCACTTTCTCACCCGACTCGTGCTTCTCTTGCACTCCGACTTCTGGCACGAGATGGACCAGCGGAGGTTTGACAGCCAACGCTTGAAAATCATGTATCAAAGCTCTGCGGGGAGGCGGATGAATTCGAGTCAGTCGATCGAGTCCTGAGGGGCAGATATTCGTGCCTTCTTGATCTTGAGATGGCCCATGACGGAGACGCTCAATCGTGGGGTGGGATTTCGTGTCGGGTCGCATCGTGATTGACAGATTGCTAGGAAGCGCTTGGTAGCCATCTAGAGGCTGTCTTTTGGTTCAATGCTGTAAGCAACTCAGAATAACGAACGTTTGATATTTGGCCAAGAATCATTCATCTTCTACATCATGCACTTGGCTTGTGACGATGCGGCAACCAAGCAAGAATAGGTGGATGGATACTACGCAGATTCCGCAAGTGCCACAAACAGTAATAATGACCGCCGCCAAATATCAGCCTGATCAACCCATCACAATCAACCACGTCTCCGGGTGGATATTGTCTCCGCATCAAAATCCGGAGATTTGGTTGGTTGTGGTTGATGGTGGACGTGGCTGGTGCGCACCAGGTGGACACTGGTTAGGTTGAAGAGGCCCTTGACTGCACTACACCGAGTAAACCGTCATTGTGTTTTACCAGCGTTTTTCATTAGGATGCAAAATGAGATATTAAAAGTCGAGTCTTTCATGTGCCATATGATAATTCACGGAAGTTGATGGATCTAGTGTGGTCCCATACCGGCGGGAATCAGTGCATAAAAGAACCAGACGTGAGGAGGAGCAATACAAGCATGTAACGATCGAGCTCGGGCTGTAGTCTGGATTTGCGCCCGAGAATACTAGCAAGACTATAAGTGGGTTTGAGATCATAACCACGTGGCGAAGGCAACTACTATCGCTGTAGGGCTAACTTGGGTGGAGAATACTAAAGAAACCTATTATGAAAAGTTCGTGAGGACCACCGGGGTGAAAATATTGCTGCTAAAAGTCCAGGGAATCCGAATAAGCGTTAGACACAAAAGGCCGGCAGCCACATGATATTTAGACTTAGGGACGGCCCATATTAACGTCAGCTCTTAGCGCGTACAAATGGGCAAGCTTAAATGGAGACCTGGTATGATATGTGACTTCAGTAATTTGTAGTCGGAATCCTTCGTACATGGTCCCAAATGGGGTTAAGAAAAACATATCTACAGACATAGTTGCCAATTTTGGGTCGTAGCAATTTTAGCCAAACTTCACACCATGCTCTCTCACTACTCCCACTAAAGCAACAACAGCTCCAGCTCACTCGCCAAGATGGAAATTGTCAGAGGATAGGTTCGCATGTTGAATTAGGTTGTTTCATTATCAGTAAGATGGTCTTCATTACAGAGTACTCTCCTCTGTCATCTTTGTTTAATACTAAGATATCCGCGAGGCCTTGAACCCCTTAATTTGAAGATTCGTTTCTTACCCTACAAGGACTATTATGGCACCAGACTTTCCAAAATGCCAGATGCATGATACATGGAATCTCCAATTACCTTGATTGTAATGCTCGATTGGGCGTTAGAGCACAATAGGGTGGTGCCCGAATGGCTCTCAGAGGCCACGAGGGATGTTGCTTTAGTTGAGTTCATACGGACCATACTTGGAATGACCTTCCGGGGAAATATCTGCCAGTAAAATGATTCGTCACGGTACTTTCAAGAGTATCCCCATGATACCGGTTTACTCCTAACACCAGCCCCCGGCGGCACGAGTTCGGTTCCGTTGCGGTTATACGGCCTCCGATCTCGCAACCTACGCTCCGACTCACGCCAACTGCATGTCGCGTCAAACAACTGGACTCAGGATCCTCGCTTGAAGATAAATCTAGACGTCACGCCATCAGACCCGAAAAGTCACCCGGAGAGACGAACAGCGCAAGTAGCACACCAGCAAATCCCGACCACCCGCCAATTCGAACCTATTGTCCATACACAAATAGCTCCACTCGTGAGTCCCCACCCGGTAGCCTACCAGCCCCTTAAGTCCACCGACAGGCGTTGAGCTCGACTTGATCATGACACCAAAACCCCGCAACACTGTGTGAACTAGGCTTGAAGGGTACGGCATGGTGTGCTTTATGCAGCCACGACTGTCAGTCAGTTGGTCAAACTGAGAAGCAGCTAGTCTAACTAAAGGCCTGGCTAATCTACATATAACATAAAGTGACAGATCGATCTTCAATGAATCCCGGTCTCTTCGACTTGATAGGCTTGTTCATAATGCATGGAAATGCACTCTTTTGACGGGCAGCGGTCATAGCTCCGCAGGTCATTAAGACATCCGAGACATAATTTGTTCACTTGCAGTGGATCGCCGCAGATTCCCGGAGGCAGACTCTCATGTGTCTATCGAGCAGCTCACCTGAGAAGGCTGAGACGCATGGGCTCATCCGTCGAGACGTCTTGATGATACCCTGCAGCTACTTCGAATCGTTCTGGCCGGCTTCTTGGCGTAAAACAAACAGGATTGGATATGTATATCCGTGACTTGTTGAGAGCACTAAAGGGGGCGGGACAATGTGAAGATGTGCAGCAAAGTGCACGACAACTTGATGACAAAATAAATTGCTAACACAGGTGGGATCTTCAAGTGATACCTGGTCTGCTACATTGGAATCTTGGGTTATCCCATAATATCCCACTAGGGTATCGAGTTATCCCATATTGTTTTGCTGTTTATTGTGTTACCTCCTTGCAGGAAGCAACCCTGGCATAACAGAGGTTTTCTCATATGCAGGTTTTCAAATAAATCTCCGATGAGATACCGCGCAGTAAAGGCTCACATATCACTAGAAGTTGCTAGAAGTGGACATAGAATGACCTCTCCTGTCGATTTACTTGTTGGGCCGTTTCCCCAAACGTGTTGATGTTTCACAATGCTGCTGTGAGTACCATACACAAGTATGTTTACCCACCCAAGAACTCACCGAATGCGAGAAATGAATACGAATTAGCAGGGTTGGGTTGCACTCTAGCTGCTGGCAATGTGTCACGAGATCCATGGGTAGGACCGTATCTGGCATGAGTCGTATATAACGAACACTTGCTTGCTATCTATTTGCCACTTATCCGTGTCTTCTTTCTTGGGAACACTACGATGCAGCGTAATTATGTACTCGACATAAACAACACCAGCACAACACAGCCCGACGAACCAACGCAACAATTGAGAATGAACAGGGTATCAAAGACAGACCATTAACCGACCAAGTATGTTCCCGGCCAGTTACATCTAATCACCTGGATGATCCCCGCAAAAGCCTACATAAATGCAAGAGTATGTATGCCTGCCGGGTATCCATGCAACAAGGAGTAGACCAAAGACCTTCATTAAGTTCCTCCACCTTTGTGGGACAACCCGTCATCTCAGAATGAATTGGGGTATCGCGGCATCAATTCATCAGTCGTTAAACAAGGAAAACCAAAGTCCGGCATCCGAGCCGACGCCAACAGACATCTAGTGTGCCTAAGAGATTCTGATACCTCCGCCTAAAAAAATACAAAATGGTCATACCCAGATACGTCGTGAGAAAATGATCATAAGCGTGACATAAAGAGATTCCAAACTATGCAGCGAATGTAGATGCCAGGGGTATATCCCCAAAATTCCAAACCAGCCCCTGAACGCCGACGCATATAAGAATGAACCCAGTCGTAAAATGCAGGTGTAGTCCGCCAAAGACATAGGAAATAGCAACGTCATAAAATGGTAGCGATAGCGGAACATGTGAGACATCAGATTAGGTGAAGTCCATGTCATGATCTAGTAGAATGAGATTCCAGAGGCTTCTCGTCGAATGATGCGCGTTCCGTGTTGCCTGTCATCAGTAGGCAGCAGTAGCACTATTCTCGCTCGTAGCAACAGCTACGAGTGCCTGGAGACGCAACATGTTGTCTCGGTCGGTGGCGTTGTCAGACCGGGGAGGTTGTTGCGGCGACACGTTTTGTCGAGCAGGAAAACCTGCGAACTCGCCAATATTTGGATGAACCATCCGTTCCACCCGCGCCATCTTCTCAGGTGGGGCATCCGTGTGCACAGTAACGGGGCCATTGTACCAACCATGTCTCTTCCCGGTGATGGACGGAGCGGACATGGTGTGTTGATGGAATGATTTGTTTTCAATGGTCATGCTCGGATTGCTCCGCTCGATGATGATATTGTCATTGAATCTAACCATTGGCGGGTTGAGCCGCACCCTGTCAGCTTCTGCTTCGACAAGCTGGTTGACCTCGTGAGCCCAAGACCCAGCCCCGTCCCTGGGTGGTGTCGTGTTCGATGTTGAAATATCGAGGCGGGTAAGGCCTCGATGGAGGGAAACGTCCCAGTTAGTGCTGCCCCGTCTCTCCTCCGTCCGCGATTCGACCACAGGTGCTAGAGTATCAAGATGCATTGGCGAAGGAATGCGTCTCGGAGGTGAAGATGGCCGATGTGGCACGGGATCGAACGATTCGATGCCGGGAAGGCGCACGGTGGTGCTCTGAGCGGCAGGGTTCGCGATAGGAACCGAATTCGAGAACTGAGATGGGGTGATAACGTTACTTAGACGACTGCTCGTGGCTTGGAAGTTGTTGCTAGAGTCCGGGTGCCAAGTTCGTCTCCTCCACGCCTCCTCTGCTGAATTTGACTCGCGCCGGGAGAAGACCGATGATGTAGGGGAGGTCACACTGAGAGTTGGGGAGAATGAGCCTTGATTGGAACTGTTGGCTCCAGGTCCAAAAAGTGGTCGTCCCAGGCTTGCACCAATTGGTGAGGAGAAAGGGTTGCCCGACGGAACGCTCAACCGCCTCCCAGGGGTACGTGACCCTGTGTACATGCTCTGAGATCGAGAATGGGACGAAGTGGGCGACGCAATGACAGATCCACTCCACCTGGGGCTGCTCTGAGCGGTTGAGAAGGTCGCCGAAGTTGGCGTGCTGAAGTCGCTGGGAAACTGGCTATCGGCACCGCTGTGGTATGACTCGAAGGATAGTCTTGATCGTTGGTCTGTGGCCATCACCAAAGGAGGAGGCCGTCTTGTTCTGACTTCTTCCCGGTTGTTACCAAAATTGGACCCTATCGAGGTTATGCTCGATGTAGATAATGACTTGGAATGCCCTCGGGCGGCTCCTACACTCCCCGCAGTTGAGGCGCGAGCCCGACCTGGTTGACGAACTCGCTCGGTCCGAATCTGGCGTTGGAATCTAGTGCCCGTAGCAGCCAGACTTTCCGGCGGAATGTCCTCGTTTACATGGACAGTTTGCGCATGTTGACGAAGATTGTCGAGGCGCGAAAACTTTCTTTGGCAGAAACAGATACTACATCGGGTGTTAGCCACCCAAACTTGGGGACACTGGGGAGGGTTGGAATGTTCCAAGTCATGTCTCAAGAGTGTAAAACCCTAGAGAAGCTTCGGCTAGGCAGTTTACACTCCTAAGATCGACCAGAGCGAACAACAGTAGGTGAAGATTGCATACAAGGGCCTCTCGCCAGTGTGTTTCTGCATCAGTGTTAACAATGATTCCAAAACCTGGTTTGAAAGATCTAGTCGAGCCCTGCAAGGTCGTCGAACTGTCCTTGGCAGTCCGACCGCCCTGAGGCACACTGGTCGAGGGAGAAAGGGCTTGAAGTAAAGTAACTCACCCTGATGTGTCGTGCCAAATGCTCGCTCCTCGTGAAAGACAGGTTGCACGGGGGATAATCCGTGCAATAAAAGCGCTGCGACTTCTTGTTCTTCTTGGATGATTTCGACCCGTCGATACTCTCGTCTTCTGATCCATCCTCTCCGTGACCTTCGCCATCTGTGTCATCCACGTCCATATTCGAATCCCTCGACTTTCTCGAAATCTGCGAACTTTCCCGCCGCGGTCCTTTCTTCTCATCAATGTTGTCGGGAATCTGAACTGCTTGTGGAAACGGCGACGATGGCAATGGGCGCTGACCGAAAGTGGCTTTGGTAGGCGTCGGGGTCGTAGGCGAGGTCGTCATTGTGGAGTCCTCCTTCTTCACCTCGATATTGACCGGCCGAAATGCCGCTGCCATATCCGAGCAAGTCGGGAGTTTGTTGACGGTGGAAGTTGACGAATGCGGGAATGCGAAAGGAGTCGAAATGCTTGAAGTACCTCAGATGACAGCCTCGCGAATTGCGACCAAAAGCGGGCGGAGGAGGGGTAGGTGTTTGAGACAGATTGAGAGGCGGCGAGAAGCGGAGGGGGGAGGGGGAAAGAGGGAAGAGGGAGCGAAAAGCGCCGTTTCAACTCATTCGAAAGCTTGTTCGCCCAGATACCCCGAGGTTAACTGACGACGGTTGTGATTGATGATGCGAGAAAGCCTCTGTGCTGCCGGGGCTCGGTGGGGGAAATGTGTCGAAGGCAGGCAGGCTGGTGAAGCCGAAGAGACAGCCAGCCACTGATGGCTCGCAGGGGGCAATGCGACAAACAAGAAGAAAGAAATTCGATGGGCCGTTTCGTCGGTTGCAGTGTCAATGCAAGGAACTCATTAGCTAGTCTTGACCATGTCCACGACTACTCGGCGAGCACGTAGTGTACGTGCGAAAGCTGGGCCTGGGCAGATCTAACCAACCACCGGACAGGCTCTGGATCCAGAAAGCGGGAGCCCGGGCTGATCGGGTCAAATCGAAACCAGTGTCGACCAAAAACAAGTCGGCAAGTGCGATGGCTGTGCGAAACACTATGGGATGATGTGCAATACAGCAATTTCTTCTTTTCGTGAGGGAGTAATGGGATGGATGTTTGTTGCAGATGGCAAAGAACAGAAAATGAGGAGAAAGAAGATGGAAGCGTGGTCGCGCAGCTTCGGGGGCGAAGTGAGAAAGTGAAGCAGGTTCGGGATGGATGGGACGGATTGTCGATGATGACTTATTATTTCGCTGGGCCTGGTCTAAAGTCCGAACAGGGGCACAGCTAGCTTGGCGTGTGATATACGAACTGTGTGCCTGGTTCAGTGCAAGTGCAGGCAAGTGCGCGATGGAGGTAGTGTACGAAGTACCGCATTGGAGGGGCGATTCATCAGATTGCGACCGAAGCTGGCCAAAGTTGTTGATGCACGGCAGGAGAGGCCCCCGATGAATGATTGCAGATGAGCTTTGGCGTGGTTCTGGATGACATTGAATGAAGCTCGCATCTCTCGTCAGACACAGCAAGTGATACTAAGCAACAGGGCGTCGTCAAATGACTCTCGTCGGGACTTTGGGTGCTAGCAGCAAAGGGCTTGCAAGCACTTTCTCTCGGTTGAGTGTGGGGTGGATGCTCGCTCGACTTGGAAGCTGCGTGGCTGGAACCGTGGAGGGGTATTTCATGCGAGGGAGGGGCTGGCTGACCCCCTGTCTGGAACAATGGCCGTGCCCTCTACCTAAGTAGGCGCTAGATGGATTTTCACAGGCAAAGACAGTCTAGGGAGCAGGGGTTTACCCGTCTATAAAAAGTGTCCATTGGCATACAGCGAATGTCCTGGCGCCAGGGCGCCCTGAACTTGCTGGGTTCCGCCTTGGTCAGAGTGGTTAGGTTGTGGCCGACTGGATCTCCCAATCGACACTTCGACCTAGACAAGCTAGATAATGCGAAAGCAAGTGGAGTCGGAGGGGCAGGGCAAGGCACATCATTCAAACTTTACATCATCGAAGGCTTCTTTCCTTTTTTTCTGGAGAGCTGGAGGAAGCCTTTTCGGTCTGATCAGGTCGGGCTTGCGAACTGGCACACAAGTGTCAACGTCGCGAGTCGAGACAGGGGGTCTATGTTCATCCGTTAATAAGCTTATGTGTCTCCCAAATAGAACTTCTCGTGCAACGAGGCCAGCGTTCCTTAATTCTTGCGGTGTACTTAAGCTAATGGTCGTTGACTCGTTGCTACATTTAGTGTCCTAATAACTCCTTTGGCGCCATACATAGTTGATACTAGACAATCAGCATGCCATTCTCTCGGTCCTGGTGGCGTTTGGAGGATTCTGATTATTCGGCACATTGGAGGCTAGAAAGCAGTGGCGGGGAAGCGATCTTTTGCAGGATCTGTTGATGATCTGCAAACGCCGGAGCGGCTCTGACGCAACTTTGGACAACTTGGAGTGTGCAGCTCAGGATCTGACTCGCGGGGTATTGCACTCTTGTTGGACTCTAGTTGGCCACGCCAGCCAATGACCTCCGTCTGTCTGTCGCGTTTAATCCTTTCAGCATCAACACGCTTCACATTATCTCCTGAAGCCATGTTCACGATAGCAGGGTCCATTCTGTGAGAAGCACAGACGGGGATGGATGTTTTACGGCTAAAAGCACCTGCATATCAACGGGCACCTGCTCGGGAATCCCTGAAAGTGCCGCATGCCTTCCTGCAGTCACCACTAATTCTGGCAGGTAGGCACACAGGAAATGTCAGCATCCAGCTGATGTGAATCACCACCAACCAACACCACCACCACCACCATTGTTCCTCAGGCACGCAGGGCGCGCAGCACCAGTATCGTCGACTTGGGAACGTCGCTCCAATTTCGGGCCCTTTTCTTATCACACCACTAGTCATACAAGCTCCGACCAAACCGACATATTTCTCGATAGGCGAGTCTGCCAGCCGTTCTATTTAACCCAAAAATCCGTACTCCAAACTCTGTCGGCATTAGGAGCGTTGGGGCTTCCCGATGGTGAAAGCTGACAGTTCCACAGATGGCCACTTCACAGTTATCGTGCCTGAATGATCTATCATTCTCACGGAGGCACTACCCGTCACTCTGTACGTTGGTTACGCGTCCAGCTCCTGCGACCGCACCAATGACTCCTCACCAGTCCCATTGGGTCAGATATGTGAAACGCCAAAACGAGGGGCACAGCATGGCGGGTCGTCAGCAAATTACTCGGGTTGACACGTTGGCTTGGCTTGACATTCCGATTTTCCCTATTCGTCGTTTTTCGTCATGGCTATTGTTGGTTAGGCGCATCAGCCCTCCGGCCGTGGCATAGTCTCAAATAGACAACGTTATAAGACTTTCACCGCGCGCATAGCAAAGGCCGAGACCGCGGCGGAGTTTACCAAGCCGTAACAAGGCTCATCAACCAACCTTACCCCACCCCGGCCAATGATCAACGATCAACGATCGGACCCCTTGCAGTGTTACCGATAGAATATTTCCCCTCCTGACTTGCGATTGCCAAGATACACATTGAACATATTTCCGCCCAATGGTCAATATCACAAACTGTTCTTAACCATTATTGATTGCCTGCCTGCCTGCGCTGTCACCGTCCCACAGGGCAATCCGAAAGGTGGTGGTCATGATTTGTGTCGTGGATTCATCACATCACATGGCAACCGACCTACACGTCGTCCATAATCGGATATGACTCTGGTGACTTACGAGCCGGTGGGTTCTCTCGTGAGTCATGCGGTGGTCACACCAACCTTGTGAGGCAAAGTCGAGTCAGCTACCATAGTAAAGACATTTTTGCTCCTGCCACTGCGAGATAACGGCCAACATGTCGGGGCCGACGATGAAGCTAGTCACTTTAGGGCTCTGGAACCTCTCGCTCAATGCAGGCCCGGATCAGTTGTTAAACGCCTTGTGGACTATTCCTGGTAGCCGTCGCTGAAATTTCCCTGACCCGGGTTCTCACGTCAACCGTCAGCCTCTCCGCCCTCTTCGAGAACACAGAGAACACAAGACAAAACGAGACTGCCTACCAGCGGATGTAGCAATGCTGGTCGGGTTTCCCGAATCGGCCTTCGACACCGAGGGATGGTCCCCTTTCCACCGCACCAATCATGCGGCACGATGCAAGGCACACCTTTGCGGTCGAAGCCTATTCCCCGCTTATCACCGGGTTCTTTCTCGTCCCGTGTCACCACCCATACAGGGTTGCTTGCATGAAGTTCAAGAGGCCCATCATATTTTCACATGTCTTAGCCATATCTTTCTGCCTTTGCGAATAAGGCTCACCGAGCTTGAATAAGTAAACCTTCTTTCCCTCATGCTTCCACGCCACTTCGCCTTGGCTTTGTGCTTTCTACCAGCGTTGGACTATTCTCGTGACCGCTCTTTCTTTCGGGTGACTAGACTGGTAGATCGACAGCCTCGCCCTGACGCATCTCCCGTGGGTCGTCTCCATGTTTGCTAAGCTGACCATGCAAGTTCCGGAGATGGAGGAACGCTGCAAGCCACGGAAACAGGTAGATGCCTGCCCTACCTAGATTTCTAGTCACAGGAACAGGTGCGGTCCGAATACACGTGGCAGCTATGCGAGCGGGTGCAGTGTCATTCGTCCAAATGGACCAATACGAATCGAGTGATTATCCCTCGCTTTATGCAATCATCGAACTGTGAAAGCCCCGCATTGATGCCCTTTTTGATAATCAGGCACGGTCCTTGACCGGACTGTTGGAAGTCTGCCCCTGGCAGTCCACGAGGATGGGTCTACACGGCTATGCGGGGTGTGTGAAGTGATTTCCTCGCAAGGCTACTACGCGACGTCACCATAACCTTTCTCCTTTCGAGCCATACTGCACGCTCCTCATTGCGATAACTAGATTCTGTGATGTCTTTCTAGCGTTGCTTTCTGAGGATTCCATGCGGGTCATGTGATCGATGCTTACAATATATCCGAAAAGGGGGTACGTGTTGTAATCGTCCATAAAATGCATTGCCAACTCGTTGGTATCAAATTAAAAGCTAAGAACTAACTCTCGAAGCTGCAAACATCACACAAGGGATTTCCCAAACTAGATTTTCGTACACGGATGCAAGCCGTGGAAGAATAGGCTGGGGCAATCAACCATATTTGGTCTCTACTACACCAGTTCTGGTTTATATACTAGACCATGAGGGAACACTACCACATATAGGCCGTGGAGGTGGAGCTAGGTATGGTACGAACAGGGGAGGTTCACGGAGAAATGGAATGTTTCGGATACAGGTAAAAGGAGTGCATCGGAACGGTTCTGTGGTGCTTATTAGAGGTCGGAATGGCCGAGAACCAGCTCAGTGATCATTCCCCTCTACTACAGTTGTGCTCAGTTCGATATCACCTACACGAAACCCGAATGTTTCAGTTCTGTCTCTCCCATCCGTAATTGCTATTATAATATAAACCCGGTAAGTAGGTTGACCCTATGCAGTACTAATCTCCGTACCTAATAACTAGCTATAACCTTCGCATCCCATCTTGAGCGGCGTGCCGAGCTGAGCCGGATCCACCTCTTGTCTGCCACGGGGTAACCGAGACTGCCTATGGCGGAGCAAAACGGAGCGAGACCCAGTCGTACTACGATAGCTACAAATAGCAAAGGCGACAATTATTGTCGAGTCACCCGAGGGCAAAGTTGCACTGACTTCAGATGCAGACCCCGAAAGACACACCTCCGACAGCGATCCAATAGTTTCAAAGAAGCTAAACTTAGGCAAGGACGGCCTCCGAAAATGACTGTGGGCGACTCTTCTAAGAATACCAGCTCGGAAGAACAGCAGAAGATGAAGGAAAGAGAAGGGGCAAGTGACTCGCGAAAGCCCAATCGATCCAACTTTCCCGCGTGTTGACCTACATCAGATTCTGAGAATGTCGGAAATCTCCTGGACTGTGTATGCACGAACCGAACTACCTCCAACAGAAACGGAAGACGAGGGTATAGACACGGAATCTCTATTCTGAAGTGGGCAGCTAACCTGCCTGGCTCATACCGCTAATTATAGTGGACATTACCTCTCACTTACATAATTATCACTAGTTAGGCACCGAATGTGATTGCAGAAACTTGGATGTAACATGTAACCCATCAAAAATAATATATCCATTCATAACCCCTAGTGTCTTTCTAGATATCTGGGAACATACAGTAGTTGCAATCATGCAGTCATCGAGTGGCTCAACCCCAGCAACGAAGAGCACAGACGAACATCTACCCACAGATAACCTTTTTGAAAAGAGCCTGCTCCAGCCGGAGAGCAAATCTGCAAAAGATAACGAGGACTTCATGAAGGGTTGTGATAACGAGGATAATCCCACTGATGATGTCGGATCCGCGACTCGCCAGTCGCCCGGCTCGGCCCCGCATGGACTTTAACGCGAAACTACTGCTACGGAATCTTCTCAGCGACCCTCGAAAATGAAAGAAGTCAGAGAAGCTGCAGGAAAAGATGCAACAGCTGAAGAAGACAGTCCGCTAAAGCCTCCATACAGCGTTCTTGGGGAGCCGATTAAGATCGGAATCATCCTTGCCGCCTCCTTCGCCGCCATCATCTCCCCAGTTTCCAGCAACATCTACTTCCATGCTCTCAACTTGCTGGCTTTTGGCCTCCAGGTGTCAATGCCCTTGATCAATTTGACAATCACGACGTACTTCGTAAGTGAAAGAATGCTCAAACTCTTTTTGGGATGCTATAAGAGCGTTGCTCATGCAATCTACAGATTTTAAAAGGGCTGGCGCCCTCTTTCAATGGAAATTTCTCGAGCAGCAATGGTTGCCGTCCAGCTACGTTATCTGTTTCGTCATCTGCAATGTCGTCAACATCGGTCTGGCTCTGCAACACAACTACGCTGCTCTCATGGCTCTTCACTGCATTCACAGAGCTCCAGTAGTAGTGGCACCATTGCCCTAGAAAGTGCGATAGTTGCCAATGCGTCGACGCGGGCACAGCGTGGCAAGTTTGGGTAATCATCGGGGTCCTTATTTCTTTTCTATGCTGTATCTAGGGAGTGATGTAATCTCCAAAAAGAAGTCTTACGTCCTAGACAATATTTAAGAAGCAACTACTAACGCCGAGAGTTGAACAGATGTCGGCTGTGCATCCATGGGAGTGACGTTTGGTTCTGCCTTGGGCCCTATCATTGGCGGTATTCTTGACAAATTCCCGGGCTGGAAAGCCATCTTCTGGTTTCCTTCATTATCGTCGTCATCTTAATGCCAGAAACCTGTCGGGCCCCGATGGTAACTCTCACTTTGGCAATACCTCAGGAAACGAGACGAAAAGAAACGTAATCCTGATGCTGACGAGCAGAAAATCAAGAGGGGTCGGCAATGCGGCAATGCTGAAGTCCTCTGTTAAAATTGCAGGCGAAAAGGAGCTGCCATGATCCTGTGGTATGGTTCATTGCTCCATTCTGGCTACTTCGCGGTCTAAGTACTCTATCAGTACAGCTGCAGGAAAGGTAAGGGTTTGACTCGGTAAAGATCGGACTATGCTATCCCCCGTTGGGTATGAGTAGTCTGGCTTCTCGCTGGACCGTAACTCGGATCCTCGACAAAAACTTCCTTCGAGTTGCACGAATTTATAGCATACCCATCATCGGAAATCGGCAACAAGACATCAGCAAATTTCTATACAGTCACAGATGCCTTCAATTCACTTAATACACGGGTTGTGGACATAAATAAAGAGGCGCTTACTACAGCCGTAGCAGCAAACAATCTCTTTCGCTGTCTCCTGGGCGCAGGTGCTATCACCCTTACAAATCCTCTTTTCGAACGCATTGGCACCGGTTGGAGAGGGATATTCATTGCATTCCTCTGGTTTTGACACATGGACCTATTGCGGCATCTCAGTTGCACGCATGCTGTGGATATGACAAGTTATACGAAGCCATGTCTCCCGCTTGTCCCCAGAATACGGTGGTGACAGTTGAATAATTGATCAGAGTTGATATCTACCATTACTGAGTTGCAGTAATACCTAGGTTCGGACAGCTGCGATTGTGAAGTTTAATTTCATGATATGCAGTCAAGTATAATCGCGGTACTATGGACATTATGGAAGGATAACTTTTAACATTACAAACATTAAACATATATACAATTGCTATACTCGATGGTACCCTGTTCCAGGGTGCGTCCGATAATGTTCGCGCGATCCAGTGAGAAACATTCTTAAAAAAAACGCCTTGTAACCCATCATCGCGTGGTCAATCCCCTATAACCGCCTCAGACATCCAGCATGGACCTGATCTGCATCGGCGGGGCTGTCATGGATGTGCCACTAGCCGTACTTTGACTCCTGTCATTGGTGGGTCGGTCCTCGCTCATTGCCGTATCTCGGCCACGCTGTGTCGCCGGCTGGGTCGCCGGCTGGTTCGGCGGTGTGGCATTGGGGAACAAGAGCCCAGCAACCGTTTGCACCGCGTGCTCCGTCCGCCGAGCCTCTGACTTTCCGCCGTAACGGGTGTAAGCTGGAGGCCGCGAGCCGGTTGTGCGTACGCTGCTCGCGGCGCTGTTCGTCCTTCCCAGCTCGCTCATTTCAATGCCCCCGTTGGCATTCGTGGCGTTTGCAGCGTCATTTGCTTCTCTTGCCCTGGTCTCAGCGGCTGCCTCAATATTGGCGTGTGTCGCACGACCCCCGCCGACTTCTCGTACGTTCCGCATAATTACGTCTCTCATATTGCCCGTTGACACATCTCCGTTGGCACGCCTCCACCACGCCGGCTTCTTGGCGATGCCCAGCTCTTGGTCGAGTTCCTGCCCGCGCATCCTGCGCTGTCGGATCAGGTTAAGATCCTCGTTCTGTCGCAAGAAGCCCGAGACGACCTGGATGACGATGATCAAGAACGACGGCAGGTACCCACCAATGTACATGGCCACGAGGTTTGTGCCGACCTTCAGCGGTGAGTAGTCGAACTTCCAGGCCGAGAGAGCCTGATATGCCACGACTGACAACCCAAGCGGCATAATGAGTGCAAACCGGAATGGCATATAGCCCAAGCCACCGACCATTCTGTTGAAGAAGCCACGATTCCTAGCCTCGTAATGGCGGATCGAGTGCCACAGGGACACGGCAGTCGTCAGCCAACATATCAACAGACAGAAGGCGGCTGCTTTGAAGCGGTTGTCAGTGGCCGTGGGGATGGCGAACTCCAATGTCTGCTCCGGCGAGCGTTGCAATTCGATATTGCCCCAATTGCGAGGTACAATCAGGAAGAAGTTCTACGACCTTGTTAGCATCGGCTGTTCCTCAGTGAGACTGCACGTGTACTTACCAGCCAGAGCCACAAATAGAAAAAAAGAGGCAGCCAAAACTCGAACATGCCCCTCTTATCGGTCTGTTGCAACACAAAGGGGTTGGGATCGATGTATTGCCTCTCCATCCAACTCCCCCAATGCCGGACAGCCTCCCACACCAGCGCCATTGTCCCCATTTGCATCAAGAACCAGAAGAAGACGTTCAATACGAGCGGAAGCTCCGGAAGATAGAATCGGTCGACGTCAATGCCGGTGAAGAGCCCAATGATAGCGGCAGCGCATACGAAGATAGCCCAATACCACTGCCATCGTCTACCAATGGGGTAGAAACGCTTTTCTGCTGGCAGGTGCCGCCGTCCGTGTTTGGTCAAATTGACAAGTACTGTAATCAGGGATAACCCAAACAAGCAGGCGACAATTATTCCAACTATTCCGCGTGATCCGATCGGATTTATTGCGGAGTAGCACGACGTGTTATTGACGAAGGAGCCGTTCGGGAAGAGCAGGTGCGGAGTGTAGGGTTCGAACGTGAGAATGCATCGCGAATCGTTGGACAAGGTGCCATTGTCGTAGAGAGTGAAATTGAAGAAATCCAACACCGTCGTGTTGAAGTGAATTCCTCCAATGACAGTGTCCGTAGTATTATCCCCATTGGGGAATGCGATCATGTCGCGGGCGTCGAAGATGGGCATCGTGAAGTCCGGCGTTCCGGGGTTGACGGGCGACGGGGCGCAGTGAGGAGCGGCGGCAATTGTATCGAACTTGAGGTAATTTTACAACATCGGATCACTCTTCTCTCAACGAGGCAGACTTCTCACGAAGATCTTCTCGATAGTTGCGTTGAATGTGCGGCTTCGGGGCTTGTCCACCGGTAGACCCAGCAGAATGTTTACCTCGGGGCTAACGTTGCTGGTCCGAAGCTCCCGGACAGACTATTCTGTAAATCACTCAGTCAAACTGCGCTATCGATAACAATTATGGACGTCATTGGGATCCACTGCAGTTGAACAATTTTGATCATTTCTGCCTGCATATTATTTACTTCAGTCGGCTGGTGTAGTTGGTCACTTCGCTGGTAGATAAGTCCCGATTTGAGCCTCGCCCACTTGGGTCGGTGACGAGTCGCGGGTTCGAATCCTGCAGCTGACACACAAGGGGGTTTAGTCAACCCTTATGGCGCGCTGCCCACCTTGTTGACTTCGCCTACCTAGCGATAATAGGGAGATTGGTGCAGTTTAGGATTACGAGCATCCTAGCCAGTCGACCGTCAAGCACTACGTCGGCGGAATATAACTCGACAGCCGGTCCAGAATTCGAATCGTTAATCCGGCCCCTTATCGGACCTCGCCTATCCGATAACGCTCGTCGGCGAACCCGTCCCCTCACGATAGAAGGCGCGCAGCACGCCCTCTCGCCGCGATTCTTGCGAGCGTCTAGACCACGTTACGGTCTATCCACTTGAGCGTATGGTTGAGATGTATACGCTCGACGAGAACCCCAATTAGCAGATACTACGACGTCGCGACAAAAAAAATAGTCGAGCATCTTCTGCACATCAGCAGCATCCCACCCCTGAGGACGAATTTAAGTGCCACATTACCACACTTATCGGTAGTTCAGGCAGGGGTTGTAGCACAGACTTAGGGAGGGACAGGAGGTTTAGTAGTCGTTTGGCTACAAGTTTACCTGTATAACCGCCCGACGCGGCTTAAGGGCCCGCTATATCATCTATAGCCCCTTAAGGGAGTACTTGTAGAGGTACCGAGGGTTAACACCTACGGCGTATTTAATATTATTATTTTTTATTTACTTCATATTTTGGAAATTGGAAAGACCCCAGCCATTGAAGACCTAGAGATTACGAGCACCAACCGAGCATCGCGCATTTTTGAGCATTGTGCATTTTGTGCTTGGTACAACGCGTTCAACATTGCGCGGTTGAAGCCTCAACCCATGGTGTCCAGGTGAGCCGGCCCCGCTATCGGTTATGGGGCTTAAAGCTTGTAACGACGTTCGATGTTCACAGGCTGAAATCACTTCCATTTTATCTTGGCTGGAACCAGTCGTGATGGCGAAGAAAACGCCCAGGTATTATCATTGGAAACTAGCTATACAAGCGCTACTCGGTATTTCCAATAATGCATCTTCAGGCCAACCTCGAAGTTGTAGGTTGAAGAAGTCCTCCGCGGTTGTAAATCACAGCAGAAACCTTCCACAGCACCGGCATCCAAGACTGTGTTTCTCATCCAGCAGTTTAAACCCAGCCATCGGATCAGTCTTGTCAACCTCGTTACCCTCTTCGAGCCATTCTCACTATTATGGGCGTACGAACATCTTGGCTTGAGTTCCAGTCAATCAGGCGATTCCATCCTGGGCAGTAGTGATAGTCGACTCATCCTATTGGCATGATTTGGAAAGAATGTCGCAAGTAGACATTTAAAAGGCCAATAACGCAGATCGGCGTCTTATACTACCACGCCATCTGTGCTCTCAAATCCACAGATAAATTTACTCACTACTAATAACATGCCAGCCCCTAAACATAGCGAGCGAGGGTCGACGAATAAGTACACTCACGCCGTCAGCTAGAGTTCCCGTAAGAACTAACAGCACGCGGAGCATAGAAATATTGATCGCATGGAAAGATACCGATACATGAGACCCCGAAATTTCAAATTAGAGATATGACAATACGCAACTTGTGACCGCTGTCAGTTCAAACTTATAGTGCCGTTTGTGCACGCGACACCCATTGTTTTATCCCCCTCCAATCCTGTGCACTCCATTACCCCCGGCTCGCCATCCTGTAGAACGAAAATCAGCACTCGGTATGGCAAGGTGCAGGCTCCAATGGGTGTTTTGACTCACGTAGCCTAGGAGGTTGATTCCGGAAAAGTGGAAGTTCTGACAGTGTGCCGCATCTTTGCACAGTAAGTACAAAGCTTTGCTGTTGTTTCCACCTGTCCATCAAGTCAGCCGATTTACCACTCGAATTTTTATCTGATTAAGAGCTTACCTAGAGTGGCGCTCCAGCAAGGGTCGCTGATGCAGCTGCCGTCGTTCAAGCTCTTTCCGGTCTGCCCCTTGATGTCTTCCCATGTGAAGTTGGTCCCATATGCAGCGAGGCTGGTATTGACGCCAGGCCCGATTCCCTTTTCCTGGTCGACGTAGTTTTCGATGAAGTGAATAGGGTAGCCCGTGTTGTGGATTGTGAAGTTCCTCCACATTACATTGTAAAGCTGGCAAGTGGTGCCAAGCGACCCTTTGAACCGCGCACCCATTAAGCTATTCTCGACGATGGCGTTTTCAAACAGATAGTCGCCTCCTGTGCCCGAAGAACATGATACAGAGACGCCGTGGCCACCGGAGGTATAAATATTGCGAACTGTGACATTGGTGGTCGGTGGTGAAATATTTATCATATCGTCGCCACTGTAGATGGTGAAACCGTCGATGAGGGAATTGCTGGCGGACATGTCGATTCCATCTGCAAGTAAGACGGCAGCGCTTAGCACAGTTCTGCGTGAAGCACATGAGTACAGGGCTATTACCAGTATTAAAAGGGAAGCCATCGTTCGACTTCGCATCGACCAAAGTGTCGGTCATCCATACATTACTGCCACCCAAGCTGAATACCCAAGCAACGGGCTTCCAGACTTTGAGTTCACGAGCGCGAAGATTCCTGTAAGACTCCTTTCAGGAAAACCGCAGCTGCCTTATCCGTTATTGGTTGCGACCTACGTTACACCCAGACTGAAGAAATGCGGTCTGTAGTCATTATCACTGTCAGACTCCCCAGCTGACCACCATAGCTCTCCATGTCCTGTGTTCACCGTTAGCTTAGTTGCATCATCAGTTGAAAGCTTACTCACCAATGAACCACCCGTCGGATGGATCATTACTGCCAGTCAATGTGACATTGGTGCCCTTGATAGTAATCCAGTGGCCCGGATACATAGTCGGGTTTCCCACAACGGATTCGACGTAGGTGAGGTTGTCGGGAAGGGTGAGGTTTCCATTGAACACAAGCTCAATATTGTTCAAGCCCTTGAGCTCAAGGGGTGTCATGAGATTGTAAGTCACCCCAGCCTGGAAGATGACACGCGAGGTGTCGCCGCATTCTGCAGTCGTTGCCTTGATTATAGGAGTGTCATCAACCTGAGAAGGGGTGTTCTTGGGCACAGTGCATGTCTTGACAGACGGGAGGTCTTCTGGGAGGAAGTAGGCAGCAGCTTGAGTTGCCAGGAGGCTGAAGGTGAAGATACAGGAAAACATGATTATAGCATCTGCAGGAGCAATTGGAAGAAAATGCAGAGAATGACTTGGCCACTTCGCAATCTTCGCATCGGAGGACAAAAGGATATGAATTGGCATATATTTTCTGAATCACATCACTACGCAGACGCTAGTATAGGCTACCAGGTTCTCCGCATTCCCTGTGGCGACTAGATTAGAAGCCACTAAGATAGGCTAGATTGAAGAGACAACCCAGTTATTTGGTTGGACATTACTCATCGAAGCAGTATTACATGTCGATCATTTAGCGACTGCTCCTCTTAGTTCTTCAGAGGTGGGAGTTTGAATAGCCACCAATCAACAGTCTCGCGAAGCTGCACAAAAAAGTTCCTGACATCTCCATATTCTGGGTTCCTGCGTCCCTCAAATACATCACTTTCTGCAAGTACGTCCCCGGAATCGCTGCAACTCACCAGCCATACCAATATAGATTTCCATAGGAGCATTCAATCATCTAATTTCCGACAAAACGGTGTGCGATCTACCACAATCTATGAGGCACTCGTATAGAATAACGTACCCCACAAGCAAGTTGGCCACTTTTTCTTGGCACCGTACGAACAACCTTTTAATTAACATCTTTACACATACCAAGATGGGATCGAATTGGAAAGAAAGCGACATGATTCTAGCGTGTCAGGCGCTTCAATCGAAACCCGAATTAAACATCCGACGCGCGGCCCAACTCTACAATGTCCCTCGTACAACTCTAGCTAACCGAAAACGCGGACTACTATCTCGACGCGATACTCGACAATCTAGTCAAGAAATTGAAGACCTAATACGGGCGCATATAACCCATACCTCGAAGGAGGATTTATTTTCGGCATTCTATAGGGCGTATCGTACGACTATAACTAAGTCGAATATCCAGGCAGGTTTCAGGGGGACAGGACTTATTCCGTACGACCCGGAATATGTGATTTCACAGCTGGATATTAAGCTACATACGCCTACACCTCCTGGGAGCTCGTCTGGCGCCCCCTTAATCTGGGAATCAAAGTGTGCAGTGAGCCCGTCACACAAAGACTCCAAATAACCCAACCGAGGTGCAATCCCAGTCTGAATACGTTAAAAACAGAATCGTACAGCATCAGAATAGCTCCCCGACGACAATACTTATGGCTATTGACCAATTTTCACGTGGTGCGACGGCTGTTATACATCGGTTAGTTTTACTTGAGGATGAGGTTACTACACTTCGGAAGGCGAATCAAGAGCTAAGCCGTCGTCGAAGGACTAAAAATCGACAGCTACAAGATAGAGGATCTCTTAGTTTACGAGACGCTCAGGACTTACAGTCTCAACGGGATATTGAACAGCAGCTACAGGATGATATACGTGTAAGTCGTCGTCGTATGAGGCGCTGTAGGATCTGCGGAGAGCCCGGACATAATGCTCGTACTTGTGAGAATGATAAAGATACGTACGAGGAAGAGGATTCCGATTAGTTTGAATTATTATTTTTTAGTTTAGTTAAGTTATTGAAGTTATTCATACGGTGCCAAGAAAAAGTGGCCAACTTGCTTGTGGGGTACGTTATTATAAACATGGTTATATTAAGGCAAATTTACTACTTCCGGAAAACAAAGAAAAGGCACACAAAGTCACTCAATAGAAACCCAAATAGAAGGAATATTATATATAAGAGTAAAACCATTCAACCTTGATGTCGGTACTGCCCAACATGCCTCTCAATGCACCCCTATTCGCGGCAATCGCCACTTTCATATATGCTTTGCACTCGGTAGACTATTTGCAAGGCTTATCATCCCAACTCTAATGTGATGAATCTCCGCAATGTCGTCTTTCGTAACCATGACCATGAGGACTACCTTTTCAAAATCATGGACACCCATTGGCCAATAACTTTAAACAGAGACATAATTCCTCGTGAATTAGGCTTTGATAAACAGCCTGGCTTTTCAGACACGTGTGAGCGTCTCAGTTCTTCCAAGCAAATGGTTCAGATCTCATTATAAAAGGGGTCTTTCTTGTCGTTGCTCCTTGACTTTTGAGCTGTGGCACCATTTGATGCTTTGATATATACAAAATCAAAGATGACAATGACAATCAAAAGGAAGATGAGGCCACTGCAGGCATCACTGGATGTTTATTGACTTCACATGCACACACTCTATTCCAGTGGGGAATTTTCAGGGACCACAGCAGTTTCTCGCATTTCTCGCCTTTTAAATTTCTAAATATTTGGACTGATTCAGAGTTGATCCTGAGTTACATATAATGGGTTTTCTATTTTTTACACTCTACTAAAACGTTCCATCTTGCGTGTGGTCCTCGCATCAGCCGCCACTCTATGACCCGCGAAAACCCCAACAATACGACGGGCTCAAAGCTGTATGTGTCCACAAGAGAACTCAGATGGTTGAGAACACAATTTCCTGGTACTCAATCAGCATCTCATTAGAGATTTTCAACGCAGACCTACACATATCAGTGGGGCGCGTACTTGCTAGTTAATTGGTCATACATAGTGTGCTCCTGTCCGTCTAAGCACATGTATTTGAGAGCAGCGAGCATGCTTTCCAGCAACATATGGCTGCAAGGGCACTCGAGAAGCATTGAAAATGATCTCAACATGACGCAGGTCCGCATCTTGTTGAGAATTCAGCCCCCGGGAGCAAACGCAGATATCCGACCTGCTTCGGATGTGCGCATTTCACAATCTGTGCACATTGTTTGGGGTTTTTTGGCAAAGGCAAACAGGTGTGCCATAATCTCAGACTGCATGTTAAAAGACAGCACCATTGCCCATGGTATCGAAGATGAAATTCTTGTCCCACTGAGTTAAGTCTTTGGATGAGCAGGCATACTCGGTTAATTCAATAAGCCGAGGCTCCATTGTTTTCATCACGATGATCCACTCGAAGACGTTCTGGTGCCTAGGGGCGTTGCTCCTCGCATCCTTCACCAGCGCAATGCCCACCAGTGGCAACAACTCTTCAAGCGAAATCCAGATGGCGGCCAAGCTCGTTACCGCACATTTCATGGCCCGTATATCCCGGCGTACACTTGTATCGAGCCATCACTGACTCGCACCCAGATCGGCATTATGAGCAATCGCAACAGCGCCGCCGATTATGACATAGATATGCAGCTGGCCAAAGCGGCCGGCATCGATGCCTTCGCACTAAACGTCGGCACCAACACGTTCACAGACCAGCAGCTCGACTATGCATACGAGTCGGCCGCGAAAAATGACATGAAGGTCTTCATCAGCTACGACTTCAACTGGTACTCACCCTACGAACTGAACGACATTGAAGTCGCCAAGAAGATTGGGCAATCCATTGCCAAGTACTCGCAGAAACCGGCCCAGCTTAAGGTTGGGAACAAGATCTTTGCCTCCTCCTTTGTGGGCGATGGCTTCAATGTCGACGTCATGCGGAATGCTGCACGGGCGGCTGGGCGTATTGAAGTCTACTGGGTCCCCAACTTTCACCCCGGCCAATCTGATGTCAGCAAAATCGAGGGTGCTCTGAACTGGATGGTGAGTGATAAGGCCCCAATCCACGGCACCGTTCCGAACGACTGACGAAGTTAGGGATGGGATCACAACGGCAACAACAGAGCACCCACTCAGGGTCGTTACGTGTCAGTTGCTCAAGGTGATCAAGAGTACAAGAATTGGCTAGGCACCAAGCACTACATGGCCCGTAGGTACAATGACACCCATTGACCACGTACGACATGACTGACATTATACAGCTGTATCCCCATGGTTCTTTACTCACTTCGGCAAGGTAAGCTGCTCGAGATTGTCCTGTTATCTTCGATGAATATTGACAATGGCACAGGAAGTCTCTTACACCAAGAACTGGGTGTTCCCCAGTGATTTGCTGTGGTATAACCGATGGAACGAGATTCTGACGTTGCAGCCCGACTCTGTTCAGATTGTGTCGTGGAACGACTACGGCGAGAGTCACTATGTCGCGCCGCTTTCCTCCAAGCACGTCGATGATGGGTCGTCCAAGTGGGCCAACGATATGTAAGAGACCTGCCTTCTCATTCCACTGCTGGCACTTCTTTGACTATTCGAATTCAGGCCACACAACGGCTGGCTCGAAATGGCGAAGCCCTACATAGCCGCCTACAAAGCAGGCGCCACGTCTGTCGCGAACTACATCAAATCCGATCAAATCATCTACTGGTACCGGCCAACCCGGCGAGACGTTAATTGCGACTTGACCGACACTGCGCTCGACGGCAAACCGAATGGTTGGCAAAGCCTAACCGACAACGTCTTCGTTGTTGCCCTGTTAACGTATCCCGGAACCGTGACGGTCACGTCGGGCAACAATGTCCAGGCTTTCAGACTGGATGCTGGAGCAACCGCATTCCAAGTTCCCCTGGGCGTCGGCAAGCAAAAGTTCGTTCTAACACGCGACTGCACCACCGTCATGACCGGGACCTCACTGAAGGAGGTGTCGTCCAGCTGTGTCTGCGGCATCTACAACTTCAACGCATACGTTGGCACCCTTCCACCTGGCCCATCAGATCCCCTCGGCCCCGATGGTCTCGTCAACTTCCTGCCGGGACTGAAGACCAACTGCGCCGCCAAACCGTCGCTCGGTGTCTCCCCGGCGGCAACATGCACATCTTCGGGTGCATCTGCAGAGAGTTCGGCGACGGCAACGGCTTCTGTATCTGATGTTCCAGTCGCAACCATTACTTCCCCGCCGAGCTCAGAGACGGAGGAATCCGCACTCAGCAAGAAGTGGCATTCTTTCACATCTCGTTTCTCGAACAAGATTTCGTAGTCCATCAATAATCCCTTGCCTTTTACCCACCTTGAGTCACGCCGCCTGGCCTCGGATGGTCCTCGATGCCTTCTGGAGCTGTGTGATTTTTCATACATGTTTAGAATAACGGAGCATTAGATAAGAGATGAATTCAGGATATACAACGTTGCGGAATGGTCATATGACATGGTTATGCATATTCGTATACACTTTGACAATCGGTAGAGAAAAACGCTAATAACCCAGTTCTTGGAACACGATATTCAAATTACTTACGTTCTGGTTCGCTATTCGCAGCTACCCTGTTTAGGGGTTAACCACATCGTGACGTGAGCTTGGAGTCAATGCCCTTCAATAAGTGTAGCCAGTTTAGCATCAACAGTGACCAGCCATAGCATTTGAAGGGCCACACTCAGACCACGATGATTTACTGCAATGCCTTGGAGCGTTAAATAAAAACAGCCGAAATACTTATTCCAATCATTGTCCAGCCGCAGTCTGTTTTGCTTTCCCGGCCTGGGAGTGGACTGCAATGGCAGCTTCTGCGCTATCACGGCGAACGTATTAAACGCCTGCTTATCAAACTCCTCGCCCATCTCCCCCGGGGCAGCCCCCCCTCAAATTTCCGGACCATGGAAGAGAGAAATGCGCAAGCTCATGCAAGCTAGGTTCTTGCTGGGCAACTGTAAGCACCTGCTCGCATGTCAGTACCGAATGCTCAACACTTTGTCACACTTCAGATGGTAGCCTACCTAGCAGAAGAGGGAGACAAGGAGACTTGTCAGTTTCCATCTCAGCACACCTTTCATTGCATCGGCAGGATATGAACTTGTCTGCACGCTGCCAATACAAAGGGTCTTGCTGTATCTGTTGCATGGGAACAAGTACGACGCTATCGCCGGGGATGTGCATCTGGTCCACTTGAATGTCCCTTGGGGGCGTATCTTGAGGCCCAGCCTGCATTATAGCAGGGTTAATCTGTAGGGTCCTAGTGATGAGCTCATCCAGGTATTTGAATGGACTTTACTTCATCGTAGCCCCCCGCACTGGGACCGTCTAGCGTTGCTTCATTGAGAAGTTGTCGAAGCTTGTTTTGGAAGTAGGGGTACTTGACGAAATGGAACAATGTTTGGGGCATTTTTATGGTGGTGCTATCCCTATTGGTGTTAAAGGTCGTTGTTATGAGCATGGTCACGTTTCAGGGGTAGACTTACCTCCCAGCTAAAAGGATGATACGCGAGTCAAATTTGATGCTTCAACCGACGGTGACATGTAGGTATCCTTCTCGTACACGGCCTTGGGACAATATTGGTGGGTTGCCTTTCGAGGTCTCAAGTCTAGACACAATTTTATGTCAGCCGCTTGTTCCAATTCATGAGCCTGAGAACGAGCCTGAGAACATGACATGCCTTCTGCTCTGCTCTGACCTCGTTAGCGCGAACTTTGAAGATTTCAGTGCAGGCAGCAGCACAGAGATGAAGCCCAGAAGCCTGAGGAAATTGCCGAGAACGCCAACCATCTTGATGTGCTCGTGGATGGGCTTGAGGGCGGATTGCTCTTTTTCGGTAGCAAGGTTCTGGAAGTCATTCTCAAACCCTAACCTCGCCCAAGTTGTCCAAGCTGAAGAACATGGACCAACTGTCATATTGACGGCCGACTTGCGAAAGATGGTGATTTATCGTGGTCCTGCAACATTATTAGTAGCCATCCCTAGTTATTATCACGTACAGGGGGGGATCAGCTTACCGGTTCGAATAAAACCACCATGTTACCCATGCATCTAGGCCAATTATTTATAGCACACATTCTTCGCAGATTGATAAGCTGTGTAAAATCGGCCCGGTTTCTTCGCAATAGGACCGGGACACTTTCTGCACTTGTGGAATGCCAGACGGTAGACCCCAATGCTAACGATTAAACTGGCGTGGAAGGCAATTTCAATAATAAAGGATTTGATACAGGCCTGAGCCAGAGAGCAGGTACCGATTACCAAGAATAAGTACACCAATATCAAGAACGATGTGAAAGAGACAGACAAAAAGTGGAAAATAACCTGTTCGAATTCAATATTGTGAACTGAAAATTGAAGTACGACAGCCAACAAACCCACTGCTCCCACCAAGGAAGCAGCATTGGCTTGGGCGTTGTTCTGGAGATGATGCAGTACGGACGCCATTGCAGAGCGAGATGAAGATGAAAACCCAAAGTGCTGTTCGGGTATGAGCACAAGAGATGCAGGTATGTATTCATATCCAACCCTAGTCACTGCATGAAGTCTACCAATCTCCCTTACATAACACTATGCAGAAAACTTGCTTGGTCGATTGTAGAGACTCCAGCCAGCGCCCGGAATTTAGCTATCTCTTCCCCACATCTACCGCCAGACCGCCTGATCTGTCGTAGTATTGATAGGTTACTATGGTATGTGGAGTTTGCAACCGCCTGATGCCTAGTTAACGGGAACAAGGGCCCATTCTGTGGTGGTGCTATGGAATCCTTGCATGATCTGCTTTAGTGCTCCACTCGAGACTTCCGTGCGAACCGTTGAACTGAATTAACCATCATCAGAATCTCAGGAAGCAATGCAATTTGGCTCTCAGTGTCGTAAATCACGAAGAGAATGTGTAGAGGCTACACCTACCGGGCAGCCGAAAGTGCGGAACATACACGATTGCTCCCCTGAGATATGATTTAACGACTCGACTTATGTGACCATAACAGCGCTAGGGTTGTCTTTTGAGTTTCAGTGAATGTACCGCGCCGAGCCAGCGGACCCTTGAAGTCACCAACAGCAATGTGCACTAGTGCCGCTGTGTCGCATCAATGGAATAGTTTGCAAGCGAGGTAGCGGCGCAGTGCGTCCAGGGCTGTTAGTTCAATTTTATTGTGGCCTAGCATGATGTGCGACTTCAATAATCACCTGATCGTTGACGTTCCGATCAGTGTGAAGGTATAAGAGAACGAAGACCACACGTGAGATCAGTTACTATATACAAGAATAAGGCCCTAGAGGCATGAGAACCAGTTCCATACTACTTCCAGCCGTCGACTGTAGTAAATAGCCAACCAAGCCAAGTTTGGAAACTAGGATGCTGGATAGTTCTCGGGCAGCTTCATGATTGAGGACTAGCGCAGAACCCGAGGGTCTGGTTCAGTGGAGCTATCATGCTTCTCGATTTCTCGCGAACCCACTCACACCTGCAACATTTCTTACATACCGTGAAAATTCAGACATTTACCATGAGATTGTAAATATCCTTGTCAAGGGTTAGCGAGAAGTGCTCCCAAAAAAGTTTGCTCGAAGAGGGCTCAAAAGAGATGGGCCATGATTGATAGATATCACTTGATCTTGCTCCTAGCTAAAGTTTTGGTTCCACGATTCTTTTCCCATCCCGGTTTTGAATCTGGTTCCCAGGATGACGAACAAGAACTGCTCGACACGGAAGATAATTTCTCAAAGGCCGTGGAAGAGTTGCGCGACGAGACCCGTTATCTCACAGTTGCGAAAACCCAACGCAACTTCCGCTCGAGAATAGCTATTGTGGCTCATAAGACCCGCGTGCTGTTGCAGGTCTGTAGTTGGACAACAGCGGTACAAATACAACAGGAGGAGGGATACGACCGTCTTAGCGATGATCTTCAAAGTTCCATCAAATGATATTGAGGGAGAAACAAGACTCTCAGCATTGCTCAGCAGGAATCAGCGGAAATCAAGCATCATACCGCATCCGAATCCGCCCAAACGAGGACAGAAAAGTTTTTGCTGACGAAGGAGATCGAAGACCTTGACGTCGATTCCGCCGATCAACAGAGCAAGCAACGGCTATTTCCAAACCTCAAGTACGAGGGCATGAATGATTGCATGAACTTGATTCCATACTCACACTATCGCATTTTTGATGGGGATATCAAGAATTTTGCTGCTGGGAGTGATACCGACGAAAATGGTGACGAAAGCGACGGTTCATAGGACGATTTCGGAGAGTGGCTTTGCTCCAATGGAAAATCGTACTTCATCAGCGGAAACCCTAGTTCCGGCAAAAGCACGCTGATGAAGTTCATCACCGAGCACAACCAGATGAGGACTGCACTACAAACATGATTTCCAAATGCTCGTATACTGGCCAATTATCTCTGATCCCCAGGATCTTGAACACAGCGCAGCATCAAGGGCCTCTTATGTTGCCTTCTCCATCAAATCTTCATCTACGACCCAACATCCATGACGAAACTCTGTCAGCGCAACTAATCCTTGTATGGAAAGACTATGATTCTAATGGGAGTGATGTAGAACTCGAAACGACTCTTACGGAGGCCCTTGATACTACGCCAAGCTTCTTCTGTCTCTTCATTGATGGCCTCGACGAAGTTTCACAAGAATATAAAGCATTTAGATTGTTGCAACGAATGGATACGCCGAGGAGCGTCCCCAATGCCAAGCTCTGCGTTTCAGGTTGCCCCGAGCCGGCTATCAGACGAACCTCGAGAGATCCCCGAATCTGAAATTGCGAGACTTTACAGGAGAAGAAATTCGGCTATCCACAAAAGACTTTCTGAGGTCAGCCATGTTGAGCAGAGAGGACTGACATGAGCATCTGAAATCGATCGTAGCTAGCCTGATCCGAAAGTCCGGGGTTTCCCTCGGGGTCTATTTTACGATGAGGAGCCTCAGAATAGGCACCGAGAACGACGATACGCAGTCAGAGCTCATGGAATATCTGTATTCCTCCTCCGACGACTTAAACAAGCTTTATAAGGACACGTGGAATCGCATCAACGAGGACAAACTAATCTATCGAAGCGATGTGTCCAAAATGATCAATATCATCTTGTGCGCTCGGAATATTAGGACAGACCATTCGGGCGAAAATAGATCACAAAACACCACAGCACGTCGAGTTTCGAGCTTGCGGTTGTTCCTCATGCAGGGCGTTAATCAACAGCACGCTCTCGGATTGACTCACATACGCGCTTGTTCCCATGCGCAAGACTATGTATCAAGAAGGATTTTTGCACTTTCTAGGGCTTACGCGCATATTTGCCCCGGTGGACTGCGGCTCATTGTCGTATCGCAGACGCGAACGGGCATTTCCTGCTTTGTTGGCTGCTGTTGTATACGAGCAACACACCCGTCAACTCTCAATGGAACATCCAGATTCTGCGTGCCATTCAATACATACAACAGGACTGCGCATCGTCCAAAAGAATTGCCAGCTTGTCGGAGAACTACTGCGTCTCGGAGCGCAAGCTAACGCGAGACGGGTCTGTCCGCTCGCCGACCATTGCATTAGTAGAGAAATGGGTCTGGTTGAGTCTCCGTTTTCGTTGCATCTTGATGTATGTTGAAACAGAAATGTGCTCCTTGCCCCATCTTCATGATCACTCTGGAAAGTGGAGTCGTGGTAAGGTAGGTACCTGAAAACTGGATTCTAACCCTGGAAGAATTTCATCAGACCATAAAAGCGTTCGTGGCAAGCGGTGGGGATCTGACAGATCGAATCTGCTAGACAAATCGATTGATCACCTATTAGACCGAATGCGAACCCAAGACGGAGCTCAAATATCATTCTTGGCTAGTAACCGAGTATGCCGGGTTTCCTGCTACACTGCCCGTCTGGATAGCAAATGGCGGCCACAGGCCGGAACCTGAAATCAAAACTTCAGACTCAGGATCTCTAAGCTCAAGCCTGAGTATTATGGCCAGAATTGCGATAGAATTCTTCGACAACGTCATAGGACCGGACGTTTAAGTTGCACCAGCAGGCAGTTCAGTCACAGCAACCCGGCCAAACTTGGCCTAAATTGACCTGCTACGTATCTTGTCTAGTGCAATTGCCCAGATAAGTCGCTTTTAATGTCGATCGATCTGATTGGAATACGATGGCATGTCTTTGCCTAATGATACTAGAACGCCGACTCAGTGACCAGAGCTATGACAAGAGGAGATCTGACTGAAAGGCATCCTTGGAACTCTTCGGAAAGGCATGGTAGCAGGAACCTGCAGTGCGCAGTGCAATGGTAGGCAGAGGGCGTGGTGCAGTTATGATGAATAACTGAAAAAAGGGAAGACTTGGTATTGTTAGTAGTTACTATGTGTTCTCGCACTTCAGACGGTATTCTCAATGAAATGAACGCTCTCAAGCCAATACTACCCAGTTGAGTACCAGCGAAAATTCTGAAAATATAGACAAATACTATTGGACTAAATAACCGTCAAAAGAAGAGGGATCCACTCGTTGCAGAATATGATCATATTGGTAGTTATGAGATCTGACGATACTACCATCACGTCCAACGCCCAGACAATTTTCTCAGTTTTGACATATGTGCCGACGTACCCCGACGTTTCACAACAGGACTACTAACACCACGCTGCGATCGGGGTACTGAACCCGGGTGAGTGCTACTGCAGAGTCCGACCAGGGTTGTAGGCAGTTGGCGGTTAAACTAAATGACAAGTAGAACTGGGCCGCCCAACAGCTTGCAAAAGGCTCAGAAGCCACAAAAATATATCCCTTAGGCTCTCGTTGTCCGGCTGCCAAATCTGTATTATCTTTCATCATGTGGACATGTCAGGAGATACGCAGGCTTCCTATCACGGCAGCCAGGCCACAAAGCCAAATACCGCTGCAGTGCCACAGGCCCAACAGGCACATTTTCTATACAGCGAACAATCTGAAGTTAGGCTAGGACCCAGTCTCGCGATGCAGCCAATTCAGAATCAGTTCCTAAAAAGCGATAATGAGCCCCGGGAGAGTGGCACGGGCACAGGTTTCCACCAACAGTACAACCAATTCTTACCCCAGCATGAACGTACAGGCTGGGTGCCAAACTCGCATCCAGAACAACGACAATTTCCGCAATCTAACAACACGGCTTGGGGTTCATATGCCCAAGGACGCTCACAACAACAATACACCCAGTGTCCCGCCCCTCAGGGTCGTGCTCCGTACATGGAGGATCTGGGCTGGACAGCGGCGCCATACACAGAAGAGCATATCACTATGCACGGCTCCCGAATACCTCCGCCGCAGAAGGGTTTCCCATCTCATTCCACAACTCTTCCGTCCACCTTGTTGTCCGAGATCAATGTGAATGCGCCGGCCGTCTACCATGATTTCACCTACTTGGCCGATGAGTTGGTCAATAGAACTCCAACAGGGGCATCGGTCGCAGAGCCGGACTCAGTCATCGGAGAATCTGGGAGATTGTACCATGGGTATAAAGAGGGGAAGTATTTCTTCCCGAACGACGCAGTAAGGTCCCACTCAACCCCTAACGGTCAACTTACTGAGTAGTATTCAAGGCGGAACAAGACCGTTTGGACTTCCAACACACATCTATCACGTTGCTCTTAGACGGAAAGTTGACTTGGGCTCCCATGACCAAAGCTCCTAAATACGTTATGGATGTCGCCACAGGCACTGGAATATGGGCGATAGAATTCGGTTAGTATCTTAATCAGACCCATGCGCTTATCCAAGATAGGCTCCGTTCATTGAGGTTAACGTGTAAATTTCATCGATCAGCCAACCAAAACCCGAGCTCGCAGGTAGTTGGGACGGATCTAAGCAAGATCCAACCGGAAAACGCTCCCGCTAACTGCACATTCGAAAAGGAGGACTCGGAAGAAGAATGGCTCTACAGCCACAAGTTCGATTACGTCCATCTTCGCGCTGTGTTCTCTTGCTTTGATAACCCCAAAATGGTTATGAGGCATGCCTTCCAGAATCTTAACCCCGGGGGCTGGATCGAGTACCACGACGGGTGTCCCACAATCCAGGGTCTCAATGGCTGTCTGAAAGGCGAGTACCTGTAGTGTTTATTATCGAGTATTGGTTCGATGAGCTAACTGTCTTCAGGTACCAGTCTGCAGAGGTGGTCTAAACTTATCCAAGAGGGAGCAAAGGCGCTTGGACGAGATATAGACGTGGTCAAACACTACAAACGATGGCTCATTGAGACTGGATGTAAGTAGTAACACGAGCATTCCTTTGTGGCAAAATGTATCCCAAACCCGAACCAAACTTCAAAGCGGGATAAATAGCCTGAACTCAATAACTGACATGTTTGATGCAGTTGTGGATGTCGAAGAAAAGAAGCTCATGTGGCCACTCAACCCTTGGCCAAGAGGCCGAAACCTCAACATGGTCGGGCGCTACCAGCAAATCAACTTTTCCGAAGCTGTCCGACCTGTCGGCTGGAAATTATTACGCGGTGCTGGTTTATCCCCAGAAGAAGTTGAGAAATTGACTTCTGAAGCCAAAAGAGAAATTCCAGACCAACGAATCAGAGCCTTCATCTCCTTGTAAGTTTTGGCCTAGCTATTACGAGTTTTTGCTTATGACTTGCCCCCAGTTACGTCGTGTATGGACGGAAGCCATTTGAGGGAGAACGGAAAGGACCGGTATTTGGAGAGGAGGACAGGGAGCCAAAATTGGATGATAATGATGATGCAGTTGATGACCCCTTCACGGCGAAGGTTGAGGAATACTGGAACAGAGATCAGATATAGTTACAGCCCGGTATTCTTGGAAATTTGAAGCAGTCACAACAAAGCCGCGGCGTAGAAACTGGTTCTCTACTGGTTCTGAAGACTATACGTATCTCTCAGTATAAATAGATGGAATTTTGCTTATCTACCCGAAAATAAAAATGCGCATGACTGTAACAGAGGCACAACATGCCATAATTTCTTGATTTTGGATGTACATGGATGATAGAATATTGAAGTGAGGATGCTTAGTTGTGATTCCGATATCCTGCTAGTATCCCCCGAAGTAGTGAAACATTTTTAATAGTTACTCGATTCTATATAGTCGGCAAGCACTTTTACTTTTACAAGTGGTATGTTCAAGTCAACGAAATCTGTCAAAAATGACGGGTCACATGGTATTGGAGCATAGAAGCACCATATCGTTAGTTCTAGCTTTGTCTAGACTGTTGTTTGATATTAAATGTGGGATTGAGCACCACAGTGATTCCTAAGGTTGAAAGGCGCTTTATGCTTAGAATAAAAGCGCTTTGTGCTTCAGGATAAAGGCGGGATAGAGGTAGCCTAGTAAGGCTGGACCCTTCAGATTACTTAAAGGCAATGCACACAGCCAACAGAACAGATAGAGGGAATCGAGCATGGAAAAAACGGTGACCTAACCTTAAACACCAAATTATTCTTTTCATATAACCGTCATATCACGGTCATACTGCAAGATACGTGAATATCTAACAAAATCTTCTGTTTTAGGAGAGCAGCTCGGGTATGCTGCGCCGTACGTTAGTAGGCGATGTAACAAACTGCATACCTATGGTAGAATAACATGGAATAATCCGGTACTCCAGTTCCTCCTTACATTATGATAGCTTGCAATATTGGAATAGCGGGATATCCTAGGTGCGCTATCAAGCAGACAGCATATCTCGAGGAAATTCTGTCATCACAGTGTCACTTTAAAGTTGCTCGCCCAAGCATTGCAACTGACGTCATTTCATTAAAGCGCGAACCCCATGCAAGAAGGTCAGACTTATCGCCAAAGGCGGCCAACGTTTAATATTCCTGTCCATGATAAGAAGAGGGTTACAAATCGCAATCACCTTGATTGCGGTTGGTCCAGAGATTGTCTTGTTCAGGTTGTTGGATGTCACATTTTACAACCAACGTCCGATACCCCGCTGTGGCGTTGAGCTATGCTATGCACTGCCACATATTTGATATTCGCCACATCTCACCCCACCATCTGGATCAACCTTAAAGATTGGATGGAAATGTGATTGTGATCCCAGGTTTTGACGCATTCCCTCGGCTGAACTTCCCTCTAGCAAGATACAGACTGTGGCGTCGACCGCGTCGTGGGTTAGCTGTCTCTCTTCTGCATGCGGAACCACTTCTGGGGTAATCCTTTGAGAGGGCAGCTTCAATACCGAATCCCAACTCACCGCCGCAACCCTCGTCAAGATTTGCCAGCGCCCATCACTCCGACAATATGTTTGTCCTAAAAAATGGTAAGTCAGCATGCCCTTCACCCTTGATGCCATGAAGCTTGCCTGCCCTGGACGCTATGCAAGCACCGAAGCGCCAACACAGAGACCATCACGGCTGACATCACTGGGTAACCCGCTTTCGGATGACCCTTGCTAACAAGGTGTTTCACAGTCGGCAAGCTTATTTTTGGCAACAACAGCCAGGAGTCTGTGATAGAACTGCCCCAAGGACAGCTTTACCTCGTCCGACCCCTCTCGCCAAAAGGCTACTCCGAACTCATCTTCAAGGACGCGACTGCCCGAATTCGACGGACCGGTCAGGACTTCCAATATCAACTGGTTGTTCAGCGAGTTTACGAGGAAGGTGAGGCTGAGTTGTTGGCCGAGGAGGAAGGTGAGGACGCCGAAATCGATGCTCTTGCCGTCGAGCGCGACGAGAAGACGTTCCTTCTAGACGAATCCCTGCACTTCCGAGTCGAGAGCAGAGAAAATTCTCAACAAATACTTGCGTGGCGAGATTTGAGTGGCGACGTTGGCGACGTTTACGAATTCGTCTGCGATTCCCGAGTCCAGTCTATGAGCGTTGAAGCCTTCGAGCGCATCGCCAAACAGTGCCAGTACGAGCGCAAATATCGCAAGCCACACACCACAGCCTCCGAGGCTGATCTTCAACAGTTCGAATTCGACGACGAACAACCCATCCCCGACGCAAGTCCGATTCACAGCCCAACTCTTGCCCGGTCCATCGACGGCTCCGACGAAATGTTCTCCAAGAACGCCGCCAATATGAGTGCGAAGCGAGGGCCTGTTTCAACCCCTCCAAGGGCTCCAGCAGCACAGATGAAGCCCAAGAGCACTCCAGCGCAGAAGCAGGAGAGGGAGGTCAAGGCTCCTACTAAAGATATGGGTCCTCCAAAAGCCTCGGAACAACCTGAACCCCAAGAGATTTTGTCCATGGAACTTGGAGAACTGCATTTCTTCGACTTCCCTTCAGGCGCATTTGTGCTCCAAGACTCTTCGGTCACGGCACAAGTCTCCGATATTGGCAATTGGCACTACTGGTTGCATGTCGCCAGCAAAGACCGAGAGTGGCTTGGCATTCCCGTCATTGCCGACATCAACCCGGTCTTCAACTTCGAATTTCTTTCCTTCATCTTCAACCAGTTTACTGAAGATGGCTCTGCCTACTCGTGGCTGCTGCGTTTCAAGGACCAGCCCACCTTGGAACGGTTCCAGGAAGGCTTGATGCGCGCGCTCTGGGAGCAGCTGAACGAGGTCAAGTGGACAAAGGTCAAGGACAAGGAGCGGGAATATGTCCTCGAAGCATTTGAGGATCTGAAAATGGACGATGTGCCCGAGGACCAGGAGGACGAGGAGGATGAGGAAGAAGAAGCAGAAGAAGAAGAAGCCGAGTATGAGGACGCCGAAGAGGACCACGATGACGCCCCCCAAAGCGAACATTACGACAGCGACGAGGAGCAAGATGACTTTGAAACCCAACCTGGCGATGGTGCAGTCAACAAATCGATTGCTGTTGGCTATAAGCATGATCGGTCGTTTGTTGTCCGTGGATCTAAGATTGGTGTCTTCAAGCACACACCGAACAATCATCTCGAGTTCTCCACCAACATCGCCAAAGTCGAGACCCCCCAGGGTAAACTGTTCAGCCCCAAGAAAGTTATGCTGCACAATGAGGATCGAAATCTGGTTTTGCAGAATGATACTGATCCCAACAAGCTGTATCGTATGGATCTTGAGTACGGCAAGGTGGTTGACGAGTGGAATGTGCACGACGATATCCCGGTCGTCAGCTTCGCGCCCGAGAACAAGTTCGCTCAGATGACCCATGAGCCGACCTTCCTCGGAATCAGCCACAATTCGCTCTTCCGCGTTGATCCTCGATTGTCTGGCAACAAGCTCGTCGATACGCAATTGAAGCAGTACGCTTCCAAGAACGACTTCAGTGCTATTTCGACCACCGAGAAGGGTTACGTGGCTGTCGCATCCAACAAGGGTGATATTCGCCTCTTCGACCGTCTTGGTATCAACGCGAAGACCCACATTCCTGCCCTTGGCGAGCCCATCATTGGTCTCGACGTATCGGCCGACGGTCGCTGGGTCCTAGCCACGTGCCGCACATACCTCCTCCTCATTGATGCGCAACAGAAATCCGGCAAGAACGAGGGCAAACTCGGATTCGAGAGATCTTTCGCAGCCGACGCCAAGCCGCAACCACGTCGTCTGGCGCTGACACCCGAGCACGTAGCCCAATTTTCTTACGAGACGGGGAAGCCAGTCTCTCTCACACCCGCCCGCTTCAATATCAGTCAACAGAGTGAGGAGACGTCCATCATCTCGGCTACGGGTCCGTATGTTGTCGACTGGAGCTTGAAGAAGATCTTGCGTGGTGCGAAAGCACCGTATATCATCAAGCGGTATGCCGACGATGTGAAGGCCGATGACTTCAAGTTTGGTACCGATGAGAATGTCATTTTGGCACTGCCAAACGAGGTCAGCATGGTCAGCAAGGGTCAGATGAAGCGGCCGACCAGGGAAAGTATTGCTGGGGTTGCTGCCCGCCTAAGCACGCCTCGACGCAGTTCAGGCCGCGTAGGCACGCGGGAGAGCGGCCGGTACAAGCTTGGCAAGGATGATGTGGTCAACTCGCCATACTAAACGGAGATTCAAGGAGATGGTCCTTTCAATTTACGAGATCACGGCCTAGAAGGGCAGACATGCAGCACTGCAGAGGCTTGATTTTGGTTCTCATGGCAGTAGGCTTCTAGATTCAATTCTAGGCGTCTGCTACCAGGATGTGATTCCCCGGCGTTCAGGACAAAGCATGGAGTAATTCGTGAATGGTTGCTGGTGGAGGTGGCAATGCAGGACAGAATGAGACTGGACAGTCGTTTGTTTGGCTTAGACACAATCGCTTGTCTTGGCTTGTCGTAGCTCTGGGGTTTTTTCTGTTGTCAATTTGATGTAAATTCTACTCAATTAAATGGCACCTAAGGACAATAAATTCTGATTTTCAGAATCAATGATGACAATTTGCGCAGTGGTATTGTAATACTTGGCAAATGGCAGGAGACGTCCAGTTAAGGTTAGTACAGTGACCCTCGATAAGTCTGCGTACGGCTTACATTTCCACTATCAGACGACAACTGCTTGCAAAAGCTATACTCAATGAACTCAAAATCAGAGTAAGGATTGAAGGATATTAGCATACTGAGAATTATGCGGTTCATCAATTCACATGTTAATCAATGCACTTTTCAGAAAAGACTACTATTTTACCTAATGAAACGGTTCAGTTAATTTATTGGTCTAAAATATCTCTTATAGTGTCTATAAGCTTTGTAACTTTAGAATTAGTAAGCTGATATCTACGAAGATGCTACAGAATGATAAAGTAACCTCGCTGCACCTTCTCTTGCACGAGATTCCCGAGACCGATCCTCAAACCAGGGTAAACGAGTTGGGCGACGATGACAGTGTCCGAGTCATTCGTGATAACGATCAGGGACGAATCATCGTATTAAAATTGGCATAGCTAACAGAGTAGGTTATATATACTAAGGCTCTGAACATTAACGACAAGTCGTTCGTTTTACGACGAAGCCTCTCGAGCCAAGATCTCGAACGTAAAAGCCCATCGGGATTGGAGCAGAGTCCATCGAAACTCAAAATAACTCATGGCCAAAGATTCTGCTTGACCAAACCGATAATTACGGCCCACAGGTGGAAAAGGCTGTAGAGAGCAAGCCTCCGATCCTAGCAAGAATGTTTTCTACAAACTCAGAGCAAAGCAGGGGAAGATTGCTAGCTGAACATGGCTTCACAGAAGCGCAAGAACGCACGGGAAGTTGCGAGTAATATGCCAGAGTATCCCGAAATGGAGCTAGCTCTAAGCAAATATATTGATGAGACTTTAACGTTTTGTTAAAACAGCACCATCGCTATGCAGAAACTGCTGACGATTGATCCACCACCGGCGGTGATCTCTGTCAACCGCAACTTGACAGTAAGATCAGATACGAGCTCTATGCTTGTGCCATCACCCGGGGGGCAACGCCATGGAGCACCTCGGGAGCGACTTCGACCGAACTAGGTTCATAATTCCAACCCAGCACGAAAGCTACAAAGAAAATGCCTGGAGGGCGTCGGGACGTCTACCTTATCTTCCTACTCGGGTTCCAAGACCAAGCGGGCAAAGGCACAGGATCGAAATTAAGTGCGAAGTCGGCAGACATCATGGTCTGGGAGAGCGTTGCGTCAATCCTGACACGGAAGCGAGTGACGAAGCGAAGGGATTTGGACCACGGCAAGATTGAAAACTGGGTTGAAAATGCACTAGTGTCTGTACACCTGTTGAGCACCCACGACCCAAGGCTTAAGCTTCTGCTCGAGAGACACTGCAGCGGGCCCCTCAGTGATAATCATGTAGCATAGAGCTATTTATATACGTTGTCTGATATGTTTTGGATGAAGCTGGACACGAGACAAGCTCTAGGCGCGCAATGGTGAATGGAGGGTTAATAAACGGCATACCAAGGGTGGAATAATATAGGATAGTACCGTATTCTAGTGTAATAGACAGGAATGACTTAGTCAGCTGGGTTGCGCTGTTTATCATGGCCCCTGCATGCCTAGCTTGCCGGTCTATTTTAACACGCGTGCAGGGAGGACTTCTAGAAGCAGATTCGGCAGTATCAGGTATGGATAAACTATGTAAGGTCAAAAAGCCTACGTACCCAAAGGTAGCGGCCGAGTAAACTGATGCCCAGTCTACCCGGCAAGGTTAAATATGTGTTGTCCCTCTCATCCCTTTGATCGTTATCGTACGTATTATCTCATGCATGTATACACATGCATTACTCGCCTCTCGCACCTGATGCAATGATGTCCTTCTCATCCTGGTGTCAATGCAAATGCTTTCAAAGCCACTGAGACTCCTCCGTCCCGCGCGCGGTTCGAGAATGCAGGTTTCTATAACGTGAAACAGACCGACGATCCACTACTCGGGATAGCGGGACCCTTTGATTGTCTCGGTCCATGGCCGTCGCCATCGCTCTTTTCCATCTGCTCGTCGGTCCCTCTTCCGCTCTTTCCTCGTTCTTGGCTCTGTCCTTGCCGTCTCGTGAGCTGCCACAGTCCTACTTTGAGCCATCTCCTTCGGCTCGGCCGGAAGCACCGATAGCGGCCTTGACACCTTCGATGGCATGATTGCCAATCTTAGTAATCATGCTGTGCTTCTCGCCCTGGTCGGCGCAGACCTTGGTCATTTCCGTGACGAAGCTCTGGCCCCACCAAGCACTGGTGTACTTGAACACATATCGCTCCAGCTTGCGGAAGTTTGCCTCGCGCATCTCCGGGGACATGGTGACGGCATCATGGATGGCGTTGGCAAGCTCTTCCGTGTTCCAGGGGTTGACGATGAGAGAGCCGTTAAGCGATTGGGCGGCGCCTGTGAACTCGGAAAGGATCATGACGCCATGGCGCTTATGCTGGGTAGCTATGTATTCGTACGACACAAGATTCATGCCATCTCGGGTCGACGAGACGAGACACACGTCCGAGACAGCATAAAGCGCGCACAACTCGTCGAAGGCGACGCTCTGGTGTAAGAAGTGGATGGGCATAAACTCGATGGTGCCGAACTTGCCGTTGATGCGACCAACCAGCTCATTCACAACGGCTCGAAGATTCTGGTACTCTTCGACGTCCTGGCGCGAAGGGACCGCTACTTGCACCAAGACGATCTTGCCAATCCATTCTGGGTGTTCGGTGAGGAAAACCTCAAGAGCATGAAGTTTTTGCGGCACTCCCTTGATGTAATCAAGACGATCGACACCAACAATGAGCTTGACGCCTTCGAACTTCCGCGATAGAGCGGCAATGCGCTCCTGAACCTTGGGCTTCTTCAGGCCCACGACGAACTTGTCGGGGTCTATACCGATGGGAAATGCCCCCACAGTGACGAATTTTCCATTGTACTCGACGCCATTGGGTGTTGTCGGCGTCTCTAGGATGCGGGAGCAGGAGCTAAGGAAGTGGCGTGCATAGTCGTAGGTGTGGAAGCCAATCAGGTCGCAGTGCAACACACCATGCAGCAGAGCCTCGCGCACTGGAAGAATGCGGTAGATCTCACTGCTGGGAAAGGGCGTATGCAGGAAGAACCCGATCTTGATGTTCTTTCGGGTGTCGCCTAACTCTTTACGTAGCATTTCGGGAAGCAACATGAGGTGGTAGTCGTGCACCCAAATAAGATCTCCGTCCTGCACATCCTTCACCACCGTCTTCGCGAATAGCAAGTTCACTTCCTTGTATGCCTCCCAAGCGCTTTCGTCGAAGGTTATCTCACCGGGGTGGTAGTGGAACAGCGGCCAGAGGATCGAGTTGGCAAAGCCATTGTAGTGTCGGTCGGCAAGGTCGTCGTCGATGAAGACGGGGTGCGCGCCATATTCTTTTTTCAATTGTTCCGTCATTGGACCAGCCTCGGCGTCAGGTACTTCGAGTCCTGGCCACCCGTACCAGAGGAAGCTGGTGGTCTTGCCGAGACCGCTGAGGCCGGTGACAAGCCCACCCGAGGACATTGAGAAGTCATACTGGCCGTCCTCTTGACGTTTGATAGTGATGGGAAGTCGATTGGATATCAGGAGCAATCTGCCTGGCGAGGCTTCTTGTTGTGGCATGGCGAATGGCAGTCGTCGAGCAAGTCGGTTGATCGTCTAGGTCGGATGATATTAAGAGATGATGGGCGGGGTAAAGTCGGCCGGGGGTTATACGTGTATATGGGTGCAAGGTATGTCCAAAAAACAGATAAGTGATGGTTATGTACAGCGCATGGTTCGATATGACCGAGGTTCACGGAGTTGGTAGCTATTCACACGGGGAAGGAAAGTCGACTGCCAGGTTCCAAATTGTTGGGTCGCAAATCAAAAATCGCAGGAAGGAGCTGCCAACGACGTAATCTTGATTGAAACAGCGGGGATCTTGCTGGGGCTATCTACAACGCTAAATTGCCTGCAGGAGTCAATGTACTCTGATGAAACTAGAAGATCAACCTAGAAAACAACGTGTCGAACGAACTTGGAGCACTATGAATTGCGTGACAAGATGAGTTAAACCTCGAATAACTGCTCTGATTGCCGCGTCTAGTTCCAGTTGTTTGTCACTCACAGTTGGGGAGACATTACACGTCTAATCGACTCGTCCGAAGTAGCAGGAATGGCAAAGTACTCCGCCAGGAACGAAAACTCCCGAAGTCTAATGAAGCATAGACCTCTCCACATGTGACGAGACATCTAGAATTTTCTTGAAGACATAACAAGACATAACAAGACAGAACCTCGACCAATATGAGATCTCCTGCGAAGGTAAGTATACAACAGGAGACCGGATGCCCAGGTATAGCTTCAAAATGGATGTCTCATGCCGTGCATTTAATGCAGTTGCAAGAATTATTTCCTTAGTAATCAAACTCTCTTGTTATGACGGAATCGGAGAGTGAGAACTGAGAATCGTCTGCAAGAGCCCCGGCAAGCTGGGGCAACCCCTCCTGTGCGCAGCCGAGCCCAATCTTTTCTTAGCAACACCGGACGAAATAGTCCTTCGGTCGTCCAATTGGTAGGTAGTTTGCTGCTTGAATGCTCCACACCCTGTCCTTCACACATACTCGTAGTTGGCAGTTGGCATATCAGAAGGAGCTGAGCAATTGGCTTTGCATGGTTGAACGACATAGACAGTAGAAACCCGGAGAGTAGTCGCGGCCTACATGCAACATTTGGTCGTTTTATCTCATTTGTTCTGACATGGCGCCCAAAGAATGGGGTGCGACTGGATTGGAGAGTATCCGTCAGAATTCAAGGTGAGACAGCCCAACCGGTAAGGCGCGGCAAGACCCGTCTTACCGAAGATCAGTGCAGTTGAAGTCACACAACATGAAAGCGACATATGTAGGCGCCAAAGTTGATTGGTTAACCGATTTGTTGTTTCATCGGCAGGGACTTAGTAAGCTTGTCTTGCTATAATCTATTTACTCGATAACGTCGAATGACAAGTGCGATCATCTTGTTGTTAGTATCCTTACTAATAACTGGAACAGTATGAGATCTCAACGAAAATTCAGTAACAATGCCGAAGCACTCACGTATATTTAGATACAGGCAAAACGACCGACCACGTCTACTCCTGTTCGTGCTCCCCGGAAAACTTTTCAAATTGAATGACGTATTTGCCAATCGTCTATCGTTGTTAGATTCATTTCATCGTGTCAGTTTGGGGTGACTCACTGATGCCACTTTGCCGGAGATATCATTTAAGTCATCAAGCGTACTCAGATGAATGGCAGGATTCACCATGCCCCTGCGAACAAACTCCAACGCCTCTAGAGTGTCCGTCCGCGTGCCGACGGCTGAACCAATCAACCTTATCCCATTATCGATCAACTGCAGCGGATGGGCGCTGATTAGTTCATCTGGTGGCGGAATGCCCACACAAACAATAGTCCCAAAGTAGGCGACCAAGTCAAACGCACTCCTATACGCCGCCCCTGATCCAGCACATACAACCACGGCCTTCGCCATGGCGCCTGAAGTGAATCCTCGTACCGTATCCTTGAGATTCGTATCCAGAGCATCGCAATAAACCTCTGCCCCCTGCTCGAGACAGAACCCCTCCTTGGTCGGCCCAACATCAATAGCAATCACTCGATATCCCATCGCCTTCGCATACTGAATCCCCAACGCCCCCACTCCCCCACCAGCGCCAGAAATGGCAGCCCATTCCCCCGGCACAGCAGCGCCCGCCTTCAACGCGCTATAAGCCGTGACCCCCGCACACAAAATTGGCGCAATGACAGGGTCTGGGATGTTTAGCTCATCAGGCAGCTTCAACACATACCGATTCGGCACAGTGCAATACTCTTGCAGCGTCCCATCGTGTTTCCGTCCCGAGTTAAGCTGCTCGACACAGCGCACCTCGCCCCCAGGGACGGCGCAGCACGGGCAATTACCGCAGATGTCCCGGAGCCAGGCGATGCCTATGCGGTCACCGACTTTGACAGTTGATGGGTCGACGCCGGAACCAATGCGCACAACCCGGCCGACGCCCTCGTGGCCTAAGATGTCGCACGTCGGGCCCACATAGCCAGCAGCCATAGCGATGTCGGTCCCGCAGATGGACGTCGCGGAGAGCTTCACTAGGATTTCCCATGGTTGGATGGAGGGGATGGGGGTTTGGCGGATTTCGAAGCGGAAGCTGCCGTTTTCGCGCTAGTGGCTTGTAAGTGTCTGGCTCGGGAACGACCTTCTTGCAGCAGACTCACTATCACGACTGCAGCCTTTTGAAGCTGTTGCAATGCCATGATGACCGATGTTCTAGACAGCCAAAGAAAGTAGAGACGATGAATCTTAAGGGTTTAAAATCTAGAAAACCCAAGGGTGGCAATTGCCAAATTGCAAGCTTTGACAACACGTGAGCGTGGCCTACAATACCGACAACCCGAGGTGTAACGCCAGTAAGCGAGTGTCTCGGGTTCGGGAGTTGCTGAAACTGCGGGGTTATTTCTAATCGACTTGAAGATTCGGTGCTTCACTGACTCGTTGGCTCGTTTCAGATGCGATGTAAACTTCGTTAAGCCATCCGAGGAGTATCAGCTACAGTGAGTATACTTTTATACAGATGCACGACGTATTTCTGCACCCTAACTTCACAGTTGCAACCACGTGTATACTCCATATTATTGGAATGAATGTGGTTAGCGTTTTATTTTTTTATAATTACGTTTAATGTCGCTAGTATCGAACTTATTAACCCAAGGTTAGAGGTTTCTAATAGGTGTTTTCAGACAAAATATTCAATAAGTGTCAGGAGTTACTCTTAATAGATGAGGTATAGTGGATAACAGAAGAGAAAAACAGTAGTAAGAAGACCAGACAGAGTGATGCGAGTGCATATGGGGTGTGAATTGTTGTATTGGGAAAGGATGCCAGGTCAGCTATTCTGGCCTGGCAGAGCTCTTTTATAGCTCTTATCTATCTTATCTATAGCTATAGGGTAACCCCCCATGGGGTCACGTATCACAGAGAAAATAGTTCTTCGATTTTCAAGTCGTTTATAATAATTCGTGTGTATTAAGGCTATAGTTCGTACTTATTAAGGTACTTCTATTATTCAAGTTGATTAATTTAATTCTACGGAGCTGGGCCCCCCCTGAGGCCCACGGTTTGCCAGATCTCCGGAGGGACGCCGGCGACACGCTTACGGCACGTACACATGATGAGAAGGCAAAATTACTAGCTGAGAGGTTCTTCCCAGACCCGTGTATAGATCTATCGGACCTCGATCGCGGCCTATTACAGACGAGACCAGAGCTGAACGTCCCTAGGGAGGTGACCACAATGGATATCGAGTCTATCATCAAAGGAACGGCTGCTCGGAAGGCTCCCGGCGACGACCTGATCCCCACTGGCCTGCTAAAGGCCTGCGGTGAACCCCTATGGGAGATCCTAGCGGATCTGGCAACAGCTAGCTTTAGGCTGGGGTACTACCCGGAGCGCTTCCGCTCAGCGAGGGTGGTTGTTATCCCTAAGCCTAATAAAACGACAGCTCAGAAGCAGACCCCTGGCGGCTGGCGCCCCATTGCCCTGCTTAGCACGGTAGGGAAGGTAATAGAGACGGCGATGAGCCAGCGTATCACCAAAGTAGCTGAGGCGGCCGGCCTACTACCAAACGGCCAAATGGGTAACCGCGCTGGGAGGTCCACCGAACTGGCAATACGTATAGTTGAGGACGTGGTCTATACGGCGTGGAGACGCGGGGGCATCGCCTCGCTGCTACAGCTAGACATCAAGGGGGCATTCGATACGGTCAATTACAGACGGCTGATTTCCATATTAGCCCGGAAAGGCTACCCGGAGTGGGTTCAGGAGTGGGTACGCAGCTTCGTGGAGGATAGAACGGTACGCCTCCGGTTCGATGGCAAGGAGTCAGAGCCAATCCCCCTACGAGCTGGCGTCCCCCAGGGGTCACCGCTATCCCCGATACTGTTTATATTATACATTTCAACGCTGTACGAGGAGCTAGCGGAGCAGCATCCACTACTTTTAGTAGTCGGGTTCGCGGACGACACGAACCTGCTAAGCGTCGGCACCGATCCAGACACGACCTGCCGCCGGTTGGAGAGCGCATGGGCTACGTGTCAGCGGTGGGCAGTGAGGCACGGGATGGAGTTCGCTCCTGACAAGAGTGAGCTAATGCACTTTACCAGGGCCCGAGAGCCCTTGCCGCAAAGTATTCGCCTTGGGGACGCCACAGTGTCGCCGGTAGTCTCAGCCAGGTTCCTAGGAGTCTGGTTCGACCGCAAACTGACGTGGCACGCCCATGTTGAGCGTGTTAAAACAAAAATGGCAACTCAAAAGCTAGCCCTGACAAAGCTAGTCAATATGTCGTGGGGCTGCGATCTTATACGGGCGAGGCTGTTATATACGGTGGTTATCCGTAGCGCGATCGCCTTCGGGGCGACTGCGTGGCATACTATAAGTGAGGAACCGGCAGGGCCAGCTAAGAGCCTGATGGGGATACAGAACGAGTGCCTCCGGGTAGTCTGTGGTGCCCACAAAGCGACGCCGGTTCGCCACCTGGAAGCAGAAGCAGCAATCCCGCCACTAGACCTCTATCTTAGTGCCCGGGCTGCTAAGTTTGAAGAACGGCTACGGCTTAGCGGGAAGAGAAATCTGCTTCGCAGCGCGAGCGCTAAAGCGTCACATATACTCCGGCAGGATAGGCCGGCGAAGAGGAAGCAGGCGTCGCAGCTACTCCGACCGGCAGGGTACACTATGGAGAAGGAGGCCCGGGGCTCCGAGTGGATGAGTGAGGAAAAGGAGGTCCCGGCTGCCCTCCTCGACCACTGGAGGAAGAGATGGCTCACCGGAGCAGAGCATCACGATCGCCAGCGACGCGCTATCGCTGAGGAACCGGAGGGCCCTTCGATGCAGATACCGAAAGGGGGCAAGTATTTCGGCCTGAACCGACTGGAGGCGTCTACGCTGTGCCAGATCAGGACGGAAAAAATAGGACTAGCAGCCTTCTTATTCAAGACAGGGGCTTTTGGCGTGTACTCGCCGCTATGCCGCTGTGGCGATGCCCCTGAGACGGCAGAGCACGTAATCCTCTTTTGCGGGCTGTTGGAAGGACCGAGGGAACGATTACGGGCCGCCATCGCACCACGGCCACTATACTCTCGCAGAGACCTCGCAACGGCAACAGGAGAACCAGTAGTTAGTGGGACTATTGTAAGATGGCTGCTAGGGACGGGTCGGACAGCTTCAAGGCCCAGATAGCATCGATCTTCTCAGGGGGGACTTTGTTGGTAGGTTGAGAACCAACGTAGTATGGTAGTGAACGCAACGCAGTCGCCAATAGGGCGAACCGACGACGCAGCGTATGTATTTAGTCCAGCCATTAGGGCACGGTTTGACATACGGGAGTACTAGTAGAGGTACCGGGGGCTTCGAGCCTACGGCGTATTTAATAATAATAATAATAATGTTATCTACCCGGGCAGTAGATCTCGTGAAGAATCTTGTTATCCGTCTCTATTTGTCATGGCCCTGGAGGTAGCCCACCAGGTGATGGATTTGACGACCCTTTGGGCCCTTGCATGCGCACCAATACATAGCTGGAGGATTGGACAGAGCCTTTGGCCTTCCTTCAACAATATAATAGTTGACGCCATGCCCAAGCCAAAGTGCACTGATGAATGTTTAAGAAATAGAAAGCAGTAGCGAAGGGGACAATCATCTACTGTACTAGAGCAGATGCAGATAATATACTGATATATCGAAGCCAGTCCGGCTCAATAAGTCTGCTATGACACAGGCAAACGCAACATGGTCATAATACCAGGGCGAGGGTATTGTTGACATATAAGCTATTCCTTACTAGAAACCAATCACCTTATACATCGCAATGACTCCAGCATTCCAGAGACCGTCAGCTGTACCTTAACTACGCCGGGATTTTATGTTCTTGCGCAGAAACCCCAGCCTTCCACCGGTAGGTAGAGGCGACATGCTCATCCAACGGTCCTTTTTGTCCCGGTTTCTGGTAGAAGTTCTCTCTGTACGTGCCCTCCAGAACCGCATAGTCATCCCAGAATAGACCTCGTTTGCGAAGCTCTGGGATGAGAAGATCAATAATGTCCTTGAAGGATTGCGGGAACAGCGCGTATGCCTAGGTCATAATTATCCATCCGTCACTAAAACAAATCTCAGTTTGTTGCCTTACAAAGTTGAATCCATCTACGTCTGCTTCCTCAATCCAGATCTCCAAGCCGTCGGCAACTTGGCTTGCAGTGCCCACCAAGATGGGTCCATTGCCACCCACACTCACATGTTCGGCAATCGTGTGCTTCGTCCACTTCGACGTAGCCGGGGAGAACCTAGCGTATCCCTCAACGGTTGATCTGTCTTGTCAGTAATAACCCGAACTCTGGCTTCATTGCGAGTATCTTACCGCACAGCATTGCTCTCGACTTCCGTTAACTCCTCCTCATCCCCATACTTACTAAGATCCATACCCGTCCATCCCCCAAACAGCACCAATGCGCCCTCATGTGAGGCATACTGTCTGTAATCCTTCAACTTCGCCTGTGCCTCCTCCTCCGTCCTCCCCAAAATGGGAGTTACTAGCGCCAACACCTTGATATTCAACCCATCGCGCCCATACTGAGATTTAGCCAATTCACGGATCTCGGAAATGTTCTTGGCGCACACGGCTGGTGAGTGGGCCGACATGAAGATGGCTTCTGCGTGCTGGGCGGCGAACTGTTTGCCGGCCTTGGATGTGCCCGCTTGGAGTAATAGGGGGGTTCTCTGGGGGCTCGGCTGGCAGATGTGCGGGCCGGGAACGTTGAAGAATTTACCAGAGTGGTTGATTTGGCGTACTAGGTCTGGCTGGGTGTAAACTCCTGTCTTGCGGTTTAGTTGCACGGCGTCGTCGCGCCAGGAGGATTCGAAGAGCTTGTACATGACCTTCATGTACTCTTCAGCTTGGGCGTAGCGGTCATCGTGCTGTTTCCACGTGAGAAGGTGATAATTTATTCGATAGAATGACCTGAACTACCTTGGGCTGCTCAGTCAGACCCATGTTCTTAGCGGCTGAGTCGAGATAACTGGTGACGATCTGGGCTTATCATCAGCTATAAGTCTCACTATATGCGATATCTGCTTACATTCCAGCCAACCCTATCTTCATGTTAGAGAAGTTCAAAACTGCATTCATAGTCTCAACTGACCTTCCACCAGTCAAATGATCAAGTGTAGAGAGCCTCCTGGCGAGGTGATAAGGCTGCTCGTAGGTGGTCGAGACCGTGACGCCGAAGCCCAAACTCTTTGTCACAGCAGCCATAGCTGAAATCACAGCCAGGGGCTCGTTGACTGGCCATTGCGCTCCAGATATCTTGGCCGGGTCTAGGGAACTACTGTACACGTCGTAACCACCTGTGGGTCATTAGACTCAGATCAGAGTGAGCTCCTGAATGGCGACCTACCTAGAACATCTGCAATGAAGATGCCGTGGAACTTGGATTCTTCCAGAAGTTTTGCCAGCTGAACCCAATGACTGACTTCGTTAAATCGCCATGACTGGTCATCAGGGTGTCTCCAAAGTCCTATTAAGACGTCAGTAATAAAAGAGATCGAAACCTCGACGTTTCAGACTTGCCTGGCGACTGATGCCCACTGCCTGATGAGTTGTTAGCTCGGTCATATGATGAGGTGGCAGGCTACTCACACATCTCAACAAAGGCATTGAGCACCAGGCTCTTCTTCTTGGTAGTACGCCCATTGATTTCTGCCATTTTCAATATGTATCTCTCGACCAAATGAGCGAGAAGCTTCTGATGAACAAGTTTTAGGGATGCAACGAGCACTGTTCTAAGTAAAGCCGTCGGAGCAGCTTCAAGTGATTTGCGAGAAGACGCGACTCGGAGGATGAAAATATCGTATTAGATGCCATGCACGCTGATAGCCTGCAAGGTAGCGACAGGATAAACGTTGCACTAAGGGTGGAATAGTATGGGATAGCCCGATATCCCACTGCAGTAGACCTGGTATAACTTGACAACTCTACTTGAGTGTGCCGCTTATCTTGTCCTCTACTTGGCCGGCGTCCTTCATCGGAGCGGGGGTTGCGCATATCCAAGGGCTTCGATTTCTTGTTTGGTTGGTGATCTCCCCTCATCTGGCGTTGCGCAAGATATCTCACAATCACGCAATGCACCATGCAAACCGACAGGCGCTCTAGCGCTTGATAGCAGCCGTTGACATGGTATTGCGTCACGTCTCAACGCAAACTCAATTAGATAAATAAAGCTTAGATCTTTGATTTTTATGAATTTTCACAAGCCCACGTGCAGCATGAATCTTTTCAAAAGATTGATGGGACTGTTGTTTCGTCAACAATTTCATTGTTGTCGTCTATTTCAAGTATACCATATGCAGCACAGCCACGTGTGGCTTAGCGTCGACCTCTTCATACCTAACATCTACTACTCTAGCCTAAACCTGCTCCTACCGGTTGTCTCCTATATGGCTTGGCTTTTCTATGCTACTTTATCCAAGAACACCGTAGTCACATTGGAGCTACCTTGATCCATTCCCTCCTCAGCATATCCCTTAACTTGGGAGTCCAACCCAAACTTACGAACAACCAGCCAAGCTGGCAAGATCGCAGCAGCCCAAAGCCCAAAGTTTATGTAGATTGCCCCAACCTCGGCAAAAACGGTGATGGAGGTGAGACCATAACCAACCGCTTGCCAAGCTGACTCGGTGCCCCGCAATAATGCAGCATACCGAATCACTTCATCTTCCCGATCTGCCAAGTTGGTAATGATAAAGTACCTTTGTTGGGCGATATTAGACTTTTTATCAGAACCGTTGCATGTATTCCAGAACTAACAGGAACAAATAGTTGGCTTGAAAGCCGACAGTCAAGAATATGTACACGGCGAAAGCCGCACCGAAGCCTGGGCTGGCCCAGTCGTACGTCGGCTGTGCTTGCCGGAACTTGGTCGCGAGTACCGTGGCCCAAAGCCACCACGCGCCTTGCGTGATGACCAAGGCCCAGAAAGTAGAGCGTGTGCGTATTCTATGCGAAACCTGGGTGCGGTCGAGCCAATTCTGTGCTATGATTAGCTTCTTTGGTCCTTACAACTACGCACCAGATTCGACTTACCCCAAGAAGATTTCCAGCGATGACGGCGACGACACCAGAGAGGAAGGAACCAAGAGCCCGCGCTCTGACGGAAAACCACACTTCAGCAACTGTTAGCAATTTTATTCCCAGCTTGAGAATTGTGCCAACTTACAGGCAAGGTAAGTGAAGTACACGGCCTCGGAAAACACAGCCTGTCCGATCCAAAGTATCACCAGCAGGAACTTAGGTTGCATAAAACTTCTCGCTGTGACCTTCATCTCCTTCCAAGGATGCTCAAGAATCGACAATGTTACCTTCTTGCCATCCTGTCGCTCCACCTGCGAGGGCTTGTTGAGGAATAAAGCCACGACAGGCCCCGAGGCCTGAATAGCGATGAAGATAAGATATACAGTGTACGAGACTTTCCCGGCGCCGTTATTGTCCGCGTTCAGACCCAGGTTTATGGCACCCCCGAGGATCTGTCCAGACAGTCGGTATGTCAGCCAATACCCAAGGGCTTTACCCCTGTTCCAAGGCTCCGGGTAAGCGATTGCGATGGCTGCCTCGGCCATCCAGAAGACGCCGGCGGAGATGCCGCATAGCGCAGCGCCAAATATGGTGAGCCACTCGGTTCCGAAACGATTGTTGGTGTAAAGACCAGCAGCAAAAGGTGCGTATCCCATCCTAAACAGCTATTTAGCTTTGTTTCTTAGATTCATTGCTGCGACTGCTTGGTTCTGGTGAAAAATCTTACGTGCCAAAGATAAGCGCCCCCTTGATCCCAATGTAGTGAACAATTGCGCTCGAGAAGTAACAAGAGAATACCATGAGGCAGAAGGTCAGAGCATTAGAGGCGTTTACCAACTGGGGAGAAGCAGAGCCGCCAGCGCCCAGGGAGTTCATAGCTCCCCAAATTCCAGGTGCAGCAAGATTGCAGAGACCAAGAACGGTCATGTTGTAGAAGGTTGACCGATACCATCGAACTATTTCTCGAGTCAACGAAGGTACTTGAAATCCTTGATATGGCTGGCTTACCTGGTGGTCGCGCTTCCTTGGGCGGTGGAGGAGCATTGTGGATGACTTTATCGGCGTCTGCCATGTCTATACTGTCTTCTCTTTGCAGAATATGAAATAAAATAATATTAAATACGCCGTAGGTGTTAACCCTCGGTACCTCTACAAGTACTCCCTTAAGGGGCTATAGATGATATAGCGGGCCCTTAAGCCGCGTCGGGCGGTTATACAGGTAAACTTGTAGCCAAACGACTACTAAACCTCCTGTCCCTCCCTAAGTCTGTGCTACAACCCCTGCCTGAACTACCGATAAGTGTGGTAATGTGGCACTTAAATTCGTCCTCAGGGGTGGGATGCTGCTGATGTGCAGAAGATGCTCGACTATTTTTTTGTCGCGACAAGTCGTAGTATCTGCTAATTGGGGTTCTCGTCGAGCGTATACATCTCAACCATACGCTCAAGTGGATAGACCGTAACGTGGTCTAGACGCTCGCAAGAATCGCGGCGAGAGGGCGTGCTGCGCGCCTTCTATCGTGAGGGGACGGGTTCGCCGACGAGCGTTATCGGATAGGCGAGGTCCGATAAGGGGCCGGATTAACGATTCGAATTCTGGACCGGCTGTCGAGTTATATTCCGCCGACGTAGTGCTTGACGGTCGACTGGCTAGGATGCTCGTAATCCTAAACTGCACCAATCTCCCTATTATCGCTAGGTAGGCGAAGTCAACAAGGTGGGCAGCGCGCCGTAAGGGTTGACTAAACCCCCTTGTGTGTCAGCTGCGGGATTCGAACCCGCGACTCGTCACCAACCCAAGTGGGCGAGGCTCAAATCGGGACTTATCTACCAGCGAAGTGACCAACTACACCAGCCGACAATATGAAATAAGCTACGTGGCTAGTCTGAACCGCGCATCGCCTTGAAATTTGTAGAAACGCGGCGAACCACAGGTACTTGAAGTTACATGGAACCGGGGTTCTGGATCGAGCTAGTGGCATTATGCTGGTATTAGTGATCGTGAAATGTACCGTGGCCAGCACGCCATCCTATCGGCCAATCGCTTTTCCCTACCTTGGGGTCAAAACCGAGCTACGGGGCTCGGTGCTTATAGAAAGCTTTGGTTCCCTGTTAACTTAAGCTGTCAAATACGCGTGCGATTCCGGACCGCAAATTAGAGCTACGGTACTCGCAAACGGGCGGGACTGCATCGGCTCTGAGGACACAAGGCAATGGAACGAACTGTGTATCGGTGAAGTTTCGCCACACCAGCTAGCAAGTAGAGGACGAACAAACGGCGCACTCAGAAAGAATACCCAAGTTGCGCCTTCTACTAGGATATTTGGATATCCCATATTATTCCAATTCTAGTGCTCCGTTTATTTTGTTCCCTGGTTGCTAGCTTATAAACCGACGTGCCGACATATTAGTAGTAGCTGTTAGGAATACACAATTGAAGTGCAATACTCGTATTCTAGTAGATCTATTCGACTGAACCTATGGCGAATCTCAAGGAACACTCCACCAGTTCTCATGTATGTCTCTAATATCGATATCCAAAGGCACCTTCAGATACGGTGTCAAGTCCGCCTCTGGATCCAATTCCTTCTTGGAGCACCCGTTCCCGAAGTACCAGGCCAGCCTGTTGCCTGTTTTGGACAAATATTCATACTCCCAATCCTCCCAACGCGGTTCTCGGAGAATCATAGTCAACTGAGTCGCACTACCCGGCCACAATCCATGAATTCGACCTCCCGGTTTACCACCATTGTACCACGAGCTGCAGTTCTCTGATAACACTGTAGTATTAAAAAACGAGTCTGAATAACTCACGAAGTCGTCAGTAGCCTCCTTCAAAGGTTGTATCGTCTTGATGCCCTCGCGCCCAAGCTTCCTGAGCAACTTCGTATAGAAAGTTGCCTGTATCTCCGCCCCGTGAGGAACTGTGCCAGACCGACCGGAACTGTTAGGCCCACCCAGAAACCCAAGATTCGGAAACCCTGGAGTGGAAAGCCCGAGGTAGGTATACGGAAACCCGTACTCGCCCCCCTCGGCCCAGAGCTTTGTGAGATCTTTCCCGTGCGCAACGATTCTGAAAGGGGGAACCATGTCCCTATTGGCACCAGTAGCGCAGAATATCGCATCAGCCTCACGGTGCTTGCCGTCTATTGTCTCTATGCCGGTTTCGGTGAATCGCTGAATCGGAGCTTGCACGTAATCTACGTTGTTTGCGGTGATTGCTTCGAAATAGCCAGGACCAGGGGTCAGACGTCGGCAGTGGGGTGAGAAATCCGGCACGAGCCGTTCCAACAGCTCTGGCTTGCTGGCCAGCCGCTTTCTCATGAGCTCTACAAACGTGTCCCGAGCTTCTTCGTTGAGCTTCGAATCCTTGGACCAGGCAGAGAAGCCCCTGAAATACTTCTCCTCGGCGTCTTTTCGAAATTTCAAGTACTCAGCTGGGTCCTTGAAAGACTCTCGAAGCACCGGGTCGATCGGTATGGGCTCGATAGATGTCTCATCCCCAGAGAAAGATGCGGCGATCCAGGTCTTGTTTCTGGCGTAGTGGTCCAGGTGGGCAACGTGCTTTTGAATATTGGCTGTGAGCTGAATGCCGCTTGCGCCAATTCCAATAACTGCGATTCTCTTACCAGATGGGTCGAAGGTTGGGTCCCAATGCGAGGCATGTCTAAGAAGACCCTTGTAGTCCTTAACCCCTGGGTATTCTGGCAACTTCCAGGCATTGAATCTTCCAATGGCTGTGAGGACGAAATCTGCCTCATGTTCAAAAGTCTCTTTCGTGTTGAGGTTTGTGACGGCGATTTTCCAAATTGAGCCATCATTGTCCCATTGCAGACCTTCAACCTGGTGGGACAGCTTTAGATGATGATACACGCCGTACTTATCCGCGACCCCTTGCCAGTATTTTTTGATTTCTGCACCTTGGGCAAACTGCTCGGTCCATTGCGTATTTGGCTCGAAGCTCGACTGATAGACATGAGCTGGAATGTCGCAGCGAACCCCAGGGTACACATTTTCAAACCATGTGCCACCCTGGTAAACTGGTTAGTAGGAGACATGTTGATTGTTATTAGGAGCAACTACTTACCACATCAGCATTCTTCTCAAATATCGTCAGTTTTATCCCCGGAACTTTTACCGGAAGCAGAGCTCCTGCGATGATCCCGTGGATACCAGCACCAATCATGGCCACTCTGATCTCCCTAGGTTCGTCAATATGCCGGTCGTCCAACTTCAGAGTCGACCGCGGATATGCACCCTTGGGCCCTCGCGTCAACGATTCAACACCATTTGTATTGATTCGCGCCTCCTTCTTGGTGCCGTTGAGATGAGGTTCGATTGGAGACCCCCCGGAGTCAACACCCAAAGCCTCTGCAGTCATTTTTGCTATAAGTGGACGAACTGAATATCGCAATGAGACGCTTTGGCTGGGAAGGACTTGGGATCAATGCCACTATGTATTACTGTTGTGTTCTTATGGCTCCCGAAAACGGCTTTAGTTCATGCCATGCAGCCAGTGCTGGGCGCTGTGCATTATCCCTATTCCTTCTTTGGTGGGGTGAGCACGTCATCCCCCCCATTTCCACACAATAAGCAGCAGGTCCACTGACGCAATTGGGATATCCCCGGTTGGGTTAGAATTATGGAATTGTTTCACTGCGGGGTGCTTATCTCCAGTAAGGATGTCTCCTAAACATGGTAGCCGGGGCTGTCATCATACTTGATTCAGGATGACCTCAATTGCAACTGTTATTGTGTGACCAGTTTCCTGTGATACGCCATGCAGAGTCTGCGAGAACGGCACTTTATGCTTGTGGCATTGAGAAGGATCCCAATACATTGATATCGTGCAACGTTAAAATGCTCACGCCAGCTGCCTTCCTGTTCTAGTGCAACCGCATATCTGCATTATCGCGAACATGTCGGATCTAAAGCAAAAGAAGTGGCATAGGATCCAATGGTACTCAGACTCCGACACAAAACAAGAACGGCGTCTTATTTTCAAAATCGACGCTCTCATCATTCCGTATGCTGTGCTATCGTATTGGGTCAAGTACATTGACCAGTCTAACCTGAGTACGCATCTTCCCCTTTTTCGGATTCAAAAGACTAAAAATATCAGACAATGCCTATGTCGCCGGGCTCAAGGAAGACCTCGGGTTCTTTGGCAACGAACTGGTGCATTTGCAGACCTTCTACGTGATTGGGGCAGTTGTCGGACAACTTCCGTTCATGTTCTTGTTTACCTACGTTCCTATGTATTGGTTAATCCCGATTCTCGATGTTGCCTGGGGCATATTCACCTTGCTCCAATACCGGACTAAATCGTATGCTGAGTTGGCCGCCTATCGGTTTCTCGTGGGCTGGTTCGAGGTATGCTTGATATCGCATTCTGAAACAACAGTTGAGCTGACTACCACACAGGCTGCTTTCTTCCCCGCAATGCATTATGTGTTTGGTTCGTGTTCATATTATTTTATCAGAATATTCCAGAGTTAACCAGTTATGACAGGATCCTGGTATCGAGGTGACGAAATTGGTCGCCGCGGGGGAGTCTTTTACGTCGGTCTGTCACTTGGCACTCTAACTGCCGGCTTTATTCAAGCGGGTGCATCGGCGAGACTGGACGGAATCCGAGGTCTAGCAGGTTGGCGATGGATGTACATAATCTGTGCGCTTATCACTATACCGATTGGGATTCTCGGCTACTTCGTAATCCCCGGAACTCCAGACCAACCAAACAGGAAGGTTCTGAAACAAAGCGACATCGATATTGGGCGGAAACGACTGGAACGTTCCGGGCATCGGTCTCATGGAAAGTTCAAGCTGAGCACCCTTCGACACATACTTCTAAAGAAACAATTCTGGGGCATCATTTTCGTCGATGTTCTGTTTTGGAATGCTGGGGTCCACGCAAGTACTGGGACGTTCCTCCTCTGGATCAAAAGTCTGAACCGGTACACTCCAGCCCACGTCAATGAGCTCGGCACCATTGCCCCTGGGTTAGGCATATTCTACACCCTGTTCATCTGCTTCGCCTCGGACCTTGTCCTAGGACCGGCATGGGCTATCACGGTTGCCCACATTTGGAACTCAATCGGCCTAATTATCCTCGTCATTTGGCGAGTCCCCGATTCTGCTCTTTGGTTCGCCTTTTCGACGATCTACTCATCTGCTGCTATGTCGAGCGTTTTCCACGGATGGGTGAACACTCAGCTTCGTTCTTCGCCGGCTGAGAGGTCTTTTACACTGGTCTTGATAAACGCCATATCCCAGTCATCCACCGCGTGGACGCCTTTACTCGTATTTCCAACGATTGAAGTGCCCCGATTCCGCAAGGGGTTTGCATTCTGCCTCTCTTGTGCGGTTTCACTTATCGTGGCAACACATATACTGGAGGCTTATGTCAGGCGTGTCGAGTAAGAAACCGCCCTGCCGATTGGAAAGTATATCCTAACACGTCGCAGGAATAATAAAGCTGAAGAGTTGGACCCCCCATCTCCTGCCACAAAATCTCCTCAAACGGCCAAAAGTGAGACGCACACGTCCGTTCAAGCTCGAGCTAGTGACGTACCCAGTAATTAGAGGTGTACTTCAAAGGATGTCAGTCCAAATAGTTCATGCAAAGGCTATGTGGGTGGTTCGTCTAGATCAAGACTAGCGAAAAGATAAGTGGCGGTGGCTGTAAGTAGTATATTTTACACAGTAGAGTCTGCAAGTATCATCATTGGAGGGGAACCGATTTTGCATATGTATGAATAGAGATTACGTATCGGGGGCATGTGTGCAAATTCTGTGAATAATCTCATCTCCGAAATGAACTTTTGGTTGAATATACCCCTCGCCCATGTTACTCTTGAAAATTTACGTTCGCCTGAATGATAGTTTTCTACTTGTTTAATCTGCGAGCCCAAACGAGAAAGCATAATTAATCTATGTTCAATGGCACCACTATAAGCTCATTGGGGTGATTCTGATGTCTTTCTGAAGAGACCAGGTACATATCTGAGCACTGCAATTTCCCCGCAACCCAAGTGCGTCCGCAGTCGGGATGGTACCATCAAATTCGTAGATCACGCAACTTTCCCCATGCATAGAAATGACGGTGTCTTCATACGACAAAAAATCAACAGAAACGTATAAGTTGGAAGAAGTATCTCGGACATCCTTGCCTTGTATTTCACTTCCACACCACTTGAGGCTGAAGAAGAGACCTAACGCGCCATCAAACATGTCGGAGCCAAGTCGCCAAGAATCATCGGTCAAGGGGGAGCATCCCCTGGACGAAGGAAAGAAACATATCCTCCTGAATGCGTTTGATATGTCGACCATCGGCCATTTGTCCCCAGGTAAGCAGTCCCAGGTGGGTTAAAATACCTCGGAATACCATTTTCATCTAACTTAGCTAATTGGGTTTCTCACTAGGCCAGTGGAAGGTTGGTTCCAAGGGCGAGCTTTACCAAAAAGCATTGCTGAAGAATGACAGAACCCGGTCGACAAATCGACTACCAAACATGATTTGGACTATTGGATCAACCTGGCCAAGCTATTAGATAAAGGCGGCTTCAATGCTCTCTTTCTAGCTGACACGTATGGCGGTTATGACACATACGAGGGGAGCCTCCATAACTGTATCAGGAGAGCTGCACAATGGCCCGTGACGGATCCCACTATTGTATGGTTTTATGCCTTAAAACCCCGTATTATTATTACTGACACGCACTTAAGCCAATTAGTGCCATGGCAGCGGTCACAAAGAACCTCTCCTTCGCTATCACGGCTTCCACATCTTTCGAGCCTCCGTTTCTGCTGGCCAAGCGATTTTCCACCCTCGATCACTTCACTAAAGGCCGGTAAGACGAATCCAGACCACGAAATCCATGTCAAGTTCTAATCCTTCGTAGTTTCGGGTGGAACATTGTCACCTCATGGAAAAAAGCCGCATTCAAGGCAATCGGCCTGGAAAACCCCATCGACCACGACGAGAGGTATCTTCAAGCTGATGAATATCTGCGGGTTCTCTACAAGGAAGCTTTTCTTGACCCTCAAACTTCTGTACATATACTAACAATGAAAATAGACTTTGGGAAGGTTCATGGGCAGACGACGCCATCGCGCCAGACGCCGAAAACGACAGCTACGCTGACCCCGACAAGATCCGCAACATCAGCCACCACGGCAAATATTTCAATTTGGACTCCCGCCACATTGTCAACCCCTCGCCTCAGCGGACCCCGTTTCTCTTTCAAGCTGGGACTTCACCCGCTGGTTCCGAATTCGCCGCAACGCACGCAGAGGGGATTTTTGTGAGTTCTCACTCTCCAAAAATCCTTCGTCCAAAGATCCAGAAGATCCGAGAGCTTGCGGCCGCAAAGGGCCGGGACCCGAAATCACTCAAGTTCTTTGGGACTTACACCCCTATTCTGGGACGCACGGACGAAGAAGCCAAGGAGAAACTGAAAGAGCTGGAAAAATATGTATCGACTATTGGTGGGCTGGTGCTCGTCAGTGGCTGGACTGGAATTGATCTTTCCAAGATCCCAGTTGACCAGAATGTCACCGCGGCTGACTCTACGGAGGCTCACAAAGTCCGCAGTATATTGGATTCTTTCACTACGACTAGTCCTGATGTCCCCGAATGGACCCCCCGAGTCATCGAGCAGAAGGCGAGCATTGGTGGTCTAGGGCCTCTCGGTGTTGGTAGTCCTCAAACAGTTGCAGACGATATGTGTAGGTGGATCCGTGAAGGTGACTTGGACGGGTTCAACCTGGGATACGTCACCACTCCTGGCACATTTGAAGATGTGGTGGAGTTACTGATCCCGGAGCTTCGAAAAAGGGGCTTGTATCCCAGTGAGGACGACGGGTCCGTCAACTGGACTGCCCGAGAGAGAATATACGGTGCTGGGCAGAAAGGATTGAGAGATGATCACACGGGTGCTGCTTACAGGTATGACCAGTACAAAGAAGACCCTCCATACGTGGTTGACAGGTCTGGGGAAGTTTCGGGAACTACTAAAGAGTGAGACCGGTGGAGTAATTCATGCTGATAATACTGAACCGAAAGATTATCTCAAAAGTATTGCCCACAAACTCCGTTCCGCACCTGTATAAGTAAGATGTCTTTAGTTGGATTAGATGGAGCTCACTTCGCCGTAGCATACTGTATTTGAAGGCAAGTCATATGATCTAGTTTGTTACGAGGGTTCTTTGTCATAAGTTAGTCTTGGAACGAACGTTTGAAGCACAAGTGGTTCGAGGATAAAGATCCACGGACCATTGAAAGCAGTACCCAGATAGGAGAACTCTACGCAACATAACCAAGTCTCTCTGTCACAAAGCAAGAGGGCAATGAAGAAAATTCGATAAGCACCAATACTATATGTAGCAAGCTTGAGAAAGTGCCCGCTATCTCTACGCACGAGAACGAGCAAACCAATGTCTATAATTACCGTTCGGGAATTGCCGGGTGATGGACCACGGGAGTTTTCAAGTTGCTGATTGGAAACCTTTCGACCTTGACCCTAGGTTGGCTATCTTTGAAGCTTTGTACTCGTTAGTCGAGTGGCGGTGCCCTAACCACCCAAACACCATATTCATGTTCCCACACACTCTCCCGTCTCTACACTAGTCTATATTAGTGGTAAGATGGTAATTTCCTTGTATAGGACCTGGATAAGCGTTTTATTTGTGTTCAATTCTATGATATTGCATATTCAAACGGAAAAATCGGGTTTCGTAGTTAAGTAGTGTTCAAAGTCAAGGAAACTAAACGGCTAGTAAAGGTGGAATGATGTGAAATATCGTGATGTTCTAGTGTAGTAAATAGACGTGACTTGGTTATTCCGCGCAAGTGTGCCATTGCTTGGTCCTCTATGTGTGTTCCTTTAAGGTAATTCATTGGAAGCACTCATTGCACAGCGTTTGAACTTGGTGCCTAGTTAGAATAACTTTAATTAACACTGTAATGGATACCAACGATTGAAAAATATCGAAAAGAGTTTGGTGTGTGACTTTAATTACGGCAGCTGTCAATATGAATTCAATTATGGACTTCCTCATTGTGCCAACTTACTAGTTGGGCAAGTTTGCATCCTGTGTTGGACCGCCTTTGTGTCCTGTCTACTCGATATGCCGGTTTCGTCCTCGACTTTTTGATTGCTTTGTCTTAATAACCAATACTTCTTTTATACCTCCAATTAATATGATATTGATTCTGTAGACACCTTGATTGAAGATCTGTATTCTCATACATGGCTCTGCCGGTCATTTTGAGTCCATCAACACTAAGGATTACGAACACACCTTTTCCATTTCCCACAAAGTAGCCGGTTGAAGAACTTTTTAAAATGAATATGTATTCGATTAGACCCAAAGAAACGCCAGAGAAACTGTATTCGGTTGCGCCACAAAAGTCGAGGCAATCGATAGACGACCATGACACTGTCGAAAGCATTGAGGATTACGTCACAGGCGGATACCATCCCGTGCACTTGGAAGATACCCTTAACGGACGATTTGAAGTTTTCCACAAACTTGGTATTGGAAGATTTAGTACTGTATGGCTCTGCTTCGATCAAAACGATGAAGCTAGGCCCTGGAAAGCAATTAAGATATTGCGCGCAGACGCCTCTAGGGATGATGTCGCCGAAATCAAAGCCGCCACATATTTCAAGTCTATTAACATCACCGTCGAACAACTCGAAGAAAACCATGTTTACCTTCCGGGTGAACACTTTTGGCTTTCCGGTCCCAATGGGCGACACCTCTGCTTGGTCATGCCAGCCTTAGGTCCTCCAATTGAAAGCAAACCACTGGAGGGAGATCTTGACCAGAATGCAATTCTCCAGGCCGTGGAGGGACTCGGTTTCCTGCACCGCAACGGACTATGTCACGGCGACTTGCGTCCCCCCAACTTGCTGCAACGTATAATACACATCTCCAAGATTGGAAAGAATGTCATGCTGGAGCGGCTTGGTAAACCTACAAAAAGGAAAGTTACAGTTATTTCCGAGGAAAGGCTTGAACTACATGCACCCAAGTACCTGGTGGAGGCAACTTCGCTTGCTAGCTTTGCAGTTAGGGGAGAATGTTGCATAACTGATTTTGGGGATGCTTTCCTGGCAAAGGATCCACCGAAAAACTCGATTACACCGGAATTTGCAGCTCCAGAAATTATATATGAATGCGGAAAGCCGGGTCCCGCGAGTGACATCTGGGCACTGGGATGCACAATAGTCCAGTTTCGATCTGGATTCACGCTGGGTCACATGCATGGAGGGATGAATTGGGATGACAACCAAAACCTGGAGGTGTTTCTTGGCGCCTTGCCAGAGCCTTATAGGTCCGCCTTCCAAAAGAAAAGACAAATTGCAGCCGAGCAAATGAACGGAACCTTAGAAGATCTAAACATGGAACTGCTAGGAGTCCTGAGTGATGCCGAGTCAACCACAGAGACAACTGACCATATGGGTCCCGTAACTCTATCTTCTGGGAGATTAGGTGTTGCGAGAGCTAATTTGACACAGGTTTCTGGAAATTCCGATCCAATCGAAGCTCATCTTTCCAGGGAGCGGATATGGTGGGAAAAGCCCATGAATGAATTTGGCAAGCGAGACTACAGTTGCCTACACAAACTTTGCGGCTACAAACCCCCACCCGAAGAAGTCACTACGCTGGCAAATCTGCTCCGCAAGATATTCAAATACAATCCGGATGCTCGAATTGGGGCCAAGGAAATCACATACCATGACTGGTTCCAGGAGGTCAGAGGAACGCACGTCGCGGATCGTTCAGATGTTGAAGAACCCAAAGAAGATAAGCCTGTCGAAAAGAAGCAACATGAAGCAGAGCCAGCTGCCGGGAGACTCGTCGAAGTGCTTGGTACAGAAGAAGAACCCTCCTTTAAGGAGATCGGCGAGGTTCCTGTCGAAGAAGTTGTCGAAGACCCTACCGAGGAGCCCATTGAAGATGAAGGCAGCGAAGAAAGTTTGATTCTAATGGAGACCGTTAATTCATCCGAAGATGAAGAGCTGCTCCCCAAGGAAACCATACCAGATACCACGAGCGACTTAGTGGTGCAAACAGACCTCCTTGAGTCCGTGAAGCAAACAGCAACATATCCAGTAGCCAGCTCAAAAACTCAAACAGACTTCCCTGAACAAGTGGAGGAAACCGTACCATCTGCAATACGTAATTCAACAATACAGACAGACTTGGCAAAAGCAGTCAGGGAAGCTAAACAGCACTCAGCGACCGCCCCAACAACGTGGCCATTTGGCCCGGGATCAACGCGGGAATCTATACCAACCCCCATGGCCCATCGAAGCCTAATGATCAAACAAGCAGCGCAGAAAGAAACAGAGTCGTATCTAATAATCGATCAAGCAACACAGACAGAAACAGAATCACAACTCGTGACCGATCAAGCAATGCAGAGAGACATGGCCTCGGACCTAATGACCAAAATATTCGAAAAACAACCAAAACCAAATCCAACGACCAAACAAGCAACGCAAACATATTTGGATCCAATCTTTCAAGGGTCCGTACAGATGCTACTAGGGGCCATCTTCGCGTTGATATTCTGGATGGTGTTTCTTGCATTAATCCTCATTCTCAAGGTCAATCTGTCGCCGGATCAAGTTGGGGACCGAAGTTTGTTCCTGTTTCCTCACGCATTGTGGTCAGCTTATTTACCGCCTATCCAAGGGTGTATTGTAGTTTCCATGCCAACGTTTCCAGATGGGCAATGCGGATGCGATGGGTCTTGATACTCAAATTCGGTCAGCATGTCCTCATTTATGTATGAACAGCAGTGTTTTAGCGCATTTATAATTTCATTCAAGCCTACTTATAAGCATTATACCTCGTAGGAAAAAAGTTTCTATGGTTGCATAATTCCCAGTTGCATAGCATTTCTCAAATTCATTACATACAATCCAAGCTTCGTTGGCGACGGAAAATATGTCTGACTCGATCTAGCTTTCCGCATACTTATCACCCTTTATCCAAATTAGGTCATTTGGAGATTCCTTATCTTAAAACTGGCTGGGTTCGTCCTTCCCTTTCTGGTACTGGCATGTTACTTTGTTCTCTAAAATAGAAACAACAAATCAACCCCCCGTGTTCTACAGGTATAGCATGAAAATATCGTATACACTCTATTGCACAGATCAGTCGGCTTAGTTAAATCGGGGAGTTTTCACCATCTCCGTTGAGATAGATACAATAGATCAACCTAATAAACCCGACCAAGTCGCAGGTTGAGGATATGGAGCGTTGTGTCCGTGGTTGTGATCATCCAGTCAGCTTAGGCGACCTTGTGGATGGAATTCAAAGTATTACACAAAGAGCAAGAATCAAATTTATGGCTCTATTACTGTTTAAGGAATATTGGATGGATAGCTATCGAAATCGGCTGCGCAGACCTTTCATCCAAGATTGTAGATGAGAACATATTTTCCAAGTTACTCTGGGACAGAGGCTTCGACGACAAGAAGCTGCAGTCCCGTGATATTTCAATGAAGTACGGGACGTTCGAAATAGACGGTGCGAGTGGGCAGAATCTCTGCGCCCGATGCTGGTTTGGGGGCTGTCGACAGAGAGTGACAAGAATACGCACATATTGACCTCGCCGGATAACCAGAAGGATATTCTTCGCCGACATCAGTTAAGGCCACAGAGTTTTCGATGCAAAGAATGTTGCAGATCACGTTGAAGGATTGGAAAGTTTGCCTCGGACTCCTCCTACGCCTTTGCGAGCTGCTCTTCAATCTTCCCCCAAAGGCCCTGTTTCAAATATTCCGACATCCAGTAATTCCCCTCCATCCTTCCCAATGATAGGAAATGCATTCGGAAGACAGATCCCAAACTGGGCATTCTGTACATACATTGGCCTCCCCAGCTTTGTCTTGCTACCTCCCCTTTTTGTGCCCCCCTCTACATCATTCGAGCCAGCAGCGACAACAGCAGCGGAGAAGTCCGTCTCAAACAGCGACGCCTTGCTCCAATTGGAGATGGTAATCTGGTGCATTCCCGGATCCCCAAAGAACGGCGGCAGAGTTCCCCATGAGCCGCGCCACATATGCATCGATGCCTCGACTTGGGCACGGGTGCCTTGTTCCTCAATTGAGCGCCGGACTTGCTTCGCGAGGTGGCCAAGTGGCCTACTCTTGATGCTATGCACTGGTAGCAGTACGGTAAGGAAACCAACCGCGTTGGATAGGTAACCGCAACATTTATCAATCGAGGGTAGCAGGTCGGCTTCTAAGGTCTTACGAAGCGAGTACGCGTTGTTAAGGGCCACGGTGCGTTGGGAGTCAAAAGGCAAGTGCGAGATGGCGAGGCGGGTCCACCAGGCGCAGATGATATCGCCGTCGCTTAAAAAGGGGGGATCGCTGCCGTCGTCGTCGTCATTTTTGAGATCGGCAAGGCATGTTTCGCGCAGTTCAGCGAGGAAGGAGGCAGGGATACAAACTATTTTAGTTTCCGAGGTACTGAGGAGCTCCCATAAGTTCCTGAGTCCGTACTGCACCATCCCGAAGATAGATAACGTCCCACACATACATCCGGGACACCCCCACATGTGGGACGTCCTAAAAATGATGCTGTATATTATAACCATTAACTTCAACCTTTTTTTACACTTATTCTAATGCGACTACAGTACAGCTTTCACCGTCACTAAGGTTTTCAGACTCGCTAGACTCATCTGTACTATCCTCAATTTCACCAGCCTCGATTTGAGCCTTCCGAATAGCCTTGATATTAGTAAACTTCGAGTTTGGGCTAATCTTGACCTTCCTCCGCTTCCTAGCCCTACTAGCCTCAAGCTCTGCCTCTATTGCCTCAATCTTTCGCTGTGCGACAGCTAATTGGTAGTCCTTCTCATAAAAGCCCTTTTGAACTTTCCGAAAGAGTAGCCGCTGGGTATTTGGATCACTATCAAGCTTGCTGAATAAGCTGGGTTGATCTTGGAGCTCATCTCTCCTCTTAGGCGTTGAACAGGCTACTGCTGATGTCTCTAACGCCCAGTTCTGACTACCCTTACTATCAGAGTACCCTTTGCAAGTCTGACTAGGCTGTCTGATTGGTGCTGACGTATTCTCAAGGAGCAGGGGGCTCATAAGGGGTCTAGCTATGCTCGAAGGCCAGAGACCAGTATATTTCCATCCACTGATAATGTCCTTAGCGGTCAATGCTGCTAGACGTGCCTTCCTATAGCAGAGGAGAAAGTTTCTCTTCCCTACGACAGTAGTAGTATCCCATCGGTCAAGGTAACCAAGCTCCTTCTTATAGGCTGCCTTGAGGGGTCCAAAGACTGACTGATCGAGAGGCTGGAGAACGTGGGATGTGTGTGGCGGCAAGAACAGCAAGTGTATCTTGTTTATGAAGCAGAGGTACATAAACTCTGTCGTTTCGTAGCTACTATGCCCATCTAGGATAAGTAACCTAGTCTCTTCAGGGTCCTCTGGTTGAGTCAAAGGAATAAAGATCTTTTGTAGCCACTCAATAGCCGTAGAGTCTGACGTCCACCCATTCTCTGTTGCTGTAAACCTCCAGGCTTCGTATGGAGTCAAGTCCAGAGGAAACCACTGCTGCTGGACAGACTTTCCCTTGTATATCACAAGTGGGGGTAGTACAGTACCAGTCGCAGAGATACACTCTATAAGAGATGTCCATGCTCGAGATCTAGCTGTTTCTTCCGTATAGAACGAGTCTCAGATGATCCTAGAACAAGAAAATTTGATCCTCTACCTTCTAGAATACCTGTCTTATCCATGTTGTATCGATTCGAGGCCTTAATAGCTTTGATCTCAGGGATAGCGATGTGACGGTTTGTCACGTGATTGACCCACACTGGTCTGAACAGATTGATAAGTGGTTGCAGATACCAAAGTCCCTGACTTTGGTATTGGTCTCTTTTGGTGAAGACATCTGGTACGGTGGCGTAGTGGCAAGGATTGCAACCCCTGGCACGGCGTGACAAGCGAGGTATTTGACCCATTGCCTGATCACATTAGCTGAGGCTCCATTAATACGCTGGGAATCGATAGCTCTGCTTCTCTGGACCTTGACTGAAGGGTTCATCTTGATAAAAGCCTGGACCCAGTTCTTTCCAAGTGGTTCGGTGTCTCCGTGGATCTGTAGGATACGCTCGGCGAAGTCTTTGAGCTGTTGATGGGTTGGTGGGAGGCCTAGGGCAGCCTGGATTCGAACCCATTCAGCCAGATGAGATTCCTGGGCTGGAGAGAGCCTCTGGTAGTCAGCGAAGGCTATATCTCTTGACTGGGCTCCCTGAATCCGTCGTGAAAGAGTAGACCTTGGGACACCATGCTCATATGCTGCTTTTCGGAAGCTTTGACCGGTAGCTATTGCTTGAAGAGCTCGATAAATATAATCTTCGGTATATTGACTCATATTAGTGTAAAGAAGATGTACGTAAAATTTCGTAACAATTGAATCGATATTGGTAAAGAAAGAAGAGGTTGAAGTTAGAGGCTAGCGGTGTTGATGAGGCATTTTTGGGTGTCCCATATGTGGGGGTGTCCCGGATGTGGGTGTGGGACTCTGTGGTAGGCTCAGACAGGCTAAAACCTGGCTGGCCGCTAGCCGTACGTTCAAGAGAAGCCATTTTGCGTTAAAATCAGTCAAGAAAGTTAAGAGAAAAGGGGGCAAGCATAGGGGACATTGTGCTTTATAGGGGGCTTCTAATCAGGAGAGCCTTTCGGATCGACCGACTAGGATCCTAGCACATCCCTCGCCACATGAGGAGCGAATCTCTCTACGTTTTTAAACCTACACCGAACTAACCTGTCTGGTACGGAGGACGCTATGGGTGGATTGCCTTCCATAAATATCCAAGATGGAAATATAGCTAGGTGGTCTACAGTCTGAATGATAATATCCTTTGGAATGTCTGCTAGTTTCCTTAGGTGGATTAATGACCCAAGGCGCTCCCAGTATAGAGTGAAGGCCTGGATGATCTCGACGACGTGTTGCTGGTTGCAGCACTAGGGACCAACAGCATCCTTGACCCAATGTGATCCCTGGGTTGATGACCTGATAGATCATGAGGGGGCAGGCGGTGCACCCACTTGATGGCGATGCTACGTCAAGTAAATGGGAAATTTGGCAGCAAACCAGAGCCCTAGGATATTCTATACCTTCCCGAAATTTCCACCACTGTCAGCCTTTACATATGAGGCAGATTTAGGAACTTCCTCTTTATCTGGCAAGTCACAGCCACCTACCGATGGGAAGAGAACACCAGGGGTTGTTTTGAGCATGCAATATGTAGCTACCAACAGATTATTCATGGCAACCGAAACCATTCATTCCTTGCTCCATTTCAAACTTAGGTCCTCTGCCTAATTATGAGGTGCCGAGCCAACGCGGAGATAGAATGCGGACTCACCCTCCGTAGCACCGGGCTTGTTAATCCCAAAGCACAGGACGTTATAGGCCGCCTCTGGAATAAGCTCGTCGACAAGGTTGTTGTTGTTCGAATCGCGGAAGGTAAAACGGATGGCATTCTGACCCTCGACTCGGGCAGCTCCACGCCGGTGTTCTTGGGACCCCAATCTGCTACAAATAAAAGTCAGTTGATATGTGACGAGATGAAAACTCAATCAAGGTTGCACGCTTACCGAACTGAGGCCGCATCGGAATGCTGGCATCGTCGATGAGAATCTGCACAGCCGAGACTTTAGGCTCTTCTCCAGCATTCGGATTCAACAGCTTCTAGCCGTCAAACAATCGCAGATAGCTTTGAACAGCGCGGAGGGCAAAGTCGACATCGCCGGGACGTTCTTTGGTCGCATCCGAAATCGTGGAGCAATAGCCGACCACGGCGTCGTATGGAGTCGTGTAGTTCACGCCGCCGAGAGAGGCCGAGAGAGAGGCCGTGAGCTACTGCGCAGCGCGTAGTCGATACGCCTGCGTTGTTGTCATTGGCAGCCGCAGCGCCCTGCAATTGCCTCCAGATGCCATGTTGACGACATTGGAGTGGATTGCTGTTGGTGAAGTGATGATAGCAGAAGCAGGGGTCGGTGTTTGTCATAGAGCAAAGAAGTTGGTGCCTGAAAAAGTACCCATAATTTTCAAGCCTCGATAAATCACGTGGTGTCCGAGGGGTCATTTTTGCCTTTCGCAGCATTGCCATTACCGGATGACTCCCATTTCCCCTTCATCTTGAAATCGACGTACGTGAGACTGATCGAAGTCTGCACATCCCATCGGTTCTTGCCATGTCTGAACATCTTGGAGAAATCGAGCGACTCCGGCATGAGCTAGAACAAGCAAAGGCGCGAGAGGAACAGCTCAGGTTCCAGGTCCAAGAGACCACGCTGGGAGAGTATCTACACGACTGCCACTTTCACATTTTCAAAGCTCTCCGGATCGCCGACAAGTCCTTATCTTCCACTGGACATGCCACCAGAGTCGATGACAAGCGCTACCCCATGTGGCTTCGTCGTTGGAGCGACTTTACCGACCTCCAGCGAGACCATTTCGACGAGATCAACAGGGCCTTTGGTGACAAGAGATTACTTACTCCATCGATTGCTACCCGCCATCAAAAGAAGGTCGTCTGCCGGGCTCCGGTAGCTACCGAAAAAGACATCGACATTTTCGTGAAAGTTGCGATCGAATCACCTGTATGCGAGATATTCCAGAAGCTAGTCGAAGCCGATCCCTACATATGCAGGACGTTCAACTTCACCGAGCTAGGATTCAGTAACAATAGCCGCGAACTGAAGCGGCAGGGCAACGTCGATCAGACCGGAGATTCGGAGCAGGGCCAAGAAATACAGGGGCGCCGACGGCGATCTGGACCAAGCAAACGAGTCGCGTCCGAGCAGAAATTCGAGAAGCCAAGCTACCCTGACGGGCTGGGCATCCGCAAGCACCTGGGAGGTGACCTGAATTTGGTCTTCGTTTACGACTACAAGGCGGCCCATAAACTTACGGTCGAAGATCTCAAGTCAGCTCTTATCAAGGAGAAGCTATTTATGGAGGTCGTTCAACGGGTTAACTTGGATACAACCAGAACGGATCCTGAACTAAAGGGCCGAGATAAGGCGGATAAACAAGTTGCTATAGCTTTAACACAGGTGTCTGATTACATGGTTCAATGTGGGGTTGCGTATGGCTATATCACAGCCGGCAAATCCTTAGTTTTCCTTCACATCAGACAAGACGATCTACGGACATTATACTATCACCTTTGTGTGCCAGATGAAGAAGCGACTGGCGGAAATAGAGATTTTAAGGAATCCTATACCGCAGTAGCTCAACTAGCAAGCTTCTGCCTCTTAGCTCTTAGATCCGACGCTCTCCAAGGACCTGCGCTCAGCAAAGCTGTCGAGAAAGCAAAATCAGAACTACAAATTTGGCCGAAACCTTACAAGGAAGCGGAGGAATATGTCAAGGCTGAGAACATGGATTCTTCATCACCGGCGCCATCATCGCAGGTAACAGCTGGGTCATTATATGAGGATAAGTCGAACATACAACTCACGGCTCGAGAATTCTCCTTACGATCAAGATCGACCTGCCAAGACGCTACGGCGATTCAAAGAGATGACGAGGACGATGACGAGGATGAAGACGACGGCCCCTCCCGAGCTCTGCCAAGAATGCCGGGAAGCACCGGTGCGAACAAGCGGAAGGAAGGGCCGTCGAGCAGCAGCTCCGAGGACGATAATCAGGGGACGTCATCAGACTCTGATTCTCCACCTACTAGGCAATACTGTACGCAGGCTTGCTTATTAGGTCTTAAGAGAGGATTGGATCTTGACGAGAATTGCCCTAACGTGTCCTTACATCGCACCGCCGCAAGCAGCACTCGACACCCTATTAACGCTAGCAAACTTACTTCCCTAGTTGGGGAACGGCTACGCCGAAACCCGTATCGAGACTGCGTCGCACTAGACCCTTACGGTCTCCAAGGCAAGATTGGGGCGATAGGGGCACTCTTCAAGGTTGAACTAGCGCAGTATGGCTACACATTCGTCGGCAAGGGGACGCAGTCGGTCCATTTTGAATATTTGCAACATGAGAGCGTGGTTTATTCGCAGCTTGAAAGGCTTCAAGGCGAGGTGGTCCCGGTGTACCTAGGGATCATCAACCTGGCCAGGCCCTGGGGTTATGTCCTCCCCGGCGGGGCCTGTGTCGTTCACATGATGTTGATGTCGTGGGCCGGCGAGGTGGCAGCGGATGTAAACGTGCCGGACTTAGCGACGGAGCGGAAGCGCTCGTCGCGAGCCGTGTGGGGCGAGGGGGTGGATCATAATGATGAGCGCGAGCCTAACATACTCTGGAACTGGGAGCGCCAGCGCGTTATGCTCGTCGACTTTAACCTTGCCGCCCTCCGACCAGTCGTCAAACATAAACGATTGTCGAAGTTGTCTAAGATGGGTAAAAAGAGAAAATCGGAAGAAGATATTCTTGAGATACTTGGCCGGAAACGTGTAATGATGGGAGGGGACAGTCAGCAGGGGTTAGGAATTTCAGGTAGGGGTCAGGAATAAGTAGATTAGTTCATTTCGAGGGGACAGTCAGCAGGGGTTAGTATTCAAACTACGGCGCCTACTTAAGGTACGTATTCACTCACAATATACTACTTCGGGGTTTAGTAGAGTCTAGGGAAAAGAGAACGTAGTACGGCTAGCTGAAATAGTATATAATACGCTACGATTCATCTAATCTCATAGTGCAGTAATTACGAGTAATCCACTCCAAGTATACGTATCGGCACTGATCTTTAGCCCTAACGTGAATGTACACCGAGCTGGCCACCCTTACATAACCTCGCATAGAAATTTTACGATAGTAAAACCACAACGCCGTAAATCAATTGAAACTCTCTGGATCTTCCTCTTCAGAAGATGGCAATGCGATCTTACAAGTTCGCGCATTATGCCCAGTCCCGTTGCAAATACCACAGCGCCTCGGGCGCGTTTCAACACGCTTTGCGCGACCACCATTTCGGCGCTCTTCTTGCTGTATCTGCGTCGCCAACTCCCTAGAGTCCCGTAGGTCCTGTCCTTCTTGGAAAATAAGTGATTCTCCTTCCCGTAATTGCATTTTTTTAGTCCTCCGGCGCCGGCTTAGCATCTTATTTGCCTTTCGAAGCTCAGCGCACTCGGCCCGTACGAGGGCGAGCCGCCGTTTTTACGCGTTTGGAGGGTGCTTCGGGGGACTTGGTACGTTTGCCGCTTGTCGGAGACTAAGTTTTTGGTCATTTTTGAGAGCTTGAAGGGCTAGCATTAAGTCTGCTTCGTTGTATGACTTTGCCATAATTGGTTGTTGAGAAAATCAAACATTAAGTTGGCCGGTCGCGTTGGCGCATGAAAGTGGCCAGCTCGGTGTCATGGCCAGCTCGGTGTACATTCACGTTGTAGTTGAATTAACTTATATCTTATTGTACGAGGTCTTAAGAAGTGTTCAACTGGACCGTGGGGTACGTTACGTGAAGACAAGGTTGATGATGCCCAGGTGATTCAAACCAACCCGAGAAGCTTTCAATGCAGGAGGAAACGAAGAAGTCGCAGTAAAGTATTTTGTTTGAAGCTGATCGAGAGAAAAATAATGCAAACGAGTGAAGGTTTGGTTGAGGAGAGTGCGATCATTTCTGGTAATCACCGCTCACTAACAGCAGTTGTTTTGCGATGAGGAAGGAGCAGACGATAGGAGCTGCATCACTACCTGCAAACCTTCAGTCAACACACCTACCATGCCCCTGGAAATCAACGACCAATGAAATAGGTAGCCCGCGAAGTGGGGTTTTATAGTTGATGACTTCCTACAGTGTTAGGCACCGCCCGACTCCGAATGAGATCGTGGTTGGTCTGAAAGTCTGAACCGGTTGCACACGACGGGTAGAGCGGCAGGGGCCCTGGTTTGGGCCACATGCTGGTTCAGGTTGCTCTCAAACAGACCAACCGCCTCTCGATAACTAATTCCCAAGACGAATTGGAGGAGATCTCCTTAATCCCAATATCCTACCCTAGGCTTGCACGATGGGAAAATTCTATATGCTTCGAGATTGAGTTCGAAGCCCGGTCGTTGGCCGAACAAACCCGAAAAGAGAAGAGACAAGTAAAACTGAGCGTGTCTGTCGTCCGGGTGTTGTCGAATCAGCTGCACATGTCTCTCAAGTGAGCAGGGAAAAAAGTTGACAGCACCCAACGCCTAGGGAGGCTGCAGGTTGTGTGGCTGGTCAAGTCAGCTTTCGAAGCGTAAATAAATACCTTCGTTCACAACCCGGCCGTCAATTGTGGCTGATACCAAAATGTGACGGAGGGACGGCCTGCATTTATAATGAAACGAAAATAAAAACATATTTCGTGCTTGAGGCTTGATTGCCGTTAAACGTGCGGTCTCTATGCTTCGTCGTTCGGGTTACAGATTGGTGAGCAACGCAAGATTCAGCCCTGAAGAAAGCGAATCTGAGATTGGAGGATCCAGGTGATTGCACGGACCACACGCGCCCGGCACACCGGCACTTGGATCCCCGCCAACATGACGTCGACCTAGCCCCGCCAAATCGCATGAGGGTCTTCCAAGAAGCAAATGCCTGGAGCTACTTACCAAAGCAGCGTCTGGCGACACGTCTAGCTGCAACGAGATAGACAAACCTCCGGCGAGTCTCGAAGCAGCCGCCCAAACCAACGACCATTTAACATATTTCCCAACGTCACGAACAACAATATGGCGAGCTTTCTGCGAGGGAAGCAGGCTGGCATGCAGAATGACCTGTCAGCTAACATTCTCCCGGAACTTTTCGCACCAGATGATCGGGCCCGTTATGGAATCAACTCTCAGATCAGGCACGCGAGCTCCTTGGGTTAACAGATATACAAGTCACGTACTGACACCGCTCTTTTGTAGATGCATCGCATATGAACCTGTCCAGTCGCTGCTCGCCATCGGGACAACAGAATCCAAGTTTGGATCGGGTCGCATCGAAGTGTATGGACAAACTCGAGTCCACAAATTCTTGGTTCCACCACGACCGTGTTCCTTTTCCCAGTTACAGTTCTGTGCCCATCGCCTCGTGAGTCTCGACACGAAGAACGAAGTTGGAATATGGAATCTGGATACAGGCAGCCGGATAGCTGGCTTCCGCGCCCCGGGCGTAGTGGCCTCCATGGTCACGGACCCTATGTTGGACTGGTGTTTCCTGGGAATGCAGAATGGGGAGGTCTTCGCCTACGATCTCGATCGGGAGCGCATGTCACCACTTCGCCTGCCCAACTATTGGGGTGAAAAGGATTCCAAGGCACGGGCTGTAGCAATGGTCTCTATGCAACTACACCCGCGGGACATTGGCAAGTTGATGATTGCATATTCCCACGGTATTGTCCTGTATTCCTTCAAGCAAAACAAGGCAACCCAGTTTTTCGAGTACCAGGTTCCTCCAGGAGCGCCAGGTGGAAGCACGGCTGCCGTGGACGCGATGAGAAAACCCAGGCTGACACACGCTGTCTGGCACCCTACGGGGACATTCATCCTCACAGCACATGATGATGGAAGTTTGGTCTTCTGGGACTCCAAGGATGGTCGGGTGGTGATGGCCCGAACACTGTATGACATGAAAATCAACGAACCGGTTCCGAATCCCGGAGGTTCGAGGCCAAAACACCCCTATATCCGGATAGCGTGGTGCTGTAAACAGAACCCCGAGGACAGTGGTCTTCTCATTGCAGGTGGTCAGACCCTCGATAACGCTGCAAATGGATTGACGTTCATTGATCTAGGCGTCACTCCAAATTACCAAACATCGACCTGGCAAATACTTGCTGACTATTGCAAAGGGAAGCAGCAAAATATCCTTGAAACCCCCCCTGGTGCCGAGGTAACGGACTTTTTCTTGATACCACGATTTTCCCCGCATTTCGCTGGTGCTCAGGACCCCATTGCCATTATGACGTTGCTATCTTCCGGGGAACTGTTGACGATGAGCTTTCCCAGCGGGTACCCCATCTCTCCAACCAACCAGCTTCACCCATCTGTGTCTTTTGTCCATCCATTTGCGACCAAGTTTGCAGTGTCGACACTCGATCGGGGAAGCTGGCTAGGCATGGTCGAAATTCGTAACCAGGGTGAACCACTCCTCAAAGGAGGGAAAGAGGCTTCTCGGCCCCGTCGGCGGTTCGAGGGACGGTGTATCATTCAGGTCGCTCATGCAGACAGCACTGTGCGCATCTGGGACGTGGGGCATGATGACGAGATCGAGAACCCCACTCAACTACAAGTTGACGTTGCGAGAGCCCTCAACCGGTATGAAGACATCAGCATCACTGCTATGAGCATGGCTTCAAGTACTGGAGAGTTTGCTGTTGGGACGAGCGGTGGCGAAGTCGTCATATATCGCTGGGACGGCAACAGGTTCTTTGACCGCAATCAGAATCAACAACTAGATCCCAATCCCGGCGGTCTTACAGATATCAGTATGAGGGCCGAGCCAGCGCTGAAACAGGGGCTTCAACCCATCCGCTTGTACGAAATGGTGCAGGGCGCCATAACTGTCGTCAAAGTTTCTGAAGTCGGCTTCATCGCGGTGGGTTCCGACCGTGGTTTCTTCAGTATCATAGATATGCGGGGCCCGTCAGTAATCTATCAGGCTTCCATGGTCGACTTTGCCAAACAGGAGAAGAGGTCTTCTTTCATTCGAGGTCATTCATACGCACCACCTCCCAAAGAATGGCCGGTCAAAATCGAGTTCGGTGTCATGACACTCGACGGAGACAAATTTTCAAGCATCTGCTGTTTCGTTGGGACCAATACAGGCAAGGTGATTACCTTCGCCCTTTTGCCATCTGGTCAGAGCTACACTGCGAGGCCAGCCGGCGTGAGCCAGTTGAGTGACAGGGTCGTGGCGATATGTCCAATAGTAGCGGACACGGGAAAGCTGGCGTATGCGACAGGTCAAACAGTGGCTGGTCTTCGCGAGGGCAAGCAGGTAAACGGGCTGCTTGTAGTTGGTATGCTCAACACGTCTATTTTTACTTGGCGGATACTAACACGATGTAGTCACTCAAACGGAAGCTCGCATTTTTAAACCAGCAGTTGCTAAGGGGGCTTCAAAGTGTTTTGACGACTACCTGTGCGACGCAGCCGCTGTGACTGAAGTTGACATCCAGGGGATGGCCCTCGTCGGTGTCTTTGGGGATCGGGTAGCACGTGCCTTTTCTTTACCGGGACTGAAGGAGATTGGAAGCGCTCCACTAAAGATGATGGACGGCAGCCGTGGTACAGAGTCGATTGTCACCGAGGAAGGCACCGTTTTCTGTTGGACAGGACCATCCGAGCTTGCGGTACTGAACGTGTGGGGAGCTGGACGTGAAATCGAGAATACGGCCGACGTTCTCATCAACCCCGAGCTTCGCATCCCCACGAGACCGACGATCTCCAACGTGCAGTGGCTCTCTGGCACGCAATACGTCTCGCCTACAGACCTAGACCTTCTCATTGGCGGTGCCGAACGGCCCCCCAGCAAACGCATGATGGCTGCAGCCGCAGCTGAACTGCGAGGCGGGGGTGCTGGGCCGGCAAGCCCTACGACGGCGGCAAGAGCGGGCGCCCAGGAAGGTTGGGGCGATTACTTGACCAGGCAGTTGAACGAGCGAACTGAAAAATTGAACCTCATGAGCGATACCATGGATAACGCAGCGGATTCGAGCCAGAAGTGGGCAGAGGACGCCGGGAAGTGGGCCAGTCAACAGAAACGGAAGATGATCTTGGGCGGGTTGACCAGCAAGTTCTTGTAGAAGCTGTCGTTCCGATATTTGTCGATGTTTGCTTCTTCCGCACAAATCTGGGGGCCTGTTTCATGGTTTGATGGCGTTTTTACGGGGCGATTTTGCCATCGAGGGTAGTTGGGGTTCATACTGCGATGGTCGCACTGGTATGATCAACGAACAATAACCATGTTATACCAGGGCTTGTACTTTGTGATGACTTGGCATGAAATATAAGAGCATTGTGCGGCGAATTTGGTTGATATCCCCCCGGCTTAATAACAAAGCAATTTTTCTTCTTTACAGAGACGGCCTCCGAGCCTCAAGCAACAAGCTTCATGGCCCTACGGGCACCTGCAGGGCCGCCCATGTCTGTCACCCCCTAGCGCGGTATCATTCAGCTTAGTAATGCGCTGTCTGGGATCATCGAGCACAGACCATGTTGTGGGATCTTCAACCGCTAAATATGAGCATGCAACAGGGGTCTAGAGAAATCATGAATCCAAGAGAGAGGCGCAAGCACGCAAGTTGATTTTCAGACATCAGCAACGCTGTTTATGCTGGCTTGCCCTTCCACTTGCTCTGAGTTCGGTCTCTTCTGCTTCAGCACCACCCTCCCCTCATCAACTGCGAATTTGCGGTGATTCTCGGGCTATCGTGATCCGCCGACGTCATGGGGAGCGATGTTCAGTTCGATCCGTCTGAATACGGCGGGGCTGACGCTATAGAAAAGAAACCTCGCAATCGGATTCGCTTTTCGTGCACTATTTGTCGAGGTAAGCACCCTTTGCGCGAGGTAACCATGGTTCTTGTCATTTGTCTAGGGTGGTGCTTCTTTCCAAAGACGTCTTTTCTACCCCTGGGTTATTACTTGACGATCCCAAGATCAGCTATGAGATAATCACATCAGAATACTGACACCAAGGGTTGGAAAGAAAAGAAGTACGTATTTCGATAACATGAATCCCCTGTGGTATCATCGATTCTGACAATAACATAGGCTCAAATGTGACAGAGCACTACCGTGCGATCAGTGCCTGAAGAGATCTATTCAGGACTCCTGCGAATACGTCCCCTATCTCTTCCCCAAATCATCCACCAGGTTAAGCCGTGCCTCATCAAGAGTCCGCTCCACACCTGACGTGGCTTCTCTGCAGCACAGACTGCATCACTTAGAACAACTTGTCCAAGTTTTGAAGACGCAACCGCGGGATGATATTGGGCTAAGGGAGATTGGGAAGCTGGAGTGGAGCGTGGCGGCCGCTGCCTCCCCCGAAGCAAAAGTCTCGAGTCTAGGAGACCATTTTGAGTATCCATTGGGAATTACGATTGAGCCAGATACACTCAATAATACTGGACAAAGCAGGATGCAAGATGCACCTGGTTGGGAGGCTTTACTCGACGAAATAGTGAACCTGACCCACAGCTTGAGAATAACCGGTCAACCTCACGACGACACTAATGTCAACGAGTCACAGCTGCCCGAGACAAGGGGCCCAATGCTTCTCTTAGGAGCCTTTGCACCTACAACAATGACCGAACTTCTCCAAGCACTGCCTTCGAAGGCTGTCGTCGACCGACTGGTAGCCGCATTCTTCCAGGATAAAAATGAGCCGGGTCGGGGTGGGTAGCAGCCAAATCGTTGATCTATATGATGTTAACAGACTTTAGTCATCTTGCATGTGCCCAGTTTTCTGCGACATGTTTGTGCCCCAGGCATCTTACCTGACCCATGAGAACCCGCTGACGTGCGCAGTACGACAATTTCTGGCGAGACCTCTCCCAATCACCCATCATCTTTATGTGTTTGATCTTTGGTACCATAGCACATGTAGCTCTGGTGTGTCACTTCGCCAAGAAACCAGTTCCAGGAATCGCGGGAGATCCCATGGAAGTGGTGCATAGCTTTCTCACCAGAATGGCCCAATGCCTTGCCGTCGATGATTATACCAAACCAGGCAAATGGAAGCTCGAGGCTCTTATCTTGTATTTCGGTGGCGAGTATCTGCGTCTGACCGACGCGCAGGTCGGCACATCGGTGCTTTTGTCCACCATTGTCAAGCTGGCTATGCACTCGGGCTACCATCGCGACCCAAAGCACAACAAGAAAATATCAGCTTTCGAAGGCGAAATGCGTAGACGACTGTGGAGAATTCTTCTTGACGTGGATGCTGTGACGGCTTTCCAGTTCGGCATTCCCTTGCACATTGCTCCAGGGTCCTATGACACAGAGCCCCCGCGGAACTTGCACGACGAGGATTTCGATGAAACGACTTCCGAACTGCCGCCACCCAGACCACTCACCGAGCTGACCAGAGTTCTCCCCAGCATTCTGAAGGAGAAGGTGGAATCCGTATTCGTTGAGATCCAAGCCACCATCTACTCGACAAACCCGGTTCGCTATGAGCGAATCATGGAACTGGACAGCAAACTAAAAAAATCCTGGCAGTCTATACCACCTGTTATGCGCATGCGAGACTTCGTGCAATCTATTGCGGACCCGCTCGATCTTGTTCTGCAGCGTTACCAAAGAGAGATTCTTTACCAGAAGTGTCGCTCCGTGTTGCACAGAAGATACTTAAACCTGGGACGCTCTGACCACCGGTTTTCATACTCACGTTGGACTTGTCTTGATGCAGCAGCCAAGACTATGCGTCATCAGTATGACATTCACTTCGAGAGCCAGCCATTTGGTCGACTAGCAAGCAACAACTGGCTCCAAAACTCTCTGTTGACTCACGACTTCCTACTTGCCGCCATGATTTTATGTCTGGAGCTCTCGTATCTTCTGCGCTCAGAATCTGTTACACAAGGAAGGTGCTTGACGGACCCGAACTTCACTAAGGATCAGCTTCTCGAAATACTACGCACGTCGAGAAAGATCTGGGAACAACAGCGCAAGGAGTCCTCAGAAGCGCAGAGAGCGTACCAAACCATTTCCAGGATGATCGCTGTGGCCACTGGGATGGAAAATGGGGACAGTCCAGAGTCCAGTGGCAGCAGTGAGCCGTCCGAACTACCACAACCAGCGGCCTTCCCATCCCCTCAAACCTATGGTATGCATTATTCCACAATGAAAGACCCATCATCGCATGATGCATGATGCTCATGATTGCAGGTTACCCTTTTGATGATTTCAATGCAATGCGAGATTCACAGGCACCGGTCCATCCGTCTTCGTCTTCCGTTCCGGCAAGCGCATGGGGCCCAATAATTTCTCAAGCCCAGTCGGATCCCTGGGCATTACAAGTACCGGCAACGGATCTTACAAACTTGGATTCCATTAATTGGGTATGTGTTTGGTCAAAACAGGGACAAAGTGAGTTTTTTTATTGACCCTTTCGCAGTCTATGTGGGACAACCAGATTCGGGGCATTGGGTCAGAAATGCCCCAGATACCATGGAACACTTTCTTTCAACAACATGGGCAATGATTATAATTCATGTTGCCTCTGGTCAGTTGGTGGGCTGCTTGGCTGTAACAGTGACCGACATCGGAACCATTTTCCAATGAGACGGATAATGAGCATTGGCTCTCCTGACATTTAACATCATAAGCCGATCTTGCAAGGTAGCTTCCAAGCTTGTCTAGCGACCCATCCGATGGCGTGGGACTCTAGTGGCTATGATGGCCATTGCGTACCCGGCCCTTCGGCTGTTATTGGGCAATGAGGTGATGCCCCTGATAACGGGCCGGCATGATTCAGCCCTACATGGATTTTCTAGAGCTCTGAATTGCTGCCAGATGGGAACCTTTCGGTGACCAAGAAACTCGAGACTAATTAGATAAACCCGAGACGTTGCTATTTCCTGGTCAACTCCCTATTAGCTAGCGATCGGCTTCGGCCCCCACGATTTGCATGATTGGTCGCCTGGTACGACGCAGACACCGTCCCTGCATCTTTATTGGTCAGCCCCTTCGAACGGCTGAAAGACGTTTTGAGTTTGAAGTTGAGCGAAGGAATCAAATACTTGACCATGCCGAATATCCAGCCAAGGATTCACTCCGCTGCGGCGGAGCTAGACATCGGTTACCAAGATATCGGACTCGGACGCAATGAGGGCTATTAACATCCCCTCCCCTCACTCTGGAATTTCTCAGAGAGACTGGATTTTCTTTACGACGGCCAGACTTATCTTCTTTGGTTTACGACCTCACCGATCATATTCAGCCGGCTTTTCGGGGCTGCAATCGTTCCTACAAGGAGGCCTTGGTAGGGTTCTGAAGAGAGTTGGCATGATTGTAATCGACTATAAGTTGATGGATCAATCATCATGCTCAACAACGCCCAAGATGGTCTTGAGTCAGCGTCCGCTTGCTATACCAAACGCCCTCGGCCCATTATCAAAGATATTTTGTTAAGAAAAAATTGCAGCATGAGCCAAGTGTGCAGCTTCGCTGACGTGGCGGTTTCCTACCGCGTCTACATCCTCGACGACCTGCTCGCCGAGCCCCAACAGATCGTCCACTACTGGTACCGAAACCTCCTTTACATCAGCCAGCGGTACCGCCAGGGCAACTCTTTTGCGCCCATAGAAAGCTCCCGCGAGATCGCCGTCTCGACATCTCGACCGCTGATGTAGTCGGCACGGTTCATCTAAGTCCTTATGAAGCCCCGCATGGCATGGAACTCGACGACCAGTGCTCGTATCTGTACGTCAACGTTACTGATGGTGCGGTCTGGGTCGACCCGGAGACCAGAACCGTGACCAATTTCGCTCCGAGCTCCCAGACTGCTCCAGCGCAGGCGAGCAGCGATGACTTTATCGCCGAGTTCGATTTGCGTTCTGGACGCATGCGGCAGCGTGTCAATGTCCCTGAGAGTGAGACGCCTACTGATCGACGATTCGTGGCTTTCTCGGCACCAGCGATTAGATTCGGAAGCCGGATTTCAGGCGGCGGGCTGCCTGTTATCAATGTTGACGATGATCCTGTAATCGCGGCTATCAAGGCCAAGTTCAACGTCAGAACTATCTACGTCACCTCACGTAACATCATGCTGGTCTAGATGCTGTGAGGGGGCAGGATATCGCAAAGAATAGCGGGAAGTTTCCTTGACAGATAATTTGGAGCAATCCTATTCGGATATGGTCATTATTTTGCAATACCTTCAGTGTTGATGGTGGTCAAGGCAAAGCAACGGTCATTTGGAGTCTACTGATACATGGGGACACACGATACATCATCTCTTCAATATTATTTCTGTATTTGCATGATCAAGCGATAACACGACTCTTTGTTGTACTTTAAACCTAGTTTAGGTACTCGGTACAAAATACAAGCCGCTGTTTTTCAGTTGCGAGTTGCTTGCGCATTGTAGCATATTTTGCCGTTCTATTTATTCAGCGCGACCTCATACTGTATTGTTACGCGTGAATTGGTGGTCAACCCCTCCATTTGTCAGCTGTGGCGAGAAAGCTGACACGTACACCTCTCCAGGGATGTATAGCGTTAGCACGTCGCTTCCCAGAAATACTTGGTCGCCTCACTGGGTTTAGTGTTCGTCAGGTAATAGGCCATTGCACATATAGACACAGATTATGTTGCAGAAAAGGTGTTAAATCGAAGTAGATTGAAAAAGCAAGTGTTGATCGCGATGCATCTTTCGCAGAAATATAGCTTTAATGCACCCAGGTCACGTGATCCTTCAACACGTGATCCTGCAACAGATTATGTCGAGGTACTTCATATGCTATACAGTGTAGATCAGTAGCCTAACAGACCATTTCTCACGCCAACGTTACATATTCCTGGAGGAGTGTAAAAAGCTCTTGTCAGTCCGCACAAAATCGCTGCACAGCTTGAGTGGGCCGTTTTCATCGATACCAAGTACGCCATCCCAAGTACTACGGGAATGCTGGTGTAAACCGAGGCCTGCAATGAGTTGCCTCTACCAACACATCACAACCAAAAAGCCGATCTCGGCTCTTCTCATATCGCTCAGTCTCCAACATCCATACTTGAGTTGTACAGTATTATACCAAGACCCGAAGGTCGAGCGACCTTACTTACCCTGGTACGGCCTGACATGGGATCTCATGCAAAGCGGTCCCCTGCAGCAGCCCCTGCAGCATGGATAGAGCCAATCAAACAACACCCAGCGCAGCCGCCGCATCCTTCGCGCTTCATCAGCCTTAGCTATGGGCGGTTCTATTTTCCTCCCAAAGGTCGTACGGCTGGGTTTCCGCGCCGCTGTGGGGAAAAATAAACAACATAATTTAACGTGATGGGTGCAGTAAGATGTTTGCCGGACGGAGGTGTGAACCTTTTGAGTAACGTAGAATACGAAACTCATTGAAGCTGGCGCGCAGATTCTATCAAGCCGCAGAATAGGAGGGACATTGACACGCCGAGGATGGGAATGGACAGACGAAGAGGCCTACCGTACGAAAAAGGAATGATTCCTCAATAATGAACTGCTTTTGTCGTTTGACGTCACGGTAGGTTTGGTGGGACCAGTCAGCACTAGTAAGCGGTTAAGGTATCATCTACATTGGAACGTTCGGTGAAAACGTCAGCGCCAAATCACATGGATATTGGAGGCCTGTGACTACGACAAGAGATGTCGTAATGCTTTGCAATGAGATATTTCCTTTGCTGTGTGTGGTGGATGACTGGACCCTAGAATAGGCATATGGCGTTCGCTAGCCGGCTCCGACGTGAGCCAGTAATAAAGGAATGGTTGTCGTCGTCGTCGATATGTCGATTGTACGAGCGCTCGGTGTGATTTTTGGACATGAAGTTGGAAGTTTTTAGGTTTAACTGGCATAAGGTACGATTTATCAAAGGCAGCAACATTGGAATGACGCAGATGCTATGAAAGATCTACAGTATAAGTAAATACAGTAACCTCCCATACAGTGTCTAAGGACATAATTGTTAACTCATTGACGATCTAGAAGTCATAGGCTAACGAGATCTTAGCAGGACAAATACTTCAGATCGGATACTTCAGTATTGCTCCTAAATATAAGAAAGCACTACTGGTAGATAGTCGGGCAGAATATCTCTGGGAGGATAATGCATGATGATCAAAGCAGCTGTGATGACCTCGGTAATAATCTGGTAATTAGTTGAAATACGTTGCGTTCTAGCGACTGCCTTATATATACTTTAAACAGCCACTGATTCAATATGGTGCTTTATGCTAATATTTACAATCTACCTTGGGGCGAACCCGAGGGTCAACTATGTACTCAATCTTGTCCTAAGTTGAGCACAGCCGCAAAGTGTAAAGCAGTCAAGAGACTCCTCATAAAGACCTTCGTTTCTTGGGGAGACCGAGTGGAGACATCCAATACATCCACTGCCACTGTTACCACCAAGTGACCCCCCTTTCTCACCATTGCATTGGTAGTGGGCTTATACTCCTGGCCGATGAAACGCCTCATACATAAGATAGCTTAGTGGTTTTTATTCCCTGGGCTATTTATATTAGCGCTACTATAGCGTAAAATCAGGGCATACAACTCTTGAATATGGAGGATTTGTACGTTGCTCTATGCCGTTCTTGATAATTCTCCGTTTTAGAGCCCCACGACGATCTGAAGAAGGCAATACTCGGCCTACATAAGCACATTCACGGGCGCACTATGATACATACGACCATAGGTTGCAGAGAACTCGGGATCCCGTCCGCTCTCCTACAGATAAACTGCAAACCGCTAGATTAGTAGTTGGGTGGGTGACCACCAGCGAATCCCTAGTGTCGTATGTTTTTGTTACATTCATTCTCTTTTTTCATAATTTAAGGTGGGGCCGTATACCGGGCTGCTGTACCTGGCACCCAGTGCACAGGCCCAGCACCCGCCTGGCCTAACTTCGCTCCTCGCTTCTCGCTATTATGGAGCCTTTTTTTGTTTTTTTTGTTTTTATATTTGGTGAATCTCGTTTATTGTACAGTCCTATGCAAGCCTATGGCTTATGAAGATAGTAGGTCTAAAGGCCGAAGTATAGCGGGTAAATTACCCAGTCCTACATACAAGTGTGACTCTGTACTGCAGATTTGTATCCTCCGTAACTATTGCTTTCCCTCGCACTATAAATCAATCACCTCAATTAATGTCTTTGATCATATGGGGTGTGAATTATTGTAGTAGGAAAGGTTGGCCAGGTCAGTTATTCTGGCCTGGCAGAGCTCTTTTATAGCTCTTATCTATCTTATCTATAGCTATAGGGTGACCCCCCATGGGGTCACGTATCACGAGATCTTTCAAAGGATAATAAAGGAGAAAGGAATAAATATTAGATACCAAGGTTTATAGTGTGCAGTCCACGTATGTTAAGTAGGGGATACGTCACGTCCCGAAGAAGACAGAGAGGTCCTCTTTATACCCCTGATCAAATGTACGCTCAGCGACTGGAAAACTAGAAATCTACAAGGAGCTCTATTGAGCCTTCGTAGGTATCATCGAAGGGGATAAACTAGGTTTTATTGATCAGGACGAGATAGTCGGCCCCAGATATACAGTGCAGTTAACCAAGAGCTGTAGAAAGATGGTATGTTATATTATGATGAGTACCTTTGCCTTTCTCAGCCGAAGATAGGAGACTTTCCCTGCCAACAGGATAACTTTCTGAATATCAGAGATTAGTACGAGTGGCGGCTCGTCCAAACGTCTCTCAGAATAATCGAGAGCGACCTCGACTTCGAAGGATATCTACGTCTGGATAACAAGATAGAAGATATCTACAAGCGACAAAAGATTGCGGAAGATTGCGGAATATAGTTCTCCTCGGTGAGAAGCAGGTGACGTTTCTGAAAGGTGCGTATCGCGACCGATATCTTAGTTGCGCACACCTGGCTCGCAGACAGTAGCAGGAGCCTTGCCTTTTGAAAGGAGGCCGAGGACTGAACTATGATCGGATGGTATTCAAACAACCATTTTGTTGCCAGCATCACTGTGTGGGAGGATACTGTTTTATCGCTTGAAATGCCATTTTAGGATATCTTATGAGACTATACAGCTCTGTCCATGAGGTAAATCGTGTTGGTTACCAATTAGTTTCAGGCTAAAAGTTATTCAAGCAACCGAAGAGCATAACTACAGTCTGGACGGATGGTTGTCGCACCAAACAGAAGCTATTCAAAGAACGGCTGTTTCATCGCGTTCTTCAAGTCCGCTACCCACGCTACACCTACTAGTCTTAGCGAATTACGGAAGACCTTTCCAATTTATTCGAAGGCTCCTGATAAGAAAACCCTGTGGCAGAAAATGGAAAATAAAGGCTAGCAGAGTTCCAAAGCTGTTGCTGAGTTCTCGTCGCTGATGGATGCATTATCGAAGTAGCGCGTCTGTAATACGGCTCGAGACGTATACGCGGGCCCCCACTGTTTCAGGTTGGCAATGAGACACTTGCTCCCTTTGTGCAGTATTCCTTTCATATTGCGAAAAAAAAACCAAAAACCAAAAACCACAAAAGATCACCATGGGTTTGTCGGGCTTTGCTATATATTTGGCTGGACGAACGGGGCAGCGAAAGGATTGACCAAGAACCGGGTGATTAGAGAGACCTAAGTGGAAATTAGCCAATATCTTCTGGCAGGTTCATTTCATCGCTAGGAGGACTATGTGTTGATTGTTTAAGCTCGCCTTGGCAGTTTTATCTTGATTAATACAATACGCCATATTCTTGCTCAATTCGAACACGTTAAAATAGGGATGCAGCCTTTCTCACTCTAGCTTTCACTTTTGCCTTCAACTTGCTGCTGCTATTTTTACGTGTATTTAGGACATTCGAAGTCTCGTAGACATTGGTTTCGATTCCAGCAATGTAGCTAATCGGACCAACCTCATTTTTGGAAATAACAGGATTCATTGAGTTTTGAGGCCCATGCTTGACTTCCGAGTTACCTTGTGGCTCTCTGCTTGACTGATGGGAGAACTGAGATCCCAGCTTTAGAAGGCTCCAGGTGTCAAGCAGACGAGAACAAACGTGATGAGTGGAACCTGCAAACCGCACAAGGGCTTGTCTGACATAATTCTTCAAGGCCAACGCGACAACAATGGATTGCACCCCAAGACGGTCGAAGTCATGGAACAATGTAGGATCGATAGCGCCGTCCCCACGAGAAGAATAAAGGATCTACCGTGACCAGTGTACTCTGCGCCATGCCCAATAAGGATTGGTGTTCTTAACGCAAGAGTAACTCGTGGCACTTTTCCAATGCTGGCTTAAGTTTTGTCCAACTAATCCAAGTATTCAGGAGGTGGGGGACGGCTGGATCGGTCTAGTGCTACAGCCAATGCTGTCTTGACTAGCAGGAGAAAAATGAGACCTCTGGTGTTGTAAGATCCGATGACCTCAAGAGTTGGATGACACTTTAGTGACCACACTTGGATCAGTGTGTCAATCGAATAGTGTTGCTTTTCGCATGTCTCATGTTCGACACTCTGGATCATGATTTTAAACAAGTTTGCTGCCTGTATACGGTAGTGAGATGGTATTTTTTCTACCATCTGCCCGTATAATGTGGCAAGATCACTCGGAAGCTCGTCTTCGCGGTCGCCATTTTTAACACCCACAAAACATTCCTGAAGCTGTTTTGCGAGTTCATTTGAAAGCAGATCCAGGCTGGACCCAAGGGGATGTGCGATAGTTTTGAATCTCGATCTCATTATGTCTTCTGCGTATTGTCTGATGTCATTATATGTGAGATCTTGCAGGCGTAAACTCGGGTAGCGAGAATACTCTTCGGTACAGCGGATAACGGGCCGGCTGGAAAGGATAAGTTTGACAAAAGGGAAATCAGCTTCCGGCGATAGAACCTCCAGGAGTTCATCGAAATCACCAATGTATTCGTCGAGCCCATAAATCAGCAACACGATTCGGAATGGCGGATTGGTTTCTTTAAGAAGTCGTGCAAACCATCTCTTCAATTCGGCAGAGTAGGCTCAGCAACCTCCACATATCCCGCGACGTTTGGCAGAATCTACGACATCGGTAGCAACTTGTAAGACGGGATTAAATTATGTAATTCAGTAAAACTTAAGTATAGGGATATAATGTAAGATAGAATAATCATAGGTGCTCCGTAGCTATTTATTCAGGAAATCCCGTTTATTACAGATATTATCTGCTTATGTTAGATGTCAGATACGATGCCTTCATTTTTAGAGACAAAGTTGTTCGTCTTCGTTAACACCATAGCATCTAGATCAGCCCTTAGACCGCTAAATCAGTAGTTAGATGGGTAACTACCAGCGAATCCTGAGGATTGTATGTTTTACCATTTCTTTTACCATTTTTTGACATTCGAGGAGATATTTGAGTATTTCCTACTAACCTAGTGGACTAGTGTAAATTAATAGGTGGAATTTAAAGAAAACTTTACAGATGTAAGCATGTTTTGCCTACTTAATATAGCTTACGAGAAACATTTGGCACATACGACCATAGGTTGCAGAGAGCTCAGGATCCAGGCCGAAATCAATACAGCAAGGTAACCGGGAATGGGTTACCGGCGCCGGGGGACTAAAAAATGCAATTACGGGAAGGAGAATCACTTATTTTCCAAGAAGGACAGGACCTACGGGACTCTAGGGAGTTGGCGACGCAGATACAGCAAGAAGAGCGCCGAAATGGTGGTCGCGCAAAGCGTGTTGAAACGCGCCCGAGACGCTGTGGTATTTGCAACGGGACTGGGCATAATGCGCGAACTTGTAAGATCGCATTGCCATCTTCTGGAGAGGAAGATTCAGAGTAGTTTCAACTGGTTTACGGCGTTGTGGTTTTACTATCGTAAAATTTCTATGCGAGGTTATGTAAGGGTGGCCAGCTCGGTGTACATTCACGTTATCTTTTTAATTTGAACTCCTAATTACTTAGGTCAAAGCGGAAAGTAACACTCACGAACGACTAGACCTGAGCTGTAGTGTCTTTTTGGTATTCGGGGATCCCGTTCTGTGGTTTCTTTTATCAATCTTTTACATGACAAGTAGGCTGTACAACGCGAGTATTCGTTAGTCTCCAAATCAATATTGAACTGCGTGGTTGGTGTCTTGTTCAGGCACGTGTAATAACTCCTATTCCTAGGGTCGCCCATTACTAGACGCGAACTCTACAATTACGGATCATGTCTAGATTGACATTATTTTACTGTCTACATCGTCTACAAATCCTACAATTCATCCTTCGGCCTCTCCGTAGGCTCTGACGCTGACTCCTGTTCCAGCCGCCTACTCATAGGATTCTTGGCCTCGTCTCCGCTAACCACCTTCTGAGACTCCTCGCTAACGACATCACTGACACCCTTTTTCTGACGAGCCACGGCCGCAATCTCACTATCGTATACTGTCCACTCGGGGACTTGTCTGCGGGCGCGATCCAGCTTCGGCTCCTTGGTCTGCGGGTTGTTGCACAGATCAATCGTCCGCGCCTCTTTCTGGCTCTCGTCACTGCACCACGTCTCACACCATAGCCATTCCTGGGGTAGACTGTGGATCGGGATCTGGAACTGCATGTGGTTTGGAAGGTCCTGGTCGAGGTTTGACAGCGAGGCTGGGTCGGCAGACAGCTGGTGATATTGTTGGCGTAGGCGGTCACCGGCAGCAAGCTCACGGAATCGACGCAAATCGACGACGTAAAGAGCGGAAATATGGTAAGGAAGACCTCGGAGGTAATTGGACCAGTATCCCTGCTTCCAGAAACGGAAGCCCTCCATCTCGGTCCTTGAGTCGCACATGGGCGTGAAACCGTACGGGGCACCCTCTAGGTTGTGGTTGACGAGGTCGATCATGTCGGTGCGTACGATCTGGTCCGCGTCGACGAAGATAACCTTGTCCAGCGAGAGGGGAAACAGCACGTCGAGGAATAGGATCTTGTAGCCCCAGATCTCACGTTGCTTCTCTTTCTGCTGACGCAGCCAGTGCGGCCACTTGTAAGTCACCATCTCGTACTTGAAGCCGTACTCCTCTGCAAGCAGGGGAATGAACTCCTTGAAGGATGGTGACAGGAACTGCTCGATAAACCAGAACTTGACGGTGTGCTGCGTGTTCTTCATGACCGAAACCATCATGATGTTGAGCATGCGCTCGTAAAGGTGACCGCTAGCAACAGAGAATATGTTTATCTCCGCATGTTCTTCTGCCGATGCCGACTTGAGTTTCGATCCACCCAGGAAGCCCTCAGCGAACTTGAGGCCACGAGATAGTAGGTCACCAGCAGTGCTGGCCTCTTGAAGAACATCTTCTTGTTCCATTCCTGGCTTTCGATTGAGGCGCGGGTACAAGGTTGTGCCTTGAAAGTCCATGAGTGCCACCTCGGTGCCCTCGTCGCCAGCAACAGCACCGTAGCCTTTAGCACCAACACTCTCGATGGTATAGATATCGGAACTGCGACCGTGCTTGAGTTGGATATTGTAGTAACCAGGGTTGGCCTTGAACTGGAAGTATCCAAGATTGGCCATGATGAGAGTGTCGGCAAAATGGGGGTCTCGCTCAGTTCCAAGTACCAGTTGCACGCCACGTGGCGCGCCGCCTGCGCCCTCTCGAGAGTGTCCTTCAATCAGGATGTTCTCGAGTTCGTAAGTTGCTTCGATGTCGGACTTGATTGTGCTGAGTTTGAGGTTGTCAAGATCATGAACCGAATCCTTCGCTGCAACAAGCCAAGAAGGCGGGACATTCATGCCCAAGTTGAGCAGAGCCTCCGAAGGGAGTCCTTTGAAGCTGGCGCCTAGATGACGGACCTTTCCAGCCTCATCGAACGTGGGCGAGGACTCCAAGACATATCGGTAGAATCGTTTGACGGGAAGCTCATCCATTTTTTCTTTGGGGTTCAAGAAAATTCGGATGTAAACACCGTCTAGTTCAGACAAGACCTTGAGAATGGGGGCCCATTTCTGGCCTTGCTCGCTTGCAGGGTTCAGAACCGCAACGAGGTGGATATTTGCTGTAGAAGCGTCTCCAACTTCGATCATGGTATGTTCGGATTCCCAGTCATCAAAAACAACGGTTCTCAGGGTTGGCGCCGACTCAAATATGCCTTCTGGAAGATCAGAGATTGTCGACAGAGCGGTGATGGAAGTGATCTTGGCGGCAGCGAGCGGATCTGATACCTTCCGGGTCAAATTCAAGGCGTCCACTGCGTTATAAACAGGTAGAATCCGGGTGGACTGCTCAAACTCAAGTAGTTGTTGGAAATCATCCTCTTTGAAGCCCGACCCGGCAGCAAGAGGGCCGACGACCCGGCCGTTGAGCAGCAGGACCTGATCTCCGGGGTTGATTCCAGCAGCTGCCAAGAATCGTCCCAGAGCAGAGTCGTAGGATGAGGGCTCATATTTGTCTCTAATCTCACCAGCTACGAGTACCTCTAGGGTCTCTAGGTTTTCGATCTCCAATAACTTTTCCACATCGTTCTTGAGAAGTGCGTTGACGTTGAAGCCAGTACCAGAAGCAGGATTGTTCACCAGGTCCACGCGGACACCTGGGTTGTTGCGACGGAAGTCCAAGGCTGACAGGAGAAGATCCAACCCAGCTTTAATAGTGAAGTCAGCCACAACAGTGAGAGCAGCCCATGTCTCCTTGCTTGAGTCAGCATTTGCCTCAATTACAGGGACCACGTTGAAAAGATCGCCATGTTCAGTGTAGACCTTGTTCACGTCCAGGACCGTGAGTTGGTTGTTTTTATCGGGGTAAATGTAGATATTACGCCGGCTTGGAGCGCCGTCGATGAATATGCCTGGGATCCACATCTCTTCGTCGATGTTTCCCAAGAATATCCCCTGCTGAATGGTTTGCAAATCGCCTCCGAGCTTCATGCTCATTGCCTGAAGCCAACCTTTCTCTCGAGGGATGGATTGGCCGTTGAGAAACACGGGAGGAACAGGTGTATCGGCCTTGAGTCGTTCAACCCAGTGCTTGGCAAGCTGCACCTGTTTAGTATGATGTTCCGACTCAAACACATCCTGGAAAGGCAAAGCTGTGGCTTCAGCTAGAAGACTTCGATCCTTGATCGCAGTTTCGAACTGAGATTGATCTAGCTTCTCTATCTTCTTTCCAGTATGGCAAGATTCTAGGTATGAGAGGAGAGCAGCGAGGCCATAGTTCTCAAGCAAATAAAATACCATTTTTGCTTGATCTTCAGCTTCCTTGGTCGGGGTCAGGGGGACCAGTCCAAATTGGACGGGTAACAGTCGCTGAATGAAGCTTTGCAGCTGCTCCACAACTACGTATAGATCATCCGGGTTTGTGAAGTCAACTGGTAAGATCAAGTTGAAAAGATCTTTCCTGATCGGAGGGATTTGACCCGGATATGTACGTTGCATCAGCTGTATGCCATCAATTAGTAGGGGAAACCAACAGACTCATGTGCGAATCGACTTACAGCCATGAGACTAGTCGGGTACTGGGCATATCGCTTGTCTTTCTCAATGTTGTTCAGCCAAATGATTACTTCGCCTTCTTCGATTTCATCCGTCCAGTCAAATCTACGAGGCTCGTCGTCGCCGGACTTCGCCGCAGTAACCTCACGGTGGCCAAGTAGGGACACAGCTTCTTTTCCAGTAAAGCCAAGGTCTGTCACCCCCTTTATGAGCTTTCGCTCTCTTCGGAGTAGATCAACCAGTGTAAAGGGTTCTATTTGTCTTTCAATGAGCTGGACGCCGTTCATCCAAAGCACATTCATTCCAGCGGGAACCATTTGTCCGCGGTTGAACAGATGCTCTGCAAGGAATGCCTCCGACTCATTGTGAGCAGCAACGGAAGCAGAATACTTGGGGAAATCTTGTGTCAGCTTGATCAAATTCTGAAAGGGGTCCTCGCTCTGCATGATGAACGAAGCAGCTTTGATTCCAAGTCCAGATAATTCGGAGCTGGAAAGTGGTTTCAAATCAGTCACCTCTTCTTCAGCATCCAAAACGACTTCAAAAGGCGAGGAGTTCTCCGTATCAGGGTTAAAATGAGCCTCCCGATCGTCAATGACGATGTAGTCTGTTCTCTTGAGTTGAAGCTCGACTCCATAACCACTGACTGGCAGAGGTTCCCGCTCGTCGTTCTCGCCGATACGATACCGTAGGCGGTAAGAAAGTTCACCTTTCTTAGCCTTATCCGCCAGAGCAGTATGGAGAGAGCCAAATCCCGGCTTCGAAATGTCGGCGTATAAGACTGCTTCCGGTCCACTGCCGGTAGTGCGATCGAATGGAAGCAGCTGGATTTGCCTGCAGATACGTCAGTTATAATTTGCGAATAATCCCTCCCTTGACGTACTGTTTCGCCTGAGTTGTTGTCTCGGTATGATCAAGCGACGCTGAGCAGTACCGTTTCCCCCCAAGCAATATCCAGTCCGCACATTCCTCCTCCATTGAGCCCAGAGACGGCTGGACGGCAGTTTCGTAGTATTGGTAATGGGCTTCAATTCGAGGCGCCGCCGAGCGCAAGGACAGCGCAAGCTTGAACGTGGATAATGCCTCTGGGCTGTTCATATGTCCATCTGCTTGTAGAAGCCTCAAGAACTTCTCGTATAGGTCCTTGTCGGACTTTGCTTCGTCAAAATAGCCGGCAGCGACTCGATCGAGGAGGGCGAAATAGGAGGTCGAGTTCTCTACAGCGGCCGACTCGAGCAGCTCTAGAAGATACGGAGGCGAAGGAAACGAGGCCTTCATGGCCACGTTCACTGACGGCGCAGCAGCGACATGGTCGGCATTTAGACACACAGCTGCCAGAAGTGTGGCCGCAATGCCACATGGCAGCTTGAGAAGCCGTATCATGGCCGGACGAATCTTGACAAGCTGCGTATGTTGTGACTGCTCCAGATGTTGCGTGTGAACCCGGTGTGTAAATCAAACTTGAAGAGATCCAGCCGGCGGACTCTGTTCAGAGACAGCTAGCGCCCTAGTAGAGCTAGCAAGGTTAAAATCGAATCAAGAGAAATAATTGAATGCTCGTGTTATCCATTGATAGCGTGTAAGGCAATTATCAAACAGGTTGTTGGGTTGTCTACTCTGTCCTGTAAGATATGGCCAACATGCAATACCTAACTGGACACCGTAGACATTGACATTTGAAGTTCTAGCTGTACCCAAAGTTGGTTGGCTGCAGGGTTTAGAGCTGCAGTCCAGGGTCCGTTAGCGCTGTCTGCCCCTCTATCAACCTAGGCCACGACGGGACGGATTAACTTCGGGTAAGCTTCAAGTTGTGCTTGCCCAGGTGTCCTCTAATTCAATCCACTTTTGGGACTGATCTCTACCTTACCTAGGTAACTTGAGCACTTGCGCTGCCTGCTACTGCTCCCAGCTCGAGACACACCATCGACCCAGGAATTGACACCTGGCCGACACATAGCAAGTTGCAACCCACCGGCCTCACCTCTGCCAATTTAGGCACCCTCACTTGGATCTTTCCCGTTCATGCTACGACCTTAGGCGCATACCGCCAAAATGCAGGCCTCCACGGGAATGTTGACCAAGTTCGAGTCCAAGTCGTCGAGGGCCAAGGGCATCGCCTTCCACCCTGTCCGGCCATGGATTCTCGTGTCTCTTCACTCCTCCACCATCCAGCTGTGGGATTATCGCATGGGCACCCTCATTGACCGATTCGAAGACCATGACGGGCCCGTCCGAGGTATCGACTTCCACCGAACCCAGCCACTCTTCGTCTCAGGAGGCGACGACTACAAGATCAAGGTCTGGTCCTACCAGTCCAGGCGATGTCTTTTCACCTTAAACGGTCATCTCGACTACGTGCGCACCGTTTTCTTCCACCACGAGCTGCCATGGATCATCTCGGCATCAGACGACCAGACCATCAGAATATGGAACTGGCAGAACCGTTCACAGATCTGCACCATGACGGGTCACAACCACTATGTCATGTGTGCCCAATTCCACCCCAAAGATGACCTGGTTGTGTCCGCTTCGTTGGACCAGTCGGTCCGCGTTTGGGATATTTCAGGCCTGCGCAAGAAACACTCCGCCCCGACCTCCATGTCGACCTACGACGACCGTATGTCCCAATCGAACGCACAACAGACGGACATGTTTGGTAATACCGATGCCATGGTGAAGTTCGTGCTCGAGGGACACGACCGCGGCGTCAATTGGGTTGCCTTCCACCCTACCGCTCCCCACATTGTGTCGGCTGGTGACGACCGACTGGTGAAGCTTTGGCGCTTCAGCGAGACCAAGGCCTGGGAGGTTGACACGTGTAGAGGGCATTTCCAGAATTCATCTGGCTGTTTGTTCCACCCGCACCAGGACTTGATTCTGTCGTGCGGCGAAGATAAGACGATACGCGTGTGGGATTCGCTCAAGCGAACGGCTGTCCAGTCCTTTAAGAGGGAGAACGACCGCTTCTGGGTCATTGCTGCTCACCCTACCATCAACCTGTTCGCCGCCGGCCACGACAACGGTGTCATGGTTTTCAAGCTTGAGCGAGAGCGCCCCGCGTCGACCGTCTACCAGAACTCGCTATTCTTCATCACCAAAGAGAAGCATGTACGCTCGTTTGATTTCCAGAAAAATGCAGAGAGTCCGACTTTACTGTCCTTGAAGAGGCTCGGTAGTGCCTGGGTCCCTCCAAGAACACTATCATACAACCCTGCTGAGCGATCTGTTCTTGTGACTTCTCCGGCCGAAGGGGGCTCGTATGAGCTGATCAGCCTACCCCGCGACGGCTCAGGTGCTCTGGAGGCAGCGGACTCAAAGCGAGGACAGGGCAACTCGGCCATCTTCGTCGCGCGGAATCGATTTGCTGTTTTGAATACCGCAACTCAGACTATCGACATCAAGGATCTCTCGAATAACACTGCCCGTTCTTTCAAGCCACCCGTCGGTACCAGTGATATCTACTTTGGTGGTACCGGAAACTTGCTTGTCATTACACCCACGGCAGTCCACTTGTACGACATCCAACAGAAGAAGAGCATCGCGGAGCTTGCCGTCAACGGTGTCAAGTATGTTATATGGTCTAACGATGGTCTGCACGCTGCGCTGTTGAGCAAGCACAATGTTACTATTGTTACCAAGACTCTGGAGCAAGTCAGCACCCTCCACGAGACCATCAGAATCAAGAGCGCAGCCTGGGATGATGCTGGTGTCCTCGTCTACTCCACCCTCAACCACATCAAATATACCCTCATGAACGGCGACAATGGCATTATCATGTCGTTGGATCAAACTGTTTATCTTGTCCGGATCAAAGGTCGGAGCGTATTCTGCCTAGACCGCAACTCGAAGCCCAAGGTGATCAACATTGACCCGACTGAGTACCGCTTCAAGCTTTCTCTGGTCAAACGCGACTACCAAGAAATGCTCCACATTATCAAGACGTCTAGCTTGGTTGGGCAGTCCATCATTTCCTACCTTCAGAAGAAAGGATACCCGGAGATCGCATTGCAATTCGTCCAAGACCCCGCAACCCGGTTTGAACTTGCCATTGAATGTGGAAACCTTGACGTGGCCTTCGAGACGGCTAAGCAGCTCGATCGACCTAAACTTTGGACAAGACTTGGAACGGAAGCTCTGTCGCACGGAAACCATAAGATCGTCGAGACGGTGTATCAGAAGCTGAAGCAATTCGACAAGTTGACGTTCCTATACCTACTCACTGGTGACCACAGCAAACTGGCGAGAATGGCCAAGATTGCTGAGCACCGAGGGGATTCTCTGGCAAGATTTCAAAGCTCGCTTTTCCTCGGCGATCTTGAGGACAGGATACAGATGTTCAAAGATGCAGACCAATGTAAGTTGTGTTTTACGCGGGAATTGAGCGAAGCTAACGTTGTTGCAGTTCCTCTTGCCTATATGCTAGCCAAGGCCAATGGTCTCGAGGATGAGTGCCAATCTATCCTTGATGGCATTGGCATCTCAGAAGATCAATTAGCTTTACCGACCCTGGGTGAGCCTTTGTCGCAGCCAAGACCCGTGGTGGAGACGTTCAAGGCCAATTGGCCGACAAAGGCTACGTCGCAGTCCTTCTTTGAGAAGGCCCTCGCTGGTCAACTTGAGGGTTTAAGCTTGGATGACGAGCCGACAGCCGCCACGAATGGACTAGATGATGCTGCCGATGATGATGGTCTTACTAAGAACGGTGCACTTGAGGCGGATGACGATGAAGATGCGGCTGGATGGGACATGGGCGACGATATCGTTCCGGAAACCGACAATGACTTCGTCAACATTGAAAGCACAGATGCCGCGGGCGCCGGTAGTAGTGAGGCTGACTTGTGGGCTCGCAACTCGCCTCTGGCGGCAGACCATGTCGCTGCTGGGTCCTTCGAGTCTGCCATGAATGTTCTCAACAGGCAAGTCGGTGCTGTCAATTTTGCACCCCTGAAGGACCGCTTCTTAGAGATATACGAAGCATCAAAGACATACCTTTCTGCGTCGCCCGGGCTACCGCCGTTGGTCAACTATGTGCGTCGGACAGTCGACGAGACAGATCCACGAAAAGCTCTCCCAATTATACCACGCGACTTGGAGTATCTTGCCTCCAACGACCTGCAACGGGGTTACGATACCATGAAGGCGAACAAGCTGGAGGATGGCATTCAAATCTTCAAGGGTATCCTGCGTGCCGTGTTAGTCAATGCGGTGGCGTCAGAGAGCGAAGTAGCAGAGGCTAAAAAACTTATCACATCCGCTGGCGAGTATGCGGTGGCAATGTCCATTGAGCTTTCGCGGCGGCGACTGGGCTCGCCTGAGCAGCTGGGCGCCACACCCGAGCTTCAAAAGCGGAGCCTGGAATTGTCGGCGTATTTCACCATTCCGAAGATCGAGGTACCACATCGTCAACTTGCCCTGCTGAATGCCATGAATCTGGCATACAAAAGCAAGAACTACAGCTCAGCGCTCAGCTTTGCCAATCGCATCCTGGCCAACGGGGGTGCGAACCGAATCCTTGAAACTGTTAGTCATCTACAAATATTCACATGAAACAATAGCCAATGCTAACTGGGAAACAGGCCAAGAAAATCAAGGCGCAGAGTGAACGCAATCCGCACGACGCGTTTGAAATTGAATACGACCCATTCGCAGAGTTCGAGATCTGTGCTGCATCCCACACACCTATTTACAGCGGTACGGCGTATGAGGAGTGTGCCTTTGATGGATCCAAGTACCACTCCAAGTACAAGGGGACTGTGTGTACCGTGTGTGACGTTTGCGAGGTGGGAAAGCGTGGTAGTGGACTGAAGCTCTACGACTGAAGGTCGGGTCAAAATTCGCCTTTAGCGAGGGAGAAATGCAACAATATCGGTATACTGGGGAGAGAAGGCCCCAAAACGGACCCGTAGAATTCGGGGAGCAGGTACGGCCAGCACGTTCTGGGCGTCCTGGGCCTGAACCCCCTTCCAAAACATAGATAGGAGTCGGAGCACGTTGAGCAGGATGTAGGGTAATTCCGAAATGAATGGATTTAGCACTAGTACAATTGCGTGGAATAAAAGCGTTTCATGTATTTATAAACCCGAGTGTATCTGTGATGTCAGGATTGTACTACGGGAAAGAAGTTGAACCGTGAGTATTTAAATAGTGATGAATCAATGAGGTGTCCGATAGTGGACGAGAGTCTATTCTTGGCAAATGTTGCGGTGCAAACTACCCGGCTCTAGTAGTTTGGTTGTATTAATACATACGTATCTTGGTATTTTCTTCCCCCGGCCTATCCCTTGACTGATATGGGTTTTCATATTGCCAAGCACTACACACACTGTCGCTTTTGTGCCATCAAACGATGGTCTCCAGCTCACGTGCATATCCCAGCGTATTCTCAATGACCATCTGGGAGATGTCCTTTTGCTCAGCATCCTCAGCCTCGGCTTGCGGGAAGTAAATGTTGCTATCGCGGATGGCCCAGCCGCGCTGGCGGGCAAAGTCGATGACGGCGCCCTCGGAGTCGAGGAAGAGGAGGGACTTTGTGCTGCTCAAGGGGAGTGATGGGTATGCGCGCTCGGAGGAAGAGGCGATCTCGGAGCGGATTTGGGAGGTTAGGATCTATGTTCGTTAGTATTCGCTCGGCGGAATGAGAGCAAGCAGAGAGTGTGTGGTGTATATGTGTGTTATGTGTGTTGTATGTGCTGTGTGTTGGGTGTTAGATAAATAGAACATACCTCGGAGAAAACACCATATTCCTCACTCGGCACCTCGCCCTTTTTCATAGCCTTCCACACGCGATCGTAGCTCCCCTCCATCAACCAACGCTCCAGCTTAATCGGGTACCCCAAATACCGATCCCCCTCAATACCTTCGCTGTTGCCGCCCTCCGCCGTAGACAGCGCCTCCAGCTCGCTGTGGAACTCGGCATAACGACCCTGCGTCAGCAGGAGCAGCAGATACAATCCCGTAACCTTGTTCCGTGACTCGAGGTTGGGCTGCAGCGACGACGAAGGCAGCTCGTAGAAGGGCTGCAGCTGCGATACGTAGCGTGTGAAGGCGTCCGGGTTGCGGGCCCGGATTGAGGATAAGGCCCCGTACTCGTGGATGTCCCGTGCTACGGCCAGGATATGCGATGGGGTGTTGGGAGTAGGCGTTAGGGCGTTGAGCTGCAACAGCGCGATCTTAGCTTTGGAGAGGAGGGATGAGGCCTCAGCATAGGGGATGGAAGGGTTCGACTTCAGTTGCGAGACGATCTGCTGAAGGGTGCGTTCGGCGGCCATGGTGACGGGCAGTGATGGGCGGCGGAGGAGGGATGATTGGGATGAGGTGAGGGCGATGGTTGGTTGGCCCGCTTGCGGTGAGGATGATGGGGTCCGCGGTCGCAATGGGATAGAGTATTCGAGGGAAACTAGATGGATTGTGGATAGTTGTCGCGAGATGGGACGTGATTGTGCTTCGTCTGTTGCTGTTGCTGTTGCTGTATTCTTGTTTGGCCTCGGCGACTTCAGAAGATGGACTAGGCGGCTGAGGTTGACGATGCTCCAAGCCTCGCGCCACAGTTTGTTAACCTCGAAGCTGGAAAGACCAACCGCTGTGGCGCTTACTGCCTGTTCTGTGGCTGTTGCTGTTTGGTAGGTTACAGCCGTTGTGGCCGTGTTTTCCCTTGCTGCAAGTCCTCGCCGCCAATGGGGATGCATCTTCAATTGTTGCAACCAGCAAACTGAAGTCTCTCACATAAAACACAGTAATACCAAAGCTCAAAAAGTTTGGTTGTATGATTTCTTTTAATTTACTATTTAACAATAGCAGATCTTCTTTCTATTACTACTGTCTGCCCGGCTGTTATGATCCGGTCACAGGAGCATATTGTTGTGCAATCCAGGCTCCTCGGATGTCATGAGGATAGATAGCTGGTAGATCAGATGAACCCGTGATTCCTCATCCCGTTGGTTTGGAAACTTTTTTTTTTGGACATCGGCTCTACCCCTTAAGTTCTAAACGTGGGAAAACTTCTGATGTTTACTTGAAACCAAAACCGGTTTAGTATGCTGGAATCACAGGGTCTCACACTTGTTTGTCATATTCAGTACTGGAATGATGTATAATTCTGCTCTTGGTGTTCCGTTGTTGTCCCAGATCTTGGCCGCTGTAAGACGTTGTCATTCAGAATGCATAATATTTGATTTCGGCGGCAGAGCAACTGCAAAGCAAAGCAAAAATTTCCGAGATCAGGAGGATTCTTGCTTGGAAGCATTCTTCGCTCAAAGCTTGAAGGTTAGAGTGTAAGGCAGAGGCAACCAGAGGTTCCGAAATAGCATCGGCTTGTGGCTGCGGCAGAATCCCAACTCCAACTCTTGTCGCAAGGTAACATGGAAATTGCTATGTTTGAATACTGTGTCCCTAACGGTTGTGTAAGCTCTCAAGCAGCAGGGCGCATGTGATGGTTCAGCCAGCTAGTATTGCGCCAAATCTGTGCCATATCACCGAGGACAAACACGGGCATTTATTTATTTAAGGTGCACAAGCCCTTCTGTCTTAGTGTGATAAAGACAACTGCCATTTCCTTGTGACAGTTGAGGCAACTCCCTTTTTGGATGATTAACTTTCCATGACCCTTCAAACAACCGGCAATGCCATTCGCACTATTGTACGGGTCGTTGCAGCTAAGACAAACACAAAAACCCAGGTTACCATTGCGACAAATTCTAGAATCAATGTGAATGTACAAATGAGGACCCGTTACAGCCCACTTGATTACGCGTGTCAGGGTATGCAAAACTCCACCACCGGAGCAGACGCATGGCAATTTAGCAATGGTCCCAAACTTCAAGTTGTGACAACAGTAGCAGGTATGTAAGCATTCCCGAGCACTTGCCTGGTAGAGGAGCCCACAGGAATCAGTCTATCTAATTCTTCCCCCCCTCCCCCTCATTATTTCCCTAGCTTCTGGGTCATGATACGACCACAGAAGTCTTGGTCAGAAACTGTGGTCAGAAACTGCGGCAAGCCCATGATAGAGAGGTATTGGTATCCATTAGCGGATGAGATCATCTCAGACTTTCAATAAGCCCTGTCAATAAGGTCCGTAATAAGTATCTGCCGAGGGAGTTCTTAGCTTGCATTGCATTGCGCCTCTAAAATGGGCAACCGCAGTCGTCTGCATTGCTGGGTCTTTCGCTAAACTTCTCCACTCATCTAAAGGTACAAAGAAGCGGCCAACGTCTTGCACCGCCGTCTTTGAACAACTGCATCCGGTGCCTCAACCTCAAAAGTTGCTGAAGACGGGAATTCAACTTGAGACATTTGCTTGCTGCGACACCGCATTTGACCATCACGAGCGACAGCGACAGCGACAACCGCGAGCTCTGCCTCGATCTCTTGCTTGGTTCCAATCCACCTGTGTGTGCTGGCCGGTTATTTGGAGCTGATAGAGCTGAGAGCGAGAGAAATCCCAGAGACAGAGCAAGGGAAAGCGGAAAGGGAGACTCACATTAATTGCGGCCTCCTACACAACCAAAACCCCGCCACAGCTCATCCGCCGATTGGTCATCAAGGCAGGACGCATCCGAGCTGATCCTTCTCAAATCAAGGCGGCAGACACACACCAGCAAAGACACAACTCTGCCCACACCATCATGTCTCATTTTGGTGCCACTTTCTATCCTACCGGTCAGGATGACTACTATTACCCCAGACCTGAGGTGATAGCACCGTCGCCGCAAAGGTGCGTTCCATGATATGACCCCTCGGCGGGGAACGGAGCCAAGACTGCGATTTGACATCCGCCCCTCTTCGTTCTCTCGCATGCAAGTGCATGCGACGAATCCAGCTAGCTGCGTGCTTGGCTAACAAGACGACTTGGTCGGACAGAGTGATGCCCGAAGTCCCCCACCAGATGCAAGCAGACCTACATCGCTTAGAACTCGAAGCGCGATCCGTCGATCCCAGGAGAGACGGTTCGCAACCAATGCCAGGCCCGGGCGGCCCACAGCACGGTCGCGAACCGTCGCTTAACACCAGGTTTGGGCAGCAATATCAACAGCCGAAGCCCGGGCAGCCTGCGACGGATTATAGCCCGGCCTCCAACTACAGTCCTTACCACGAAAACGAGAATAATACAGCACTCTTTGACCAGAACGGCAAAGACATGCGGGATCTTCCCTCGTTCTCGCCCTTCCCCAAAGTCAAGGGCGAGCACATCCCCCCGAGCGATGAAGAGAAGGAGGCTGTGCTCGCGGAGAGCCGCCAACACGTTCTTCACTCCAACGATCCTAGCATGCAGATTTGCTGGGCCCGAGACGTTCTTTCCTACGTCGAGATATCCGCCGAGGCCGCCGTTCGCGAGGCCGAGGCATTGCGAGGGCCTGGCGAGCGTGAAACCATGCGCCCTGGAACGCCAAAGATTGAACATGAGCTGCGCATGGACGCCGTCAATATTGTCACGTACCTAGCCGAACAGGGACACCCCGAGGCCGTCTTCATCCGGAGTAAGTGGCTGGAGTTTGGCAAGTTTGGAAAGCGACAGGACAAGAAGGAGGCATACCTCGGGTACACGGCAGCGGCGCAACATGGCTGGGGTCGTGCCGAATACAGGATTGGCATGCTCTACGAAAACTCGAACGACGTCAGCCTGGCGATACAGCACTACAACAAAGGCTTGGCTTTGAAAGACTCTGCGGCATCGTACCGTCTGGGCATGATCAGCTTGATGGGACAACACGGCCAGTACAAGGATATGCCTCGCGGACTGGAACTGATCCACTCAGCTGCGGATACAGCTGACGAGGACGCACCTCAAGGCGCTTTTGTCTATGGCATGATCATTGCCCGAGACCTGCCCGACGTGAATATTCCCCAGGGTGTTCTCTCCTCCGACCTGGGCGTGGCACGCCAATATATCGAAAAGGCAGCATATCTAGGTTTCGCCAAAGCACAGCTGAAGATGGGTCAGGCATATGAACTGTGCCAACTAAGCTGCGACTTCAACCCTGCACTGTCGCTGCATTACTACGGACTTGCTGCGAGACAGGGGCAGCCCGAGGCCTGCTTGGGTGTGAGCAGATGGTTCTTGTTCGGTTATGAGGGGACGTTTGCCAAGAATGAGCAACTTGCTTACAAGTATGCGCAACTCGCTGCCAAGGCCAAGCTCCCGACCGGCGAGTTTGCCATGGGCTACTACAACGAAATCGGTATCTACGTAGAGAAGGATCTGCGAGAAGCACGAAGATGGTATGAACTCGCTGCCGACCACGGCAATAAAGATGCTCTGCAACGCATCGAAGGGCTCTCCCAGTCCAAGACTCTCTCTAAGACAGATCACGAAACAACAGCCTTGTCGAGAGTTAAGTCGCAGCATGGATCGCAGCGAGGCAAGCGACCAGACCGATTCAAGCAGAATAACCCCTTGCCCCCATTGGCAGAGGGCAGTCAACGGTCACCTAGAGACTCACCTCGGGTGTCCCCGAATCCCTCTCCCCGATCCCAAACACACGAGCATGCTGATATGCCTGATCCCTCTTTGACCGGGACAGGGGGTAGACCACCCGCGTTTACTGTCAATCTCCCCGACAGACCGAAGTCGGCTGCTCCTTATCCCGAGGATGACCGGCCAGCACCCCTCAACCTCGCCAGACCGAAGTCAACGGCGCCGTATCCGGAAGATGACATGTCAAGTCGTACGCCGCAGTTGGCTCCTCAAGGCTCCCACTTCAACCCCGGCATTCGACCATCGGCGGACCATTCGACAAGCGCGTTTGCCATTCGTTCCCAGTCCCCCGGCCAGCAAGGAATACCCGGCCCCAGCATTCGTCAATCGCAGTCTGGCGGCAACCTGGGGATTCCTCCGGCTGGAGTGGATCCGAACCGTGGTCGTCCCGTGTCGGCTTCGGCCAGCTGGGCACCCCAAGTGCAAGGTGGCCGTGGTCAGATGTCAGCATACGATCAACGACCACCCTCAGGGCCACACGGAGGTTACAATCAGCGACCTGCTGGTGCTGGTGGCCCCGCTCCAAACAACCCCTCGCAGAACCGTTTGACGAAAACGAATCCCAACATACCCCCACCTGGTCAATTCCCCCCAGGTGGTTACGGTGCTCCCGCTCCCATCCCAGCCAACCCCGGACGCGACTACGGTACGCGACCAGCACCGCGACCAGCTTCTAACACGTACAGCGGTCGCCCATCCGGTGCTGGAGGCATGACCTCTCCCACCATGAGCGGCGGTATCGGCCCAGGTCCCCGCAGTGACTCGATGGCTTCGATGGGCTCCATGGGGACTCCCGGCCTACCACCAGGCCCGAGACCCGCCAGTGCAAGGCCAGGGCCAGGACCAGGACCCATCACGCCTGGCATACCGCGAAAAGACCCACCCATGGACTATGGGATGGGACCTGCTGGCTCAGGGCGCGCTAGTGCGCCGCCCGCCAAGATTGGGTCTCCCACCCCAACTATAAATTCCATGGGCTCGGCCATGAGCGCACCAGCACAAGGGAGCGCACCTCAGGCGAAGCCGAAGCCGGTAAAGTCGGGTCCGGCTACGTTTGATGAGATGGGTATTCCCCAGGGCAAGAAAGAGGATGAATGCGTAAGTTTGATACCCCTCCAAGATTGTGTCGATGTGAAACTTACACACGCACTACAGGTTGTCATGTAGATAGAGCAAAAGAAGTGCGGAGACTCTCATAGATTCGCATACTTGTTCTTCTTCGTTCATGATACCATTATGCTAGGGCTTGGTGAGGACGACAGGAGGTAAAACGAACTGGACTAGGTGAAATTAGTGTTTGACACAGGATCTATCTAGGTTACCCTATATGGGAGGTATTTGCATCAAGCGATGGGATTTAGTGTGATTGGTACATAGGGAATTTGCAATGTGTAGACGGCAGAGTACATTCATGGATGGAGTACATAGAGAAACACTTGATGTGTTTTCTGTGAGGAACACATTTTCAAACTTCAGGCGAAATTAAAAGGAGGTGCAATATTGGCAATGTCACGTATCGTGGTGAAAGAAGGGGCCTTCATGTGAATGAATCGTATAGTCTCTTGAGGGCTGCGGTGAGTGAAGTGACTCGGATCCAGCCATATTGTATTAGCAGATTTGAGCCATAGTTTGCTCTCAAGCTCGTCCTCCAAGGCAAGGTGTTGCCGTTGGGGATGATGAGGCGACTAGTAGCATAATTACTCAACTTTTTTATATTTCGATAGCTCCATTATTGCACATATCAGGTAAACGAGTACGTTCCTCAAGCATACTGGGTCCGAAGCACATAAATCGCAGTCATTTAAGGGCGTAACGTTGTGTTCCTAACAACTAGAAATGCAACAACGGCTTTTGGCCATTGGGCGGAGAAGGGGGCAGGAGCAGTGCGAACAAGCTAGTTTCCACTATTCGGCTATAGCACTCTTGAAAGCCTGCATGTTCCTTCTGTTAGTACTCTATCACAAGTCTAGGAGTATGGTGAAGACACTGTCCTTGTTTGCAGCCATGGAACGTCCCCCGCTTTACCCCAGAATTGCCAAGTATTAGTGCCGGCGCGGAGGACGGGGACAGGGGCCCTATTTAGTTCGAGTGCCGATGGTATATTGCCCGGGTGACTACTTGCTTCTTGGAGAAACAGGGTTATCCCGGTGAATTGGATCGAATGGGGTTGTGCCGTGGAATATTCTTGGAAGGGGGGCATATGGCAACTATCTAATTATCTTGTACACAGATGGACAGCTTGGGGTTTGGAACAATATCGGAAATTTTGGTTGTGGAAAGACACGGGAATGGTACCTGCCGTTAAAGACAACACTGTAAGTATTATCCCATTTCTTTAAAATTGAAAATGGACAAGTTCATCAAGTCGTGTACTATATGTGGGTCACATATTCACCTGTGGCATAGCCATAGGTTGGTATTATTCTAGCTATTTTCCCGGGTCCTCTATACGTGGATATTCACGGGAGCGCCCCTCCTGGTACCCCTGGCCTTGTAAAGTTCAAATAGATTATAGATGATCATGCCGTTACATTCGGGGCAAGATCTTGGTGGTAGTCTCGTTGCCTCAATTGGCACCTCAAGCTTCTGCGACATCCAGCAGCAAGGGTTCTCCGCATTCTGCAATCCCATTATACAAACTTTCCAGGGTATATGTTGGCTGTTGCCTGGGCGGCTAAGGAGATGATCTCGGCTTCATGTGAAGATTCCACAATTGTTGTTGTGATTCTCAGCCCGGCAAAAATTAGACCCTGTAAAGTCCACAACACCTGTGACTTGCCCCTTGACACAAGGGGAAGTAGCGGTCGATATAAACACCTTCTAACCTCCACAACCCCATCACATCATCCCCCAGGCCCATCACAACATTCATCAATCTTCAACCATATCCTGCTCCATACAAACCTCGGAACTCTAACGCTTTGGAAAATGCATTCCACCATCACCCTCATCACCCTCTTGGCCACCTTCGTCGCCGCCCAGGACGTCTCGGAGCTACCCACTTGCGCCCAGGCCTGTTTCACTGACAACGTGGACACCAGTGCATGTGCTGACACGACCGACTTCGCATGTTTGTGCGGGTGCGTTCTGCTTTTTCTCCTTCGACGCTTCTTGCTACGTCATACCCTTGTCATTGTCGGCTGTGGCTGATGGTAACACGACACTTACTAACATTGTGGCATTGCTAGGGACTCGGCTTATAACCAGGCTGTATTGACTTGTGTTATTGGTGCTTGTGAATCAGCTGACCAGTAAGTCAAATAAATAAACTTGAGGGGCATGGCGAAGCAGGATGTGTTTGGCTGACAATTCAAAGGCTGGCGACACTGACATGGGCTACGGACACCTGCGAAGCTCTCGGCGTTAGTCTTCAGATTTGAGATATTAGTTAAGATATGAGGGTTGAGCGATATATATCTTACCTGTTTGATGGGGTATAAATTCTGCAAGAAAAACAAACTTTTGTAGTGTTGAGTTCGTGTTACTACACTTTACAAAACTCCAATTGGCTCCTCATAATACAACGTATTGTCAATACCAAAATATATTCATCGGCATGTGTATGTCTGTCGATGCTGTACCTAGAAGTTTCTATAAATCACACTAGAAGCTAGTGATTTCCCTATAGAAAAGAAGAGGCAGCTTAACAAACATTGGATCCATCTCATTCGTACCTCACTCCCATGATTTAGATCAAACAAAATTTCTCATTTTCTAACTGTTTGAACGCCAAAATAGGGGTTATACCCGTCCGAAATGCAACAAGAGCACACCTCGTGTTCCATTAACCCCATTCCATTATAATGCTCGCGGCACCTTGTGTATGCCCGCCCGTACTGGCACCGAAAACGCGCTCCAGGGTATCTGAATTCCCTATTCTTATGAATTTCATGTCGGCTGGTGTAGTTGGTCACTTCGCTGGTAGATAAGTCCCGATTTCAGCCTCGCCCACTTGGGTCGGTGACGAGTCGCGGGTTCGAATCCTGCAGCTGACACACAAGGGGGTTTAGTCAACCCTTATGGCGCGCTGCCCACCTTGTTGACTTCGCCTACCTAGCGATAATAGGGAGATTGGTGCAGTTTAGGATTACGAGCATCCTAGCCAGTCGACCGTCAAGCACTACGTCGGCGGAATATAACTCGACAGCCGGTCCAGAATTCGAATCGTTAATCCGACCCCTTATCGGACCTCGCCTATCCGATAACGCTCGTCGGCGAACCCGTCCCCTCACGATAGAAGGCGCGCAGCACGCCCCCTCGCCGCGATTCTTGCGAGCGTCTAGACCACGTTACGGTCTATCCACTTGAGCGTATGGTTGAGATGTATACGCTCGACGAGAACCCCAATTAGCAGATACTACGACTTGTCGCGACAAAAAAATAGTCGAGCATCTTCTGCACATCAGCAGCATCCCACCCCTGAGGACGAATTTAAGTGCCACATTACCACGCTTATCGGTAGTTCAGGCAGGGGTTGTAGCACAGACTTAGGGAGGGACAGGAGGTTTAGTAGTCGTTTGGCTACAAGTTTACCTGTATAACCGCCCGACGCGGCTTAAGGGCCCGCTATATCATCTATAGCCCCTTAAGGGAGTACTTGTAGAGGTACCGAGGGTTAACACCTACGGCGTATTTAATATTATTTATGAATTTCATTTACCCACAAGTCGTTTCCGATTTCGTTTATCCCAGAAACTATCATCACAGGATCACCGGCCCTGAGATAAAATGTACTTTGCGGACGTTGCTTAGAGCGGTCCACTATGCTCCATCCCATGGGCCCTCGCAAATAGCCTGTAATTGCACGGCTTTGTTGGACCGTTCGGTTGCAGAAACTAGAATCAACCTGTGCCGAAACGAGAACGAAAATGACGGCGTCCGCAATAGCAGTAATCCAGTCGAGAATCTCTTGCCAGCGCATGTCTCCGTGGCACCTTTGCAATAGGAGATATAATAAGTCTCGCGTATTGGACAGCACACTGAAAAACATACACGTCGAGGCAGAAAATGACCGGGAACGCGTAGAAGAAAACGGCTCATGAGGATGCATCAACCAAAGGCATTTTGTCACCTTTGGAATTGACCAACAAGCGACGTACTCTGTCGAAGTTGACACGTTGTTTTCTCATGCACTGGAGCAGGAGGCCATGTCCACTTTCAAGATTGATATTTTCTATCATAAAAGCCCGATACAGCATTGGAATGATTCGACTGGAACCTGTAGCAAGATACTTGGAATGTTCAGACTAATATGTTAAGACCACCAGGACGGATTCTGGACCCTTGTTTGTCCAGAGTTGGTAGTCGTGGTTATCCACGAACCACGTCGAATTATCACATCTGTGCGCCTATCTCCACGCCGTCTTTTAATCGAATGCGGAGCATACGTCAAGCAGCTTCAGCTTAATCCCCAGACTTTGGCTGCGTCTTTCGATGGCTGACCTAGTGTACAGTTTGTGGATCACGTCCCTCGGTTTCAAAATCTACTGAGCCTCCTCAACACTCAACTGGTCTAGCGGCTTGGGGACATTTTTGAGGTCCCATTGAAATGCATAAATATCCAAGTTTTCGAAGTAGGCCTTGAGCTGGCCCAGACGAGTTTCGTTGCACATAGGGACGAATTCGCAGCAGACATGGACGACTACCACGAAATACTCCAGTTGGAGTGCTCTAGATTGAAGATAGAGCGGAGAAATCTCCTAGTAACGGGGTATTGTTCGACCGAACACAGAGAGTTAGGCGAATCAGATATCGTTGGATTAAAGTAGTCTAAAGGAACATCTGACAAGCCCTGGGGATATTCAAGGTGGACAACCAAACAAAAGCATCTAGATTGAGACACCAAGTTGTGTCTTCCAGGATTTAGGTCGAGCCAGTACTCGAAACATTTACAGGTGGCTGTACTTGCCCTCGAGGCACGTAGTTATTACTATTAGTGCAACGGCCTGAATCATCCTCGGCTCTTCCACACAATTCCGAAGTAGCAATTAACTGCGAGCTTGATTGATGTTTCTAATTCAGTGTTGGGGCACACAGAGATATAGTTGCAGTGTGTTGTGGTTAGAAAGCTTGCGCTGAGTGCTGGTGGGCTTGGAACCAAGTGGTGGTGATGGTGGTGGCTATGCACGGAACCACTTCTGACATTGAGTTTACGGCACGGTCGTTCCAGAGCAGGCACTATCCCTGTCCTACATCGTTCCATCTCGGTTTCCATAGCGTCATATGCTTCCATGCCTGTGTCTAAAGACAATCACCCCAATTTTAATGCACAATATGTGTTCCACATTTAACAGGCATCCTCCACCTCCTCCACTGCAATCCACTCTGCTAGGTAACCTTAGGAGGACTCACAGCGCAACTACTACAGCGTGTGAACATGCCTAATCCATCACCGGCCGATAAGGCCAAGGCCAAACCAATGGACCTCATCAACCGGGGTTCCAAGAAGCCATCCCCTTTCGGCACAGCAACCTTCATCGGCCTGCGCGCCCTCGACATCCCATGGCAATACCACCTCCTACACAACGGCGCCGCTGAGCGCGGACTGTCAGTTGTCGGGCTACCAGCCCTCAATTACGGCGCCGCAGCAACCACCGGCGTCGCGCTCCTCGACAAGCTCGAATTGTCTCTACCCCGGCTACTGCTACTGGCTATGGCCACGGGATCAACGCTGAAGCAGATCCTCTGGCTGACGGTCCTAAGCCAGGAAGAGTTCCCTTTTAGCGCTGCTGTCGTGGTCGGTGGGTTTAATACCGTCTTCAATACGGTCAACACGCTACTCTTCACGTGTGCGTACACGTCGTCGAGCTTCTCCGGCCCCAAGGTATCGCTCTTTGGCACTACATTGCCGCCGCCGGTGGTCCTTGGCACACTGGCGTATGCAACCGGGTTGACTATCGAGACGCTGTCGGAGTACCAGCGCATGAAGTTCAAGCAGGATCCCAAGAACCAGGGCAAAGTCTGCAAAACGGGACTATGGAGTTGGGCGAGGCATATCAACTATTTTGGGTACGCTCTCTGGCGTGGAGGATACTGTATGACGGGCGGAGGGTACACGATCGGTTTGCTGACCGGATTGTGGCAAGGGTGGGAATTGAGCTCTCGCGCTGTTGTGGTACTCGACGAGTACTGCGGGAATAAGTATGGCGAGCAGTGGGTACAGTTCAAGAAGGATGTGCCATACCGCATCATACCAGGGATGTACTGAGCGGCTATGTGGTCGTTGTAATGTCTTGACGGAGAAGAATTGAAGCCGTTCTTGTATTCTTTCAATTGACCATCGTAGAACTCGAATGCGCGTGACCATGTTAACCATAAAATTGGTGAACTGGATAAGAGCATGAGAGTATCCTACGTTCAATCGTCAACATTACACATTGTCGTTACGCTATGTACACCATTCTATTTCGCGGCTCAGCTGGCCTACGTGGAAAGGTCCCGGGTCAGGTTGATCGCAGAAGCCATAATAGCCTCGCCTCTTTCCAGTATATCGGCAACCTTCTTGGCCGTGGATGATCTGGCCAGGGTGGAAAGCCACTTGTCGGCCATATCCTGATCAGGAGCCCGATACGACGTTTTCCTGACAGCGGGAGGTAGCACCTTGGTGCATTCGGTCAAGGGGGTTGATCTTGTTGACGCCCAGGAGGCTGAGACGGATGTATTCCCTGGCGTAGTCCTAGATCGATATCATTTGTGTGTGGTGGAACTCTGCGCATTCTTCTGTCGAAGGGAAATTACCTCATTCCAGTGCTTCTGGTCACCATTGCCAGCGAACTCTTGCCACTCAGGCTTGGTCTTGGGATGTTGGGACAGAGCTATGTCACTGGAGAATTTGAAGACTCGCTTGGGTGTCCGTGCCGTTCCCTGAGTCTGACCGTAGAACAACACATCCCAAACACCAGGCGTGCTGTCCTGCGGGTCACCAGCTCGCGATGTATCCGCCAAGTTCTGCTGGCTAGTGGTGTGCGCGACGACGAGAGCCACGAGGCCGTGAGGGCTAATCGTTTTGTTTCGGAATAAGTCAATGCGGGAGTCGGCAGGGGCAGAGGGACCGGGCAAGATTCCAGACAACGGTCGCAACATTCGCGCCCATTTGGATGAGATCCGCCATAGTGACGGAGCTGTATCCGAATTGCTTCTTCCACTTGTTGTACCACTGGTTCATCTTCGCGCACATGTCCTGGAGACCATTGTTTTCCGATTGCGTGACCTCGGACGTCAGACAGATAGACCCGTCACCGCCGCCCGTCTGGCCGGCAAAGTCTTTGGACCATGCCCCGGTATCGTGGAAGCCCAGTCGCACAGCCATGCGGGCGAACCGACTACAACGTCCCGAGGACCCCCGGAACTGCGCCGCCATCTCGTCGGCGATGGACTTCCACACACAGCAAGTGTCCCGGGTGCACTCCTTAGACTTGAGAGGTCCGGGGACCTTGTATGTCTCGTCGCTTTCGACCTTGCCGCCGCCGAAAAGGATTTTTTGATGTTCTTTCCTACGGGAGTGGGTTCCGCGTCGAGGAGGGTCAAGAGGTCGCCCAGCAGCTCGGTGGAGTCGAACATATCGGGGCCATTATCGTCGTCGGCTCGATGAGCCATTATTTCAGCCATTTGTTTGCCCATTGTCGGCTGGTGTAGTTGGTCACTTCGCTGGTAGATAAGTCCCGATTTGAGCCTCGCCCACTTGGGTCGGTGACGAGTCGCGGGTTCGAATCCTGCAGCTGACACACAAGGGGGTTTAGTCAACCCTTACGGCGCGCTGCCCACCTTGTTGACTTCGCCTACCTAGCGATAATAGGGAGATTGGTGCAGTTTAGGATTACGAGCATCCTAGCCAGTCGACCGTCAAGCACTACGTCGGCGGAATATAACTCGACAGCCGGTCCAGAATTCGAATCGTTAATCCGACCCCTTATCGGACCCCCCCTCGCCGCGATTCTTGCGAGCGTCTAGACCACGTTACGGTCTATCCACTTGAGCGTATGGTTGAGATGTATACGCTCGACGAGAACCCCAATTAGCAGATACTACGACTTGTCGCGACAAAAAAAATAGTCGAGCATCTTCTGCACATCAGCAGCATCCCACCCCTGAGGACGAATTTAAGTGCCACATTACCACACTTATCGGTAGTTCAGGCAGGGGTTGTAGCACAGACTTAGGGAGGGACAGGAGGTTTAGTAGTCATTTGGCTACAAGTTTACCTGTATAACCGCCCGACGCGGCTTAAGGGCCCGCTATATCATCTATAGCCCCTTAAGGGAGTACTTGTAGAGGTACCGAGGGTTAACACCTACGGCGTATTTAATATTATTATTTTTGTTTTGTTTACGAAGGAAGAAGTATATGAACTTTTAGAAATTCAGGCATGGCTTGAAGCCCGCCCATCAGTCCAAAATCTACGCCATACTGGAACGTGGAGAGAATGACGAGGCCACAGGCCATGAAGCACCGCCCGTGGCTTGAATGGTGACATTTGACTTGGCCGCCATGCATTTTTCATGTAAATGGATGGTGAAGACTGGAGGCGAGTGAATTCCCTTCAACAGCAGCAACTACTTGTATATTCTCTAGCCTCTCAGCAAGAATTCTAGCGCCTGCAGCCTTCGCGACCGGTAGGATACACCGGTTGGAACTGAATGGTTTTGCATTATTGGATGCAATCTGGGCAACGGCAGTTCTTGGTATGCTATGTTGGGTGCACCTATAATACTACGGTGGAGTTGGAGATTATGTCAGATGATGTCAAGGAAGAGTACTCTGTGTCTACGTTCGAGGCGAGCAATGCAGGGCCTAGATTCAGGCCCTTGTAGCCTGAAAAACTTCCACTCAGACGAGTCCTTTTTAGAGTGGCTACTGTGAAATTTTGAATATTATCTAGCATATGTGTTCGACCATTTACTCGGGCTGTTGACAATCTGACTGGATAATGAAGCTATGTATCACAGGATGCGTAGTTCGTATGGTTTTCAAAGCATGATGTCAGATAGCGGTTTCCAATAAGTTTGAAGCATGAAATGGCTCAACATTACCTCCTTCACGTGAATAATTAGCCCATCCGCATATGGTCTGCTGTTGGAACTGACTTCGAGGTTCTGACCGTGTTCCTATCTATAACCTTACCCGTTCGGGTTCATTCCTTTGAGAATGATCTTTCAGTACCAATGAATTACTTCTGTTCCACCATAAGCCAATTATAGAGCATTCGGGTCATGAGCCTGGTAGATAAGACCCTAAACCTCTACTCCGACCCCAGCCAGACCCTAACCCTAACCCTGGGCGGGCTGCGTAGAGGTGAGTTTGTTGCTGACGGCGCAGCTTTGGGACCAAACTCTTGAAGGTGGAATTTACCTTACTTTTACCTTATTATCGCAGTAATTTCAAAGAAGTACAATTCACCTGGTAGATAAGAGTTCTTATTTACTTAAGAAGCGTCGCTACTTCTCGGTGAGGGATGCCGGTCAAGCTACGACCCCACCTTCACCGAGGTGAGCGTTTGGAGCTCTGGCCACCCCTCACGGTTCACCGTCTAAATGCATAATTATTTTCGTCCAAGCCGAGCAAGTTGCCAATTGGACTGTTCCTTCTCCCGAACATCGTGCTATGACGTGATCATCGCGCATATACAACATCATGTCCGCCAAAGGCAAGGAAGCTGCCTCCGAGTAGGAACTGTTCCAGTCACCATCTGCCCGCCATTCGAACTGACACTCGAGTAGGAAAGAGGCCGGTGCCACGAACCCCCGAGGCATCCCGTATGCGCCGTTCGTCGACAAGGTCGAGGACTATGTCTCATCACGCGAGGAGGTCGAGCAGACCCTACGAAGCTTCCAGGAGATGATATCGTGCGTAACACCGAATTACGAGGAGACCGCGACCCGTTCTATCTCGGTTAGGGTTTCTACCGGGCCGATTTGAAGAGCATGCTAGTGATGGACCAGAGGGCTGACGTGGCTCTCGACCAGGAAATACCAGTTCATGGAGCTCAATTTGCAGAGGAGGGTAACAGGCCTGAAGGACAAGATGCCGGATATCCAGAAAACGCTCGAGACAGTCCGGTTCTTGAAGACGAGAACGGTACGCTGGTGATGAGAGGACAGCGTCAGGCGAGTCACCCAAAGCTGACGGTGACGCTTCTACAGGAGGAGTCGGACCCCATTGAGACGACGTTCGAGCTCAACGACACATTGTACGCCAAAGCATCGTTGCCGCCAACGGAGGAAGTATTTCTCTGGCTCGGGGTACGTCCAACTAGAGCAATATGAAGTAACGGAGACCATGCGGCTAAAGGCAGGACCACAGGCAAACGTCATGTTGTCATACCCAATCGACGAGGCAGAAACACTCTTGGAGTCGAAGCTCTCGGCAGCAAAGTTGAGTTTTGCTAATTGCGAAGAAGACCTGGATTTCCTGCGCGAACAGATTACGGTAATGCTATTTGGTATCCCGCGCCACTGCTGCGTAACAACTTACTGACACATTGCAGACCATGGAAGTCGCGATAGCGCGGGTTTACAACTGGGATGTTGTGCAAAAGCGGAAAGAAAAGGCGGACGAGGACGGCAAAGGTGGAGGCAAGAAGGAAGGGGACGGAGACGGACACCCCAACGGATGATGGACCGGACCGTCGCAATCTCCCTGGCGGTGAGGCAGTAGATGATTGTGGAGCAAGTCGGTGGCCCATGCCATTACGAGATACGGCTCGAGAAAGAGGATATCTATAATACTAGACTCCACGTAGTGTGTATCTCATCGTCTGCTGATAGAAGATCCATGGGTTTACGAGCTTGACGGCTAGGGCGACAGAAACCCCAATTGGGGCTAGCTGTTGGGCCTGACGTCAGACAATGCCCATATTGCTGGCTGCAGCCAGCCATCCCAACTATCGGCTTACCGTCCAACCCAAATGAGCATTTGCACACATCGGACATTCGCTGCGCTTCCTAATTCTTGTGAAAGGATGCATTCGTGCATTGTCATCTTGATTTGAACAAATTTGCGCCTTATCCTTGCTCTATCGTACTTCTGGCGCACGGGCACGAAATAAAGCTACGTACTATGTACACATGCTCTTTCTACTGTTAGCGGGGTCTACATCTAGTTGATGCGGAGGACCCCTGTTACGTAACCGAGAGCAGCGCACAGGCGTCGTTTGGGGCCCAGACAGCGCTGTAGATTTGACCATAAATATTCCTATGACGAATTTCCACTTCTGAGCTGGCCTTTCGCCTAGCAACGCCACGACTATCAAATACATCTTTTGATTGCCGCTATCCTTAACCAGTACCACCCCTAGATACTTGTCACCGCAAATTATCGGTCGGGCCCGCCTCCGTATTCTTACAGCAAGCTATACGGCATCGCACACCGCAATATTTGCTCTCTTGACTCTTTTACAAAGTTGCTTTCACTGTCGAATAGACGGATTTTGCAAAGACTGCTCGACTGCCCCTCGACGTGCATAGACGAAGCTACCTACTTAACCCCAGACATAAGACCGATCGCAACATGGCCGACACGAAGCAGAACCCTACCATGGAGCTGGACCCCAAGTATGATGACTACGATTTCCCGACAACTGCCCCTGAGGCGGGTGAGGGTCACCCAGGCCACTTGACAAGCCAGCAGCAGGCTCAAGTATCCCAGCTTCGCCTGTTGCTGGAATCCGAAGGCTTCACCCAACGGTTGGACACACTCACATTGGTATGATGCCCCGCCATCTTATCTGAAGATAAACCAAGCTATAAGTTCTGGGCGACTGGACGGTGACTAGGACGACTAGACGCTTTGAAAATCGTGCAACACGGCTGACCATAGTTGCTGCTCAGTTGCGATTCTTGCGAGCCCGGAAGTTCGATGTCAACTTGGCCAAGAAGATGTGAGCCTGCCTTGTCCACCGCCGCCCCTTGAGTTTTCAGAACATTGCGATTGACAGACGAGACAGGTTTGTCGACTGTGAGAAGTGGCGAAAGGATACCAACCTCGACGAGACGGTGCCCACCTGGGACTATCCCGAGAAGGTCGAGCTGTTCAAGTACTACCCCCAGTACTACCACAAGACAGACAAGGTCCGTTCAAGTCTCTCTACCTACTCCCATCCATCAATAAAGCAAGCAACTTTGACTAACCCGTTTTCTGCAGGATGGCCGCCCGGTCTACATCGAGCAAATGGGTGGCATCGACCTGACCGCCATGTACAAAATCACGACGGCCGAACGCATGCTGACCAACCTCGCCGTCGAGTACGAGCGCCTGTCCGATCCGCGTCTGCCCGCCGCCTCACGCAAGGCAGGCCAGCTCCTTGAGACGTGCTGCACCATCATGGATCTCAAGGGCGTAGGCATCACCAAGGTGCCGCAGGTATACAGCTACGTCAAGCAGGCGTCAGCCATGTCGCAGAACTACTACCCTGAACGCCTCGGCCGCATGTACCTGATCAACGCGCCGTGGGGCTTCAGCGGCGTGTGGAACGCCGTCAAGGGCTGGCTTGACCCAGTCACAGTCCAGAAGATCCACATTCTAGGCTCCGGCTACCAGAAAGAGCTCATGGCTCAGGTGCCCGCCGAGAACCTGCCCAAGCAGTTTGGCGGCTCGTGTGAGTGCGAGGGTGGCTGTCAGTTTAGCAATATGGGACCGTGGATGGAGAAGGAGTGGGCGAAGCCCGCCAAGTGGGAGAAGAGTGCCGGGGAGGCGAAGGCCCCTGCTGCGGCGCAAGAGAGTGCACCTGCTCCCGCGGACGTCCCGGCTCCGGGTACCGAGATTCCCCAGGCTGGTGCACCGGAGGCTGAGATCCCTGCGCCCGCCAAGGTTGAAGCATAAAGGAAAGGCTAATACCTGAAGTGCGTAGAGAGAAGATTGCGAGAAGGGATGCGGGCTTGGAGTACATTGTCGGTGCGGAGGTGAGGATTAGAAAAGGAGTTTGAGTGGTGTTGAGGACCAGGATGAGGAATACGGATCCTTGCGTTTTAAAGAGTAGATACAGAAGGAAGACGCCGCTTCCTCGCGCTTTCCATACCATTGACAAAGGCCAAGATGTTTGATAGGAATACAAGAAGGCTTTCTTTAAAGTGGGAGGCAATCCTACCAGCGCCATGTTCATACGCGCATCTCGCATTCAGTTGGCTAAGACTGGGGGCAAGAGCGAGCTGTGCCCCGTTACGAAGAAGATGCTCGAGTGTCGGCTTGTGGGTATCAATATTATTTTACCATGGCCTCATGGCATTCTACCACGAATATATTGATGATTATCAGTTACTCAATGTAGACAAGTAAGTCCATGTGCACCTCATAACCTCGATCCTGCGGCTTCGTTGTAGTCTTTGCTCGTTAGCGAGGCAAATGAGGCATCTCAAGTTTTGGAGGGTACAGATAGTGCACGCAGGCTGTTGTTGTACACCCATGCCGACGTGTCAATGGTGGACTTAGCCATCGGAGGCTGGAGAACAGCCAATCAAACATATCCTCGTTGCCGCAAATGGTATCATATTTAGAGCATAAAAATGGCCCTGCCAGGACCGTAAACGCCAGGACTCCATACCAAACATCGTCCCATCATTACCATTACCACTGCTATTCCTCCCCTCAGCGCCCCGACACCACATAGCCTCCGGCCCCCCTTGCCCTCTCCATCTTGGCCGCCACAGAAGGCATCTCCCTTTTCAACCTCCCCAGCCCCCTGACCGCCCTCTCGTACCCTTGTTGCACCCCCTCCTGCCGCTCCAACATCTTGATCACCTCCTTCAAATCGTTGTCTTGCCCCTTCTCATCCGCTTCACCACTGCTGCTGCTGCTGCTGATCTGTTCCTTCAAAGCCGCCAGCGCCTCCTCGTCCGCTTGGATCCCCCGCTTCACCGAGTCGCTCCAGTGCGCTGCCGCGGTAGCAGGAACGGATTTCTTCAGTGCGGCGATGTCGCGGAGGAGGTCCTCCTCTTCGCGCGTGAGATCCTCCACGCGGGCGCGCAGGCGGGCGTCGAAGGGCGCGAAGACTTCTTCGGGTTGGGATGGGTCAGTGGTGGAGGTGGGGGCACGGCCGGAGAGAATTTCGTGGGTGTGGGAGATGGGAAGGCCGTTAATGGATAGGTTGGGGGCGGCGAGGGTGAATGTTTTGGTGATGTACTGTAAGTGCGTAGGTATGTGTCAGTAACCTAGCTGGGTGCTTGAAATTGTGAAAGCTACGGGTCAAAGGGGAGGAAGGGATGGGAAAAGGGGGAAGTACCTCGGTCACAAGCTCTTCTATCCGCGTGCGCAGCTCATCTTCGCCTTGTTCACCATCCACGGGAGGGAAGGCCTCGTCGATTCGCGATGTCGCGGCGCGTCGGACGTTGGCCAGGAGGTAGGTGAGGTCCTCCGGGGCCTGCAGCTCGATCTTGCGGTGGTGTGCAGCAACTGCAGACTCCATTTTGAGAATAGAACGAGCGAGGGGTGGCAAGGGGCTATTAGTGAGACCTGCTGGCCGCGATGGAGACAATGTCAAATGTTTGATACCGTCTCCAACTATTCGGCGCCAAGATGTTTACTTTTGGGTGATGCTTAAAGCCTTATCGGCTTATCGCACCTTAGTGGGGTATCTAATTGCATTTGGAGGAAGAACCACCTTCAACGTACTTCGTAGCTCACACCAAATGGAGACAGCAAAAAGATTTCTTTTGGTTTACTTTCTGTCAATTTGCTGCTTTGGCACTGAACAAAAGCATGAGAGCAATGAAAAAGAAGAGGTCGTGGGGAGGCTCGAACTCCCGACTCGGGAATATTTATTTTGAATCAAAATCCCACGTGCTAACCACTACACTACACAACCGTACGACGATCGGTTGATGCGAATTCGGAACCAAAGCTGCTCTATGATGCATACAAACAGGAGTGGTGGTACTTGGGTGGGACACGAATGGGATCCAGTGGACGTGTTATAGCAAATAGTTTGAGCACATATGCAAAGGGATTGCATATGATTGAAGTAGTCAAACTGCGTTCCATCGATCTTGTTTTTGTTAAATAGCTCTTGCACAAACGTAGCAAGTGCAGATCTGTTTGTAGCCTCAACGCTTACTCGTCCTCACCTGTCTAGATTCTGATTATATATTGAAAAGTAAGCTTTGCATAGTCCTTTGCATAGTCCATTGCATGCCTACAAAATAATAAACAGTATTATATATAGGCCAGTGAGACAGGGATGATCGATGATGAGACGCAGGTACTCCCACTGGATTCAGAGGTTTAGTTTTCACGCTTCCTTAGCCCTTGATGCGACTTTGAGTAATTGAACCAGAGTAAAATAGGGTTCTTAGACAAAGTTTCTTGAAGAGGTGGTATCTATCCATCGGGTAGGTACTTTTCAGCAGGGTCTCTGATGTTTGACTACGACGTGCCTTCTGGCTTCGAGCTTCACCAATTGTTTGCAACGGATTCAGTCTTGGTGTTATGGGCCATCATCAAGAGCGGGTGAGATGAGAAGTTGTCGTCCGTAGGCCTTCAGCACACCGCAAAACCGCGAAGAAAGAAGCATCGAGCCGAAACCCGAACGTCGTCCACGACGGGCTGTATTGGCTCATTCTGGTTATTGTGGCGGTCGTTCAATCCGCCCAACTGTTAACACTTGGAGGGTGACCTGGAGTCAAATATGGGGCTCCTGTTACCTGTTCCACTTCCTATTCGAGGGTTTGCTCGCCTCAATCGCCCCTGGGATTGGCTATTCGCCCACTCCACAACAGCCAGCCGGTCACGACCAAACCCGTAAAACGCGCTATTATTGATGGATAAATGCGTATTGTGAGCTGTTCCACATGAATACACCTTTCTTGGCGTCGTATGGAGGCATGATATCTTTCATTCCGAACGTAGTCGTTGTATCGAAAGGGACCACAACGGTGAGTGTCTGGGGCGTGCCGATTTTCGTGTGGATTCTAAGCGGCGCTGATCTGACGCAAGTTCTTACATGTGCGCCAAGACAATCGTAGTAATTTTCAGACTAGAGCGAAGCAGGAGTCCAAGGCAGCGGGAATCCTAAATGTCATTGCTTTCTTTGTAGTTATTGCAATAGTGGTGATATCATGGTTCGCTCTCGGGTTCAATGAAACTGGCACTTTCTAGACCGAGTGCACAAACAAACTGAGTTAGTCGAGAATGACTTCAATGGGATGGCATGGTGTGGTGGGCCTTTCTTGCATTTAAGTATGGTTCTTGATTAAACCTTAGGGATATTTTCTGCTGGGTGAAGAAACTACAATTTGTGTAGTGAGCTATTAGGCTCGCTGGATATTCGACTATTACCACATCTCAGACGACAATTGGACAGGCTTCGAGTTACACATGAGAAGACGAGGTGATTATCACATTGCAAATGCACCATCACAAGAACCCGTAAAAGGGCAGCAATATATAGGCCTCTGAACTGAACTAATGGATCCTCCTGAGGCTGGAATTGATTCACCAGCCATGAGTAACTCAGAGCCACAAAAGCCTTTCTTCACAAGTAATTGTGTGAGGTTATTCAGAAGTATCTTTCAATTCAACATCTCCAACCGCGGATTTGGATTTCACTCCTTGCGTATTATCGCCTTTATTCCAGAGTCTCTATATATAACGTAGAAGTTTCGAAGCTCGCGACATGTCATCTTCGTGTGCTACTTTTCCGTCACACTTCGAAGCATTCTTCCTAATTTGGAGGATGTGCGACTTTGTGTGTGTCGATGAGAGAGAAGCCGGACCCTGTAAATGGTTCGGTATGTGACAAAGGCCGTACAGGGCTCGTGGTGAATATTGATGGGAACTGTGGGAGTATCAGACGATTGTGACTGGCACCATGTCAGCATGATTATTCACCACCCTGTATCGTGCGGGAGTACCCGGGGCGAGGCCAACTATTCTGCTCCTACACGAGTACGCGAGGGAGCCTAAGATTCTATTGGAACGGAACACTTGGATGGAATTCCTTCCCCTGCAAGCCAAGACACTAAGGATGAATTCGTTTTCGCCTATCGCGGCTACCCAGGATCATCATCATAGCCGATATCCGCCTCAACGAGCCGCATAGTCATGCTATTGATTAGTAAGGCCACGCAGCCCCTGGCAGCACATTGCAGCTGCCTAGAAGAGATTGGCGAACGGTCTACGCCGTGCCCTCCGACATAAATCCTCTTTATAATCCCTGGAAAGATTTTGATAGCCAAGCGAGCGCATGTTTGCGTCTTGGCAATGAACATGCACGATGCCAACTTGGGCTTCAACTTACGCCAAGACGTAGTAGTTGGAAGGTACTACATCAGTTACGAGAATTTCCAAAAGCCACTCGGCCGATATTCTCACCGGTTATGAGATATCCTGCACTCAATTTTAGCACAGAAAAGCTAGAGCTCTAGAGAATGGTGGCATCGGGCAGGTGGTCGATAGGAACCAATGATGCAACCAGCTCACTTTTCAGTCCGCTGCAAATTTGCAAGCCAACACATGATAAATCTTGAGTATCGTACCACACGTTTCCATCTATTTGTTATCTGATTCTAGAACCTCCTTATGCAACCTCGAAGAACCTGGTGGCCCGGCCTGTGAGCCATAAAACTTCCACTGAGCGCATGCAATCCATGCATTGCAAGGATCGCGACATACCTGGCTCGTCTGCCATGGCGATTCTCTGATTCTCTGATTCGTTACCGGTCACCAGGGTCCGGCCATATCTGACATTGGCGCGCAGGTGGATGCTGACACCGAACACACCGAAGGTCTGTAAGCTGAGTACGAGGTAATGTTCACATCGAATCACAGCGTGTCGAATTACCTTCTTCACTTACCTTGTCCATGGTGGCACGGGAAGGCGGGACGGACGCCGACTGAGGCATGCAAATGTGATATATCACGATGAAGACAAGTAAACCTCAAGTATATAAGGAACACATTGTGCTTATTGTTAAGTTAATTTGTGCCATGCATCCTCAGTCAAGTCCAAGCTACATACTATATATCTTGAATCTCTCAATTGCCCAACCTCTCACATCATAGTCTACTCTACCCATCCTCAAAATGCAACTTTCAGCTGTCCTCATCACGGTCCTCAGCTTCACCGCAACCGCCCTGCCCACCAGCAGCCCAGCCACCGTAGAGCGCCGCGACTATACCTTCTGGTCCACCGTCTCGGATGAGGGCTTCTACGCCGCGGCAAGTCCCCCAGACTACTACGAGGACCAAATACTCCAGTTCCAGCCGTCGGGGGCTAAAGGAACCGCCTCGCTCGTCGCCAAGTTCCCCGCCGGCTTTGCCATTTCTCAATCGGGTGCTGCCGCCATCGACATCTACACGCGCACCTCGGGCGGCTTGGGAACCAAGATCGGCACTGCTGGGCCGTTGCCTGTGTCTGGTGGAAAGATCACCACAGCCGTAAATACCGTCATCGCCAACTTCGCCGCAACGAGTGATCTGGTGTTCGAGTTCAGGATTGCGAGCGAGACTGAGAATGGGAGTCTCCAGTTCTTTGAGACGGCTGATGCTGGATTCTTTGTGCGAACTGAGACTGCTTAAGGGAGCGGTGGGATATTTGAGGGGCACAGCATGTCGTTTTGCTATTGATACTCAGTTCACTTGAAGTAGGAACGAACTTATGATGGTATAAAGGGTAGGAAGCTTGTCTCTGGGTTTAAATGGTTGGGTTTGTAAATTATGATAGGGGTTCTGGATTAGAAAAAGTGTTGGACCTTCAAGGCTACTACATCAATACTGCGAGTCATGGAAGGACATATGACCACCACCTATCGAACCACACAAGTCCTGCATATAGGACAGGCATCAGTCATTCCTGTCTATATAAGGCCCTTATGGCCGCCGTTCACTTCGTTCAGGACTCTCCAGAGATTATAACACTTTCAATACAAGACCACTTGCCCACAATCCAACAAAAAGGTGGAATATATGGTTAAAGAATATCAAGCAGTAGTGTAATAATGCTACATTCTATATGAGAACGAGTATTAACCCATTGGGCTTGCAGATTTGGCCAACCCTGCCCCAGTTTACTGGAATATCCTGTTTTGTAATGCGGAAAGACTCCTTTTAGCTAACTTGATACTCCAAATTATAGCACCCACATCAGAAGCAAATCAGTAGCCGTGCTTACCCCCATTTACAACACCTTAAATTCAACCATAAATTTCTTAATACCCTGATGCGTGAGCATATGGTAACACCCGAGAACTGCAGCGATCTGAATCTCTATAAAGCTCTATTAATGCGAGTGCATATAGGGTGTAAAGTGTGTGTATTCGGAAGGCTACGTTAGCTAGCTAGCCGAGGGCCCTTTCAGGCCGACTGTCCTTGCCAGGGATCAGCCGGAGCGCTAGTACTATCTTATCGTACCTATAGCTACAGGGAAAACCCCCTTGGGATAACCTATCACCCCTATTGTCTTTCGATAAGTATTCATCTTGAATAAGATCTCAGAGTCTTAAAACCTTCCCCGTCTCCTTGCTTTGTTGGGGCACTCTGGAATGTCAAAAGTCGTGGCGTTATTCAGCGGTGGTCCCTCACCAAACCAGACAGACTTTTCAGGCGTAGCTCGTGATTTGGTGCTGAGATTCGTAGGTGAAGCCAGGCGTATGCTCCCGGGAGTATTGGACCATAGAGTAGCGAGCAGCAGCTGCGGCCTGAAGGCCGATGTACTCGGAGCCGTTGAAGGGATCGAAGAATCTTCGGAAAGTAGCCTCGTCAAATGTGGCGATGTTTTCTTCACCGCTAAAGGCGAAGTCGACACGTGATAGGGATGCGTCGTGCTCGAAAGCATTGTGCTTGTTGAGGTTAGGCAGATCAAAGAAGTCAGCGCTGGGATCATTGGTGGCAATGCCGAGTTGAGCGATGACGGTCGCCAACTCTGGGCTGAGGTTGAAGGCTTTGCCAAGAACATCCACCAGCAGCGGCACGGTTAGATTTCTTCCATCGTGTGGGATGATATGGTGGTTCGCCAGACTGTTGAGGGCTGGGCAAGGACCTCGGACGTCTCCGTCCCCTGGTGGTGCCCAGTTTTCAAAGTCGATGGCCCCGAATGCCACGCCGCTAAAGGCGACCGCCGCGAGAAATGAAGCGAAGAGCATAACGCTGAAAACAAGAATAAATGAGTGTCTGCGTCCTTTATAAGAGAATGAATTGAGTATGCCGCGTAAGTAGTGAGATGGGAGAGAAGTTCACTATTTATGCAGATCATCATACCAACCCGCTGCTCTTGCTTGATGCCTGGGCCTGAGTAGGATTCAGAAATTGTCGTAGAATCTGGCATCTAGATCCCATGGGATCAATAATGCTGCTATCCGTACGTTATTTTTATTTGGACACGATCTTCTAAAAAAGAAACTTCGCATGATTGGAGATTACGGTACGAACCTACAAGCTAGTAACTTATGAGGGATTGGATACCCGTTTGTGATACTCAAATAAGAAATAGAATAGCGAAAACGAGTTAACGTAGTCCACAAGCGAACGGGTCACCCAACCGAACGGGTCACGCCAACTAGCAAAACATGGAATTCAACACGATTTCGCAACCACAACGCCGTAAATCAATTGAAACTACTCAGAATACTCTTGCCCAGATGATTCTATCTCTACCTGACAGGTTCGCGCATTATGCCCGGTCTTCCCGCATACGCCACAGCGCCGTTGCCGTGGCTGGCCACGATTTGATCCAGCGCTATTTCCACGCATTTCCTGCTGTACTTGCTGCGCAACGTCCTTTTGATCTTGAAGATCTTGTACGTCTTGTGAATTAAGTGATCCTCCAAGCCGTACTCGTGTTTTTTTGGCCCTGCGCCGCTTGCTAATTAGAGCATTTGCCTCTCGAAGTTCCGCGACCTCAGCTTGGAGTAAAGCCATCTTATGCATAATACTCCGCGCTCCTTTCGAAAACTGATCGATAGCATCGTAAATTGACATCGGGGAGCTATTTTGATGCCTGGAAATTCGAGATTTAATAAATTCGGATTGCGAAGTAGCCTCGGTTGGGTTGTTTGGCGTCCGAGAAGCCCAAGGAAGGGTTTCCCGCGTAGGGGGCCGGGAGGACGTTGGAGTCTGTAATTTCACATCCAGCTTCTCAATAACAATATCTGGGCTTAAAGGCACAAGCCCAGCCCCTTGAAAGCCTGCACGAATATTGCTTTCGGTCAGGCTCTTCTTGAACGCGTCGCAAAATGCCGGAAGAAAGTCCTCCTTTGTGATATGCGAGTCGCGTAGCAGTCGGTTTGCCATATCTTCAACAGCACTTAGCCGGGGAGGAAATGCTTGCGAATCTAGCTCAATTATCCTTTGAATAATCGTATTTTCTTCTAGTTTTGTGAAATTCCGACCGTTAGCTTCGATATTGCGACGTGATTGACGTTTTTGAAGACGCGCCTGGAGAGTAGTATTCGAGACTTTGTAGATTGTTGCAGCACGTCGGATACTAAGTGTTAAGTCATTTCTGATAGCCTGAGTTGCAAGGAGTAATTGAGATTCTTTTTGAGCAGAATCCATCGAGAATTAGTTGCGTGGTAAAGTTAGAAAGTTTAGTTCTATTTTTTGCTATGGGCGTGACCCGTTCGGTTGGGTGACCCGTTCGCTTGTGGACTACGTTATATTTACTTGTAGAGGACATAAAATAAGTTTTGAAAGTTTTCCTTTTTTAATTTATAAATGTCGGAAATAAAGCGTTTAATGTGTAATTTGTAGGTAGCTAGCTCGCTTTAGGAGTAAATAATTTATAGCAATCATAGTAAAGCTTTATACTAGTTATCCGAATCTTCTCATTGAAAGGATATCTCGAACTAACGGCAACCAGAACCCAGCAGCTGGGATTCTGCGGAATGTGCATACTATGGGTGTTTTTGTTATAGATTCTATTGTCGGCTGGTGTAGTTGGTCACTTCGCTGGTAGATAAGTCCCGATTTGAGCCTCGCCCACTTGGGTTGGTGACGAGTCGCGGGTTCGAATCCCGCAGCTGACACACAAGGGGGTTTAGTCAACCCTTACGGCGCGCTGCCCACCTTGTTGACTTCGCCTACCTAGCGATAATAGGGAGATTGGTGCAGTTTAGGATTACGAGCATCCTAGCCAGTCGACCGTCAAGCACTACGTCGGCGGAATATAACTCGACAGCCGGTCCAGAATTCGAATCGTTAATCCGGCCCCTTATCGGACCTCGCCTATCCGATAACGCTCGTCGGCGAACCCGTCCCCTCACGATAGAAGGCGCGCAGCACGCCCTCTCGCCGCGATTCTTGCGAGCGTCTAGACCACGTTACGGTCTATCCACTTGAGCGTATGGTTGAGATGTATACGCTCGACGAGAACCCCAATTAGCAGATACTACGACTTGTCGCGACAAAAAAATAGTCGAGCATCTTCTGCACATCAGCAGCATCCCACCCCTGAGGACGAATTTAAGTGCCACATTACCACGCTTATCGGTAGTTCAGGCAGGGGTTGTAGCACAGACTTAGGGAGGGACAGGAGGTTTAGTAGTCGTTTGGCTACAAGTTTACCTGTATAACCGCCCGACGCGGCTTAAGGGCCCGCTATATCATCTATAGCCCCTTAAGGGAGTACTTGTAGAGGTACCGAGGGTTAACACCTACGGCGTATTTAATATTATAGATTCTATCCCTAAATGGTAACTCTGGACGTGGGCTAGTGACGTCGACTCCTGCATGTCAATATCAGGGATGTTGTGGACCTACTTGCTGCATGTCAGCACCAAGGCTGTTGTAAACCAATTCTCTGCAAGTCTGCATCAGGGGTGTTGGAGACCGCCTTTCTGCATGTCAGCATCATGCTGCAGTCCATTTCTGTCTGTGCCATGGCGACTGATGATGGCCGTGTTAGTAGCTTGGTCGTATTGGTGGCTCTGCTGGTGGCTTGGCCCTATTCATAGTAGCTGGGATAATAGCTCAATGCTCAGCAGTTGCCGAAATAGCATATGAATAATGCCGTCAGTGACCTCACTTTTTATCCTATACAGATAGCTGCTATGTTTACTAAATACTCCGCAACAAGCATATCTTCTGGCTGAACCAGGGTTGGCCAATCATTTTGAGCAAGGTCCAGCGGACACGGCATATGCGGTAGATGTGACAGAAGCAGAGCCTGTAACCATACCCATGTATAAGTCCTTTCATAACTACCCTATTGGGTGTACATCGAACTACCTTGAACTAAATCTGAGGCTTTCCAACTGCAGATAATCATAGCGGTGCAGCTAGATTATATGACGTTACTGCAATGAGATTCTGCAACAGACCATTTACGTGTATTGGCGAGAGGATCGAAGTTGAATGAGGTGATTAGGATCTCAATCGTCAACCAATTGCGGATGGGCCATATTGTGGGCCCGGGAGAGTAGTATTACGTCTTGAGTTTACTGAATACTCCCGCTATGTAATTGGTGGTAGAGAAATGAAACAACAGTAGCTAGGATCTAATCCTTTGTGATATAGACGAAAGTGCCCATAGATTGAGTGACTCTCCAGTCCTTGTTTCTCTATATTAACGTTGATTCCACGATTTTTAAGCTCATTCCACATTTACCATCGGCGCCGAGTTTAGCATCTTCTTATTTTCTAACACAATCTCCGGGTTTACTGCCACATATCTTGAGAATGACATCCATGATAGATCTCCCCTCACTGCTGGTTTTCGGGCCGCAGACCGAGTTTCCGTCAGAAGAATGACTACAAGACTTGCGGCAAGAGCTCATCAGCAACCCTCGACTATCCGCTCTCAAGGATGCAGTGACTGCCTTGCCTCAATTTTGGCAAAGCCTTGTTGACTTCGATCCCAGTATGCGTCAGGTCCCTGGATCCAAGTATCTAGGTAATCTAAGTCAATGGATCCAAGATGGCGGCTCTTTTCCTCACCATCAACGTGATTCACCCAATCACTACGCTCTTCCCGTCACCCTTCTCCTCCAGATCAGCCAGTATGCTCGCTACCTTGAACACCTCGGCAACGACTCCCATCGCCAGGTCCTAGGAAGCGTCCGATCTGGTGGGATTCAGGGCTTCTGCGTTGGCCTTCTCAGTGCCATTGCTGTGGCTAGTCCAAAGAGCGAAGCTGACCTTGGTTCTGCTGCTGCTGTTGGGCTTCGTCTTGCCGTGTGCATAGGAGCATATGTTGACCACGATGGCATCTTTTCCCATGAGCCAAACAAAAACGCATGCGTGGCTATCCGCTGGAGGGAAGGTAACGTCGAGGAGAAGACTGAGGTTGGAAACATCATTCGATCGTATTCGGAGGTAGGTCAGCAGCTTTTCTCCTCCACAGAAATACTTATCTGGAGTCTCTAATTAGTTTTATCAGGCATATATCTCCAGCATCAACGACAGCGCATGTGTGACCGTCACTATTAGAGCCACCGATCTGGATGGCCTGAGCAACAAAGTTCGCGATCGGGGTTTGCGTGCAAAGACAGTCTATGTGCATGGTCGTTTCCACACCGCTGGTCACTCATATGCCGTGGAGAAGCTCATGAAGTTTATCCTGCGCTCTGAAGAGCTGAATTTTCCGGCCGCGGAGATGCTTCATGCCCCTGTACGATCAACCATCGACGGTGAGATTATTTCCGAAGGCTCATTGACTCGGCTTGTTCTCGAAAACACGCTGTTGAAAACAGCGGACTGGTATGCGACTCTAAAGTCTTCCGTTCTTCAGCTGCCCGAATCCAACAAGGTGGTCGCATTTGCGGGATTTGGAAATCATATTCCGTCGTCTCTGGTCCAAACTTCATCCCTCCAAGTACTCGCTCTGAGCAACCTGAAAGGATTAAATTCCAAGCAGCCTCTTGGTGCATTGCCAGTCAATGGTGTCATGAATGGATCGCATTACTCACCTCCATACCCTTCCCATTCCATTGCCATCGTCGGAATGGCTGGAAGGTTCCCTGGTGCGGACTCGGTCGACAAGCTTTGGGATTTGATATTGAAGGTAAGACAATGGTCGAGCCTGCGCCCGTTGAACGACTCCGATTACCCCAAACCGAAGATTACGCAAAGACGAAATGGTGGGGCAACTTTCTTCGAGACCCAGATGCATTCGACCACCGCTTTTTCAAGAAATCATCTCGTGAGGCTATTGCCTGGGATCCGCAGCAGAGAATCCTGCTCGGGTCGTGTACGAGGCATTGGAGTCAGCTGGCTACTTTGGCGCTTCGTCGACGACGGAACCAGACGACTATGGCTGCTACATCGGAGCTGTCATGAACAACTATTACGACAATGTCTCGTGTCATCCCGCCACTGCGTATGCTACACTTGGAACCTCAAGATGTTTCATCAGCGGCTGCATGAGCCATTACTTCGGGTGGACAGGTCCTTCATTGACCATTGATACCGCTTGCTCGTCATCACTCGTCGCCATCAATACGGCCTGTCGAGCGATATGGTCTGGAGAGTGTTCTCGAGCCATCGCCGGTGGCACCAATGTGATTTCGAGTCCATTCGATTACCAGAACCTGCACGCGGCAGGCTTTCTGAGCCCCACTGAGCAGTGCAAGCCATTTGACGCGGCCGCTGATGGCTATTGCCGAGGTGAAAGCGTGGCCGTGGTGGTTCTCAAGCAGCTTTCCGATGCCATCAGAGATAACGACAACGTCCTCGGCGTCATCGTGGGGTCTGCAGCCAACCAGAACCACAATTACAGCCATGTTACGGTACCGCATTCAGCCTCTAAATAGACTTGTACCAGAAGGTGATGCAGCTCGGTGGCGTTGAGCCGGTATCCGTGTCCTACGTTGAGGCTCATGGTACCGGTACCGGGGTTGGCGATCCGGTCGAGGTCCGCAGTATCCGCGACGCCTTTGGCGGCCCTCAAAGAGATAACCTCCTACACTTTGGTTCCATCAAGGGCAATATCGGACACACCGAGGCTACTGCCGGTGTCGTCGGCCTGATCAAAGTTCTGCTGATGATGAAGCACGGAAAGATCCCCGCGCAGGCGAGCCACAACGCACTGAATCCCAAAATCCCTCCGTTTGATCAGGACCAGATGGCGATACCTCGAAACACGTTACCCTGGAACCCTCCGTTCCGTTTGGCATGTGTCAACAGCCACGGTGCGGCTGGCAGTAACTCGGCCGTCATGATTCGCGAGAAGCCATCTTCAGGCACTCCAGCAAGCCCTGTGCATCTTTCGAAATATCCACTCTTTGTTTCGGCTGGCTCCGCGAGCAGTCTCTCCATGTACAGCAAGAAGTTGCTAGTTTGGCTGAAGGACGGCAAGGCGGAGACTGCAGACATGCTGGCGTCGTTGACTTTCAATCTCGCTGATCGAGCGAACCACGCGCTGCCTTACATCCTTTCGAAGACCGTGAGCAATATCCAGGACCTTGAGTCGACGCTTCAAGCAGCGTCATCATATGGCTCAGGCATACAAACAGCTGCAGAGCCCAAGCCTGTGGTTCTTGTATTCGGAGGTCAGGAGAGTAACTTCATCGGCCTTTCGGACGACATCTACCGTTCCTCCAAAGTGTTCCGTTATCACCTCGATTTTTGCAACGACCTTCTCATCTCCAGGGGGCTGGAAAGCTTCTACCCCTCCATATTCCAAACAGTGCCAGTAAGAAACCTGACGACTCTGCACTCGGCCCTTTTTGCTATCCAATATGCTTCCGCTAAGGCGTGGATGGATTGTGGACTCAAGATCAGCGCAGTTGTTGGTCACAGCTTCGGTCAGCTCACTGCATTATGCATCTCAGGCGCATTGTCTCTCCCTGATGCATTGGCATTGGTCGCAGGAAGAGCGTCCATTATGATGAAGCACTGGGGTCCTGAGCCAGGATCAATGATGTTCTTGCAGGCTGACCGTCAGACCGTCGACCAAGTTATTCGGTCACTAAGGACTCAGCACGGCGACCACTATGTTGAGGTTGCTTGCTATAACGGTCCGAGGAGCCATGTTGTGGTGGGCTCTTCCAAGGCTGTCGATGCCCTGGAGCAGCATGTTGCAAATACGCTGCTTCTTCGGGATTCGGTTCGCACCAAGAGACTCAAAGTCACACATGGTTTCCATTCCAAATTTACCGAGTCAATGCTGCCACATCTCACTGCTTTGGCCAAGGAATTGGTGTGGAAAAGCCCAAGCCTCCACCTCGAGACTTGTGATGACGTCGAAAGCATAACCTAACCCGACTTCGACATTGTTTCAGAGCATACAAGACGTCCCGTCTTCTTCCAACGAGCGATAGAAAGGCTCGCCAAGCGGTTCCCGCAGAGCACATGGATAGAAGCAGGCCGCAGGTCGTCGGTCATCCAGCTCGTCAAAGGTTCCGTGCCAGATTCTCAGTGCCATGCATTCCTATCTCCTCAGCTCACTTCATCCAATGGGCAAGGATCTCTCGCGGACGTGACCATTGATCTCTGGAGAAACGGGTACGCAACACAATACTGGGCAATCCACAGAGATCAGAAGCCAGAGTATGGGTATCTAAGCCTGCCACCGCACCAATTCGAGAAGACGCGGCACTGGCTTCCATTCACGGGTCGAGGTCTTGAGGAGGAGGCGAAGTCTGATGCCGTAGACGTGGAAGAGACGAATCAACTTCTCTCCTTCCTCCGGTTCAAGGATAAGTCGGAGAACGAGGCGGTTTTCCGAATCGATCCCCATGCCGATCGCTTCAAGGCCATGTTGGGCGGACACGTCATGGCTGGGCAAACGCTCGCTCCGGCATCGTTATATTTCGAGGTTGTCGCCCGCGCGGCCTTGTTCCTTCAAAAAGACACCGAAGCGAAGAAATACGTGCCCACTGTCAATGACCTTTTGATGAAGTCTCCAATTGGCCAAGATACAACAAAAGAGATCATGCTCACGTTGAAGCGCCTCGAGGATGTACGTCCCTCTTGGCCCTTTTCCATGACCACTCAGGCCACCGGGGGCCCTATCGCCGCACCCTTTGAACAATCTACTGGCAGAGTGTGCCTCAAGAAGCGTGATGATGCGCAGGCCGCCCAAGAGTTCAAGCGATTCGAGTCTCTGACAGGCCACCGCCGGTATGAGGAGCTGTTAAATCATCCCGATGCCGAGAAGATACAAGGAAATCACATATATCGTGCTTTCAACACCGTCGTCCACTATGGTGAAGCTTTCCGAGGCATCAAGCAAGTAGCCTGTGTGCGCATGGAAGCCGCTGGTAAGGTGGCCATTACTCCGAACACAAACGACCCAGCCGACCAACGCCTCTGCGATACCCCCATGACCGATAGCTTCATGCAGTTCGCCGGGTTCGTGGTGAACTACTTCAACAACCCAAGCATGGAAGATGTTCTGGTTTGCATGAAGATAGAGCATATTGAAATGGGCGGGGGCTTCAATCCAGACGCGAAAGAGTGGATCGTTTACTCCAACATGAGCGAGGGCGGCGAGGCGGATGCGTCGTCAGATGCCTACGTCTTTGAGGCCGCAAGCAAGAAGATGGTCATGGCGGCGTTCGGCTTCCGCTTTTCCAAGATGCCGCAGGCGTTACCTGCCCGCATGCTGAAGAGCGTCAACAAGTCTGGGGTGGCAAACACAACCCTGGAGAAGCCTGTGGTTCATGCGGTTGACAAATCAACTGCTCCTGCCGTTCCAGCCGTTCCGACCAGGAAGTCTTCCAGCAAGCGCCCAGAACTCCGTCAGGTCCTAAGTAGTGTTACCGACATCCCGCTCGAGGAGCTAAGGGACGATTCGACGCTCGATGAACTTGGGATCGACTCGCTCATGGCCACCGAGGTCCTCAATGACATTCGATCCGTCTTGGGCCTGACGATAGATTTGACGAGCTTTCTATTCTTTCCCAACATCCAAACCCTCGTCACCCATGTGGATGAGAAGTTGGGTGTCGGTGGTGAAGATGACGGCTTGGATTCACCACCTTCGCCGAGCACCGATTCCGGTATTGCCGATGTGGGCATGCCCAACAAAGCCTTGATCGTTAACCCTGAACCACCCAATACGGTGAATCTGAATCGACCCACCATCACTTCAGCACTTGATGCCTTTCAGGAGACGAGGTTCGGATACGACCAACTGGCCCAAGCCACCCAAGCCCTCGGCTTCTGGGCTCAAGCGTACCCGCACCAGGCGCGACTGGTTCTGGCCTATGTCGTAGAAGCATTTACCAAAATTGGATGCGACTTAAAGGAGCTGCGGGCTGGCGATTCCGTTCCTCGAGTTGGAACTTTGGACAAGCATAAGAAGCTTGTACGCCAGCTTTATCGCATCCTCGAGGATGGGAAGCTCATTTTATCTTCGAACCAAGGTTTCTCTCGAACCGACGTCCCTGTTGATTCCATCCCTGCCGAAGCTATCTACCAGCAAATCATCGGCCTCTACCCACAGCACGCCAATGTGAACAATCTAGTGAGGACGGTTGCGTCTCAGATGGCCGCGTGCTTAGTCGGCGACAAGGACGGCCTACAGATAGTCTTCGGCGACAGAGAAACCAAGAAGACGCTGGAAGACATGTACGAATTTTGGCCGCTCCTGAGGACGCCCACCCTTCTTCTCGGTGACTTTTTGCTGAAAGCCTTTACCAATGCGACAGGTAGTGGCAAGTTTCGCATTCTTGAAATCGGCGCAGGGACCGGAGGCACAACTCGGTATATCGTGAACCACCTGAAGAACCACGGCATCCCCTTCGAGTACGTCTTCACCGATATTTCCGCTTCGTTCGTCGCCGCCGCGAGGAAGCAGTTCAACGGCGTCGACGGCATGTCGTTCGAGCTCCTCGACGTCGAGAAGCCGCCCAAGGCAGAGTATGAGAGCGCCTTCCACTGCATCATAGCGACCAACTGCATCCACGCGACGAGAAATCTGGATTCGTCGCTTCTTCACCTGCGCAAGATGCTCCGCGAAGACGGGGCTTTGACGCTGGTCGAGATCACGAAAAACATGTTCTGGCTTGACATCGTCGTCGGCCTCTTCGAAGGTTGGTGGTTGTTCGAGGACGGCCGCACGCACGCTTTGGTCGACGAAGAGCACAGGGCGCGGCTGATGAGAGGGGCAGGGTTTAACGAGGTTTTGTGGACGGACGGTGCTGCGCCTGAGTCCAAGACGGTACGTGTCATTGGCGCATTTCCAGCCAAAAAGACGGTCAAGACGGTCAAGGCGGCCTTGGAGACGGTTGTGTACAAGAAAATAGGAGACCAGGAGATCCACGCCGATGTCTACTACCCCGTTGATGGGGAGTTCCCAAATAAGAAAATGCCCGTCGGTACGAAATAAGCCTACCCACACTCACTCGACTCCATCACTGACCCATGTCAAGCTTCGATGATCCACGGAGGCAGCCATATCATTATTATTATTATTAAATACGCCGTAGGCTCGAAGCCCCCGGTACCTCTATTAGTACTCCCGTATGTCAAACCGTGCCCTAATGGCTGGACTAAATACATACGCTGCGTCGTCGGTTCGCCCTATTGGCGACTGCGTTGCGTTCACTACCATACTACGTTGGTTCTCAACCTACCAACAAAGTCCCCCCTGAGAAGATCGATGCTATCTGGGCCTTGAAGCTGTCCGACCCGTCCCTAGCAGCCATCTTACAATAGTCCCACTAACTACTGGTTCTCCTGTTGCCGTTGCGAGGTCTCTGCGAGAGTATAGTGGCCGTGGTGCGATGGCGGCCCGTAATCGTTCCCTCGCTCCTTCCAACAGCCCGCAAAAGAGGATTACGTGCTCTGCCGTCTCAGGGGCATCGCCACAGCGGCATAGCGGCGAGTACACGCCAAAAGCCCCTGTCTTGAATAAGAAGGCTGCTAGTCCTATTTTTTCCGTCCTGATCTGGCACAGCGTAGACGCCTCCAGTCGGTTCAGGCCGAAATACTTGCCCCCTTTCGGTATCTGCATCGAAGGGCCCTCCGGTTCCTCAGCGATAGCGCGTCGCTGGCGATCGTGATGCTCTGCTCCGGTGAGCCATCTCTTCCTCCAGTGGTCGAGGAGGGCAGCCGGGACCTCCTTTTCCTCACTCATCCACTCGGAGCCCCGGGCCTCCTTCTCCATAGTGTACCCTGCCGGTCGGAGTAGCTGCGACGCCTGCTTCCTCTTCGCCGGCCTATCCTGCCGGAGTATATGTGACGCTTTAGCGCTCGCGCTGCGAAGCAGATTTCTCTTCCCGCTAAGTCGTAGCCGTTCTTCAAACTTAGCAGCCCGGGCACTAAGATAGAGGTCTAGTGGCGGGATTGCTGCTTCTGCTTCCAGGTGGCGAACCGGCGTCGCTTTGTGGGCGCCACAGACTACCCGGAGGCACTCGTTCTGTATCCCCATCAGGCTCTTAGCTGGCCCTGCCGGTTCCTCACTTATAGTATGCCACGCAGTCGCCCCGAAGGAGCAGCCATATCATTTTCTCCAGAAAGGATATTCGACCGGCTCAGACACGCCTTCTGCTCGAGAAAGGCTTTCTCCCGGTTAGCTTGGATCACCGACTCTGCCCTGAGGTCAGTCTCTCCGAGGGACCGATGGTGGACGTTTGCGACGCCCTCCACTGGACTCGCAACACGTTGCCTCATATCAAACTCAAACGGCCAGGTCTCGAGATCGACGGCGATAAAGTGGTAGCGGTGGGCTGGTCGTCGGGCGGACAGCTCGCCATGTCGCTCGCTTGGACTGCACACCCACGAGGCCTGCGGCCACCGGAAGCCATCCTAGCCTTTTACTGTGCCACCAACTACGAGGACGAGTGGTGGCGCTGTCCAATCCAGCCCGTCGGCGCTGAGGACCGGGGCATCAAATATGATGTGCTTGAAGCCGTCCAAGACGAGCCCATCACCAATTACGGCGTCTTAGGCGCCTGGGAGCCGCTCTCCGATCCCCACATTCTGACTGACCCGCGCTGCCGCATCGTACTTCACATCAACTGGAAGGCCCAAACCCTCCCCGTCATCCTCGGCGGGCTCGTCAGCAGGAAGAAGGCCGCGGCTCAGTCTTCCGACGTCAAAGACTGGAACCTCCTCCCGCAACCCACGCTCGATCAAATCAGGGCCGCCAGCCCACTCGCGCAGATTCGTCAAGCCAACTACCAGACGCCGACCTTCTTGATCCACGGCACGGCTGATGATCTAATTCCGTGGCAACAGAGCCGGGGCACGTATGAGGCCATGGTCAATAGGGGCATTGCGGCCGGCTTGGCACTTGTCGAGGGCGCTCCGCACATCTGTGACCTGAGCAGCGATCCCGAGTCGGAGGGTTGGAAGGCGGCTCTTCGAGGATACGACTTCATCAGCTCTTACGTGTTCTAATCATGATCTTTCTCCTCGCTTTAGACGTGTAGGACAAAACATTTCCTACAGGCATTGCGTCTTTTCCACCTTCAATTAGAAATACTAACTTACTCCGTCACTTCTCTCATCTTAGTTCTGCAATAAGCTGACTAAGATTTGGTCCGTCCTGGTTCGTAACCACGGGATATGAGCACTAAAACCACTGAAGCAACTCTCGAGTTAACCTAATTAACTTCACTATCCCCTTCCGTTAGATTGATTAACCGGCTATCCATATTGGGCAAGGTTGACTAGTTGTGATTGAATTATTGTAGTAGGAAAGGTTGGCCAGTCAGTTATTCTGGCCTGGCAGAGCTCTTTTATAGCTCTTATCTTATCTATCTTATCTACCGCTACAGGGTAACCCCCATGGGGTCACGTATCAAGTTGCTAAGGTGGTTCCTATAACTAGCCGGAAATGAGGTTATCGTTCACCTCGCCAGCGCTATACTCTACTAGTATGCCGGCGGCTCCCATAGCGGCCTCCTGTATAGGCTCATCCGGTTCACTTAGCTAGTATATTTGTATAGGCGTCTTAGCCCCATCAAACCCAATACCCAAATAAGAAAAAAAAGCCGTAGTGAAATCAAATACGGTTCGGGTCCATAGGGTTTAAAGGAGCACTGGTGTCCATACAAAATGATAGACTGGTCAACCTTGTGGGGTATGACTGGTATAGTGCAACTGGAAAAAGGGAAATCTTCAGCAGACCAGCATTTGCAATCGTAGTCCCTCATGTCTCAATTCAATTTACGGGGCAAGCTTGGCCCACAGTTATGTTTCGGCTATTTAGTTCCGGACATTGGTCCTTGATGCCGCAATTCCTAGTATGGGTTTCCCGGCACTATAATCATTATTATATGTGGGGTACAAGAGCCAGCAGTAGGACGCAGCGCTGCGGATATTGGTAACACTCAATTGGTCTGGATAGTTGGGACGGAACCTCTTGATTGTGGAGTGGTTAGAATGGTTGGAATGGTTAAAGTGGATGGAGTGAAGATAAAATAGAAGTTTTGAAGAGGAAAAGCCAAAAATGCAACAGTGAGGTATAACAGGCTTCGAATACAAAGCTCAAGGGGCCGTCGGTCATTTATAAATGTACTAATAGAATGAGAATGATTACAAGACCAGTCTAAGTCGACCACATAACATAGGTGTTGGTGAACACGGATATTGATACCAACAATTTCGATGCTAACAGAAGACAAAAAAATCATGTGTGATTCCAACAAAGGGGCAAGAAAGAATGACCGACATGAAAGCCAACAAATCTGATGGCAGATGTCCATATGAAGATAACAACAAAGATAGTAGCTATGCTTATGAAGTACGTGAGATCAAGTGCCCATTTTTGACCAGACAAACCAGCGCAAATGATCTAGGGCCCTTTCTGCGGAGCCAACCAACCCCGAGTGTTGGTCTTGTCATTCCAGCAGGACTAGAGGCACGGGAAAGCACTGGTTAATGACAGTGACATATGTCACAGTGGATGATCACCCAGCACCCAATGAGATCTTACGAAGATGAATGGTCAGTCTTCACACCATATTTTCAAGCTCGTCATTTCTTAGCAAGTTTTGAACAGCCCTTCTGCTGCATGCGGTCTTCATGCAGAAGTCAGTAAATCACGGTTATGGACAAAACATCACAGACCTGAGCCTCGATGACACCAACAAAGCTGTTGTCTGGGAGGCGACTGGACAGACCTTTGGCGGCCTTGGCATGGCCTCTTTCTTCGCGTCTTGGTGGTTACGCGGCACAAGGTGGCCATATGGATCTCAATGGTCACCCTCTACATTACTTCGACTTCGACCGCCATTGTTATCTGGACACAATGTATCCTAGTCCGGCACATGTGGGATCCACTGCGCGTTGCAGGGTCTTGTGATATACCACTTACCTCTATTGCCACCCTCGTCGGAGCTCAACAACTCCCACGACCCTGGCTAATGAAACGAGGCTGGAATTTTCCTATTGTAGTGCATTCTTGTCAATTCCTCGTATGCTGCATTCCGTTGCACGTTTATTTGGGCGCTGGATATGCTGAGGCGAGATAACATCACTGTTGCTGGCAGTGTTGGTCTGGATTTCCTGTGAGTGGTGTTACACCAACGTTTTTCATGAAAGCAAGTTGATGGCTACTTATTACCAGAGTGGCTGGCATCATCAAAACAGTGGGAATCACTGGCTTAGACACCATCAATTATACTTCTAAGCCACCGTCAGTGCTAACTTGCCCTTTTTGGGGTGTTTTTGTTTTCTCTCTTTTTCGGTATCCGACTTCGTTTGGTAAGATGAAATAATTTCCTTGACCATTTGGTCTGCCGTCGAGACCATGGCCACAATGGTCAGCATTGTTATCCTCATCATCGGGCTATTATATGAAAGGATCCGAGGCTCGACAAGCCGTTCGTACCAGAAGCAGGGTCAAGGCAGCGATGTGGCACAGTTTGCTAAAGAGCTGCATACAATTGGAGGTAGAGCCATGCCTGTTACAACTGAGGCGAGCGACAGCTCATCCAAATCCAATGGAAGGTAAGGCTTGAGAAGCACCAACAAGGCATCTGCGATGAGAAGCAAGCCAAGCGAGGAAGAAATCTTAGGGCCTGAGTACTAGTGCTACATTTGTGTCATGGACGATGTTCAAGTACATCGTGAATAGGGGCTTGTGTTATGATCGATGGGAATATGTAGCAAGCTGAGTGCACAATGTGGAACTTTGCTATTGTCTAAATCCTCAACATGCTTGATGTGAGTGCAACATACTATATATTAGCGCCGCGTTTTGGGTGCCTCTGATTGGCTTCCCCTATGTATGTCTTTGTCTCACAGGGCTGGGTCAGGGATGCGAGAGAAGGCGAACTCATGGACGGTTTCCTTGATAGAGCAGACAATTTCACAGCTCCCGAATCTGCGTTGTTGAGTAGAGAATAACCTCCTGTCATTGGCTCAAAGCTGTCGAGTTGGTCGCCCAATCCTCGTGTCGTTTACCCGTCGGTATCCACCATAGTCTTACACAAGATATGACCCTCTATGATTTTTAGCTTTAGCTTGGACCAAGCTGCTGCGCGAACCCGCATCGCTTTCTCTACATGTTTCAATGATATAAGTGCCAAGTAAGATGGTGAAATCGGTGATAGGAACGTATCTGGGTCGCTATTAGCCAATGCCCATAATACTCGTACCTTGCATCCTTTCGCTCTCCGCCATGGACGAAATGGAAAGAAGAACACCGGCCCTAACAGAAGGCCATGTCGTCTCTGGGGCTCGGGGGCCTGAGGCTGACCGGTGTTTGGTTCCAACTTGACACAAGAATCACTGGAAGGATGAGCCTCTCTGGTGCAAACTTACGTTTTTACCTGTGAAAGTTGTTCCCAAGACTAAGGCGAGAGATATCAGTGAAACCCCCCTCCACCCCCCAGCCACAATGTCAATAAGAATGACGAGTGCGCACAATCACCAATGTCCTATCATTGTTGATGTGGTTCGATAGGTGTTAGGATGTTGTCACTGCCTCTTACATATATAGCTCACGGTCGTTACTAACTCCCGACCGCCGAAATCAAATTGGATAAGTATGGATCCCAAGTCCAATAGTACAGCCCCGGATTTACCATCCACAAACCCGCGTTTACATTGTTTGGCATAATTGAGAATCAAGGTGTGGCCAGGTAAGTTACGCCCAGCTTGAAGTAGTCTAGCATGCCAGGTGAGGTATGCAAGCGAGTGAGGAATGGCGGGATGCAACAACACCAAGCAAAGACATCGTAGCCCGCGTCGTAGCAACTCATATTGATTATCCATGTTGGTAACTTGCATATTGGTTGGGAAGGAGGATTTGAACTCAATTGAGCGCTCTGTTTATTCACACAGTACGTAGTAGCTCTGCACGGCCATGTAAGTGCGTAAACCGTCTAATTAATCCAGAAAACTCGCAATGGCCGTAGAGTCCGACCTGTTGGAACGAACGGACAGATCATTCTTAAGTCGTTCAATCAAAAACTCGAGAACCACTAACCAATCTGGCAATTCCGCTGCGCTAACCTAACTTCAGCCTAGCCTTATAATCTGCACCTGGATGGATGGCCCTGTACGTGGGGTACCTCAGCGGCCCCGTTCTTGCCTTCCTCCCTCACCCCGCTACCATTGGAAGTGAGTGTGTTAACAGCGGGGTCGGTCGTCCAAATCACAATGCCTAACCCATACCTCCTACTATTGATTACGCCGTTTCCCGACCAGGCGTTTCGTTATGCCACTTTGATACGAGGCCGCCGGCCGTTTCATCCACTATTTGGCTATTTGTAAGGTACTTCTTCAACTAATATATCAACGACAATTGGCTGCTCTTAAGGAGGTAGAGTCATCGATTGGTGGGGTGCAATCGGCCTTGGCTGGCCACGTGGTGTTCTTGTCTCAAGAATAGTGGCTGCCGTGTCTTATTGGTTTCATCTGCATTGATAACAGTGCAGGCTTTGATCAATGTTCAGTACTCGCCTATTGCAAGGCTCAAGCCTACATTTCATGTGGATCGTAGCATACACAGCATATGACTTGCGCGTTTCACTGGCCCATGTCGACCTGCCAACACGGCGTACATGAAGGCTCTCTATGATTGACGGAGCTGGGAATAGTGTGCTTATCAATAAAATCAAACGCAACAGGTAGCCGCTCCATAGGTCCACTCAATACACTCTAACGACCTCCTGGAGAAAACCCAACGCCAGCCAAAGCAATCCAACGGGGTGAGGAAATAGAACCATCATATAGGAAACTCCTTCCGAGATGCCATGTAAACTCCGAGCTCCCCTTGTGCTTATGACCCAGCCGTGGTAAAGTCAAGGTTAGAGCCGTGTCGTTCGGGGCTCGTAGTATGTTCAACCGTCCATCCGTCCAGAGTACGCCGCCTGGTGTAAAAACAGTCCCTCGTCATCAACATACACTGTCCTTTCAGGAAGTGCCAATAGCCGAAACCAGACGCCATGGAGTTGAAGTGTTTCGGGGTATGTTCTCGTGAGAAGTCGAGTCTAGAAACGCAAACCAAATATCAAGTCCGCGATTGCGCTCCTTACTTGGGCAGCATGTTCTTGACCTCCTCTTCGCTCAGCAGAATCTCGTGCACCGGCTCCCGGCGGTTTTCTAGCGGTGTGTAATCGCAGTCGACGTAGGAGGGGAGGAAGATTTCAGGATTCCATGCAAACCCTTGGCTCGAGGAGAGATAAGAGATCTGCAAGTCAGGCGATCAGTTTGGTCAAACTTGGCTTTGTTGCATTGGGTGGAGTCAACTCACCAAACGAGGCGGTCCATCCGGATCACCGATGTTGATGACGGTGCATTCGTCTTTGCAGAAGGCATCGCCTAGGTAGAAGGTCAGCAAACGAAATACCGAATCACATAGGGTAATCTTGAGGTGCGTCATACTGAGAAGACTGGGTCGGCGTTGGTGGGCCATCTTCGACTTGTGACTTGATTGTGACGGTGAAGGCATGCCATGGCCTGATGTTTGCGGGGAGCTCGAGTACGAGGAGGATGAAGAGCTCGTGGTGGCCTTGGGGCTCTTCTCGTAGCTGGAGCCCGAGGGACGAGCATTCGGAATGACAATCGTCGATGACATGGTTGCAGATCACGGGCAAGGCTTCACTCGGCGATGGGACGGATCAGCTGGTACAGTGAATAGGTTAAGCAGGCGTGCGCAACGATAAGAGAGTGCGGGCAGTGACCAAGAAGACGAGCTGCAAGAGAATGAACTAGGAGGCTGAGACCACAGACAGCTCTGAGATACGAAGGGAAAGTTTCCTACATTTGACGAGGCGGAACATGCAACAGAAGGGACGATTGGCCTTGAGCCACCTCAGGCAGTTGGGAGTTTGGAAGGCAGCCAGCCAGCCAAGACCCGAGACGCAAGTGGCAACAGTTGGACCGCCTGCGGTTGAGGTGATTCCACTGGACTGATCAAGTGGCTGGGCCAGTGCGAAATTCAGCTCGATGTGACGCATCCGTCAGTCGCTCAGGCCAAACAAATGAACTAATGATGCTGGACTTTGCCTGAAGGGTGCTGTAGAGGTGCCTCGGGGCTTTGGGGCTCGACCGTGTGAAAGACTGTGTAGTATTAGCTGAAGACGGAAGGTACACCCCGCCGACAGGGCGACACACAGCTGCGGGTTGTTGCAAGCATTGGGCTGTATTGGGGGACTTCTCCATGCGAATGGCACAGTGCATTCGAACAGGGATTGAACGGTCGTCCAAATGGCAATCGGGCGATACCGGAGTTGGTCCTCCCGTGGCTGGAGTTGCATCACCACAAGTCACTAGCTCGAGTGCAGCCCCAAATTCAGGGTGCTGCCTGCTCCACTATTTATCAGCTGGCTAACGGCTGAAAAACACTTTAACAGCCGGCATCCACTCTCCCATCTTATTTCCCAACGTACTTACCTAGAATGCCAAGACCCGGAAGGCTGCAAGGCTGGCGTGGTGTGCCCAAGCTAGCAGCTATGTGAGCTGACTGACCATTCAAACCCGTGTAGCAAACGCAACTTCATCACAAATTCCATCTCCATTCGCCATCAGTCACGAACCCGCCAGAACCATCACTACGCGACGTGATACAAAAAGGACCAATTCGACCTTTATTGACCTTACCATCTGCGAAGAATCCTCAAAATGGGCGACGTCCTCGTAGAGAACCCGGCCAATAGCGTGCATCCTCACAGCAAGGCTCTCCCTTCCAACATCCCCAACGTCGAGACGATTGAAGGTTTGCCGTCATCAGGAGGAGATGAATATGCCACATTAAAGAAGTTGCAACGGCATCTGGAGTATATCCAGTTGCAGGAGGAGTACATCAAGGATGAGCAGAGAAGCCTGAAGCGCGAGCTGGTGCGCGCGCAGGAGGAAATCAAGCGAATCCAGAGTGTGCCTTTGGTCATCGGACAGTTCATGGAGGCAATCGACCAGAAGTATGCATCTCTGTGATAGAGCTATCGTATACGCAATAAACTAATGTGGTTATAGCACCGGTATCGTTCAGTCCAGTACAGGCTCTAACTATGTTGTCCGAATCCTGTCCACCCTCGACCGCGAGAAGCTCAAGCCGTCTTCCTCCGTCGCCCTCCACCGACACTCAAATGCCTTGGTTGACATCCTGCCACCAGAAGCTGACTCTTCGATCGCCATGCTGGGTTCCGACGAGAAACCCGACGTGACGTACGCCGATGTTGGTGGTCTGGATATGCAGAAGCAAGAGATTCGGGAAGCAGTCGAATTACCGCTGACCCATTTCGACCTCTACAAGCAGATTGGTATTGACCCACCCCGTGGTGTGCTCCTCTACGGGCCTCCCGGAACTGGCAAGACCATGTTGGTCAAGGCTGTCGCCAACTCAACAACCGCCAATTTCATTCGGGTCGTCGGTTCCGAGTTTGTGCAGAAGTACCTTGGTGAGGGTCCTCGTATGGTGCGAGATGTCTTCCGAATGGCTCGTGAGAACTCCCCGGCTATCATCTTCATTGATGAGATCGACGCCATTGCCACCAAGCGATTTGACGCGCAGACTGGTGCCGACCGAGAAGTTCAGCGTATCCTGCTGGAGTTGCTGAACCAGATGGACGGTTTCGACCAAACGGCCAACGTCAAGGTCATCATGGCGACGAACCGTGCCGACACACTGGATCCTGCCCTGTTGCGACCTGGACGTCTAGACCGAAAGATCGAGTTCCCCAACTTGAGGGATCGCAGGGAGAGACGTCTGATTTTCAGCACGATTGCGAGCAAGATGAGCTTGGCACCCGAAGTTGATCTCGACAGCTTGATTACGCGGAATGATCCTCTCAGCGGTGCCGTCATCGCTGCCATTATGCAAGAGGCTGGTCTCCGAGCCGTGCGCAAGAATCGGTACAACATCATCCAAGTTGATTTGGAGGACGCGTATTCTGCCCAGGTCAAGGCATCGACCGACGAGAACAAGTTCGACTTCTACAAATAAACGAGGAACGTTGTTCGTGCTTGGCACAGGACGTGAGTTCTGTGGGGTTACAGTGGGAGTCACTTCTCCCTTAGAGAATGGGGACTGCCCACCGCTGGTGGTGTTTAATTTGGCCAGGAAGGATATCATAAACGGCCTTGATCGGCTCAAGTCAAAGAGGCTGGCGCTGGTTGGCGAATTGCACACTGTACTATAGCTATCAATGAAGAAGGAGTTTGCAGCAGACTCGTCGTTGTTGACCAACCTACTCAAAATAGCGTCAAATAGATGATGACATATTTGTTCTCTTCTGATAGAACTCGTAGTATTTGGGAAAAATACATACCGTGTGCAATGGGCTGGTAGGTAGCTAGGTTCGCAAATCATGTTTCTCTTGGCAGGGTACCGTCAGAATAAGTGTCTTAACGACGAGAAGGGGATACGAAGACGGCAAAGAACCTACCTGCCTGTCCTTGGGTCAACCAAGCCATATCGCAGAATACAACACTTGCAGGTATCTATCTCACATTGCTATTAGCGACAGACAGCAGTTTCGATTTCTACCTCACGATCTATCCCACTTGTGAGCAGCCCGAGGCGTTGTTTCTCGTCCGTCCAACGCAACGTGTGGGTAAATCAACGGATATGTAAAACTCCATGGCTCGAAGTCACCGGGTACAGTGATAGCACCTCCTTTATCTCTAAGTAAGCGTACGCCATCGCACTTTGCGATGTTCATTGGGCCCACCGACCCCACTGCTCGACTACTGGCAGGATGAAGCCCTTCGATACTACAAACCGCCCCATGAAAGACCGGTAGGTGCGTGAAGGTAAGCACTACAATAGGCGTTATCTGGGTCTCACATCCGACTTCGGCACCTTCCCCATCAACCCTGAGATGTCCCAGAGCGTGGTGAGGACGATGATGGCGGCTTATCACGACAGGTCGTCCAGATCCGACTTCGGCGCAGCGAGCTTAGCGGCCACAGATATCCTATCTGAGGGCATACCGTAGTCAGTCACACAGGGAACATATATAAGTCTCCCAGGACCAACATTTTCTCCATGCGGTCTTACCAGAAGTATTTTGCCTCGAAATTCTTGTCTAACAATCGCTAATCTGCGGAAGGTGGTATGTTTCCGCCTGCAACTCGCCTTTCATTCTTTATCTACGCTCGATAGAACCCAATGCTTGCTTGCTCAATCATCTATAGCAACGTTCGTTCGACATCCATCCCATCCCATCCCATCGGGTCATAACCATGACCCGTTATCTATCGTACAAAATTTGGCACTCGCTCACTCTCTTCTAATCGTGACATACCTCTCTCTTCCCCAGAAAGGCTCCAAAAAGCCCCATACCAGCCCACCTGCCTAGGCCACCATATCTATCTCTTTCTAAATGACGCTCATGTGAATGAAGCATATTGTCGACTCATACTTTTTTGGGGGCCAGTTGTGCACTTGCTCTAGAAAGCAAAATGTGGATCAAACATCAAGCAAGAAAAGAAAAGTCCCGCGATACTGCGTGGTGTTGTACAACGGGATAAGCTGAGGGCGACCTGGTGACAGGCATTCAGCAAAATAAGGATGGGTATCGTTCTTCTTGGTGTGCAACTCTTTTCAGCCTGGGTATCTTGTTGTGGGTATATCCTCCACTGTTCACTGGTGGTGTTGCAACTCTTCTTCCCCTAATCTCACGTCGTCATTATCATTATCTCGTGTGCTCATGATCCAAGCACCACGCCTAACTCGAGCAAAAGCGTCACGAACCGCGCGTGCAGCTCAATGAAGAAATCAGGTAAGCCGACCAGCTCAGCCAGCCCACGGGCCTTGGGAGCAAACCCGCCAGGTCCCATGGATCCGCCCATGCCCATCCTGTTTATGAACCCGGCTCTGCTACCACCACTCGTCAGGAAACTGCTCCCGCTATCTCGATCACGCTCTCGCTCGCGCTCGAAACTGCCACCACCAAGCCCGAGACCGACGCCGCTGTCTCGGGGCCCCACCTCACTGTACCCACCGCCAAGTGCGCCGAAGGGCGAACCTTCCGCTTCGCGCTCGCGCTCACGCTCAGCTTCAGCCTCAGCAAGGTCCTGGATCCAAGTCGCTAGGTCGCGGAATGCGGCGGCAACAAACCCGAACGCCTTCATGGCAAGGCGTTCGCGGTGAGTGCTGAGCGCTAGAAAGGCATATACCCGCTTGCGACCGCGGGCGTGCATATCTGGGATGCGGAAGATGTAGGCCGTCGTGTAGCCGGTCAGGGGATCACCGAAAAAGATGGGACCGCCAGCTGCAGCAGATTGCGGTGTGGCCGGCGCACTTATGTAGGCGGGGTTGGTGGGTATTGATGGCGATGCCGATGACGGTAGAAGAGACGGCACAACACTCGAGATGGGACTACTCAGTATCGATGCGTTCCCCGGGCCGTACCCATGCTCGGGGCGACGGGGAAGCGTCTCGCAAGAGAGGGTCCGTAGGCATGAAGCACGCACTGTAGAATAGGTGTTGGCGATCTGGGGCTCGTGGGTGCTAGTGTAGTCTAGGTAGTGGGTATGTGTGTTGACGCTCGACTTGGAGGAAATACTGGATTGTGAGGTCGAGGTCGTGGGGCGGCGATGGGAAGACGGTCGAGTCGTAGTATTGGTGGGCGACACATCGTCTTCCGTGTCAGATGCACATGACGACTGCGGATTTGAGTTGGGCGGACTCATGTCACCACTGCTGCCCCCATAGACGCGAGCGTATGGCGCGCGGGTTCGCAATGTTGGTCCCCGCTGTTCGCCCTTGGCATCGGCCGCGGCCTTCTTGTCTTTGCTGTCTTGACGCTTTGGCAAGGTGAGGGCACAGTTTTGGCAGGGGTTAGCGCGCTTCGTGACATAGTCGTCGTATGTCCGGCGGAAACTTGAGTCGCGACGGGGGCCGTTGGGCTTGTCGTTGCTCGTTTCTGTTGGGTTTCCGGGGCTCTGCGGCGGCGTCTCTATGGCGGAAGCCGTAGTTGGAGATGCAGCTGTCGCGGGCTGCGCTGCTGCCATCCTGGAAGCTCGTCGGATGGCTGAACGGTGTGCTTGTGCTTCTTGTTCTGTGGCAGGCAGACTCGAGCTGCGCGACGAGTGGAGCGTCATCTTGCGCAGGGCATCCGCCACGGATGGAGGTTGCATTGCGGTCGCACTCGACTGTGGCCGGTCTTGTTCTATCGTATCATCGTAACATCGTGAACAGGGCACTGGAAGACCCTCAGTCACCATAAGCGGTGTGGGTCCGTGGAGATCGCAGTAATGCGCCAGGCATAGCTGAGTTTTAGACGTCAGTAACGGGTTTGAACTCGTCATCGGCGTTCGTCTGTGTGTGACCACCATGTTGGGCTGGGGCCACCTGTATATCAGGGCATGATAGGAGGAGCACTGTCTAAGGGGGACGGGGGGAGGCGAGCAAGTTAAGAGAAAAAAATCGAAAAAGAAAAAGAAAAAGAAAAAAAGTGAGGCTACAAGACTTATAGGAGAAGTCAAGAGTCAGGTGCGCCCGCAAGGTTCGCAGTTGGGTTGGGTGCCAACGGACTGTTGGATCTGAAGCAAAGGGATAAGAGATCAACACATCAAGATGATGAAGTTGGGCAACAAATACTATGTCAAACAGATGGTATTTGAGACGCGACAACCTTGAGAAACGTCACAGCTGCGCAAGGGGGGAGGTTTCGTGAAGTAAGGCGAGTCAAACGTGAGTGTAGTGTAGCAGTTGTGGCGATTATGGCACTCGACCCTTCCGCCTTTTTTAGGCTGAGCGCCTCGCTCCGTGCCGGGAGATGAGCTGATAAATGACAGGTGCAAAGGTGACATTGCTGACATCCATGGATGTTGCGCGTGGGTGCGGGGGGACACTGGCTCTGGATGTTGGGAAGCCGAGGCGGTGAAGGAGCTACACGGGGAATGCAAAGAATACAAGTTGAGACAAATCAGAAGGTCCCAAATGTAGCGAAGGTTACTCACTATGGAAGTCATGACGTGGGCGGCCAGTCGCAAGGCTTTGTCTCTGTCAAACGCGATCCAATCCCACTTTCACCCCAAAAAGATGCCCGATTCCCCTGCACCTTCTTATCTGGTTATCAGATTAAACGTTGATAGTCGGAGGAGGATAGCGAAATTATTATGCTCGTTGCCAGTTGCACAACAAAACAAGGTGCGCCCGTGTGCAGGGTGTAGTAAATGGGTATTTGTCGTTGGGAATTTCCGTTATTAACAGCCAACGTGATTCGGGGCCCAATATTCTGAAAGGTGGAAGGCGGAAGACACGGGATTTGACAAGTTCCTTTCGTTGGCTCGAGTTTGGTTTGTTGTTTGGCTGATTGGCTGCCCTTCCGGCTTACTCGTTCCTTCCGGTTGGAAAGAGATGAATGGGCTGTCGGTGGTGCAAGGTAGGAGTGCAGCTTGCCAGTAGCTCGAGGTAAGCTGCACAGCACAACACCCAGCAGGCCAAAGGAAGGACCTTCTTGTTTTTAATGTACGCGGCGTGCTTTTCCCTCGACCTCCACTGCTTGTTAACTACTCTCTGCTAATTGCTCCGAATCCAAGGAATCCCCTTGACCTGACTCCTGCCAAGTGGAGTGCAAGAGTGGCTCCCGACCGTTTTAGTGTCCCGTGTCCAGGTCTTTTACGGAAGGTCCAGGCAAGGCGGACGACAATGATCCAGGCGACAGCTCGATGTTGATCGGGTACCAACGACTCGGTGCTAGACGACCCACAAATCGAGGGCTGCGAGATTCATCGTAATGGGTCCCCGGTCCTTTGTGGGTGCTTTGTACGTAACAACGACGCTGCTGGTTGGTGAAGTCGGTGTTTGGGAAGAGAAGAAAGAAAAAAAAGTAAATAAAGGTCGAATGGGTGAGTAGAGTAGATTAAAATTAATGTCTGACTGCCGGATGCCACTGGACTGGGCAACCCGTCGCGGGTCTTATCAAATCTTTCTAGAGGTTCAGAGGCATGTGATGGGGAGCTAGATTTGACTCTCTCTGAGCAGTAGTTTGCATTGGTTGGTGCATGCGATCGTGGTTGAAGGCGTCGGGGTAGTTGACTTTAACTTTTTGTGTAAGTGAACCGGCTCAAACCGAAGACGAGTTGCATACTAGTTGGTTCGAGAGGAGGGGGGTTCACAACTCAAGCACTGCTTTAGAATTGGTAACTGAAGGTACAGGAGGGGCTGTCATAAGCTGCTGGGAGGTGGATGCATGTCGAATTAAGTACCTAGTTGGTATGAAATGAAGACACATGCCTGTTCACTGACGATACGCGCAATAATCTCACTTCCCGTAGGATCAGCAACGGGTGCGGCAACGTGCACCCAGGTGTGCATACCCCGTACATATCTCATCTGAACCGTCATCGCAGAAGTTCTGGGGAGTCTGGGGAGACCCAGGTCGCAGTCGGAGGGAGTGCGTATAATCTCGAGGCTGGGTTCTGGGGTGAAGGGGTTCGGCTCCAGACTCAAGTTGAGACTCATGAAATGACTTCAGGAAAATCTCGGGATGGCTTCAAACGCGACTTCTCAATCGGGATATCTCTCCGCGCCCAGTTTGAGCATCTACGAGATAGTCGACAAGTCGACAGGGTCGGACTGATCCGACGACCAGAGATGGAGCATGGATCCAAAGTTTCTCCAGTCGTGGTTGGACACGCAATACCCAGAACGGTACAGACGGTAGGGGTCCCGGATATGGTTACGATAATTCCTGAATAATGATGAGCGTTGTGAACATCGCCGATAACCGGCCCTTTGAAGATTACCTCAAAGTACTTATACTACGCTGTATTGAGAAACACCGTTGATGATGATCCGGGGTTTTGTATTTCCAGCCCTGGCTGCCTCGCTTATTTCATTTCCTTGTGTCGGTCTATGTCTATGCGATACGCAACAGAATGACCCCACCATAGGATTCGATTCGCCGTGGGATTTTAAAGTTCCCCGCTCAATTGCCGGACGAATCCTCCGCACCGGTGTTTGTTCTTGCTGGTATTGAGAGACAAGGAGGAAGATTCGAAAGCCTGTCATCGTCGTCAACGGCTTCATGCCGGCGCCCTTTACTGCTAGGTTTCGAGAGGTGGTACCTTCCATGGCCTCCTCAGCGCCATGCAGCTCCAACTGCCGCGCTTGAGTACGCCCCACACAAGCTTTCTCACCGGCTTACTTTCGCACCTTCTCATCTTGTGTCATTGGTTCGTCGATGGATGTCTGGCTTTTGGTGTCACCCATCCTCCCCTTCCAGAGATGATCTGGGTTTCATTCCAAGAACCCAAGATGACACTACAACAAACCCGGCTTGCCCGGGATTTCGGGCACTTTCGAGGACATATGGATATTCGACGGTCTGTCGTTCAGCCGCCGGAAAACCACTTGGCAGGGGTCTCCAGCTTATTGTCTTTCAATGTTGCGCTTCGTCAAGCCGTCAACTTAACCACGGATGAAAGGAAACTGCGACTGTAAGTTGAATGTCCTTACCATTGCCGGCTGGGCTGACAACAATACTAAGGTAGGTTGCAACTCCTACGTTGGGAGGTGGCCCACCTTCCTTGACCAACAGCTCGTGCCAAATTAGCGAGCCGCAACATGCAACTGCAGTCAGCACAATGGGAGGCATTGATTGCATCACGTCCATCATCAAAATATTTTGCGCATTAATTAAAAGCCTACTCACCGCCTGTAGTACTATTTCAAGGGTCTTCCATTCGAATCTCTCATCCTGTGTGTTGAAACAGGGCTAATCCACGCTACTTCGTGCCGTTGCAGATATTTGATGGGTCTCAGCATCCTATTTTCTCCGTCAATCAACGCAGTTCCTCGCGAAGATCATAAAAATCCAGCTCACTAACAAGCCCTCCACACTTTGGGAAGTGATGATTCGTACTTCATACTCCATCTCGACAACTCCGATATCAACCGTATATGCTCATTTCGTTTGCGCCGATCAACTCGAACCGAATTGCCGGCTTAGCTCTTCTAACCAATGCATCCGCAGCCTCCACCTGCTAAGCCAAAACTTTTGTCTCCAGTTGCATCTTATGGGTGTCATCTGCTCGCATACGGGTCACAAAATAACCGGCGCAACGAAAGAAGGGATCGTACTGCGCTAGCTCGATGTTCCAACGTATTACAGCTGACAGAACGTAGTTATTCCACCTGGTGCGCCGTTTATTTGTCATGCATCGCCTAGCTGTCGATAGTCGATAGTTGCGGCTCCTTTGGTAATAACCTTCTTGCCAAGGGACAAAGCCGTTGCAAGGTTCCGGCCTGTTCAACCGCAAGCCTGTCATTGGTCAACCAGGCAAGGACAATCCATGGATGCATTGATGAGCGTTCGTCCTCAAATGCACATGGTTCTTCAAGGATGCAGAACATGCATCTCTGGAGCCCAACCGCTGGAGAGAATGTCACCTTCGGTGCAACCAGCATCGACTTCCGTTTGGGGCCCTGACCAGCCTAATGGTCTCTAGGTCACCCTCGACATGCAGTTACTCGGTCGGCTATCTTCAGGGCCCCTTGCTTCTTGCGGTCCAATCAACACGCGAGGGCAAGATCCGGGGAAGACCCGTTTTGGGCAAGGCCTATGGTGTACACGACACGTGGTTGACACGGGCAGATGCAACAGTGCGCCCGCCATGGAACACAAAGGACCAAAATGACACTATGCTCGCGAGATTGCCATCCCTATTTCTCCAACCGGTCTCACCGATGACTCGCAAGGCGCCACTGTTACATATTCCATCTATTTTCCGTACGTGTGGCAGCCGTGGAGATGCATACGAAATGTCTCACCGACCTTGTCAGGGGGGGCCGGGCTCGCACAGATGGCGATGATGATACGACGAATGATCAGCTTCCAGAAGGCTGGCCGCCCATGTCTTTCGGGATAGTGGTTGGATGTGCTTGTTGGGCTATGCCATTGATAACAACTCAGCCGATCCGGCCTTCGTCCCGCTTCTCCACATGTTCTCCCAATGTACTATGTACTATAGTGGTACAACTGCTTCCCTGAGATCACAAAGGTTCATCCAATATCATGTGCGCTCCGATATTTGCGGCAAGAGGTACGCTGTGTCAATCAAGGCACCTAACTCAAAGTGTCTAGCCGCGGCGTACGTCAGAAGACCCGACTCAGTGTTTCATGGGACTTGGTACGAGTAAGGTATGAACAATAATGTCGTCACAGGGCTGTCAAAGATTGACAGGTCTCCGACCCGAAGGTGCTAAACCCCGACCCCTGCGCTCGGCATCCTTCAAGTCGGGCCTATCCGGGGTTTAGAATGCATGCGGGTCGAACATGCTGACTCGCCAGCTGCTCATTAAATGCACAAATCATGATGATCGTGATTCGTGCATTGCTTATTAGGCCATAAGTCCACCACCTCGGTACCATCGGCCCTCCCTGGTCGAGGTACCCCGGACGAGAGCCTCGGTCAGTCAGTCCGCACAAGGTCGCGGGGTCAACTGCCTCGGATGTCAACATCGCGAACACAAATTGGACAAGGTCAAGTTCGGAAAGGAATATCAACCCACACATCGGTTTGGTACACCTCTCCTAGGATCTTCACTGTCAGTGCGACACAGCCCCATATAACCCCACATTTCCTCTGCTATGTCACTTGCATACATTTTTCTATGAGGAGTACATTTCCTCATCGATTCTTCTACCGTTGTTTTCGATCACCTTTCTTAATCTCTCCAGCATCGACGTTGCTACTCTCGCTAGAAAGTCTTCTAGCACAGCTTTCTAGACGGCGTATAGAGCCGGGTTTAAGCCCTCAAGACTGAAGTTTGAAGTTTGCAATAGTGCTACAGCTAGTCCTTTATCTAGAACTATACGTTCTCAATCGGCAATAAGTTAGGGCTCTTCGAGGGCTACTTTATCGTCTCAAGCGTAAATGGCCTAGGCTACTGGAGTATTTTTTTAGTCTATACGCCCGGGTTATTATCCTATTTGAAGACAATGAATCAAATTACTCGACGAGAGGTAGTATATTATTAATATATTTCTCGGCGTTAATACCTCCCTGTAAGGAAAGAGCCGTTGTGGCGGGCCGGTCTCAGCTGACAAGCTGAGTCGGGAGGGATTCGCCCCCGATCCGGTAGAACCCCGGAACCGCCTAGCTTAAGAGGAGAACTCGAGACGCTCGCACCTAGTTTAGATTCTTCAAGAATCAGTCTTGCAATATACGCACCCATACATACACTGGCCTACTTCTAGCTACCCTTTGCGCTACCTGACTATTATATTGTAAGACGTGTGGTATCCTCGTTCCACTCCCTACTTTTGCACTATTCGAATAGAGGTCCTTCCGTCGACTACGAACAAAAACCTGAATTATCGAGCTACACCCTTTATTTCTGTCACGACCTGGGTTGCATCGCATTGGTATAGACCTCGATTAGGTGCTATCGACGAAGATTCTACTCTAAGGAGCGAAGGAAAGAAGATGACAACTTAGGTTTGAGGGAGCGCGACTAAGTCATCCACGCTTGGCGGGGCTCCTACAAGGGTTATGATTGGCTTTCCATCTGACACTGCCATGGCAGGTGTTCCAGCTGTAAGTCACCTGGTTGTAGTGGGTCTGCGAGGGTTGACCTTCACAATTTCTGAGTAGGTTACACTCATTGACGTTTTTTATTTCGTAGATAGTGACGTGGGGTTAGGGTTTTTGGGTGCTCGTTTTCGTTTTTTCCGGTTTCAGACGAGTTATGTAAGCGCGTTCTTGAAGGGTATTTAAGACCTTATGTACATAGTCACTCTCTTGAGAAAAAGATAGGAATTCAAGCGGCCTTTTCCACAGTAATCTGAACCAATTTCTCTTTACTTGGACAGGCATTCAATGTCTGACGTACCTGTTGAGGTACTCTTGTTGCCCCTATAGATCTGATTGTGCCTGCTGAGGCCATTGTTCCCACCTTTCACCTGTTGAGGTGATTGTTCAAGGACCTGTTGAGGCTCCTTTTCTTCTCTAGCCTGCTGAGGCTCCAGTTGTTAGTACCTGTTGAGGTACTTGTCGTTTCAATCAGGGCAAAGAGCTCTTGATCTTGTTAATTCTTTCCACCTCCCGGATAGTAAGGTCTTGTTGAGGATCTTGTTGTCCGTTGCCATCATCATAACACCTTGAACCTGCGGGTGGTTTCACTGCCCGTCGTCAATAGTAATACATGTCTTCTATATTATATTCATATAAGCCTAGTACTCGTTGGAGAAAGCTATCGGCTTGACGTTATTATATAGCTAATTTCTTTAAACGTAGCTATCGCTGAAGAGCTTTACTAGCAAAGTGCTTACGCTCTTATATATACTAGCGTGTAAAATATATTCATCAGCGACGTATATGTTGTGTATCGCCTACTATATTCAACGGTTAACATAGTTATATACGTGAGAGGCGGCGTAGATGTAACAGTAGATACTGTATAAGGGGAGGCCAGGCACGATCGTCAATTCCTAACGCCAGTAGCAATTAGATACAAAGAAGGAAACCGGCCCCTCCAAGTTGCCTTGGTGCCTTGAGCACTATTTGAGGGTCCCAGAAGGTTTTGTTGAAACGCCATATTCTAGCTTGTGACAATAGAGTATTATCTCTTCTACTTGATGTTATCTAAATAGCTAGTAAGGTTCCGAATATGCTATACTTATAACTTATAACTTATACTTATACTTCAGTGAAGTAGTTCTAGGAATACCATTCGCGATATATTTCACTACATAAAAATATATGACGGGATACATCGTACTAGCATGGCCAAGCATGGCCAATCGATGTGGGGGCTGCATCGCACTAACAGAGAAGATCCTAGCAGAAGTGTACTTTGGCAAAAGCTAGGGATTCTTAACTCATCGGAAGTCCGTACTCGCATTGATGTGGTAACGCTCACATCTCCCTCTCACTATGGCTGGCATATGCTTCCCTACAACTGTCATTAACAATTTCTGCCTCATTAATGCGTACAATATGCATCCGTATTTTCATCTTGGTCTGCCTAGTAGTCGCAAAAACACATAGCCTGTCTTGGATGGAACGTTCGAGGGCAACCCAATGGCTCGAACGGGAGTGTGTCCAAGTATGTATCTTGCGTTCTGTGAATAGGCAAGAACGGCAGTTGTAACTCGATACTTTCGCATTACACCACCATAATACCATCGTAATCCGCAAGCAAACCGTCACTTAAAGTGCGTAACAGGCCTCGCCAACCTCACCCCATCGAGCTCAATATCCACCTGCTCATTGTAAAAACACAGGAGTCCCGCCACCGTGGCGCTCTCCAGCGTCGGTGCCCTGTAATACCAAACCACGTCCTTAACCACCATCTCCGCCTGCCTCTCCCCTTCCCCGATCCCCCGCGGTAAAACAACATCATAGTATCTCGCCTCCCCCTTATACGGACACTCGGTCCTCGTGTCGCTCTCCCTCAACCATGCCAGATTCTTGACCGAAGTCAAGGGGACATAATACCGCACCGGTAAACTCGTCTCATACAGATGGTGCGAGGTGGTCGTGGACGCCACCAGCGTCCCGTCGATGAAGACACGAACCAGCCGCGTCGAGGGCACAATGTCAACCCGCTTGAACGGGTCCTTGGGATGTACATAAATCCTCATATCCTCCTCGAACCACGCGTCCGCCACTGAGAACTCGACTCGCACCATATTGGCCAATTCCTCCCTTCCCTCCGGCAAGTGCTTCCTATCCCCAAACAGCAAGATGCGGTCCGTTGACCGCCGGCCCACATTGAGCTTCACTACCGACACGGGCGCCGATACGCCGGCTGAGGAGTCATTGCAGTCTTCGCCAACGGTTGAGACGTGAGAATCATCGGGATTGATTAGGTAGGTGGAGAGGAAAGAGCGCAGCGGGATGTAGTAGTAGGGGTAGTGAGGATGTTCCCAGAGGTAGAGCGCGGTGGTGGTGTCGGCGACGTAGACGCCGTTGAAGAGGATCCGGATGCGGCGGGGCGTGGGGAGCGTTTTCACGGGGCCTTCTTTGAGGAGGCGGTTGCCGAGCTCCAGGAGATCGGGTTTGGCGACGGGGCTGGCCATTTTGTTATGTTTCCTAACAGGGCTTGAGGTATCTCACTTGAGTAAGGCTGGCATTATTGGAAATACCAGTTTGGAGTTCAGAGAGTAAGTAAACACATAAGAGCCTTAATACTCATTGAGTCCAAAGGTATTGTCCCGTATATATCATCCACCGCCATCAGTATCTGACATGCAACAATGCATTGTTCGGCCGAGATGTCACGTCAGAAACTGTAGGTTAGACATCACCCGCATAGGCTTCTGTGTAGATTGCATGAGCTGAGGCGGGGTAGATGTAGATGCGGCTTTGTATATTCGTAATAGATAACTTTATAATTGATAGTTCGTCAGCACCGTTTAGAGTATCTGCAGGACACAATAGAAAGACTCGGTTCCGCCATATTCTCGGCAAATCGTGGTCCCAAATTACAAATTGTCCGACGGTGCTTGTCCCCTAAGTGAATCATGTTCGGTGTTTGCACCACCAAATGAAAAGTAGTGCTCAAGGGAGCATTAATTCGGAAACACGAAAAGGATCGTACACTACCAAACTCGGAGTCCAATTGCTCCGTCTAATATCTATTAACGTAGTGGGTATCTCAAATGATCCATTGCCTTCTTCACCCTTGCCTGCCTGCCTGCTTGCTTGCTTGCATCTGCAATAAACTCAACAAAATACCATGCCCTGGAAACCCGGCGAGCCCTCTCTCCATTTTACAACGCATACTCCAGCAAATGCAACACCAATCCCCTCCATACTGATTGCTTCGCCATGTCATGCCCGCATTAGAAATGCCGCTTCCACCCTATTTTCTGCTCTCCTCCACCAATCACAATATGGGTTCCGTGCAGCTCTGTCCATGCAACTGGAGCTCTCTTGCCATGCTGAGATAACGTATAACAAGCTGTATCCCAATGGCACTGATCCCACTGGAACCATCTCTGCGTGAAATGACTCCGTCCCATAATTACCATATACCCTGCATCTTACAAAAATACACGCCTGTGATGAAATAAATCCATCAGAGACTTACGAGAACCCATGCTGATGGACCTTCTCCAATTAGTTCCCTGAGTTACAGGATTACACGTGCACAACGGAGCTTTACTCCTCCACGAACGGATCATGGCCGACCTCGAGTCTCTTAGCAGCCGGCTCGTCCACGGAGTCCTCCACACCGTACTTCTCCATCCATTGCTTGCGGAGAACCTGGTATATGAACAGAAACTGCGGCTCGGACTGCACCATCATCTTGCGCTGTTCCCGGAGCGCGTTCACCGTGTCAAAGACTAAATCGGCCGCGTCCACCTCGTGTGTCTCGTCGTACCGCTCGAGGTCGCCGGACTCCACCTCGCGCATCAGGTGCTCTAACGCAATGAACGTGCCGCTGCGGCCGACACCCGCGGAGCAGTGGACGATGCGCGGATTGCGTTCGCTTGCGTTTTTGGCGCGCGAGAGGCGCATCAGCTCGAAGAAGGACTCGATGTCCTGCAAGGCGGGCACGCCAAAGTCGGGCCATCGCTTGTATAGGAGGTGCCAGACTTCCATGTCGTCGTCGCGCCCGTCGATGTGTAGATTTAGTTTCCGCATCTCGATTGCGCCGTCTGCCTTGTCCTCGACGTTGACGCACTTAACTTGCCCGCGAAAGCCGTCCTCGAATTCGTCGTCCTCGCCAATCTCCATGGTCTCGTCCACGGCGTGGGGGAAGTAAGGGTAACATTTCTCCAGGTTGTTCTCGTGCGTTTCGGTGAGCATGACGACGACGGCTGGACTCTCGAGCTGTTCGGATACCATGCGCCACACGTGCTCCGCAGTGTGTACCCTCGGCCCTTGCATGGCGATGTATATGTGTGGAGGTCTGGCCTCGGCGTCCAACGGCGAATTGAGTACAATCGGCGACGCGTTGATGTAGTCGACGGCGCCTTCGGGGACGCGCAGCTTGACGCGGTTGTTGTCCCAAGGCTGGATATTCGCATACCGGTCGAGGGTTCGGAAGGCTGGGTCGGGACGCGCATACTTAAACGTTGGTGACGGATTCGTCATGGACTCCAGCATTCGTTCGCGCTCCAGCCAGACAATATCGGTGTACTTTGCGAGTATGTCCTGTTCCGACATGGCCAGGAAGGCGGGGATCTTGAACGGCTCCCTTGCTTTTTCCAACCCTACCCTACCACCGGTATCCTTGTGAGGAGACATCATCTCGTGTTCCACTGTTCCGTCATTTTTAACAACGGCAGGTGAAGACGGCTGCGGAAGCGAGGCTGGCGCGGGCGAGCGGGCACGCTTGTGCGAGGAGCGGAAGTGGAAGCCACGGAACTTGGAGGGGTTCAGGGGCGACTTCGGAGGAAATATGCTGTGGTTGCTCTGGCTGCTATGGCTGGAGCGCGGCGGCGTAGTCGTGGGAGTGATAGAAAGAACGGGAGGCGAGTCAGTAGAAGGCCGAGGAGCAAGTCTACTGTCAGCCGATGTTCGCGCGGAAACAGGTGTTGGTGCAGGCGACAAGGCACCTTTCCTGCTGGTGCGCCGAAAGCGCGAAGAGATGTGGTCCATTGTAGTCGGGCGTTGTGGGCGCACGGGTGTGTAGGGACTGGTGGTGATGGTGGGTTGATACGCGACGGCGATGGTCGACGGACGGAGTGTGGTGTGTCAGTGGAGAGAGTACGTGGTCGCTGGAAGTTGATCCTTCCTTTTTTGCAGAGTTGGGGCCGTCAACCCTTATTGTGGCGGCGGACGAGCCTAGCTAGAAGCCTAAGTGGAAACCCGTGATGGACTAGGGACAATGTGCTGTTCCTGCCAAGGCGTCGCGCAAATCCAAACGCAGGCAACGAGTTTATAAGCAACCTGGACGAACATTCCAGGTCCACTTTGCGAAGGCGCGTATTGCAAACTAAATCGTTGTGTCGAAGTCGCAATCGAGGCTGAGATGAGATGGAAGAGGGGGGAAGGAAGAGGATGCTGCTACTGCTGTGCAAGGTCTCAAAATAGCACAGGAATCGCCTGTTGTGGCGACGGTCATCGGGGCAATCGAGAAACCAACATAATCAAAAGACGACGGGGCATTCCGTCGAGTTCGGCGCAAGAAGAGGCACGAGTTAGGACTTGAGACTTTAGAATGTCAAGATGGTAAGTTGGGTTGGGGGCGGAAAAGGTGTTGGAACTTTAGGAAAATCCTGGGTAGGTGCATAGGACTAGAGGCACGTAACCATGGACGGCATTAGACTGCGAGTGTCGTTGCGAATTTTCTTGCATTAACGTACTGAGGTAGTTCTGGATCACAGGTAAAAAGGAGAATAAAGCAAGGTGCGAGGAGCAATGGCTCTTCAGCATTTGTGTGACGATTCCAGATTCGGTTCACAAACAAGCAAGCAAGGTCCCTCCTGCGCACGCATCACCAGAGAACATCTCCATTCGGACATTCTGAGAGGTCAAAATTGGGACCAGCCCAACGTTGGGACGCAAGAAATCGCAATACCCCGTACATCATCAGCGGATTCGGCACTGACTGGCAAGCGGCAAGTGACGGCCCCATCCGCCGCCTCCAGTTGGTTGGCGATGCAACTGGCATCAACATTGATTTGATGCTGGAGCCAGGGTGTGCAAGTGGTCTAATCTGGTCAAATGACGTGGGCTCGCTTACATACTTTAATTTTAGCCTTGGAAGTGCTGCAACGTCAAGAAGTGCTTGAACTGGTCAGACCCCGAGAAGGCCGACCGGCTTTATCCCGGATCCTCACTTCATCCACTAGATAACTAGTAGACGAACAAGTACGTTTGGTATTTCATGGGCTTGCCGCTTCGAGATACCTAGTAACGAATCCTTTGTACTGCAATTGCGTTCACGACCCGCCTCTGAAGAGTTTCATGCGTCGAACCCAACATTGTCCATCTTCGTATCCATGCATCCGCTTGACCTGCAGACTGGTAAAAGGAAATACATTGCAAGCTCTGGTCAAATTCAGGGCTTCAGATCGAATTGAACAGCCCGCATCGTAAAGGCGCGAGTCACGGCCACAAAAGTAAATCAGGTTGATTAAGATGACAACATCACATGTATGCGCCGTGGAAACACCATACTACCTACCAGCTTGCTCACTGCTCTATTCTAGCGTGAACACCCTATCAATTCGCAGTGAATCAACTCAAGAGATCCTTGGCTGGCCAAAACACTCAATCGTCGGCTTGGCTGTCATCGAAGATAGCATCCGGATCCTATATCAGGGACTGGCCTTCTGGAAAGTCTACTGGTGGCGACTCATTATGGTCGTCAAAGTAAACGTCGAAGAAGTCTGTGCCGCAGCCGTCCCATTCGCCGTCCCCACGCTGTTGGCTGGCTTGAAAGGTTATCCTGGATCATGCTGCGGAGCTTTGTCACATTCGGAAGTAAAGCCGTTTGACAGTTGTCCATTCAAGTCCTTGTCCATGATGTCGGGTCTCTTGTTGATGTCGCTGGCTTCTGCAAATGGTGCCGATACCAATGCCAGAAGAGCTTGACGTAACAACCCAAGCTTCGAAAACGTCGTGAAGGCGCAGAGCAGTCCGTCATGTTCCGAAGGCACTATCACCGTTTGTTTGCTGTTACCGACTTTTCACCATGAGGGAGCGCAGAGCAGTGTCTGAAATTTATGAACAACCATATGAAGGGAAATCTGCGTTGAAAAATCGGGCTCTTCACCGTTTGGGAAGATGATATTCTTGGCCTGGTACCACTTCTATCGAGGGCTGGGCCTCTTCGCATTTTTACCTTTGGGGTGCGAAGGGATGCTTTGACATTCACCTAATCATGAGAAATATCGTGGCAATCGCTGCCATGCGCAGTGATGTGTACATTGTAATGCTTCAGATCGTTGAAGATTGCCCCACAGCGCCTACAACGACCGTCGACCCTGGAGGACGAGTCTCTGCCCAAGATCAGCATACTTTTTCCCACAGCAGAAAAGAAGGAGAGTTCATACTCCAGACTTCAGACAAGGTTTCACCAATGCAGCTGGTAAATGGCTCTCCTTGAATGTCTGGTCCATATTGCCTGCAGAAGATAGCTGGGCTGAGCTTCCAGGAAATACAGGCGTAACTCATCCTGCCTTTTCTCTCCTTGATATCAAGGTTTTAACGGCCGGTCGACCTCGTATGCCCCTTTTATGTAAGGAGAGGCTCGCTTTCGTTGCCAAGCCTGGTCCCTGAGTTGGCCCCTGATTGGTGTGGCAACATCAACATTCGCCTCCACAGAAATAGGCAAGTACTTGTTGCCAACATCCTATATGGCTTGGCAGTTGTCGTTCCCATAGCAGATTGTTCCGTGTTTTCGAATGCTCGTGACAGTGTCGATTGCGTCCACGCCCAGAACCCTGGAGCAAGACAATCCTATCAGACGGAACAAAAAGTTGGATCATCAATGAGCGCAATCCATCGCCAACAGAAGAACAAGCGGCCATGAGGGTCACCAATCTTATACTTCAATGCGTGTCGTGGCCGAGGTCTTGGTGGAGGTTCGACTCGCCGCGTGGTCCAACTTGACCAAGAACTGAAGGTCTATGGTTGAAGGGATCAATGGTTCATCGAGGCCTGCAATGTCACTCACGAGAAGGATCACGACGATTCGAATCGATATATACAGCGGTAAATCCATGACGGAGAAGAAATTAGCCGGTGCGCATTCGACGCAGAACCCCCTGGTATATAACAGAGATACTGGCTTCTGCGCGGCTGCGCGTCGCGCATATTCCGAGAGATATTTCTCAGCCCGGATTGGGAAGGGATTGGTCGAGCCGTCCCTCAGGTCTGTTGGTTTTCAACTGTTGACCAATAGTAATCACGTCCGTCTTCTTTGGGATTGACAAGTGGAAGGAAACGTATCGAATTCTACTTCCGGACGATGTTGAAAACTGAATGTATTGACCACGTAAGTTACTATTCTTGAATCTGAAGTGTGATATCTAACGAGTTGCAGGTTATGAGGACGGCGAATGATTCTCGGCGACCGGGAAAATAACCTGAGCCATCAAATCTCACGCCTGGTCCGAAATTGTCTAGAAAGTGCAATCATAAGCAGAACTAATCCACTGGAGACTCAACTTAGAAGCCAAGTGGTCGAAATTGTCCGGGAGTGCCAAGAGGAGCTTTTCACTCTTTCAACTAAGGCCGTCATCACCCACCACCTGCCCCGGTCGGCATATCAGCAGACACCAACGGAATCGTTGGCTGAGACTCGTTTAACCTTTGAGTTGACGAAGGCACAGCATAACAGAGAAACGCCAGAGGGGAGGGGGGAGACCAGATGTATTATATTAATGATATTCCAAATTGCTCCGACTCAAATGGAATGGCCCTTTTGTACCCTGCACAATACCCCTCGCGCGTGCTATACGCTGAGATTCGGCACCTTTGAGCAACTTCGACGAAATCTCTGCCGACCTTGGAGAATTCAGCTTCTGAACGCGACCGACATTTTGCGATGTCCATTTGTCACATCGTTACTGAATCTTCTCAGGCTTATGCGAAAGAGAAGGGCGCTCTGAAGAAAGACTGAAGTGGTATTAAGCTCATGTGGCTTATGTGTACCAATGCACAACACCCCTCTCTGCATGTCGTGAGCTGTCATATCATCGGGTATAACTCTGCAGGTGCAGTGCATTAAGCAAGGCTACACCCGGGCAGATGTGATAAGAAGTCACTTGCATCATTCGTTGGGCTATTGCCGGTTTCCGAATATTGCTCTTAACAGTAAGATCGGGCGGAATCCGTCATCCTCCACGTAATTTTGGGAGACTCGGCTGGCTTTGTCACCGCAACATGTTGGGTTGATATCATGGATATTTGATTACATACCAAAGTAAAAGTGCACTTCATTGCCTCGGCGGTAGTTTGTGTCCCCCATTCATCGTGATCATTCATTATGAATCCTCAATCAGTGATATTCATTTTTCAAGTTCATTCACAGTTCAGTAGAATTGGTACTCACCTCTACTGTATCCACCAGACCACAGAACTACAGTGAACGCAGTTGTCTGTCGTCACTCGTTCTCTGTCAGAGGTTGCCCACTAGCTTTCTCCACGCGCTCAGCTTAAATCAAATACAACACGACACAAAGTAATCCAAAGTGTATGCTGCGTCGAACCGTACTGTTCTTGACCAAGCTTGGGGGATGGGATTTGTGCAACGTGAGCGTTCAGGGGCCCGCTGTCGCGTTCATGATTTGAAACCTACACTGGCTCCTTGCTCGCCTGGTTGGGAACGAACCAGAATATCTCTCTACCTTAGTACTTGCATGTTGGTAATTGTCAGTCCCAGAATCACCGTCCCCCTGTCAATCACCTGTTTCGCATGCTTATACAGCGTTGCGAAGGCGTAGATAGCCTCGAGTTGGATCTTGTTCCGCAAGTTCCTCAGTTCTGTAGTGTCACTCTCGTCGTCATCCTCGTCCACAAGGCAGTTTGAAACTTCATCTACCAAACGGAACAGGTGACCGAGAACCAACGAGGGCTCCGAAGAATTGAGGATGTTGCTGGGGATATCGCGGTACTACGCCATAATCCACAGGACGTCGGACCACGGCTCTTCCTGGAAGTGGCTGTGGTCAATCTTCAGGGAGGTCTGCTGCCTAGAATTTGGCGCAGAGTTTCGCATCACTCCTGCAGATTGGACCGGTCTGCCCCTCAAAAGGCGCAATTTTGCTTGTCTTGAAGGTGTAACCCGTGGGTCTTGGATTCTTGTCACAGCTTCAACTTCGGTGATGGATACCGGGCTTATTGGGACTCTCCGGAGTATTCGTCGAATTTAATGTTTAGACCCTCGTACGTCTTAGAGCAAAGTTGATGCTGGCGTTACGAAACCGCTTCCAGAGTTCGACTATCTGAAGAACCACAGCTATGCCTAACTCGTACTGGAGTCAGACGCCGCCTAGCCCGCTATGATGAATAAATTTAATGTCCCTATACATAGCTTTCAAAACACTACCTACTAACGCATTTATTATATTTATTGATGCATTACTGATAGATTTGTATATGAGTGAAGTTATATGGTTTGGGTGTAGAGAGTGTCCGTCGTGGGGATCACCTACGTCATATAAGAGGATGAGCCGAAGGAGTGTCTTCATGGAGAAGAAGAAGCTGAGATGCACGCTGTCCGCTAGCTGCAGGAGGAACAAGGGCGTTCCCGTAAACTGCACATTAGGGCATCAGATATCAGTATTCAGATGCCCAACTCGATTTCACCCATGTTAAATAAGATGGAATCAGTCCAACCCCTTTTTCAATGACTCAAAGGCGATCTGCTTGGGCTTGTCCACCTTGAGCTCTAGTTTCGGTAAGATGAGTGCCAAGTCCCCATTGTCTTTGGTGATGGCACTCTGTATAGCCTCGTAGGTAAGTTTGGGATCACAGTCGAGAAGGAGAAGAGACGGGGCGGTGGCTGCCAGATATGACCGGTGGACATCTATAGGTCTTCTGAGAGCATAGACCGATTCATAGACCGAGAGGGGCTCCTCCACACCGTGCTTGTCCAGGCAACTCACTCTGCAGGCCGGAAAGATAAAGGGTCCTGATCGTTGCTTGAGACTCAAGAGTAACTTGAGCGCGTAACGATATGACAGGCAGGCATCGTGCGTCATTTGCCCGATTTCAACGACTCTACCACTTTGAAGTTGAAACCGGGGAGATGGGTGCGTCATGTCCCAGATATTGGGTTGAGACGCAGCGACACGGGAAATATTCAGGTTGGGCAGCATCGCCCCGCAAATGAGCATTGCAGCATGATGCCACGGCGAGCCCGATTTCTCGCATATGAAGTCTTGTCCATGCCTGATTTGATGTAGTTTTAGCCTCACTTATAAGTGACCAATAGCAACACATGCGCAACTGCACGGATTCTGTGTGTTAACATTGCGGGATCTCGTATGCACAGAGAAGCCCGATGAAAGTACACATGACGCCTATCATCTGCTTGATCTACCTGGGATATTAGTAGTTAAAAACATTTTTGGTCCCGACGTAGTTTTCATTCCTAAGTCTATGGTGTCACTCGGGCCGTTATGTTGTATACGGCTAACTACAACCAACGTACTGGAACGGCCAACCTATACAATCTGCTTGTCTAGTCCTGGTGAAAAGAACATCGTGAGGCTGTGCAAAACCACTTTTCATTTGAACCCGCAAGTAAGACGGGCGCTTATTGATTCTAAACGTTTGGACATTAGAATGCCAGCTCAATGTACATAGATACTAAGGCACTGAGGCGACCGAGGCAACTTCGAGGCTTAGCTAGACACAGTATTGCGCTTGTCTCAATCCCTCCAACCACATCCTCTTAAAAATACATTCCGTGAATAGTATTTGAAGAAAAAAGACGGACGTGAAGAGTCTAGAAAGTGCACTTTATGCTGATTCGACTGGAAGCCTTTGTCTCACAGTTGACTTGCCCGGCTAGTACAATAATCAAGGCCAAGAGGCTGTTCCCCGATGGGGCTTGCAATGTATTGTACGACGATGAAAATAGTATGAAACGTAAAATGGGGTCGGTCTTTGTTGTCGTTTGTACGGTCTTGTTGTCCATCTAGGACGGCGGCTGTCCACGAGGGCTGTACAGACGGACTCCCCAACCCTTCCCTGTATGAAGGGCTGGGCTTGAAACACAATGGGATCCTCTCAAGCAACAAGCTCACATCTATCTCTTCCTTATCATTGGGACCCTGAGTTTAGCACACGCCGGAATCTGCGCTACCAGGATCAGAACAAGCCATACGTCGTGTGGCAACGCGATATCAATCCAGGGCTCAACACCATAGCTCTGTTTATGAACCATGACGATTCAGATCCATGTCCTTATCAAGCAAACTCTAAAGTCTTCAACTTTTGCCCAGCGGCGAGATGCGTCGAGGCGTTCCGGAGTGGTGGCAACGACCTAAAAAAGCCGATTGCCTTGCTTTCAGACAGCGAGTCGACTCTGAAATCGAGGCATTATAAAAAGGCACTCACAGCTGAGGAGCTATACGAAGCTTTGAATAAGCCGGTAAGTATAGGAGCCTTTTCATGCACTGGAGAGTAGGTTTATAGTAAGGGCTGACACGAGTAAGCGTTTCTGTGCGAACGAATCGAATAGTACTGCGTCTATGTCGACACGCACTCGAGAAACATCTGAACCAGTTAGAGGTAGTAACGCTGAGACTAGCGAACCTAATGCAGAAAGGAGATTGTTGTACGGGCTATATTCAATCCAGTTTGCAAGCGTCATACTGACCTGTCTACGGATATATCGCCGACTTAAATCAGTGGAGTGTGCTTGCACTGGCTGCTACTGCAAACAATCACGAGGCTTACGTGCTAAGAGACTTCATTTACCACCACTTGGCATTTTCCGCGATGATTCGAGTCGAACTTCCCGTGAGTATCGAAAACTGATGAGACTATACCACAAGCAATTCCAGAACGGCAAGTACTCAGGCTAATGCACACGCCAGTCTGAAGGACTTAGTACTTTCGCCTTATGCTTCCATCTGCCATTCTACGCTCTGAGGAATTGCAAACGCGCAGATAAACGGAAATGGCCGGACCAGCAACCCTTAAGACAGGTCGAAGACGTAAGCTTTGTCAAATCTCCAGCAGGAAACAACCTCAATTCTGCCCCTAAGCAAGACCATCTCCACGAAGCACAAATATCATGCGTCGTGACGGGATGGGACGAGACTGTGTGGGAGGCATACTTCTTCATTGATCTCTACTATGACGAAGAAACGGCGGAGAATATAGAAGACTACGAAGGGCAAATGAAGCAACTTCCAGAACAGCTTGACGCAGATCCTCTAATGAAGGGCACATTTGTTGGGTCGGCGAGGAGCTGTGTTCGGAAGCCAAGGGAATATTTCTTGAATATCCTACGAGTTCGAGTCAGGCAAGTCAAGAAGGAATGGCGCTATGTCGTGACAAGGATGGAAGAAGACATCAAAGTAGGGGTGAGTATGCGTACCAAACATTTTCGAATAGTACGACTGCTCATTTTGATAACAGAAAAGATTCTATTCACCATGTTCCCAGCTGGACGGTCAGGTTCGACCCATCCGCTTTGACGCCAAGGATGCGCGATCGACACGCAAGAAGTTCCTGCATTGGACCGACAAGGTCATCGAGCTGCTGAGAAAGCTCATAGAGAAACTGGACGAGACGGTAGAGGCTAGGGAGAAGTTCAATGCTGGCAGCATCGGCTACTTCTACGCACCTGGAGCATCGACGAATATTTCCAAGACTGACCATAAGACTCTCATCTGCATTAATGAAGATTTTGCAGAGTTGGCTGGACTACTTCGGAAGCTCGAACTGCTGAAGGACAAGATTTGCGAGGATATCCCTCGAGATGTGAGTAAGGCCTCAGTGTCGACACTATGGCGTGCATCATTCAGAAGTCGGTTTGCGGCTAATATAAAGTAGATTTCGTTGCAGTTTGCTCATGAGAACAACGAATCGGCGATATTCCAACAGGCCACGGCACGCGATGTCAAAGTGCTCACATGGGTAACCTTCGTGCGTTTCCTCTTTGTGTATATCCGAATGCTTCCTACTTCCTCTAACGTGCAATCTATAGCATTCGATTCCCTTCGCGCTCGTTGCCGCCCTACTCAGCACAAGAGCTGGGTTCCTACCCCTGCCAGAGAATCCATGGTCACTAATCATCTCACTGCTAATAATGGAGATCATTGTATGGGTAACTTTAATGCTGTATCGATTGGACATGGAGTGGACGGTGCTGTCGAGTACAGTCGGTTCTTTCAGCTAGGTGGAACAGTAAACTGGTCTCATGGTCCACACTTTTTGTATTGAACGAGAATTGTAGTTATTTGATTTCAACCTGTTGTAATAAGGTCCTGGAGAGCTAAACCACAGCGCTCCCAGCTAAGGCTCGCTTAAGTTGAAATTGTGCTCGGAATCCGGATGAGCACGTAGCAAGCTATCGCTTGGAGCACGCCATCTCCACGTCGGTGTAAAGTCTGTACTGCGAGAGTCCTTCTCGTCAGCTTGATCAACATCAGCGACCGCAGCCATTGAAAGTCCCAGTGGCAAGGTCGTTGTGTCCACCGAGTAAGATGTACAAACAAGTCGTAAGACTCATCACCATGTTCCAAGTAGTAGAAAGAATAAGTCATGTGGGTAGAGTCACGTCCGACAGAAAAGCTCTGCGCTCACAGACGCGACGGGCCGAATCCATTGATTGCCACAGAATTGTTTCACAATCCAGGCAAAGAGCCTGCTGTTGTATCCCCGTAATTTCGGCTTCACGATCATGACCATGGTGATTAACGAAAGAAACATATTGGCTCACATTAGCGATCCAATACGCAAGCTAGAGATGCTGATGATCCAGGTGAGTTCTCGTCACATGTTGAATGACGCTGGAATGACAATGACGGAATAAACGATACCCAAGATTTGGTCTAGAAGTCTTATCGTATTGCTGCGTTACTGAATACAAGGCTCAGTATATAAAGGGAATAACTGCGCCATGCTTTAGCTCACAGGACCCTCGGGCTGTCATGAGTCTGCCATATTTAGCAACGATCTTATCCTTGTCCAACTGTTGCCCTGGTTACGAATCGCCCTTTTTGTTTATCTAGTATAACGCATATTGAACGGATGATTCTGCACCTGCAAGAGCTACGAAGCACTGTCGGTATCAATCAATAATCGACTTCGGTATGCAAACCTTTCTTTCCACCCGAATGCAACAGGACGGCATCAACAGTCTCATATCGAGTAACTTGAATGAGACGATTTCCCCCACGGTGGAATCATCACGTTTCACATTTTGCTGCAGTCTAGCAATGAATATTGTGACTGGGACATTAGACATCGCTTGGAATCAGTGAAGACGTTCCTTCTTCAAAACTTGATTATTTACTTTAGGTGTACCATGACAGGTCATCCCCACCAATGACGAATGGGCTTCGGAACAAGAGAAAGAGTACGATCTATATCGGCTGGTCTTATGGTTCTACGAGCATTGACATCACTTTAGCCACCTAGAAAACGCTATGTCTGGGTGTGGCATTGCTGTAGTTGTGGTCAACCAAACATCAACATCAGCATTGAAATGTGCCCCGGATGCCGAGCACTTAGGTGTCCTTATTGCAGCACACAGAAGGTCCAAGTACGCGGTCAAATGGACCCCCATTATGCCGGTAGCGATGGAGAAACTTCAGGTAAGTGCCCTCGAACTTTTGCTTCGCGCGAATAGCAGAGTGCAAGACTAAGTTATGGCACAGACAATCCCATCAATCCTACGAGACGAGTCACGAATGGCCTCGACAACAGCCCACTGCCAATCCCAGCTAGTTCCATTGGACCTCTTCACGACCCGCATAGCCCAGTTATCAACGGAGCGCAGCTTGTCCGGTCCGCGTCGGAGCACTCCACTTAAGATACAGACATCAACTTCGAAGACGGAATACCAGATGACAGGCCTCAAGTGTCATCTGAAGGATGGAAAAAGACACACAACAACATTCCGTCGCCTGCATCTGCACTCAATTGCAGGCCGTCTGGTTCAGCACAGTTGTCAGGGGTGGTGTAAGCGTAACCACGACTAGCCTAGCTTTAATGCACATCTGCTGTAATCTTCTGCCGATTCGTTCAGGGACGACGTGCTCTGACCAAGATCATAATTCCTGCGTAGAGGACCAGGCTTCCTGAACCTGAAAAGGCCCACCTTGAAGTGCTTGTCCTGGCGAGTATCATGGATTTGAAGACCTGGAATTATATTAGCCTAAACTGACCACGAGAAGAAACATTGACATGCACCTTGCTAGCCTGGAACAACTTGAGGCTGTCACTCGGGAGCGCTTCAGCCAACCTGAAATATCTAGGCCTGGCAAGAAGCGCATCCAAGTGTACTACCCACCATATTGTCACCAATATGGGTGCTTTGGAGTGGCATAGTAAGACCGCATTGGACAGCGACTTTCTGAACCCCACAACAGGCGTATCAAGGCATTCCGTAACCAGGGCAGCATTCAGTTTGAATGCTAATTTGTGGGTTTCCGCAATGACCGCACGACCATATCCAACTGGATTGCCCCCGCACTACCTGTTGTGCATCAGAGTCAGTCATGCGCGTCTATTGAGTTTTGTGCTAGACATGCTATCAGCAGTATGTTTGTCTTGAATCTACTCAAGCACGCTCCCAGTATCGGCTCGACTTCATGCCCTTGTTGACACGGTGGCCCCCAGCGACGTTGAAGCGAACGGCAAGAACCTGCAGACGTTGTCCGGTGATTAGGAAGATGAGCCAACTTTTGGGAAGTGTAGTGAAAAAGAGCTGCTCTTCTTTTATAGAGAGGCCTGCGCATGTGTTAACTATTGTGTAAACCAAACCGTACACAGTATGGCAACACGCCGACTCAAAACGGCGGTTTCCTTTTGCATTATATCATGTTTGACGGCACTGCCGAATGCTAGTAATCTGCACCGAATTACTAGTATTTCTTCATTATCAGATTCCCGGGCTGTTATGACTCTCAACTTGCACTGAGAGTCTGTGTGCAGCCCGAGCAGTGCTCAGGCCGCGCCCTATTCGTCAAGCCTATTAGCCCTGTCGAGCCTGTTTCCGACGCCTTGTTTATGCTGCTAGTGTAGCGCTTGACGTGAACGGATAATTCTGCACCTGCAGAGTACAACATGAAGACGACAATAACGACCGTATGATATCGAGTAACTTGAGTGAAGACGAATTTTGCTTCAGTGGATCGAGCACTACGTTCTACAATTCGCTACTTCGGTCGTCTAGCGATGGAATATACGAATTGAATGTTTCTGGGTTGATTTTCCTCTATTCGGACAATTTTATGGCACGACCAGGCCAGTCATGTTCTAAGCTAACTCAGATCTTTCTAGGAACGTATTCATTTACACCAACGCTTCCACCTAAACCGCACTAAATAAGTCTTCTCGCGTAATTCATAACTGCATGTATTCTGTAGAGAAATATTACAGAGTGGTGGTGAGGCTCATAATGCTTACTTGAGGTTTACATGTTCCAAACTAGCTAACTATCTTGGTAAACGACAGTATAACTAGATTTTCTGAACTCGGTACATAGTCAAACAATCCCTCATGTAACACGTAATGATTAGGTCAACTGCAAAGCTTTCTAATAGACAAAGTCATTCAGAAGAGGATGTCCTGGTGCCAGCGATGGCTCTATCCGCTGTATTAAGTAGTCCTACTTCAAGGCGCGTTCTTAGGATTAGGTCTTCCACTATCTACCCCACGTGTGGCCTCTAATAGTCGTCCCCAATCAACATAGGGCAAGATAGTCGTAGCCTTATCTGAAGAAGAATGCTAGATACCAATACACCAGTGTTCGAGCAGACGCAAGCAACCCTGCAAAACCACGTTCTTGAGGATGGGACCAGGGGGATGCCGGTCGTGGCACCCTCAGTGGCCGTGGCCTGCAGCGTGATACACCCGCTAAGGTTCGCATTTCCAGTTACGGTGGAGTGCAGTGCTTCGAATAGCAAGTATTGAACCAAACGGAGTCAACTCCGTGGTCATGAGACTTCTCGTTGATGTGGAGGCCTGCGGTGGCGTTTTCAATGCCGTCAATACCGGCCAGCCCGTACGTCGGACAGTTGTAGTCAAAATCTCGGTAGTCTCAAAGTAATGACGCTCAAGCTGTATACATATATGCAAGTGTGGGTAAGTTAACCAGGCTTACGGCTGATTAGTGGTGTTCCACAAGGGTAACAGGGATATCTGCAAGCTAATGGACGCTGCCGTTTAGCCTGTCTGGAGAGTAAATCTGAACCCCATCGGGTTCATCGATGCTGGGCGGAAGCGAAAGGGGCCCAGGGCATCATGGCATCACCGCAAAACTATTGTTTAAACTAGGCAGCGAGTCTAGCGTCGTCACGAAGGTACGCAAGAATTGAGACATGAAACACGGTTGGAAATTATCTTCCCTTTCGGACAACGTTTTAAAGCTGCCTTGGTATCAACGCCTCTCTGTCTATTCGTACAGACATATATCTGACTCCTCACATGAGGGCCAGAACACTTCACGGGCGGGTACTGCCAAAGGCTTGTACAATCTAAATGGTCATGATATGTGCTATTGAAACCGACAGGCTGCTGGATTGCCAGAGTATCTTGATGGAAATTTACTGACGAGTTCGCGCCATTCCTAACGATGAAGTAGAGACTAGCAGCCATTTCGTGACCCTCATCTGAGTGATTGATCAGACTAGGAACCGGAGTCAGTAACACTGGTGGCGACATATTGATGATGATTATATGCCATGCCAACTACTCAGGCCAATGCCGGGTATGGCGTTAAGTCTCGACGTTCCCAAGGGCGAAGTCGTAAGTGATGGCCGTAGGGACTCGTCTAAGCCGGCCTCATTTATGGTACAGGGCAATACCGCGGAACAGTTTCCAAAACGCCCAGGGGAAAAAGAGGAAGCACAAAAGCCTAACAAAGTAGCATCAGTAATCACCATAATGTTCGGCCTCAACATATTGACAAGAACTCAGCCATGTCTTGCAAAGAATATATTATCTCATAATACCATTCGATCACTAGATTCAAGACCTCACCTTTGGAATAAGTCGGGCATGCTATGTAGGTATAATCCTAGACACAGTCAAGCGATTGAAACTCATCTTACGAATCGGAAAAGTTGAAGCTTTTGGTATCTGTCTAATCAAACGTACCAGTGCTGCACCCTCGCAATAAATATGCTATATGCCCCTAACTCCAGATACCAAACGCTATGCCCAAATGCAAAGGATATCATCACTACTGGGAGGGAAGCCACATGCCGTGCCACTTTATTTTGTTTCTTTACAATGCTCCAATAAAACTCACGACTTCCCAGAGACGCTTAATTAACAATAGTGTCTTCGCTACTTGCAAGCATGGCACAGACAGCAAAATTCCAATAGTCTATCGCGCTCGCCCACTGTGGTGCATTCTGTGTGTATGTTGTATATATGTGAAACGATAATCCGCAAAACCGTGCGTCGGCGTTGCAATGTTGTGGTCGTATGGAGGATGGACGAATATCCAACGTCATGGACGCTTCACGCATCCCCAAGATTGCTACATCCGCTCACCGCCCCGCCAGCCGTAGCGACGGAACTACCGGTGGTTATCTTGGAAAGGTTCGAGACCCTTCCGCTGGACTGGCCGAAGCGTAGCCCGCCGACTATATTGTCGGCGGTGATTCTCTCGCCATTGTCAGGCGACGTGCTGTCACTCGCGTCAGCCTCATCGTTGTCCGTCTCATCTTCCTCATCACCGGACGTAAGATCTTCATCGCCGGGGGCTACGCGACCGCGACGCAGGAACCTGTGTCGGCTCATGACCCCCTCGTCGTCGTCCTCAAGATCGGTGGAAAATTCGGAGGAGTCGGAGTCGGACTCCTCCGAATCCATGGGGCCGAAGAAATAAGTCGGCGGCGGGAGTGGGGCCGGAGGCAGTCGTCGCAGGTTCCCGGCCACGTATGTGATGTCAATTTTCGGCGCGGCTTTCTTGCCGGTTGCGTGGAGCGAGGTAGGTGAGTCGGTGCTCAGAATTGCTAACTGACCGACAACAGAATCGGTGGGGTCTTTCGATATTGTCGTCTCTTGACTCGGTCGCTCAACAAGAACTGGTCGCACAGTTTTCCCAATGCTCACTGAGGTTGGCCTGCGAGTGGACATTGAGACGACGAAATGGTCCTCGGGTGTGATGCCAGCCAAGCCGCTAGCTTCAAAATCCACCAGCTGCGGTGAAATATTGGGCTCCTTGGCGTCCGACCAGGGGAACTTTGCATCAAGATCATCAGACTCGTAGCTTTCGTCAGGGGTTAATTCGGGTGGTGCGAAATCGAGATCCATCATAGCGTAATGCGATACGAGGTTGCTCAAGGGCTTGAAGGGGATGGACGATCCCGACGTAGTGCGCTCGAGTTTGGGTGCCTTGGCCGCGGTGATGTCAAACGCCGCTGCCGGGGAGGCCGAGTTGCCCTTCTTATCCAACGACGTCAAATTGTGGTTGTTGTACGAGCCGTCAGGCGACACTTCGCTCAAATCCCCCGATAGGTCCGTGCAGAAGGGTGCGCCCGTGTAATAGATGATGGCACCGTCGCGGCGTCGCTTACGCTGATGCTGCGACAAACCCGACACGCCGCTGTGATTCCAGCGTGAGTTCATGCCGAAATTACTCTCCTCCGGCGCACCATAAAAAGAGCCGGGAGTCTCGTCGTCGAACGAGGGTTGCTCGTCCGACGAGGACGATTGCTGATGCACGAACAGGGGCTTGTAGTGGAAGCTGTCGGACGAACTCGACACCTGCGGACCGAATTTCGAAGGTTCAGTAATCATGACGTCATTTTCCCCTCTTGCAACGGCTACCGTTTTCTGTTTCTTCCGCTGGTTCGCACCGTGCGATCCATCCGACGTGTCCCCTTCGGATGCACGCGGCGAATTGCTACCGCTACTCTCGCTGCTGAACCTCGTGCCTTCGGCGCCGCCACGCCATCGAATTTTCCGTCCGTCGGGTGACAATTGAAATTGTCTGCTCTTCTCGGTGACTGCGGCGCGAATGAAGGCCGGTGTCACATTAAACATGTGGAGTTGTGCGAGATTGCATAACAAATTGAGATAGACCCAGCCTTCCGCGTCTGGTGAGACGTCCTTCGAAGAGTAGCGCTTTTGTGCCTCGGTTTCCGGTGCAGCAAGGCCTAAATGGCGAATGTACTCCATATTAACGGACGGCACCTGGATGCGATCAGGGTCCAAATCGTGGGGTCGCGTCGGTCGTTGTTCGGGGACTTGCTTACCGCTGGGCGGGTCGTTCGAATTGGGTCCATCGCTGCCAGAACCACTTGCATTACCGCCGTCCTTGGGATCCGACTGATCTCCGTTCGAGTTGGAAGAGACGTTGTCTCGCGAGTGGCTGATCTTCTCCGACAATTGAGGCAGTATCTGGGCTTCCCTGGTTGCTTCGGCTGATATAATCCCTCCATTGTTCGTTCTCATCTCGACTTCTTCACTGATGGGAGGTGGGACTAGTGAGAGCGTTTGTTGGTGAAGCTGGTCGCTGCCCTTGCCCGTGAAAAGTTGCTCGAGTCGTTTGACCACCAGTTTCTTTTTGTCCTTCTCCGTCATAATCGTGGATTTTGGCCACAGGCCTTCAGGAATATCCTTCAAGTAGCGCTCGACGCTTTGTTCCGACAAACCATGCCTCACTAGTCTTCCAGGGATCGAAGCAGAAGATGAGGTGGGGCCGGTAGAAATTGAGGCATAGGCTGAGTCGGTTGGGACTGGCCGACTTTGAGATCCGGATGAGGATGAAGCATGTTTCGACATGGACGACTTGCCTTGCGCCTTCAGCTTGTCCTTGGCTCGTGGAGATGCGCTAGTGCTTGAACCGTCGAGGCTGGTGGTGAAATCTCGCAACGCAGCCTCCAATTCTCTTTTTTTGCGACTTGGCAGTCCATGCACCTTGACCTCGAACAGCTTCTCCCTGCGCAGTGAATCAGGCCCCATCTGCTTGTACCTCCTCAGCTCATCCCTCAGTTTCTTATTCTCAACGGTCAAATCATCGATGACACTGCGATAATCGTCGGCACTACTGCTGTGGGCGAGACCAGGTCGCACTAAACCCTGATTGCGACTCTGTACGAAATTATACGCCGGGCTCTGTGATGGCACGGCATATTTCATCCCGTCTTCGTTGGATGAATCAGTTTCTTTCTGGTAGAATGGCGGATCCACATCCATCGTCGAGTCGAATACGGCATTGGCGTTCTCGTTGGATCGGTTGAACCATTTCTTCGCGTCGCTGACACCAGTATCGTTGCTCTCGCCCGACGAATTTCTCCGGGAACCAACAAAGGATATCTTTGGCACAACTGTAGGCGAATTGCGGCGTGCCGCATCTCTGGCTAGGCGGTGGTAACGGAGAGTTATGGAGTTCTCGGGCGACGTTCGTCGCGGGTTCTTGTATGTAACGGGAGGCGGCTGAGAGCCACCTGATTTGTCTTGGGAGTCCGCCATATTTTGGGGCACATTGCCTTCTTCCTAAATCTGATTTGCTCTACTCATTCCCAATGAGTAAAGCGGATACGCTTCGTCGAGAAAATCTCGCGCCGCTGTTCAAAGTGAAATAGTTAGAAAGCTGTTATATTACGAAGTCCTGACAGCAATACAAGCGCGTCGCCATGCTTGTCTTTGCTCGTGGCGTTGGTTGTGTTCATAAGTGGAAGACAATGAAGCGTTTGGAGAAAATCCGCAAGTCAAGGATATGAACGCTGGACCCCTAAAAGAGGGCCACACCCTGCTCTTTCTCAGGGATTCGATGGGGTTCAAGTCCATTGCCCAAGTGGTGTGGTTGCGACGTCATACGTACATTTGCCCGGACGCAATCCTGCGAATAACGTGACAATTCGAGAGTGGTTGTATAACGGAGGTTGTTGCTTCGAAGCCGTGTGATTTCGCGTCAGGAAGAGTTATTTTCAAGTAGATGTTTACTGCAAATGTTTATAGTGCTAGTGAAAGTAGTGCATGGGCCGTATCGTCTGCGCTTGGTAAAAGAATATGTCGTCGTTGACCTAATCTGTAGTTGGCTTCAGGTATGGTTGGTGTGCAAGTGTGTTAGATATTGTAAGTCCCGAGCCTGCAAGCTGGTTTGGGCGGGCTGAGTATTAGAGCAGGCGATGATTCGGAATTGGTCACGATGCAGCGCAAATATCGACAGATCGCATCGAGATTTCTCTATTTCCGGTGCCATTCTAACACCTCTCTGGAGCACCAGAGCATTTTGCCCGCTTCCGTGCTGTTCATCTTTGACCGATTGCTTGCCAGGGTGGCCGATTTGACATCAGTGGGGAGGTTCTGGGGATCGAGTCTTGTAAAAGCATCGGTGCAATCGGTGCTGATCAGGGTCCAAATCAAGCCGCAACAAAACGGGTCTAGACTGGGTAAGGGTCCTGGGGGTGAGCTTAAGCCGAACGAACGGTCTTCTAGCCAATCAACATCCTCGGCGCCAATCCTTGTGCAGTCTCGGAGGCTGGAAGTAGAGTCTGTGGGGGCAGAGAGGGTGAAAGTATAAGTGCATCAAAGCTTTAAACACGAGAATCTCCCTGTACTTGTGATCGATCGATCAATAGGTGAACTTGCGACTAGAACCAAGTAGCGCTACTTCTCACTGCTAGGCTGACAGAGCCATCTTCAAGTATGACGGTGTGTCCATAAATCTCATCGCCGATTTGAGTAGTCCGACTCTATCATTGGATGACATTTCGACTGGACTGTCCTTATGTTAATCTCAGCATTGCAGACCCCTAATGTGGCTGGCTAGATTTTGGTCGAAGGCCACCTGACCCAATACCACGAATCAAGCTCGAATCATTCCAACCATTCCTGCCTGAAGATTTTGAATCGCAGTGGCTTGTAGCTGTTAAATACGGAGAATCTGTGAAGTGAGATAAGTTCCTTCGGGGGTTGACCCCTACACATAAACGCCTTATCCAAGGGTCCAACTCTGCGAGGATTGGGAAATCTTCAGTCAATCCGCGCTCTTCCGACAATGCATCCTTTATGAAAACAAGCAAGCGCAGGCGAATCATTTCTCTGTTGCTCTGCTATCCTCCACTATTGAGGTACTCGACCAAGCGTACAACTCCCTCTGAAGAATCTGCTGCATCGACATTTTGGTGACCATCAGCAATGCCAGATATCCTTACTGGACTTGGACAGGGACGGACAGGGTTCTAGACTCCTGTCAAATGCGGGTATTTCGGCCAAGGTTTCTTCCAGCGCCGCACTGGACTGACTGCCATGCGAAACCACAGCAGGCGCGGTGCCCTCTGCATTCTTCCCAAGTTCCAGCCAAGTACGCAACCATATTGAGGGACCCTCTGTAGGCGCCATGGTATGGACAAAGGGCGCAGGCAAATAGAACGATGTATGTGCCACGCACGATGCTTAGGCGCATTCCGTAAAGTCGTTTTGAACCCCCGGTCCGTCACCAGGTCAGTGGCCAGGAGATCAACAACGTGACAACACGATACGGAAACTCTCTGATCCTTTGTTGAAATAAGTTTGTCACTGGGACAAAACTCGACATTGTGCGAATCGGAATAACTGCTACTAACTTATAGTTGATACTCTCATTTGCTCAGCAAGTTAAGTTTCTGTTTGCTCTGTTAGTTTCAAAACTTTCGGAATCCGTTTCTACAAATTGCGACAATCCCGAAAAATAGAACTGCGAGACGCGTGCAGCTTGTTGATCATAAACAGTTTCGGCTCAAAAATTTGCAACTCAAGAAAACAGTTGACCTGTTGCATCGTCGCAATTCGACAATTGCCACCCAAATTGAGTCTCCGCTGGTCTAGACAACGACAATCAGGCACACGACCCCGGGTGCGGCGCCGGCCGGCTCCGGTTGATCCGTTGTATTACGGCCCCATTAATCCCGTCAGCCGCCGCATCTAACCGCATTGACCACCTTTTTGCATGCACCCCCATTTTGCAGGGAATTTCTACGCCTCAACAACACGACGTCTCTCAATTTACCTCGCAATTGCTCCCTATATACGTACAAAATGGCTAATCCAGTGGAGAATAGTCTGGTCGATTTTGAGCAGCGAATCGAACGCGCTAAAGAGCTTGTCCGTCAGGGCTCTTCCCAGGCCGTAGCAGCTCATCGGTACGGTATCAAGGGGACTACACTGTCCTACCGTATTCGTCACGGTAATTCGCATCGCGACGCCGCCTCCAGGCAACAAAAGTTGACTCCAGAGCAAGAGGAGGTTATCGTGAACTGGATCCTATACGAAGAAGTGTGTGGACGGGCTCCTAGCAAGCGTTATGTGGCCGACTTCGCTGCCGAAATCCTCCTTGCTCAAGGGGATAACAATACACTCGGCCAACACTGGGTGTATCACTTCGTTAGCCACCATCCACAGATACGTACCAAAATTGGGCGCGTCGTAGATGCTAGCCGAGTTAGAGCGTCCGATTCGACCAAGATCCGAGACTTTCTGGCTGGCGGAAGACTGGTATATGGCCCCTAGGCTCTCAAGGACTAGTCGACGTATCTTGTGATCCTCCGGAGCCTCATACATGTCAGAGAACAGAATGCCATAGGCACCGGTGGGACACCGGTGGGGCTCCGGTGTAGGAATGTGCGAGTCATGACGATATGGAAGTCTTGGTTTGCGGAACAATCGGGGAAACTAGTGCTCCGCGGCTCCGACGTCGGGTTCTAGCTATCTATGTAAGGGGCGGAGGCCCGGGAAGAAGATAGAGGGAGAGTAGAGATCAATGCATCACCGTGGGCACCCCTACCTGAGACCGCCAGTGACCACCCGGTATTACGTAGGAGGGACGCCCGTTACTCCCCATCACTCTGTACTATCGCCTTCGGCCTAGCCGTACCCTGACAATACACCAGATCCTCCGCCTCATATATCACCACCTTTAGTTGCTTTTACTCCTCAGAAAGAGCAGCAACTATTTAGCCAACTACAGTCGATAAAGAAAGCCGAGGGCGGGGTATCTCGTAAGATTCGTACCCTAGTAGGCAAGGCGGGCAAGGCCCTTACACTCCAGGCCGCCGAGAATGCCAAATTATGTATCGAAAACGAGCAACTATATTAAGAACTCGATAAATACGCTCCAGATATACGCCAGCCCGTCGAGCCAGACCCGAATAAAGAATTCGTTAACTTATCAGCGATCCGAACAGCCCAGGACTGTAAAGATAAGTGCGGCTGGGTGCCAGGGAAGGTGACTACGGTTGGGCTGACACGGAAGTCAATTCCAAGAAGTGAGGTGTTTTATTGACTTCTATCTGCCGAGCTAAGTGTTGTGCGTTTGGTCCCTTTTGAGGAGCTCAATCTCCGACAATTATCCGATCGCTCGGCGATTTCAGCCACACAGCCACACTGTCCTTGACCTCACAAGGACAAGCGAAATAAGCGAATACGGCCTATTTTACCGGATAAGCAGTTAGAAGTTGAAACTTTTCTCGAAGGAAAGGTCCGTCCTAAAAAGAGGGCTCGAAAGAATATATCTAAGTCTTCGGACACTTAAATTAAGTATGTTCTGTATATAAATAATATGGACGAAGTATTTAGGTTGATTCAGTTAGACCCTGCAAAATGGGGGTGCATGCAAAAAGGTGGTCAATGCGGTTAGTCCCTTCAATCTCCAGTGCGGTGCCGTTCCCACTTCCACCACGGGAGCTTCTATACAAGTGTCCTCCTCTGCCCCACGATCCGGGGAGTGTCGCATGCTGTTCAAATCGGGGCGAGCCAGCCGTGTCTACGCTGGTTTCAGTTTTGCAGTCGGAATTGTTGTTAACAACCAGATTCAACTTCGGCAAAACCGCTACCCTACGAGGACCGCCCTGTCATTCAATGGCATGAAACGCCGTTTGAATCGTCAGATATGTTCCATAACTTAACTGCTTGAGGTCGCACATACAGCAGTCTAGAGTGCTTGAGGTGCACGACTCGTGACGATAAACGAAGTTTGCGGCACGCAATGCAACCTTAAGTCGAGTGGCAAACAAAGTAAATGGTAAACTTTTATTACACAGGAAAATCTGTCATATTCACGACTCGCACCGTTTGATTACACTCAATTGATGAGATTACGTTGCATCGCTTCCTGTGTGCCGTCTATTCCGTCCTCTGCTTGCTCTGTCACATGGCACAAGATGTATGCCATGACTTATGGAATTAGGTTTAGGTATTGAGGGATTCAGCCCTCTATTGATGACTCTGTCCTGTCTCTCTATTCTGTTGGCTGTGTGTATTGCCTTTAAGTATCATGAAGGGTCCAGCCTTACCAGGCTACCGCTACACCACCGTTGTCCTGGGACATAAAGCGCCTTTCATCCTGGGCATAACTGTGGCGCTCAATCCCACAAGTATCCGGCAATCATGCGTGTGCACTTCTCGTGTAGTGGCTCATGTTATAAACAAACTGGCGAGCTCTATGGCTACTCGTTTACCCCTTCTGCGAAACTTCTGCAGAAGACTTAATTTCGGATGGGTCATATCCACGTTTTTGAGATGAAGTTGACCAATCAAGTGTGTATAAATATGTGGATAAAGAAGTTATTGGCGTCATTATATATAAGAGCAAAGTAGAGCGAACCCCTATGTGAATCCATAATGACTCAAACCTCCTAGCTCTGCCAAACTACAACGCCGTTCGATTCCTTTACACATTGTAATAATACAAATAAAAACATGCTCCTGTATGCACGTCTCAGACGAAGGCTTTATCCGTCTAGACCTCAAAATCTCACGTACCCGAGTAGACTGCCGTGACGAACCGCCCACATTCCACTCTCTGCTCCACACTGACCTTCCGGCCCTTACCACCTTCTCCTAACCTCACGGTAGTCCTGGGCGTGATCTGGAATCGATGCTGCTCGCCCTTGCGGCCTTTCTCCACCTCGACCTGTCCACCGTCTAGCGGACTGATGTACATAGGCACGTTAACGTTATTCCGTTTACCCGTGCCGAGTTGGTAGAATTCGTTGCCACCCCACCAAACAATATCCGCTCCCCAGTTCGTGTCGTTATCTGACGACTTGGCCGATGCGTTAACGTATGTGACGTTATCCATCACAGCTGAAGCGTGCGTAGCCCCAACACTGAGGCGCGCCAGTCGGATAGGAATGACTGAGTTTGACTTCTCATCCCATTCATACAAGCCGGAGAGCGGCTTGATCTTTGTCGGACCCAACGTAACGTGTGTCCATTTGCCGTTGCCAAGACTGCCATAGATACCTGCACCGCAAGCCCACACGTCAGCGGTGACTCGGCCAATATCCCTAGTAGGGGCTACATCCTGGGCCTGGTTTGACCCAATCTGCCCGGCAATGCGGGTAGCATCGACGGTGAAGAACGAGTTTGCTCCACCTGCCGCAATTGAAGTCACTGTAGGTTTCTGTTTAGTCCCACTGTAAATCTTATTGAATGGCAACGGAATTGGAGCGTCGATGTAGGGTATCTCATTCTCTTTTTCGAAACCCAACTGGCCAGATGTGTTGTCTCCGAAGACAAACACTCGGCCATCCTTGTCCAAAGCGAGCGAGTGGTAATCCCCTGCGGCAACCTTTACGATATTGAAGCCCTTTAATGCAAGAATTTCATGTGGCTGATCGAAAGGTCCCTTCGGTCGCGTTTCCCAAGTCAGTCCCGGCACGCCGAGCTGACCTCTAGAGGGAAACGCGGAGGCACTCGACGCAGCGGCAAATACTCGGCCACGGTTGGTGACTATAAGAGCATGTTCGAGGCCCGAGGTTATATCCATAACCCTTTCACCCCAGCTTAAAGACGGGATGCCCAATTTGCGGTATGAGGCAGTGGATGGTGAGGACCACAGGCCAAACCACGAAGATGACTCAGTTCTGGTGCTTGCGGCTTGATCGGTACTTGAAGCTGGGATGGAGTAAACAGTGCCATTTTTTCCAAGAGCAAGCACTCTATCGCACGATACAGCAAGCTTGATCAGGTCTTTGCCCTTCAGCGTCGTTGTGGGCTTGGGATCGACCAAGGAAAACCCCGTGCCCCATTGTACAAGGTCGCCGTTCTCCATGAGCGCGGCACCAAATTCGCGGTCAAGCTTCACGTCCCTCAATAATTGTCCATCAAAAAATGGTATGCGCCTGGGTGTTTTGATGACATTCTCTGTTGAGTTCGGTGCGGCAACTCTCCCGCCATTTGATCCCCAGGCGTACAGGCCAGGTTTCTCCCAGCTCTTCTTTACCTGACGGTGTTGACTACTAATCAAGTCACGGTTGTCTTCTTTCGATTCGGGAACGGGTCTAGGTTTCTCGTAGCTGATGGTTGCCTGCGCCGGTTTGGCGGGTTCTGTGACGTAGAATGGGTAGATGATGAAGACGGCGGTTGCGGCTACCAAAGCAGCTGCGAATCCTCCCACAAACCTGCCGGCACCTCCGCGTGGTCCTGGTCCCTGCGAGCTCGCGTATCGAATTGATTGGCGTGTGAGTAGACTTTTCGACGCAAGAGAACGACAAGTGAGAGGTGCACGGCGTAATGCAGCCCGATAGAGAGGCATATCGACGATATATATAACCCGATCGAACAGATCGTGGATGGTAAAAGGTTTAGCAACCCAATTGGTCCTCAACACAATCGAACTATCTCAACCACCAGAGCGAATTGGTGTCTGAACATTTTTACTGTTGGATGGGTCGGATCTAGCAGTCGTGAGGTCATGCAAAACGGCTTTGGGCTCATTGGAAGCTGCAGTTTTAGCCCCACCACAGCTTCCCAGGTCCGTGCTGATATCCTGGTCGATGTCGCTTGTGCCACAGGGTTCATCCCCCAACCTGGAGAACCCCACCTGCCCGCAGCGGTTGTCGGCCAAAGTCAAAGTCCGACCGATGTGGACTACGCTTAGCTTAACTTGACGTTTGGTGGCATAATCCCAGGCGGAACTGAAAGAGACGTAGCAATTACCAGACGGTATTTTCAGACCAGCTGAGAAGATGTACGAAGACTCTTGGTATAGCTTTGTGCCAGAGATCTCACACAAGAAGAATGTTTCGATCTCGCAGACGGCGGTACACAGAAGGCGAGAGTCGCTTTTACAACAACCCAACGTTTGTGCTGTCCTTAACCCTCGCTCAGTTGCGATTGTGATGCTGAAGTCGGCATTCAGGGCACAAACCAAACCGAAACAATAGGCCCGCTCGAAGGACTTCTTGAAGAAGCTGAGATATCCGATGATCCTCCAGAACCTATCCTGAGCAGAAGAGTCAAATCATATTCCGATTTCTACCATGTCGTTCGATCCCAGCTATCCAAGGATGCCTCCAAGAAACAGAAGAGGCAGAAAAAGGACAAGAGCCTGGAAGCTATTTTGCTTGAGAAGCCAGATAATAATACCTCTGGGAAGCATGGCTCGTTCCAGGACGACTCGTTTCACGACGAGTTGTTGGAAGCAAGCCAGCAAGAGTTCCTACTCTACCGAGAGCAGCTGGCCATGACAGAAAGACATCTTGGTGCTTTGATTGATGATACCGATGATGCTCTGAAGCTTCTGGAGACATTGGCAACATCTTTCCGCTCAGTGGACATCCAGACATCCTCGTTCCAAGCTCAATGCGACGACCTAATTTCCGAGGAGACAAGATTGCAGAAACTGGCAGACGAGGTGGGAACGGATCTGCATTATTACGCATACTTAGATGGTGTAACAAGACGATTGAACGCCCCTGGAGCAAGCCGTTTAGTCGACCATGAAAACTTCGCTGAAATATTGACGAATACTGACGCGTGCATTGGGTTCATGGCCAAGCATGTAAGTCATCCACTGGTTCCGCCTGCGAGAAAATTTTGCTAACCATTTAAGCCGACTCATCGAGATGCCGAGTCATACCTGGCACGCTACCAATCTTCCCTCGCCAAAGCTCTCCATTTACTCGAGTCCGGGTTCACAAGTCATCTGGAAACAGTATCCTCCGAGATCTCGAAGCAAATATCGTCTACGCAGTCCGAAGCTGCTCGTCATGCTCTTGCGTATGGTCGGTTCCAGGAGCTAGTACTCGATGCGGATGGATTAGTCGGTAACGTCCAGAAGGTCATCCGCAGCTGCTATGATCAGCTGGGAAATCCGGTTGATGGACAAAACTTCGACTACTACTCCAACACATCGATCAACATTTTCTCCTCCTACTCGGATGTCAGAGACAGAGATCTGAGACCAATAACCCAACACGACCTCGAGACGTTTAAACGAGAGGCGAAGGAGGCGAATGCCCAAACTGCGTCGCGCAACTTCATCAAGCAATGCTACGAACGGTCCTTCAATGAGTTTGGTCTCTTTGCCCAAATATTCTCTATTGAACCACAGTTCAGCATGGATGGCAAATCGGCATATGCAGCGTTGAGGACGCAGCAAAAAGCACTGGTCAGCGTTGCGAATGTAGCGCCCATTGCGAATACGCTCTATCCCGTGTTGCAATTAAGTGACCTTCGCACCATTTGCAACATTGTTGGGTGGATTACCAATGAATATCTCCTTCTAGAGTATGACGAGGAGGAATCTCGGTATACGCAGCATTGCCAGCAACTGTCTGCGCGGCTGTTACTAGAACATCTATGGCCGTTGACAGACAAAGCGTTCGAAAACGAGATCACGAAGTCTATATCCAAGCATCCCTTGTCCCCAGAGACTTTGAAAATTGGCCCTGTTGTCAACGGTGTGGCGTCTTCGAACGCCCACCCCATTACAAAACGGGCCCTTGAGCTTCTCGGCATGTACGATCAAGCGATGCCGAAAGAGCGCAGTGTAAGTCTTCTCAGCAACTGATACCGACCCAAGTGACTAATAGAATCTCAGCAAAAGTCAAGTCCGGTCATATTCCGCATAGTTCACGAGACAATATTGGCGTTACAGCGTGCAGAAGCACGCCTGAAAGCCATCAAATCGGCGAACCCCGACCCTGACCCGGATCTTTTCATGATAAAGAATCTCCTTATCCTCAAGAACGAGTTAGTGTCTCTCGAGATCGGCGATATTCGCTCTGAAACTGCCGCCATGCAACACTTCGGGCAAATCTGGGACACATTGAGCCCACAAAACTGGATGGGATTGTTCCGCGGAATTCTCGGTGGTAGCTTGTCCCTCGGTCTGTGGTCTTCGGCCGCAAATAACACTGCGGCCAACGGTAAAACTGCACCAGCCAAGGATGTGGTGCGGGACGCAAGCGAGAAGCTGGATGAATTATTGAGGCAGAATATCTACGCATTTACACAACGCTGGGGTGCGTTGATCAATGCAGCGAGGAGTGGAAAGAAAGGCGCCAAGAGCCTGGGTACCGTCGAGAAGGAGCTGGATGTGAGGCTTCTAGCAGCGTTTGGCGGCCAGCCTGAGGTCTTGGGCAAGTTGAAGGAGGCTATTCAGATTAATGCCCAGGCGCAAAAGGAGCTTGGTGGCACTAGAGGTTCGAGATAGGGATGTACTGCTATCCGAGTAAGAAGACCAAGAACCTTCCCGCGCTTGTTGAGCAACATCAATCGATGTTGTGTCGATATTTGATTATCCTCGTAAATCTGTCAATCATTGAATTTGCCATGGAATTGGAGAAATTATGGCGGTTGTACCACATACTTAGCCATATGTACCATTAATATGATGCTGCAGACTGAGAAGAATAGGACAACTGGAAACCTACTCAGCAACTACCATCAAGAGTCATCCCGTCGAGGAAACAAGAAAAAGGAAAACAAAACAAATGCTCGGCACCAAGGCAAGAGTAAATCTTGTGCAACTAACGAAGCTTACTAAAGTGCATAACAAAGCACGTCATTTGCCAGTGCCCGTGCATAACGGGGCCCGTAGACCCCGAAAGTCTGATAAGTATCTCCTGCATCGGCGGGACACCTAAATAATAATTTCAAGCTTCGTGATAGCTAAGTTTACGACGACCTAACCACATTCACACCCCAATCGGATCTTGCTGGCAGTTTTTGAAGTCAAGCTTCCGCAACGACCACAGGGAAATTACGATCTAGTCATCTCCTCGGCCGCAAGTCGAGCGAGTGAGGGGCAGGATGGCGGACGCAGCTGTTGATGCCGTCGAGATTCAGGGCGGTGCAAAGCAGACGGCCAAGGACTTGTTTTCTGGCGCGGTGGGAGGAATTGCGCAGGTGTTGATAGGTTGGTGCTTTCCACTTCCAGTCGTTTGGGTGCTTGCGAATTGGGTTAAAGACACATATGGCGCGGTTGAGAGGTGAACTGGCGGTATGCACATCTCAAGCGAGATCTGATGCGTCGTCAATACAGCATGGAAATAGAGATCTCACTGATTCACCCTGGGGCGCATACCGGATGCTCTCGAGTCAGGCCATACGATCACGTTCTGCCTGTGACAAGGACTATATCCATCGCGCAACTCATTTTGTCATCTCTCACATCTCATACTAACCCCCCTCGCAGGCCAACCCTTTGACATAGTCAAAGTCCGCCTCCAAACCGGAACGCAATACACCTCCGCCCTGGAAGCGGCGCGCTCTATCTACGCCAAAGAAGGCCCCCTAGCCTTCTACAAAGGCACCCTCACACCCCTCCTCGGCATCGGCGCCTGCGTCTCCATCCAGTTCGGCGCCTTCGGCTTCGCCAAGCGGTACTTTGAGACCTCCAATGCCCAAAAGTCCTCATCTCCTCTTCTACCCCCCAGGAACTAAGCTATGGCCAATACTACGCGGCAGGCGCTTTCGCGGGCGTCGCGAACTCCGTCATCTCGGGCCCCATCGAGCACGTCCGCATCCGGCTACAAACCCAACCCCACGGCGCGGCGCGTCTGTACAGCGGGCCCCTCGACTGTGTGCGCAAGCTATCCTCACACGGCGGCGTGCTAAAGGGTCTCTACCGCGGCGAAGCTGTGACGATCTATCGCGAGGCGCAAGCGTACGGTATGTGGTTTATGTCGTTCGAATGGATGATGAATGCACACGCGGCGCGGAACAAGATCGAGCGGAAGCAGATCCCGCCTTACATGATTGCGTTCTACGGTGGACTTGCGGGCGAGGCCTTGTGGTTGGGGAGTTACCCACTTGATGTCGTCAAGAGCAAGATGCAGACGGATGGGTTTGGCAAGGAGCAGAGGTATAAGACTATGCGTGATTGCTTTACGCAGACGTGGAGGGGGGAGGGGATGAGGGGGTTTTGGAAGGGTATTGGGCCCACGCTGTTGAGGGCTATGCCTGTGAGTGCGGGTACGTTTGCCGTGGTGGAATTGACGATGAGGGCTATCAGCTAGGGTCAGACGTTATGCCATTTATGGATATACTCAAACATTCAACATTGGACTTCCACGAGAACATGTGGCTCACATATCATTTATTGCTTGTTACGGAACCAAGTCCTAGTCCAAACTCCAGAGAGTCAGACTACTCGCTGTACTCCACCCGTCTCTGGAGAATCCTCCTCGCATTGGCCGGCTCGAGAGTCACGATGCCCAATTCTTCCAACAACTTCCTTGCCTCCGTGTTGTCAGTGAACACTCGATCACTCGCCTGTTGAAGAGTCATGTCTCCGATTTCTGCTTCAACCGGTAAACTAAGAAGCCTAGCTCCTTCTTGCAGTTGTGTTAACGTCACAGAGATTCCCGATATGTAACCATCTACTAGCTCGGAGATCTCTTGCAAATCACGTACGAACTGGGCCGCTCCCAGCGTGGTGAAGTTCTGCCGTATGAGTACCTGTGACCACAGCGTCTCTTGCAGGCTTTCCAGACCTTCCCGCCAGGTCCTGCGGTAGACTGCGGTGCTGAGGGCCGAGGCAAAGAATTTGAGATTTTGCTTCATGACCTAGTGAGTGTCAGTGACGCGTTGCTTTTCAATGTCGTTATTTTCACTCACCCGTAATGGCTCAACAAGTTCAGCTGTCACTCCCAGTTGTGATGGATCAACTATTCCAGTTAGCGGCCAACCCCAAAAAATGCGCGTTGATATTTCTTACCAATGCCACCGTTATTATTGACAAGGGACCATTGCGGTCTTGAGAGGTAAGGACGAAAGGCAGTCTGGTTCGACTCGATCAAAGCGGCCACGAGGAAAGCTCGCGCGCTATCCCTGCGTTTGCTGTAAAACTTTATGGTTTCGTCAAAGATGGTGCCATCGCCGTCCGAGCCAATGTCAGAAGATGTGTGGTCTCTGACATGATCGTAGCTCATCCCACCGACAAGGTTAGTCTGGTCGTCCGCCTGCTTGGCTCGATCTTTCAACTCCTCCCAGAGTATGATGAAGAACTACGATTATTAGCAAGTTTTCATCATAATCAAAATGGAATGCTCACCTCTTCATTGCCCCAATCTTTTAAAGTATTGACAATGTGATCAGAACTCCCCTGCACTTTGCATAGCGTCTCGAATGCTCCAGTCCCCTCCAATGCTGCCAGCTGTTCCTTCGTAACACCTTGAAGCATGCGAGCAGCAGGGGATATCAAGGACGAGTAAGCCTCGAGAGAGTTCAACAATCGAGTGTGGTACTGGTCAAGGATCTCTTGTTGGATGTCGATCAGGAACCGCACTTTGTGAGGGAGTCTCCGAATTCTCTCGTACTGGGTCGTCACCGACCTCAGCAGATCCGTCACTCGTACTGCCCCGAAAGTCGGTTTCATCTTGCCGGGACCACTGTAATCGTAGTCGATGCTGTGAGCATCCGGTGCGCTCATTATGGTCTGGTAACGTTGAAGAGCGAAATCTTTCTCGGCCCTCAACCATTCTCTGAAGTGCTTGTCTAATACTTCGGAGGCAAGGCCAGCCCATCCGTTCTCTGGATCACCTCCGTCATAGTTGAACCTCGTCCGGATTGTATCATCAAAATTCATCAGCTGGATCATGAGGCTACTCAAATACTGTGGATGTTTCAATCCATGTCGAGCAACAATGTCGACCTTCTCCCTCATAACTGGCAACATGGAGGTAATGAGCGCACCGGCAGGGTCCATATACACGGCTTTGTCTCCAGCTTTTGTCCCCTGAAATCGGGACGCGAGGACATGCCCGAGGTTTTCTCGAAAGAATTCCTCCCATTTGTCGATCAACGAAACAAAGTTAGGTATGCAAAATGTGCCAAAGGCCGGATGAGCACTAGTTGCATTGTCACCCATGAATTGAAAGCGGAACCACTGCACAAAGGGCCTCGCCATGACATCGATGGGTAGGAGAGTGACCACACTTTCCGAGTAGAGCACCTCGGGGATCTGCAGGTCGGCCAGCTTCTCGAAGCATTGTATCCACTCGTCGTCCATCTCTGCGTGCGCATCAACCCCCTGGGGCCATTTGCGCTTCTCCAGAATAGCCCCCATTTCTCCGGCCATGATCTTTTTCATCTCGTCCCAGACGCTGGCTGTAACTTGCTCAACGTAAGTGACCAAATGTCCAGCGGCATCGTCTGCGGGGCCCTGAAGCTCCCGAAGCCGTTTGGACAGCTTCCTCAGCCTTGTATACGGCTGTAGCGCAGCTTTCGGGCTCTGGGGCAGGTGTGATTTGGCCGCCAGGCGCATGTTCTCGACGTCCTGCAGCAATGACACGTACTGGTACGCCAATCCAACCTTGTGTAGCTGCTGCATTGGCGTCTCGAGCCGTCGCATCGCTTCATCTGGGGCATCTGAGGCAACCACGATTTGCAGTCGTACGTCTATGCTTTGCTGGAGCTTCTCAAAATCATCGATCTGTTTTGCAAGTCTACCTTGGCGGTCCAGTGCTGATTGGCGTACGTCTTCGAGGGTTTGCGTGGCATCTTCGAGCTGTGCTTGGAGCTGGCTTCGCTGCAGCTCGATGTTGGCGATCAGGCTGTCTAAGCTTTCCAAGTCGGCAGTTGACTGCAGTTTGTCATCCTGTTGTGAGAACAGGAGTCAGTCGATGCTTCCAAAGGTCGTAGATGGCCTTAACCCCGAAGGAAGCAACTGCTGCTTCAACTCAAAAAGTGGGAAGGGAAAATACCAAGTAATCCTCGAGTCGGATATCGGGCTCCATCGACTCGGACCGGTTGAGAGTGAGGGCAGACATCGTGGCAGGTTAAGCCTGTAGCGGTTTTGGTGTTGTAGAACACAGCTTCGTGCAAGTTGTAAAACGACAGGACAAGGTAAATAATGCGTGGCTAGTGGAATAACATTAGACATCGAATGTTAGACATAGGACGAGGCGTAGTTGTTCGACCTAGGAGTGTATGCACCTGTCCATTCTGTCAACTGCTTGCTTCCAAGGCACATTAAGCTAGCTGTGCTGTCGCCATGAGATCCTGTTGTTTGACTTCAATCCATAGGTTCAGGCCATTGGCGGGTCGGCTCAGTCACCCCACACTGGCTCCATACTTGCATAAATCGTGTTAAATGCAACGTACTTGTAGGCTTATGTTTCCTTGCAACATGGACGAATCGTCCTCCAACGACGTTTGAAAATCAAAGAGTAGAATGGTACACACTCATCTCCATAGTCATGACTGCTTTGCAAACTTGATGTATACTGATGACGATACTTTGCAGAGATCCAGCCTATTAGATATGTCTCATCAACTGCTGTTATGATCATACGCAGCTTGCAGTTGAGCCTTCTGGCGGCTTCTGCTTCTCAGTCTCGCTTTAATGAAGTTCGGGATAGGATATCGAAGCCTTCCGTTAATTCCATCTTGCGTCGATCAGCTTCTGGTGGGATCGCAATGTATAATCTTGTAGACCCTAAGAAACTGTGTAGGTGCTACGGGGCGCGATGTATCGCAGTGAAGAAGTTAGCTCTTACCACGGAAATTCCCAGTCATTTATTCTTCAACAAAGGTTGGTGACGCTTCGAAGTTCGAGTCCTTCTGAGATGCGCGTGGGGCCTGAAAGCTTGTATCGTGATTCAATATCATCCCACGCGACTGAAGCGGTTTGAATCCGGGACGCAGCCGGTAGTGCTCGCCTTCGGCCACTGAGGCTGCCCCATCATATCTAAACACAGAATAATAGTGTCGATCCTGCAACACCAGAGAGCTAAGCTTTGCGGGGAATACGTCAGATTGGGGCGCCACTGGCAGGTAGGCTGCTGTGGGGTATACCCGGAGAGATCCAAGAGGTTGATGAGGCCAATGCGGAAACACAGGGTTATCTTGGGATAGACAGGGGGGTCTTGGGTTGGTCTTCACTACTCTCGATCCATTTGTGTTCATGGAAGGTATATATCTTGTTCGTCGTGCGAGCGTTAAGTTTTCGCCTTGTGAGTTACATACATCTATTCCTGTAAAAAGCGTTCATACCACCTCCAATAAGTTGGCATCATATAGCAAATATACGAGAAACCCGATAGATTCCAATATGGTGCAATCTGACGACAATCAAAGACGATCGTTTGGAATCGGTGGCGCTGGAAACATTCGTCAGTGTCTGCGGAGCCCTTCATCAAAATTTATCTCCTGCCTGCTACGTACAGCCTTGCTAACGGTGGTCCACAGGCACTCGTGCCGAGGCGATGATACACGATGCCACCCCGACACACAATAAGAAACTCCGTGGGAGCAGTGCGTTAAGCACCAGCTCAAATACAAGCAGTGGCAGGAGGCCGTCCAGGGTGTTTGATGGATTTAAGAACGTGTTTCGGCGGTCGTCTTCCGCCGAGGGATCGGAGGAGGCAAAGTGAGGAGTGACTCACCCAGCTGATATCATGGTTAGAGGATATTCCAATCTGTTCTCGATTATATGATCCAGTTTTATGAGTTCAGTTTTTGATCAACACATCATTCCTCCTCCTTGTCTTGTCCCTTCCAAGACGAATGTACGTCATGATAACCTAAGGCAATGTCATTCCCAAGCCCTGCCGCTGTCCTGCTGTAATCACCGAATAGTTTTGATCAAATTGTATTGAAATGGACAAAATGATATCGCCCGCACGAAGTCTGCCAGCATTCGTCTCAAAAAGCACAGCAAATGGTACTTCCACATTGCTAAGCTCAAGGGCATAGCTTGATTTGATCGTAAAATGCCCAGGATGGTACGTGGGAAGTAGATAAAACCCATCACTGACTCAATATTCCATGCGTTATCATCTCGTTCGATCCACGTCACTCTAGCCGGAGCCGAGCCGGTAGCGGCGGAGAAGCCGAAGGCAGGACGGTGCCACATAAAAGTGAGTATTCAGCCCCAAGCACAACGTATCATCACATTCGAAGCTAGAAAATTGCCATTGTTATTGAGTTTACTCACCAAAGGAATAAAAGGAAATGAATAATGAATAGTGTCTGCCTCGAAAAACTGCAGCAATATGCAGCAGGTGACTTGGGCAACCGGCCCGAACCGGTGGGAACTTCGGGGCCCCCGCTACGTGAAGCCGTTGCAATCCCAGACCGCATAAATAGCGCGCCGGTATCTCTTCCCTGACAAGTCACTTCGCTGTTATTCCGGAAAAACCAACACATCCTACTGCAATGGCACCGAATATTCGGGTGGCAGCTTGCCATGTATCGCCCATATTCCTCGACTGCATGGCCACGGCCCAAAAATGCATGGAGTTGATTCGGGAAGCGGCCCGCAACGGCGCCAACCTAGTCGTCTTCCCCGAAAGCTATATCCCGGCCTTTCCTCTGTGGTCCAGCTGCATAACGCCCGCGGAGAACCACGCCTACTTTGTGCGGATGGTAGAGGAATCACTCTACGCCGATGGCGAAGTCTTGGCAGCGATACGCATTGTAGCTAAGCAGTATAGCATCGCCATCTCTATCGGTTTCTCCGAAAAAGTACGTTACAGCAGTGCGACATTGTTCAATTCCAATATCATCATCGGCATAGATGGGAGCATACTCGCTCATCACCGGAAACTCGTGCCTACCTTCTTCGAGAAACTGACGTGGGCGCCTGGGGACGGAAATGGGTTGAAAGTGGTCGATATCCCTAGCACTGCTGGTACGGAAGGGCAGGAAGCGAGGACCGTCAAGGTTGGGGTGCTCATTTGTGGAGAGAACACTAACCCGTTGGCACGGTACTCTCTCATGGCGCAGGGAGAGCAGATTCACATCACGACTTGGCCGGCAAAATGGCCGACGAGGATGGTTCATGAGCCAGTGGAGAACAATCCCACAGAGCCTGAACATGGTAACAACGCCTCTGCAACGACACATGGAAAATACGACAACGTATCCGCGAACAGGACCAGAGCAGCCGCGCACAGCTTCGAAGCCAAGTGTTTTAGCATAGTCTGCTCGGGCTTTATGTCGGGCGCCATAGTGGACGACCTGGTGCTGAATGCGCCGGACTACATGAAGAACGTCGTTTCGGAGACGATCAGGCACTCTACCCAAGCAGAAAGCCTTTTTATTGATCCGTCGGGGTCCGTGCTACCGGGGTTCACCATTGGACGAGATGGGCAGAGGAAGGAGGTGACGTCGCTTCAGTATGAGGAGGGCATCCTGTATGCTGATTTGGATATGGGTGCTACGATTGAGGGGAAGCAGTTCCATGATGTGGTGGGTGGGTATCAGAGGCTCGATGTATTTGAGCTGAAGGTGGATACTACGAGGAGGAATCCGGTGACTTTTAGAGAAATGTCCGAGATGCAGAGCCAGAAAAGTTGATAGGTTATCGGCTGTTTACTGTACAGTTATTCGTAGTTCTTCAGAAATGGATCAGACACGTATGCCTTGGTCCAGCGACCATACTCCAGAGCCGTTGCAGCCAAGGTATAGGAGCGGTTCGACTGGCTTTCAACCAGAGTCCCACCCCTGGGGCTCTCGTTGGAGGTTTGTTGATATTAGTCTGTATTTCCCATCAATCAATCGACAAGACATCACTTAAGTTCAAATTGGTGGTTGGTAAGATCAAGGGAAAGGGGGCCACTTAACGATGTTGCTACTGTGCTTGGTTCAAGAAGAGTTGGACTGAGTCGTTGATGCTGAAAATTATGTGCAAAAGATGCGGCTGGTATTTATGATTCAGTATTATCGTGAATAGACTCTCGCCTTATCAACTGTCTATGAAGTCTAACTTGCAGGTTGAGAACCAAGGATATGAACGAACTCAATGCCAAGAGAGCTTGTCATGTCGGTCTCCCAAGGAGCTACCCTGTAGCGTACCCCTAACCAAGCGGGACCGTGGCGGGGTAGCTGCTGATCAGCGTATGTGTTTCAGCCCCTCCAACAGGTCACCTTCATACAGCCCTAAACTCATTATCGTCTTCATATAAACGCCTCCTTAAAGCATCGGTTTTGGACCAGTTGGATTACGGATTGTGGGAATATACCACTGCGAAACCCTCAAAACTCTTCTCCACGTATTGTTCCGCACAAGCGTTGCAAGATGGCCCCTCATGAAGGACTCGTTCACATGAAGGAGTATGACTGGAGGGATAGCAACGTGGAGGTGAGTATCAATCCCTCACTACTTTATGTGTCATGTGAGGCGTTATTAAAAATTATTAATTCACCAAAATCACCATAGCTCATCGGATCAGACATCGACCACCAAGTCAAGTACAAATCCGCCACCACCGAGCCCGCCTGGAACGACGGCCAAGTGGGCGAAGCTGCCGGCCTCTACATCTGGCGCATTGAGAACTTCGAGGTCGTTCCCTTGCCCAAGGAGATATATGGACAGTTCCGCTCAGGCGACTCCTACATTGTGTTGCACTCCTTCAAAGCCGGCACCAAGGATGGGCAGGAACAGCTTCTCCACGACATTTTCTTTTGGCTCGGCAGCAAGACGACACAGGACGAGGCCGGCACTGCGGCCTACAAAACGGTCGAGCTGGATGAGTTCCTGCACGGGGTCGCGACGCAGCATCGCGAATTGCAGCATGAACCCTCTGAGGACTTCGTGGCGCTGTTCCCGCGCATTTCTATCCTGTCTGGGGGTGTGAGGTCGGGATTCACGCATGTTGACGTGGATGAGAAGCCGGAAGAGCATGTCATGCTGCTTAGAATCTTCAAGCACCCTTCTGCTGGAAGGGCGGACTCCATCATGGTACATGAGGTCGAGCCGACGTGGCAGTCCCTCGACGACGGGGACGTTTTCGTCCTTGAGAAGGGCGATAAGATTTGGCAGTGGCAGGGGAAGAATTGCAGTCCCATGGAGAAGGCCAAGGCGGCACAGGTCGTTCATGATATGACGCTTGCTAAGCATGTCGATGTGGAGGTGGTGTCACAGACGGAGTCAAGATCGCGCGCAGTACGCAGCTCTGTTTTTTTCCGACCCGTAATCTAGATTTACCGCAGGGGATAATTGTAACTGACACACTCATACAGCTCGTCAATTTGCTAGGCGGACAGGATGCCGAACAGACCAGCTTCGAAGCGCCTCGGCCCGTCGGCTCTTCGCGCAAAGCGGACGGCCAGTCAAGACCTCGCAGGTTGTACCGACTCTCGGACGCATCAGGGCAGATGACCTTTGACATCGTCAAGGATGGAGAGCCAACGAGCAAGTCAGACCTCAGGGGTGAAGATGTGTTCTTGCTCGACACGGGTAGCGACATCTGGGTCTGGGTGGGCTTGAACGCAAGCAAGGCTGAGAAGTCAACTTGGATCAAGGTGGCCCAGATGTACATTCGCCAGTACGCCGAGGCACCCAACAGCGCAGAAGCGTTTGCTGCGCCGGTGTCGAAGGTGGTTCAGGGTCATGAAAGTCCGGCTTTCCTCAGGGCTCTTGAGGTGTAGACATACTACTTTGGTACAGGGAAATCATGCATGTGATGAGGTCTTTGTCAACTGGCCATTATTTTTATGTACTTATTCTAATAAGTGACTGATTTGTATCTGCATAGTCGTCCTAGTCCCTCATCTATTTATACGACATAATGGACCGGTGGACCATTCTAGATTGCCGCGGGATCATCATTTGCTACTTCAGCCCTAGGTCCCAGCATGCAAAGAACGAGTGGTATGCAATAGGCCTTCATCTCTATGTTTCTTGAACAGAAAAGAGGATTCCTTTCTTGGCAGAAAGGCGGCGATGTCACCCTGCAACATGCCACGACAACATGGTTCCCCTCATTCGCTACCAGGAACGTTCTTGCATTGAATGCACGCGTCGTATACGCAGTTTCTTGTTTACAATTGTTCAACAATTTTATTCGTCCAGTCCTGTGTAGCTTCACCTATATAACATGAGGACATTGCGGCATGGAAGGCGGTATGGAAGGACAAAATATTGGCCTGACATGTCCTAACGCACTCCCTAGTAACTTGTGAACACCATGTTGCGCTCATCCCTTCCCTTCTTCCTGCTGTTCTTGATTGCTTCTTTTGGGGAATCGCAACATCAGCAGTTATTTTCAAGTGTTTTCGGATACCCAGGCGTGGATGCTTCATATGACTACGTCGGTGCGTATTACATTATGCTGTTCTACAGAACTCTGGCTAATGGAATGTGTAAGTTGTTGGAGCCGGGGTCGGGGGATCAGTCGTGGCATCAAGACTGGCCGAAGATGGAGCATCGGTAGCTCTCGTTGAAGCGGGAGGCTTCTACGAAGTCGAGAACTCTAATCGATCAGTTGTGCCCCTTCTGTCATTGACGGGAATCGCATTCATCGACCCCTCGGAAAACTTTACTCAGCAGCCTTTGATGGACTGGGGATTACTCTCTGAGCCAATTCCTGGAGCTGCGAATCGGAGAGTGCACTACGCCCAAGGTAAGACGCTTGGGGGCTCTTCTGCCATCAACACCATGTCGTACCTGCGAGGTTCTAAGAGCTCGTATCAGCGGCTGGCAGACATGGTAGACGACCAGAGCTGGGCCTTTGACAATCTGTTGAAATACTTCAAGAAGTCTTGCCAGTTGGCTCCGCCAAACTTGGAGAAGCGTAACTCGACAAATGCTACTGTTATATACGATCCAGCCGCATTCGATCCCAGCGGAGGGCCTCTACAAGTTTCGTGGAATAACTGGGTTGATCCAACGCTTACCTGGATCGCCAAGGCTATCGAAGAGATTGGGCTTCCTCTTAGTTCGAAGGGGTTTAGCAGTGGCGAGCTCGTTGGTCATGGTGCTTGGATTCCCTCTACGATAGATCCGACCAACGCTCATCGGTCGTCGGCTGAGAGCAGTTTCCTGCAGAATGCGATTCGGAACAGCAGTAATTTGGCAATTTACACGCATACACAAGCCACGAGAATACTTTTCGACTCTTCAAGCCCACCAAAAGCCACGGGCGTCATTGTGAATACGCAAGGGGTAGAGTATATCATTTCGGCTTTCAAAGAAGTCATTATCTCTGCTGGGACCTTCCACTCGCCACAACTTCTTATGGTTTCCGGTAAGAACATTCAATACTCATGAACACAATATCGATTATTTTCAATTTTAATCTATCTATTCATAGGAATTGGGCCAAAAGCGACCCTTGACACTCGTGTCATCCCCCTGATTGTCGACCTACCCGGGGTGGGTCAGAACCTATCGGACCCTATCCGCGTCTCAATAGCCAACTCAGTCAGCACCTCCAGCGGTCAGACATTAACTGGAAATCTTGATACAGCTCCAGGCTACGTCCAACAATATCTTGACGACGCATCCGGGCCCTTCAGTTCAGCAGCAGACTACATAGCAGCCGAGCGCATCCCCTATTCATTCCGCAAAAACTTCACCACAGAGACAAAAGATAAACTAGCCACCTACCCAGACGACTGGCCAGAGACTTTGTACATCCCCGCCAGCTTCATTGGCGCCAATTTCTCCACGATTGGCAGCACCACGGCTTGGATGCCCATAGCGTTCTCTCGCGGCAGCGTGAGCATCACTAGTGCCAGGATGGCCGATCCGCCATCTATCTCACTGAACTGGCTTTCCGATCCCGCCGATGCGGAAATCGCGGTTGCGGCCTTCAAGCGCCTCCGTCATGTGTGGGATACTGACGCTGCGAACACGGTCAAGTTGGGGGAGGAGCTGCTCCCAGGCCCGGGTGTTCAGACGGATGAGCAGATTTTGGAGTATGTTCGAGAGACAGCGGGACAGATTTGGCATCCTGTCGGTACCTGTTCCATGGGTCAAGAGGGTGATGAGGCTGCGGTGGTAAATAGTAAAGGCCAGGTCTTTGGTGTCCATGGGTTGCGGGTGGTGGATGCGAGCATTCTGCCTTTCACTATTCCTACTCATACGCAAGGGACTGTATATGCGCTGGCCGAGAAAATCGCGGATGATATCAAGCAGGCAGCTTGAGCTAAATTAAATACAGAGCGTTTCTTGTATCTAGTGCCGTAAATTAATCGGATTGAACACCTCAAATAGAAAACATTTCTCCCCACCCCTTAACCGTCCCCCTTGCCCACCCCTTCAGCCTCAACATATCCCATATCACAGTCGCCACCGTATCCAGCACCGGCACCCCGTACTCCTCCTCCCACCTCACCGCCCTCTGCGCCGCAATCAAATTCGTGCAAAACGTCGAGACTGCCTTTACTCCGCCCTTTCCCTTTTCCATCACCTCCTTGACCTGGCGATCCAAGGTTGCCTCATCAATATCCGCAATCTTCACATTCTCCGAGACTCCCAAATGGCTCTCCGCGACGACCTCATACCCCGCTTTAGAGTACGTCTCGATGATCCTCGCCTGCACATCGTCCAAATACGGCGTCACGAGGCCGAACGTCTTCACACCCAAGGAATCCAGCGCCCGATTCAACGCGAGGGTTGATGTGGTAGCCGGGACACCAAATGCATCAGTGATGGCTTGACACAATTTCTCGTCCTCGTCGAAGCCGAGCCAGCCGCCTGAAGTGCCGCTCCAGCCTATTACGTCGACGTTGGCGTCGGTCAGGAGACGCGCGGCGGACAGGATGGGGCCGTTGGTATTGAATTGGGAAAGGGCTGTGGGGTCCAGGGAAATCTTGGTTACTGGGAAGCGGGAGAAGTGGACTGTGACTAAGGGAGCGAGGCTGGATACTATGGCGGTTGTGAGGGGTTCTAGGGCGGTATTGGAGGAGGGGACTAGGATGCCTAGGCGAAGGGGTTTGGGGGTGGCCATTGTGAATGCGTGTTTGGTGGTGAAATTAGGGATTTCATGAGTTGATGCCGGTAACGACCCATCGACTGGCGACCTGTGGATTTGCAATACCTGTGTCCCACGCTGCTCTTCCTGGTTGGGCAGGGAGGCTGGTTAAGATGAAAGCTCCTCGGCATCGCCGTTGTGGGGAGATTGGACCGAGCTGCGACAGCCGGGTTCGTCGGGACACCTCCGATCACTTACAAGCTGCTCCGAATGGAGCAAACAGTTCATTGAGGCAACACCTTTATTTCGGCTCCTGGGCTGTTATTGGGATCTTTTCAACATGATAAGCCCATTTTTCTTTTCTTCACTTGTACATTTCACAAACACATTCGATATTCCCGTTATGGAACAGTTCCCTGCTAGCCGGGAATCGTTATCGGAGCCGCGATGCCACGCTCAGCCGACAAGGCAGTCTCACATCTTATCGCTTGCCAAGCGCATCGAGTGATTGCATCGCAAGATATCATTGGTGATTGATCTATATATTGTGGTAACCTCATGAAATACTCGGACCCGACTTGTACTTTTTGGGTTGTTGAAGTGGGAAGATGATACGCCTGATATGGCTGGCGAAACCGCGTGCAGCCATAATAGAATGAACTAACATGTATTAGGCTAACCGCATTGCTCTTATAAGACTTTGCTGTTCTCACGGTCTCAATCTTGCGTTTTCTCGATCGGTAGTACCTGTATCATCATGGCCACTTCCAGGCTCAGACACGTCCTGAGGACGAAAGGGACAAATGGCACAGAGGGCCACGAAAAGCCATACGGAAAGCTATCCAACGAGGACCTAACTCCCACTCCACCCAGCCAGCGCAACTGGTCTCCCAGTGAGATCTCCAGTCCTCCCGGCTTATATCAAGACGTGTATATCTAACCATTCCCACCAGTGTACTTCTTCGCCTTCCAATTCTCCATCGCCTTTTCCCCCACAACCTACAACATTGGCTCGTCCCTCTTCGCCGTCGGTCTCAATTGGTGGACTATCATCATCGCCGCCTTCGTCGGTACCGGCCTCTGCTGTGGCGTCCTTTATTTAAACTCCCGCGGTCCGTCATGGTACCACGTCGGCTTCCCTGTGTACGTCCGCGCGACGGCGGGTATCTACGGGTCTATGTGGTTTATTTTTATCCGCATGATCGTTGCTGTTTTCTATGAAGGGACGCAAACTTATTATGCTAGTCGGCTGTTGGGGGTTGCGCTCAGGGCCGTGTTTGGGAAGGGTTGGGAGAATATCCCGAATCATCTTCCTGAGGCGGCGGGGATCACGACGAGCCAGATGTTGGCTTTCTTCTTGACGTGGTTAATTCAGCTGCCCTCCGCGTGGATTCACCCGAGCAAAGTCGGGCCACTGTTTGTGGTTAAGTCTGTATTGTCGCCCATAGCATACTTTGTGACCATGATTTGGGCCGTCACGGCTTTCAAGGGCGTGGAGCTGGATCTGGGAAGTAAGACAACTACTGGAGGGGATCTCGGTTGGAGTTTCATGAAGGCGATTAACACCGTCGTGAGCGGAGTTGTGAGTTGTTTAAAATCTGGGAATTGACACAAATAGGATGATGTCGGACTGACTGAGGCTAGATCCCTCCAATGGTGAACATTGCCGATCTTGCGAGATACGGCAACCGACCGAAAGATGTCAACCCCCTGATAGCTGGCCTGTTCATCAGCAAGCCGGTGGTGATCCTCGTCGGTCTCTTCACCACCGCAGCGGGTGCCAAGCGATTCGGCGTTGCGAACTGGAACTTGTGGGATTTCTATAGTCTTGTACTGGTACGAAATCTTGAGATTCCTGCATTTCCCCTTCACCTATCTCGACACCAAAACGTTCCCAGTGGGATTCTTTAGGAACTTTATACTCATGAGTCATGCTTTATAACCCCTTAGTCGTCTCTTGAGACCCGGATTCCTTGTTTAAAGCAAACCCTAACTTCTGTGCCAGGACAATTACTGGAGCCCCAGCACCCGAGCTCTCATCTTCCTCGGAGCCTTCATCCAGGCCCTCGCGACAATATGCACCAACATCTCGAGTAACGCTATTCCCATCGGCTGCGACCTGGCGGGCCTCTTTCCATCCTACTTCACCATCGTCCGCGGCCAGATCATGTGCAACCTGCTCATTTGGGCCGTTGTCCCCTGGCTGCTAGTCAACTCAGCCAAGAACTTCATAACATTCTTAGACAGTTATTTGTGCTTCATCAGCCCGATCCTGGGATGCATGATTGTGGACTACTGGCTCGTTCGCAGGGGGAACATGCACATCCCATCACTGTACCGGCTTGAGCTCAGCTCTCCTTATTATTACACGATGGGATTTAACCTTCGCGCTTTTGTCGCATGGGCTTCGGGAGTGGTGCTCGTTATCAGCGGTATAGCAGGGGCTATAAGTCCGGGCTCTGTGAGCGATACGGCTGTTAACCTATACAACTGCGGCTTCATCCTCTCGTTCACGGCTGGGGCTGTGGTTTACTATGGTCTCTGCAAAGTATTCCCGCCGAAAATATATCCAGATGGAGTACATGAGCACGAAACCAATACTTGGGAGAGTTTGGTTCCTACAGAAGGCTTTTTCTATGATGATGTAACGATGCCAGAGTACATTAGGGAAAGGGTTGTCATTGGGGAGACATCGTCACCGGGGTTAGAACCGAATGCCAGTATTGCAAAGAAAGCTTAGGAAAAGCTCGCGAATTATTTGTATTCACAGATGCCGGCCTGACGTTACTGGGGATTTTGCGAAACTAAGCCAACCGATTGAGAAGTACTATGAGACTCTAGACCGGAAGCTTGATCTGGGAAGAGTAGGATGAGAATAACGTACTTGGGCACATTGGTCAGTTTAGTCGAATTTCGCAGAATGGCCAGCTTTTGGAGCGCCAATGCTAGTCTTACTTAACTTATAGTCTTAGCAGGTCGTTTTACTTCACAAAATTAGAAACCAAGTAGAATAATATTTAATATTACTCCACATGAGAACTATTTGGTGTTGGTGTGATGAGAACACCACACGAATTAATCACCTAGGCACGTACCTTTGTCGATCTTAAATGGCTGATTATAAAATGAGGCACAGAAAATTGGTTCCCGACAATGATAAGTCATATTTGGGCGAATAAGAGCATCTGGATCCAGAACTTGTCTCTCCACGGCGCCAACAGCGAAGGAGAGAATGTCACACAAGTGGTCAAATTGGGCCACTTCGTATTGGTTTAAAGCTGAAATGGTAGCAGTCCAATCTAGAAACTTATCAGATACTCACCACCTGCATTCTCTCATAGGAGATTGGTTCCTTTCATTGACTCCCACCATTCGCCGGCTTATACGATGTTCTATGCCCTCGTCCGCAAAAACCTTTCACTAAAGAAAAAGAAAAAGAGTCACAATTATAAACATAATCAATTTTGCCTTGAAACATGAACGAAGCTGGCCATATTCGAGTTCTTATATCAAATATTGCTGCTTGTCTCTCTTTGTAACGGGATCCCTATGAGGCTCCGCTTCCTGCGCTGAGCGAAGCTACCCAAAAGCAGTTTTCAGGAGGTCTTGGGGCATTTGTCCAGTGGGTTGTTGGTTGAGGAAGCTACAGCCCTGCAAAGGTACCCCACCGTGAGTCCCACTTTGGCTACTTAACTCATTAGCGTAATGCCGGGGCTATTCTTTAAACGATGAAACTACCCCTCAGTGCCGTTCGCAGCGATGATGCGCAGCATGCAAGTGTTCTCCACCGCACTCGGACTGGGTGTACAATGTTCAATGGCCACGATGATGCCACGCTCTCCGCGCAAGTCGCTGGCGAAGTTCTCAGCACAGTACCGCGATACACCAGTCGCACCGGTCTGAATTCTATGAGATTCCTCCGGCGCAACTAGAAATGCGATTTGTCACCTTTCTGCGCCTTCTCTCCCGTGTGCGGCCTATCTTTCCTTGTTCATCTTGCGACAGGACACTTGAACATCAAACAGCTGTCTCTTGAAAGGCTGTGTTTCTTGCCTCTCCTGCAACATCCACAATCGCGCACGCAACAACGAAAACGAGAACGAAACGTAACATGCCATTCGCGAAGATCCGCTTCAAGGCCCCCTCAGGCCAAGGTGTGGTCGAACTTGAGGACGACGCAACGGCCCGCCAGCTCACCGATGCGATCAAGACCAAGATTGATTCTACTGATATCACGATCAAGTATGGCTGGCCACTGAAGACCCTTGGTTCTGATCAGCTGGATGCGACAATCTTGTCACTCAACCTGCAGCGCGAGAATCTGACAATCGTTCCTGCCGAAAGTCGGGTCCCGAGCCCTGCGCCAACACCCACAAACAAGGTCACCGAGAAGGCGCCTTCGCGACGTAACCCTGAGGATGTGAATGTCCAGATTCCGGGTAAACCGGGAGACCCCTCTTTCTTGAGTCAGTTGGAGAAATGAAATCATAGGCTGGCGAACAACAACTGACACCACTCTCCCTGTAGTTCTCCGCGTGATGCCGGATGACAACTCCTGCCTTTTCAGAGCCGTGTCGGGCGCTCTCTTGGGCAGAACCGATGACCCCGAGGGACCTCCCCCCAATAAGCTACGGGAAATGGTTGTCCAGCAGATCATGCTTAACCCGGAAACCTGGACCGAAGTCGTTCTCGACAGGAAGCCCGCCGACTACTGCCGTACGATGCTGAAACCCGACACCTGGGGTGGTGAAATTGAAATTGCCATTATTTCCGAGGTGTACGGAATCGAGATCTGCGTTATTGATGTCAAGGGTGGCGCTGTTATTAAATACGGCGAGGGAAGTTATGATCAGCGATGCGTGATTGTCTGGTCTGGCATACATTGTATACATATTCCCCTCCCACTTCTCGTTGAATATACTGACTTCTTTCGTTGCAGACGACCGAATCGTGGAGGTCATGGACATAAACCAAGCTGAGACCTCATTCGACATCAGCTCCTGGGACGTAGCAAGCAGCGATCACATCCTCGAGTCCTCCAAGGTTCTTTGCCAACAGCTGAAAGACCGAGGCTATTTCGTAGATCTCAATGACGCTGTGTTGCGATGCAACGACTGCTATGACATTGGCAAGGAGGTTTACGTCCAAGGTCTACGCGCCAGGATTGATCATAGCAAGGAGACTGAACACCAAAACTTTGAGGAAGTTGAGGACAGGAACCGAACGTAGTCTGTCATGTCTCGACCCTCTTGTATCAAAACCAAAAGGATGCCAAGTTTCTCCTTGGCGTGTTTTGAAGACAAGGAGAGGAAAGGTAAGCAAATTTACCCCTAGTTCAGGGATTTCATGGCAGCTAGTTTGAGATTTAGGCTGATATCTTGGTCGTGGCTCGGTGCATGGGCTCATGGTGCTATGCAAGTTCTAAACTCAAACCACGTAACTATTGCGCATGGATTTTCGGCGTTCATGGACAGAACCTTGCAATAGACCAATCACTGTCCTAAGCAGTTTTTGCATAACCCGGCCAAGTCGTGAACGAAGCAAGTAATATTATTATTATTAAATACGCCGTAGGCTCGAAGCCCCGGTACCTCTACTAGTACTCCCGTATGTCAAACCGTGCCCTAGCAAGTAATATAATCATGAATAATCGGAATACGACAGGATTTCGCATATTTATTACTCTGATATCGTGTTTTTAATAGCTTGTCTCTCCACATATCGTTTACCCTATACTACTATTGAGCAGTCTGCCATCCCCTATCCTGATACCGCATCCTTGACTTTGTCCACAACGCTTGACTTGTACGTCATTCCACCGCCAAAGCTGTGCTCACTGTTCTCTCCACCAGCTGTCACCCGTCCCTCTTTAACGCCTGTCTCGAATGCACAAGAGCCCATGTCCAACTTCTTGGCTAGTCCGGAGGGACTGATGTCGAAGTCGAAAATATCCTGTAGAATAGTAATCAGCTACTCAAGTTCAAAATGGAGCCCTGGGGGACAGGAGATACACGTACCATTGGCAATCCCACTACAATACCCAGAGTTAGTGCCTCAATTGTATGAAGAGGATTTTCAGGGATGTATGCCACTTACAAGTCGTGCAGGCATTGGGGATATCGACAATACCCGCTACATGACCCTGGATCGGCGCGCAACTGAGCAACAAATAGATCTGGTAATCGCTGTACCCAAACCTGCGTAGATACTCGATGCAGCCTGTTCATTCATTCTTCAGTCAGCTTACACAGCAACGGTATTTCGTCTCCCAGAGTCAGCATAAATCTCAGACTTACGAAGAGTCGTCTGTCGATATGCAACCGTAACATCCATGTAGTGCTGCTTGCCATGCTGATCGACGGAGAATCCCTCAAAGTAGATGTACCGTCCGGCGCCGAACTGGGGCTCCACAGGCCCGGGGATGTAGATGGGTGACTTGAGGCCCAGGTCGGCGACGCCGTTCTTGATCACTTTGAAGTTGATGGTGATGACGCCGGCCATTTCGATGGCGCCGCAGAAACTGATTTCGCCGTCGCCCTCTTTTCATGTTTGCATCAGTAAGTGATGAGGAACTGAGAGATGAAGGGGACACAATTAAGACTAACGGGAGAAGTGAAGATCGCCCACGCTGAACTTGGCCCCTGGGACGTGGACGGGAAGGTAGACTTTGCTTCCTCGGCTGAGGTTCTTGATACTGATGTCGCCATATCAGCCCTCTTCTATTCCAAAACTGCGAATAATAGACACTTACTCGCAATTCCCCCCATGCTCTGGTCTCCCCGGAATCGTCCTCGCCCCCTCCTTAGCCACCTTCTCGGCCACATCCGCCTCCGCAGCCCCCGTGTGCGCGTTGATCGGCTCCGGGGGCTGTGCAACAATGCGGTCAAGCTTGTTGGCGGCGATGAGCTCGCCCTCACGCCGATTCCATGTGGCCAGGACCTCACTCGAGGGTGCGCATCCCAGGATCCCGGGATGGATGAGCCCTGCGAACTTGACGTGTGGGATGTGGCGCGAGGTGCAATAGATGCCCTCGAAGTCCCAGATAGCTTTTGCGCTATTGTGAAAAGGTTATTGGTATAAGTCCTTGAGTACTAGTGACTCTGATGGATACTTTTGATGAAATAGAGGGGGATAGACAGAAAGAGACGTACGCAGAAGGATACAGCTCGTCCAGGAAACCCCCGCCGTTTCTCTTGTCGAAGACCCCCGTGAACCCCCACGGCTGGTCTTGAAAGGGTTGGACGTCCATGATCTCGACCAGCAGCAGGTCGCCAGGTTGGGCACCCTCGATTTCAAAGGGGCCACTCAGGTAGTGGATCTTGGTTAGATCTACATTGCGTATGCTTTTCACCGAGTAAGGTCAATATAATCTGTTTTTTTCAGGAGATTGTCCCAAGTCCAGTCTCACGAGCAGAGTATTTGTCTCTGAAACAAAGACAAATATTCTAATTGTGAAGCAGGCCGCAAATGAAAATGAAAAGGCGCTTCTACTCACTCATCCGCTGAGTCATTATTGCCAATCTGTCCGCCGGTCCTTTGTTGATACTCATGTCAGTCTCGTGGTAAGTAATAAAACCCCGCCTGTGATCTTCTTCCTATAGCCCGCCATATGACTAGGTATACCAAAGAAGAAACCACGAACCAGTCTAGGCATTCTATCTTCACCGTCTCTCCATCCTTTATAGTGTTGGCGAAAGGGACTAGCAGTACACCGTGTAAGCTGGTGGATTATACAGACGACGACAGAATGCCTGTACACACTATCGGGATGCCATCTGTTCTTCGCCCCAAGTCAGTAGCTACCTGGGGCGTTCGGTGAGATAAAGGACTTACATGGAGACCCTTCTGCTCTGAAGCCGGCTTATCAAAGCTGACTTTGCCGACGGTGCGTATCTCAGTCAGGCCCATGTTTTCCTACTTGCCGACAAGTCTTATGTGCTCGATATACGAAATAGCAACGAAAGCTTGACTTTTTCAAAACGCCAGCTTGATTCTGCACTCGTGGGATTTATATCTTTTCAGGTAGGAATCAAAGTCCAAACTCATGCCATGCTCGCCATCGGTAAGGTGTCTAAATGTAATGTCCAAGTGTCACTTAAAGAATCTACCCCGCAGCCAGATAAAACCCCGCGTCAACAAGTATGCCGAGTCCTCTCACTCGCATGAGGGACGCCATGCATCCCGAAACGGTAACTTTATCGTGGACGGAGATGGATCGGGGAGTTGAGCTTATCGTACAGGCCGATAGTTGAGCTCGCATCTTTCCCCACACGCCATGCTTGCTATCTTGGCTAGACTTTCCTACTATAGCACAGTTACTGATAAGACATCTCGTTACTAACGACATAGTTGGGCCAGTGACATCTGATTTTAACCTCTGGAACGTTATCGACCATGCAGGCGAATGGACTGGGGTAAATTAACTTTGCTGGGATGTTCTGATTTTAGTCTCGTCTGGGGGTATATAACCCGGCACCCGGCGTGCACGTTAACTTGTAGGGAGAGCGATAGAAACCCCCATAGCTAGGCTATGATCTAGCGCTGGATAAATCAGGCTCGCATACTGTCGTCTGTACCATAGGAAAGACGTATGAAGCGGTTGCTTCCATGTTGCCTCAACTAGAGTCGTTCCAGAGACCCTTGGCAGACAAGATTTCATGTCACTAGTCTTGATGTCTCGGTATCTACAATTCCTTTTTATCCTCTGTAGCTTTCTCATACGAAGGTGGCTCTGAAGGTCGACTTGACGACGATGTCGAAGAGGCGGCGGGAGCATCATGGCCCACGTGTAGTGCGTCCAGATTAGCAAGTGATAGGCTCAAGAACTCGTGCTTATTCCTCCAGATCTGCTGGCTTTCGGCGAACTCTTTGCTTTGCGACGGAGGCGGCGGAGGATCCGTGATCTTAGTGATGAGGTACGCCGTTGAAGCCTCCGCAATGCCGTATATCAAGACTCCAAGCAATGGGACGCGGAGCAGAGTGTAGAACCCAATTCCGAACCCGAAAAGAAGCCCTTCTCGACTGTGAAACCAGTTTTTCTTCTGCTGTTTCGTCATGTGGACTCGTGCAAAGTATGGCTCGAGCAGCTCTCGCATCAGGCTGCGCGACGAGAAATATGTCTGCAAGAAGATAACCAGGTATCGTTTCGGGAGAAAGACACCAACGCCGAAGGTGGCAGCTGCTGGTCCGAGGCCCACGGCTTTGTTGAACGTGTAGAAACTGGCAGCGGGCAGCACAAATCGTCCGACGTATGGCACGTATGACAGGCCAAAAATGGCCAAGGAAATGGCTGCTTTGCGGCCGAAGCGGTATAAGAATAGGCTGATGGCCTCGGCGGTGCTCGTTGTGTGTGTACTGCCATCTTTGAGTTTGTACTGTCGAAGATTCTGGTAGTACATGTCTCGAAGCTTGCTGGGATCTTCTTCCTTGTGTTTCTGGACATATGTCAAGTCCACCCATTGAAGCGAGTCCATGAACATGTTGTCCAGGGTCGGGGTAATGTAACGCACTACAGAAAACGCGTTAGCACTTCACAATATGTAACAATCCGGCGAGGGGGGGACGCAAAGAAACCTGATCCAAGATGAATAGTGGTGCAAACGTACTGAGCGTCATAAGGAACAGAGGGACCTGGAGGACATGATTGGCGATTAACTCGAGCCCGTTGACCAGATTCTCGTCCCACGATGTCTGATCGAGGTTCATAAAGAGACCCAGGAGGCGGACCAATATCTTGATGGCAAATATCTGCAGAGGCGGTCAGCCATCACCCTGCCGCTCCCACACATGCGTAAAAGCATGGCACGAAGCCACGGCGGTGCTTCTGCGACGACTCACCGGTACGGCAATAGCGAGGCGGATGGCGATTCCTGCGCCAACAGCATAGGCGGCTTGCTTATAATGGGAATTAGTGAATATATTCGGATTTCTGAACCCATGATTAGAATACAATCTTAGGTAGATCGGGATTCGTAGTTCGCTGACTGAAAAGCTCTGTTGGCCCCGACCAGGGTGAGCTGAGTGCCTCGTATGATGGCATTTAGGTCGAAATGGGAAAGGTCAAAGGCCTTCTTGAGCTCCTCCTCGTTCTTGGGGACCTTGCGCATCTTCGTTCCGGCCATATTATCTGCTTTCACAACCGATGTTGTGGACGATGTGCTGTTGGTCCTGCGAATAGCTCACGGTTTGGATGCCAGCCTGGAGTTCGTAGCTAATGACGACACTGGCTCAGCCCCTCCATACATTTGCAGGCATGAGCAAGGATGAGCAAGGTTGGCACTGGCGATATTGAGCTGGCTTATCGATAACCAAGCCCGCTTGCCAGTATGGAGCATCTAGAATCGTTAGCAACGCCAATTCTCCAAGCTCAATACCATGCGCCATGTCATTTTACTGGGATCAGCATAGCCATCGATGTTGATGCCTGTAATAATAGCACTTATCCCGCTGTCTACCATATGGGACAGACCAAGCAATTGGCTTGGTATGCAAGTGCTGGAATAAATAATGCACGAAAATGGACTGATGGAGGATGTCACATTTCAGTGTAATAAGAGAAGATAAATATCAAGCACCGTTCATTTGTCCGGTTGCTGGCCTATTCTATCGAACCGCCGGCAATTCAACAAATGAGACACGAGACCACATCTAGACCTGCGCCTCAGTATTGAAAGTTGGCAATAGACAATAAGGGTTGCTGTCTCCTTGTCTGTTGGTCGCATTTGCATACGGATCCAGATTCAGTAGTCAGCAGCCTCGATCCCAATGGCCGCAGAACACGGCAACAATACGGGAGGTACCGTCAAGTATCCCTAGGGCGTCTATTATATGCCAGCTTATGTTCCATTATAATAAGAGCCGTGGGATTTATAAAATAAGGTACGGACCATGCTGTGATCCAGCCCATCATTCTGGCATAATCCGCGGTGCCTGCGTTGATCCTTGCTCCGTGACAAACACGTGGGATTGAAAAACAAATCGACACCCACATCAACACCAGCGGGGTAAAGAATCGTGTGGTTGTAGAGTCGATCAGGCCATATATACTCCGCACAGTTGTCGCTTCAAAACATGTAACAGCTGTCATTGCGGCATGAGGCAGGCTGCTACAGCATTTAGTCCAATTAAACGGAACACTGGAGTCGTCAACCTTTATTGGCCAATTGAAGGCAGTCGCATTTGATTGACATACATGGTTGTTATAAAACAAATCCCGGTAATCCAGATTTCCCGGCGCATGAATGCATCTCTTAAACTGGTCGTCCAAGCTCGTAAACTACTAGCTTCCTGTCTCATTCCAGTAATTGCATGTCCAGGATCTTTTGAGGCACCTTCGGTGTGAGCTGAGGCAAACATCATTGACGACCCATTCACATAACCCTTTAAGTTTTTCCCATCTTATCATATCAGTACCGTCCTTGACCAACTTGACACCGCAATTCCATCCCCTGAGCATCCAAGGTTCGCGCTTCATTAGCGGGCAATTTTATCACCTCAAGAGCTACCGCCGGCTATCAACTAACGGCTGACACTTGACCACCTAGCGTCCCAGCGCAGGTCCAGAACGCTGAACTGAGACCTCACCATCCCCTCACGAGCGATTGCCAATTAGATCCAACATCGCCATGGTACAGAAGTCTCAACCCCGACTGGGAGTATAAGCTCTTGCCCTACCAACACAGTTTCGGTAGCATTGCGCGGTTGCAATCATGGATTCGCAAGGTTCCGCAGACGAGCGGCTTCCACCGCCTCGGCGTGTAGCAACGGCCCCGACGACTCCCTTCCCGACCCCTCGCAGGTCTATGTCGGTTTCGTCTGCCTCCTCTTCACGTTCAGGTGGCCTTGCAGCCTTGGGCGGATCGAGAGGGCCCGAAGATCTCGTCGAGACGCTCTACAACCACCCATCAGTCAAGATCATTGCCTTCACCACAAATCAGCGCAGTTCATTCAATCTTTCACCCTCCACCGCCAGCGATCCTCCACCAGGCACTCTGCCCGCATCGTCGCAGCTGGAAAGAACAATTGCAGTCGGTAAGTTTGCCGGTTCGTCGCTCAACCTTGATTCCAAAAGGCTAACGTGCCAGCGTGCAGGCCCGTTCCGCATTTATCGAGCACCTGGGTCGGTGGCATTCTTAAGTTGCGGCACGGCACTGCAGCCCATTCTGCCGAAAAGTCAGTGTTGGTGTATTGATGAAGGTAACAGCAGGTTCGTACTTCAGGTTCGACGACCGCAGTACTGGAGGATCGAGCTCCCGACATCTGATGCGGACGACGTGCATCGCGCATTCATACTCAGAGAGGTGTTCGACCGGATATTGTTGTTCGAGAAAACGGAATGTCCCTTCGAGAGGAGTTTTACCGTTGAATTGCCTGAGAGACCGTCGACTCCTGCCAAGAAGAGGCCGTGGACACCAGTGGGAAAGAATTTGGTCTCATCACCATTCGCGTCCGACTTCTCCCCCCCTTCACCCTCGTCTAAGGTAGCTGCCGGCAGACGAAAACGCGCATCAACTGTAACCACACAGGAGTTGGCAGTGGCAGTAGAGGAGTCCGAGACGAGTACAGACGAAGAACCCGCTCGTCGTGTCGCAAGTACACACACTCCAGAAGCACAGCTCCCTGAGACCAGGAGCGAAATCAGGAGCACGGCACCATCGGTCGCTAGCGAAAACGAGTTTGTGGCTGCAGTTGCAGATGCGAAGAGTTCAGACAACACGCCAGACGAACCCAAAAATGACAGCTCAGTTCCAGAGTTTCCAGAGGAAGAGCCAGAGTGCTATTTTGCGCCGCAGACAGCGGAACGTGGAGAGCCAACGTCGCTGCCATATGACGTACTAGAGGCATCTTCGCCGGAAAACGAGGCAAAGGCTTCCGAACAATTTTCTGCGAGTCCCAAGAGCGAAAGTTGCAGACTGGAGCACAAGAAAGGAACCCATAACGTTCTCAAGACATCTACTCAGTCTTCGGCGCCATTATCTCAAGAAGAGGCCCAACATTCGGACGATACCGGGATAAACTCGCGACTTGTACCTCAAGCCTTGGAATCCACACGCACCTTTGTGGCTAGTTTGGTTGCCCCATCGACAATGCAGCCGCCTCAAAAAGCCGAGCCCTTGGAGCAGATGATTCCCGCCAGGACAAGTGCATCCACGATTGTCACGGAGAAGGTGCCGGTGGGCAAGGCTAGAAGTGGCACTGAGGTCCTGTTGGCAACAGCGCAACCCTCAGAACAACATGTGGGAACCGATGGGAATGAGGATGCCCCCCCGGTTCCGTCTACTGCCGAAGAGATATTTGGCGATCTCGACGACGGACCGTCATCGTACGAAGGATCTGGCGGTCAAGTGACGGGTGTGAATCTCAAAATGAAGAAAATGAGTCGTATGCTGGCTGGTCGCTCTGTAAGCCTACCACCACAGTTAACACTAATCACGGCACCTCCTATAAAAGCCCAGAAACCGGCAAAACAATCACCTACATCTTCAGTCGCGCTGGTAGCAGCTTCAAGTGAGTCGGGGAATGCGTCACCCGTAGGCTCTACCGACTCTTTTCACAGCGTTCAGTCATGGCATAGCCCAATCACTCCACTCCCCCTATCGCCACCAATCTCACGGCCTGAATCGCCTGCTTCATTCCCATACCCCCATGACGACATATTGATTCCCGCACGCCAATTAAGTCTAAGATCTGTCTCAGAGCTTGCGGTAACGCCCAATACCGATGCCACTTTCGTTCCAAGCTCAGCAGGAACTGATACGGACGAGACGGCCTCACCAGTGCCACGTTCCCCTGCCGACTCTAAACCCGCCAGCCCTTTGTCGGTCGAGGCACCTCGACGTCCCAGGACAAGTCACTCGTGCGCTGCGGATGAACGATCAGCCATCCGCAACCGTGCTAGAGATAATCTTTCCATCAGCCGACGTGCCCTCTCGCCCCTACCATCGGCCGCGAACCTGTTCTCGCCTCAAGGTCGCCGGCGCCCGGCAACCCGTGTTGAAACGGTCCGAAAACTACCTAGCGCCATCATCCATAAAACGGTTGAAATCCTACTAAGCCCGCCAGGCCATCTCGTTAATCTCATGCTGAAAGTCGCTGCTAAGATCGCGGCGGGCGAATGGCGCGGCCTCGTTTTCGGGTTTGGCGAGGGGGGCGAGCAGATACCTGTGCATTGGGATTACTCCGATGGCGAGTTTAGCAGTTGGGGCGATGACGATGATTACAACTTTTCGATGGGTCGATTTGCGCGACAAGGGAGTACGAGCAGCATGCCAAGAGCCACGCGTCGCAGTCCCGTGGGCTCACCTGAGGAGGACAGTCGCAGCTGGGAGGTTGATTAAGCGACACATCGCGAACACTTTAGACTGTCGATAGCATCATGAATAGCTCGGGAACAGCTGTACCATTACTCTCTGCTTTTGTCAGATTTTTGTTTGTTCTATTTTCCAATTTTGGTCGGCTGGCAGCATTGATTTTCTAGGAGTTGAAAGGGGGCCCAGTTAACGTCACTATGCAACGCCGTAGGCATGGATTGTCTAGGATTTGGATACGGATGGGGATTCCCGATTTTATTCCTCCCGCTCGCCAGAAGAACAGTTGTACGATTGATGCCGGGAACTATGAGACATGTCAGTATATCACAATAACTGAGACTTACTTGTCCCAGCGGGGCAAATGACTGGCAACTCGTTGCTGCAAAATATATAAAACTAATAACGTAAAGATATGATTTTCTCTGTTGCTTCAGTTTATTTGATGACGATGGTATGTGTAAACCTAATGTTAAAGTGCCTGATCATATCTAAACGACGACATCATCAATCAAGGAGGAGTGTCGCCCAACGCAAATCATCATTCATTCAACGACTATCATAAACCGATGTTTTGCACTACCTAGGTGATCCTGAATAGAAGACCGCACTATTTTCCCCTAGCATATGTTTGGGCTCGAAGAAGGGGATAAAACCACCGGGTTCCAAATTCGAAATATGGGCAGTCAGGACCTCGCAACAAGGACTCCGTTGCTTATCTATACCCGCTCGTAGACCTTGGTCATCAGCTAAGGCCAAACCAAGCGTGGGGATTGGATTGACTGCTGGTTGTGTTTGGTTGTCATATACAAGCCGCAGTAGTTTAGCTGCATGTTGCTGTCATCGATCTGCTATCCTCTCAAACAGCTCGGCAAAGAGATCTTTACGATCAGATGGTAACTTATTCACCGGAAATCCTGGATGCTGTCAAAAGCGGCAAGCCAGAATAGCCGCGGACATACCCCAGAGGCTTTGCTGGTCAGATCGCTGATTTCTGCTCCCGACGCCTTCCGAGTCCCTATTGGACAATGTGGTCATGTGCCCATGAATAGTGATGATGTCGTCGATATTACCGGTGATTTCTGGTTCAGTCAGATCCTGTAGGTCCATCTTTTGGATTGTGGTCGAATGCGGCAACAAAAGCTGACAGGGTCTGCTCGAAGCCAGTGTCTTCAAATTGGGGGGTTGGCCAAGTCTCTGGAAGTAGGCTGCGGCGTCCATACCTGCCTTCATACTCGTCGAGTGCCGCAATCAAGAAGAATAGTTTAACGTCCGGCATTTTTGTGCTTCTGAGATATAGAAGCGCTGACTGAGAAAGCCCCTGAAAGGTCCTTCCAAGAACTGCTGATCAGGCCTGCGAAGATGATAGAAGGTGGCAACGATGAGCTTTGAATAACACGCCCACGTGTCCAGCGAGTGTTTAGTGTAAGGCTGGGCATGCAAAAACTTCATTAATGTCGATTTCTCGCTGCCCGCTTTCTCAGCGACGCTATATATAAGCCCCTGCTGGAGCCAGTGGTTTGAATCATCATATTTCCGCTCGTCGTATGGCGGATCCAGCGCCCATTCGAGCGTCTTGCTGTGCGTATATTAAATAGTGGCCCCGTCCTTGTCCAGCCAGCGAAACCAGATGCGACTCAGAACCCGAGCCTGAGTACAGATCCGTTTTGCGGCGTCAACCACTGTCGACTCAAGGTCCAGCGCAGCTTTCAGTATCATCTCCAGTTTCGGTGTGCTACGCAGATGACTCAGATCTTCCTCGCTCATGGTCGAAGTCGAGAGATTGTGGGCTGGGACTCGAGCATCAAGTCTTGAGTTGAAGTTAGACAGTTCCCTAATGAGGTCACCGAATTTGTCCTTGACCCAGTGAATCATACATTTCACAGAGTGACGGCTGCATTGGGCGATGCTTTCGCCTTTTCGTCTTGTACTAAGAGCTTTTCGAAGTCGCTCAGGAATCTTTCAATGCGAGCTGAGCTTGCTTAGTCATGTTTCTACCCGTGTTTGGAGTCGGCAGCGTCTTCGGATTTTTTCGATCCATAAAGCTCCTCCAGAGCCTTGCTCTCAGTCAAGAGTCTCTTCACACTTGACAAGACTCATTCTACGGCCTTGTTGGTTTCGGGGTGAACGAGTCGTTCATATTACTTGTTGGGTTTGGCCAAGCTGACCTTTTCTGCTCATTGGAAGAAGAGAAGTTTCTCGACATCGAGTTTCGTGTACAGGATCTCAGCGTCGTGGCCTAGGAATCTTGCATCCGCGATCATGGAGTAGAGGTCGCGGATGAGCTATTGACCATCAAAGGCAGAAATTTCTGATATCACGATACCGCAAAACCGCATGACTTATGTGACCCCTTTGAGATGTCAAGTCAGGGGTCAAGGCGTTGTCCACTTACAAGCGTATTCATTAGTTTGAGACATTCGCCGGCATTCCAGAGACTCATCACTACCTTACCCACGCTGTTGTGAGCCATTTTCCATCAGATCAGCAACACTTGTTCCTCAACCAACCAAAACGCCTCCCAATGGAAGACCACAAGTACGTTGACGGTAGGGTATGGTTCTACGCAGCAAACAAACCCGCTCTCGTCTTCTCTTCGCCTTCGCCTTCTTGGTATCAGGCGTTTGCCATCTTTACCAGACCATATAAGTCCAGCCGCACCTCCCACGTCACCACCACAAAATTATGAAGCATCAGCCATGACAAGTGTTGGTATTAGACCGGTCTCCACTTCGTTCCCTATTGCTCCCCACTCACCCGGGCAAGATCCTCAAAACCTCCACCGCCGGCACCGTAGCCCTGAAGGGCAGTTGGGTGTCGTATACCGCAACCAATCACTATCGCAGGACAAGCGAGGCATGGACAGGACCTAGCTCAAAGTATCGTTGCTGACGCAGATTGTCATTGCGTTACTCTTCACACTACCCGTCTACTCTCACTTCAAGCGCCGCAAAGACGTTATCAACTCCCCCAAAATTAACCACCCCTTGACCACTTTGTGTACCAGCAGCGCTATCATCAGAACCCAAACTATCTACCTTGTTGTCGAATACTTCGATATCTCGGACTGGATGTCTCCAAGCCTCGACTCGACCCGATGACGATAACTCCAATTATGTGGCACGAATGATTGTTCTGGGTTGGGGCCGGGCTACCAGCACAAGCGCAAACTTTTGACACGTTGTTCCATCCTTAACGTCTATGGCATGATCACGGGCAGGGACAAGAAGAGGTTGATGGATGAATATAATTAGAAGAGATGGGGCAGGGAATGGTGCCAAACTTGGTGTCGACGTCTGATGCTTGGCAGCCAGAGGCTATTTGAGTCTGCACCTCCGCGGGTAGACCGACTCCTGCAGGAAATCTCACTCGGGATTTCTAAGGAAGCTCCGTCTCATAAACCCAGATTCGGTACGTGTGATCGGAGGAGCCGACGGAACGAGTTAGGATGACTGGCCTGTCGGGAACTCGACTGCAAAAACGGTGGAAGTGGACGGAGCCTTATTTATAATAGTTGCATCATCTCTTGGTGGTGAAGAAGGATTATGGCGATGGTGGATGGATCGGGAAGTCTCCAATGGGCGCGGTACGGTGACGATTTTTAGTGTACAGGCGTCCTGGCAATGAAACCCCGAGGGTGATGCTGTTCTGAAGGATTCTCTCGGACTGCTTGGTTGTTTCTAAAGTCGGAGAACAAGACCTGGGCTTATGCACATATACCCTTGGTGGCGTTTTAGTTTCTTCGTACTCACAGGGATGGTTAGTTGTTAGACGAGGGATAGTACTATTTCATTTTAGCGAACGGGACGAACATGGGAATAGTGAATCTTGTTTCAAGTTTGCAGAATGAGGGTCTTATGTGTCGTGTGGTATTTATGACATGTATGCGTATCATGTTTGGTGTTGTCGCATCGACATATAGTCTGCTGGCTTGACTGATCGGTTCGTATAATAATGTAGTCGAGAAAGGGGCAACAGCCAATGAGCCTCGCATCCAAACGGTTGATGGGCCCTAAATGGATCGGTGTTGCTCATGACGATGCGACGAGAGTGGCAGACACAGATTTATGTAGTTAAACAAATCAATGCTGTCGAACTGAAACCCCCGGTGGCAAAACGGTCAGGAGTAGGCTGTTGGCAAGTCCGGGTGACTCTTTTGAGACCACTCAATACCCTTCCCTACCTATCACAGCGCAGCAGGTGTTGCTACTAACGGATTGAAGCTTTTAGTTCATCACGACCCTGGGTGAAGTTTGGTGGTTCGCGACTCTCAACAGGTTTTCAATCACAGCCCTGGCAATGCTCTGTCCCTGACTTGGAAGTTCGAAAGGTTTCTGGAGCGTCCTACGTAGTCAGGATTTATGAATTCTTGCGTCGTGTCCGATGTCTGCCCTGGAGTCAAAATTGCTGTTGGAGAAGGATTCGCCGAGGCCGCCGACTGCCTAGCCTGCGTGCCGGCTTTGGGTGAGGGATAATGATGAGCGAGCAATGCAGGAAGAGTCGATTGCTTGTTTCAATCTTGAACCTGATGGTGAATCTAAACGTTGCGTGGCTTCTGTTTGGCACCGTCAGTATTCAATAGCTTTTCAAAAAGGCCGCGTCGTAGCTTAGCCCGTCTTGGTGCTATTTTGGGACATCATGACTAGAGGGCCAGGCTAGTCCTCATTCCACTAGCGGGCCCCTCTCCTGGCTTCTATCGCGCTTCCCTGCAGGGAAACCTAATCGCCCTCAACCCCGCCAGTGCAATCAAGGAATGGTTCGTGCCCTAAGGGTCCAGTTCCCATATTTCCATATTATGTCGATGTCGTTCATTAGGTTACTGTCAGTCACTGGCGCTGACATGACCTGTATGTCGGTCTTTCCCATGTGGTCTTGGGCCTCGCTCTAGTCGCTCTAGTCACCCTAGTCACCCAACTCACTGCGTCCGCTGCCTAGTGGATCTATGTCTTGTCGTTTATTACAAGCCGTGAGGAGCACAGCATCAGCATCAAGCTGGTGGATGACACAGGTCAGACACCAAGATTGCTCTACGAAGGAAGCGGCTATTGACGATTGTCACTGCGTTCCCAGTTAGTACGAGCGTCCACGTTGCGGACTAGATCGGCACAGGGTGAGAGGTTTTTGCTTCCATCCGATCAAACATTCGTTTCGTCTAGTTGTACGAGAAAGTGTATTGCTGCATCCTGCGTCATCGTCACAGAACATATTCACTATACGCATGCCACGCATTTCCTATTCTAGACAGATCTGAGGATACACCGGGAAGCATCCCGTGATTTTTCTCACAGAGAAGCCACTTGTTTCAACGCATCTCTGGTGGCGCCCCGACTACGCTCACGTTTTGATGTTTCGTCCCCAGCACATTTCTCAGGCTATGCGCAGCTCGCATGCAAGTGTCCAAGCTTAGATGCACCGCCGTCAGGGATGGCCATCCTATCAAATTAAGCCATCCCGCCTTTGGGTGTCACTTGGGGGATTAGCTCGTTTGTGCTTCTGCTTCTATTCTCGCGGCGAAATTATGCCGCTGGACCAACAATGGGTTCAACAGAGCGCAAGCAGCATCGTCCTTCCGCCATTGGGACATTGGGAAGCCCTAGCGCCCACCAACTAACCAAGATTTGGTCTATGGGCTGTAGTCCCAGTATGGCCAGAACTGTCTATGTAAACCGCACCATGATCGTGCAAATGAGCCCCTGTCACACTTCTCCAACTTCTGAAGTCTACCTCCCATCCCCAGCTTTCCCCTCCATTGGTACGCTTCCATTATTCAAAGCCGGGCCGTTACTGCTACACCAGTTACACAACGCAGCTACCACCGCATACTCAGGCGAATTGACTACGTCGCATCAAGTCCCTGTATATCCGCGGGGGTGTGTTTGTTGCCTTGCCGCGTCCTTGCTACTTTATTAAGCGCCTCTGCCAATCCACGCCACCTCCCAGAGCATTCCTTGCTCACGAGATACGGATCCGATGTGTGAGCAGCTCGCCGCCAAATTACCTAGGCTACGCTGTAAGTATTTTTGGCTTGGTGGCAATCTAGTCATCCCTAGCCCGCTTTTAGTACGCCTTTAGTACGAGCGCACAACATCAGTGCTCTTCCTTACGTTATCCGTGACACCGGGCAATGGGTTTGCTTTTTTATTTTACGTAGCTGCTCCCTTTCCTCAATACTTCGTTTCCTTCCTCACGTATATGTGGAGGACTGCTCTTTTGGAACCGGGAACTAGACGCCATGGATCGAAATGGGCAAATACGCGATGAGCGAAACCCGGTGTCTAAGCCGCAGGTATTCATACATGTCGAGTTCGGCGTGTCATGGTCCCAACGCCATACCCCACGCACGCACGCGGTGACTTACACATCTCGGAACCTGCGCAACTCAAGAGATCGAGGACATTTTCCCCGCCAGTTACCACCGCCAAACACCAACTTTCTGGCCGTTTCAGAGCCTCGTCCACAACGACCTCGAGAAAACCGGGAACACTCAAGTCGAAATCATCACCACCATCACGCTCATGAGAACCACGCACAACATCAGCAACAAAGGGGACCAGGTCGGCCTCGAGAGCATCATAGACCGCGGGATCAGGCCAGGGGGCACGGGCATGAACACGAACGTGAACGATCGCCGTCAAGGAGTGATTCTAGGGGTTTGTCGTATGAGAGAGGAAGCTCAGCACCACCTCCTTTTCACGGCAGTCCATGGGACGCCGACGCCATGCCAGGGCCATCAGAGTCTTTATTCCCATCGGCGTCCCAGACAACCCGTCAAGAAGAGCCAAGGGTATGGAAGCCCTTGCCGGAGCCACCGAGCCGATTTCGACTAGGTGAGGAGGGATTACCGTGGTCGGCGTGGGCATGGCCCGCGGGCCCTGAGACACCCACAACTACCCATGAAGACGAGGAAGAACAGCCGCCGTTTGCAAACCAGCCTACGACCGTAGTCATCACGGCGGATGAACGCAGCCGTGAAGACTCTGAAACAGTACGGGAGCTCGAGACTTTGTCGATGGCCATGATGACGGTCGACAACGGCTTCGAGAATCAGTGGTGGTACCAGGGATCAAGAGAGCCAATAACCTGGTGGCCGAGGGACCAGGAAGAGCCGTCGAGGTTGAGCATGAGCGACGCGATGCTGCTTTCGGCAGCGGAACCACCGCCCATATCCGAGCAACCAATTGTGGGGTTTCACGATGCAAGCTACGATTCCACTTTCAGCGGTGGGTCTCCCACGCTTGGAATCGTCTCACCCATGTCAACTTTGTCTGCGAGTCCCAATATACCGCTGCAAAGGACACTAACTACGCGGTCTGAGGAGTTGTTTCTGGGAACTTGAGGGGATAGCAAGCGGGTGCTCGTGTCTAGATCATGCGACGACGGGGATGACCTGGTACTTTGGTAAAGATGGGTGGAGAAGGGAGTTGTCCCATACTGAGGCAGCGGGTAGAATTAATATAGGATCATCCGGGGCATTGTAGATATCATCTGGGACGGTTATGGTGCTCTGTTATCAGCAGGCAAAGTAATGGTGTGCGCGAGATTGGGCAGTTGATCCTCGCAAGTCCGAGGGAGAGCGTCTCTGCTCCAAGGACGGCGTAGGCCAAACTTGATAATCCGTCTCCCTAAACCTCAGGCTATTGCGACTCTCGCTACTAAGGTCCTTATCCATTGCCAGGAATCGTTCAGAGGTCACCGTGAGTACCTGAGCATATCCAGTTACGTATCTGGAAGTTTTAGCTTCCACAGTTTACGCGCTGGCCCAACTCTGTGTGACATGTACTACACCTAGCACACTCAGTATATGGCCGCCGGTAGAGACCCAACAACAACATGATCAACACTATCAAGTTGCCGTCGAACAGGGAACGTCAGGTTTGTGCTCTCATGCCCACAGAGCGACCCCCTTGATAGGAGAGAACTGTCATTGTCATGGACTCCTTCTCTTGCGCTCGGCGTGAAATCGCCCCTATCCTCATTCCTTTTCTTCCCTTCCCTTGCCTCGCTCAAAAACGTTCTACATGGCTTGGCCAAGTGAAATTGCTGGAGCCGGCACAGCCACACCATCTCGGTTACTCGTCAATTACACGGCGTAACCTTGATTCCACATGGAGAACAGGTTACATCCGTGCTACTACACCGTCTTTCTCTGCAGGAAAATACCCCTTTCGTCCACACTTGGGGCTCTCTCCGGGCTGGTGATTCCTTCAGGTGGCATCTACGACGCACGATCCAGCCAAGGTAGAGATCCGCGGCGCTCAGATATACGCGAATGGGAATACTCGTAAGGGCAACTCCTCTTTGTCTCATCTCCGTAGCATCCCTGTGGAACGGAAGATGCGTGGAGGCGCGTACTTCTTACCACATGTGGCAACCGATGTTGTTGTTTGTGCGTTCGTGAATTAATTGCAGGGCACTGCTCGCATCCGCATTCGTTCTGCTGGTAACTCAAATTTCACTACTGCCAGCTCGCCTCATTATGCCGCATAACGACAGGGGAAAATACAAAGAGGACGAGGCGCACATGATACGCAATCACGGGCTCTGCAACATCTGGTCTCGCCTTTTGTGCCGGAATAGTCGGTTCAATGCTACCATCAAGCCCATTCGATGCTGTCAGAAGCGTGACTCCCGTGAGATACACTACCTTGCCGCTGCACCACACACACACCGCTTTCGTATGTGCACTGTATGCGGGGTGCGTTTTCAGCTGGTAGGGATAGGCTCTTGAGGGTTTGCGGTGGGTGTTTCGTTGCACTTGTTATTTCGAGGCTTATTATGAAGCCTAGTAGTTGGTACTTAGCCATATTGAGCGATGCCCTCGATCTTGACCCCTAGGAGGGACACATGTGTTTTGTTCCAACATTCGTCTGAGCGTTGCGCCGTCACATCTAACCCACCTGGAGTGTCGGCAAATGCTGCAGGGGATTTAGCCAATGTTTCTACGGATGCTCTGTTCGGTTTTCACTCGTATAAAGATCCAGGAGAATAAGGGGCCCACCGAAAAAGCGCCGACGGCAGTCCGGATTCGACAATTCGACCGAAGCTGCCGGGGTCGCCGTTCGGCCGGTCTCATGGATGCCTTTTTAAATGACTTCAAACCTGGCTTTGGCTTTTTCATCTTCTTCTATATGCCAAGGTCACATTGTTGAAGTGGAGTGTAAGTCCGATAGACGCCTCGCGTACAATATCCCAGGGTAAAGGTTGTCAGCGTGGCGCCAGACGTCAAGAGATGTCAATCGGTATCCTGTATGCAGTTGGCTATAGGGGGCGTGACTATTGATCATGTAAATTCCTCTCTCGGGCTATTGCTTCACTAACGTCCACTGCAAAAAAGTTTCAAGCCCGGCGCGGCACTGACAGCCTTTACCCTGGTGGGTGTATTGTGTCTGCATAGTTATCTCGACCACCCCTTCTAGAAAAGTTAGCGTGTCTTCTAGCGCCTGCTGATCACTCTGCTCAATGCGACTCGCGGCCGCAATGTCACGTGGATCCCGCTCTAATCTCTGCACTGTCCCAGATTTCTTTAAGGATATACGTTGAGGAAGTAGACTTGGTGGTTCTGTTAGCGAAGCTCTGGAAAGTCTCATGACTCAGGGGTTCATGTCCGCACTGCGGCGGGCGCTGAGGACTTTCATCAACCGCGAGGCTCGATGCCCACACGCCGCATCATATCTCGCCTCAAACTGTTGCAACCGCATCTCGAGGCTGTGCATAAGACACATGTAGCCAGGAAGTATTGCCCTGGTTGAGCGGTCTCATATCGGAAGAACTGGGAAGAAATAAAATGTGTCAATAGGCTAAGCTAATCACATTTGTGACGGCTCAGCTTCACTCTAGATGTCGGCAGGAGTTCGGCATCCAAGCCCCAGAGGGGTTGACAAGTTGACGTCCTGACGTCCTGAATGAGATGACGGGTCACCATTGCCCCAAGAGCCCCGCACTTTTGTGCCTTATCGCGGCACCATTATCTTTCCCCATCTGCACCCCCGTGTCTTGTTTCTATTTTTGACTGCATGAGATCTACGTATGATCTACCGCCCATCCTGATGTTCTTGCACTTCATTTCCCTTTGGTCAGCAGTTCTCACTGCGCTGGTCCGCCGGACGACACTGCATTCATTGACGACACAAGCTTGGCTTTGTTTGCAAAATTTGGGAGCTATGCCGCAGAGTCGCAACACGTTGGCTCCAAGCCCTCAATCACCGAACCGAAACCCGACTGCTCCGGATGTCACTGAATTCACCAGGCCCGTCAGGCGCTGCGACGCTTCCAGGGCTGTTGCTTGTCCGGGGTAGCACTCGGGAGGCAAGCCGTAGCGAGCCCCACGGTAACGTACAACCCCACCTTTCCGGCCACCCAATCTGCCAACTACAACAACCTTTGGCACAACAGATTATCGTCGGTATTGGCTATTATTATACAATGCCTCGATATTCAGAAAATTCGATTCAAGGCGCTCTCAACGATATCAATGAAGGGATATCCCAGCGCCAGGCTTCCCTCCGATGGGGCGTTCCACGCTCTACCCTATAACTTCGTTACGCCCCAAACCACGTAAGAAGGTACGATTAGGGCCTAATGAACGATTTGGTAACATTGTACAGATTAAGGAAGCGATGGATCGAGCCCTTGAAGTAGAACGGCAACGAGACCAGGTACAACGTCGGAATCAGGTAATACTGGACCCAGCTAAGGCGTCAGAATCTATCAGATCTATACCTCAGGAAGCCCTAGAGCACAGCTTTCTATTAGAGCTGGTTGTACCTGAATAGCTATAATAGTACGTTGAATACACTGTTTCGAATACCTTCAATTGGATTGCAATATGTGGCCAGAAACGTGGGTGGCCGGAAAGGTGGGGTTGTACGTTATAGCCCAGGATGTGACAGCGGTCGCCCAGTGTTTCGTTGGACGGCGCTAACTTTGGCATTTGGGTCTTTCATTGCAGGCAATTGGTGTATAACTCAGCCGACACGATAGCTTCAAATACGCCTCGATTCCTCTAGCCATAAATTATAATGGACTGATCTCCTCCCACGAAACGTAGTGCCTTCCTCACTCGGAGTGGTTATGCATATCTTGACTGGCTGGAAACTTCGCCCGGCCGCACGACGGAGGTGAGGAAGGTAGAAAGTAGGTAGGCTGTGCACAGGAGGATCGTCGCCAACACAGCTTAGTTTCTCATGGCGAATAGCTCTTTCTACTGCATTTGCGGATACGTCTGTCAAGTCATTTCATTGTGAACTCCTGGAGGACATGAAACTAAAAATAGATTGGCCTTGGGTCTTCCTTCAAGACCAAGGGCCCGTTCAACCTACAGGAAAATTGAGATTGGGAAGCCACTTGCGTATCGAGAACGGCCAGCGAGTGGCAGCTCAACATGTTTCGGTGGCGATAGTCAGCTGCGGTCCATGATAGTTACTTGGGCTTTGAACCCCCCCCCTTCTCCCTCCCGTTATATGGCACACTGTAGGCCATCTCTTCCATGACGATACCAGTTCAGAAGAATGACTAAAAAAGGGACGGCAAGGGATGCTATTTTGCTTGAAGATCTACCTAAGATAAAACATGTAACCTCCACGTACATCCGCAGTGCAGATCCTTCGACCACACAAGTACTTTTTCACCCGAGGCTGAGTCGCAATGACTGTTGTGGTTCAGTGGAAAGAGTCCATCTGGCCGCCTCCGGTCAGGATCAACACGACCATCGCAAACGACATTCACGCATCCTTTTGCGTTTCCGTTCTCTGACTGGGTGGGCGGGCGTGCACGATGTCAGCCTTCAACTGCCGCTGGCTCACTTCAATCGATGATCTATTCAAAACTCTGTAGATGGGCTATCGCTCGAAGGTGGGTGTCCTCACGGCGGTTTCCCGGCAAAGCTGCCATTTCCTCATGATACGGGCTCAGTCACGATGTACCATACGGCTGAAATATGACCAATACTAGTAAAGACATTAATAGCTCGCCGGGATGTCCTCCTCAACAAGTCCAAGTCTAGTCCAACTAGAGATGCCGCTATTCTAAAGCATTAACGACGGGATCCCTACCCTTGACTCTTTGTTCCCAAGTTATTCGTCGTGTTATCTACCCCATAATCGCATCATACACCAGATATTCATTTAGGACATTCTCGTCTGCATTGGCGCGGCAACTTGCAGTTGTCAAGATCTGTTCCGGCTCGGACACGGGCTCTTCGGCTACCACACAGATTCTAGACCATCGATACCATGTCGTCGTCGGTATTCTCCTCTCCCTTGTGGCATCAAACTTAACTTTAACTGAAGAATTTATCCGCATATGCCATATGGGGACATGATATGTTGTCCTTGAAACCTGTAGCTCGATCTCTTCCACGACAGCTTCAGAATGCATGGACTTTGGTATCCGGCTGCATATGGTGTTACGATGGCATTGGGGCGGTGAAAATAACTTTCATGTGGTTTAGTGTTGCGCTATCATGGCTTATTCGAGGGAGAAACCGTCCCACGGCATCCGGAAATAGAGCATCGTCGGCTTTTCTTCAAATAACAAGTCACGTCCCGCAACTAGTGAAACTTAGACAGATAGTCTAACATGCTTATAAGTTGGTTAGCTGTTGCATCTCGAAGTGCCTTGTCTGGACAAGTATGAGAGGACCCTACTGGCTTCACCCATGAGTTACCATCACACTGTGTCTGCCTCATGGACCTTGAACACCACACCCGCCAGCGACCCATCCGTGTCGAGGTTATCATGTATCTTCATTTCCTGTACTTCGTTTACTTCGGCTGCCAAGTCGGTCGCTTGACTTGCACGCGGCCGCAAGACCCAACCCAGAATAATCGGAGACGCCGAAGAACCTTCGGATATCAAAATAGAATATTCCAGGGATATTATTGAAGCCACCTATTTGTTAGCTGGCTCAGTAGGCCACCCAGGGGCAGGCAACTATGTTAGATAGAGCAAATAGTAATGACCACTGGGAGGGGCTACATATTACGTATGGTCGATCCCGTGATCTACGTTCTGGGCAGGATTGTCAGGTTATTTCTCAGCAACTCGGCCACGTCTTCACCGCCATCTACGAGGGGCTGCGTGAGAGTAGCATGAATCATCAATATGCCTCGCCACCACATAAGATACCCTGTACCGCTCGATCATTACTGCGAGTTATTAAAATAGTTTCCAGAGGATCCTCAAGGCTCGTTTACACCGTCCACCTCCAGAGCGCACTGAATCTCCACAAATTGGTGATGTGCAAACATCGAAAGAGATTCATATTCTTCAGCAAGGCGTGGACCCCGAGCCATGTTGGGCTTCGCCATCCTGCGTACAGTGACCGCCCCTATTGAATCGCCTTGGCAGGACTGGCTCATTTATTCTTTACCGAGATCGACGTCAATTTTCTGACGAGGACTCCGATCCGATACCGCAAAATTTCACCCCCTGGAGTAGTGAGGCGGCGCTTGCTACTGCAGGTCTGGGGTGGCGTTGGCATCAAGCTGTCCCAGCCCTTATCACGGACTATGCCCGTACATCGCATCATCCCTTCTCAGCAGTATAGTTATTTCACAGGTCGGCTGGTGTAGTTGGTCACTTCGCTGGTAGATAAGTCCCGATTTGAGCCTCGCCCACTTGGGTCGGTGACGAGTCGCGGGTTCGAATCCCGCAGCTGACACACAAGGGGGTTTAGTCAACCCTTACGGCGCGCTGCCCACCTTGTTGACTTCGCCTACCTAGCGATAATAGGGAGATTGGTGCAGTTTAGGATTACGAGCATCCTAGCCAGTCGACCGTCAAGCACTACGTCGGCGGAATATAACTCGACAGCCGGTCCAGAATTCGAATCGTTAATCCGACCCCTTATCGGACCCCCTCTCGCCGCGATTCTTGCGAGCGTCTAGATCACGTTACGGTCTATCCACTTGAGCGTATGGTTGAGATGTATACGCTCGACGAGAACCCCAATTAGCAGATACTACGACTTGTCGCGACAAAAAATAGTCGAGCATCTTCTGCACATCAGCAGCATCCCACCCCTGAGGACGAATTTAAGTGCCACATTACCACACTTATCGGTAGTTCAGGCAGGGGTTGTAGCACAGACTTAGGGAGGGACAGGAGGTTTAGTAGTCGTTTGGCTACAAGTTTACCTGTATAACCGCCCGACGCGGCTTAAGGGCCCGCTATATCATCTATAGCCCCTTAAGGGAGTACTTGTAGAGGTACCGAGGGTTAACACCTACGGCGTATTTAATATTATTTAATTATAGAGTGTCAGCCGCATCTGATGTGCATAGGGTAACCCACAGACGTAGACGCACCCCTGTTCCACACGATGTCCCCAGTATAGATAGACTAAAGTCTGTACCAAGCGGAGCTACCCAGTCAGCGTGTGATCTAGTTACAGGGGCAGCTTTCAGAGAGTGATGAACGAACGAGGGACCATATGACGGTCAGAGTGCTGCTTCAGTTTGCATCTGGTTTCCCAGCGTTGCGCTGAACTCTTGTTGTCTAGCTCAGTCATTCGTTCCCGTGTCTTGACAACTCAACCATACACCATCTTTATACATATTGTTATGATTTGAATCCCAGTTTACACAGTCTTTGCAACAGACCCAACTTTGTTCCCAAGCTTCCGGAGCACTCGCTTGCCACTATGGTCCGTCTTAATACTATCAAGGCAACTGCCGTCTTGCTGCACATTGGGGTCTCGACCGCCATCACCGCGTGCCCAGGCGCGGAGACGGTCTATACAAGCACCGAAGGCGTGCGGTACGCCATCTGCCCTGACACAGACTACCAGGGAGCAAGTCTTCAGATTATCCCCGGCGTCGCTTCTACTACAGCTTGTGCAGCGCGTTGCGAAGCAGATGCTCGCTGCGCCAAGGGGGTTTTCGACACACAGACGGGAGATTGTCACATCAAGGACAATGCGGTGGCGCTGGCCTGGGTGACGAATGGGAGATTTGATGTCATCCGGCTGAACAATAACTTTCCCGAGGGGACCAACATAGCCTACTGTCCCTTTAGCCAAACGAGCTACACGGCTGTCAGTGCCACGTACAAGATCTGCCCTGTGAGTCTTAAGCAAAATACTTACAAGTAGGAGCACTTGCTGACTCTAATAAAAGGGTACCGACTACAAAGGGGCGAGTGCGCAAATGGTTCAAGGTGTTGCCAGCGTCACGGCATGTGCACAGCTGTGTGGGTCGACGTCAGGCTGCAAGAAAGCCGTCTACGACAACGTCGCACAGGTTTGCCACATTAAGGACACTTACAACAGCGCCACTCTGATCTGGGCCATGAACAAGAGGTTTGACTCGATTACCGTCGACGCTAAGATCAACTTTGCAACTCAGGGGAACTGGACGGATATAATTCGACTCCCTGTGATTCCTGTCGCAGCGTACGTAGTGCCACAATTCCCCGAACCGACCAGGATGCTCGTGTTTTCGAGCTGGGGAGATGATACCTTTGGCGGAGTGAGTACTTCAATGATGATTATTTGTCTCAGGAGGGCGGTGGCTGATGTTAAGCTTTACTAGGCTGCGGGATACACGCAATTCGCCGACTACAACTTCAAGACAGGTGCCGTTTCACAGCGAACCGTGGCCAATACTAAGCACGACATGTTCTGTCCCGGAATTAGCTCCCTCGCCGATGGTCGTATTCTCATCACCGGTGGCTCGAATGCCGAGGCGACGAGTTTATACAACCCTTCGACCAACTTGTTCGTCCGTGGCCCTGATATGAAGATTGCCAGGGGGTATCAAACGTCTACCACGCTATCTAACGGCAAAGTTTTCACCATTGGAGGGTCATACTCAGGCGAAAGGGGAGGGAAGAACGGCGAAGTTTACGACCCGGCCACGAACACGTGGACCCTGCTTTCAGGGGCTTTGGTGGAGCCGATACTAACAACGGACAACGAGGGAATCTGGCGAGAAGACAACCATGGTTGGTTGTTTGGCTGGAAGAACGGGTCGGTGTTCCACGCCGGGCCGAGTATAAAACAGCATTGGTACGGTACTATAGGCACAGGTTCGGTTGCTGAGGCGGGCATGCGTGATGGCGATGACGCAATGTGTGGCATCAACGTCATGTACGATGCCACAGCCGGCAAGATCTTCACTGCTGGCGGTAGTCCAGACTATACGAACAGCGACGCAACCCAACGAGCTCACATCACCACCATTGGGAACCCGGGAACTCCTTCGACTGTCGAGCGTGTGCCTGATATGACCTTCCCTCGCGGATTCGCCAACGCTGCCGTTCTACCCGACGGAACTACTCTTGTGACGGGCGGACAGCGCCGGTCCCTCGTCTTCACTGATACAGACGGTATTTTGACTCCTGAGTTATTCAACCCCGTCACCAAGACTTGGACACAGATGGCCCCCGAAGCCGTGGCACGTAACTACCACTCGGTCTCCCTCTTGCTTCCGGACGCCACTGTGTGGTCCGGCGGTGGTGGACTCTGCTATGTCGGCTCGCCCACGGGCTCTGACGCCAAATGTGACAAGAGCGTCGATCATGCCGATGGCCAGATCTTCTCCCCTCCTTACCTCTTCAACCCAGATGGTACTATGGCAACCCGTCCCGTCATCTCGGCCCTGTCTGCTACTTCTGTCAAGGTTGGCGCCACGATTACCGTTACTATGAGCAACAACGATGCTACCACTTTCTCCTTGATCAGAATTGGCTCGGCCACACACTCCATCAACAGCGACCAGCGCCGTGTTCCTCTGACCGATATCACAGCAAATGGTGCGGCACACATCATCCAGCTGCCTACTGATGGCGGAGTTCTGATCCCGGGCCACTATTATCTGTTTGCGCTTTCGAGTAATGGTGTTCCCAGCGTGGCCAGAACGCTTCAGGCCACCTTGTAATCGTCGGATGGTTCAAGCACTACATAATAAGTAATGGACACAGATAGTCGCAATTTATGATACAGGACAAGATAACTCCAAGACTGTGGGTCATCATGACCCAATATGAAAGGGTATCAATAAATCTCCAACCCTTCTTACCACATTGTCTCTGATTTAGTATGGCTATCCACTGAGAAAATGTCGGCTTCGACATCTGTTTCTTTAGCATCATCTGCACTCACCAACGTAAATACATCTTCCTCTTCCTTATCTTCAGACGTGGCATCGTATACCAAGTTATGCAAAGCCTCCCGCACCGCCTGTCTTGTCAGAGTCTCGAGTTTAACCAGACTGCGGCGCTGTTTCGGGTCCACCGCCGTGCACAGCGCGACAAGATTGCGCAGGTCGTTGTCGAGGTGGGGAAATGGCATTTCACTACTGCCCCTCTTGTGCCCTGGTGTGTTTGGAAGGAAAGGGACGCGGCGACGTCTCGACTTCGGCACTATTGGGATAGGAGCAGAATTTATATCCCTTGCCGTAAGGGAGTATGGTTGATTGTATTGTGAGTTGAAATATGAACTGCATTTGTTTTATTACTCAATCCCAGACGCCCATGGGATTGAAAACGTACCTCTGCCATACTCATCATGTCACGTTCTGCTGTACGGCCGTCTGTGTTGGAACCGGCCAGTCGGTAGCCTCCCCCAGGGTCGAGTAGTTTGAACCTCGGGACACAGTCATGTCCTTCTTGAAAAACTGTTTGGTCAGCAGTCATAAATATATTTTTCTAAGTTCGGATATATCTGAATCTGATGTGAGAATATACACCGCAGTGTTATCTACATACATATCCCCTTATATCATAACTTCTGGCTCCTGTTTCGATGGTATAGTCTAGAGGCCTTCCTCAACACGTTTCTTACCTTGCGGAGGATACGCGAGGCCAATACAGCATCGGGCCACTCACGCAGCCGTTGCATCACCAAGGCCATGGCCATTAACTCTGAAAAGAGGTAATAACGAAACTTACAGTAGAGGGAAAAACTCCAATTAACACGGTTAGGTATGTATTTATCCCTGGCTCTCTTGACGAGCCCACGAACAATGCCGTTCTCCACGTATTCCAGTACTATGGCCGGTCCTGGTAGCCCGCCTCCGATCCCTTACCATGTAGATCCTGGGACAAATTCAACTAGCCGTTCAAAGTTCTGTTTGAGAGGAGACGTCCGGCGCGGGTTCAAGTTAGCTTTGATCAGTTACACCATGTGTGCTGAGCCGCGAAAACTCTGCGTATTGTTCATAGTCATACCTGCAAGATCCGAGCCTCATTGAGCAGGTCGTCACCAACCCTTCCTTGAGGGACAGTTTAACCACAAACCTCCTTCTCAACCCCCGTCTTCACGCTTTTCTCTTACTAGGGCCGTGATGCCGAATGCACCATTTCCGGCAACTTTCACAAACTCAAATCACTTGTTCCTGTTGTCAAAGGACCGAAATAAATGTTTTTCCTCAGTTGCCGCTAACTTGTCAAGCTTCCCGATTTAAATAGTATCATCGAAGGACTTGTCGTTGTCCGTCATCTTGTGCAGATCTCGGGGAAAGTGCCAATGAGGTATTAAGTAACAAGCGCTACTGATTATATAAAACATTCAAATTTGAGGAAATTCGCGTCAATGCAATAGTATTCGGCTTCACCACAAGAGCCACAGAGATGATCCTTATTGTGCCAGTGTGTATATCCATATCCGACATCGACCAAAATTTCACAGACTCCTCTCAATGGATGTCGATACAATAGAAGACACCTGGACGTTAGACGTTTTAACTTAAAGTCTTTGATAATTCGGTTTCTGCCCTGATTTCCACCCGAAGTGTATTGATAAGTAAGTCATCAACACACTGACAAATTGTCATCATACGAAGTCATAGCCCAAATTGCCTGGTTGTATTCAGCCAGAACGCGTATTCTCGTGAGCTTACACCGCCCGGTTGCAATTTCAACTGGATAAATCGCGCAATCTGAACACGCTTGTAATTTTCCCTTAATACACATGTTCCTTCTCCTCTGCCTTCGGAATTCTCACCATCGTACCGGTTATAAGAGCGCCCGTTAAAGCGGAAGCCAGCCCGAACCACCATATGGCCTTGATGCCGTCGAGTCCGACTTCGCCGGTAGGCAGCTGGTCGACCTTGACTCCAATGGAGTCGGACAGCGAGTTCATGATGGCCGACGTCAGATTCTGCACCGTCACCAACAAGCTACCCGCCGAGCCCTGGTAGGATCTGGGTACGCTAGACGTAATGAAAATCGCCGCCGCCGCGAAGCTCAAATCAGGGCCGAAAGTTGCCAGTGCAACGCCGGGCATGGAGAGGGCCCAGTATGGAGTGGTCGGCGTTTGCGGGAGGAAGAAGGCAGGGCCCAGAGCAAAGCATACCATGCTCGCTGTAAGAATCCAATGTGTGTCGAAGATATGTAGTGTCTTAGATACAAGCCAAGCCGCGAATACACCGACAATGGCGTTGGGCAAGATATATAGTGAGATGGTGAGGGGGGTAGCCCCCTGGTATCGTTGCCAAAATTGAATCGCATAGAACTGCCAGGAGCCGCCTAGCAACATTCATGTCAGCCACTGAATTGCACCTGATTTTCGTATGAAAAGAAGAGAGACATAGTCACTGTAAGCTCCAAATCCAAGAAAATACGCAACCAGCAACGCAGAAAACCCGGGCGTTTTCCAGAGACCATTAGGTATCAGGGGGCGCGCGACCCGGCACTCTACGAAGTAGAATGCGGCAAAGCATGCAAAACCCAGGATTATTAAGGAGTAAGTATACGGATTCCAGTGAGCGGATGATCCCTGTGTGAGCCCAGAAAGAATCAGACCAGAACCCCCAGACGAGAGGCCTGCGCCTAACCAATCGAACTGGCGTAGCGTGGGAGCATCCGCATCCGCGCTATCCTTGGCAGGGCTCAAGGGGGGGATGGTGAACTGGGCAGCCAAGGCACAGAGACCTAGCAAGATGGAAGTGCTGCCAAAGATCCATGGGAGGTGAGAACTCAGCGCACCCCCTTGCACGCAGCCAATCCAGAAACCAAGGGGTGCTCCGGCAGCCATAAGTGAGAAGACCCTCGTTTTGCGAATTCCAGGTTGGTAAATTCGGCCTAAAATGCTCATTGAAGCCGAAACAAGGACGCCGACAGCTAGACCTTGCATGGCCCTCGCAACGAAGAAGACAATCTTCAACTCGGGTTTGATGACTCCAACAGCCACTGCGTTCCACACGGCCTCCCAGACAAAGGCCCCCACGATTAATGGCTTGGGTGGTGCGAGGTCAGCAAAGGAGCCGGCAATGATGACAGACAAACCACTGGCAAGTAGAGATGATCCGATTAGCCACGGTGCTTGTGTCGCTGGAATGCCCAGTGCGTCCCGCAACGCAGTCTGCGTTACTATAACATGGCCTAGGGTTAAGGAAAATATGACCTGACCTGCCGTGCAAACGAGGATAAAAATGATCTCCGCAACAAAGTTGGCCAACTCGGGCGGTACCCCCTGCGAAATGGGTGCCGTCGGGCTTCCGGCTTCATTTGGCAGGCCTATGTGCAACGAGTGATGACTGGTGGTGCTCCCAAGACGTCTACTCCTCATGTGCCCCAGCTCAAGCATAGGGTCAGGCAGAGTCTCACCGTTTGTCTCGGTGTTATCCTGCGTTTCGCTGAGGGCTTGGACGAACGCTTGCCGGTCAATGGAGAGGTAGTCATCTGCTGGGCCGACCAAAGGGACAGAGGAGGGCACAGCGGATGGGAGGGCACTTGGCAGTTCCAGGGACATGCCATGCGCCCCTATGCTCGGAGAACGAGAGCTTTCGCCGTCTGTCTGATCTCCTCTGTTCGGTCCCTCACCCAGCTCAATCCATATGCCTGCTGGATGTGCCATAGAACTTATCGACGTCGAAATTCGTGGGATCGACATCTTCCAGGTCGGTTTTGGCTGGTAGGCAATAATGGTAATGACGAGAACAGTGTCAGTTACTAACAACTCAGCCTTCACCTGTTGGTTCTGCGATCAAAGCAATGCAGTGCATCACCAACTGATCCTTCAAGATTGTGGATAGGGTGTAGTTCGTCGTGAACTTTGCGTGTGACAGAAATGTTGGGGATAATAAATATGGCTGTCTCCGAAAATTTCTGTATATATGGACTAGTGGTAAGGGATCTGGTATCGGATATCGGACATATATGGCTTTTGAAGCTGTAACTGTAGTGCTTTATCCTGTAGTGTCCTTGACAGTATAATATTGTTGTTGTAGTTCGCAGGTGCCAGTTGACGTCGTCGTAAACGTGGAGCGGACGATTGGGTTTAAAACTCGGGAAGATCATGCCGAAAATTAACGCATTCTCGGGTTTTAGCAAGTACGAGGTAGGGCTGGGACCCACCAGTCGAACTAGACTAGATCTGGGGTTTAGTCAGCCAAATCGTACTGGAGTAAGTCCAGCGTTAGAAGAAGAAAAGGCCCCAGGTGACTCTTCTGGGGTACTTTAAGATTGTGTGAGAGCTAGGGGCATGTGCAAAATCTCAAGGTCAGGAAAATACAACTTGGGAAGGGATGGGAAGCCAGTTCATGTTGGCGAATTACAGAGCTCATGCGTAGTTGTTGCGCCCGAGTAAACCCCGTATTAAAATTATTCTGAGCCCGTTGTTCTTGGGTGACAATGAAGGAGAGTTGATGTATGAAAACAGAGGGGCGCCCTCGGCTTAGACAGTATGTGAGCCTGTGCTCGTGTGAGATCGCATCATCGAGGAAGGAATAAGAGCTGGGCACTGGCTAGCAAGCGGCACTCCAAACCCTCCATATATATGATGTTTTCAAGCATATGCATCCCGTATATACTGTTTATCCCTGGGAATAGGGACTTTGAGGACAAGCCGAGGGAAGAATGAGGCCTCATTGAAACGATGTGCCCAGGCTTAAACACTGCAATAGACGAAGCTTTCAGCGCGTGTTCAAATATCATCCCATCATTAAATCAACAATTTACTGGCCGATTGTCACCAGGAGTCCCTGAAGGATGCTTTCTGATCAAGCATTATTAAACCGAGTTGATAGACTTCGGCCGGTATTAAGCGAGGATCTTGTAGTAGCGGCCATCTGAAATACCTGTGAAGCTCTAGAGGAAGCTTGAACATTAACTAATGCACCGTCATACCTAGATTCAATAGGAGGGCACAGTAAAACCATGAGGGCCGGCATGAGAAGTTCCCGAGTCCAGGCATGAATGAATGTTACCAAAAACCTACCTTTGGGCAGGTCTGCTTCAAACTCTCAACAAATTAGATGCTACCCGACGTCACAATTCTTGCTAGAGTAGAGTCTATCAAGGAAGGCGAAAGTCATGATCAATCAATGGTGTCGCAACATATAAGGCAGACTCCCCACAGGATATAGTCAGAGGGGAACCTATCACCAGATTTATTACACCCACAACCAAACATAACCAACTATTTAAATCATCCGCAAAAATATCTTCAAAATGGATAAAATGAAGGCGGCTTTACAAGATAAGTTGATTGGTTTTGGTCAGTCAAGCTGCCCTCGTATCGAATTCAGCTATTAACCTCCCATACCAGACCATGCCAAGGAAACTCACAATAAAGTGTATAATGAGGAACATCATAAGGCACACTTTGGTCACGAGCTCGTGGCAGGCGGTGCTGCCTTCGAAGCCATGAAGGTTTTCGAAGACCGCCAGCGCAAGAAGGGTGAGAAAGAACGCACACATTCCATCCGCCTCCCCTTCTCTCCCTTCCCCTTTATCAAATTTCGGGTTTAGGTTTCCTCTTGATCAAATTCCCGCCATATACTCACCAGAACTATACAGGCGAGCCTGTAAACCACGCATTCGCTAAAGAAATGCTCGCCGGCATCGCTGCTGCCGAGGTCGATAAGCTTGTCGAGACGAAAGGGCTTGATCACATTGATCGGCAGAAGGCCAAACACCACGCTGAGAAGCAGGCAGAGCATTTGTATGACCAGCATTACGGAAAGCAAGGCGAAATGTTTGATCCGTAGGTTTCAAGGTCTAACATTATCTCTGGCAGTTACTGAACTCGAACGTGTAGTAACCAGATGCAACCCCACCCATCCATGAAACATTGATGAGAGAGGTTACAGATAGCGCTGGGAAGTTTCAATCGAGTGAGAGAGAAATTGATAGGTTCAACTCATATGTATTGCGGTTTTAATTTGTGAGGTCGGGATACATTTTTTCATAATAGGGTGACATAATTTATTACTGTACCAAAATTTGTTCACTCCATACATATCAGTCTATGCGCCCATAACTCTTCTCCCCTTCCTCCCCCCTCCCGGTTCAATTCGCCCAGAATTTTCTAACGTAAGTTCATCACAGAAACTACGCTTCGATGTGGTTTGAATTCTTGCTGATGAAGGATTCAATTCTGGTCAGGATGATTTACAATAATGTGTTATATAGCACCGAAGTGAGGCTATCATCGAAATTTGACGTTCTGATTGCTATCCAACAGGGTACGTTTTGGCAACCCACCAACTACGTTCGGGTACATGTGATTGTCATGACGTGCAAGTCTCGACGAAAAGACTCTATGTACACCGGGATATGAACAATCTAATGGTAGAAAAGAACGGTCTCGATTGGGATCATAAGATTCGGGTTTCAATTTGAACTGCATTTGATAGTGTTCACTTTCGTTTGATTAAATCGACGAATGACATCAGTTTTCAGCCTAACATATAGCATTCGGGATCCGATTTCGTTTCTTTAATATGCCTCGAAACCATGGCCTCGGGATTGACATATATTAATACATGGGCTTTCTGTGTTTCTTTCCGGAATCGCTTGTGACATGAGATTGAAACACCCGTCTCGAATATGTAGTGTACTACGTAAGTTAGTTCCATTCGTGATATGGGCTAAGTTGAGTCAACAGCTAGTGTTGTGCTCAGATAGCTAACAGTCGCAATTTTCAATGATTGCGCAACAATACAACTGAAATTACATAAGTACCCCAACTTATAGAATCGAGTCAATACTGATTGTGACGAGATTAGGGTGGTTGATGTCCAGTCAGTCCCAAGTAAATCCATGCTGGATCAGGCTGCTTCGTAGCCCGGGTCGGCACTCACCGCGAAGACACCGCCACGCTGTGTGGTACCTCTTGGGTCGGATCCTAGCATGGGATTTGGGAGATATGAGAACCAGAAAAAAGACCGGACAGACTCACTAGCTTCCCGAAACGGAAAGCTAATGATACCACGGACGCAATTTCTACTTCTTGCCGTTCGTGTCCCCTTTCACAGTATGATACAGATAAGAAGCGGGATAATATTAATTGACGTATATAAGTTGACGCCTAAATTAACAATTCCCTTGATAGAACGCTGTGCTCTTTAGCCTTCTAATTGCCGCTATGAAGTGTCTGTCAGCTTGGAGCATCGTGAGCCTGCTAGCCTCATCCAGAGCTTGCCTACTTCCCGAGGAAACAGGCCGTGGCCCCCTACGAGCCGTCCGCAGACAGTTTACCAACAATTCAGGTATTCCAGTTGGACCGGGTGATCGCTTTAACGGTGGCACAATTGCTCCCCGAGGCTTGGGAACTCAGAAACCCGACACAAACTTGGGCTCTTTGCTAAACGTCCAGGAGATCAAGAGCGCCCTCGACGGTCTTGCCAATCAATATGGATTTGACACTTTCACGACACCATACATGACATATGAGAATGCAAGCATATTCGGGGCCAAGATCGGTGGAAGACGAAAATCTAAGCATGGTCCCCGAGTATTCTTCAACGCCGCAATCCACGCGCGCGAGCGGGGGTCCTCGGACAACTTGCTGTACTTCATCTCCGACCTACTCTATGCCAACAAGCACAAAACCGGCCTGACGTACGGCGGCCGAACATATTCCAGCTGCGAAGTGGGGAAGGCCCTGTCAACCGGCATTGTTTTCGTGCCCCTAAGCAATCCCGACGGCGTCGCGTACGACCAAGCAACCAACAGCTGCTGGCGCAAGAACCGCAACCCCGCTGCTGCAACACCAGGCGATCCGACCTCTGTTGGTATTGACCTAAACCGCAACTTTGACTTCCTATGGGATTTCCCTAATCTCTTTGAGCCAAGTGTTGGCCCAAATGCTGCCTCCAGTGACCCGCGTGCGCAAGATTACCACGGCACCAGCGCATTCTCCGAGCCCGAGACCAAGAGCATCAAGTGGGTGATGCACATATTTTCAGACATTAGCTGGTAAGGAACTCTTAAAGTCCTGATTTGATTCTGTGGTCGTATTTTAGGGGGTGACGAAATCTGTGGAAAGCCGCCTCGCCCCGAAAGATACAACCTCCTGAGACACAAGGTACGAGGTGATTTTAATAACGCCGCGAGTTGATAGGTATGTGGATATCCACTCATTCGCTGGAGTAATACTTTACAGCTGGGGCAGCGATGAGAACCAGTCCCGTAACCCAGGCATGAACTTTATGAATTCGTCTTACGGCGACGTGCGAGGTTTGATGCCGGATAAGCCGGAGGAAGGCATCATGTACTCGGAGTATACGCCAAATAAGGATTGGGCTGAGAATATCTATACGGCCATGAAAATTGGGCACGCGATGGACGCAACGATTGGCCGGCACTACGAGGTGACGCAGGCGGCCTATCTATATCCGACGTCGGGAGCGTCGGATGACTATTCTTATTCAAGGCATTTTATCAACCCAAGTCTGAACAAGATCCATGGCTTCACCGTCGAGTTCGGTTTCGGCAATGAGGACGCCTCGTGCCCCTTCTATCCTACGCTCGAGCAGTACCACCAGAATATCCTCGAGACGTCGGCAGGCTTCATGGAACTGCTCTTGTCAGCAGCAGATGCGGAACTTGGGAAGAACACCTGCCATTGAGTGTAGTCCAATTTAGGGGTTAGCAAGAAGGGAAATGATGAGACCATGGTAACTGCGCCCCGGCTAATAGGTCACGGACCAGAAGACATCTCAATTCCTTCTTGTGCAGCGAAGCCTCCACCGTTCAGTAGTTAATATCAATCATCACTATTCGACCGTCTGAAGCCAATTAGGAAGTCGGTCGATCACCATCGGACGGTGCTGTGGAAGTCCTTATCTCTAGTCTCAACTTCGTCGAACGCGATGCAATAGCATCTGCCACTCGGTGGTTTTTGAAGCACCAAGGAAGCGGAATTGGAACAAAGTCGATTGTCGCCGTCGTGCCAGTCGCAAACAGCTGCCTTCTCCCCGGTATCACGCAATCAGCTTCGGTACAATCTCCGTTCCGATCGCGCCTTCGGGGATATCGTATTTACAGTAGGTTACGGGCTTAAGGAGGCGTTGGTTGTCTGTTCCTCGTCGGATGAGCAAGTCCGATGGTGATTATGGGTCCGTTCAAGATTGTGCCTTACATCATTAACTCACAGCAACAAAAATTGTGACAACAGGAGTATAGGTACCAGACAACTCGTCGAAGATGAATAACGCTGAAGTCTCAACCAATCATCCACTCTAGGAACTTGCTTGATCTTCAACTGTCCCTTATTTTCTGCCCATTCGAAATGTTCAAGTACAATAAGTTGCTGGCAAGCATGTTCTCGTCATGGGAGGAAGAACGAGCATCGGTCGCGGTGTAATCGAAGCGTCCATCGAATCTGGCGCCCGTATCACCGTCTCCAGCTCATCACAGCATAGCGCAGACTCTGCGGTATCTGAGATCAAGACCCTCTACCCGTCGGCAGATATTGCAGGGCTCAAGTGCGACCTGTCCAAAATCACCGTTGAAGAAGACCTCGAGGCGCTCTTCAACGAAGCTGGTCCAGTTGACCACATCGTTTTCACAGCCGCCGATGTACTGGCCCTGGGCGTACTGCAAGATCCAGAAGGCGACCCATATGCGTCTGGCTGTACCAATACTGCTAGGCAAGGTCGCCGTCCGTCATCTACCTAAAAGCAGCGAGTCCAGCCTCACACTCACGATGGGCAGCATAGCGGACCATCCAGCTCCTAACTGGGCCCTCGTCGCATTTTTGGCCACTGGACTGATGGGCTTGACTTGTAATCTGGCACTTGACCTGAAGCCGGGCAGAGTCAATGCTGTTAAGCCTGGGTTTGTCAACACCGGACTGTGGGATGCGCACATGATGCAAGACGAGAAGTTAGCTATGATGGAGGGTATTGGGAAGAAGATGCCCGTCGGGAAAGCAGGGCAAGTGGAAGATGTGGCCGAGGCGTATTTACATGTCGTGAAGGACAAGAATTGCACTGGGGAGATTATCAAGACCAGGAGCGGGCAGCAACTGTTTTATATGCCGGACAAAATTAAATAGGGAGTGGGTTTCAGGGTAACGCTGCTTTCGCCGTAATACTCTGAAACCAATAGTGTAGGGTTTGGAGGCTCGCTTTGGGAATTAGATTGAAATGTGTGGTAAGAGAAATGGTAGACCAACGTGACAATTCCCAGCGCCAATCATTATTGGACTGAATAGTCTCATTTTCGGTATAACAAATGTGTGAATACACAGCGTGATCAGTTCATCTTGGAGACACGGGTTACCAAATCGTCTCGGTATGGGAACATGTAGGACCCGAACACCAACAGATAGCTGCGCTAGCGTGAACCCCTGCTCTGAACAACTCGCATCAACCCCAAAAAAAATTCCGATGGGTGCAAGACTCCAGTCACCAGAGCCCACTCGACAAGCGGAGCGGCGGTCTCGGAATCTTTTGATTCAGCATGCCATGAAGTCAGTCACCTTAGGTCACAATTGAATCGTCTTGTACGAGCGACGTTGACTTCCAAAAAATTAAAATAAAATTCCGCCAGTGTGTGAGCCGAGAAACGTTGAGAATGTCGTTCCTCTCTCGAGCTGCATCAGACTCCCGCGCCCAATTTGCGACAACTGCCATTGTGTCCGGGGCAGTGGTGGCTGGTGCCATCCTGGGCTACCAACAGCTCCAGCGAAGAGAGAACATTCGCCAACTGAAAGACTCAATACCCTTCGTCGACGAAGGCGACGCACTGCGCAAGGTATGAAAGGCCACGAACCGATCCCCGAAGAGAGTTTCGCAAGCTTACTGACCCCAAGGCAGCTGACTAGCTTTGGCGGAGCCTCGAAAGTTGACCAGGAAGACCTCCGAAACGAGGCCCTGGCTAGACGAGCCCAGGCCGGCGAATACGATGACGAATTGATCCTCGAGCAGCTGGCCCGGAACCGGGTCTTCTTGACCCCCGACGGACTCGACAAGCTTCGCAATGCCTTCGTGGTAGTGGTTGGATGCGGCGGCGTCGGATCGCATGCCACATCTGCCCTGGCCCGATCAGGAGTCTCCAAGATCCGCTTGATCGACTTCGACCAGGTGACACTGAGCTCGCTGAATCGCCACGCCGTTGCGACACTGGCGGACGTGGGAATCGCAAAGGTTCAATGCCTACACAGACGGCTCATCGCAATAACACCGTGGGTCAAGTTCGATTTGCGGCTGGAGAAGTACTGGGACGAGGCGGCTGATCGACTCTTGGAGCCGTGGAAAGAGGGCGGGCAGAAGCCGGATTTTGTCATCGACGCCATCGACAACATCGACACCAAGGTCTCGCTGCTGAAATATTGCCACGACCACAATCTGAACGTGATATCGTCCATGGGAGCCGGGTGCAAGAGTGACCCGACGCGCATTCTGGTTGGCGATATTGGCATGAGTACCGATGATGGGCTATCGAGGGCTACACGACGTCGTCTGAAATTGCTTGGCATCACAAAAGGAATCCCAACTGTTTTCTCGACAGAAAAGACTGGCGAGGGCAAGGCCGAATTGCTTCCACTTCTCGAAGAGGAGTTTCAAAAGGGAAGTGTTGGCGATCTCGGCGTTCTGCCCGACTTCCGCGTGCGCATCCTCCCAGTGTTGGGCACAATGCCCGCAGTATTCGGATACACGGTGGCAAACCACGTTATCTTGTCCATTACTGGCTACCCGCTTGACTACGTCCCAGCCAAGGGGCGAGATAAAATGTACGATGGTATTCTCGCTGCGCTTCAAGGCAGTGAGGAAAAGCTACTCCGGCACATGACAAATCAAGATGCGTCCGTCGCCGTTGGATTGAAGATACCTATCACCGTCGGCGACGTCGCGTTCCTGGTGGAGGAGATATTTAAGGGTCGTAGCTCCATCACGGGGCTTGCCACAAGATTGCACCTCGTTCGATGGAAGAAGCCAACCTCGTCTACGCTGATCAAAATTGGAGAGGGCTCTGGAGAGCAGAAGTCGTCTAATCTGACACTTGGCGAACTTGTCTGCATGACCAAGGAAGAAGCTACGCGGCATGAGAAGGAGATCCTGCGGGGAGAAAAGACAGCACAAGATTTGTATGACACAGCTACCATGGAAAAAGTCGAGGCAGCTCTTAAGGATGCGGCCTCGTATGTGAAATGCAGATGATGTGCAGTATTGCACATGAACCCGCTTACCCACCAGTTCTTTGGCGAACATGCACATTACAGGCATATGCATTTCTCAACGTAGAACCGACCACAGCCACGGTCTGCGGTGGCAGTGGGATGTACAAACCTCCCAACTTCCTACTGGTATTCCCATAATTCGTGAGCGTTTTGGAATATCTCGCGTGAATCAAGCTCACAGTTGCCAGAACTCCCTTGACGTATTGAGAAGATCTATGGTTTCGTACGGTAGGATGCGCCTGCTCACCAAAGCCTTATAAAGCAAATATGTCGTGGCATTGTTGCCGCTGGTCGATATTGTAAAACTACCTTGACTTTGAGCCATAAGCTCCTAATTTTAATAGAACAAGTGGGTCTAACTTGGGAAAGACCTTCACCGTTCAAGATGTGACGACACCAAAGGTGCTTACACGTCCTTCAACGGCATGCCCAGAATTGGATGTACATGCTTTGCCGACGCTAGCCAATACATGGAGAAATTACAATTGCGATGTATCTATCACTCCTCAGCAACGTTTCTGCTCGAAATCCAAACCAGCATTTTCCCTCTTTACCTTGTTCAAACCTTTGGTTCCCTGGGCCAATTCATGGCTGCCGGTCTCCATCTGCCCTGGTTGGCTTCGACGGTGGCTAGACTGTTCCGATTTCATTCCGAGAATTTCATTTCTGAATGCCTACGCAAGTTCAACATTCAAGCATAATAGCCTCCTGGAAAGTAGGCGCTATTTGAACGTCAGGTTGACTCTGATGCCGACGGAGCCAAGATCAAACCAGTGCTCAACAGGGTCGTTTCGAGCATCTGGTTTTACATTGGGAATACTTGCACGGTGAATTCTGGAATCCTGGGTTGAATCAAGTCTGTGTCGTGGGCATCACCTCCTGAGTCATGATTTGGGCAGCGTCTTAGCATATTTGCAAGCGCCTTCATACGATAGTGCCAGGTTGGCCGGGGTCATCCAACCGGAACCACGGAATAGGTCCAAGCTATGCCAAACGTCGTTGCGGCGCTCAGAGGCTATATTAGGTCGGACCAGTATACAGAACTTCATTCGTGTCGCGCTGAATATTGTGGCGTGGATATTGGATATTCCCATTGTCGAGCCCGTTGAACGTCCTGATATCATCTTCAAAGTCGACCTAAATATATATCTCTGTATATATCTAGCACGCAACACTGAAATATGAAAAGAGAACGCGGCTGACTGACCTACCGGCAAGGCCATAATCAATGCTGAACCTCAGATGGCTGGAAAATTACATGGTCAAGTTTGTGTTTGCGAGACCCGTCGCCGATGATTCAGATGATGTCTCTGTACTGGACGACGAAGCGCTTTTGCAGGAAGCACAGAAAGGAACAACAGAACTTCAAATAGTGTTGTCATTTCCCGATCCTCCGAGACACGATGGAGGAGGTGCAAAAGAGTTGTCAATACTGGTCTTGTCGCCGAGGCTTGTCCAAAGTCATCAACGTCAACGAGGGCTGCTTGCAACGCAAAGCTCTCATGCGGGTCACGAATCTCATCGCCCACGTTACTGTGGACAGTTTCTGCTGTAAGGATGTTTCCTTGGTGTCTGGAGTTAAGCTTGAGAATATCGGGGTGTTTCAAGTTCTTGCCGCCCTCGCAGAGGGTGAGATGAAGTGGAATGACTGGTTCGGTGTTGCCGCGCGGGCGTTCGTCGGATGCCCACTCTCGGTAAGAAGGGCTCTGAAAGGTTCAGACGCAATTCCCCAGGTCTTCTACTCGCTACCAGCCATGTCGTTCAATATGGAGGCATTACCATCATTGCGCCATGGCTGGATATGTCAACAAACATGGCACGCAACGAATCATTCTCCATGGAGGCCATCGAAGATTGGGCGTCCTTGCCGGTGGCCTTGGGGAATTCAGGATTCAGGGTGTCAAAGGCGACTTTGCCGTCATCGACGCATCTGATACAAAAGTAATGATCGCCCGGACCATGGAGAAAGTGCAAGCCAGCATTCTAAAAGCCAATCCAGAGAGATATCACCAGCCACAGTCGTTACAAACTCTGGCTTCCGGGTGCCACCGACAGTCATTCGCGCCTGATGGACCCAAGCAGCGCCATTCGAGCTCTTCCGCGACTAAAGAGCCCAATGACATGTAATCACCTCCTACGGGCTTCAGTCGAAGAATGATGTCCCACCCATTCTAAAGCATGTAAGCTCGTGATTTCAGCGACTTATTAGGGCTGGGGGCAGAGGAGCTGATGTCGAGAACAGTGCAGTCTAAACAAGGCCCAGTGATCGACATTTCGCCGTTATATCATTCCTTCTTGCGCTTCAATATCACAGCGCCTTTAGCTCTCGTCATCCCATGACTATCCGTCGCGAAAGAGTCTGTGTTGCCTGTATCTATCATGATCAGACTCGCCCTCCAGTCGTCCACCTGGCCCCCGCTCGCTAGAAGAGTGACCTGAAGACGGTTTTACGTCATTGAATCATCGTGAAGCAGCCTCCGTCTTTGACTTCAAGATACTATAAATACTAGATCAAAATAAAAATAAAATTAGAGATTCTTCGACAAGAATCATAACGTTTCTCATCAAAAATATTCGAAGGGCGCTCCAGTAACCCCTGTGCCAATTATGTTGTATAGGTTGAAAGATTGTGTAGCACCAATATGTATCAATGACGAGGTATACTTATGACAGAGCCAATGAGGCAGTTGATGTGATCACTCCTGCCTCTTCAAATAGATTATATCACGGGCTCAAGCCAGATCCATCTATAAACAGCAAGCCAACGAGCTCGCTCGGTTTGACAGCTATCACCCGTACACCGATCATCAGCGGTACCGGAATGACCTCAATACTTTATTCCCCAATTTGGAGATTATCTCCTCGGGAATATCATATGAAGGGGGAGACCTCTTCGGCCTCCACCTATGGGGCGCAGATGCGCCAGGGAAGCCGGCTGTGCTCTGGCACAGTACTTTGTATGCCAGGGAATGGACTACCATGATGCTCAGTTTTGAGGAGGGCGTTCTAATCTGAATCTCCACTGATAAAACCGTTAGATAATCGAATACCTCACGTCGAATATTATCACCGGCTATGAGAGCGGCGATGAACTAGTCCAGTCATTTCTCGACCAATACGACTTTTACGTTATCCCCTTCGCTAACCCAAAAGGTAGGACGAGATTATCACAGCTTACCCTCTCGCTTCAACCCCTCCCAAAGAGCAAGCGCAGCCAAGCACTTAGCGTCTCGTTTGCCCTCCTTCCATAGATCCTTCATCTTGACCAGCTTGAGCGTGATCTTCTCCCCATGATCTCTCATCCCAGTAAGATTGCCCGTCCACTCTTTCAACTGCTCTCTTGGTACGCGACGCTCGTGCATATAAATGGGGATGAACTCGTCGCATCCACCCACCGACGGGTACATGGCATTGGGCAAGTCCTCGTCACCCTTGATGCTCGCCTCTTCTACCACCAAATCGCTCATGCAAATCAATTCCGAAGACTGCAACTCGAGACCCAACTCCTCCTTGATTTCTTTGGCAGCTGTGCCGGCAAAGGTGCCGTCGTCGTCCACCATGCCAGCAGGCAGCTCAACGAACTCGAGGCTACCTGCCGGTATGCGAGCTTGGACGGTGAGGATGACATGTCGCTCGTCTGTCTCCGACTCGTTCCCAGGTTCGACGTCTTCCGGGATGAGAATGACCAGCATGGCGACGCTCGGGCCTCGCAGGAATATACTGCCTGGTAACCTCTCACCTGCTTTATTGGATACGTCTGCCTTCATTTTCAAGAAGCCCACCCGTCCAGCATCGAACAGGTCGTAGGCCTGGACGGTGATTCTGCGCAGTTCATACGGGTCCGCATTGAAAGGATGAGAGGAGCGCGACTGCAGCGCTAGCGAGCGTGTGAGGGTTCGGACCCAGTTCTGGTTCGTGTCAGTGTTGGCCCACGGGGACATGACAGTCATAGAGAGCATACATTGAAGGGAAAGAATGCCAGGAGAGTCTCCTCAGACAAGCCATCAGGCAGGGTGACGGGAACGCTGGGCGAGTTGAGTGTGAAGGTCGACATGGTGCGCTTACGACTTAGCCGGTTGGTGAGAAGTGCCGGGCAGGTATAAGCTGCGAGGTGGAAGAACTGGCTTGTTTTTAACTGAAGCTTTTGTGGAATGCAAGCTGAGATAGCTTGCAAATGTGTTTTCATAGCTGTAAAACTGTGGCGCCCTGGATTCCTATTTACGATGAATTAAATAATTGCTTGTAATCCAGGCTGCGGCTGCATTAGGCAGCAACACGCCTTCCTTTACAGGTAGCGACTACCCCAGGCGCACAGCCCCGCTTCGCCCGACCAGCATTGCTATAGGTCGGCTCAAGTTTGTACGGACTTCGTCTATTTACTATACTAGATCAATGCAACTTTGACATAATCCAGTACTGGGTTTGATGAAGTCTTGAATCCGTCATCATATTGGAAGAGCTATACCATTCTGTTCCCATATCGTGCTGGAGACGTTGAAAGAAACACAGGAGTTCGGACGCGCACTCAGTGCAAAAGGTTTACCGCGGAGCACAACCCAGCCAACAACGCTGTTTTCTTTGACTATAAACGTCTGGACTCTTAATAAGCCATTTTTACAGACCACATTCGTGAACTTTGCTCTATTTCCCTGTTGCGCATAGATGGCCGTCAGTCTGCCGTACCCACAATCGCAAGTCCTTCACTTCCAGCATCTACTGAACACTGCGGCCTGGCCAAAAAGTGGCTGGAATAAATCAGTATTCCTTTGGATCAATCATATAATTCAAGCTAGAATTGCTTCAACATATTTATTCTCTATTACCAAAAGAAAATATTTGCGGAAATATTCTAAAAGAAATGAAGCTCCGGTACGGGGAATCGAACCCCGAGCCCCGCGGATCTCAACTAGATAGCTATGAAAACGCGATATGTTGACCGTTACACTATACCGGATTAGGTACTGGCTTCCTTGATAAGACATCCGCGGTATTGGCCACCATAAATTGTGGCAGTAGTGTAGAGTTCTGTCGGGCACCTCCGGTTGAGCTCTGAGCGTCGAAGTCCACTTCAAAGCTGAGTCATTCAGCCACTCGGCTGAGAGAAGGACATCATGAAGGGGACGAGTTGGCGAATGCTAATAAGTTGATTACACTCATGTATGCATACATAAGAATGCATGCGGGACGAGAGCAGCCGCATACATGAAGGTGGCCAGCAGACAAGAAATTTGGATTTGGTTCCTCTTTAAGTTCCTGAACGGGAACCAGTGCATTATCTATCTCAGCAAGCTCAGACGCCTAAAGTTTCTTGCGTTGTGGCATTTGCCAATCCCAAGTTCAACAAAATAGAACGAGTTGATCGAGAGGAAAAGTGTGACGATAAAAACTGAGTTGAGAACGGTTGTCTGTTGCCTTCAACTGACTTTGGAGTCGATAGTCTAGAAACGGAGATTATAAGAAGATCACGAACTCAGGGTCACAATAGAGGAAGCACGAGAACAACACGGGGAAGAGACTTGGAGCAACGGCACACTGCCAGGGAGCCTCTAGATTTATTGCAATAAATCATGACCGCCAGCGCGGTCAATAAAGTTCAGAGCAATTCACAAATGCGACAGATGTATACGGATATGTTCGTATATTGCTGAAGTCCCACAGGAACTTTGGGTTTATGCTCGTCTAATTATAACTTGAAATATCGTCTACTAGAACAAGGTATCGTCAAACAGAAAAAAAATCATCCAGCCCGTAAACATTGGCGACGAAGGCCACCTCGGGCGCATGCATCCATGGTCCTCCGCTCTTCTTTATGCAGCGGCAACGGGTTCGGCCACGGCCGCCGCCCCAGCGCTAAGCGAGACAACGTTGGGTGAGCCCAGGGCATTCTGAGTGAAGCGGGAGTTGAACTTCACGACGTTGCGGACACGCTCGAACGAGGCAGTGGAGATCTGAACTCGCTGGGTTGCGACCATCCAGTTGACACCCTCACTGCAGGGAGGGGTGGTCAGGGAGCCAGAGTAACTAATTGAGAATGTCAGTACTGAATGTTCTGTAATATCAGATGGAGGATCTGGCTGTCCCTTACGCTTCAAAGTTGCCAAGCTTCAAGGTCTCGACCAACTCAGACATGATGAGAGGCTGCGTTGTGACCTTAGTACCGGGCGTGGCGATCTCCTCAACGGATTGGAAGAGAGTTTCAAGCATGGTCGAGGTGACGGCACCATTGTCTGCGGCGGCAGTGATCTGCATCTGGCTAACGGCCTCGGCCTGCTTCTTCCATAGGCTGTGGTCTGGTTGCGGGTGGCGACGCTTCGCGGCTGGAGCAGCAGCAGAAGCGACACCAGTGTCGAGGTCGACGTAGACACCAATGACGGCGAGCTGCTCCTCAGCAGTTTGGAACACCATGTGCATTTCCACTGTATACTGGTCAGTCACGAGTCTGGACCAAGGACCGTATATGGATATAAAACTTACTGGCTATGCTGGTACCGTTGTCCAAGTGCTCGCTTGGGTGGTGGAAATGAAACTGCATGAGTTCGTATTCTTCACCGTTCAGCACCATGGTTGCTCCCGAGCCCTCCATCACACCCTCTACCGTCGTTCCCAAATTCTCGAACTCAATTCCTTCGGTCTGATCGGGGATAGTGAGCGTAACATCAGTGCCGGCGACGATCTGAAATTGGCCTTCGACCATGTTGATGGGGGATTGGCGTGTGCCCGTAGCGCAGGCAGAATTGGCAGCATCCAAAGCAGCCCAGTTGTGAGGCCCCTGTGTGGCACTCAGTGTCAGCCATTTTTACTGAATAGGCAGACAAGGCGAGGAAACCTACAATATCTCCAATATAACCAAATGTCGAAATAGGAACCGCCTCACCCTCCTCGGCCCGTCTTTGCAGATGAGTGTGCGATCCGCAGAAACCTAATGCCGGCGTCACAGACGCTGCAACCAGAAGCAGTTCTAGGATCGAAGAAAGCATTTTGAGAAAATTTTGTCAAAGAACTATTAACTTGACGGGGAATCGAGTGTTATCGAAGACGGATACGATGCTGACGACAAGAGTAGAATAAAATGCTCGGAAAATATGCGTATGTCTATTATACCGGCGGAAACGAATGAACTCGAGCTCTCAGAGCGAGAAAGGAAATATGAAAATAACGAAATAAACTGAAAGAGAGACAGACTATCGAAACCTGGATATCTCACAAGACAAAAAACACACACCGCAGTACGGAGAAACATGTCTTATATATGAGAGGGCATTGAAGGGGGCTTGAGTGTCTGAGCGGTGGCACCCTACGGTAGGCAAGTATATTTAGGAGCTCAGAAAGCTTGGCTTCTATTCTGCACACAAGCGCACAGCGTGAAGGGGCTGAATATCAACCATTTGAAACGGCGTATACTGTTAGGTTGACGAAGTTGTCAACTTGCCCAGCCAAACATCGCAGGGCCCTATCTAGGATTCTCCGCATCATGGAGCAGAATTGCATCCACCAAACTCTAGCTCGCGCATGCGATTCCATGGGGCTACAATATCAACAAACGCCGCGCCGGAGCAAACAATTCGAAACCAGCCCTTGATGATGGGTAGCCCACTCCACTATGATGAGGCTCCCAAGTCAAATGGCCGCCAAGTAGTATGGATGTGTTGCACTACTCACTCTGGAGCAAGGAAGGGGGTATCCTCCTTCCCTCTAATAGGTTCCTTCGATTGGCTGCCGTCCTTGGCTTTGGCTGGGCAACCCCTTCATTCCCAAAGTCGTCCGCGCTTGTTGGTGCGCAAGTATCGTGCCCTCCACTGCGACCAGCTTTTGCGGGTAGCGGTTGAGGATGCAGTGAGCCAGCAATACATGGCGAGAGAAAGAGGTCATTATTGGGAAGACCAGTACTACAAAGCTGTGGAGCAGCTATGTTTAATTGTGACAACGATGCCGAAGAATGCCGAATGTTATGCTCTACTAGTCGACGCAATGGAAAAGGATTTTCGGAGCTGCAAGGCTGGTGTTGAAAGCGGGAGCGCTCAATGGAGGCTGATATCACAGGCCAAGGCGCTTGTTCCAAACGGATCCAGCAATCTGGTCAGTGCCAAGCGCCAGGACGCCATGGTAGGTCGGCAGCATTGCGACTTGTGAAGAAGAGAAGGTCCTATGGCGAGCCCAGTCTGTGCTGAAAGCCGTTGTCAGAGCCTCCTGATGGGCTTGGCGTGGCTTCAGCTGGTTAGGCCGCGCCAACGTTACCAGGTGCTGTAACGTGAAAAGGAGATAATCAGGCCATTCTTTCGCGAAGAAGACTTGGCTTTCGGACCACATTGCATCCCCATCGCATCCCCATCGCAAACGTCCTCCAAGATTGCGATGACCATTTATAAGTGATAGCTTGCACACGTGGATTCGGTTTCACATGATGCAATGACGCTCGTTCTTTGTCAAATATGCGGTCCGCCCGTGATGAATTCATGAGTTCGAACCGTCGCAGCAAGATGCCTGCCAAGCTCTGCTTGAAATCGTCCCGAGGCCGACCAAATGCTCCGGTCGAGTCTGAAGAGAACTTCTGCTAACTTTTTGTTGCTTGTTTTCGATAAGAATTGTCCCAAGAAAAACGCCTCGTCTGTGTCATAACCATACACGTGGGTTTTCTATTTAGTTCAGCTGACGATCGCTGTCACGACCAGGTCGCTGATCCGAAACATCATCAGACGACGGACCCTACAGGCGCCCGCTGAAGAAGTTGCTGTTTTTAGTGGCCGCCGTCCCGTCTCCCGCAGTTTAGACCAGGGAAATGGTTAATTGCAATGACCCCATGCATCGGCATAATAATGTGCCGGGGGAAGATTGGAAACCATTCGCACATGAACTTTTTGTGCCTGACATAGTCAATATTTTAAACTCGTTTTTGTTAACTCGAGAGATGATTCCTTCGCCTGGTTTTCCGATCCAACGAAGGAAGGCACCACTCAGCATTATTTTCACAAGATTGCATAATAACTTGGGAAACCCACTAACCACACGCACTAACAGTTGGCACTTGCACTGTCAAAGGGGCCAAGAGGCCAGGCTACACGATGAACCGATTGCGGTCACATTGGGTTACTTCACTATATTTGTGCAAGCGGTGACAGCGTGCAGCCGACATGGATTTGGCTACCATTCGTTGTTGGATTTTTCATGATGGGATCCTTCAACACCAAGATTCGGCAGCGGAGTACATACGGGCTTCCTCTCAATCCTAACAAAAGAATAGCCGTGCTATTCAAATACGGCGATGGAACAGGAGTGGAAACCATTCGATAAACAACACGACCACACTTCAGAATATCCTATCGCACCCTCCATCTCACGCCTGGGGCCAGTTCTTATTGAAGTTGATCAACGACCCATTCAACGTCGCTGCAATGTCTCTATCCGCCAAAAAGACGCAGTACTTGCCGGCGTCAGCCAACTTAATAGCACAATTCGTGTTGAATTCCTTCTCTCCAAAGAACTTGGTAAACCCCTCCTGGTTGAACCACCCCATCTTCATGGTGCTCTCGGTGATGTTGGTGTCGATCATGGCGCCCATCATCAAACCCACGGCATAGATGTTCTGGTCTGCGTAGAACCCAGCTGTGTTCTTTACCAGAGCCGCTACGCCGTGCTTGCTAACCGTGTAGACCAGCCCTGCATTGGTTCCTTGATGCGATGCGTTACTGCCGATTTGGATGATGAGACCACCTCGCGGCTCTTGCCTCTGCATGGCGTTGACCGCCGACTTCATGCACAGGAAGCTCCCCGTGAGGTTCAAGTTGAGAACACGGTCCCAGTTCTCCTTGCTTAACTCTCCGACGGGGTCGAAGCCATCCATCATGCCTGCATTGTTCACAAGGATGTCCAGGCGGCCGAACTTGGTTGTCGTCTGTTCAATGAGCGACTGCACGGCGGCTTCACATGTGATGTCCGTCTTGAGCGCCAGGAAGCGGCCCGTAGCTTCGAAGTCTAACTGAAAGTCAGTACATGTTCTACTGCATGGAAACCAAGGGCTTGAAATCGAGTCCTCGAAGTTGGAAGTGATGCTGCCAAGGCCGCTTGGGAATCAGTATGGGCTTAAAATGCTAACCTGCACTTGTAGCGGCGAGCCGCTCGTCGTTGATGTCGCAGATCACCACATTGGCGCCAGCGTTGACATATGCGGTTGCAATAGCTTTGCCGAGGCCGCCCGCTCCTCCCGTTACAATTACAGTCGTGCCTTGGAGTGCAGATGCCATCATGGATGCCAAAAACCCTATTTCAAAAACTATGGTCTGAGTTTGGAGGGAATCGCTACTGTAAGGTGCCGTACAATAATTCTAACTACAGCGGGTGGCAATAAATTTGCTACCCTATCAGGTACCACCAAGCCACTAAATCCAAAAAGGGGTAAGAGGCTGCCCGCTGCTTTTATTACTGCTATGACCATAACAACAACAACAACAAGAAGGGTGAATATACAAGTAGATAGTTAAAAAGTAGCAATAGATCGTTACCCTTTTCAGACTTAGTGGCTTGGTGGTACCTGACAGGGTAGCAAATTTATTGCGACCCACTGTAAAACAGAAAGATGTCTAAAAGGCGTGCTTAATTAGATTCACTTACCACGACCGCCATGATCCCTGCGCCTAAAATCGGCGGTGACGATCCACCTATTTTCAACTATGCGTCATTTTCAGCGAATACTTCCAAAGTTGCGTAATTCACAGCAAATTCGGGGTATCTATCAAACTTCAAATATAATGCTTAAATGCTAAGAGGCGGCTTCGTGGTCACGGCCAGTGCCAGAAGATGAAGATAACGATGATGAAGACTTGGCGGCTAACATATACAAGGGTCACGTGAGTCACGAGTAGTGGGGCCTAAGATTAGCCACTTGGGATCAGTCTGAAGAGCCTTCCACTTCTCCACAACAGAACAACAATTAGTTGGACTGGCAGTTAGCCGAATGCAACAGAAGACAACCAGATACATCCAATCAATCACTTGAATCACTACTATTGATCAGATGCACGTGTAACAAGCCAACAGTTAAGTCCCACCGTTACTTAATGCAATTTCTTCACGCTGGTTTATTCTGATTCGTCTCGTTATCGTATTCGTACTGTATTGGGCTTAGCGGAGCTAGCTATGCTGGGTCCAGAGGCATAAGTAAGGACCTTATATTAAGGCGTACTTGGCACGATGGTGTGCGCTGGATAGTAGATTCTGCCTGCCTATTACAGATCTTAGTCATAGCTATAATAACTTCAACAGAAAGAGGATATTATTATAGGATGTGGGTAAAGGATGCAAGTCATGCACTCTGAACATATTATCAACCTATTATATTATGAGGACAAAGCACAGTGGAGCTCTGTGCCGAGACATGGCCGAGCGGTCGAATACTCATCGGAGATGTATCTACTCAAAGGGAGTTCGACGCTCAGAGTTAGCTCGGCAGATAGAAGCCTTGCAAACACATCACTTCTTGGAATTGGACTCCGTCGGACCCTGATCGTAGTCACCTTCCCTGGTACACACCTGCACTTATATCTTACATATACATGAAGCACACAAAGAACACGAAAAAGTTTCCCTCTCGGAGGCTATTAGGACAAATTCCCCACGATGCACGCGGCTAACAGTTGGTCCTTGCGAGACACGACTTGTAGATTCTGTAACGGGCTTCTCGAAGTAGGTTTAGTGTGTATGCATTCCGCTTATTATTTGCGGCACGAAATATAGATCACAATTGGTGGCTTGACCGACGTCAGATATGATAGCAATCCGCATGCTGCTTACTTGGCATTGGTCACGTATCTACGGGAGATCTAGGACATTAAAAGGTAACTCTGAACCCGTACGCGTACCAAGGCGGTCATGAATAATATATCAAAATCGTATACTTCCTTATTTAATATCTCATAATGCTAGTACCAAGTTCGCCTGGACGCCACGACGCTATATTTTGTCTTTGATTTATATAGCCCAGTACGTCTTGACTTCAACCTTCTCGATGTGATTGCACCATCCACTAAATCGAGCATGGCCCCAGATTGTGACAATGTCTCCCAACTTTAGGCTTCTTACAAACTTGCCATCGCCAGTCCCACTGCCGCGACCGACTTGCACCAATTCTTCAGGGGAAAGATCGTCATCGAACCGCCACTCCACATGGTGATGTTGGACATCGTGCGTGGCAACTTTGTTGCACTGAATCTTGTGGTCTGCTGTTGGATGAAGTTCGTGATGATATCTTGTGATAGGACCCGAATCCTCATCCCCGGCATTGCCATTTGCGTTGTTCATGGGCACAGTGACTTGGCTGTCTTTGATGATTCTTGGCCATACTGGACGAATGGAACAGGTAGGAAGGTCGACGCCTTTTTCCGAGCTTTGTTGACAGTCGAGACAGTCGCCGGCGCATTCAGCATTGGCGTCAAACCGCTCGATGCCAGCTTCGAACCAGGTCCAGGAACCATGGAAGGTCCCATGATCAGCCTTTATACCTCCCCAGCCTTGATCGTGACTCACGATGTTGAATTCGATCTTGCGACACGGATGCTCCAGGGTTGGTTTAGGATCATCAGCGAAATGTCGTAGTGTGTCAATGCTCCACTCCGCTCGAAGCTCTTTAGGCATGGCCTGGTTCCTCCACTTCTCATGGTCTGAAGATGACCAGCCAGTAAGCCCGAGTGGCATTGTGCGCAGCAAGAATTTGTTCTCATCATTTCTTCTACCTTGTAGGGCCAGGCGTCTTTGCGGTAGGTTCGTGTAATCGGCTGTCGTCGCCGTGCAGACCCAATACTCGGCGACGTCGAGAATGATGTCGGCCAGTTCGATAGGCAGATTGCCTGCCTTCATCAGAATCTGCTTTGCTTGATAGACATCGTCAGGTCTCGTCTCAAAAGAATCGGTGTAAGGATCATATGGGGTCTCTTTGTCCCCGGCAGCACGGGGAGTAAGTGGCATGCGTCTGTTGGGGATCATGTTGCCTCCAGCACGGTTGATGATGAGTGGCATGTATGATGTTGGTTGAGGCTTAGGTCTGAAATAGTAAGAGACTCCGAAGAGGATAAGGAGGAATCCAATTGTGAAGTGGAAGATTGTTGGGAAGGTGAATGCGGGCGCAGCTGCCTAGACCTAGACGAATCACAGTGGTTGCACAAGGTCGTTCCGTGGATGGCGAAGCTGCTGACGAGTGGCGACATGGTGACATCATCCCCACATGTACACACTCGGCTTCAGGAGGGGTCTAACAGTGCGCGAGATGGAAACGGAAGGTGGGGTTCCCCAGATTTTTTCGGATCAATCGCGAATCCTGCTATTTTCAGAGAATGAATTGAGTGCGGAATACGATTTCGTGTCCACTCCAAAATTGTTGTAACGATGTACGGCAGTTATTTGAGTAATAATAGGAGAAAGTGTTACAGAGGTCGCTTTGATAATGCCAAAGTACCAAATATACCCCAGGAGTCCACTTGTACCATCAATACACATTCGCAAGTCGATCTGTTGTTACCAGGAAGTTCATCTTGGCAGAAGGAAGAACTAATATATGGGAACCTATGGCTGTAGCCTGAGTTCCACGATCGGGTTCCATGATTAAGAAGACCATGGAACTTCCAAAACGTACGGATGAACATATAGTAGGAAAACATTCTCGAATACCATTCAGACACGGATCCCCAAAGCGGCTAGTTTGGCTCAAAAGCTATGCCGTTTAAGATTATCAGCCACGTAAATTAAGATCATTCCCTGACTTTTTGTCTCTCCGATCGGAATGGAAGCTACGAAGCTGACAAACCAGCAAGGTTGGACTGCAAGATATGATGATTCATAAGTCCCGTACAAGCTCGCAATCTTTCAATTCCCATTTCAAAGACGACTTCTAGTTCATCAGCATGACAACACAAAAACTCGGTGCTGCGGCACTCCGCCGAGTCTCTATGTCCATTCACCAAAAAATCGCAGAATCGAATACCCTTCAATTTACGAAACGTCCTTCCTCGTCAACGATATCACGATGCCCGCAGCATGGCGCACGACAGTTGCATTCTCAACTCGCAAGGCGCAATGGCACAAGCCAGGGAGAAGCATCGAACCCAGCAATGGCATTCCCGTGTCTCGACGCCATAGAAACGAGATCCGCGACGTTGGAAGCGAGGTCCTTGTTAACGGGCCCGGAACCGGCCTATACCACAGGCGCGACCGAAGTCTTCCGCTGCAAAGATCCTTTGCTGCTTGACTGGGGCGGTGTCTTGCCCGAATTCGATGTGGCATACGAAACGTGGGGAAAGATGAACGCCGACAAAACGAACGTTATTCTACTTCACACAGGTCTTTCTGCTTCATCGCATGCGCATTCATCCGAGAGTAACCCTCAGCCAGGCTGGTGGGAGAAATTTATAGGGCCGGGCGGCTGTTTGGACACGGAAAAATACTTCGTCATTTGCACAAACGTGATAGGGGGGTGTTTTGGATCAACCGGTCCGAGCAGCGTCGACCCGGCGGATGGCCAGAGATATGCCACGCGCTTCCCCATTCTGACGATGGAGGATATGGTTAGAGCCCAGTTCCGGCTACTCGACAACCTTGGAGTTGAAAAGCTGTATGCGAGCGTGGGATCGAGCATGGGAGGCATGCAGTCCTTGGCGGCTGGTCTGTTATTTCCCCCACGAGTCGGTCGAATAGTCTCCATCAGCGGCTGCGCGCGGAGTCACCCCTACAGCATTGCCATGCGACACACGCAACGCCAAGTCCTGATGATGGACCCGAACTGGAATAGAGGATTCTACTATGGCAGGGTTCCCCCGCATGCTGGTATGAAGCTTGCGCGAGAGATTGCGACAGTCACGTACCGATCAGGACCCGAGTGGGAGCAGAGGTTCGGTCGGAGGAGGGCAGATGCTGCGAAACCGCCGGCCTTGTGTCCTGACTTCTTGATTGAAACATACTTGGACCACGCTGGAGAAAAATTCTGCCTCACATACGACCCGAATAGCTTGCTTTACGTCAGCAAAGCAATGGATTTGTTTGATCTCGGTCGTGACACTCAGCAAGCGACTGCATTGAGGCGGGCGGAGCGGATAAAGCTCATTGAGTCTGGAACTCAACCAACCCCGAGCGATCCTTCATGCAGTTTGACCCTCCCAAATTCGCCGTATGCAGAGCAGCCAGACTCCGAGATTGATGGCACCAATGTCGCTATCAAAGTGGCAACGCAACCCCCTGATGATCTGATTGCCGGTCTTTCGCCTCTGAGGGATATCCCGACTTTGGTGATGGGAGTCGCCAGCGATATCCTCTTCCCTGCGTGGCAACAAAGGGAGGTTGCCGAAGCCCTGCGACTTGCGGGCAACAGAAACGTTGCACATGTTGAGTTGAGCGAGGAGCAGAGCATGTTTGGCCATGATACATTCCTACTTGACCTCAAGAACGTCGGTGGCAATGTGCAGAACTTCCTTGGCTAGGCTAGATTTGGGTCATCAGCCCCAGGACTTGTATATGCTTTAGGCATATGCCTGGAGTTGTAGAGCTTAGTCCCTGGTCAGAGTAGCACATCATGTACATGGTACTGTATAAGTATTACAGCCGAACCATGACGAAAAAAGCGAGTGAGTCTTACCATTGCATGAAGTATATAGATGATTGAATATACATGATAAGATAAACGTATTTATGTCCAATCTACCGGTACCAAGCCGAACCATGCCTGTCTTTCTTATGCACACTAACGTTTAGGTCTCGATATGTCTTTGTTCATCGCAGGTTCTCATTATCGTGAAGACACCTCATGATAATGATTAGTGCAACGAATTGGCCGACTTTGAATGCCATTGGCTTATGCTTAGCGTTGTAGTACTTCGCTTACGAATCGATGGATGATTACTCTTGGCCAGAAAGAGGAGGATAAAACATGTTCATCACTGTATAACGAATTTCCGTCTGTTCCTGGTCCACCTCAGCTCTCTTACTTTTTTATATTCTATGTTTGAGACCAAGCTCTACACAGATTCGAGACCCACATGATATAGTAGGCAACTTCATACATTTGTGTATCTTTCCTGGTTGTGTATCTCTATTCAGAACACTAGCCATAACTATACAAGAAACGTTAGCACTATGAACCACCTTGTTTCCAGCCACAGCAGAAAACAGGACGACCGTATGTCAGACATACTTTTTTCATCGCATGCTTGCACCGAAGCGAACTATCCCAATTCCATTTTATTTTTGGTCACCAACAGATTATGGCCGGCGTTATTCGCTTTTTCGTGTTGGGCCGCCACATTGAAAATGAGTTGGTTTATATGGCCGCCTAGAGCCAACATCACGAGTCCAACAATGGATGGCGTCTCAATTTCGCAGGCATAGGCTCACTTAAAGATACTTGAAGTCCTCGTGAGTACTATTCAATTCTGCCCCATTGTCCTGGTCGTATCAACCTCGGCTTTAGGAAGGCGACCAATGATATAGTGCAGGCAAAGTTAGGCATGCAATGACGAGGCAACAAGAACTTGATTTCCAGCGTGACTACTAGAAGGGTATCTCAAGCTACTTGCCCACTCTGGTTCGAAGAATGTGGGTTTACGAGCTGAAATCATTATAGTTGAGCCATGCATTATGAATTGCATCTGTAGGATGGCGAAATCAAATCGTCAAGAGGTACTGCTAATTGCAAACTCGCTACCAACTCTCGAGCAAAGAGCCCGACGGTGTTGATCCTTGATTCACCGGACAACTCCCACATCTCATGATCACATGATATAAAATTACGCAAAAGAGATAACCAAGTTATGCTGGCGTTTCTTGTGTCAAATATATAAGGGCATCAAAGGCCATCTTGAGCTCGACTCATTGCATAGTTTTCGACGTTGTTCCCCATCCAAGTCTGCTTATTTCGATTTTAGTCTTGATATTATAAATTGGTTATCCAACATGCTGTCTACAATCATGGAACTCGAGCTAATGGACATGAGCCCGGAAGATGCCACGCTTTACCAGCCTCACGAACTGGTTTGGCAGATCAAGCAAGAGATAAAAGAATTCCTTCTGTGTGACAGCATAAAAGCGACTGCAATTAGGTGAGAAGATTGGCAATGTTACTGGAGATATGCTGGTTTCAAATACTAGCTATTGTATACTCCAACCTCTGAAAAGCGCGATCTACAGCGGGAGCGGGAACGCCCAAGCTATCCAGATACCGAGTCGTTGAGGTACAAAGTCACCTCCTGTGGCATCAAAAGCGTCCGCAGAGACGTCAACAAAGAGGGTATCCACAGTCACATTGTTCTGTACCGCGCGCATTAGAGGCGGTCTCCTCCCCCTAGCCCGCCTGTCGTGTGCGAGCGAAACTCGGCTCGCAGATATTGTCGAAGGGTCAGACCCGGACTGTGCAATAGCAGGCGCTTCCAAATTCAAGGAAGTTTTGCAGTATGTAAAGAATGGTACCAGCTTTGATGCTTGTTTGGGGATCCTAGAGACGTTGGATATAGCACGATATTCCAAACCAGAATCAGATATATTTCTCTGCATTCTGGGCATCACATATTGATGATGAGTCTTGTCTGGGCGTGCGATTTTATATTTATCAGAGGCCGCCAGGGTACGGCAAGATCACGAGAAGAATACACCTTCAAATCATTCTCCGTATGCTTCCGCACACTTCCGCACACCTGTCGGCCGTGTGATGACCATATCCGCATCTGAGTTGTCGCCCCTGACGCCCCTTATCAGCACCGATTGCGCCTCACCATCAGTACGAACCTCCCTCACGACCGCGCCAAAATTCCTAGCGAGTGTAGTTTCCAACTCCCTTTCAAGCTGCTCTGTGATCCTGGAGCTTTCGTCGGCCGCCCTCCGCTTCCGCTTGACAAAGTGCACCAACCTGTTTAAGATGCCGAACTCGCACTTCAGCTTGACGCTGTATACGAACGACTTATAACTCGTCTGGATCAGGTAGAGGTCAAAGTACTCGAGCACGATGATCGTGATGTCAAGGGCGATGACAAAGAAGTTAACGGCGATGAGGTGAAGAATGATAGCCTTGACCTCGGACTCGGACGCCGAAGACACCGGCTCCTTGTCGCCGCTGCCGAAGTGGTGGGAGCTCAGAAATCCGAACGACTTCCACAGGTAAATGCTGGATATAACGGTCTCCTGGATGAAGAAGACAGTGACCTCGATCCTCTTGTAGATCCTGTAGGGCACGAGAAAGGGACCCGGGTTATGCGAGTTGGACGCGACCACGAGGATGGGGATGTGCATGGTGATGGCGTTGAAGACAATTATGCCTAGGACGAAGCGCAGTATTCGGGAATCAATGTAGAGGAGGTGCAGCCTCGAGTAAAGAACCAGCGATTGTCCGGTGACCATGGGGGTCCATCCACAGACGGTCAAGAGGGCAGGGACGAAGTGACTTTGGGTCAGCTCGAAGTCGTTAACGACGAAGCCGATGGTACCCCAAAAGTGGCGGCGCAGATGCTCCAGAAGTAGAGCCCGGTGCGCTTGGTGTCGAGATGGTGCCACATTGGCACCATCTCGACACCATTTCACAACGCGACGGCCAGGAGACAGGCGACGGTGATCGGCTGGGCGCGGGAGGCCTGGTCCATGTCGATGGTGGTGCCGATGCCGCCGTCGAGGAAGTTGAGCCGTTCCATAAGGTTGCCGGCTGCCGAGTTGCAGCTCCTCCATCCTGAGCTGAGCCCCATGTTGTTAGTTCTGGAGAGAGACAGAGAGAAAGCCTTGAGGCTCCAGTATCTAAACACCGCTCTGCGAAAGGATTAGGAAAGCGGCCTGTTGCCCTTCTACAGGCCGTCCCGTCTGGTAGGAGCTGTGGATCAGCAGTCGAGAGTCAACGGGGACATTTTGTCAAGCGGGTTTTACATCGGCAGATCGGATGTCGTCCTGATGCCAAAGCTCATCTAGACTGTCGGCTATGTCTCCTTGGAGAAATCAGGAAAATTCACATGAATTCCTCTTGTTTCAGGGCTAATCCTGGCAGATAGCTGAGTCGTGCCTCAACCGACCTGCCGCATAGCTCCCACCCCAGTGCGGGGAGGCCATCCAAATGGTGATGGACCAACCCTAGAACCCTCGTTTGGTCTCTAAATCTTGTCAATGCTGCAGGGCTAATCAACACTATATTTTACCACCTATCTACCACCTCGGTAAATATGATAGTTCTGGTTCTAACCTGCAAGTCTCCGCAATTACAGAGTGAAGAATGCGGCATTGCGGGCGTCGATTGTCCCAACCATGCATGTCTCGTACGATCAGCTGACTCGGAGCGCCTCTACCCTCAGAGGATCTATGTTCACGACAGAGAGTCACAAACACATCGCGAACGGGCCAGGAATCGACACCCGCTTGGATCATTTACCCACGATAGTTCACGTAGTCGAAACAGAGAGCCCGCATAGGCAGTTCCGACGCTGCCCGCGCTTCGGAAGATTACCTGTCTCGGTCCAAATGGGTATTTTGAGGAGGATACACCTGTGTGTTGTTTCAAGCTACCAAAATTTTACAATCTTCTGCATACCTGGTGATGCTGTCTATCTAGATTGTCGTCTTTGGTTGTCCCATCGCAACACACAGCCGGAAGTGAGTGTGAGAGGACTTGTCAAGCCGCGACCAAGAGATACGCAGAATGAATGTCGTCTGCTTCCTACTACCCAGTGATTCTGTAGCCTTTCGTTCGGTCATTCTGGGTGAAGCGTTCAGTTCACTACCATGCGTTGGGCACGATACGGACCCACTGCTCAGTGGCCAGGACAACGGGGACGCCGTACAAGTTGACACGCTTCTGGCATATAGGAAGCACCATGGTCAACAACAAACGATGCGGGAAAACTTGTTCTATGCTCAGTCAGCATCGACCAGTCTCCTCGCAGAGGAGGTCAGCAATCGGGTTGTCAACAGGGCCAAGCTTCATGATCTGATTCAACACAAAGTACGGCAGGAGTTAAATTCGTCATTTGTTTACCACACCTGCGCAGAGCAAACTTTTTGTCCTAACAAATCACTAATATTACATAACCATATTCCCTAGAGAAATTCAAGGTATCGTGAAAAGAAAAGGCGCCACATATTATCCTTGTTCGTGTGGCTTGTTACACGGCAAGTCAGGGGTCTGCAGATACCCTCGAACGCCATACCTGCAAACGAGCAACCAACGGCAAAACCCACTTTTGTTACAGTCGTCATGTCGGCCTTGTCGGCCAGGCATGTTCGTCTCCAGCAGACCAGGTGGGTCGGCGAATAGAGTATTCAGTCCTCGTCGTCCTCGTCTTCCTCTTGACTGCATCCAAAGTTAGCATTGGGTCAACCGCACGCTGGTGATGCTTGAGTGACAGTACGTACGCCTTCTTCGGGCGACCTCGCTTGGGCTTGGAAGCGCCGTTGGACTTGCGAACAGCCTTCTTCTTGGAAGCGGGAGCAGGCTCTTCCTCTTCGTCCTCCTCGGCCTTGACTGCGGACCGCTTGCCCCTCTTACCCTTGGCAGCAGGAGCCGGCGCGTCACCATCGGCCTTCACGACAGCTTTCTTAGCCCTCTTGGCCTTGGGCTGAACCTCTTCCGACTCATCCTCATCCTCATCCTCAACCTGCTTGCGGCCACGCTTGGCGCCTTTCTTGGGGCTAGCTTTATCAGCACCTCCCTCTTCATCTTCATCGCCCGCTTTAGCTTTCTTAGCTCGGCCGCGGATGGCAGTCTGACCTGGCTTGTTGAAGTCGGGATCCCCGTTGAAGTCCTCGGGGTCAATATGACCTTGAGCGATGACCCGTCGGATCTTCTCCTGGACATCGGGATGGTCGCTAGCGAAACGAATTAGCAAGACCTGCACGCACAAGACGCAATTTACTTACTCAAGCTCGTCATATCCATCAATGCGGTCCCATTCATAGCCATCGCCCCTTTTAATGTTACTCTGCAGGTTGGCAATGGACTTGCCCGACACGCAGCCCCTGGAAAGTATTTAGTTGCAACTGTTGTTGTTAAGAGGAATAGTCTTACCAGTGTCGCCATTTGAAGCTGCTGTGGCCATCACTACCGCCCGGTAGAGTGACGTAGACGCCGAAGCGAATCTCACCTTTCGTGAGCTTCTTGCCTTCCTTCTTGCACACCGCATCTTGACAAGCAGCGCGGTTGTTGGGTGAGATCTCTGAAATGTGTGTCAGTAAGATGAAAGGAGGCGAGTGACAGGTAAGAGCCAAGGCTTTCTCTACTTGATGCGACAATATCGTGAACCACGGTCGCTCCTCGCAACACAAAGACACAGGAACACAGGACCAATTAGGGGAAACAGACCAATTCTGTAAGACATGATGTCTTTGCTCAGCTGAGTTTCAGATGTTGCGTGTCGAGCTGTGATGAATGCGATACAGAGTCACGGAAGTACGTGACTGCTGGGGGTGGTCGGATGTAAGATGGGGTTCCCGTCCAACCCCGCGGGTGTTTGGCAGGAGAACAATTTGCCCAGACCTGACTTGACAGCGCGACACGTCTGAGTTTAATTGGTGTGAATGCCCAATACGCCTGGGTGTGACACTCAGTCTAAACTAATTGTGAGAAACAAAGGGATGTGAGGTTGGAAGCGTGCGATTGGGACTGAAATGGGAATGCCAGACCAGACCAGACGCGTCAAGACCAGGCTTCCAGACGGGGATTATTTAGTTAGGTCACGACGTCAATCAGACCCGCCGCGCCTGCCACTTCCCGCTGCCGCAAATGTCCCAACAGTGCTTTTCTCATTTAACCGAAATCAAGGAAAATGTTCAAGAAAAATCCGAAACACTTGGGTTGAATGCCAACAGCTGATTTTGTTCATTTTTCCTTTTCTGATAGCGAGCTAGCATGGTCTCGTTTGCGATGTTGCTACATACATCCTTCCCTTCCCCCACCGGCTCTGGAGCTCTGACCTCCAGTTATTTCGTTTCGGAAGCATCATTTGACGTCAAGCTACGTAAGTCCTAGAGTAATTGCATTTGATGTGTCTGACTTCGAATGAATGTAATGCAATCCGTGCTGCAACAAGCTACTATGGTACACTCAACGGCTTACACTTACAGGAAAGGACACCACCCAATATACATGGCCGTCAGATTCCTTGGATTCACAGCCTGTTTGATGAGCTCCTCGACCTGTCCTTCTACGCCGAGAGGGATGCTCTCCTCTGGCAGCAACCCCCGCACCTTCCTCTTGATGCTTTCCACTACGCTGTGCGGGTTCAACTTGACCAATTCGTTCTTGCGTTGCTTCTTGTCCCGTTGCAGATCCAGCGTGGGGTCGTAGATGAATGCCTCAAGAATCGTCATCAGCGTTTCCTCTTGCTGTCTGAGGATGCTAAGAGTAAGTTCGGAGCACTGCCGGAAAGGGCCTTCATAGCCGTAGATGCCCATGGCTGCCACCATGTTGTGTGTCAAGCGGAACGGCACCTTTTCAGGTTGTGCAAATGTCAGTCCCTTGTCGAAGAGACAATTGAAATCAACGTGGAAGACCCCGCCATTGCCTTCCTCGAGCAGCACGTTCTCTCCATGGCGGTCACCCAGGCCTAAGATGGTGCCCACCATAGACATAACGGCGCAAGAGCGCGTGTACTTCAGTCGAGCAGCGAACCATGCTGATGGGTTGGGGAATTGAGAGATAAACCAGTGCGGGAGAACGGCGGGAAACATGCCGAGTATACCCTCCGTGAAGATTTTGATATTCTTGTCTCCAACCATTGCGTCCTTCATCATCTGGGCGAGATGGCCATAATTAGGAACAATCGCGCGCGATCGGTAGATGACGAGAAGAATGTCCCGGAGAGTCTTTAGTCCGTCGACCCATTCAATGATGCCACACTCCTCGTTGAGTGGTGTTACTGCGTATGTTTTGATGTAAAGTTGTCGCCTGCTGGATTCGGCGTCCCGCTTGAGGGATCGGTTGATCATGCTGTTGAATTCCATGAGACGCTGGTCTGTCCTCAAGTCGTCCTTGGGCTTGATGAGTAAGCCATAATTATTTCCGTCAGAACCGCGAGCTGTGAGTTTCCTGGGCTTGGCCAGCGAGCCAAGTACCATGACTTCGTCGAGGAAAGAGTCGATGGTGATGACGTCCCGCGAAAATGCCTTGTGCTTCCTGACGTTGTCTGTAAGAGTCGGCAGCGTCGCCGTGAGACAAGTCTCGATAGGCACCACCAAAGGGCATGGTGTACATTTGTGGTTGAAATTGAGATCTCTCGTGATGCTAGCCATCGTCGTTCGGTTGCTCTGGAAGTCCCCGTTGTTGCAGGCTAGCAGCAGCTGGTCTGCCAACTTTTCACCCATTCGCAGTAAAGCCTTCAGCTCGTAAGAGCTGCCTTCTACCTTCCTTGCCGTACTCCGCAATTTCAAAAGAATCTGCTGTCCCCGCGCCCGACGGTCCGATGTGGACTGCCTCGATGTCATGATGGCAAACAAGCTCCATAGAGCTTGTTTAGGGTGGGCCTCCACAACCTTCAAGATGATTCTCTCGAGCAGCATGAATACGTCGGCGTTGGGATGGGCAATGCGGGCCACAATTTGGGGGAGCGCAGTGTAGAAGATGTAGGCCGGCATGCGGTACACGTACTTATTCAAAGACGTGTGGACCTCTTTTAGTTGCACGCCTCGGCGGAGGTAGAGCTCCTTAGACAACGATATCTTGCCCTCTGGCGCCTTGTCAAGCTGAGCTCCCAGCTCCAACCAAAGTGTCAATACCCTTGGCAGCGTCTGGTAGAGGTACTTTGTGCCATAGTTAAGAGATCGCATGTAGTTTTCGATGACGAGTTTCGCTATCTCGCCGGTGAGATAATGCTCGCTCTGATCGTCAGGCTTCAGCGTCTTTTCGGACTCGAGCACTTTCTTGTAATGTCTACCCAGGTAGTAGTGTCCTTTCTCCCAAGTTCCATACGCCTTGGGGACGTTCTGGTACTGCTTTCGTAGTGCACTGGCGTGGGTCTGACCAGCACTATCAAGCCATTTTGCAAGAAGCAGGTGCGCTCGGGCCGTCAGCATGTTCTGTTGCGACTCCGCCGTCTTTTCCGATGAATCTCCTTCTGTGGCAAAGCTACGGCCCAAGAAGGTTTCGCTGGCAATGGCACCTTGAAGGGTCTGGATGGCCTTTCTATTGTGGCCATCTTTCCAGAGTAGTCTCGCGTTTTCAATGGTAGCAGAATCATCCCCTAGTTGGGAAGCATGCAGTATAGCATTGAAAGATTGATGCGTAGAATTTGCCTTTCGAGCAAGTCTAGCGCTTGCCAGCCAAAGAGACGAAATGTCCAGGTTATTAAACCGAGGTCTGGTCGAATTAGCGAACTCGGTTCATGTTTTCACATCCAATCGGGAAACTTACCGCATCAGTTCCATGGCAGCACGCCTTATACCCAGCACGTACTGCTTGTCGTTGACGTATGATCCAAGGACTTCCAATCGACGATTAAGTGTCTTGAGCGTCTCCTGTGGGTGTTGGCCCGAATCGCCATTGATACCAGCAATAAGTTCAAGGTCGGTCAGTACGTGGCATTGGAGCATGGGTTCATGGCATGTATGGAGAGACGAAGTAGCCGAAAATGTCATTGATGAAGCGACCCTTCCCCGAAGCGTTTTCATGTCCTCAAAAAATGCCTGAGTGTAGCCCTTCTGGAGATGAAGTAGGGCCTGCGCAATGCAAACATTGAAGTTCTCCGCGCGGTCGCCCTGATATTTCGAGATGAACTTCTGCATGGTCTGCCATCTATTTGTGGCCCACGATGCTTCCACGGCATATGGAACTATCCGATTGATTGTCGTGACAGCCGTGTGCTTTTCGATGCCTTCCACGTAATTAAGCAGAACATCTATCATGGTTAGCATAGTAGTGGTTTCAGAATATGCCGAGTACACATACCATGTTGTCCAGATTCTTTGAGACAAGTAAGCAGATCAATCTGCACATCTACGTTATCTGGATCCTCGGCATGCTTGACCTCATACCAAGTCTGAGCAGCAGCCCATCGTCCAGCTTTGCGATGACTGAGAATTTGCTGGTTGATGTCCAGGACGTGAAGGTGGGCCGAAATACCCTCCAGCCCGTCGGGTTCGTCGATCTGCGTGTAGATGTCTTGAAGTCTCTGGAGAAGACGGTCCCTCTCGTCGCTGTTCCCCCTTTTCTCTTCCACTTGGCGGATATGTTGTTCTAGGTGGAATAAAGCACGAGAAAAGGCCTTGCAATCTACCGCACGCTGCGAAATGAGCTCAGCTGGTATCACATCCAGAATGTTCTGTACCCTTTTCATGGCCTTAACGTCTCTTGGGGTTTGGCTTTGCATAGCCCGCTTTGACTGTAGCCAGCGCATGGCGTAATCCAGGACGCGAAACACAGCCTACGAAACATGATAAGTCAGTGGTTCATTACATGGTCTGACCAACTTTTTACCTCATAGAAAAGCTTCTTTTCGTCGCGCTCTGCGTATGCTGCACCTGCAGAAACTTCATGGCGCAGAACGCTGAGGAGCTCATGGATCACTTTTTCGCGCACATCCTCGGTGCTCTCCTCGCCAATAATGACGTGCAGTACAACGTAGGGGAAGAGAAACTCAGCCGTAGAAATGTCCTTAACCCGAATGACACGACAAAGAGGTTCGAAGACTAGTTGCGCAAACGCATTCTGTGGGCGTCGAAGCAAATCTAGGGTTAGGGCGCGTATCCAGTTACTGTATGATTTCCCCGCCCGAAACACGGGATACTCTACCTGTTGGTGCGTCATCGGAACAAGCACGTAGCTGGAACTCAGGAATGGAGTGAGCACTTCTCTGGCAGTTTCAGAAAGTGCCAAAAACTTGCGATAGATGACGTCGGCCTGCCGTGTGCCAGCCATTTTAATGGCAGCAGCAATATCGCACCTTTCCAGAAGCTCCTGCATAGCATAAGATAGAAAGCCCTGGAGCCTGGTATCTGTCGCCGACAGGAAACATTTGACTAGCACGTTCTCTAGAACGTGTAGAACAAAATCCGTAGTCTCACCAGAATCCTCAAAGTTGCTCAGAACGACGATATGTTTCTCGGCACGAACTGTTTCTATACGGTTAGAGTCCAGGCAACCCAGGAGGCCGATGCTTTGTGTACAGAGCCGACTGATCTCACTCTGCTCAGCAGCATAGCGGGAGGAGCAGTCGAGAAGAGCACGTGCCAAGGTAGAGACAACTGTATCCGGCTGCTCGCTCACAGCTGAAGCTTGCAAGTATCCCTGTTGTCTTTCCAGGTAGGAAGTTAGTTCTTGGAGTGCCTGCAGCACAACTCCGGAGTTTTCATGGGATATCCTTTCGGAGAGTAGGAAGAAGGCTGTCCGATTGTCGACAGGCTCTCGTAGTTGGCTCAGTTTGCTCTCCACTTCGGCCAAGCCGTTTATGTGGCTGAATGATGGGAGTTTACTGATGAATGCTTCTAGCAGTGGCCTCTCCTTTCCAAGCAAGAATTCCAACAGTTCTCGAGAGCGTTGCTGGGTTGTAGCATCGAAACAAGCCCAGTAATGGTTAATAATGAAGAAGGTTGTCTCGATCAAGACATCCACATCTTCTTCCAGATAACGAATCATGGCAGCCCAGCATGAGAAGGCAGACGTGCGAAGTCCGTCTTGTGACAAGGCGGCGAGGAGACAAGCAGAGATCTCATCTGACGTCAGCGTGTTTCCGGAACAGTGTGTCACAGTAGCATACCTGAGGTCTTGCGATGCGGATATAGGCCTTCCCTATTCGTATCATTTCTTCCATTGCCTTGATACATCGATTTTGTTCTTGAATGGGAGAGCGCAGATTTGACGTGTCGTTGATGACATCAGTCAAACGAGCCATTAGCCCCAGCGCATAGTGCTGGAGGAAACGACCCGTGGCCGTTTTCTTTTGTTTGTGGTCCCCATTGGCGGATTGAATCATGCTAGCCATGAGACCGAGTGCCGCCCGGATCTGGGAAAATAGTCAGATTTCGCTGTTTTGAGCAAGGGAAGCGGCAAGACTCACGTGCGGCTTGCGACCCTCGTCTGCGTCGCCAGCTGTCTTCAAGAGTTCCAGAGTCGTCATCAAAGGCTCCATCTGAAGTAAGTCGACCAGTTTGAAGTCTTCGAAATGGGGAGATATATGTCTCAGAACACCCATTGCGAAATCATGAATGTCTGCGGCATCTTGAACAAGCAAGAGGGCCAGAATTGAACCGAGATTGTCATTATCGAGGCAGGGTTGCCACGGTTCTGTCTCTTTGCGGACTTCCGCAATCTTCTGTATGACATCTTGCTTCTTGGTGAGTACAAGCCATGGTAGAGCATAGCCATGCGTTGAAAGGAGTAGATCTGAGACGGTAATTTCAAGCAGATCTGCCAGGGATCGCGCAGTTTTCGGCTTTGAAGTCAGATCCTTGACGGCAGAGAATGCCAAATTCCTCCAAAAAGGCTCAAACAATAGGCGTGGGGTTGTTTGTCTAGCCCGGGCCAGGCTTAAGATCTGAAATCCCCTCGAAAGGTCAGTACAGGTTGCATTGCTGAAAGGACTGTTGGATCGACATGCCTCGTTGAAAGCCGCAGCAGGCACAATGATATTGTCATGGCCCAAGTACTCAACAAGTTTGACCAAAACAAGGTTGAGTTGATCATCAGGAACGACGCTGTGTCGCTTGTCAGACGAGGACTTGTTGCAGCGTTCGATGATACCTACCGACCGACTTGAGACCATGCCATGATGCATGCCTCGGTGCCGTGGGATAGGCCTTGCTCAGAAATTGATCGAAGAGCGCTAAGTGCAAGTGTACGGTTTCGCATGAGCACTTCGGGGTCGGTGCTAAGATGAGTTGACCCGTCGAGAAAAACGGATAAAGTACGCCTAGAAGTGTTGAAAGTCAGCACAGATTTTAGTCACGCTGTATGATCCAATCATACCCAGCAGCTATTCGTAGCTCTCTGACAGAGCTCTGAAGTGATTTGATACACCACTGGGCGGCAGTAGACACTTCCAAATCGAGGAACACAGGATCATGGGAATGCGCTGCGAGACGCTGCAACCCAATCATTGCCGTGACGCGAGGTCGTCGCGACTCAACGAAGCTTGGCATGCTTAGCAAAGAAGGGAAAATGCCAAGCACTGCCGTCTTCGCAGCAGCATCAAAGCAACTTGGTATTTGCCTGTTGACATCCTTGACTTGGCAATAAGTACAATTCAGCCGTGAGGCGCTGCTGTCGCTGTATGGCTCCAGAAGAAGTGTGTCGTCGGCGGCGCAACCGACATAGCCTAGAAGATCAATCGCCGAACATTGGTCTAGATCACCGAGTTGTGGAAAGACGTTTCTAGATTGGTGAGAAAATGACCTCACGTCAGGAGAAGTAAACGTACTTGAATAACTCGTCCAAATCCCTGAGGTCGCCCTTGTACTCCGAACCTAGAACTCGGTACAGCAGTCCCAGAATCTGAGGCAAGGTTTGTGATTCGACAGATATCTTCCTACGTTTTACTTGGGGTTCAACTAGGCCGTTGATACTCGATTTAAGACTCATGGCCCTGACCTGACGGCATAACCGCTGATCCGCAAATCGTTCAGGCTCAATAACAACGCTCGGGGACGGTGGGCCCGGCCCAGTCAAAGATTGTTGCAGTAGCTCGAAACAAGTCTACACACTGCAATTAGTATTGGCTGACTCTATTGGCATAACCAACATACCCGCAAATCGCTGCCGGCTGGCATAGCTAGTTTTTCAAGCGACGGAATTAACTGCAGGGTAACGAATATTGAGACGGGTTTGTGCTTGACGCATGCTTCAGTCACCTTCACCAAGGCCAAGCAGATAAGTTGGCTCGGCGGTTCACCGTCGTTTTCACTCGTGACAAGTTGGTCCCATTGATCCGCAAAGTCAGCACAGAATAAGACCAATAATGAGCAGGCTTTTCCGTGTAGTGAAACATCGGTATCGGATGATCCCCCGAGTGCTGTGAGAAGTCGCAGTATGTTCTGCATTAAGAGTGGCAAGCAGCTGGCGCAGGCACCTTGCCATCGCTTTTGGCATCCATGGAAGGCGAAGTAGGTATCCAGCAGCCACGGCACATACTCTTGAGAAGAGGAGGTCATGAGATTGCTAGGGTCTTTCAAAGCCAACAGAGATGTCAGTATCGACAACAGATTTGAAGCGTGGCGAAGAGCGTGAGAGACTGTCGACAATCGATAGGTACATTGCTGTTGCGGAAACTGCACGTTCAGACCAGTCAGGGATTCCAGGGAGGCATCTGGCGGCAAGCGAAGTCGAAGGCCAATGTCCTTACTTGGTACGGGACATTTCAACTCGTTCAAGTGGTGATGTATAGCTTGAGGCGATTTAGTAAAGCTCAACAAAGGCTAGTGCTGAATGACTTACCATCGAAATTCCTCTTGAAATAGGAGAGGTATTGTGGGAGGAGTGACCACAAGGAACCTGTCTGGCAGAGGATTTGGTAGATATCATGCAGAAACTCCTCGATTGCCTTTGTCAAGGCAAGGCATTCTCGGTGGCCAAGCATTTTGAGAACTTTTGGCAGAATCCATAGCCAAAGGGGTTCGCTGCCTCGAAAAATGAAGGATATGCCATCTGCAGGAAGGAGTAGGACATCGGGTGTCTCTTTGATGGTCACTTTGAGGAAACTGATGGCTCTCAGGGCATCTGCACGCAACTGGGCCCGATCGGCAAATGGATCGTCCCACTTAAGGCCTTCCAAGACGACTCGAGCGTAGACGTAAATGAGCATGTGGTTGTGTTCTATTCGCTCTTCCCGCGACTTGAGAAGTTCAGGTTGATTCTTTACCTTTTCAATGATAGCGAAGAACTTCTTCAACTCTGCCGTCTCATCAGGGCGCGACGATCTTGTAGATGCCGAGATGTTTTCGACCAGCTGCGCAGCCAGCGTCGATGGCGGTGGGCCATTGTGCAAGGACCCGTTGTTGAAGCTCTCGCGAGCATGAGGACCTGTTCTTCCATGGGAAGTCGGAGCCATGGTATGCCTCGAAGTCTGTCGTCATTCCCGTTCGCGAAGCTCGATAATGGCCTTGAGCCACGGTTCTTGGAGGTCGACACGCGTTTGCTCTGACACGAAAGCACGTGCCTGCACGGGCCATCCCTCTTCCCGAGGCAGCCTTGCTAAGGCAGGTTTTTACTACGGTGAGTACATCAAAACATTGGAAGTTGCTCAGGTCAGTTTGGTTGCGTCACTAAAACATCGAGCTAGAACTTCTAAAGTCCCGAGGATAGCGCACCACTTTAACGTCATAGGGTGACTTGGGCTCTGTACTCAATTATGGCTCAATTTTATTGACACATCACTTGATCAATACCATTCAGTCAAGGTCACCACTGTGTAAAATACAAACCACTAAGTACAAGCGAGACTAGTACCAAACCACGAGCGACACGATGGCCGTATTTCCCAACAAAAAGTTCCGCGGCTCGGCCGACGCAGGCACATTCGCGGCGAAGTATCGCGGGCTCATGGCCAAACACCCCTTTCTGCTGTTCGGCCTACCCTTCATGTCCATTATCGTGGCCGGTTCCTTTGTCCTGACGCCAGCGACCGCCGTACGATACGAAAAGCATGACCGGAGGGTACGGCAAATGACCCGCGACGAGGAGCTAGGCGTTGGCAAAGCAGGTCGTAAGATCAATATTAAAGATGAATACTATGTTAGTCCCGTTCCGCATTGAGGGTGCATTGTAATGGTACTGATATGGCAAAACAGAGGCTCGCTGCGAAGGATCTCGATGACTGGGAGCAAAAGCGTGTCAAGCGATTACCAGGAGAGCATGATGGAGTCCTATAGATAATTGGCGCCAACCACAGAGAGCCATTGAAATAATCGGTCGAAGCGCTAAATTTGTCGGCGTATGCCTCGCGGTATGGCCGTCACTTGGCCGGCGCATGCCACACATATTGGCATCTTCACTCGGGCCGGCGCTGACGTAGCGGTCATGGGCATACAACAACAAGTCCACAAGTTCTTGGAAGAACTCTCGTAACTTATAATATGATACCATCGACAATGAATACACTTTTGACAATAAATGAAGAGCAAAGACCGGCCGATTCACACAAGCTACGCCTCGCAGTTTCAGACTACCCAGCTCGCCATGCCCGGGGCCGCTATTGCATATTAGGGAAACGAAACGACGTTTGGCGGAGGAAGGGTGTGGGGGCTTCGGGAAGCTCTGCACAAGGTTCAGGCACTGAATTAAGGTTAAGCCTTGTTTTATTCGAACGTCTGCAAGACAATAGAGACCGCGGTACTGGTCGGAGTTACTCGCTGCCATAGGAACGAGCTACCTTGACTTTAGAAGCTGCAGAAAGCTGCAAGGAGGAAACAAAGCAATGCATTTCCGTGGAAGGATGAACAATAATCATTGCTCATTGTTTGCCGCTGACAGATTCTCTCAACCTACATGACCGGCATGAACACCGGATATTTACTCGGCCACATCAGGATTTCTGGAGGAATGAGACATGTTTCCTCGTACTGTGGAACTAGACTTTTCTGCATGAAGTCAAAATGACTAAGTAATTGGGATCATCCGCAGTAAGTTATTGTCGAGCATGAATCGCTGACTCACGTCATCTGGTGGTTCAGAGGTTGCACACGGATCCAAGATATCATTAGTTGATGCCTAGTGCTGCGTACATCTTAGCCTGCAGTCCGTTGACTGTACTCTCGAAAATGTATGGGCAGAAGCCTTTGTTTCGTCGAAACGCTCTGTCCCGATATTCTGTATCTACTGTTTGGATAGTACAGAGCCGTTGGAAAGCACGGAGAACCGCTGCTTTCGTCCCCCTGATGAAGTGGTACAAGCAGGGTTGGCCTCGGTCACCTGCCACGATATCAAGTCTACCTGACACAGCATCATAAGGACGATGCATCCAGCGGGCTATCGCCCCCGAAGGTTTCCGGCGCCTTCGATGGCTGCCTCTAGAAAAACCTTGCCAGACAACGCGTGTGGCGGGAGACGATGCCATGAGGACGAAGCAATCGCCCACGCCGCCAAGGACCATTAAGGTCGTCAGGTCGTCAGAAATGCATCCACTATCGACTAACTTGCCGAGCCAAGTGGGCTTTGGTCGCCATAAGCAGCTGCAATCAAATACTGATGTACCCACCACCGGAGCTGCTGTCGGTTACCAAAGCGTCACCAGAGGTCGGCGAAATTATCGCCGATAAGCTGATAGGCCTGTCTTCCAGGGGTAATGCATCCAACCAATGCCGACAGATGGATTCGGATTCCAGCGACTTGGGCGAGGCTGGGGTCATTCTCGGCTGTGGCTCAACCAGACAACCCACCCACCCCGATGGATGATTTCATCGAGTAGAGTCGCAGCCCTCGCTTCGATCCGCACTCTGCATTGCATGTGAACCACAGACGTCCAGGGGCGTGAGACGGCTTCGCTAGTTTAATCTATAGAAGAAGGTAATTAGTGGGTGAATTGTTCTGACCGTCTCAAGGCGGCCAGATGGAAAGCTTCGACGAACAAGAAGATTTTCGATCTCTTGGTTGCAGATGGCGGTAGGAAAATTGTTTCAAAAGACATTAGCAGTCTTGTGCAACTTCTACGAACTGACTTGATCTTCAACCCCGCCATGTCATCATCGTGATCTGAATCTGCAGATCATCCACGCGAAGCACGCCTTCCTTGTCGTTAGACCTAAAAAGTGAGCTGCTCACAATGACAATCCCGGCCAAAAAGCTCCAGAGCAACAGGGCAGCAGGATTGGCGTATTGCTGGACACGCAATATCGCGGGGACGCGTCTTGAAGGTCATGATCACACACCCTCTTGTCGCCTGCCATCTCCGCTCACTCCGGCAAGTCTTGATTTTAGATTCGCATCACTCATCATCCCATCTTTTTAATCCCACCTTCACAACACCACGCCCCGAGGATGTGGATGGATGTGAATGGAAGGAAAGGAAAGCGGGTGCCATAGCGCCCAACTTGTGGTACGAGTACTATTTGGCTCCATCCCACTTGGGGCCAGCCCACCATCAGCAACGTTCGGCCGACTTAGTTGAGACACGCGGACCTAAGACTGACAGACCTGTGACTGTACCGCATTTGACCTTCCCTCGGCAGACAAGTGCACGCCTAGGCCAAATCTGACGCATGCATTCGTGAAGAAACGATCGAAGCCCAAGCTAGTGAATCGTTCGTATCTGACCTAGGTAGACCAGGACGCAATAAGCTTTTGGCCTCTGCAGGTGAGAAGCAATCCTGCAAGGCACCATTTCTTCTCCTCATTTGACTCACTGTAGATCTTCAGGGACGCAAAGGGTGGGTTGCTGTGGTTATTAATCCAGCATGGTCTGCCTGCCAACTTTCCAGGATTAATGGCATTTGTTTCTTCAGCAATCGGAAACCCTGTCCAAGTCTCTTTTTTATATAGTGGGCTCATCCTGTTACTATTACACTCACACAAACCCTGTCAGTCTCACTCGCAAACACTCGCATACGTTTTACCATTGCACACTGCAACCACCAAGATGCCTCATAATACACTCTTTCACAAGAAATCCAAAAGCAGTATGCGACAAAGGCAAACCCATGCTGATGAGCACACCTTCAGCCACTCACGGACAACAAGCAACTCGAGCAATTCGAGCAACACTTCTCATATTTCATCGGGGTCCTACACGAAGCCGAATTGCTACGATCCGCTCTCACTCCACCCGCCCATGGCCCTCAACACCTCTCCATGCATCATCCCCGAAGACGACGAAGCTGTATATGGAGATGAAAAGGAACAGCAAGATCCTTTTAAGCAGAGCCGCACCTCAAACCATGACACTCAAAACCCCGCCCCGTCATCACCTATAAAGAGCCGGCGGAATACACACGTCTACGGGCTCAAGCTACAATGGCCACTTCAGGACTGGCAGGAGATTCCACCGGGGCTGGCCGAGATGAGTGAAGCAGACGTCAACGCACAAGCCAGTCCGCGCTCGCCAACAAGCCAGAGGAGACCACCGAAGGAACATATAAGTGACATCGAGATGTTTGTCAAGCGCGGGGAGTGGAAGCGTAAGGGCATTGTCTTCCACCTCGACGCAGATGCACAAGAGGAACAGGTGCAATCCTTTGAACTTGAACTTCCATGAGAAAGCTTCCAGGTGAAGCTTTCATGTAGCATCAACAACACAACCTCATTACTATCACCACTACGACACACGAAATCATGATTTTACGGTTTTCTTCGTGTACGGGTACTGGGGAAGGTCACAACCGGTCATGAATGAGGTTTAGCATAGGAAGGAGTATATCGGGACAAGGGATACCACAGCGTCTTTGCTTTACAACTTCACTTCGGGCCTGGCAAAACAACATCAGGCAAACAAACAATTCTCGAACCCGCTTTCTGCTGTTCTATAGACCCTACGGTGTCCATTGTGCATTCCTCGCTGGTGACGAATTCAAAGCCTGCTTAACCCCAAACCTGGCGCCTAATACAGGGTTCTACCCTTCCCTCGGAGGGAGCGGCATGCTCCACTTTGTACACCCTCCAGTGACGTATTTTAGACGTCAACCCACCGACGCGAATTGACGGACTGGGAAATACAGCGCCAAAAACAGACATCGAACCATAATAATTGGAACGAGTATTTCCAAAAATGCAACTATATCCACCCTCTCGAGCTGATAAACATCCAAAAACCACAAGCTGAATACTGAAAAATACCCTCTGATGATGTAATGCATTCTGCCCAAGTCCCCTAATGACCGTGCCCTTACCAAGATCTGGAATGATTACTCCGTATCTCTCCACGAGTCAAGCCCTGGACCCTGCAGGAACCCTTCAAACTTTACCCGCCTTAATTCCGTGCACATCGCAATATAAGACACAGTCTAAACGGCCAAGCCACTCGCGTTAATGGCAACCTTCAAGGGATCAGCAGTGCCCAATACTACGTGCAACATCATGGGTACTGGAATTATTTTTGTCGGTCTGACGCCTGGAGGCGTATCTGGTTATGTGCCATGAGATCATTCATGTCCTCCATGCTTATCAAATTTGACGATGTAGCCTGACGTGGAAGTTAGGTACTACGTTCAGACGTCAAAATCTCGAATGGATGAGAAAGATGCAGTCACGAAAGCTGCCTTCGTCTGAAGATCTACACAACCTTGTTTTTTATAGAGCATATGGGACGAGCGTCTGTGTCATCATTCCTCCTCATTACCGTTGAACCGTGTCTCACCTTTTTGACTCTTTTTTTTTTGACTCCTTTTCTCGACCTGTCGCGACTGGTCGGATATGTCAGCGCTGGTGCAGTGACAACGATTTGATACCGATAAGACCCTCAGCTGGAGTTTCTGGCATAATAGGTTGATTCACGCAGTGCCTGTTCGCTAACAATACCGGATGTATCACACGCATGTGTCTTATCCCAAGAGATCGATCTCGCTTCGTAACTTTCGTCAATTTACTGCGAGGATCCTGGCATTGCAGACTGCCATCAAGATCCTCTCGATATCTTCTGAAATATCCGATTGGGTTGTTTATTAGCTTCACCATCCTAGTGCTTGTGCTATCTACCTATATCACCTGTTGGGTTAATGTTCCTCAATTTTATATCTGCACTATCGAAACCTAAGCGTCAACGACTCAAGTCTATATGAACATAGCAGATCTACTTTGTAGGTTTAGCAGGATTCTGAGGGATTCAACCCTCAGATGATGACTCTGTACAGATCCTGTATTGGTTACGATGCTCGATGCGCAGTGTGATGTGTGTATTGACTGCTCGGAGTGCTATGTAAGAAGTTACATCTAAGGTAGGTAGGCAGGTGCCGACCTTTTTATCTACACAAGCGATTTCACTGCCTCAGGCACCACCTCAGGCACCACCTCAGGCACACATATGGCGCTCAATCCCACAGATTCGCCTGTAATATAGTAATGTTATTGTATACTGCAGATTGCTTGGTGAATTAAGTACATTACTCGATTCTTCAATACGAAAATTTATTGTACCCGACCATGGGTGGCCAGCTTCGGTGTTGGACTTTTGGTAAAGCAGTCTACGTCAGGAAATACCGTCGCCCAGGCCTCGTACTTCATAGACATCTAATGTTAAAACTTTAGCAGGCCAGTCGCATTATCACACATCGGTTGGCCCCGGGTCAAGTAACCCTATCACCTTGCCGCCCTCGCATGCTCAGAAATATTATGAGAGCCCGAATTGCCTAGCGAGTGGTAACCGATGGCCATCGGACCTCCTGTTTGTCACCGACAACGATGCACATTACTTCCTGACCAGCAGTTACTCAACTATGTGGGCTTAACGAGTATGGACGATTTGTCAGCTCGTGTGCCTCATCAAGACAACGAGCTTCGAGCTCGAAATATTCGTTGCAAATATCAAAGTCTATTTGATTGCAGATTACATAGAGGTAGCTTGTCGCAAATTAAATAGCCCTCAATTTTTGTCCCTGCAGCTTCGGCCGGGAAAATGATATTGTAAAGCGGTATGCCTGACGTCCGAGAATTCACCTGGGAAATCTCGTCGATTATGGTATGTTGCTGCCTCCAGGCCCACGATAGAGGTGATCTACCTAAGTTGTCGATAGAGTCCACGCCGGCACATACACTGAGGAGGTGCTTGGTTAGCTTATAGTGACCAAGTAGTGCTGCTAGAATTAATGGCGTATGGCCAAATTTGTCCCAGAGTTCTAGCTCTGCACCTTTATTGAGTAGCAGCCTGGCGACGAGTAATTGTCGTAGTATTCTTGTCTAAAAAGTTGAATCTCTTAGGTCGTATATGTCCTGAATACCGGCGCCCTTCTCTACTAGCAGCCTAACAAGCCTTTCGTTACCCTGTCTTGCGGTTATCCCAAAGGTGTGTCTTATACATCCAGATAGAGTCATCCGGACGTAGTTCCGTGGGAAGGTGGGCATCAATCATGATAAATTCGAAAAGACAAAGAGAAGCAACTGAGGCTTGTTCCCCCGCCCCCCGTCCCAAAAAACGAGATTTAATCCTCCGATGCCAAGATGGTCAACATTGCTCTCTCCAGCCCAAAGTATGATGCTAGATGAATTGCTTTCTCAGTCCTTGACAACTTCCGGCCGGCTGAACTTGTCATTCTTGGAGTTCATTATGAGCCTTAAAAATTAGCTTGCTGCTTCAACGTGAAGCTCAGTATCCAGAAATCTTTTCATATCCGAGGGCGAAGTGGTGGCTTCGCGAGCGTGATCTCTCGTGTTCCACTGCGTACTGATAGAATGGGTACGATACCGGTCAATCATTCAGCTCGGCATCCATTCGCAGATGACCACCTCCAGACGCGTAGAAGAGAGATAAGCAAGGCACGTCTTCGTGATGTCATCTTCAGCAGTCGGAAATCATCGACACCACTCCCGCTCGAAATATTCCTGAGTTCTATAGTGGATGAGCTGGATGATGCCACTGTTTTCATCAATAATCACTAGTGTGGCGCACACCGAGACCATGTCCTCCACTGGAGACAGATTCTCTTCGTCGTAATAGATCTTGCCAATTTCCACAGCGAGAGTATGTTCGAGTTCGATGATGGACGGGGGTCTTTTCGTGCATGTTATCCATGACAGAACCTGTCTTGTGGGTCGACCTCGTCTACGTGCTGTACTTGAATTCGTTGCATCGTCTCTGTGTACACCTTGTCGTAGGCTATAGGGCCTGTTGAAAGTCTCTTCAGGGCATCGCGGATGGCCTTGGGAAATTTACCGCCTCTCAAAAAGTTCAGGCGAAGCTGTGCAAGCAGAAACTTAGGCAGAGTTAGATATGTTCAGCAAAGTACTATCGGCCTAGAAGTCACATAGATTCCATCCAATTTAACCATCCTTCATAAAATTTCAGTGACTGGAAATGACCAGGTTGTGATGCACCCTGTTGCTGCCTGAAAATGGTTGCCACTCGTTGCCGCAGTCATCAAGGTTGACGATCATTAATATGGCTTCAAGCCAAGACTGAGATTTCATAAAACCGGCGCGCCCCTTCTTTCTGTGACGTTATTTTGCACCCACAAGTAACAGATAGATATAATGCGACCTTTTCGTGGACGCTCTTCGTCAAGCCTTCAAGGCTAACCCCGAGATATCGACACTCAACTCCCTCCCCTGAACCATCTCAGCCAAGACCTTGCCAGTCCCGAGGCTCTGACTTATACCCCAGGGACCATGGCCTGCCGCAAGGTACACACCACCTTCGGCACCCGGCCGCGTGCTGACCCCCAGACACGCGTCCGGTATCCGGTCCACGATAGGCAAGCCGCTGTTGGTCACTGGCCGGAAACAAAGACCCTCTCTTACAACTTCAAAGTCGTCTTCTGCATCATCTTGACCAAGCATTTCTCTTGCCGTATCTCGCAGCCTCAGAATCGACGGCTTGGAAATATTGTGTTTAGCATCCGTAGCCAGTCCTGGCAATGGCTCGGTTGCTGAATTCACGCCAGCGATGTAAATATGCCCGCCTATTCGTGAGAATATCTCGGGTGAGTAGCCCGGCTCGCTCGTCATGAAGACGGCATGACAGCCCTTTTCTTCGTCTTGCTTTGTCCAACGCGGGGACTTGACCACCAGGGAATGGCCTGCGAGGCTTGCGATTGGCAGTTTGAAGCCAGTGTTGGGGAAAAGCTTCTTAAAAACCTCTGGAGACCAGGCACCGGCGGTGAGTATGATTTTCGTACATGGGATATCGGTCTCGGTACTTGATTGGGTGTCGGCTATGCGAATGCTCGAGACTTCGTTACAGACATCGGTACGTATGGAAATGGCTTCTGCCGGTTGATGCAAATGCACACCGGAGTCAAGACATTTCTGGAGGAGGAACTGCGATAATTGCAATGGGTCTCTACGTAATAAACGATGTCAATGGGCATATCCTGTAGCAAAGGAGGCACCATGTGCCCATAGATGACTAGTGACTTACACTTGAGCCACAGTGCCTTCATCGCTTATGACTTTAACAGCATCTCCCTGTACTCTCCGGAGCCAGAGCGGCGCTGCTCCGACAGCAGGGTCGCAACTGGCGGCGTCTGCCCGGCTGTTACCATCGCGACACCAGACGTCAACTCCTTTTCCTGGTTTCGTCAAGGAAGATAGGCTGATCGACGTGCTTGGCGCATAGCCCCATTTCTCAGCACCGTTCTCCTTCTCTGCAAGTTTCTTGTGTTCATCGAAACTAAGCGCCCCCAGCTCTGCAACGGCAGGGGAAAACCAGTTCCTCGCAAGGAAACCGCCCGCAAATCCTGATGCGGACGCGAACAACTCGGGCGAAACTTCGACAAGATGAATACTCGAGGGTGTTTGATGCTTGGACAGATAATAGGTCGTCGAGATGCCGACGATACCGGCGCCCAGAATGATGGTCTGCGACATAACAAATCCTCAATCGTCAACTAACAGAAGGAGTCGCAAGTCTGGCAGTCCGGACGACTATCGAAATGCTGTTTATCAGTCTTGTTTGCCGAAAGCAGTGACGACAGGGTACCAATGGATGGCCCCTCATAACCCCTCCTGATTGCATGGATGCTGGAAGCTCCGATAAGATAAAGAGCTCAAGATATCCACATCAGAAAATTTCCTGAAGCATTGAAGGGACAAACAATTATTACTCTATTTCAAATTGATACCAACCAAACACATTGAAAACCCCTGGGTTGGAAAGAAAGCTCCGAGACATTGAAGCTCACCAAAAACAATCAAGATGACTTCTATGGCTTTCATTGTGACTGGTGCTAGCCGTGGTCTAGGACTTGCAGTAGCAGAACTGTTGCTACGTGCATCACACAAAGTCTTCCTCGTGGCTCGGTCAGAAACAGACCTACAAAGGTTAAAGAGCCAGTATCCAACCTCGGTGGAATACGCGGCGGCCGACTTGAGTGATCTCAGTGTAAGTGCAACTCTGCAGATCACCTTATCGAGTTCAAGAGACGAGCAGCCTACTCACGAGGGCCATAGACCGCTCCGCAGATCATCAAGGCTGCCCTAGAGGCATTTGGCAAAATCAATGGCATGGTCATCAACCACGGTGTATTAACACCCGTTACCAGAATCGCCGATAGCAATGCTGAGGAATGGAGACGCGCTTACGACATCAACGTGATGAGTGCCGTTGCTTTAGTAAGAGAATCAACTCACCTTGGCAAGGATTCCAAAAACTGAATTCTTAATGCAGCTGAAAGAAGCCATTCCCGAGTTACGCAAGTCCAAGGGGCGTGTTGTGCTCGTCTCATCAGGAGCCGCAACCAGTGCTGTTGTCGCATGGGGTGCATATGGAACATCCAAGGCTGCAATCAACCATGTCTGTGCACACATGGCAGTCGAGGAACCTGAAATCACAAGCGTGGCCATCTCACCTGGTAAGGTCGACACCGGCATGCAGCAACAGATTCGAGAGCTGGGAAAAACCGGAATGGCAGCCGATGTACATGCCAGTTTCGTTGATGAGCATGCAAGTGGCCGTCTGCTCAAACCTGAACAACCGGGCGCCGTCATAGCAAAGCTTGTTGAAGGCGCAACCAAAGACATGAGTGGACGACATTTCCGGTATGTCATGTCAAGCTTCGCACACGGCCATACTTCAGCTAACAAATGTGCAGATGGAACGATGCAGTACTATCTGCCTTTCAAGGAACAAAATGATGCAAACCTAGCAAGCTATGCACGACATGTCAGCAAAAGACCACGATAGAGCGTACAGTAGAGGAATGATAAGGGTTGATTAGCTTCAGTCGAAAGATGAAAAGACTATACGTAGTATCGTCATTATGATTCCGGTTTAGCATGGAATATAGGTTCGTCATCACAAGCAGGCATAAAAGAAATATTCGTTGTACCTTACCTTACGCGTTCTTTAGTGGTGCATAATTTGTGCTTCCTAAACATTGATCGCATCTTACTAGGATCGATATCAGCTAGATGGCTTTGATGCGCAATTAGAAACTTCATGATAGAGGAAGTGTCAGGATTCGTAGAGATTTTCCGTCGTCGAGTGTCGGTATTTGATAGTACTTGAATTCGGCATCATGCAAAGGTTGTGTGCTGCGGGAGGGTATGCATACATTCGCTATTGTGTTTCTGCAAGCTTGTTAGTTGCGCAATCACTGAAACATATTGTTCAGGTGAAGGTAACAATGTTCGGGAAGTCAGATATAGTCGTTTGGCTTAGACGTGTCAATCACCATGTGCCCTAGGGCGTGGTAAGACTGGGGCGACAACGTGTTCATCATAGAAGAGTCGCAAGGCTGAATAGAAAACTAGGGTATGGGGATGCACGAACCTGTGGGAAGACACGGAAGTACGAGCGAAATTGACACTCGGCCATGAAAAGACATTGCCATGTTTAGCTCATCCATTGCTGCGGTTTCAGATTGCAGAGACGAAGGAAGATTGAGCTCTTCATATTTTGAAGCTATCGAGGTTGTTGAGAATGATGAGAAGAATGAAGAGGGAGAGAAAATTGTTTGCAGCCCACCTCAAAGAAAAGGTAAAAAGATAATGGACTGCGCCACCGCTACTTGACGATCTTAGGAGATTGGGGATTTGATTGGTTGTGGGTCGCCACAGACGCCTCAGCAAGGGATTTCTGCCCCACCCCAAGCTGTTGGAGGGCAGCTGCACGTACATAAACCAACGTCAATCCAGGCTGGAGCAGCTGCATGCCTGGCCGGACAGTTGCCTCTTCGATTGTTCTATCAACACTGGAATTCACCTGCCGCCAAGGCCCCCATCCAAATCACCAACTCGTCCACACATCGCTAAGCAAAGCTTCCACACGTTGGCAAAATCACTATCTCCTTTTGAAGACATTGAAAAAAAAATTCACTAGTCGTTTTCTTTAATCTTCAACTGGATCGATTCACGGCTCAGATTCACCCAAGATGTCTGATCATGAGTATGGAGGTAAGTCGGAGTATATTCTGTTCATCACTGTCATTTTTGCTCAGGACGCGCTTTCTTTGTTACGCCATACTATGCTGTCTGTACCTGTCACTGCAAATGCACAATGCGAATGCTGTTATCATGGTCGAATTTTGTATGCGATTATGAAAGCCATAGAGTAAAGAAACCCCAAATTCTGGAGTACCAAGCAATACCCACTGGCGGCGTACACGACTGCACTTGCTATTTACATTCCCAATTCCCTCCCCAATTCATAAGCAATATAGCCAAGCCAGATTGTTTTCATTTTCCCACTTCATGAAAAGCAGCTTCGGCATCAACCTCGCAAGCCCAAAGTATTACCCACATCATCACTTCACATTGCCTTTATGTTCTTCAAATTACCGGCTCTCCTTACAGCATACAAGCCTTCAAGATGCCCCATACCTCAAATCAGGATAGCTATTGGAAGTCCATGGACATCGGCACAGGTCATTCTTTTCCGATTTTCTGGTTGCACTTCAAACTTGTGGAACATCCTGCTGACATTCCCCTACGTAGGCAATGACGATTTGTCCCTACCCAAAGGTACGTACGCATTACCCACTTGCTCCACACCATGAGCTATAGTAGATGCATGTCGTGGTAATATCTTGGTACTTCACCAACCACTACATCTCCTGGTCCATTGGTGTTCTCTTTTACAGGTCCTTAAGCTAACGTAATACGTAGCTACTGTCCAGAAGATCGTCACGGAGATTCTGCCGTCGTCAACTGGTGTCAGCTTTTCAAAGGAGGCTAGAGATGTGCTCATTGAATGCTGCGTTGAATTCATAACTCTGGTCTCGTCGGAGGCAAATGAGATCTCGGAGAAGGAAGCTAAGAAAACCATCGCATGCGACCACATCACCAAGGCCCTCGACACGCTGGGGTTTGGCGACTACATCCCCGCAGTGCTAGAGGCAGCGGCGAATCACAAGGACCAGCAGAGGGTAATTAAGAACATTGTACGTTCCCCCACACGCGGTTCACAGACTAACGGCTAATGGTAGGTCCGAGAAAAGAGAACGAACAAGTTTGAGGACAGCGGCATGTCTATCGAGGAGCTGGAGAGGCTGCAGGCGGAGCAGTTTGCGGCAGCTGCAGCACGGCACAACTGATGAATGGCGAATTAGTGTTAAGTTTTGATGGATTTCCGGAAAGGCATTGCATGGCGTTTAATTGTGAAGGAGGGGAGGGAAGATACGGCGAAAAAGGCGTTGGGCACTCAGTTCACCACGACAGAGCAGGAATATCAAGAATGGATGATGGTATCCCTTCGCAACCAACATTTCTTCCGTCTTGCTACTCTTATTGTGATCAAACCGGAGACAGGATGGGAAGGCGGCAGCACAGTCAAGCCACCTGCAGGCAACCCCACACTGGCGGCATCATAAGACTGTCTAAGGATGAAGTCTTGAGTACGTTAGCTCAACGCTCATTGAGCAGCCTTTCCACACCATCAACTACCAATATGGACCGTCTGCGCCGTGTGATGACTAACAGCTGCAGGTGATGCAGGGTACCCTGGGGTACTAAGATTACCCCTCGGGCGACTTGGTTGAATTTCCTCTTGGCCTGGCAGGATAGCAATAAAGGCATTTGGAGTCCAGTCGCTCCTCTTCTCTATTCAGCTCCCAGGTCTTGTGGCCGAACCAATTTGAGTTCCTGGTTAATGGTCAATTCTGGTTCATTACTAAACCCGAATAGGCAATTCGAAATAGCCGAGGCATTTCTTGGTACAAATTGTACGAAACAACCATGATCCGATATCACGTAGCTTTTTGGGCGACAATTTATACATATTCAGTCACCAACTGAGCATGTGCGGCGCTACATGATGGCGTACGTCCATAGAAAGAAACTTGACGTATACCTTATGAATGATAACTAGATTGACAGGCTGACCATAAAAGACTGGATGTGGTGGGCCGTGCCACAGGCCAATATTAACGGACTGATCGACTCGGTGCCCTACCGCGAGCTTGAGCTACGTTGCGTGCGTGGTTGGAAAATGTGTCATTACATGGAAAAGTAGGGCAACTCAATTACTAAATTTGGGCAAGAAATAGGTGGGCAATTGAGCTGACAATTATAGTGCTGAATATTGGGGGTTTCCGAAGTGGGGCGGATGTGCGCCAGACCTCTTGACGGTGATTTAACAATCCGTCTCAAGTTAGTTTGCATAAGTTAGCTGTACCACTCCGCCGACGCAGCGACATAACTCTTCAACAGAGCTCTACCATGATGTGCCTGCCACGACACGCCCGTCCATATCAGAAAGTCGATCTCGAAAATTGTCGGTTTCGTTGTCAATCGAACGTAAAACAGCCCCCAGGGTGGCTGTGGAAACTGTACTCGTGTCAGGCAGGCTACCTCGATAGAGAAGCAGTAACATGCTTACTGACGTCTGCAGGGAGCATGTGATTTCTAACCACGATCCCTCTCTTCGACGTGGTCGATTCTGGGCGTGTTTCAGGACTGAAGCCGAGAAGACGTGTCATCAAGCCGACGTAACCTGTATTGTAGTAGATGTCAGCATCTCAGAAAGATCAAGTCAAATGATTGGCATTCCACAGTGCAGCGGAAGACGGCTGGTTTCCCCCTTTTCGGCCTGCTATGCCCCGATAAAACTGATGTAAATAATCTCGACGGCATAAAGCAGAGATACTCACCGTGTAAGAATACATTCAAGACACTGTCGACAAATCTCTCAGGGCTGATCAAGGGACAAATTATGAATCCCGATTTATGGGCTCTGGTAATAGCTCTAACACAGCACCAACCCCAGACCACTTTACTCCAAGCAGAGCAGGATAGCTCGAATACACACGTGAGACATATCCTACACCACTTGGACGTGGGTAGACCCAAATGCCATATCTTCTGACTCTCCCAGTCAATAAATCTCAAATAGGGGTCAACGAGTTTTCAGATGACCACGATCATTTCACGGTTGGATATTCTGCATATGGCTCTGGCGCAACGCCAGCTCTGAAATTGAACATCAATTTGCATCCAACGATCTACGAAGTACATGGGACTTGACGACAGGGATTTGGCAACCATTCATTCCGATGCTTCTTCACTTCACAACCCACGTGTGGACGAAACGCACAAGCAGCTGGTGCATAAGCGTTAGTGCCTCAGCATCAAACTGGATGGCGAAGGCTATGGACAATTCGGGTAGCACGACTGCAATTCTCTCCACGCCGCTTCGATCCAAGCCATAAGGGATTGAGTTGCAGAGCATATCAGCTAGTTTGGCAGTATACTTCTCCACAGATACCGTAGGTGAATGAGTCCATCATCGACTTTCTAAAGCTCTCTGAAAAGGTGCGCCGCTGACCTTGAGGCTTTGTGGTAGTGAAATCACTCAACATATGCAGAGCCGGTTGTTCTCCGATGAGGATCAAGCTCAATTTTCCCATATAAAAGTCCTGTGGACCTTGCTGACCAAATGTTTCTCTGAAGGATCCAATAGGACGTTTTGGAGGTTTAATGTCTTCGAGATTATGATAACGCTCCCATTGACAAGATTGTGATGGATGAACATGAACATCCTGACCTGTTAGCATATCATGAATTCTTGACCCAAAGCCCGTCATTTGAATGGCTACTGTCTTGATCCGCACTGAGGATTCCCTTGAAATCCCTGGATAGAATATGGCGAAGAACGCTATCACAAAACCCATCCTCGAGAAAATCGGCCAGCCGAAAATCCGGGTCTGTTGCATATCATATCAACTTCGATGTAGACCGTCTCCTTCTTCCACGAACAAAAATACTCCGAGCCCATCCATTAAGTTCTGGAACTCTCTATCACGTTGGCCGGAAGTGCGAACAACGTACAGGCAGTGTTATGTATTGAGCATATGAGATAATAAGTCTGGCTAAAAACAGGGCCGAAACCATTTCGAATACTTTAACAAACCCTGAGTGGCGAAGCATTCACTTCTGGTAAGAGTTCTACCTACTTCACTCACAAAGCGAGTAGTAACATGGATTATTCACAGAAGCTCCCAGCAGTTTGGGTCAGTGCCCAGGAGGCGCATATCTCTCGGCTGAGTACGTCAACTCGAGATTGAGTATTGTGGCCTCAGGTAATTGCTATTCCATTGCGGAAGTGGGCGAAAAACTTGCTTGACTAGGTGGAGCCCTTCGCTGCTCGCCATTGAGACGGCTCACTTCCTGTTGCATCCTGGTAATCATAGCATTTGACGTTGAAGACGCCCTCAATGGGAGGGCAACTGAGACTAGTAATACCAACGCGTAGATTTGGGTTTGAAGTCGAGCCAGAAAGCGGCAATATGGATTCCGGCTCCGGTAGCTGCTTGCATAATCTGTTGAATAATCCAACGGTAGTTCAGGGCTGCCATATTCCCTGGCGTTATCACGTCGACTCGGGGTGGAGTCTCGCTCGACATCATAGCTGCACTGTTGAATGCCAACAAAGCAATCGACTTTTCTGGGAGGGTTTTCATTAAGGGATCTTCAGCAATGCTGGCAGCCTCTCAGGCTACCAATCCTAGATGTACTGGCATATGTTCTTCAATGATAATGGAAGTTACATCTCGTATGAGGACCGTCAGGTCCCACAAGTGAGACGCTCACCGTTGATACTAACAAACCGACATCTCGAGACAAATCGTCACATGTTAGGGGGGTATAACGACGTTAGGAACTATGCTGATGAGTCTGAGGGTCTATCACATGTATAAATGTTCAAATTAGCTGATCAGGCTGGTCAAGGTGCCGGAGACAAAAACCATGACATTGGCTCATCTGGACTTTCGAAACCGCATTAGAGGTGCGACTTTGACAACATATCAGTAAAAGTCGGGAAGTCGATCACTGTTGGCGGGATTCTGGCCATTGGTAACAAAGAAAAGTCAATCCACGTTAGCAATTATGGTGATGACTACATCGGAGTATTGTTGATGATGGAAGAGAAACCTTTCGTGTTTTACGATATTGATGACGGGCAGGCATGGTTTATGGATGGTGTTAGTGGGGTGCGACGGTTGCTGCGCGTGTCTATCAAGCAGCTACAGGGCGATGAAAGTCTCCGGCGAATGTTTCGCTTCGAGCAGGGTGACTTCGAGGAAGTGAGCACGACACATGCGGGTTCTGAGGCGGTCTTTGAGGTTTTTTGAACTTTGTCAGTCTCAAATCTCCGATCTATGCCAGGGTGCCAGAAACATGGGCAAAACGTCCACGAGATTAGGCGACGAATCGGAAGAGTCAATAAAAGAAAAGGCGGCATACTTCTGCGTGAAAGATGGAGTAGACAATATCTGTTACATATCAGGACAGATCATTGTACTATACGAGAATATTGACACAGGAGCGGGCGTAGGCTTCCGCTTGAAATCTACGCCCCGTCAACAGCTCGAGGTTTCTTCGACTTTATGGGTGTGTCAACCCAACAGGAGCTCTTTAAAAACAAAGGCAACAGCCCTTCTTGCAAACGGGGCACTGGGTCGCGTTTACGCGGGCAGAACATGCTATCATCCTTTTTGGATCGGGCTTCCGCGACTTGCTCCAGCCAGAAGAAGCCTAACATGCTTTTGTTTTTGGTGGGTGGAATATCACTCTACCCAAAGTTAGGGTCTATATTATAGTCAGTTTAGAGGACATACGCAGCACTATGAAGAGAAACAACAGCAGGAGAAGCAACACCGGGCTCTGGCGTCTGATCGACAATATTCACTGGCACACGCCAGCCAAAGCCTTACTCAGGCAGTGCCTCGTAGCTGCAACACGATCGCGTGCAGTTCATTATTCCTGAAAAGTTATGGGGCTATTTCCACTCAGTCTACGGAGCCCAACATCTTTGCCTAGCAAAAGTGTCGTTATCTTCGGCCACAGCTAGAAGTTCCCGCTTCGCTGGCCAGCACGCAGAAATCCCGAGAGGAAAGCGGGCGATGACGGCGTCTGATGATAAATGAATTATCGTAATACGATAGCGGTATCCGATTGCAACCTCTGGTACCAGAAGAAGCCGTGTTGGCAGACCCCATGCGCTGAAGTGG